GACGCTATTTGTTTAACATGGAAAGAAAAACGTTGTGTAATATTAAATAATTTTAAATTTCGTGAGTAAGTATAGGCAGTTAAAAATGGAAATGGAAATTTTCGGTATGCTAATAAATTTTGTAATACTTATGTTATTGTTAGTAACAACAGTGATCAAATTGTTAGCCAATCTAAAATTTCAAAGCATAACCATGATGTATATTCAAATCAGGTAATATCAAGAAAAATTGTAAGAAGCTCATTGAAAAGAAATGCAGAAAATGATCTGCATATTTGTCCAAACAGATGTTTCTTTTATTTTTTAGTGCATATTTTAAGTGCATAAATGGGTATATATTTAATTTGGAGGTAGGTACGCAGGTTAGGTATACCCTATACGTGGTTAAATTTCTTTGAAAAAAAGGTTTCTATAGTTCGCAAATAAGTTGTATTTTTATGCGCTAACAAGTTGTAAAAAAGGTAAATAATGTGTGCAAACGAATTTTAGCCCAAAAATAATATTATTCAGTATTACCAATAAGAAACCACCTGCAAAAAGAAGGCTTTTCCGGTCCTAATTACAGACATTTATAGAGGGGCTGAGTAGGCCCCCTGAAATTTTAAGAAAATTTAAAAATTATTTCCAGTCTATGAAAAGTCCAGCAATAGTCTTAAATTACTTTTTATTGGTTTTAAATCTAACCTTATAAACATTTAGTACCTAATATACACTATGATAAATGTTATTTTATAATACATTAAATATAATTTTAGATTCTGAGCGAAGCGAGAAATGTATTGATTAAACAATGATGTTTATTTTTTCTGTGGATAATTTTTCTACCAGCAATTTTACTCCGATTTATAATGATAGCACTTTCTCTAAAAGGAAATCTGACTGAAGAGGTACTTTATGGAAGTAATTATTTGATTTTCCAAAGAGCTTTCTCAAAAAATGGTAAAAACCGGAAAAACGGGAAGAAAATGGGAAAATGTACGAAATGTAGGTTATACTAAAAAAATATTCTGACTGGGAAGGTACTTTAGGGAGGTAATTTTTTGATTTTCTCAAGAATTTTCTCTATAAATGATAAAAACTGAGAAAATGTAGGGAAAACGGGAAAATAAGTACAATATTAAACAAATATTATTGAAAAAAATATAATGCATATGTTATTATTTTATCATAATATGACATATATATTGTTGACAAAGCAACACTATCAACCGAACTTCGCTCAGAATCATTTTTTCGTTAGCAATGGTTAATCGTAGATATACATTAAAGTATGTACCTATAACGGTGGTTACACTCGTCCCCATTATTCTAGGACAGTTTTTTTTATTTTACTGTAAGACAATGTTTATGTATTTTGATCAGATTCCCTAGAAATAAAATTCTGGATAACTTTACAGGTATGAAATTCGAGAAATGATTCAGAAAATTAAAATACTTCATGGAGATACAGCTCGACTAGAATTAGTCAACGTATCAACCCAACCTACAGGGAAGTTGTTACAAAAAGTTGAACATAATGGTAGCGTAATACGTGTATCTGCTCCTATGAGACTAGACAGTCAAATGGGTAAGTGCATTCTTTAAACTCTTATAACCATCTTGTGTACAGTTTAAATTTTCCTTTTTTTTAATAATTTAATAAGTTATTAAAAACACAATGCAAATTAGAACAGATCAAACAATTTTTAATAATATTATTTGTTTAGTTTTAATTTAAAATAAATTTTACAATATGCAGGAAATTTCTAAATACCAGACACCCTCAGTTGCTAAAATTTTGTTTCTTATTTGTAGATGTCGAGTAATTAGTGGGGAAAAAATAAAGTACATTTCATAAGTCGAACATTAACTATGTAGAACATTTATTCGTCGTAATAATGTTATAATATATTTGTAATATTTGTGTGCATTATTTTTGATTATTTGTGTATGTATGAATATATTTATTGATACCTGTGATTTGTATTTTACTAGCCCCAAATTTGTCACTTTTATTTAGTTATTCTATAATTTTTCTTAATTTAAGATAAAAATTATTCAAATCAAAAGTTAAACTGCAATATAAATGTCTGTTATTTAGAGTGTCTCATACTTAGGGGTTTTTTTATAGATAAGTAATAAAAATGTCCATTATTTGGTGCTGTCTGCTTTTTAAAAGTGTCCGTTCAGGGAGGTTTCACTATATTCATATTTTTAAGATTTTTTTAAAATTTCAGAAGGAAGTTCAGATGCAGTGAAACCACTATTAAAAGGTCGTTCAGTAGAAGCGACATTCAGGGTAAAGTCCTCAAACACAGACGGCAACGAGTCAGACACTAACAGCCACAGTGCATTACTATTATGTGATGACAAACGTTTGACAAGCTCATCTAGTAAGAGTAACTATGAACTCCATGAATTAAAAGACGTAAACCGGCTACTAACTACCAGACATAAGAATCAAATATGACTACGAAGATGCGTAAACGCTTGGTTCCAGGTGATTGACAGCGACCCGAAATTCCCATTGCTGGAAACACCAAAACCACATAAAAGTTTTAAAAAAATTTTAATAAAAAAAATATTAATAACTAAAAAAATACCATAAAAAATTATTTAAATTAATGTAATGAATGTGATACCTACATTATAAATTTAAAAAAAAAAAAATTACTAGGTCATTTGAATAATAAAACAATAAAATCAAAACGGAAATAATTTATTTGATATTCCAAATATCAAAATGACCAATCCATTTACAAGACAAAGGTAATCAGAGTAGACTACATGGAGCTACATGTCAATAAATTGTCTTAGTGCAATACAAATTTAAATCAAATTTTCATAAGTTTATATGCCTATATTGAAACGATTTTAGGAATCATTAATTTGAAAATTGTTCATTATCTCAAAGATTTTCTTAGTACCTAATTCATCTCAATATATTTTTCCAGACTCTACTTTACTCATTCAATGATTTTGTTTTATTATCTATATTACTTTTAATAGTGACCATTGTTTAAAACATTATAGTTATTATAAAAATATTATCAAAATAAATTATAATATAAAGATTCAATATTAAAATATATTAGTATATTTTTTTGGAGTACTTATTAATCATAAAAGATTGAAGGAGCCAAATTTTTACATAATATTTTATCTAATGTTATGACTATATCAACATAAACAAAAAAGTTGACAGTGTTATATTAGCAACAAAATGTGAATTCTTACATAGAAAAAAAAAGTACAATTTAGTTGGTAAACTTTGAACTTCTACTACTAAATAAACAAAATAAATATTTCAAGTAGACAAAATATATATAGATAAACCCCAGGGATTAAAATATGTTTTTCAAATACCTCAAGGCTCAAGAAATGCACATGAGTATAGTTTAACATTTTTAGCACTTTCATACGTAATATTGATAATATTAAAATAAATAATAATATACAACTATATAATAAGTATGTAGGTACTCATTACTTATATTAAATTAATATGAAAATACATTCAAGTGTTAATATTATTAACACTACATAATATTATTTAACACCTTTGAAAATGACAAATAATAATATAAACCTAGGCAACATAATCTAAAATAAATTCTATGATTACACATATTATTTTCAATTAAACAATTTATAAATAAAAATACTTATATTTTCAACTAACTAATATTATAATCACAGGCGTGCGCCTACTTCGGTTTCAGGGGCCGCAAAAGATTAATTCAGCCCATTCTCCAAATTCACAATTAAAACTAGTTTGTAGTTTTACTTTTTTACTAATGGGTATCAAAATTAAAATTATATTGGTTATTTGTTTTTAGGATAAAAATTTGTACAGTAAGGTAGTAAAATGTACTTCTCCACAGGCCTATGGTTAATATTCATTATTTATAATATAATAAAATAAACAAACATTAAAAACAATATAAAATATATGTTTTAAGAATAATTATATTTTAAATCTATAGGTACAAAACTGTTTATTTTTAAAAAAAAAATCAAATAAGTGCATAATTAAAGTTGTAAATGAAACAACCAAAGCTCTTATTAATATTCATAAACTTTTTATCATAGACTTATAATACTAATCTACGCTCCACAGGTATTAAATTTTTAAATTCATCAATTACATTATCAATATTTACAGAAGTTAATTCTTGTTTGACAAATAAATACAATAATGCATTTAGTCTATCCTGTGTCATGGTACCTATAAGTTTGCTTTTTACAATAATAAGTTTAGAAAAACTCCTCTCACAACCACAACTTGTGACAGGGATTATAACAAACATTTTTAAACATAGAAAAAATTATTTTAAATATTAGACAGGTTTATTGGTTTTATACTGGTAAATTCTATAATCATAAAATATTTATCGACAAATTTATCTATATACTTTACGAAAAAAAAAAAAATTTTTTTTTATCTACAATGGTCATCATTTTTGGAAATATAATTTTACAAAAACCCATTATTCAATATTTTGTGGCCATGGTATCCTCGAAGAAAGTGCAGGAGCAGCATATGCTACCTCTGCTACCCCATGCACATGCCTATGATTATAATTTCATATAGATTAGAAAAGAGAAAATCTACTAACTCAACAAAAATTTAGTTAAAGTCACTTGAAGTGTATACCGCAACAGATTGAATTTTATACAAAAGTAACTAAATTAAAACTCAAAAAAAAAAATAAACTAACATGAAAACGATTTAAATTTCAAACAAAATAACATACACATAGTTCAGCATTTTATATGTTAATGAGTACCTAAGTAACTCAAACAGTTATTTTACAGTTACAGTTGTATAGAAAGTACTAAACCTAAACCCCCTTTTACTACATTAATTGATTGTTAAATATTTGATTGTTGAAAATCAAAATCAAAATCATTACTAAATACCTACTTATTTCTAATTTATTATAAAATAATAGTAATACTTCTTATCTTAAATATTTTAGTTTTCCAATAAAGCTAAATCTTAAAACTGTTAATTCTATTTATACATAGCCTATTATTCTTGTGTCGTGGTCTTGTCGCTTCCCAATTGTCTTTAATGCAATCATGAAAATGTATGTAAAAATTGGACTGTATTAGCAAAATCGTGATTAGGTATATATTTTCATTTGTTATTAATTAAAATTAAAATGTTAAAATGTTTGTTGTACAATAAATATTGTGAACTTTGTACTATTATTTTTTAAGCATTCCTAGAGCTATTATTATTATGATTATTATAAAAATGATTATTATTATTATTATTATTATTATTATTATTATTATTATTAAAATAATGATTTATCAATTTTGATTTACGTCATAATTTATTATACCTATATAGTCCTTAGCCAATGGATTCACATAAAATTTTCATTAACAAATATTATAATAGTTCAATTGTGCTAATTGTTTAATTCCATAATAAACTTACCTTTAAATCTTCATCAACTTGAAGCACATAGTCTAGATTACTACCACCAATTACCACCTAGATTTCAAAACAAAAATAATAAATATTAAGGTAAGTGAGTAGGTAATATATTATTAAAACAAAATTATTCACATACTGGAAAGTTGCTAGCTTTTTTTGTTGTATTTTTAATTTCAAAAATTGATTCTGACTTTGGAAAATGTCTAGAATAAAACTCCTTTGCAATTTTGCTTCCAACCAAACAGTTATTCTTCAATAAAGAAATGTCTAAACAATTTATTTTGAGTAAATAAAATATATGAGGAAACCAAAATAATTAATTTTACTTGTCTCCATGGACACTCCTTTAGTAACTCGACTAACTTCACTTAAAACAAAAGGAGTAACATTTTTTCCTTTAATGCTTTTTTCTACACACATCTGTAGAGCATTTTTTATTGCTAAATCAATTTCTGATTCTTCAGAAACATATTATCAATCATAAAAGTATTACATATTATTAATATTTAACATTTCTTTAATGTTTAATTTATAATTACTTTTTATTTTTTCTTTTGGTATTGGAACAGCTAATAAAACACCCGATCCAGTATTTTGACATTGTTCTAAGAGGCCAGCTGCCTCATAAGGTGAAGTTACATCGCATACAGTATAATATCCACTTTGTTTGGTATAAAATGCAGGAAATTCCCTTTTTGAATTATATGAAGCAACACAAACACCCACAGTTTCCTTTAATTAAAATGATTGAGTTTATTTTATACAACAATACGAGGTCTGACCAATAAGTAATGAGACTGTTTTTTTTTTGCCACGCTTGTGGTAACACTGCGAATCTGAAACTTCGGTTAATCTCTCATCTCTCCTCTATCGATACATGTGCTCGCGATTTTCGTACAATAATTAGTTTTCCAGTTGTGTTATGTTTTCGACAACGTGTTTGTAAGGCTTGTCACAAATATCAGCGGTACGCGATTAAATTTTGCGTTAAACTCGGCGATTCCATTATGGAAACGTACGATAAATTGGTGAAAGTGTTCGATGATGAAGCCCTGAGTCGTGCTCAGGTGTTTCAATGGCATAAAAATTTTAAAAATGGNCGTGTGCGCACTCTCGTGCATCAAGATCGGCGTTTAACCATTCGAATGTTGGCTGATGAACTTAATTTGAAACGAGAAACCGTCAGAAAAATTTTAACTGATGATTTGTCCATGAAAAAGCTGTGTGCAAAGATGATACCGAAGAACCTTTCGGCGTGCCTTCAGTGTGTCGCGATTTTTGACCTCTAAGAACATCGCAGTGTTGCCACAAGCGCCCTATTCGCCGGATATGTCACCCTGCGACTTCTTTTTGTTCCCTCAAACAAAATTGGCCGTGAAAGGAACGCATTTTGAGTCCATAACTGACATCCAGAACGCCGTGACGAGGGTACTTCAGGACATTCCAGTCGAAGCCTTCCAGAAATGTTATGAGAGCCTGAAAAAACGTTTGAACCAGTATATAGGGGTGGGAGGGGAGTACTTTAAAGGGAATCACATCGATGTATCTTAATATTTAAATATACGTATTTTATTGAATTAGTCTCATTACTTATTGGTCAGACCTTGTAGAAACAATACATTTTGATATAAAAAACTTACTAGGTACTCTAAAGTTCGACCTATATCAAGGATAGACTTTACACCGGCAGAAACAACCATTATTGCACACCTCGACAATTCTAATAAATCAGCACTTATATCTAAAGAATTTTGACCATCTAAATGAACTCCACCAATACCGCCTAAATAAAATTATAATCACACAAATAGTAAACAATCAAGTCTAACTAACATTATTTGTGCTAGATGTTTCATATCCCATAGTTTTTTATAGGGTTATCCAATTACCACAAACCAGCAAAATTCTATTAGCTAACCAACAGTTAGTTAAGATTTCTTCCCGGAAAAATTTGAAAAACACAACTTGTTAGTACTAACAAACACTTTACAGTATACTGTAAAAATGGCCCTTAATTGTTTTATGTTTCACAGACTTGTTCAGTGAGGCCCATTCAATTTTTAAGAATATAATAAAAATAAAATAATACAATTTAATATTCAGATACTTTTTAAATAATACTAAAATAAAATAATAATACAACATTTTTTAAAATATTTATAATTTTTAATATTCTTATCTTATGAGAATGTAAAACATAGGATTAAGATTGGTTGAATAAAGTGGAGAGAAGCACCAGGTGGTTTATAAGATAAGAGAATTTCAATGAGACTTAAAGTTAAATTCTACAAAAATATGGTGAAACTAACTATATTGTATAGTTTGAAGTGTTTGGGGTGGTAAACAGTAAACGAGTGTAGTGATGAGAATGGATGGGTGAGTAGAGGACGAGAGAAAACAGTATAAGGAATAAGTTCATAAGAGGGTAGCTTAGATGTTACTTTGATAGTAGACAAAATGAGAGAAAATAGACTTAAATAGTTTAGGCATGTCATGAGGAGAGAGGAACCAGAAACATAAGTCATAATAAAAATAAAGGTGGAGGGGAAGACCAAAAAAGAGGTGGCTGGACGCAATTGAGAATGATTTGAGAACAGTCGGTGTAAGTGAGATGGAAGATCAGGTCAAGTAGAAGTTTAGAACGAGGGTGACCAACAACAAATGATTGGGATGAAAGTGAAGAAAAAAAAGAATGGTCTTGACTTTAAAGTTTTGAGAAGTGTAGATGGACAGAAGAATTATATATTTAGTATACACAATTTTACTACACAAACAACTCTTGCAACAACAAACTTCCAATGCACATAAATAATAAATTATTGTAGAATATGAGATTTAAAAATGAAGTTTCCACTTTGGGCACACAGTAGTGAACGATTTCCAGCTTCTTACTCCAGTTTATTGGTGTAAAATGTTGTAACAACCACTACTTTTAAATGGGCATTGGGAAATATGATGATATATTATTTATTAATAGAAAATAATAATAATTGATTAATTGGGTAGATCAATGGAAAAATGTTATCATCAAAGAAGTTATTAAAAGGTGAAAAATATGGGAAACCATTTCCAACCCCTTTCATAGAAAACTATAATATAATATTTATAAGGATATACGTACCAGTAACAAAGAATTTTATACCTAATGCACTAGCGATAACTAAAGTTCCAGATACTGTAGTACCACCATTTAAGCCCTATAATTAATTAATACAAAATACAATTAATTTTGACTTTAATTAGACATTTACTTTTAAAACATAATACTAGGTATAAAAAAATTTATTTTAAGACTTGCTTGGCTAAGCACATAAGGAAAATCTCTCCTTGAAACTTTTAAAGTTTTCTTTTCAGCTGGTATGCCAAGTTCATAGATTTGTTCAGAAACCATACCAGCTTTAACTTTACCATTAATAACACCAATTGTAGCTGGAATTATGCCCTACAAACAAAATATATACTTACAAAATAAATATTTCAAAACATTTAAATGCCTGGACAGTGGTACTATAAAAAAATGATTACATATGATTTGATTATGTGTTCCATTTCCAATGCAGTCTCCACATTTTTTGGATATGGTAACCCATGTGTAATTAGAGCTGATTCCAATGCAATTACTGGTTTTTGGTTATTTAAAGCATTTTTCACTTCGGGTGTAATATCTATAAAGTTTTTGGAGAAATAACGACAAACAAATTTTAAATTTATCTTCATAATAAAATCAAAATATCCTATGTTATCTTATTGTACTTAACTTTAATAATACAAAAATTTAATTAATTAAAAAGCTAACCAAGTATTTATATAAACAATAATGTTTCAGTAAATAACCTGTAATACCACGGATTACACTAACAGTTAACAAATTAGTAGAGATAATAAAACACTTGTAAGAACATAAAACCCGTAGAATAGATTCTACAACAGGTATATTATGTAATATATGTAAATAATATACAGAGTGATTCTTTTAATGTTGAACACTCATTATTTCACAAAATATTGACTTTTTTCAAATATATACTCTGCGAAATAATGAGTTCAATGATAAAAGAATCACTCTGTATGATATATACACCTATTACATAATAGATAATTTACATTATAACAGCGATTCCAAACAGTGAGGCGCAAACCCAATTTTTTTAGCACTTTTTTAATCAACCTGATCAACAATAATTTCGTTAAAACGTGATTTTGTAATCAAATTACCATATTTATGTAACATTTTTGATTAATTGAATTTGTTCAATACATTTTTACAAGGTAAAAAATTCATAAAAGTGAATGCTTTTAATAAAAAAAATCAACTAATTGCAGAAAATAGTAAAGCAATTTGTTTTCCACTTTTTAAACATTTTCTTACAAATAATGATCTTGAATTACCAACAAATTTAATAACAATTATTTTTAATTATCTGATAACTTTTAAAAGTAATTTCATGACATATTTTCTAGAAAAAATCAAACAATAAAACTGGATTAAAAACCATTACTAAATTTTAAAACCACAAAGGAAGAACAACTATTTATATGATTCTGGTCAAATAAAATGTCTTCGTTGTAATTTCTAGGATTTTGAATTGGTATAAATACCCTGAAGTTGCCAACAAAGCTCACAAAATTTCCCCCTTTTATTATAAAAACTCTTGGGAAAATTAAATAATTACCACCCCAGTCAGATTTCCTTTCAGAAAAAGTGCTACACTTAAAAATCGGAGCCAAATTTTTGGTAAAAAAGTTGTCCAAAGAATAAAAAAACACCATTGTAAAACCAATATATTCCTCATTCCCTTCAGAATCTAAAATATAATTGAGTAGGGTATAAACCGTGCGAGTAACAAATAGGGTACTTACAGCCGTTGAAAAACAACTAAACAACCGAAAACAAGCACATTGTTTATATTAAGATAAAATATTAATAGTCACTGTTTTTTCTTCTTTAAAATAAAAATATTATTCAATATTTTAAATTTAAATTAAATAATATTTATGGTTGATTTATTTTGTCATAAAAATAAAAATGTTTCAATACTTCAATAAAACAAATTTGTAATTAATTTATCCATGGGAGTCACAATTATTATTTTTTTACTATTAGGGAGCAAGAATGAAAAAAGTTTGGGAACTGCTGCATTATAAAAATATATAATTTGGTAACTGGTAACCAATGCTTGAAAGACAGATAAACTTTTCTATTCTACAGAATTTTAGAAAAATCTCATTTAAAATATAAACAGATAGCATTATGCACAACTATAGGTCAATGTAATACATTAGTATTACTAAATTGCCAATCTATAAAATTAAAGTTTTATCTGAACAAATAAAAATAATTTTAATGAAATAGTTCCACTTTATACTAATATCATCTACCTACAAATTAACAACATAATATACAACTAGGTAATCCAAAAATATAAGTTCCTTTCAAAGTTTTAGATGAACATAACTATAAGTACACTCTTTATAAAAAATTTTCTTTAGTTGATAACTAAGTTAGTAAGACAGTAAAAATAAAGTTTTAAGTATTAGGTAATAATATGATATTTAACATCATTTAGACAAATACTTATTGCCTTATCTCTGGAAAATACACCTGTTGTATGTTTAGATATAGATTGTGATTTTAATACCTATTACTATTTATACAAAGTACCTCTAATCTATACTTTGTTTTTGTATTACGTTTGAGATCTCAAAATTATTACTTTATATGGAATGTTATAAAGAGTATTTTACTATCACCATGTACATCAGATCTAAAAATTGTATTATATATGCAATCTGGTTACTGCACAATTTCAAAAACAGTGAGTGTAAAAAATATTTGTTTAGATACTGTTTGGGATATCAAAATGAATACACAATGAGTAATAAATTTTTTACACAAGTCAGTATTTTACTATACATTTTCAAATACTGAAAATAACAAAAGAAGTGCCTAGAAAGTGCCTGAAAGAATAAATAATTAAAATTGTAAAGTTTTCATTATACTTACCAACAAGTGAATTAATTTTGTTGTTTTTCCCTATTTGAATCAAGGACTTAGTTTGAATATTAACACTATTATCTTAACTTCTTATAATTATTATGTATCACTAATATTCTTACTTGAATACATTAAATAACTAATACAATTAATTTTAGACCAATTTATTAATCTAATTAGCTTAATTTCAACTCCATTGAATAATTTATTTCTCTATCCTTAAAACATATCTGTAAATGTGAAGATACAATTATATTACAATGATTCCAATATAATATATAAACTTGTTAAAAATATAGAGAGTTTTTTAAATAGAGTATTATAATATCATAAAAAGTTTGTTTTAATGGCAATAATTCTATACATTTATTTTTTTCTATTAAAATGGATTTTAAAAATATATCTACATTTAATTTTAAATTACATTTGAATTAAAAAATAAATTATACAATAAAAATCAATTTAAATATAATTAGAATGTAATACAAACAGTTTTTTTTCAAATTAAAGTATATATATATATATATATATATATATATATGTGTGTGTGTGTGTGTGTGGGTGGGTGTATATGTATATATAATATATACATTGATAAATTCATATTTAGTGAAAAAATGATTAGCTACCAATATTATCACCTAACTGAAAGCGACATGTAAACAAATGTCTAATATAAATTGCCACTGGGCATAGAATGATATAACATTAAAATAGAATATATATGTATATATATATATATACTTATTAGTTTGACTAATATTAAAAATGAGGACTAAACAAAGATATATTATAATTTACAATTAATTAGAGTATATAAGATTAAGTTTACTTGATACTATGTGTACAATTATTGACCCAGTTCCATAATGTAATAATATCATATAAACAAAAGATAATAAGAATAATATGTTTACTTAAATTAATTTGTATATTATGTTTAACATCAATAGTTAAATGCCAGTTAAGATAATTTGTTGAATTATTGGCAATGATTTTAAATAGCACTAGTTACATAGAAATAATCACAATAATAAACAGTTAATTTCATATTTTATGAAATCATATAAATTCACAAATGACACCTTAGTCTATGTTAACCAAGCCTATGGGGAATAAGAAAGCAATTTTCATCAATTATGTATCCACACAAACTAGAAATTTGTTTGGTTGTAAAAGTACATGCAAATAATAATACTAGTATCTTAAAATTTATAACATTCACAAATTATATCAGTTTATACTACTAAATCAAGAAAAGTTTTATTTATTGGTACAAACGTCAATGCATCATCAATGATCCTTATTAGTTATTAATAAACTGACTAAACAAAAATGTATGAAATATGTTATATAGTTGTGTTATTACATCAAATATCATAATTAAAAAAGTAAAAATTAAATGAAACATAAAAAAAAAATTGTAAAGCTATTTTAATAGATTATGTTAAGATATAAAATAGAGGGAAAATAAAACTGTTATACTGTTACAAATAAATTGACCCATATCACAAATAAAAAAAAGTGTTACTGATATAACATATATTTTGAACAAATATTATAAACAACTTTCTTTATTTTATACTGGTAAAACCAAACAAATTTCTAGAAAATTGTTTAAATAATTAACATTAATTTAATCAGTTGGTCTGAAATTTTTATAAACACAATACAATAATTATTAACTTACAAAAACTTAAATAAAATTGATAATTTATTTGTTATTAAATAATTGGAAATTGGTATCAAAAATAAGAAAAACATAAAAGTGAACGATACCAAAAGATTAGAGTTTCCGTAAGTCCAATACAAATACCTGTAAACATAATTTTAAAATGTATAAATAAAAAGTTTAGCAAATAAACTTTTACTATGTAGGTATTATTATAAAGCTTTACATGAAATAAATAATTTTTTTTTTTTTTAAATTAAAATTTGTGGGTTCAAAAGATAAAAAATCCTGGCACAGTATGAAATAAAGGGATTAAATTCTTAGTTTTTTTAACTATAGAATATGAATGCACAAGTTGTAAAACAAAATATCCCATAACTGTTTTAAATATGTTTTTATTTTATTATAAGGACTATTTTAAGAGGTTAATATTTTAATACAAATATGTAAATATTTATACATATACATTTTAACTCTTTTAATTAGCTCTATTATTTTATTTTATTGTGAGTATAGTAATTAGTATGAAATATATTTTCAATTGTGTTTATGATTAAACTAATATCTTCATTAATTTGAGTTAATGTCAAATGCTAGGAATTCAACAAAATGGATAAAAAAAATGTAATTTCTTTGTTTAGTATTACAATTGAAATTAAATATAAAAATATATAGTACAAATTATGTTGTCAAAATAAATGTAGATATAAATTATTGCTAAAATAAAAATAAATATAATTAAAAATGAGAATTTGTTTTGTATTTTATCATTTATTAATACATTTCTCATTTTTAAATTAAGGAACATTTAGTCAGCAATTTAAATTTTTCTTAAGAGGAAACTTTACCCCCTATATTATCTTCAGCCTATTTGTGTTCAAGGACAACTCTGTGCTGTTAATTTTAATATTACAGTCAATTAAAGATAAGAACATTATCTGTGCAATTACATTGTTTTTTTTTCAATGTTTTAATATTAATAGTGATTTAAAGAATATAGAGATACAGTCATTTTTGAATTATGATAAATTACATACTCATTTCTTGCTTAAAAAATATACATGATAATTAGAAATCATAATAGTTGAAAAATATATGTATACTCACACTTCCATCAGACGCGCTTGCACCAACTTTGTCACCTCTAGAATTCCAGCAGACTTCAAAAATACCACCTGTTCCTTTATAACTATGAACTAATTGACCACTCTGAAATAAAAACAAATACAATTACTAGCAAAAATGAAAATATAATTTATTTTAATTAACAATTTATTTATAGTACTGAAATAAATGCAATAAAAAAATCAATATTTACTTGTGTTGACCAAATATGAACACATTTATCAAAACTGCCAGATGCCAAGAATTTTCCATCAGGCGAAAAAGCCACACTATAAACTGGTTCAGTATGCTTAGTCAGAGTGTGTATACAAGCACCACGTTCCACATCCCACAATCGTACAGTTGAATCAAATGATGCACTAGTATATTAATATTAATTAATAACTAACAATTTTTTACTATATTAATTTACAGTAAGATTTACCTGGCAAGTATAAGATTCATATTTGGATTGGCTGTACCGGGACCAGTTGGACTCCATTTGATTGTGTATATTTCTTTGTTATGTGCTTGTAAGTCATGCACACAACTGTCTTGTTTCATTGACCATATTTTCAAAGTCATATCGTCTGAACAAGAAGCTAATAAATTTCCTTGCGGGTCCCATTTTATAGCATTAACTTCATTCTAAAATGATTAAATAGTTTGAGAAATGATTAATTATAGTTTAAGTAAATATTATTCATTAAAATGCAAATATATTCAGTGAATGTTTTAATATGAAATAGAAAGTTTTGGTGTAAATATCTAAATTAAATATGATTAAATAACTTACTGTGTGCCCTTGGAATGATTTAATTGGTCGATCTACACCTAAACGACAAACGTGGATGCATTGATCAGTACTACATGATGCGAAACTACTATTTGACTGCCAGTCAACATCTAATGCTGGGGCTGTATGGAATGCAAATTGCTGGTTACATTGACCTGAAGCAGCATCCCAAATAATGGTAGTCTGATATGTAAACATAAAAATAACAATATGAAAAATACATTCCACCAAATCTAAAAATTAAAAATTAAAAAAAAACAAGAATTTTACCTTATCAACTCCCGCGCTAAGAATATAATTTCCTCTCTTATTCCATTTTAAAGCAAATATTGGACCCTTATGTTGGCCAAGAGTACTTGATATTCTCCCATCTGTCATCCATATTCGAGCATAACCATCATATGAACCTGTGGCTAATAATGATCCATCACACTAAAAACAAATTAATTATTAATTATTTTAAAAGTATACCAATATTTAATTTTAAATTAAACATAAAACAAAAAAACAAACATTCCAATCAAGAGAAGTTACATCCTTATTGCTAGGTACTTCAGTTCCTCCTTTTTGAATACAATGTCTCAATATAAGTTGAGAAGGAGAACCTGAACTGTCAGCCATGTCCCAAATACGCGCTGTACTATCCCCTGATCTGTAATAAGTCAACTTTGTTTACCAATAAGAAATACATATAATTAATAAATCACACATCAATTAACACATTAATTTTTATCAGTACATAAAAATAAGTCATTGCTAATTGAAAAAAACGATTCTGAGCAAAATTTGGTTAAACATGTTTTAAAATGTAATGATTTTTATCTTAATTTAAAATTAAAAACCCTTATGAAAAAATGACTTCATAAATTAAACTTAACTATTTTTTACATCCTAAAGTTCAACGTTCAATGAACTTGCGTCAAATTTTCAAATATTTTCGCAGGGGCAAAAAAATTGTATTTGCATTAAGCTGAATAAAACCAAAAAACTCAAAAATTCCAAATAGTTATAAAAAAAATAAGCTCGAAAATCATCTAAATGAAGTTTAAATTTCACATCTAGAAAAGGCTAATATAAGTATTAATTCAATAAAATGTTTGACCTCTACGATTATTTTTAACTGAATTACAACAAAAATATAAAATCAAAAATAATAGAAACCATTATTATATAAATATTCCCAGTTTTTTCCCAATTATTAAGAAAACTACAAAAAAAATCAAAAAATGATTTTAAATACACCATATAGACAAAAATTTGATACCAAAATTAACTGTTAATGATTGGAACAAGGTTCCAACAGAAAAGTTGAAAAAAAAAAATAGTAAACCAATACATTCTTAACTGCAATCAGTATCTAAATAAATATTAACTGCAAATGTTTAAGTCAACATAAATATTCATTTAAATAATATTATACATCGAAAAATTTCACAGGCTTCTAGTAGAACCCAAAATAAACAACATATAATTTTATTGTCCTTGAAATATTTGTTAAACATAAAATCTTAGTGCCCTTCTTGAAATATAACACTGTATAAATAAAAATCTAATATAATAATACCCAGAAGCAAGTAAATCAGTTGTTGGATTCCAAGCACAAATGAAGACTTCAGACTCATGACCCTTAAGAATAGTAGATTTCTCTGCTGGAATCTCAATACTACTATCTAGTTCCATAGTTTCAGTACTAGTAACAGCCGGGGTTACAGTTGCTGTGCCTTCTTCACCATTAGTTTCTTGTGTATCATTCTTAACCACATTCTGTTTCTGTTGATTTTGGCTCTGTCGACTAGCTACAATCTCTGGCATGACTGCATCAATCAATGACAAACTCTCAGTTAAACGCTGTTCTGAACCGTCTTCACCGACACATATCTCAGCTTCAGTATAGTGCAAACCCTTTTGTATAATACTAATTAAAGCAGCTGGTGGAACCAAAGCCCCATTGATGTTTGACTGGGAAATGTGTGATTCAATACCAAAAGTATAAGCCGAATGTTGAAAACCTTGAAATAAGAAAATTAATTTTTTATTTCATTAATTAAATTAATAATAAAAAAATAACAGCGTTATCTTTTATACCAGATTCTTGTAAATATCGGTAAACAAGAAAGTTTAATTCATCACTTGAAAAAGCCATCTTTGAAAAATCGACTAACTATTTAATCTATACAAAAACTTAGCATATTCTTAGACAATAAATAATTAATATTAAATGCAACGAACAACTTCAGAAAATCCGATGGAAAGTAAAGTTTACTAGCCATAAAACCGTACGACTATCGTACACTGTTAACAGTTTAACACCGTTTCAAAAAAAAAAACCTAGATAAACAAAAAATGTACATAATCTTTGGAAATCTAACCTAGTATAATCATAAGGACGTTGTAAAACACAATATTAAAAGATAAGGTCAGATATAAGCCATAGATATAAAAAATAGCATAATATAAATCTATGATTTAAACATAACTACAAGCGTAATACAAGCGCCTCATTGCAGCTTGGCGAATTGGCTGTCGCTCGAACACTCCCCTTATCATACCATTATCACTATTATTTTTAAATTGGATAATCTGATTATGCGCGCGCAAATTTGAATTATTATTTTATTGGTTGTCACTGTTCTAACTTGAAAAAAAATGCTTTATATTTTCAATATTAGATAGTAGTAAAAAATTACTTTTTTAATTATTAATTGATAAATCAATTTATAACATACAATTTACATTTACATAAATACAATATTTACATTAAATGTTTAATTTCCCATTGGTACAGACTCCCTATAAGCAAAGCTTGAGGTAACAGTAGAGAAACTGTTACAATAACTAGTTCTTACATTTTAAACGCGTATTTAAATCTAGGTATAATTTTAATTTATTATTAATATTTTATTCATAAACATAAGTATTTTATATTAATTAAACTTAAAATTAATGATAATATATTATTAAGAATTATAGGTGAAAACAATATGTCTAAGTTTAAATTCTCTTATTAATCTTAAATTACCTCTATTATCCGTCCTTGTATTACGAAATTCCAATTCACTTGTTAAAAATAATTGGCAAAAATTATGAAGGAGGACAAACGCACTTGAAAACAGTTGAAAAAGACAATGTTCAAACTTTCACAGGGAAATATATCCTCAATTTCGGCTTCAAAGAAGAAATCCAGCAAAACATCAATTGCAAAGCCATCTGTAAATGAAGTTCATGAGATTATTTCTACAATAGACAATAAATGTTCATAATGTATTCAATAATTTGTATTCTTAAAAGAACTAAAACATATTACTTAAAAATGTTAAAACAATATTTAAATATTTAATGATCAAAACTGGATACCAACCTATTAGTTTGTAGTTACAATAGTTAATTACATTACTTTTAAATTAATAAATTGGTTTTTTGCTAATAATTATGTAATAATATAGTTATAACAAATTTGTAGTAAGCAGTGATAACAATAATTCACGCAGGGATGATGGTATGATAAGAGGAGCTGCGCGCGCGGCAGCCAATTCGCAAAGCCAAAATGAGACGCTCGTGTAACTAATTGTTTAGAATAATATTTAGTGATTGGTTTAACATTGCTCTTTTTTCCTTGATCTTTTTTATCAATTACCACATAATATATAATATTAACATAGCAACACGTTCAACTGAATTCCGCTCAGAATCTAAAAAATTCTGATTGGAGCAAAGAATGTATTGGTTTTCCTAAGATGTTTATTTTTTTCTTTCATCAAGTGTAACTTAATTTTTGAAAGGAAATTTTATCTCCATGGTTTAGGGTGGTCATTTTTGTGATTTTTCATAAAAACTGGAAAATCTGAATGTTGGAGAAACAGAAAATTTATGAATTTAAGTGTTAGTAAAAAAATATCATGGCCTTTTTTTTTGTGTACAACTTTTCTACCAGAAATTTTTCTCCGACTCATGCTCAGAATCGTTTTTTCTTTAACAATGGTTTATCAATGCTCACAAATATACATTAAATTACATATAGGTAACAGTGGCTGCACCCGTCTATATTATCCTAGGACGTCTTTTCTTTATTAGCAATGGTTAATCGTTGCGTAAAGTTACAGAAATTCATTGAATTTCTCTCTACTACCTTTCCAACTTCTCACCAGCCAAAAAGGCCCACCCATATATGAAATAACGACGGATCCAAAGGGAGGGGCGTAGGGTCCCTAGACATATTATTTTCTTATTATAATATATATATAATATAATTATATAATTATATAGATCCCAATATTTCTATATTCCAATCACTGATATGTATGAGAAAATAATATACATAATTTAATAAATTATATTTTAATTGTAATTGAAGTTCAGTACGCACGTATTTCGTTGTTCTCGGAGTTATGCCTAAAGTCTAGTCGCAAATGTTAACAGATTTGTGTATAGTTTGTCTTAAATTACTATGAAAAATACCACAAATATTCTATACTACCAATTAAAGTCAGTCAATCGCTTGAAGTCTCTGAAACTTCGGGAAAGTAATATATTTGATATTATCAACTAATTACACTTCTATCTCATAACTAGTGTCCCCGAGCACCGTTAATATGGTGACCTTCGGACCACAGATAAGATACCCTCATTATGTCAACTAACAAAGCTGGTTATACTAAATCTAAAACTGTACAAAAAATTAACCAACCCAGTAATCAATTATTCGATGAACTAATTCCGTCCAACACTGTATTGCAACCAAAATCAAAAACAAAACGCGCTGTCTCCTCAACACCGACTACTCCGACCACTCCGACCAGCCACCAAGCTGTAATAAAGAAAACTACAAAAATAGAACTACCTCCGCCAATATATTTTAAAGGAGTAAAGAACTATTCCGATCTTAGGCAAACAATTTCTGATCAAATTGAACCCGGAAGGTACATTTGTAAATCAAATGTCACTCATATAAAAATTCAAACAAATACTCCCGATAATTACTGAACACTAATACACTTCCTGCAAGACCAAAAAGCTGAATATCATATTCAAAAGCAACTGCCACCACAGATAACGCACCACCACAAAATCTTTTTAATGCCCAACACCCAGTAAATATAGAAAATCTACTAAGTTTATAGATAACTTTAAGTGCATAATCAACCCACTCCTTTCTCTTCTCACAACAATAATATCAAACCTATCTAATTTTCTTAATGCAAAACATAACAACTAATACATATACCGACAGCTCCCTTCTGATCCTCTCATGGAATGCTTATGGTCTAAAAAATCATAAAAATGAACTTCTTTTTACTCTAAAACAAAAGTATTGATATTGATCTCATTTCACAAATAACAACTTTCTTCACCTACTAGGCTTTCGTCTGCATCAAGCCAACCATCCAGACAACACTGCTCACACAGATGCTGCTATCTATGTTAGGATTTTTCTCACATCGCATCCGCTCCCGATATTCGAAACTGACTATATACCTTTGTCAATAGCAGCCATTTATTGTCCTTCCAAACACAATATATCTCCTAACCAATTCGACCTTTTTTTTAATACCCTCGGCCACAACTTTATAGTAGGTGGTGATATAAACTCTAAACATATACAATGGGGTCGTCGGGTCACCAACCCTCGAGGAAGTTCACTTTTACATAGTGTGACAAGCAGAAACTTAAAAGTCATCTCACCACCTAACCCCACATACTGGCCAACATCTCTGAGAATACGGCCTGATATATTAGATATATTTGTAACAAAAATTCCCAGCACAATTTTCTCTTCAATTGTAAACACCTATGCCCAATGTTCAGTTCATTCCCCCGTGCTGCTCTCAATAGACTGCCTGCCTCTGTCTAAACAATGTAACCCAACTCCGTTACAAACTCACATCAACTGGGATAACTTCCATGAATCAAATTTACAAAAATTCATTCTAAAAGTCCACCTAAAACAATAATATTGAAAAAGCTTCACATCTTTTCACATCTAATATTCAAACTTCGGCATGGGAATCATAAGTATCGATACTTAAGTACTATCGATTTTTATATCGATTCGATGTTTATTATCTCATAATGGACACAATGTAATAATAAGAATAACAATTGTTAAAAATCAATAATTTACTATCGTTTTTGTCCAACCCGTAAATGGTGTCTAACTTCAATAATAGATACGAATTTGCTATCTGAGTATCTTATATATCTATGCATGCATATTATAACCACGGTTTGCATGATTTCTAAACCTAGTAGAGCTGTGAATAGAGTGATTCTGATTGACTCATATTTTTATGGCAGCAATTCTCATTGTCCATGACGTCATTATGCCGTTTATCAATGTTATCAAATATCAATTATCAATCGTCGTATTATGCATAGAAAAAGCTTTTTGGGTGCACCTAGAGACCTGTCGGGGTTACTCGCTCGCTGTACTCACTCGGAGTGTTTTAATCGAAAATAACCCTCGATTTGTTGTGCAAAATCACATCAGATAGGTAATAGAGAAAAATGAAAAAAAAAATTGCACAAATTTACTGCGCCTCGATGAATTCTGATAACAAGGCCAAACTGACTCCATCCCTACAAAAAATTCGTTGGTACAAACCAGTGTAAATTTCTCCTTGAAAATCAAACCGGTGTAAATTTGAGAAATTTTTTGGAGTAACCGGTGTTAAAATTAACGACACCGGTTTAATTTTTTTTCACCATCACATACATATAGTGCAAACTATTTACCCCGGTTTCATCCTCTTTCGTTTCTCCCTCAAAATAATAAACGTACAAATAAATGATAATAATAATAATTTAATTAATAACAATTAATACCTATTCAAATTCATTTTTATTAAATAATTATTGGAATTATTGGAAATGGGAAGTATAGTATAGGTAATAAACTAATAATTTAAATAATTAATTAATATCTAATAGATAGTATTATCATATCTAATTTTAGACAATGGTGGGAATACACCAATTTCCATCGTCGAATATAACAATCGTAAAATAATCGGTATTAAGCATAGATAATAAATATTTATTTATTACCTATGGTATCAAGTATTAGTAAATCGGTACAAAGTGTATCGGTACACCGGTTTGTACCAACGAATTTCTTTGTAGGTAAGCTTAAGCCTGTTCTCACTAAAGTAAACATTGACATTTAAACTTAGTTTATAAGATAATCGACCAATCATCATCGTTTATTATCTAAACTCAGTTTAAGAATCAGATAAACGCCTTTTTTTACGTTGGTAAGAACGGCCCTTAGAAAGTCTTAAAAATCTTTGGGACGGGGATACATTTTAGAATTTTAAAGTGGCAATACTACTATGCAGCCATCGAGATAAAGAATACACTTTATCTCGATGTATGCAGCTAACATTATCACCAGTTATCTCGCAGCTGGACAACTTTATTCTGGCCCGTTAAGGGGAGAACTATACCAGGAATTCAGGAGTAAGAACGAGCACTTAGAAATTAGATTGTGAATGTGCGATAATGTTTATAATTTATGAAAAGTGGGAGTGTTCCACGTAGATTGGTGTACTTGCTGGATGCCATGTCTTCTTCTGAAATCCTGATAACCGGTGTTTATCAGTATTAACCACGACTTAGAATATTTAAATTTTTAGTATTTGTGTTAATTCTGATAATCATATTGTATTAACATAACACTAACACAGCTGTACGACACTATTGTGCGTCCCTGAAACTTATTTATTTATAGTTGCAACTTACAGATATCCACTGTTGAATTATATATCTGTATCTAAGGTGAAACATCACAAGATATATTAGAAAAAAAGTCTAGGCAAAAAAATATTAAGAAAAAAAATTCCTCTGTAATTTAATTTTTTAATTTAAATCATTTGAAAAGTATATTTATTTTTAGGGTTTTTTTAATTGTACAATAAAAGAAAAAAAAATGCTCACTACAAAAATTGCAATTAGATATTCTTTCAATGACTGGTTTACTAATTACTGATATCGATAAATTTACCACAAATGTATACTAAAACAAAAAGATTTATTAAAAACTCAAATTATATTAGGTGGTTGGTTATATACATTAAAATAATAAATATAATATACAGAAGATTTATATTTACAATTAATATAAATTTCATAAAATAACAAATATTATGTTGTAATCAGACAGTTTGACTTTTCTACCTTTAAATAAAATACAAGATGAAATGGCATATTTAGGACAAATTTAATACAGAAAATTGTTTGCTTTATTTTGATTGGGATTATGTAAATGGAACATACAGATGGATGTGAACCGCCTTAACTTTGCAATTAAAAAAAATTCCACCCAAATTTCCACCTTCCAGATGGAAAGTGCATGAGAGACCATTGAAAGGCTATTTAAACCAATAACATTTTGGAAAAACTGAAGCAAATTTGGCGTTTAATAATATTGGGGAATATGTGGCAAAGTTAAAAAAAATTGACAACCGCTTAAAAAAATCTATGCTTTTAAATAAACAATAACCAATTGAATATTGAAGAATTTTTGAAAACAGTAAGCCATACGTAATACTCGGAAATCATGCATTTGAATTACTACCTAATCAACCTAAAAACACTTCCTTTTTTTTTAAATTATCGACTTTTTTAATGTATTGTATTAATTACAATGGGATTTTTGTCTAAGACTTCTTTTAAAAATAAAACTAATAATAACTTTATTGTTTTCCTGAGGTGTTTTTCTACGCCAAGCTTTTTTTTCATTGAATGGATTTTGGTCAGAGGCTTTTTTTTTTATCTTAAATTCATTCTATTATGGGAGTAAAATAATTTTCACCTACCTCGTTAATCTGTAAGGCGGCAGCTTGAAATTCACTTGAATGATCGTCAGCTGTAATATGATGAATAAACTAATAGTGGGTAGGTTTGGATAAATTGTTATCCAGGTGTTGGAGTGGAATATAAGTGAGGATGTCGACTAATCGTCACAATTTGTATACTTATTGTAAATTAACCTATACCTGTACCTGATAATAGGGCTGTACACTTTGAAGAAGAAACACGTTTAGATATATGGTAAAACCGAGGTAACATATACAACTATCAGGTTGCACCCCCAAATTTAAAATAAAAGCACCAAAAATACTCAATGAGTTTTTTTATAATATTGGCTAAATATTAATTTATACGTGTACTTCATAATTAATAAGCAGACCAAATTACAGATTACCTACAGATGATGTATGTGTGTATAAAAAATGAAGTTAAAAAAAGTGCAGATACTGAAAATGAGTGTGCCACTATTGTAAGTGGGAAGTTAGGAAAATAAGATACATTAAGTTAGGTAGGCACTTAATTTACGATAAACTACTACTAAGGAAAAACGATTTGAAACGAAGTTCGGTTATAAATGATTTGACAGACCGTAATTTTTACGATTTTCATCAAAATTTAATATTAAAATTCTTACTAAAAAAAAATACTACGTTAAACACAATTTTTTTTTTTGGTCAAATAGTACATCTTATAATGAACCTCCTGTAGTTCTGTTGAATTTTTAAGCATATCTGTTTAGGCTAACAATTTTATCCACAGAGTACTTACTGAATAAATAAAACTTACTAAACTTTCAAAAATGAAATTCCTATAAATTGCTCAAAAAATTACCACATCTAGAAAAATACATTTTCTGTTAAAATTCTCTATGTATATTCTTAATTGAATTACAGCAAAAAAACAAAACTAAAATAAACAAAATGATTAAATTTATCCGTTCTTTACATTGCTTCAATTGAAAAATGACAATGTTCCTTTTAATATCAAGCCACTGACAAAGCGAGTCATATTTTAATATTTAAAGTAGTTTTATGTTTAGGACTGTATTTATGATTTTGGTGCCCATGGGTAACAACATTTTGAAGCCCTCGACTTTGCTTATGATTAAATTTTATAACTACTTAAGTAGTTATACTAATTATAGGGATTTGTAGTATCTAATTTAGTATTTAAATAAAAAAAACAAACAATTTTAAAATTAAAAAAAAACGAATATACTTCGCACATGGGCGCAGCCACTGTTATAAGTGAAAATCTAGAAATGTAAGATACAGACGAGAATTTAATGTATATCTGTAAGCAACAATTTTTTCAATTTCAACGAGTTTTTGAGTTTCTTCAGTTAATAGTAATGCTTTGTCAATAATATATAAATTATATTATGGTAAAATAATTATATATAGGTGTTCTTGTGTATTTTCTTTATTAATATTTGTTTGATATTGTACCGATTTTCCGTTTTCATATTTGTTGAAAATTTGAGAAATGTGTAACAAGAGTTATACTATGACACTATGTATTTTGTACATAAATGGTGCATAGGTAAGTCTGAAATTTCTGACTTTGCAAATAAATTAAATCTTTGATTTAAAGAGATCACTATTAATGGTTTATATCTGAAAATATTTAACAAACTAAATATATATTATAACACAAATAGCTACTCAAATAACAATATTTATTAAGCAAACATAGGTATAATAAAATATTTAACAACAAAAATATACACAGAATAAACAAAGTAAATAAACAATTATAATGCAAACATATGTGTCTAATTTCAAGTGGTATTTAATTTGACTTTATAAAAGATTTTAAGTTTTCATAGGCCACGTTAACTACGCCCCAGCTAATAAATGATCTCGTATAATTCATATGCACTCCTCGATAAAAGTATGACACCCTGTTGCCACGTAGTCGATAAATTTCAATAGTCGCTTGTTTAATACTTTTAAATGGACCACCCAAATTACTTTGCATATGTACTTTGAGAACATTGCATGGGTAAAATAATGCACTGTTTAAAGAACCAATAAATGCCCCAGTTAAAAATTCTTTGAATACTTTATAACCGGTCCATGCTGTAGGGGGTATCACAATACATGTGTTGGCGGTTTCACGTAGCAAGAAAAAAGAAATATTGGAGGGCCCATTACGTAATAAAATTGGAGTAAGACCTCGATAAAATTCAGAAACAGAATAATCAGTAGCAATTACTTTTATTGCGTGTCGCATATTGATAAAATGTTTATTGTAATTGTTGTCTTGTAGGAGTGTTTGAACCCGTTCAAATGGTGTTAATGCAGCTTCTGCTGTCCCAGCCACTAATGCTGCAATAATTTTGGCTAATCTGGAGTTCAAGTTAGACTCCAAAAGTGGTCTTTGGATTGCGTCATAAGTGCCAAACATTAATGACGTTGAAAGTGTTTTTTGGAATAACGGTGGGCCAATCCCTCTATAAAGTGTAGAAAATCCTTCATTCACAAGTTGAGAAGATGCATTCCTTAGACCTACTCCATGTAACATCTAGAAGAAATTTAATTAAAACACATAAATGTAAAGATAATTGTATAAACTATGGATTAAAAATATATTAATTACTGTAATAACAGTTCATAGTACCAAATTTATTCTCTGTAACTGTAATCATTGATTATAAAAATTATATTATATTATAATCATTGAAGTTATAGGTAAATGTAGTAAATTAAAATTTATAAAATTAATTTTAAATATTTATTTATGTACACATTTATGGTTTACACATGTTCTGATTGTTTTCAAAGATTAGGAAATTATTAAAGCCATAAAAAAATTATAAAATAATATAATGTATTTAATAGTATCATTACAATATGAAACTTAAATCATATAAATATACCAAATGCAAATTTATAGTTTAACTTTAAATTCTACAATAATGTATACATTTATCACAAAATTAAACAAATGTTAGATTGTAGGATTGTATTCTGTACCTACGTTTTACTTTATAAAAAATAATGAACTACACATAAAATAGATGTTTAAAAAATAATTAGTGCAGTTCAAATACCTAAGAAAAAAAAAAAACTAGTGTGTACAAATTAAATAACCAGTGAAACAAACAATAGTTTAACATGCAAATTTGAAAAAAAAAAATTAAAATTAAATACATTAGGTAAAGAATTAAGTTTTAATAACTGTGGTTAAATATGAATAACTGTTTTTTTTTTTTTTGTAGATACATGATAATTATCAGGTTTCAGGACTTATAGCACTTAAAATTAAAAATAAAGTACATAAAAACCTTAAAAAAAACACTTCAAGAAATATTATTAGACTAAATGGTAGAATGTTTAAATGTCTTCTATCTAACAACTCAATTATTAAAAATAATTTTTAACACGACATCAATTATTATCAAACATGTATTTTGTTTAAATAAAATTGTACGTATTATAAAAAAAAAAATTTAGGTTAATAATTTGTATAACGTTAGAAAATCGAATTTAATAAGTTAAAGCTGTTAGAGGGAAGACATTTAAACCCTTCTATCATTAGGTCTAATAATATTTGCTTGAAGTGCTTTTTTCAAAGTTTTTTTGATGTTTTTATGCGTTTTTTAAAGCCATTAAGTTATAAAAGTAATCATGTTTTATAAAATAAATTAAATATTGAAATAAAAAAAGGAAGAATTATTCTTCAAAGTATTACATTGTTATTTTACTACACCTTTTTAATGTTGCGATCCCATAAACTAATATTAAAATTTTTAGCAACTCCCTAAATATATATTTAATACATGGCAACCCAATATTTTATATTTTTGGCAACCCTAAAATATTTATGACTGTTGGTAACAGTTACACTACTAAATGAAAAAATTGTGTAGACATGAGACACAAATATTTGTTTATTTTAATACAACCTTTAACATGAGGAATTTTATTTATCTTATATTAATCTTGAAAATTAATAAAAATCATAAAATTAAATTGAAGGTTAAATAGTTAAATAGTTAAACATATTGGTGAAACTAACATCAACAAACTATTTCATTTATTTTAACCAAAACCAATATTAAAAATGTGTAATTTTGTTTTCCAAGCAGTGCAATGAAAAACTAGTTTTTCACATTCAATTGAATGATAAATTAAATATGGTTAAACTTGTACTATTCTAAAGAATAGTATACCTATTAATAAAATATAATGAATAATATAAATTTGTATTGTTACAAAAATTAAATACAAACAAACATATTTAAACTATTCAACACATACAAAGTATATGAACTATATATCTATGTACTAAATGAGCTATATCTTTAAAAACCTTTAAAATAATGGGATGGAATTTAATAATATAAACATAGGTTAAAATATTAATATTAACATAAACCTGTAAAAACGTGAATAAGACAACTTTAAATTTACATAATATAAAATAGATACACCTAGATAGATTACTGAAAACGTATGACAAATAGTACCTGTCTAAATATGATTTTGTTGATGGGAAAGGTAATGCCCACGTTGATTATAGCAGCTCCACAACCACAAACAAATTCTAAATATTCTTCTTGGCTTAAATGAACGAAAAAAGACATTACGTGTTTCTAATTTCAATTAAGGTCAGCTTATTTTTAAATCGAATATCATCCTGGAAATTTTACTTAATAAATCTTAGTAATTTAACTACAAACATTAATTATAGAATATATCTTCTATTCTATAATCAATGCTACAAGGTTATGCTTAAAATCAGCATTATTTAAACAAGAAATGTAATAGAACTATTTAAATTTTAAACTCACCTAATTTGTTTACTATCCTCTCTATTTAACAAAGAGCATTACAAGAACAATAATCCAGTTCAATGGTTAGAAAATAAAATAATCTTTAATACCAAAAATTGATTTTGAAATCTGAACTACGAAGAAATGTCAAAGAAATTTATTGGAAATTAAGAACTCTATGATAGTAGTATCAAAAAGAAAGAAAATATTGCCTACAGACATGATTAAAGATACATAATATATGTGATTATATGAAACACTCTCTAAGATAGATAACAATTGAATATTTGAATCATACAGTATGATTAGATCTGAGATTATTATAACTATGATTTGAATCATTCACAATCATGAACTGAGTAGTTTAAAATACCATGATAGATTTAATTTATCATACATTATTGGTGCATTGTTATCTATCTCAGTGCCTACAGCATAGAGTATACAGCACGGTTGAAGCCGATAGCAGTATTATCCGTTTAAGCTGTGGTTAACCGTCAACAACTACCAAAATGTGCTTGTCGGTATTTATATAGAAAACGAACTAAGATTGGTAACACCAGCTATGGTAGTCTGGGCATAAAATTGAATATACAGTGATTATTGGTGACGGTACTGTACTTCTGTTAACGTTGACGTAAACAAATACAACTGTACTTAAAAGGTGTAGAGTTATTGCGATTTTTGTTTTGTTCAATTTTGTTTTCGTGGCAAATTAAAACATAATAATAGTAATTATCCGTCTGCTCTTTCTTTTTTTGGTCATTCAAAGAGAAATATTCTTAAACTAATAACATTTGTGTGTAAGTTATTTAGTTTTAATATTCATAAGAATATAGTTAGGTATGCAATGTAATTTATTTTCTTTTTCAACTAAAATTGTATTGTGTACCTAATTTGCATACCTATTTTAAATTAAAATAATTGTTTTTTTTTGTTTTACATCTAGTTAAGATTCAACGATTAGCACAAAATGAGGAACTCACGCAGTAGTAACAAGCCAAAGGAAACCAACAAGCAAAAGAAGGAAAGAAAGAAGGAATTCTTGGAGAACAAAAAAAATGTCGTCTCTGTTGTGTTGCCCACTCTGACTGTAATATTTGCTCTCATTACATTGTTCATATACTTAAAAGTACATCCTAATGCATTGAACTTCATGGGTTCTGAAAAATCACTTTAAACAATGAATCTTATATCTATAACCATTCCCTTTTGTTCTATATACAACATTTTTTTTTTTTTAGTTTATCTGCCTGTTATTATTCTTTATGAACTATAATTTTATTTCAGTGATTTCAAATATTATGTAAACAAATATTTAAATAATAGGTACCTACTTATTTTTATTTATTTTACAAACAAATTTTGGCATGTGCAATGATTATTGGTAACTCATATTAAATTATTGATCAACAAATATTGAAAAAATATTAAACCTACCTACTTTATTTGATATTTATATGAAAATGTACTGAACATTCCCTTATATATTATTATTTTATTAGTAGATAAAATTGAAACATACTTATTTTTTTTCTAGATAATTACATTAATAATTGTATAATTGTTGTTTTATGATTACGGCTAAATGTTTGACAAATGAAAAGGGTTTTATTTTATATTGTAATTTGTGAAAGGTTATTTTCTAAATGATTTTACTTATTGCAAAATACCTGAATCCAGTAAAAGGTTTATATTCTACTTTAAGTAATTAAATATTACAGTTAAACAATGATATTAAAATGTTTATTCATTTTATTAGTAAAATGTAACTCAAGAAATTTGATAGTATTGTTACAGCTATACAAATAAAGTATGAAGATACAACCTATTATACATTATAGGTATATACCGGAGATCTATTTAAGTTGGTATATTCAATTTACTAAAGAAAGTATTAACTTTTAAAAAAAAAATCTTTTATAATTTGAAGAAACGAGCATCTTTAAAGTGCTATATTACCATTGTTTTTGTCTCCCTTATTTTGAAGGGAAGATACTTTTGATTTTCAAATGGTGTAACCTATATTAAATATTTTTGGGTTCTTAAATCATCAAAAAAGTTAATAATACTTTTGAGATAATGAGTGTACTCGCTTAAATGGATCACCTGATGGCTTAATTAGGTCTACATATATATATGTTGTATCCAAATTGCATAATTTCTGTTTAGTGAAATTAATACCTTAACTAAAAATAACGGAACAATAAACTACTTTTTTTTTGATAAATATATTATTTTATTATAATTATTAAGAATTTACAACTTTAAACAAATTTTTTTAATATTTTTATTTATTTAAACTAGTTTGTGAATTATGGCAATGGGAATTATAAAGATTAAATGATAATATGAATGCAGTTATCATAATTCTAGTAATAAAACTATGTAGTTTATTAGTTACATATAGGACAAAAACAATTATTGTTATAATTTAATTAATAATGAAGTGACTTTCTTATTAAATTTGCCTCACCATAAATTTCTGTGTATTAAATCCATTGGAGCTAAGTATTCTTTTTCATGTTTATCAAGATAATATAAATCGAGTTTTACACATCAGACGCACGCTATGAATGTATGTGCATAATATATTGCCTAAATTAAACTCCTTAATAATTAATTAAATTAAATATTAAATAATTGTAAATATGAAAATTGTGCATGTCGTGTAGTTGGATAGATCCTAGAGTTATTTTCAAAGAATGGTTTATTTTAGCAAACATTAACCTATTTACAAAAGGTGGCTGACGTCATATCTAAGCATACAATTAAATATGAAGTCGGCCATCTAATATAATATGTATAGAAATTAATTTCGTGGTACCAGTATAATTTTTCAGTTTTCTAATCCGCCAAGTAACATGGGTCAAATATTTTATACCGGTATAATCCTCTTCTTTTTTAATGTTTCCATTGCGATCATTCCCCGGTATCATATTCTTATCAAATTATCATAATATCGTCGTCCGTGGATATATAAAACCTGATTTATTTCTAATAAAACTATAAACAGGTTACATAGCTTAGGTAACTTGATTGATAACTTCTTGGTTCGTTGATATGGGCGCTGCTAAGAATAAATCTTTCTCTTGAGTGCGTTTAGAAACGTTTTCCAGAGTGGCCAGATTCGTTTAGAAAGTATTTGGAGTGTGTCGAGGAATTCACCGACACAACTCTTATGCTTTCAGTAACCAGGTAAGTTAGCCTCCTTTAACACACTCCTGTAGGTCGTGAATCAGGACAGTTGTATGTTTGGTTCAAACCACTTATTACGTACATCAATTATTTGATATAATTTTGACCTACTACCACACTTATCGAATAACAAGGTGTACACCTTTATTTAATATTTTTTTTTAAAGATTTCCTCAAATAGTAGTTGTAAATGTATGAACTATACTATTACTAATTACAAAAACTATTAAATTACACAAATTAAAAAATATTACTTATTTTAATCTAAGTTAGGCTTTGAAATACATTATTAGAATAATGTATAACATCATTTTATATGTACTTTTCTACTCAAATTGGAGATTCTTTCTCTATTGTAACATCATCAATACTGAACAGCTCAGTCAGTCCACAGTCAAAAAGAAATTTATTTGAGTAGCTTGGAACCATGGCTACAATTTTATTATTATTATTATAAAGTGTAATATAATAATTAATGATTTTATTAACTGGGTAGTATCCTTACCTATTAACTTGTGCCCGCTAAACCTTATCAATTTCTGATAAATCTATGGATATTTTGTCGTACCTTAGGTAACTTGGTTGATAACTTGTTGGTTTGTGGAAATGGGCGGTGCTAAATCTTTCGCTAGCAAAATCCCCAGAAATCGTGGATAATATTTCTGAACACACACCTGCAGTTCCATGATATCAAGTAAAATAATTAAAATAATGTTCACATTTTATATTCCATGAAATACTTTTGCATCCGCGTTTGCCGATGAGCAAAGCACCCAACATTTTGTAAGGTTATGTCATCCATTTGATTTCTAGTCTTCTCTCTTGATCAAACGATTTGTGTTGTCGACTTACATTATTTTTGGTAAACGTGTTTCATCCTTATATCCATACAAGATGGTAAGTATATTTAAAATAACAATTACAAATAAATGTTTTGTGAAAAATGAATAAGGTTTATATTTATTTGATTAAAAACACAAAATTAATGTTGCATGTGGTACTTGTATCTATACTAGTGAACCGTTTTGTCTGATTTTACTCTAGTTTTAATTTAATATATCGTTCATTTTAATTATAATTAATTTGTTAGACTCGCAAGCGCCGTAATGGAGGACGATCAAAACACGGACGTGGACATGTTAAACCTGTACGCTGTACTAACTGTGCTCGATGTGTGCCGAAAGACAAGGCTATCAAGAAATTTGTGATTCGTAATATTGTCGAAGCTGCTGCAGTTCGGGATATAACTGATGCAAGTGTATATACATGTATGTATTAACAAATTATTAACTATTTCAAGATTAGTATCACTAATTGCATATTATTTATAGCATACCAATTGCCAAAATTATATGCTAAGTTGCACTACTGTGTTTCTTGCGCCATTCATTCAAAAGTGGTAAGAAACAGATCCAAGGCTGATCGTCGTATCCGAACACCACCAAGCCGTAACTTCCCACGTGGGGTAATATTTTCTTGAACTATGATTTTTCCATTAAATTTAATGTGTTATTTTTTTTATTAAATGTTTGACAAAATATTTTTTTATCAAGTGACTATAATGTGAATGTGTTAAAAGATTGAAAAAAATTGCACATTCACTACTACATGATTTTTGCAAGTTTTTCTTCCTTAACCAAAGTAAATTAATATTTAAAAGAGCCGATCTGCTGACGACTGTGCCACTGTTATAAGTGGTAGTGACATGAAGTTATTTAATTAATATCTACAAGCAACGATAAACCATTGAGAACAAATAACTATTCTAAGTGAAGTTTGTGTTTAATTTGTAAGACTAATATTTATGATTTTCTTCAAAATTTGGTCTTGAAACATTTTCTAATCAATAAGGACTACTTTTTCTAAACCTTAAATTTTCTTGCATTTCATTAATTTGATACCAACATTTTCTAAATTTTTTTTTAAAATAAAGTTTTGGTTGTGTTGAAATTTTATGTTCTTAAGACTTGAAATGCATGGATAACAAAATTCATTTTGAATGCACCTAGAGAGAGACCTGGCATAGTCACTAGAATAGTGTGCTCACTCGGGCTGTTAAAAATAATTTCAACTGTTTTTATTGAATTGCGTTTAATTTTAAAAATTAAATAATTAATAGTATCTGCTCCTATTAATAACTACTGTTCTAATTTAAAATTAATTTAACTCTAGAACTAATAATTTGTGCACATTTTTTACCATTATTTTTAACTGTTGATTTACCTTGGTTTAAAAAAAACGATTGGAAAACTCATATGGAAGTCTAAGTAGAATAATACTAAAATTGTCTTGTCTGGTTTATTATACCATGCAAATCTAATCAAATTTAACTTTTATATTTGTATCATATAACACTTTATGACATATGTTTTAGGATAACAATCGCCAAGGAGGACAACCTCAGAGGAAGCCATAATTCCTAATGTATAATGAAATACAAAATTGTATTACACCTGCAATTAAGATATAAAAATACATTTTGATTATGACAAAGTTAACAATATTGTTTTATATTATTCTTTTTTTTCCTAAACAATTTTCAATTGTTATTATCAGGAAGCCCTATAATTAAAAAAATAAAATTTTGGTTTGATAATTGTCTAGGAAATAATTTTAATAATATTTTGACAATGTAATATTTATAATTTTTAAAAAAAATTTAGTCACTTCATATGTCATTCTATAATAATTATTGCCTCATTTCAACTTAATGGCACTCACTCATCTGTCCAATTCTTTTTGCTTTTGCATAAATTGAACATAACACAATGTAATTGTTTGCATGTTTTATTAATTTTGATGGTATGTTATCCATATCAGATGATACCAGTTCTTTTTAGCTGCCCTTTTGTATAATTCTTTATGTATTACTGAATTGAACAAATTAAAATTAATTTTAAATTTAGAGAGCTGCAATTTGAAAATATTTCAATTCCAATGGTCTTGAATATAATTTCAACGCAAAATAAAATGTCTGAACACTAATTTAATTACAGAAAGTGGTTATCACATTTTAAAAAAAATTAACTTATTTAGATCTCTTTCCAAGAAATAATTTCAAGTTTTTTTTTTATCAATAAAGTTATTTTTATATTTTATTATTTTCCAAAAAGGTATTCTTGGTAATTATTTTCTGGAATTTTGGTTTCTGAAATGTTGGTGAGTTTGACCATCCCTTATATCCTGAAGTGCAACGTGTATCTCAACCTAACAACTAATTTTTAGAGATTGTCGTTTGGAAAATATATAAATAAAAATGAGTTATTGAAATTCTAGAAGTGAGCGTTTCATGATAAAATAATTCATTACTTATATTTTCTTTAAAATATTTCCAATTCATTATATCCCACAATATTATATACAACTATTATTTCTTATTACTGCCCAACATACTAGTTTTTGGAAAATAGTGAAATTATTAATATCAAAACATAAATTTGGAAAATAGCGTCTTAAATGTAATGTTACAATATCGACTGTGGGAACTGTATTCCCAATATTTGTATCAATTGGTTTAAATGTCTCATTATAGTTGTAATTTAACCTATTAGCATTTCCCAGAAATGTATTGCCAGTAATTTTGTTTCATTCTACCTAAATATAATATACAATTTGTTATTCATTAACAGAATTTAAAATTAAAATAAACATTTGGATGACTATATGGTTGACCTCTTCACAACTATATTAGGAACGCAAATCATCTAACATCCAATCAACAGGTTATATATTGAATGGAAAATCATTAAGTAGGAATTGAATTTCATTTGTAAAGTTAGTTTTCATATTTTAAACCAAAACAAAAAAAAATTATTGTATTTTAAAAGTAATTTTTCGAGCCACTTATCAATATTCATATTGTTTGTGTAAACACTAGTTATTAGGTATTTACATTTGAAATGTAATATAGTACTATTTTGTTTTTTGTGTCTTGCATCACACTGTTACTTTAAAACTAGTAGACTAGACAATTAAATATAATTAGGTTTACAAATTAAAATATACAATAATAAATGGTAAATAGTTAAATATGTTAGAATTATTATGTAGACTAGATGTGTACTGGACCACATCCGTGGCTTTCTGGTTGGCAATAGTCTAGTCTTCTAGCATCCAAGGTCCTAATAGCATTGGCTGTAATTTTCCACAATAACAAGAGGTATCCTGAGAAGTATCCCCATTTCAGCATTGTATCCTTAGATCTTCAAACTCCTACTCTTGGTCGATTTAATTAAGTGGTCTGCCGGTTCAATCCACCCTCTGATGTCCAGTGTTTTATCCTTTCATGTATTTATTCTATTCTGAGAGGAGTCATTTTCTAAGGCACCAGAGACTGAGGAAACTCTGATTTCATTTGAATAGTTGTAGCCATCTGCCCATACATAAAATGTTTCGGATCTTTGTCAGTATCTCTAAGTTAAGTGTAAATTAGTCATTATTAGCAATTGCAGATACACGTAGCGTATGGGACTACTCCCCATTTTGATCATGTTAATTTTCCAAGTAGATCATTGTGTGTGTTTATATTTTTACTAGAGATGTTTGATTTTGGAACTGAACTTTAAAAATTGCTAATAATTAAACTGAACTAATACCAAAAGTTTGGTTCTAAAATCATTCTATGCGGTCACCAATACAATGTTCTGTGGAACAGAGGTCTTGCTACAAAAAAGTAAATTTCTATTTTTTTCTCCCAATATTATAATTTTAGTTTTGCAATTTTAAAACCTTTTTTATTTTTTTAATGTTCGAGTGCGATAAAATATTTTAAAATTTCAGTTTGGTTCGCATTCGTCAATTTTAAGGAAAGTTTGGCTAAGTTTAACCTTAAAAGTCAGGGTTTGTAACATCTCTATTTTTTACTTGTTTTTTCACAGATATTTATACGTCAGTGTTCTGCCAAGGGTTACTCCTTAGTATGTTGGTGTATCGCAGTATAGTATTGCTCTGCCTTTCCATGTTACTTCAAATTTATTGTTAGCTTTCCTGTTTCCTAAATGAAATTTAAATATAAGTGTCTAGTTCACATTTGGTTGAAGGTAGTAACTTTTATAATATTTGCTCATATTTTCCAAGGTGTTAGTGAGCTTTTCTTCAATAATCTCAAAATTGCTGTCCTGCACTGCAATTGCTGCGTCGTCTGCTTATATAAAATTTTTAATTTTATTGTCATATGATATTATATTGGTAATTTGTGGATACATTGTAAGTGTTAGAGCATGAACACTACCTAATGGCAGTACTATTAATTTCATATAGATTGTATTCACAATGATTCACGCATTAATTAAGATAATATTAACTATTTTTAGAAGCTTTGAGGAAAATAGTGGTACACTAAACACAGAAATGATGTGCCACTACTATACCCCTACCCAAACTTTAAAGAGAAATATCTTATCAATATAGATGGAAATCAAATATTGAATATAAATGTCAGCATCAAAATTGATTTTAACTATTAATACATCTATTTGTAGAATTTTTGATAAAGTTTGCCAATTGAAAATCAAAAGTAGACAGTTTAATACTTTTGAGCTACACTTTTCTTAAATTTAAAAAAAAAAATAATCATTTTTCCGAGATAAGAAATTTAACATAGAATTCACTAACTTTATATATCTGAAAAAATATGAAGTTAAAATTCCTATTTGAAGAGATGCATACACATAGCTCTATTCACAACTTTATCATTAATTAGGTATTTGCAAAATATTTATGTGGTAGTAAATGAATATTTGATAAATGTTTAACTTTAAAAATTACTTATTTCCTATTATAAGATGTAATTTGACAAAAAAAATCTGAATTATGAGCTAACATAGTTCTAGAATTATAGTCAACTAGATACTTTAATATCTATGTGTATTATTAATTTCATTTATTTTATGATTAATTTCTTTCAAGATTATATTTGCATTTAATATGGTTTGTAAGGTGGATATTTACATTATTATACTTAAAAATGTATTTAGTAAAAATACTCTGAAATTAAGTCTAAATAATTTTAACTATTAATTACTTGTTTTAATAAATACAAAATTATATATCAACCAATGATACAACTAATAGTTTTTTTTTAAAGACAAACTACAATTCAAAATATTTTTTTTTATATAGTGGAATTAATTGTATAAAAATGTGAAATAGAATACAATTATAGTTTCATTAAATTACTGATATGCATTTATTTGACAAGGAACGGAATGTACTTTGCAAATTAAAAAATATATTTTATATGTACCTCATGTATATTTTATAAATTATAAAAATTCCTTTTAAATGAATTATGGGATAGAAACCTTATAACAATAATTACAGTCATGGTTATCTTAATTATTATTTAAAACTAAATTTTGTGCAAAAAACTTAAATACATCATTCACAAAACAAAATTGTGAAAATTATTAGTGATATATTTCACTTTTTTTTATCATCGATTAGTGCATTTGTAGCCTCCTTAAGTGTCTTCTCCATAAGTTTACCTGTATTACAGAAACCATGCTTGGTTTTTCCAAATGAATTAGGTCCTGCTGATGTGGGTGTATCCCTACCAATATTTCTCATTCTCATTCTAGCTTCTTTAGGCATTTCTTCAGGTTCTTCATCACTAACATCACCAAATACTGCTGCAACGGATTTAGATGCTGGTTTAGGAAGTAGAGATGGTTCTTTCTACAAAACAATTGAATGGTAAGACAGGTTCAAATAATAACAAAGTTTCGAATGTTATGCAAATTTACAGTTGCAGGAGTGTTTAGAGTTATCTTGATACCAGTTTTTGTAGAGAGAGGTTTCATCATTCCAAACGAGAATTTTTGTTTCTTGTCTGTTTGCTTTTCTTTGCCATCATCATCTATACAAAAAATATAATTTTTATAATGTATTAATGTTTAAATAGGTACAATAGCATACAAAATAAATTTACCTTTTGCATTATTCTCTAATTCAGTTGATAGTCGTTTAGACATTATTCAATACTTACCAAAAAATTACAATGACACATATGAATTTTTTTAAATACTGTTATTATTTTACAGAACGAAAATCTTACTAATAAAGCTGAAATATTTATTTAATCACTAAGAATTTAAATTTTTTAAAAAACACTTAAATTTATATTCCAAATCCAAACATTGTTATCATTACGTTATCGTTTCTTGAAAATCGTTGTATTCAATATTCATAGACGATAAATTAATGGATAGCACGGAATCTTTAATCGTGGCACGGATGAATATAAATGCATGGAAAATTCGGCAGAAAATAAATTTATGAAAATTATTCGAGTAGAAAAATATTTGACTAGGAAAAATATTTTAGTTTAAAAATAATTTATACGAAAATAAAATGCTAGAAAGATATTTTACCAGAAAAGTTTTTTCTCAAAAACTATTTTTTACGAAAATAAATTTGTCAAAAAATAATTTATTAGAAAGGTATTTCATTAGAAAATTAGTTTTACAATATACAAATAGAGCGCGCTATTGAAAAGGTAACCAGCTTGGGTAGGAAGAACGGCTTAAAATGCGTTGCTCCGAAAGTCAACTGCTACATATATATAATAATATACCTACTACTTCGTCGTAGAAATTGTTTTCTCCACCGTAACATTTAGAGCTCAATTAAGGGCTTTTAAGGAATTAAACAAAATAGTGCGTTTTATATGCAGGGAAGGACAATCAAAAGAATATGGGAAAAGTCATGGAGACTTTCTCTTAAATGTAAAGTGCAGAGTGAAAAATCGTTTAAGTCCAATTTGAATGCGTGGGCAAGTAAAAGTGTGTGACCTGAACGTAGTCAATTGAATTGTACAATGGTTGATCTAGATAGATAGAGACTGTCGTTTTATGAAGATTAATAGGAAAAATATCTTTATATCTGACAGTTAATTCTGCCGGGAGATTTGACCAATGGAATGACCAGAGGTGTTTTATGTGGTGACGTATAAATAGGGTGAAATTAGTACAAGGAAGTTGGATAAGAGAGGGACGGATTAAATTGGACGTAGATTTGTCTAGACATTTTTTAAATAAACTAAATTGTATTATGTAGGTACCTAAATACAGTCACAGTGTAACGCCGAATATCCAAACGTCAATTATCCGGCCTAAAATCGGACGAAAAAATGAAATTTGGTCTTTTAACACTAGTAAATGGTAATCGTATTTTCAAATCGTAGTTTAGACATCCTCCGTTTTATTATATTACATACAATATATAAAAATAAAAATGATTCCTTACAATTATCGAACGTTGATTATTATCGGCTATTGCTATGAGTCAATAAATATTATAATAAAATATTATTTGTTTATTGTTATAAATTTCAAATTATATTACACATAAATAATAAATAAATCCAACACATTCATATAATTATATAACTTTTGATGTGTTATATGTCAATCATCCGGATATTTGTTTATCCAGATCACCCTTGACATTAATTAGTCCAGATAATTGGCGTTCTACGGTAATTGAAAATATTAAGATATTTAAGTCACTGGAAAAACTTTATTTAAATTTTTTTTCTGTAGTACACATTTATATTTCAGCAATTAGTATCTTGAAAAATATTATAAGGCATACCTATTTTATCACAATACCGTTTTTGCTCTTCGGCAGGTAAACTTTGGGCGTATTTCCTGTTTTATAAATATTATTACGAGTTATAGTTTTACAAAAAAATATGATAATTATATCGTAAAATAAGTAAAAAAGAGTAAATTTGAAAAACGTATTTGACAATATACAAAGGAGGACGACAAATATTAATGACAGGAATTCAGATATATCTTAGAATAAATACACAAATAGAAGACAATAGTTTGCACACGCAGTTTGGTTTTCACTAAAATGTGGGCACTCTAACAGTTGTTGAACAGAATGTTAGAACGGAACAGTCAAGCAGAACCTTATATTATATATTATGTTTCATAGATTATGATAGATTAAAGTTTTTGATAGTCAGTTGGAAAAAATATTTCAGATGCTAAAACTAAGACAATTTTCTGTAACAGTAAATTTAATTAAACGTTTCTATTTAAACCAAAGGACAGTAATTTCGATAAATGGGGAAAATCTGAAGTTGATTAGAATAGAAGTCCGGCAAGGTTGCGTTCTCTCACCTGGCTTGTTTATTGCATATTCTGAAAATATAAACTAAATCTGAAGCTATTGCAGACGATAAAAATGGAGTCGGCATAGGCGGAATTTAGATTAAAGCAATTGAAGCATCATATGGTACAGTGGACCTTTAGACTTTAAAATACCGACCGTCGGACCTTATATTAGCCTTAAAGGCTATCCAAAAGCCGATTGAAAGCACGGGGACAGACCCCCGGAGGAATTCAGTGCTTTAAAGTGAGTTTTCTCTGACAATTTAACCATCTAGCAAGACTCATTAGCCCAGATGAATTCTACGAACAAGTCAACGGCCAGTTTCCATTCGGTAGCAAACGGGGTCGGCAACAGAGCGCGAATACCACCTGACTTGGGACTCTTTATTTTTGTCGAAAAAATATCGTAATGTTATCACATTAAAATATATCATAATATATAGTTGGTAGTGTTGTCGCGTAGTTATATTTTTGTCGGGTAGCTTTTTGACGATATCAATATATTATTAAATATGTACCTAAATAATATTCTGTTGATAGTGCTGTATTATGGTTTTTTATCGGATTATGAAGATGGTGTTTTGTCGAATAGTTCTTTGTCGTTATCTGGTGGCTTTATGGAGTGTCATCCTTTTGAGGCCAGTCCTTAGTCACCCGTCCACTATGTAACCACTTCATTATAATTTAGTCCTATAAACGTGGTTTCAACCATAAATAATATATGTGGTTGTTTTACAGATAAAATACTACCAACAGAAAAATGTTCGGCTTAAATACGTTTAATTAAAATTGAGTTCAGCTGTATTATTTGAACTCCATATCATTATTAATAACCGCTACTATGTTCTAACTAGTCGGTGTTTTATCATTTTGTATCTCTTTCCTAACTTCATATATGGTTCATAGATGCATACACAGAACACATTACAGCATTACATATTAGTACATGCAGTATTCTCTTGATTTTTCATTTACTTGTCAATTAAGGAAGATGGTTTTGTAGTTTAGTTTTCAATTAAAGTGAAATTTATTTCTGTCATGTCTGACTATAAAGGAGTAAGTTATGGAATCATTGTTATGTAAAATATATTAAATATAAGTATACATTTTTTTTTTTTCATAGAACAATAAACCATTTTCGGATTTTCATTTGAAAACATTGTCATCTAGTACTAAAGAACGTAAACATACATTTAAAAATGCTATAAATGCTGTTAAGTCTAGTAAGTGTCTATTATAGTATTGGTTTTTGAAAGTTAACGTCGTACTCTTTTATTTAGGGAATTGAAAGTGGTGATTTTTGTTTTTTTCTTGTACACATGCAACGTTGGAATGTTTATGTATTATTTTGCTAACATAACAATTGGTCTAGTAAAGTAATAATAATTCTGAAATCATGTTTTATTTGTCATTAAGTTTACTGTTAGTAACTTTCCTACTTTAGTTTTTTAATTTTAATTTCTCCAAAAACTTAAATATTACATTTTTTTTTAATTCTTTTTTTTTATTATGGCTTTTTTGGGAATAAATAAAAAATGTGAGGTAATTGATTTTAAGTAGACTCAAACTATATTAAAAATAAATTTTTAAAATTCTTATCGCTTCACCAAACCAATTAGTAGGTTTGATTTAAAAGATGTCTAAATTCCTTGCTCATTTACAAAACTAAGACAGAAAATCACTGCTTTTAATCTTTTTAAGATGTAGTGTATTAGCAACATAAGTTTATTTTTTAACGTTTCAGATATTTCTAATGACGTATGGAGTAATATTGGTGATGCTATGATAATTGTTTTAAGTCGTTATCAAGACTTAAAATCTCAATCATATGTTAAAGAATTTGTTAAAGTATTGATTATTTCAAAACCAGAAGCATGCTTAACTAATTTGACTCCAATATTTATGGAATATATCAATAAATTTCCTCATTTGAATGTTTCGTTAGTATCATTATATTAAACACTAAGAATATTATATAAGTATATATTATACTATACAAACTTTGTCATGAGTATTTTAAATTTTAACAATAATAAACTTATGATTAAGATGTAGATTCCTACACTTTATGTCAAGAATGAGCAACTACTGGTGATTCCTATATTATTTTTATCTGGTCTATGCTACCTTTTAAGAGATGGCTATATCTGTATTTATTGTCAGTATAAGTACTATAGAGTTATTTCTTTTTGCTTTCAATTTATGTTATGCTCCGGTTTGTTAGTTTTTAAAGTTTTACTTACCTTTAAAGATATTAAGTTGCTCATTCCTTTTATGAATTATGTATTTACATTTTAATTCAAATATTTAGGAAAAATTTAGCCAAAACAGCTTTCTTCATCTTACAAGTTATAAGCATAATTTTTAAACAATCATTTAAAGATTATTACATCTCACATGCAACTGAATTAAAACAACTCATTGAATTGCAATCAATACTAATAAATGCAATAGCTAAATCAAAAAGTAAACAGTAAGTAATATACATTTTACTGTGTTTCAATATTAGATATATAATTATTGTAGTTATCAGTGATGTATTTATCCTGAAAACAGCTCTGGTATTTATGATAGACTAATAATTTACATTTAATCATATATCTAGATTATGTAAAAAATCATTTAATGTTATGAATGATATTTGGACAAATGAAAGTACATTAGAATATTATGGTGAATGTTTAAAAGATTTAAATTCAAAATCTTATCTATTGGTAATTGAATCATATTTACTGAAATCGATGTCATCTACTCATGTAAATCTTGCTAGCAAATACAAGGTAAATACTTTATTTATATAATATATGTTCTTGTTTAATATTTATGTTTTGATTTTTAGGAACCATTTTTGGAGGTGTTCATTAAAGAAGGCATAGCATGTAAAATACGACCAGAGCGAGAATTTATTCAACAGTGTTCTTTTACTTTAAAATTAGTTACACATGATGTATTCAAATTAAAATTATTACCGCCAATTTTAAAATCTATGCTACGTAATCCTGAAGTGATATTAGAATGTATTGCAACAGTAATTTCTAGTGTATCTTTAGATTTAAGTGTTCATGTTCTTCAAATAATTAAAGGATTTTCTGGTATGAACTATTTATTTAAAATCAAATTATCTATACATTTATAAATATTTTGAAATTTAGCTAATCTTTATTCGCAAAATGAAAAAGCCAGATGTGAATCAGCTGAGTTATGTAAACAATTGGCATTTAAATGTAGTGATGTAGCTGCTGTTTCCGATGTATTAAATCTATTTTTTAATATTTACCATGGCTCTGAAGGAAAATTGAGTACATCAGAACAAAAAAACAATGTTTTACAAGTAATATCTTAAATCTTTTATTCAGCTTAAATATTAATAAATAATACATGAAGTCGTACATGTTTTGTATTTATGGTTTAAAAAAAATGTATATAAATTGTTTATTTATATATTTATTGACGAGCATTAACTCTTTAATAATTTTGTATTTACTTTATTATTTTATTATTTATATAAATAACAACACTTTATTTTTCTTGTGCCATTAAGTAATATAGGACAGTCGCCTCTAAATAATGGTAATCATTTTTTGGTTATTACGTTGATCATTAAATTGATTTTCTATTGTAATTATATACAATACAATTTATTTACTAAAATATCAAATATTTAAATTTTTAAATATAATTTTGTACTTGTCATTTATGGTTTTAGTTAAAATTTCCTACACTGAATAAATTGAAATTAAATGTCACATATTGAACCAACATTTTATTATTAGTTTACATTAAAAGTTTATGTAATTATGTGGTGCAATATTGATTAAGATTCTTTTACTACTATACTCTTTTATTCTTATAGTGCTGATTTATTTATTTGGTCATTTTACATACAAATTTTCAGGAAATTATTTTACATCACAGAATGTAGTTATCCTCCCCCTTCATAGGTTTTTATATATTTATGAATAAAATAATGTAAACCTAGAAAGTAATACATTTATTTATTTTCTAATTGTTTTATGACAAAAAAATGTATATTTATTGTTAAATGTACTAATGTATTTATAATACAGTTAAATATGGTTTCAGGCAATAGGAAATTTTAGTTTTAACACAGTAACTAATGATGATGATTCCCAACAAATAGCTCAGTTAGTAGTAGATCAATTTATCAAAGTGTTGGATAGTGAGATGCATGAAAAAACATTGACACATGCAATCAAAATGTTATCATTATGGAGTTCAAGTTTTAAAAAGAGAATACCCAAAGCATTACTTTTGTGGTTTGTTGTAAGTATATCATTTTTATTAGTTACCATTATTCTTTTAAAAATAAGTATAACCATACAAATATGGATTATAATTTGTATAATATACATGTATTTAGAAAAATTATGAAAAAAAATCAAGTGTTTTATCTGTGAAATTATCTTACATAAATTGTATGGCACATATTTTTAAAAAGGACTATTCAAATTACGCAGTTGAAATTATACCATTGTTATTAAAATGTGTTGACAAATGTTCTCAATCATCTCAAGTATGTATTATTAGAGACAAACCTAATGCATAATTCAATTTAATTATTAAATTGTTTATGTTAGAAATGTATAATATTTCAATTTATTAATATTTAATTTCTTTGATTTGGTATATTATTTTTAAATGATGTACTCTTACTGCCCTTAGGTTCCAGTTTTGATAGAAGCTTTGTATGCTGCATATTTATTATTACAAATATTTGATGAAAATCCTAAATTAAATGAAACTGGGTATTATCAATTTTGGAATTTAGTCCTTGATTCCAATAAAGCATTATTTTTGAATGAAAAATTTTTGTTTCAGATTACTGATGATGGTATACTATAATATTTTTTAATTAATTATAATATTAATAATTTGTTTTCTTTATTGAATGCAATTTAGCACTGAACAAAATATGCATGTTTAGTTTACTTGTGTTAAAAATGAAATATAATCAAATAAATGGTCCAGTTGAACCATATTTAAAATCAGTTATTGTGAGTCTTTTGTCTATTAAATCATCAATTCGTATAGAAACTAAAGCAAATGTTTTAAAAGCTATATCATTACCCGGTGGGTCTAAATTGGCTGCTTCACTGTTGAATGAAACTACAAATTTCATGGAATCTAATGTAAACAATTAACTCAATTTCAATTTGTTTATTGTTATTAATGTATATTTTATCTTATTTATGATAGAATGATTTGGAAATTATTCCCAAACATTTAGTAGAAACTATTCTAGTATTGTGTCAAAATATTAACGTTGAAGAAGATGAATTAAAAGTCTTAGCTTTTGAATCATTAAAACCTTCACATCATCCTTTAATTGGTAAATAATTTTCTTTGATACATTTTTTAAATGGATGTGTATACTTTAAACTGTTTTTTTACTCTCTTATAAATTTATTATTTTATTTTTTAGAATCGTATGCACCAAATCTATGGCTTAAAATAGTCAATCGTTTCCAACTTAAACCATCAGTTTTCATTAGATTGTATGAAAAAAAACTTATGAAACTTCTTGTTGATGATTATTCGCCTACCCGAGTATGTTTTTGTTTAATAGTTACATTATGAATTTAAAAAAATATTGATTAAATTGTGATCTTGTAAATTACATCTATAAATAATTAATTAAATATTTTTTATATTATTTTGTCTTTATACTATTATAATTTGGACATTTGTGAAAGTTCATAGTTCATTAAAATTGTAACTTGAACCAGTGGCGGTTCAAAGGAAGTATATTTGAATCCCGTGATTTATAAAAAACCGCGTGAGTAGATTAAGGGTGTTCAAAAATATAACAAAAAATATTATGTTTTTATAAAGCAAGTCATTTAAAGAATTTTAAATTTGATAAATTTAACAAATTTTATTGAAATTGAAAAAATTCCAATTCATTTGCTGTAGGGTGTAGGTATTTTTGAGTTGGAGTGGGTGAGTGGAAAATTTTATCAATGAGTTAAGGTAAAAATACTTTGAGCTACTATTGACTCGAACCAAGTATTTACTTAAATTATATGTTTTAAAACGTATTTTAAACTTAATTCCATAAAAATTATTGTTATCTATATTATATTTTATTAAAAAATCTAAAACTATAATTTTAAATTTGGTCTTATTAGACATATAACCTGAATATAAATTAAAATATATTGATTTATGGGGTTTTTATGCATGCTCTTGTGTTTCTCCAATTCAAAATTATATTTTTCATTTTTAAATAGAAAACTTTATTTTATTTTATTTTTCTAATAAAAATATGTTTTACTAATGTATGGGTTCAAGTTCAATATTTTAAGAAAATTTGAGTTTGACCCATTTTTCTTTTAGTTCATATACGTTTTAGACGTTAGTTACTATAAGCATGGATATCTCCTCCTTGTCTACCGCAACTCTGAAAAATTCAATTGATGTCTTGTTATACTGTGTCATTATATTTAGCAATCATGTTCTTAGGTTCCCAGGGACTTATTTTTACATTAATTTGTCCTTGAATAATAAATTGCAATAAACCATATATTGTTATGTTCCTCATAATATGTCTGATATAATCTAGTTAATGGATTTTGATGGTAATAATAAGCTCTTTCTCTTTATTCATCCTTAGTACTTCTTGATTAGTTATGTGTTGTGTCCATGATATGCAGATTATCTTCTATGTATACTCATTTCAAAAGCCTATTCTCTTACAGGTTGCCTCATTTAGCATCCAGGATTTGGCGCCATACCGTTAAGATAGAAAAAATGTAGATTTTTTGGAGTCTTATTTTTGTTGTATTGTGACATCGTGGCTTCTGAAAGTTTACTCATTTTGTTGAAAGCTACTTTGGCTTTTGCTATTTTGGCTTTAATTTCTTGAGATATATCCCACTACTCGTTAATTATTGTTCTTAAATAAGTTTGACCCATCTCTGATCATAATATACAAATTTATTATTTGTGAAATAGAATACTTTGTTTCTATTGTTATAGTGCATGGAAAATGTTTTAAGTACTGTGACAAAAATAAATGGAGATGCACTTATACCAGCAATCATTGAAAAAATCAGACAAAAATTGAATGAAAATGATAAATACATTTGTGTAACAGATTCTGAATATGCAATTTATTTATATCCAGAAGGAGAATTATTCAATAAATCAATTTTAGCAGAGTAATATTTAAAAATATTATTTAACTATACAGTATGATATGACAGAAAATATCCTTACATATGTTTTACAGTAAAGAAAATGAAAACACTGCAAATATAAAAAATATGAAACGAGAAAGTAAAGCATATTCATACAAAGAACAGCAAGAAGAAATAATGTTAAGAAAAGAAATTGAAGCTAAAAAAATTAAAGAAGGAAAACTCAAAAAGCCAGAATTATCAGCCAAACAAAAAGAGGCTATTGCTGTAGAATTGGATAAAGAAACAGCTATAAGAAACAAATTAAAAAGTGTAAGTATTTTAAATTTGTACTCTGGTTAAAATAATAATTAACTAATTGGCTAGTAAATTTCTATTTCCATTGAAATAGAAAAATTTGTTTTAGTTTCTCAGTGTACCCAATGAGGAATTTATATGTTTTATTACTTAAAAGTGTTTGATAACAATTTTTGTACTGGAAATTTTGTGTCTATTGGAAGTTTATTTGTAAACTATGTTGTGTGGTTGAAGCATTTAAGAGTAAATTTTTTATAATTTCTTATATTTTTCTAAGTGCAGTACTCCCTTGTTAACACAAACTCGAACATTTTAAAAATGCAATACATGTTCTTAAGTCACTTTTTTTAAACAAATTAATATTTTTATTTATTAATATGAAATGATACTATTGGGCTTTTTATTTAAAATGTATTACAGTATTTTGCAACATAAGCTCCATAATGTCTACTTATATAAAACTTCAAAAACACATAAAGGATGTCATCTGCATGCGCTGTCGAAGCGTAGGATGTTTGTGCATCACTATTGTTACAAAATACCTTTTCTTCTATAGGCTGTTTGTACATCGTTATAAATGACACGTTATGTTATATACTGGTTGTTATTTAAAAATTAAAAAATTACATAAGTGTAAATAAATATATTTATATTTGTTAGAATCTGTAATTCATTATTCTTAAAAAAAATTTGAAGATTTATTTCTCCACTTGTATAATTGAAAAAAATTTCACTCATGAATTATATTATTTTTTTCATTTCTTTAAAGCATAAATGGGTTTTTGGCACATCTGTTTGAAGTGAAATTTTTGTCATTTTTATTAACTAAATAATCAATTAAAGTAAGTAATCTAATAATGTGATCTTACTTTTCATATGAATAGATGTGCTAAATAAAATTGCTCATTGTAATGCTTGTGAAATGATTCTGGTCCATTAGTAGTTTTTGGAAAACTTGAAGGTGTATTAGCTTATATTTCAAAGGAAATGGAAAATATTCTTCTATATAATTCTTGACGATATTTTTGGAAATATCTATTGCCTTTTCACTTGGTGAAATATCTATAAGTTTGCAGTATGCTTCTGATACTTAAATTGGAGGTAGAAATGAAAGCCCAAAAAATGTTTCCAACAATTTTTCCATCTCCGATTTACAATTATTTACTCATTTCTAAGAGTAGGAAAATGTTGATTTAATTTTCTATACTAAAATTATCGAGGATGAAATTTACATTTTATAATTAATTAGTAAAAAACCATTAATATTAAAAATTACGTGTTCAATGGTGACTTGTGAGTTTATAAGTTATGAGTGAATACCCATGGAAATTTAAGTCTTGTTAGCTGAGATGATATCAGTAAATTATTTTAAAATTGTAACGTTATAGGCATATATATGTGATACAATAATACTTAAATTTAGAAAATTAGATAACAACTAGAAATACCTATATATAAAACTTTAAAGAAATAGTGGAAACGTGAATTTATTATATTTATCATCCAATTGTGTCACTATAGTAGGTACCCCTATGTACGTATTACCTAGTTTAGGTAATATGGCATTGTTAAATGTGCTATGGACAAAGGACCAACTAAATATTTTACCTGCAGATTTGATGATGCGCAAACAACAAACACCAGTGCTGTCAGTTCAACTGATGGGTAATAAAGCAAAATCTACCTTATGCAGACTGCGTAGAACTCGCTTAATTTTGGTTTTAGAATAAAATCACTTTTTATAAAATTAAAAGAGAACAATATTCTGGAGGGTGAGAAAGTACTTTGTTTCTTATTATTTTGAATATAACATTCAATACATTGTTTAAAATTACAGACTAATTTTTTATTTAAATGTCTAAAATTTCAAAAAAGAAACTCAAAATTTTGGTTTCTAGAATATTGTTCTTTTTTTAATATTACAGTAAGTCTTTTTACTTCTTAAACCAAAATTAATTGAGTTTCATCTACTCTGTGTGAGGTAGATTTTGATATATTGCCTATTAGTTATACTGAGACAACATGCAGATCTATGCATGTACGACACTCATTTTCCTGGTTTTCTATATAATATTTATTTTTATTTTTATTTTTATTTTTTAAATGTTATTTACTTTTATATATGTATTTACAATTTTTAGATAAATGATGAAATATCAACTTTGGTATCTATGATGAAAGGAATTATTGCTGGAAATTCTCTCTTAGTTTCTCAGTCATTAAGATATTTAATACCTGGAATTAGTTATAATTTACAGTCTATAATAGCTGCACCACTTCTTAAATGTATTTTTATTGACTTAGCATTTTGTGCATTTAATGCTGATGAAACGAAAAATACTAAAGTTTTATCTAAAGTTAAAAATGGCCGCATTAAGTTATCAGATTCATTTATCAAAGCCATAGCTTTTTATACTCTTAGAAAGTTAAAACCAAAATGCATATTGGATGGTGCTTGGTTACAAGAAAATATTGGTAAGTTTAATAATTATATACTTATTTTATTTTATTTTAAGAATGATATTTTATTGTTAATTGTGATTTCAATAAATTGTTTCAGAAAAAGCAACAATGAGAATAGTAAATTTGTTTTGTGAATTAACTATGAAAGATGGACTGGAATTTACATCACCATCATTTTGTTATTCGTTTACATTAATTCGAGCTGTTATGTTGGATTTACCTTTTGATCATAAATTGGTCTATGACTGTTTGTTATTACTTGAGAATCAAGCATCTGTCCGTCCTAAAGCGACATCAAAGGCAAAAAGCAGTTCAGATCTTCAACGACCTAAATTTCTACCACGTATTGAAATGTTTCAACTACTGTCTGAAATTATTAGTCGTACATCAGGCAATCTTCAGAACAAAGCTATTTCAGCATATTTAGCAGTTGCTGATAGCTGCTCTACCGATGAAAAATGTGATCCGGCTAGTCGAGATGAAATTTTATGTTTATTATCAGCACTTCAAAATCCATCTCAAAATGTTAGAGTAACAGCCATTAAAGCTTTACAGAGAGTGTCAGATGCTTTTCCAACCTCAAAAAAAGATAATCATATAATATTAAAAATTACTAAAAGAATATGGATTACCAAATATGATATTTATGAAGAAAACAGGTTAGTTTATAATAATGTTTCTCAACCTTTAAAAATTGGATGCCCTTCTTGAAGAGTAAAATATGTTTCAACACTTCTATGTTAAAATCCCAAATAATTGAGAATATTTAAAAGAAGAGGGTGGACTTCTGAATTGTACAATTTAATTAAAAAATGTATATTTCCAATTGGAAAACAAAACAATTAATTATATATTAAAAATAATTACAAAACAAAAATATATTTAGTATATTTTAAGCGTTTTTTTATTAAAAATAAAAATAAAATTTGTACAGTAACTTAATTTTGTTCCTTTAATGAAGTATTTATCAGTGAGATGTTGTGCATGGTAATCTTAAGCCATGTTGTCTAGTCCTGAGATATTGGTTAAGTGAAGCAGACATTTGATCACAAATAAGCTGATATGCATTACTCAATATTATAATTTATGGGTTATTAGTTAATATTTTTTGATCAGATCACACATGCTTGCTCGCTGTTCCCCTATTGTCTAAGGCTCCATATCCCACTTTCTGCATTGTCATCTCCTTCATTGAGAAATGCGAGTTTATTGTACATTGATAATAAAAAATTATAGATTCCATGCTGACAGACTGAGTATAATAGTACACAATATCAGACATAGTTTCATCATTTCAATGTTACTTAGAGTGGATGCTTTTAAATGCTTCAAAGCTCTACTTATTAAAAGTGATTTAAATTTCATCATTGTGTTCATAATTCTTCTTCAATACAGTCATTATTTATTATTATATTTTTCCTTATATTTGTTTGCTGTATTTTTATGCATAGATTCTAAATTAAGTGTTAAAAAAATCTACATAAAGCAATTATTAGGTATAGGTATCAGTTAGGTTATAGCATTGGCCTTGACTGTATCACCCAATTCCACTGCCGTTATATCTTTTGTCTATTAGTTTGATGTCTATATTAAAAACAAATATCTTTCATGCTTTTGAATTGTTGATTTATTCTGTTCAGGGATTTGGCAAATGATCTTTGGGAATCTTCAAAGTTGGATTCAAAAATTAATGGACTTTTAGAAAGCCTTTTAGAAGATGTTGTTCATCCAGTTTCAGATGTACAAAAAGCAGTATCTATTGCCCTGTTTTCACTTTTGAATGACATGCCTTTAAATGCCACAAATATTGCATTAAAAAAATTACTTATAATGTATAACAGTAAAATAATGGTAAGTCAAAACTTACAGTTATTATAATACTTTTATTCATTAAGATATTTAAATAATAATTTATTACTATTTCATGTATAAATATTTTAAAACTGATATATTTTTAAAAAATAAACTTTTATACAGCTAATTTTTTGTAAATTGAAATATCTTGTTATAAAATGTAATTCATTATACAAATTTAGAATTAGCATACTCCTCAATTTATTTTTTTGTAAAATTAAAACTTGTAAATAATTTATCAATTTTTACTTTAGAAATCAGAAGACAATATAGAACTAGATGACTGGCAAGGTCGAGTTGGTGTTGCTATGGCTTTAGAAAAATTGTCATTATTATTAAGTGACGATATGGTGATACAATTAGTAAACTTTTTTGTTTCTACGAGTTTAGATGATAGAAATGATGTGGTACGAGAATATATGCTAAAAGCAGCAGTAGCTGTTATTAATATACATGGAAAAAATAATGTTGATCGATTAATGAACATATTTGAAAAGTTTCTTAAAAAAGCAACTTCTTCTGAAAGTTTTGATAATGTCCGATTGGGTGTTGTTGTATGTATGGGAAATTTAGCAAGACATTTAGAAATTAGTGATCCCAAATTAAAACCTATCACTAATAGATTACTTGAAGCATTATCTACTCCTTCTCAAGAAGTTCAAGAGGCTGTAGCTAATTGTTTATCACCTCTTATGACATTAGTCAAAGATGATGCTTCATCTATATTAAAAAAATTACTTTCCCGTTTATTTAATTCTGCGTCATTTGGGGAACGCAAAGGTGCTGCTCATGGAATTGCTGGTGTTATTAAAGGCCTTGGAATTTTAAGTTTGAAACAGTATGATATTATGAGTACTTTAACTGATGCTATTCAAGATAAAAAAAATTACAAAAAACGTGAAGGTGCATTATTTGCTTTTGAAATGCTGTGCTCGACACTTGGCCGTCTATTTGAACCATATATTGTCCATGTTTTGCCACATTTATTGTCATGTTTTGGAGACAATAGTGAGTATGTACGAACAGCCACTTATGATTGTTCAAAAGCTATAATGAGTAAATTATCAGCTCACGGTGTAAAACTAATTTTACCATCATTATTAAATGCATTGGAAGGAGATTCTTGGAGAACAAAAACTGGTAAGCACTTTTTTTTGATTACAATCTATTCTATATGTATAATATAAGCTCAATTTTTATCTGTTAGCATATCAAAACATATTCAACAGATTTTAGTATAAATTTTATAGCTGTTTGGCCCGCCCTCGTTTAGTTTTATTAATTCTTCTTTGAACATTGTAATGGGACACAACTCAACCATATGTTTGATTGTCTGTGTTTCTCCACATTTGCATAGTGAAGAGTCTACCATACCCCATTTATGGAGTAGGTAGTTGCATCTTCCTTGTCCTTATTTAAGTGTTGTTAACATTAAACAGTGTGAAAAATGAATTTATTCCCATTCCTTGTTTCTATTGTAAAAAAGGAACTCCATCCCGATCCACATAATGCAAATAAAATAAAAGAACACATTTATTATTAAGGGAATATAAGAAAACAATTTTTATTTTTATGTAAACTGCACCCAAACAAATCTATGCTGAACAACTAATAAAAATACATAATATTGAAAAATTTTAGGATCGGTGGAGTTATTAGGAGCAATGGCGTACTGTGCGCCTAAACAACTATCATCTTGTTTGCCTAGTATTGTACCAAAACTAATAGAGGTATTAAGTGATTCTCACATTAGTGTTCAAGAAGCTGGGGCACAAGCTTTAAAAGTCATTGGCTCAGTTATACGAAATCCAGAAATTCAAGGTAAAATGTATTTATAATAATTAATAAAAAACATAATAATGTACATAAATATTAAATAATCAATACTAATTACTCAATATTCATTATAGCTATTGTACCTGTTCTCCTTGAAGCTCTTCAAAATCCATCAAACAAGACTGCTCCTTGTTTACAAATTTTGTTGAACACTAAATTTGTTCATTTTATTGATGCTCCATCGCTTGCTTTAATTATGCCTGTAGTACAACGAGCATTTATAGATCGTTCTACTGAAACAAGAAAAATGGCTGCTCAAATTATAGGAAACATGTATTCATTGACTGATCAAAAAGACTTGACTCCGTATTTACCAAATATTATCCCAGGATTAAAAAATTCATTATTAGATCCAGTTCCAGAGGTTCGAACAGTATCTGCTCGTGCTCTTGGAGCTATGGTTCGAGGAATGGGAGAAACTAGTTTCCAAGATCTTTTACCATGGTTAATGCAAACTCTGACATCAGAAGCCAGTTCTGTTGATAGATCAGGCGCTGCTCAAGGTCTTAGTGAAGTTGTTGGTGGACTTGGTGTAAGCAAACTACATAGTTTAATGCCAGGCAAGTAAAAAAAAAAATTAAAAATTAAATTAAAATTATTAGAGACCATTAGATAATTAAACAATTTTTTTTTAATAGAAATAATTGCAACTGCCGAACGTACAGATATAGCTCCTCAAGTAAAAGATGGCTACATTATGATGTTCATATATATGCCTGTTGTATTTAATGATGACTTTATTCCTTATATAAATCAAATTATTACGCCTATCTTAAAAGTAAGTTAACATTAAATTATCAATTGAATTAACTAATGATGAACTAATAATAAAATCCTTAGCTAGAAAAGCCCTTTGTAATTAAACCACATTATATTAATATTTAAAAGAAGATTATTATTTTTATTAATTAACATCTAAGCAGGACATTTTTACAAGTAGGTAAATGACAGATACATATACAAGATGACTCATTAAGCTTTCTCACACATTATTTTTGGTTAAATTTTGTTAATATTAAAATTCTGATTTTTTGGAATTTTTAGGTATATTTAAAGCCGATATTTTCAAATATTTAGATTTTTCATAATATTTTAGGAGTATTCTGTATTAATATTAGCTTTAGTTTTTCAAATGAAAATCTATTTTAAAAATTTCTCCATAAATATATTGCATCCTAAATAAGAATAGTAGATGTCAACTGAGTTCTACGCATGTGTGTGTACTTCACTACAAGTGCATATTGTTGGCTCCCTCCCAGGTGACAGGAATTGAGATCAACGATAGGTGAAGAATTATTACACCAAATTATTTGTACTGCAAAAAGCAGGAGTAACATGCCGTGATTTTGGAGTCCTTGAGTATCAATAGACATTTGGTACTTAAGGGAGATAATTTTTTGATTTTCTTAGGGAGGGTTTTCATAATAAATGGGATAAATTAGGAAAATTTACATTTGTAAATATTACAGCCTTTTAAAACATGTATAATCAAACTTCAAAAAAAAAAATTAGTTTTATTGTTTACAATATTAATATTAGAAATAATCTTAAAAATCCTTACAATATTGTATTCTAATTTTGATAACATTTGAGAATCATTTAAGAATATAATTAATCTTTTATAACAATTATAGCTATAATAAAAATCTAACTTAAAAAAATATTGTTTTTGGAAAATTAAAAAAACAAGTTAGGAAAGTTCATTTTTAACAATAAACTATAATTTAATACACAATTTTGAAAGAATTTTTGATAATTTATAGTATTTATATTATGCTGCTTATGTGTGGAAACAAACTTAATATTGGTTGCTATGAATTTATGTGTCTTTATATATATACTACTACTACTACTACTACATATATGTTTATTCACATTTAAATTTGTAAAATGGTAATAATGTTTAAATGAATAATAATATTTGTATATCCTTGTTAATCAAACCAACTATACAGGGTGTAATAAGACAGACAACAGTGATATAAAATGTTCTAAACTTATGTTCAAAAACTTATAAGTAGTTAATAATCTGTGATATATTAACTATAATATTACGTAGATTTTTATAATTTATGCAGTTCTAAAATGTTCTTATAGAAACTTTGAATTTAGTTGGCTTTTATATATTTGTAATTAAATTATTATTAATTCTATCATCCTCATTCTCGTAATTAATATTATATTATTGCTATAATTATTTAAAAATACAATTTTAGGCTTTAGCTGATGAAAATGAATTTGTCCGTGAAACAGCTTTAAAAGCAGGACAGCGAATTGTAAATATGTATGCAGAATCTGCTATACAATTACTTTTACCTGAACTTGAACGTGGTTTGTTTGATGATAATTGGCGTATTCGATTTAGGTATATTACATTTATCCAAATTTATTATATTTAATTTTAATTTAAAATATCATTTTACAGCTCTGTTCAGTTGCTTGGTGATTTATTATATCGTATATCTGGTGTATCAGGTAAAATGAGTACAGAAACTGCCAGTGATGATGATAATTTTGGTACAGAACATTCTCACAAGGTATACTGATATTTAATGGTGTATTTATATTGGAATAGCTTATAGGGAGTTTCTGACTTACAAGTTATCCCATCAATATCTGCCCAACTTTAAAAGAGTGACCAAATTTTGTAATTAATCTAGAGTCTCTTCGATCAAAGTTAAGTGGACTTACTTCATAAATTTCTATAACCTCACCTACAATATTGACCACAATAATTTTATCACTTCTATGCCTTTGCCTCGTAGATCAAATATTTTCCATATATTTCTTATTCTCTAATGATTTCACTGTTGTACCTACATAGTAAATATCATATGGCCAACTTTCTCTACTCTCACTCATTGTTAACCTATATATTATTTTCAATTAATCGTAACTATGTATTATGTTATCTAACTTTTAGAAATACCATTATTATGATAATATTTTATTTATTTTATACTTGATTGATTTTTTTTAAGGCTATAATCGGCACTTTGGGAGCAGAAAGGCGTAACCGGGTGTTAGCTGGTTTATATATGGGTCGTTCTGATGTTGCATTAATGGTTCGTCAAGCAGCATTACATGTATGGAAAGTAGTTGTCACTAATACTCCACGTACTTTAAGAGAAATATTACCAACATTATTTACACTACTATTGGGATGCTTAGCTAGTACTAGTTTTGATAAAAGACAAGTAGCTGCAAGAACTTTAGGAGATTTAGTACGAAAACTTGGAGAACGAGTTCTACCAGACATTATTCCAATTTTAGAACAAGGTCTTGAGTCTAAGCAAGCCGACCAACGACAAGGAGTTTGTATTGGGTTATCAGAAATTATGGCATCTACTAGTAGAGATATGGTATTAACCTTTGTAGATAGCTTAGTACCTACTGTCAGGTAATTAACTTTTACATATAAAATATTTTCAAACTATTAATGTATTAATCAAAAATTGATTGCTTTTATTTTATTATTTAGCCGTGCGTTAGCTGATCCTCTGCCATCTGTAAGACAAGCTGCTGCTAAGACATTTGATAGTCTTCATTCAACTGTTGGACATCGAGCATTAGATGATATTCTACCATCTATGTTAAATAATTTAGTATGGAAAATAACAAATTGATGTTCAATATATAATAATTATATTCATAAATATATACTTATTTTTAGAATAATCCTGATCCAGAAATTGCTGAGAGAACTTTGGATGGACTACGCCAAGTAATGGCAGTTAAATCTAGAGTAGTTTTACCATATTTAATACCACAGTTGACACAACCACCTATTAATACAAAAGCTTTATCAATTTTAGCTTCTGTTGCAGGAGAAGCTCTTAATAAATATTTACATAAAATATTACCTGCCTTATTAACTGCTCTATCTAAAACTGAATCAGCTGCTGAGGTAAAATTTAATTTTAATTTGTTCAAAAACCATTTAACTTGCACAATAAATGTATTTTGTAGGAATTAGTATACTGTCAAGCTGTTGTACTAGCAGTTTGTGATGATGCTGAAACAATGGTTGATTTGTTATTAGATGCTACACAGGCAGAAAATATTTCTCAAAAACAATCTGCTTTACAATTATTAGCAGCATTTTGCACACATACAAAAGCAGATTATAATTCATATGTTCCTAAACTTTTACATGGAATAATTTATCAATTTAAAGACCAAGATGAAAAAAATTTACAGTTAGCCTGGGAAGCTTTGAATGCTGTTTGCAAAGTATTATATAAATTAATAATATAATCATGCAATTGGAAATTATATTTATTTAATTTTTTAGTCTGTTGATACGAAGCAAAGTAATCATTTAGTATTTGAAATACGTCAAGCTATAAAATTTGTCATGAATGATTATAAGCATTTGAAATATCTTCCAGGATTTTGCATACCAAAAGTAAATAATTTATTAATAATTTTTTTTTTTTTTTTATCATTTGCTGAATTTAAAATAATAATGAATTTATTTTTATGAAATATTACCTATAAAAGTCTTTATTCATTTCAGTGAAATTTATATCAGATTAAGAAATAAATTAATTCAATTAAATACAAATATTTCTTTTAGATAAACTCAACTTTATAACTTAAATTAACGATGAAAACGATGTTACTTATTAAAAAAATTGTTCTAAGCTAAACTATTATTAATGGCTCTGTTGATTAAAAATATGTGTTATTTGTTAATTAAATATTCATAATTAGTAGATTTCTTGTAGTTTTAAAATTGATATTAAATATTGTTATGTTGATAACCCCTGGTAATTAATTTCAAATATCAGATCGGGTATTAGTTTTATATCAGTAGGAAATATTAGAATATTAAAAAAAAATTCATCAACTCACCATTACTTTTATTTATGAACTTTATAAATCTATACAAATGATATATTAATCATTTTATTATCATATCATTCCAAACTTCTAATTTATTTTTACAATTTAGTGTAATATTTTAAATATTTTATTTTATTAAGTAAGGTTATTTAATTTTAAAATTTGTAATTAGTGTTCTGTTTAGCAAATTAATTTCATTTAAAATTAAACTGTATTAATAATAATATTTATTTTAGGGAGCTGATCCATTTGTTCCTATTTTTAGAGAAGCAATTCTTAATGGTAGTCCAGAAATTAAAGAACAAGCTGCACAAGGTTGGGGTGAAGTTGTTAAAGTTGCTGCTAAGGAAGGACTAACATCTCCTGTGTTAAATATGACTGGACCACTTATTCGTATTTTAAATGAACGTTATACATGGAATATAAAGTCAGCAATTTTAGAAACTGTTGCCTTACTTTTAGCTAAGGCAGGTAGTAATTTGAAACAATTTTTACCTCAGTTGCAAACAACATTTTTAAAATCTTTACAAGATCCAAATAGACAAGTTAGACTCAAAGCAGCAAATGCACTCAGTCATCTTATTGTTGTACATTCTCGTACAGAAACTATTTTTGTTGATCTACATTCTGGAGTAAAAAATTCAGAAGATATAACCATAAAGTAAGTTTAAGTCATTTCTGAATAACAGGTATCATTGGATTAAAGTATTTGAAATCTAACCTATTTCTGGCTTTGTCTGGGGTTTCTCATGTGGGACTTTCTTTCCTTTACTGTTCTCCTTATTCATAAATAGTGTGCACCAAGTTCTGTGTTACTCTTGCATTCTATGTTTTGTTGATAATATCAAACTTTATATGCTTGTGCGCTCAGGCAGTGATTACTGTTTACTGCAAACTGACTTTGACTACTTTTCCAAGTGGTTATGTGCATTAGGTTTGACACCTAACAAGTTTAAAGTGTAAGGTTTTTACATATGCTAGCAGTGGTTTTCTCTTGCAGTTTTAATTCTAATATTACTCTGCATGTAGCTGATTGTGTTATGGATCTTGGTATTAAATTTAAAGTTAAAACTGAAGCAACATATTGAATATACTGAAGTCATTTGATTTTGTAATTAGGTTGGCTAACAAATTTCATTTAAATATATCTGTCAAAATATTGTACGCTCAATTCTGGTGTAGGTTGTGTTGTATGGGATCTACATACAAGCTAGTGACTTAAGTCAGGTTGAGTATATTTAGAGGAAGTTTTTACATTTTGCTAGTTATTTCCAATCACCACATAAGTTGCTAATGCGCTTGGCCTTTTCTCCTTTGTTAAAACAGGTTACAGGTATGTTTTATTGAAGGCCTGTTGAATGGCAAAATCAAGTCTACTAAATTTGTTTCAAGATACCTCAGCGTATTACTAGATTCAAGGCATTTCTATTTATATCCCTTATGCATGCATTCACTTACTACTTAATAAATTAACTGCTTAGATCAGTGGTCCTCATTAGGGTTTTAGAAAGGGTCAAATAATTATTTTCAAAATTTCTAGTGGGCCACATTCAATTTTTTTTAAAAAAATAAAAAAATAAATAATTTATTATTATTAGCTAACTAGATAAGAGGGGGTAAGTTTGAAAAAATCCAGCATGATAAGATGTATAGTGATGATTAATATTTATAGTTTTATAACAAATTAAACAAATTAAAGCATCATGTTTCTTACTAGAAATACAGAAAAATTCTATTTCCCAACTATCTTGTTTAACTATTCTGTGTTCTTCTATTTTACGCTTTGCCATCATAGACGGTTAGAAATTAACTGCATATTTAAAAATAGAAATAAATTTGTTAAGAAAACGTGATAAATTACAAATTAACAATAAAGACTGAACTATTCGTACAAGAATATGTTGCAACACTATGTTGATTGATGAAAATAAATAATGAACGTGGATTTAATAATAATTTTTAAATGCTTATCGTACCTACATATTTGTCAAACCGGCGATTCAATAAAAGTAGAAACTATAAAAACCCAGGAATTATATAAGATTAGATAAATAAAAGTTATTGCATATAACATACCTAAATTTAAAAATTATGTATTTTATTTTATTTACAATAGTATTGAATTTTAGAATGCAAAATTTAGTTTTAGTATGGGTGCATACAATTTGTTGAAGGGCTGCATAGTGGGTGCCGTTGGCTTAGATGGTTAATGATAAACACTAATGTTTCTTTATTAGTTTATCTTTACTTTTGCTATTTACTCATGTATATATTCTTTGTCTTTATTATTCACTATGTTTACATCAATTTTAATTTTATATTACACATTTTATTAAAAGAGCCTTGCCCATTTATATATATAAATATATCATCAGAATATTCTAAAGGCAACGCTTGTTGAGTTAGCCATGTGTGTCTGTCTGTGTTTTGCTGCTTCCTTTAGTTATTGATAGGATGCACAGCCAATCTTCTCTTTTATATCATTTAAATAATTTGTTCTAGGTCTTCCTCTTGGTCTTCATCTCATTATTCTTCCTTCAAAATATACTATTAAGAAAATCATTGTGACGAATAAGATGCTCAATAAATTTGATTTTCCTTTCCATTATGTTAATCATTAGTCTTCTTTTCTTTCTTATTTCTTCTAAAACTCTTTCATTTGATTTTCATTCTATCCAATTGGTCCTAATCATCTTTCTGTGTCATTATCCATGTCTCACAACCATAACATAAAATACTCCATACAAAAATTATAATAAACTTTTTACGAGTTTCAAGTTTGAGGTGCCTATTACTAAGTATATTATACTTCTTAAGGAAAGCTTGTTTGGCGAGAGTTATTCTTCTCTTTATGTCTGCTGCTGATTGGTTTCTATTCGTAATTAAGCTTTCCAGATAACAAAATTCATTAACTTACTCTATCAGATTGTCTCTTAGATTGATATGTTCTTCATCATTGTTATTTATCTTCTTTATCAACATTTTTTTTGTCTTCTTTCCATTGATCTTCAGTTGGTAAATATCAAATATATCTGCAAAGGTGTTAGCATTTTATTCATATCATTTTGAGACTCAGCTAGCAATACAATGTCATTTGCAAATCGTGTGCTATGAACCCTTTGTCCATTGATTTTTATTCCTCCCGTCTTTTTAGTTCATTTATTGATGCTTCAATGAAGATATTAAATAAATATGGTGAAAGTGGACATTCTTACCTGACTCCTTTTCTAATTTAGCTTGTTTTGTTGTTCCATTAATATCCATTATAGTTGTCTGAGCTTTATATAGTTTTAAAATAAGTCTTCAATCTCTCCAATCAATTCCATTATCTTTCAACATTCTAAATAAACACCTCCAATTTACTTTATCGAACGTTTCTCTAGATTTATGAAATTAGTATTTGTATTACTATTTACATCTATTTTTCTATTAAGAATTTGATGTAGTGCTATCACTTCTCTTGTCTTTTTTTCATTTCTGAATACATATTGATCTTCTCCAATTTGGTTTTCTATTTTATTCTTCAACCTATGTTTTATGACATTTTGGAGTATTTTTGATGTATGAATTAAATAGAAATTGTTCTGTAGTGTTAGATAATAAATAAAGTATTTAAATTAAATTTATAAAATTAATGTGTATTAATTTACTCATACGTTCATTTTATTTAGAGAAACAATGCTTCAAGCTTTACGAGGAGTTATTTCACCTGCTGGTGATAAAATGTCAGATCAGGTTCGAAGAACTGTGTTCATGACTTTAAGAGAAGGTCTAGGAAATCCGGAAGATAATATTAGAAATGGTACTGCTGGTTGTCTTGGTGCTTTATGTAAATGGTTATCTCCTGAACAATTAAATGTTGCTTTGAATGATCATATTTTAAGTTTGTATATTTAATTCAATATAATATGAAGTAGGTTATTTAACAACCAATTTAATTTAAACTTAATTTTTAACAGTAGATGACTCTTCATTAGATCCAGTATTGAGGCACGGTAGAAGCTCAGCCTTGTTTGTTGCCCTTAAAGAGTCCCCTGATACAGTTTTTAGCTCTTTATACAGCGATAAAGTCATCAAAACAATTTTGAGTCACCTACAAGCTGAGAAAGTATGAGTAATATTTTAACTTTTACTAATATTAATAATAAATTGAATATATTTAATTAATATATTTATTTTTAGATTTCGATAGCAATGAATGGAGTTCGAAGTTGTGGATTTTTATTTTTACATTTAATGAAAAATGATTCAATGATTCCATTGCAGCTTTTAAGCCCATTCATACGAGTAATTAAACTATTATTATATTTAACATTAATTTGTATATTTATCTATTAATTTTAAATCATTAAATATAGTTGATGAATCAATCAAGTAATGAAGTTAAGCAGTTGGTATCACATATCTGTTCACATTTAGGAAAGTCTAACGTTACTTTATCCCCAGAGTTTTTAAAGTCCATAATTCCAATGCTAGTTAATGGAACTAAAGAAAAAAATTGTTATGTAAAATCTAATAGTGAAATTGCTCTAGTTGCTGTTCTCAAATTACAACATGGAGATGCAAATTTACAGGTAAATTAAAAAATTGGATTTATGTATTAGACATTTTTGTATACATCTATTTTTATTATTTATGAAATCATATTCTTCTTCTTTGCCCCTCCATCCTAAATATTTAGGCTTAGCCACCCTTATCCTAAATTTCCACTTAACCCTATTCCCCACATTGTCTTTAGGTACACCAGACTTCCTCATATCATTCTTAATCGCATCCAACCATCTTTTTTTCAATCTACTTTCCCATATTTCTTCCTTCATTTATTGTGACACATCAGCTGTTTTGTTTGATTAAACTAGTTATTTATAATTTTTCAATTGTTTAAGTGAACATTAAAGTTTATCCAGTAACTGGAAAAAAAAAATGTTTTTATCATATTAATGTAAAACTACAGAGTGGTTCAGTAGTCAGTATGTCAATACTAGATAATCAATACTTTAGTAGGTATTCTAATAAACTACCTAATAATAATTATAAAGTATATAGTATTATGTTATATGGTTTCATGTGACATGTATTTTTACTATTAAATTGTTTTTCCATTTATATTTATAACAAAGAAAAGTATTATAAATAAACCTTATATAAAAATAAAGTCTGACATACTTCGCACGTGGATGGGCCACTGTTGCAGATAAGAAGTGATAAAAAGGTTGGGAACTTATCCTTAGTCCTTAGTCCCTTTCCTTCAAGTGTTGCTCTTCATTTCTTATGCCAATTGTTTACTTCTTAATAATTTTCTCCTACCTAAACTATATCATTTGCAAACATCATGCACAATGATACTTCACTGTGTATTTCCTTTGTAATTTCATCCATTGCAACAGAATATAGGTAAGGGCTTAAGACTGAGCCTTGATGTACACGTATTTTTTTTTTTTTTTATCCTTTGTCAAACTTATATACAATCTCAAAACTCCTTAATTTATTATTTACTTCCTGAGATCAGTATTTCTCTTGGCCCTCTGTCATAAATCTTTTCTAAACTATGAAACCATATTGTAAATTGTATTTATATTTCATAAATTAGAATTAGAATCAATATTAATTAACCTTCTTGGTTATTAAATCAAAAACAATATATATTTTTTTAAATATAATTTAAAAAATAAAGATCAATTAAATTGTATTTGTAAATAATTTATAAAAAAAAAATTTAATTAATTAATAAACATTTAGTTTATTTTAACTTCATTGCATTGATATTTATGAAAAAATAAACTTTTATAATTATTTTGTTAACACATATTTATATTTTGCTATGCAGCCAGGACCTGAAATGGAGGTAAAACGATTATATATTTACATTTAAATTATATTAGTGTTAAAAACGGTTTAATGGAAATTTTGTATATATTGAATATAATTTGGTTATCTTCTTAAAATTGAACTAATTATACTATATTGTTTAATTTTAAAGTAAGTATTAAGTAAATAATAATAATTGGCCATCTAATTCACAAACTAAAACTAATAATAAAATAATAAAAGTTAATACCAACTATATCTCAGGAGATAATAAAGATAATTAATATTTGTTTATATATATATATATATTATTCACCGGGATAAAGACTACAAATATTTCAATTGATTTTTTATGTTATGGTAAGAAACTACTAAAAATAATAAAATACAATTTTTATTTTTAAGTGTTTTACCAAAACATACAAATTTTATTCAAATATAAATATTTGTAATCCCTACAAGAAATAAAAATTTGATTATCTTTATTATCTCAGGTAATGTTGCAATGAGTATATCTTCGTTAGACAATATATATATCATTTGATTATTTTAAACAGTTTCAATGATTTTAATCATAAAAATGGTTTTATATTTTTGAACAGTGATTACATGACAAGAAGACATTTTAATTTAAAACCGTTTTAACACCATCAAATTATTTTAATAGATTAATATTAATATTTATAGTATATGCTTAAGTCATTTTTTATTTTATTTTTTAGGCTTGTTTAAATTTATTAGACACAGGTGCTCGTGAAGCCTTGAATGATGTAATTAATAAAGTACTACGTAAAGTTTCAATTCAAATGGATACCAAAGTAGAAGAGTTAGATGATACATTAATTACTTAAAATTGCACTAATTATTGACACATTTCAATTGTATTTTCATTTTTTATTTTAGAATTAAATATAAATTTTCTGTGTTTTTAAATTTATTTAATTATATTTTTACATAAATATTTTTAAAAAAAGTCATAATTGTATTTTGTATAGGTATTTGTATAAATATAATTTATAAATATCTAAAACTTAACAAATAATGATTAATCTGTTAAAATTAAAGATTTTACTGAAATAATAATAACCAATATATTCAGGACATCTCATAGTTTAATTAATTAATATTTTAGAAATTACAGCAGTTACTTATATTTTTGGCTTGGCCTTAAAGCAAAATATTGTGGAAATGTATGGCATAATCCAACAATTTCAAATATGAAATTTAGATATGCTTATTTTGATAATTTTTATTATTCTTACCCTTTTTATTATATTTCTAATTTGTTTCAGTTTAGCATCTAAAAAAAACCGAGAATTTTTTTTAAAAACGTTTTCTTGGTGTGTGTATGATAGAACTAAAATTTAAAATAATTTTTCTTTTATATTTTTTTGCCTAGTCAATAACTAAAATCATGTCAAATGAAATTTAAACTTGTTTTTTATTTTATTTTAAGGACACCTCCTCTAAACTTATTAAATGTAAAAATTTATTGTGTTATCCAATTTTTTACCTCAATATCTCCTATTTGAAAGGTTATAGAAGGTTATAGTGTTTTAATATTTTTAAAATGTTTAATAAATGTATATCAATAGCAATTTTAGAAATGCAAATATGTATGTAAACCAAAGGAAATCTTACAATATGAAATTTTTTTTTTAAAATTAAAAGTTAATAATTTTATGAATTTAGTGTATTATATAGGTGGCTTAGTGGTAGTTTTCCATGAATTATTTTCTTTAAGATGATGTTATACTTAAATGTCTTGTGTCTATAATACAAACCTACAAAATTTGTGAATTTGCGTTCAGCAGGAACAATTTTCGTTCTGTGGTTTTAATATAAAAGTAAATTATTATTATCAAATTGACTATGTAAGTTTTTTCAATATTTTAATTTTTAAATGGGATGTACAACAAATGTATAATTGTGGTACACAGTAAAAAAATAATATATCAAAAACCTACATATTTGAATCACAGACGTAAATAGATCTATAATATATTCTTAAAATGGTTTTGTTGATTATTTTGATTTAGCCATTGTCATTATGTAAAAATGCTTAGAGCAAGCAACCTCTTCACAAGTATTTGCAAAAGTTTTAAATCAGTTACCAAAAATGGACATTAATATAATTTCCTATAATGTTGTTATAACCAATATTTTGTTTACTAAACAAAGAAAAAAACCATAAGAGGGAACTATTAATGAACATTCCAATAAAAGGACAAAGTACATCCTGTTTCACATATACTTAATCAACTTACAATACAACACTTTAAGCAAGCTACTATAGGAGTAGCATAGAGCAGTATTGGTGGTTATTTAAAAATACAGGCTTTTTTTTCATTATTATTTGCCTGAGTTAAAATAACCGGTTTCAACGACTAATCACCCAACCCTCAAGAAGTTCATAATTAATGAAATTTTAAAAAGCAATAGGGGCTGATAAAGCAAAAATTAACAGCTCTTTTTAAAAGAGAACCAGCAAAAAAAAAAAACATACATTTAAAAAAAAAAATTGTTATATAATTTAATATCTAGGTATTATAGTGTTCCTTAATTTTCAATTTCAAAATATTTTTGGTCTCATCCTCTCAATAAGTGTGTATATGTATTAAAATAAATTATAAAAAGTTTTAGGGCAATAAAATAAGGTTCACATGTGCCAACTTGAACTTAACACATTTATACTAATATTTACAATAATTTTATACATTTTCATAAATATTTCGTTAATTGTTAATATATTTAAAAACAAATTAAATTTTATTTAAATACATTTTTCTGATTACCATTCATGAAGTATTTTAACTAACTTAACTGTAAAAAAAAACAATATTCTGTGTAAATAATATCAAATGTTTAATGATAAGCAATGTTATATTATTGAAATTATAATTTAATTAGTACACTGAGGTCGTAACAATATATTTCTCAATATCTATGTATAAATGATTGATTTATATAGTATTCCAGATTCCTCAACATAACATTTTAAAGAATAGTAAGAAAGTAGATTACAAAACATATAGGTACTTAACTGACACTTATCTAAAGCTCCAATTTGTTTTGGTGTGATAAAATTAATTTTTCCTTGAATTTTTTTTTTTTACTTGTTTCTAAATCTGATAATTCACTATTTTCCGGACTCTCATTTAATGAACATCCAACTGTTGAAAATTTAATGACGGAGTTGAGAGACTAATTCTAATGTAATTATGTTTTCTTTTTGATTCGTTCAACTTTTGTTAAACATAACTACCTACCTATTCTATTTTGTCGTTCCTTTAATGTCTTCCTTCACTTCCGAGATATCAAAGACGTCCGAGTGTGCATTGGTTTATAAAATACTATCAACATAAATTCTTGTCAATTTTAATGCATCGGAATGATCAATACTTGTCAAAAACAAATTTAATTAATTTTCAAAATCATTATTTTTAGTCGATACCTATGACTCGTCTACTGGCCTAAATTTTAAGAATTTGTTTAAAGATTATGCCTTTCAGTATTAAATAGGTATACTAATTCAGTGACAGATATATCCTATTTACGAGGGGGGAGCGCCTTTTAATTATTTTATTTCCTTTAGTAATTATTTCAGATCTTCATCTCAGGGGGTACCGTAAATGTCCAAAATTTCCTATATACTTATATATAAATTCTTATACATTAATTGCAAATAATAAAATATACCCGGTGGTGACAATAATCCCAAGATGGGGGGCAATTTACCAATCCCTCCCCTAATATCCGTCACTGTACTTATTAATTAATTTACCAATAAAATGTTGAACCTCTCGAATAGGAATTCTCACTTTTTCTCAGAAAATACAAAATTCGCACACGCCACACTTTTTCTAATAACGAGGCGAACAATTCGCATGTTATAAAAAAATACCCACCGATAGCATTTAACTGTTCGAAAGAACCTTATTTGAACCAATAATTTATGACTTCCGATAATCATTTCTAATTTTAGATTTAAAGTGGAGTAAGGAATGTATTGGTTTTACGCATATGTTAATTTTTTTTTTTATGTGAATACTCGTTCTCCTAAAACTCACTCCAATGTATATAACGTAGACTCTTTTCTGAAACGAAATTTTCTTGGAGTGGTACTTAAAGAGGTAATTATTTGATTTCCCCAGGAGTTTTCCCAATAAATGGGAAAAAACATAAAAAAAAGACGTCTTAGGATAATGGAAACGGGTGCAATCATTGTTATAGATAATTTAATGTATACTTGTAATTAATGATAAACCATTGTTTACGAAAAAAAACGATGCTAAACACAGTTCAGTTGATAGTGATGCTTTGTCAACAATATATATGTCATATAATGTCATATATCATACTCATGACCATTTGACTACAAAAAACGTACAATAAAGTGGCAGTATAGAATTATTTAACATACGAGGGCGTACCCAAAAGATACCGAACTGATGTGTGGTACAGAGTTTTAGTAGTACCGATTTTTTTCCGGTAGGGGCGGATAAATATACTTCTTAACATTTAATATGCCAACGGCCGTCATCGTAGAACGTTGTGTTACGTTGGTGTGATATTTTTTTTAAAAGTTATTTTTCGTACTCGTTTTTGTAATGGCTGATTTGCGTGAACAGCGCGCGGCCGTCAAGTTTTGGTTCCTGCTCGGGAAAACAAGCACAGAAACCCTTGAGATGTGGAAAACAGCTTACAAAAGTTATGCTTTAGGGAAAACTCAAGTATTTGAGTGGTTTTCCCGTTTCAAAAGTGGTGAAATGTCGATAGACGATCAAGCTCGCTCTGGACGTCCTCCGACGGTGCGAACCAACGAAAATGTAGAAAAAATTCACAAAATTATCCTGGAAGATCGACAGCAAACCATCGAAGAAGTAGTGGAGAGATCTGGTGTGACATGGAGTTCAGTACAGAGAATTTTAAGTGAAGATTTGGGGATGAGACGGGTGGCTGCAAAATTTGTTCCTCGACTGCTAACTGAGCAGCAAAAACAAGGCCGCGTGGAATCATGCTCTTCTTTGAAAGAAGAATTCCAAAATAAACCAAACTTCTTTTCCAAGGTCATTACAGATGACGAATCATGGTGCTATGAATATGATCCTGAAACCAAGCAACAATCGAGCCAATGGAAGACTCCAGCATCGCCTCGCCCTAAAAAAGCTCGTCAAGTGAGGTCAAACATTAAGACAATGCTCCTTTGTTGTTTTGATGTGAGAGGAGTCGTCCATTCGAAGTTTGTTCCACCTGGTCAGACAGTTAACCAGGCATTTTACCTAGAGGTGTTAAAAAGATTACGCAACAGTTTGAGGCGAAAAAGACCTGATTTGTGGCAGTCAGGAGACTGGTTTTTTCATCACGACAATGCTCCTGCTCACACAGCCCTTTCTGTACGGCGGTTTTTGACCAAAAATGANTCTTTTTATTCCCCAGAATGAAAAGGAACATGAAAGGAAAGCGTTTCGCGGACATTGATGAAGTTAAAAAAAAAACGACGGAGGCGTTGGCAGGCATCACAAAATATGAATTTAAAAAGTGCTTCAAAAATTGAAACAAAAGATTGGACAAGTGCATTAACTCCAACGGAGAGTACTTTGAAGGAGATTAAATGTTTTTTGTAAAAAAATTAAATAAATAACTTTGTACAAAAATAGTTCGGTTTTTTTTGGGTACGCCCTCGTACACATGTAATATCTGCATAATATACTTTACCATCCTTCTTAAATCGGCAATACATATATGTTCAATAATACAATTGAAAAATTAGATTTGTCCGCAAACAATTTTCGTCAAAGAAATACTACATTAAACTCAATTTTTTTTTTACTTCAAAGTAATATTTAATGAACTTCCCGTTAGATTTTCAAATATTTCTGTTAAGTCTATTAATTTTACCATAGAGTACCTTTCGAAAAAAAATGTCTCTAAATAGCTCAAAAATAGCTTTAAATTTTTGAAAATTTTACCACAACTAGAAAAATCAAATATACATTTTCTCTTCAAATTTCAAGTCTCTACGATTATTTTTAACTGAATTACAACAAATAACAAAAATATAAAATAATAAAAGCATTAATTTCGTAAATTTCCCTTTTTTTTACATTTTATCCTGGTTTTTCGCAGATATTATGAAAATCGCTTGGAAAATCAAAAAATATCAACTGGACAACATTCCCTTTCAGAAATGGTGCCGTACGTTTATATATAAGCAAGATTTATAGTCAAATTTTTTTACACAGGATAAAAAAAAAATAAAAAAATAAACATCTTAGTAAAACCAATACATTCTTCTCTACACTGAGAATTTAAAACGGGAAAATAGGTACGTACATTACGTATATTATTATTAAAATCGGTTTGTGTATTTAAAATATTCTTAAAATAATTTTCTATAAAATGTTATTTGGGTATTAAATATTTCTATGCCTGTATTAATATCAAAGCTAAAATTATGGTTATTTTCTTAAACATGTTTGGTTGTATTTTACATTTGGACTGTAATATACCTGATAATGAAATGATATGCCTGAAATTTATTAATTTATTTACGAATATTAACCAATTTAATAATTTTGCTTTACTTAATTGTATATTATTAATAATTTTCATTATCAGTTTTAATTTATAAAATATAAGTTAATATAGGTTTGTTATTTGATTTCACATTATAAAGATTATAAAATCTTTATAGTAATTGATACACTCTTAATTTAAAGCAAGGTTGTGGTATAACTTTGTGAATTGATCAAGCACTCAGATTTAAACTAAAATAAAAAAAACAATTATGAAAATTAAAAGATAATAATATTACTCAATTTCACATCTGAATTATAGAAACAATAAGTACATAGTTTTAAAATGTTAATAGTTTAAAACTAAAATCAATATAATTAAACTCTTAAACTCTTAACACTTTGTATATATTATGTGTAAACATAAACTACACCAAATTATCTTTAGACTAAAGATATGTATGTATTTGTATATTTATTCTAGTTGATCGTATTGTATGGTAAACTAGCATAACATTTATTTCATGGCCTATGTAGAAATTAAATAATTTGTAGTGCATATTTTTCATCATTTGACCATTTTGAATGTATATTTCATCTTTTACTGCATAAATAAGTGTTTTTGACACTTTTTGTTACATATGATTCAATGCTGCTATACAGGTGATTCTTTTACTGCTGATCACTCATAATTTTGCAAATTATTGACATTCAAAAAATAATTTTTTTGTCACAATTAATTTTGAGTGTGAAACAAACTATCAACTTTTGATTTTCAAATGGTAACCTATATTTAAAGTTTCATAATTAGATAGAGTATTAATTTAAATAAATTTTGGTATTGACATTTTTTATTTCCATCAAGCCATTCAAGAATTATTCCACAAGTTTTTGTAGAGTAAAGTATTAGAGTATCATTTGTGGCTGCATGATGCACGCCATTTAAAAAGTGCTCTACTACAGACTCTCCTCCTACCTAAACATGAAAGTGGAATATCTTTTGAATGGCTTGACAGAAATAAAAAATATCCATACCAAAGTTTATTTAAACTAATACTCTATTTATTTATTAAACTTTAAATGTAGGTTACCATTTGAAAATTAATAGTTGATATCTGTTCACCAAAAAATAAAGAATAATGGCGATGTAACATTTTAGATCTGCTTATTTCTAGAATTTTCAAAACGTTTTTATTTTTTTTAAAAAAAAGCTATACTTTGAGAAATAATGATTGTTTAACAATAAAATAATTATTCTGTATATGATTTTAAAAAATATAAAACAAATTCCAAGTATAGTTAACCATTTCAATCCAGATAGTTTTTTTCTGTTCATACTAGAATAATTTAAGCATTTTTAGTGAATATCTGGCTGTTTTTTAATGAATACAAATTCATATTTTACTAATAAATATATTGTTAATAATGAATTATATAGACTTACAAATAAATATTAATTAATTAAATACATTGAAAGCAAACTTACTTAAAAGTAATATAATTAAAAATTTCAAATTTCTGAATTTAGAGACCAACAAATACAATTTTTTTTAAGAATTGTATTAACATTTTGATACATTTTTTTTGATTATAACAATAACGTAACCTAATTAGGTTTAAAAGATTTCTTCACGAGTTAGTTAATTTAAATTTACTTTCTGCTTTATTTAAAATCATTTGTATTAGCTCTTTTTGAAGTATTCTAGGTATTTCTAATGTCATTATATCATCTTTTGTTTTCAAATCATTTGCTAATTTTAATAAGCATAATTGTCGCAAATCCAAAGCTGGCATCTGAATTATAATCATTGTTCTTAATGGTATTTCTATTGGATGTTTAAATCCAAGGCGTTTATATTCAGTTATCCAAGCCCTTGCACTAAATACTTCTTTACCGCCAACTACCATTTGAAGTTTTGACATGCATTCCCTATAAATAAATATTATAATTTATGAGAATATAAATAGGTAAATGTGTACCCAAACCTGAAAATCCATGAATGTGTAGAATATGTATTGACATCTAAAAATTTGTTTGGAGCTAAAATACCATAAGTATTTTCTTTATTATCAAAAGTAATCCATATTATTTCAATACTATAACATGTATTATTTTTAAAACGTATAAATGCTTGTCTTCTGTCAATAAAATTAACTTCCACAGCCATTACTGTTTAACATTACTTTTTCAAACTTATTTAAACAAAGATATATAGAAACATTCAAGAAAATACTAAATAGAACAAAGGAAAATTATCTTAATTATCTTTGCATTAACAAAATATTAATCACTTTCTATTTAAACTAAAAAATATATTTATAGATAAAAGAATAGAAAAAAATTAATGATTGTCGGTATAGGTTCAATAAAAATTTAAAATCCACAAAAATAAAATTATCAAATTTCGTATATACCTATATTATTTAAACTGTAGCAAATACATTTGTGTAATACATTATTAATAATTAGTAATATCACAATGATTAATACATATTAATTATGCCCAAATAATATTTTTATTTACGATATAGATTTATCTACATTATGTTTTTAATGATACTACGGAATAGAATTCTCTGATGATACAAAAAACGATAACAATCGTGATTATATTTTCCAAAGAAGTTATATATTTTCTGTTAAAAATGGTATAAAAACTAAACGCTTGATCACGGTTATAAACTCTTACATGAGATAGGTTCACCATCTGTCCTAACCTTAAACTTTATGAATTGAAGACAAAAGGCATTTTTCACTAATTGTTAATTACTGGACAAATTTACATAAAATTGGAATTGAAAAATTACAATATTGTGATATTAACAATTTTATCAGGGTTTAAAGAAGCTTAACATTTCTCATAAAAATGATAAAAATTTCAACACAAATACAAAGGCGAAGACACGAGGTGTAGTGTCAAGCGTAGTGTTAACATTGATTTACACATAATTTTTTTTTACATTATTATTCATTTATTTTCACATTAATTGATCCGTACATACGAATTGTATATATATATATATGAAAAGTTCGTTCAGCGGTGAAGTGAAATTCGAGTATGTTGGAGAATTAAAATTAATTGAGTTGAAAGTCGTTCACTCAAATGCTGGGCGACGCCATTATTCCGCGCCCGGAGAGGGGTACCTACCTATTGCTTGGAAATAAACACTAAACGGGTTCGTTCTTTTGAATACTCAGAAATATTTAGATGCAAATATTTGTTATCGTATGTGAAATATTCAAGCATTTTGTGGTGTCTTATTAATTGATTGGTGATAACTTGTACACAGTGTACATTTTATTCACAGGTACGCTTTATTCTCTATATATCTGTATTCAATGTTAATTCATTTTTTTATTTGTTGAATTAAAATTAATTATTCTAAATATACTAGGTATAATTTGTATATGATTATATTAAACCAAATTATTGTACATATTGTTTTATACATTGTCTAGATAATAATTGTACATTTTTTTGGACAGTTTAATTTGCAACAAATTGACTAGATAAAGTTCTTGTAAAATATAAATTGTATTAATTTGCTTATTATTGTTTAATTGGTAATAATTTGATTTCATGTATTTTTTTTAATATTAATATTTTTTTTTTGAGAATAACTTTCCCTCCAAATTCATATTTTACTATTATTAACAGTAAAAAATTATAAAAATGAGTGAATTCCTTCTCAGTTTAATTTTTTATAATAAATTAAGACATTTAAACTAAATATTATCAGTTAGTATTAGTTTTATATTCTTCATATTTTTAATAGCACAAATAACAACAAGAAAATGACATTTCTTGTTCTTTTCTGTCGAAAACTTAAAATATATAATATAAAGGTATATTTTTGAAAAAATTATTAATTTTTTCCAAAATTTTACTTTATAGACAATGAAACTAAATTTTAATCATTGAATTTTGTATTAAACAAGATACTTACAATTGATCATTACATGTTGTTTGACATTCAGTATACGTTTATATCTTGTCTTAAAATTCAATATTAAGAACAATTTTAGTATCTTAGTATTTATATTAATTTATATTATTGTTTTTATAGACAGTATTTAAATTATTGTTCAAAAAATACACATATTTATTACATTTTCTCATATCTCTAACATGTACCTATCAATACTCAATAATTAATATAATATGTTTTCGCTTAAATAAAATTCTTAGTGAATTTTAAATTAATTACATATTAGTTAGGTTGTACGTATATAGTCTTCTTAAGTAACTTTAGATACTTGTAGTAAAGTGCTCGAACTCTGTTTAAATTTTAAGTTAAATTATTTACTTAACTATAGTGTATTAATAATTTCTATTTGTTTTCAGCTTTGATGATTTTCATTTATAACTTTAGAAGAAATATTATCTTCATATTATTATTTTTAAACTATACAGGTAAATTAAATATACCTCTTAAGTGCATATATATATATATATATACCCACATAATTTTTTTTCTAAATATTTTTTTCAGATTTGTCATTTCACCAATAAGTATTTGTTAATGTTAATGTTGGTTCAAAAAGATGGCCATGAAAAATAATTTGAATAGCACACATAAAGCTAGCAACTATAAACAAGTAAAGCGACCAAACGGTAAATACGGGCATATGTCATTACAAAGTGGGATTAATAAATGTGATATTTGTGGAAAAAATTTTCCAAAAAAGTTATTTGACCATATCAGAAAATTCCATTATCAATATTTCTGTATAGTTTGTAGAGCTAGATTTAAGGTACATAAAGATCTAATATGCCATGTAAAAGATGTACATCAATTATTGGCTTCAGAAAATTTGAACAAAGCTCAAGATGAATTTAGCAATAAAATGAATAAAAGATATTTTGCAGAACCTCCTGCTGTTTCACAACTACCAATTTCACCATTAACGATTTCTCAGTTATCAAATAGTAGTTCTGATGATGAAGAATTACTATTGGATAATCCAGATGTGATAAATATAATTATAGGTACCAAAAATTCTAAACAACACAAAGAAGAAACAGAAATAACCAATATTGTTAATGACATTGTAATAGAAGTTTTGGAAGATTTTAAAGCTAAAGAGCTTTTTGAAAGTACATTACAAGACTTAAGTTGTTCCGATGGATCTGTAACTGATGAGTCTGATTATAAAACTGTAAATAAATTACGTTCTTCAGAAAATGATACTTATTCTCATTATTCTAAAACTCAAAATAATTGTGACAATTTTCTTTCAAGTAATGTGTATGATTCTGAAATTAATGAAATCAATGATAAAATGTGTACTTCACACAAATATCCAAGTAATGAAAACCTACAGCCATCTCAAACTGTACACATTGTCGACAAAGAATTTAAACTGGGTATTAAAAATATGACTACTGTTTTATCAGAAAAAAGTCCATGGTTAAATGGACCAGATACAATGCAAAATATTAATAACTCAGCAAAAAGTGAAAATGATCTTCTTGTTATGGCTTTAACTCTTGATCATAAATTGGTAGATATGAAATTAAATATAATACTAAAAGAATGCATTAGAACATCATGTTTAACTTGTGTATATTGTCACAATTCTACTTGTATTGCTGTGAATGGTAAACAACTAGCATTACACATGATTGAAAAACACCGTTTTATGACTGTAAAAAATGAATCTTCTGAAGATGTTGCTAACATATTAAAATCAAATTTAAATATTTTAGAAAATGTTTATTTAAATTCAGAAAACTTTGACTCTACTGATGAATTAAGTCACACTTCATTTAACAATACATTCTATTGTTTTAATTGTCAATATACATCAACGCAAATGAAAGAAGTAAATTCTCATAAGCGTAGTATTCATTCAAGAAAAACATATGAATGTTTAATGTGTAAAATAACTTTTTCCAATTATAGTGAGCTCCATTGCCATTTATGTCCTGGTACGGAACTTGGAGTTTGGCAGAATGTGTTGTTTAGATGTTTATTCTGTGGTCAGAGTCAGATTCCTTCTGCATTCCGATGCATGGTTCATTTACGAAAAGCACATAATGCATGTGATTATTGTTTAGAAACATTCCCAAATCAACAAAGTTTAGCAATACATGTCAACAAACATAAAATGAGACACATATGTTTGAAATGTAATATAACTTATCTTAACAAAAAAGATATTTTTGAACATATGTTTTGGAAACATAATAGAGATAGCAAAGAATGTAAATTATGTCTTACAAAGAAATGGCCTTACACATATCATTTTTGTGTTCCACCTACAATATTCGCTTGTGATGAATGTAAAAGAACATTTTCAAATGCATTATTGTTAAGAGTACACGAAAGATGGCACACTGGTAACATTCCATATGAATGTAGTACTTGTCATAGCAAATTTATTTCAAAAAAGTTACTTAAGAAACATGAAATAATTCATAATGAATTAATATCTTCAACAAAAAAGAAAAAGAAGAAGAAGAAAAAAAAAGGTGATGATTATAATCTTCCCCCTTTAAATCTTTCTTCTGATAGTGACACTGAAAAAACCCCTCGTAATAAACCAGAAAAATATTTAAAATCACCAAGCCCAAGTGGGAACAACTATTGGGATTATGTTAGTAAACAAAAAAAAGAATTAGTAAATATTGCATTACTGGATCATGACTACACTTTATTGTCCACTATTCAACCTGCAATAAAATCTCCTCAGTATCCAGATGAATTGACAACTAATGTTAATGGTAGTGAAAATCTATTAAATAATTCTTTTAACAATTCATTATGTCAAAGATCATCATGTTCTTCTCACTGTAATTCATCATCATCTTTGTCAAGTTCTTGTGGTTCTAATTGTTCATGTTCATCATCGTGTTCTTCATCAAGTGATTCTGATACAGGGGAAAAGATAAAAACAATAGTCGAAAGTCCAAAAAAACATAAAAAAAAGAAAAAAGAAAAAAAAATTAAGGTTCCAAGTGCCAAAAAAATTAAAAATTTCAATTTATATGCATTAGAATCAGATTTGGAAAGTGAATTTTCAAATACAGATAATGAAGAATACTATGATATTAATCCAGTACCTTTGCATCCTGAGGTTAATATGGTATCTAAAGATATTTTACCAGTAAAACAAGAAAATCTTATTGAAAATAAACCCGTTTCTGTTAATATGAACAGTACGTTAATGCCTCAGATATCTCCTATGGGACAAAATTATAAATTATCTAAACCATTAAATAATCCTTATCAATATACAAACATTGAATCTCAATTATTGGGAAATAACGTGATTGGTTTATCTCACAATGAATGTAAAATACCTGAGGAATATGAAATGTATAGAAATAATTATTCATCTACAAATAGTTTATCGTATAATGAAGAAAGTATTGACAATAATTTAAATAAAAATTCAATTGAAATTTGCAATGGAAATAATAATTTACATAGTGTACAAAATGATTTAAATTTGAGTAAATACCATAGCCAACGAGTTGATAAAAGACATTATTCAAAAAAACATTTTAATTCATCATTTACAAAAAGGCCAACAAAACGTAAATCAAAATTCAAGACATCTAAAAATATTTCTCAACTTCCTAAAGAGATTACATATACTTCTTCGCCGCTTTCAATGAATTCTTCTTATTTAACAAGTACATCAGATTTATCTAAAACCAGTATGTCACCAAATGATACCCGCCAGTCTAAACGACAACCTAAAAAAAGAAAATTTTTTGGTTATGAGAGTAGTGATGAAGAACAGATACCAAATGGAGATTCATCATTCATTCATCAATTTCCTCCTCATCTCCCATCTTCAATAAAAAAACACCAAAAACGAAAGCACAAACCAGAGTCACCAATTCAATTTCAACCAAAAACTTCTAAATTAACACAATCTCAACAAACAAGACCTATTGTGGATGTTAGAATTAGCAAAACTGCAGTACCAACTATTGATGATGAAACAGACAGTGACAGTGATTCTGGAAATTTAGTTATTGAACTTCCTAAATTTGTAGAACAAAAAGCAGTCCAAAGTACTGAGAGATTATATTGTCACTGTAGGTGCCCATATGATGAAGTATCTGAAATGATTGCATGTGATAATCCAAATTGTCGTGTGGAATGGTTTCATTTTGATTGTGTAGGTATTACAATTGCTCCAAAAGGTAATTGGTATTGTCCAGATTGTCGTTAAATACAAATAATATGTTAATATTAATATTAATTAATGACCAATGTATTTTAATTTAACTATTAATTTGTTTGTATATATTTGTTAAATGTTTCAAAAAAAAAGTATTGTTTGTACGTAATATGTTTTGGCTTTTTTCATGTAAAGATGCTGAAAATGTAAACATGTTTAAAAATAAAGAAATACATGTTACATATTAATTAATATATTATATATATTATTGAAGTTAAATGTAATTTATACTTTTGTATATATATTTTGTATTTATTTATTTTTTGTATGAAAATATTCCTAAAATATTGAAAGATATTTACTAGTTTTTTTTCTTAATATTAAAATTCATAATATTTTAGAATAATACAGATAAACAAAACATTATTTGTAATGAACTATTATTATTCCAATAATTTTAGTTTATTATTATTTTTAAAAATATGTACAAATACCTAAAACTCTGTAATTTAAATTGATTAAATAAGAAATTGTTTTTAGTTAATGAAGACCAAAATTGTAACTATAGACAATTTATTTCCTAATAATCATTTCCATGTATTATTATTATTATTATAATTATTATTATTATTATAATTATTATTATTATTATTATCATCATTTTAGTATTAACTTGATTTAGAATTACTTGTTTGAATAAAATACAATTTTGTAAATGTTATGTGAAGAATAACTACCAGCTATTAACATTTTATCATTTATTGTCAAAAATGTGTGAATTCTGATAAAAGTTAAAATATATCACTTTGAAATAGGAATTCAATATGGTTCTCGTACCAATATTAATTGATACCTAGTCTTATCCTAAAGTATCAAAACTTAAATACCAGTCACCTGGTTATAATTAATTATTGCATCATAATTTTAAAAACTAACTGTTTTTGACACAAATTTGTAACTAGGAGAAATTTTTTTTTATGAAACAGTTATTAAAATCATTCACAGCCATATTTAAATTGAATTAAAAAGAACTTTAAAATAAGTTATTATAATTTATAACAGACACTAATACATACATAAATAGGTGTGCCTGAATAAAGATACATGGGGCCATATTGTTTTTATTGTGATCCAGGGATTATTAACGGAATTGCAAAGATTTTGGTTTTTCAGTTATAAAATCATTTAATAATATTAAAAAATGTTTGTAAGGTCTAAATGTCTTAACGCTAATAATTGTGGTCTTAATACCTAAGGTTTTTAGAACATATTCTTATATATGCTTAGATTCTTAGATAATTTTCAGACATTTATCCTATGGACTATGTTATGAGTTGATATACTTTCACCATATTCATATTTTAATTCATGAAATATGTTGAACACTTGCTGTAACCAATATAACTCCTCATTTACGATTGTAATTTCGGGTGACTCATGCACGAACCAATTAAAAAATCAACACTAGTTTACAAAATTGATAATGTTTAAAATAGGTACTGAGTAATATGTTGTTTAAAATTAATACCAAAGACAACCTCGACCGGTATGCACATTAGCATTTGTAATCAGATATAAGTGGAAGGTTATATTAGAGAATTGAGCATACAGACTGAAGTACAAACTGTTGTCTTATAACAGTTATAACATATTATAGTTATTATATTGTGTAATAATCTTTGCTTAAATTTTATGTGTTGAAAACATTTTATTATATTTTTTTTAAGTAAATGTTGCTATATAATGTGGATATGTACAGTATTTTGGAACATATTTAAATAATTTAACAAGTAAGAATAAAATGTGTGATAACATAGAAGAAAACGTAATTGTTTTGGGTGGGAAAAATATTTAATAGTTTTAAGATTGAATGTGATGTTACTAAAAGTTCCAAAAAAATTTCTGTTTCAAACTATTTATTCAATCTTTCGTTATTTTAAATAAGTACCTACCACATTTTATAACAAAATTATGGCTCCAATTGAAAAACAACAAGAGACCTTTTTAGTTGAATTATTAATCTTGTTTTTAATGATGCAGTTCGTTTTATAATTTTCGAATTAGTTTTCATAATACTCGGGGGAAAAAACGTTCAATTTCACGATAGTATTACGGAAAACGTTTATTATTAGGAAAAATTCCTTAATCAAAAAATGACAAGAATCTTTTTTTATTTCAATGGGCAGTCCATTTGAAATAGATCTATGGGTTATAACAACAAAATAGAAGGAAATGTATCAGAAAACATGAGGGAAGAGAGAAAGACTGTTTTTATCAATGCCTCTCACTCTGGCACACAGATATATATCATATATCTGTGGCTCTGGCAGAGGAATTATCACAAGGTATATTCTGTGATTATAATTGCAAGACGTAGATATTCGAAATTATAAATCTCATAATAAAAAAATACTTCTTATTGAATTTTTAAGAAAACGGGTGTATATGTTATCTATTTGTGTGTAAGACTTAATGACGATTTAAATTCCTAAAATGTATATCTAATTATAAAGTTGATAGTATTGTACAGTGGTTTTTTGTCGGATTCTGATACATGGATTATGATAGGGTGTCTTTATGTCGGATGGCTTTTTGTCGTACTTTGACTGATTTTATCACATCTATCACACTCATAACAATCGAGCAAAGCGCTGAATTATCGAAGTCAGGGTTAAGACGCCTTCACAGCTCATCGTGAAACGTGATAATTTATAATTTGATTACCATGATTGATACATTTCAAAATAGTTGAACCATTATCATTAAGCCATGGTGAACATTCGGTCCGACTAGAATTGAACTCAACGATCCAGTATAAGTGGTATAGGGAAGGTATTAAATACAAAAATGATGGTTAATCACTACATATTAATCACATGGTTCAACTAATCACAGTTCTAGAATATTTCACGGTTAGCTGAGATGCACCTTTAGTCCCATAGACATATTAATAAGTCTATGGTTAGTCCATGTGTAAATGAATCCACCTTCGACCATTTTAACCATTGTTGGTCACACTCTCAATTGAAATTGACCCCTTTGGCGCCCCTGATCATATTGTACGTATCTCGACCAACACACTGTTCGTAGTTCGTTCATTTTTTCTCTTCTAGTTTTTTCTCACTCTCGGTGGTCGGAACGTTCATAGTGTTTTTATTTTCTTTAAATTTAAATTTTTATTTTTCAGGAAGAACATTTATAAATAAATTATCAAATATTTGTTTGAAAATTCTTAATTTAAGTAAGTTTTATTGTAATATATTTATTTTTTTTACATATTTATATTCGTTCTGTACACATGTCTTGTTAATATTATGTAAAATTATAACCTCAAAAGACTTGTAAAACCAATTTTCAATTTAATATAAATTTAGGATAATTAAGAATTCAAGATGCAGTTGTTTGTGCGTGGTCAAAATGTACGTGTTTTGGATTGTCAAGGACATGAGAATATTTCTCTAATAAAGGTAAATAATATGTATGGTATATATAATATTAATACAAATATTGGTTTGGTAATATACACTGAATTTGTAAACTTCAAGTTTTGATTGTTAAGAATGATGGAAAATAATATTTACTTAAAATATAATATACAGAATATTATATGTGAATTACAAAGAAATATTTTTATGATATATATTATCTTAAGCTTTTCAAAGGCAACTCAGATACAAAGTTCCATTTATCCTGAGTTAATGGCATTCTATTACGCCATTTTCTGATTATTTTTTTTATGTACAAATTTGTTTTTCCACCTTTGTTATGTTCTGCCAAGAGGCCTTTTCTAGTTTAGGACCATCCCCTTCAATAAACTTCTGGATTTTAATACATTTACATACCTTGATACCTTACATTTAGAAACAAGCAGTTCTAAAATTTTATATTCGTGTTGTTTTTTGTCCCCTTTATTTTTTGGGGGGTTGAATCACTACCTATTTTTAATTTTTAAATGGCAACCTATATTAAACAAGTCCATAAATTGTGGTGCATTATTGACATGGCATGCTGCGTACTGCCAAATAAATGATACTACACTACTCATCTCCATCCCAAACATAAGGGTGGAATATTTCGTCAATGTATTGAAGGAAATAAAAAATTGAAACACTAAAATTAATTTTAACTAACACTCATTTTATTTATGGACTTTTTAACATGGGTTGCTATTTGAAAATCAAAAGTAGGTAGTTGTTTTAAATGAGCCATTTTTAATAAAAATTGCAAAACCATGTTTTTCAAACAACTCATTGGGTAAGATAAGATGAAAAATAACATACCATATTATAAAAAGCGATTAATGTATTTTACTAAGCAGTTTTATTGGGAATTGGTTGGCATTAAAAACATAACAGGGGTTCCAGACCCCTGGTTTACAGAAAAAAATATTTTTAATTTAATCATGTTATTAGAGCAAATTAGCTTCTTTGGAAGATATTGAAGAATCTTTGATTTCATTATACTGTCAAGGTGAAGCATTAAACAATAATCAAGTTATTGGAGAATTAAACAACTTTAATATTGACTTCATTGTCCCATTACTTGGAGGTAGCTTTTTATAATTTTTTTAATGTTTTATATGTTCAACATAAAAATTAATTGGATTTTTAAAATTATTATTTATTTAGGTAAAGTCCACGGATCTCTAGCTCGTGCAGGAAAAGTTAAGGGACAAACTCCAAAAGTTGAGAAAGTTGAAAAGAAAAAGAAAAAGAAAACTGGAAGATCAAAGAGGCGAATTCAGTACAATAGACGTTTTGTAAATGTCGTTCAAACTTTCGGACGTAGGAGAGGTCCTAATGCTAACTCTTAAAATGTTATGCTTTTTATAAATCTAAAATAAAGAAAAAAATTGGTATAATATTTTTTTTTTTTTAGCAATCTATTAAAAATTAAACCCAATTTTATAAATGTATAATATTAAATGTTTGGTTAATCTAAACCAATGGTATATAACTATGAATGTATTTAGCATATTTGCATATCTAAATATTATATATTTTTATGTATAATATAGATTAATAATAAATATTCCAAAGATAAATATCATAATATATTAAATATAATTAAAACATACTATTAAAGAAATTATATTACATGTATATAACTGTGAAGCAGTTGTCAAAAAACTTGAAAAAATTAGGTTTCACAAGCTGTGACTGATAAAAATACAAATCTTACTTAACAAATATTTAATTAGAATGTTTAGAAATTTTCTGATGGTAAAATACTTGACTTCACATCCAAATTACATATGCCCACTCTAAACACATTGTAGAACATATCTATGTAAGAAATAAATTTCATTATTTTTAAAATTTTAGATATAGCTATAAAAATTGAATTGAATTTTGTAATTTCGGAGTGGAACTTTGGTGGACAAATGCTGAAAACTTAAAAGAATGTATATATTTTGCGCATTGCTTAATATAAATTCTTGTATTACATAATGATACACGCAGTGGATTATTAAATTAGTTAAGTCTCGTGTTAGTCCGCTTAAATTATTCTTCTGATTCAGTAATTAATCACTTTGGTGACCACATCATTTGGCTTCGAGAACAAATTTTTCCATTCTCACTGAGTCATTGGGCATTGCAGTGTTTTTCATCCTGGATACTTCCCATATTTACACAGGATATTATATAAGTCATAATATAGGTTTTAAAAATATGCTTATTTTTTTTTCCTTTTTTTATACTGTGTACAAATATTTTAGCAGAAACCTTTGATCTATATAGAGTTGCCGTAATTTCATAAAGCAAATCCGGGATGAATAGAAAAAATAGCAAGTAAAATTAGACTGATAATATGATTGAATCATACTTAGACAGCTATATAATTAACATGTATAAAAAAACAATTTATTATATTATAAACTGAAACAATATAATAAAAATTGTATTTATTGTTTTATAAAAAGAACACATTATTTTTTTTAACCATAAAAATGATTGTTATAAAATATACAAATAATAATTTATATACTAGGTATATAAGGTTTTAACCTATATTCATTATCTCTTAACAGTTATTATTTGAAGAAAATTTTGAATTTAAATAATATTAAATTTTTCTTAAAACTGGCTGGGACATATTATTGTATCGTAATTTATTTTCAGAACAACGGTACAAGTCAAAACTAGGGACAGTCTTGGTTTTCTGGAGCATATGACAACCCTAGATGTACACGATGTAGACCCTTTTCCCTTTTCTGAAAGGAAATTTTCTTTAAAGTACTTTAAGAAGAAAATGTTTTTATTTTCACAATAAAAGGATAAAAGTGAGAAAAAACAGTAAAATATTATGAATTTCTTTTTCCTGGAGTTAATTTTACAATGATAGCACTTAATCTGACTGGGAAAGTACTTTAGTGAGGTCATTAATTGATTTTCCTAGCAAATTTGAAAAATAAGTACAATATTAAACAAATATTCAAAAAAATATACAATGCTTCTTTAACTATTTTATCATAATTTGACAAAATTGTTAACAAAGCATCATTATCTACTGAACTCTGCTCGGAATCGTTTTTACTAAGCAATGGTTTATTGTTGCTTACAAATACAAATTAATTTCCCATCAAAATCCTTCATTCCCAAATTCTCATCAACAGTGACTGCACCCATCATGAGAAGTATGTCTGTCTTCTTTTTCTATTTCCCTTAGTTCCAGCAGGCTCGGATTTCAACTTTCATTAGTTTGTTATACATTCCTATCTTTCTACATATTTTTGTTTTTCTTAATATTAATAACAATGATAATAATAATAATTATGGTTATTTATTGTAACCAAAAGTAATCAGTTGTAGACCAAACAATAGAAAAAAAGTACAAGTAATGTCAAAACATCTGCTATTTGTGGATTTTAAAAAGGCACAGTTTATAACAGTGTAAATGTGCATGGAAGATACAAGGTATTTAGCAAATAATACCTTTAGCTTTTGAAGTTAGTACAGGATTGAAACAACAAGATTCGTCATCAGTCACGTTACTTATTAAGCTCAGCAGAAGATGAAATTTGAACATGAATTTCAGTACCAAGGATCAGTATTAAACACAAAAAATGACTGGTCTAGAGAAATAAGTATAAGGGTAACAAACGATTTTCTCTGAGTAAGTTCTTAAAATTCAAAGTGTTTTCCAAAAATCAGGCAATCTCATGTTTTGTATAAAACTCAATCTCAATTTGAGGTGCTATTATCATAAAGTGGATGTTTTGTATCTCAATTTTGGTTGTTGTTGACCTACATATATTGAGTTGTTATTTCACTTAAAGTTTGAAATGTACCTCTGTTATTGTTAAACAATCTGTTATGATTCTATAGGACTTATTGAATCAATATTATACTCAGTGGTGTTGGATAAGAATGCTAATAAATTTTCTATTTGATCAGGTCAATCAATCACATACAAATATTTGTACACTAGTTTAATTTTAAATAAAATAAAAACCACACATCCCATTTTTTGATTTTTTAGACAACTGAAAGTTTTTATAAAGTTTGGCTATAAGCCAAAAAAAACAAAACTGGTAAAAATCAGATTGACCAAGTTGTTTTCACTAAATGAGTTTTGTAGTAATTAAATAAAACTGATCTTCTGACTAGTGTCACTTCTATGTTTTTATTTTTAAGATAACATTAAATTCAGTTTAATAGAATCAAGTAGAATATTAACACAATAAGAATTGTTTAATATGAGAAGTATAAATATGGCCATACATGCTATTAAGTTCACTAAAAAGAAAACCTCCAAATACTATTACCAATCTTTGGTGTTATTGATGAAAATATTTATTCAATTGACAAATGTATTGTCATTTATTGGGACTAGACAGTGAAATTTTTCATACTTCATATCACGGTCCAGACCTATATTATAATAATTTTTTTCATTAAAAAATGTATGACATACATATATGTATATTATTACAAAATATTTATACATACTTAAATAACATTAATATATAATGATTGTCACTGTAAATTAGGCTTGTTGTCGAGACAAGGTTCTTAAAATAACTATTATACAATAGATAATTTATTAATTATGGTTGATTTTGTGATTATAACTTATCATAATTATATAATTTTTAAATAATTAAGAATTACAGAATAAACATAACAATCCAATTGGAGTTTAACTATAGTAATATTATCTAAGCTAGTAGTTAATTTTTTTCAATTGCCGCTTTTTTATAAAATCTAAAGATTGTATACATACTAAAATATCTATATTTAATTCCAGCATTAATAGGATTTCTTTTTCCAAATTCAGTTCTATATTTAGGAATTAAATACATATTAGTTTATTTTGCTCTTGAACAATATTCATATTTAAATTTAAATCTTTGAATATCAAGAAAAAGTATATTAGATAATACATGTCGCGCATATAATTGTGTTAAATTTAATAAATTAAATTTTCTATATAACAATATAGTGCTCATCATACAGTGTTTTTTAAATGATATTATAATAGAAGAATTTATAGTGGTTTATTTATTTCCTATGGCTGGTGTATAAATCAATATAAAGTCAATTTGGGGCAGATGATGGTAGTCTGCTCATGCATATACTAGTATCTGCTTGCAGCTAACAAGCAAAAGCAATTTACTAGTATAACTAATACCATCAACTTGGCTCTGATACCCAGCAACAAAAATCAACACCAGCATTTATTTTATAATGGTTTCAAGTGTATTAAGGTTTATATTGTAGGCACCAGTCCAACTCCAAATAGTATAATATGAATATATTGACTGAGCCATAGCTATGAAAACCATTCTCATATTGCTTCAAACACTAAATAAAAACAGCAGAAATTAGATAGTCCATTGCACCTATTCAATTCAATATCATGCATTTTTTAATTGTATTTTATGCGATGTTTCAAATAGTTTTAGTGTTAATTGTTCATAATTTATCTAAACAAATATGTATTATATATTTTATTTGTTATACACCAAACATTACAAGTAGGTCACAGTTTTGCATATAAGACCATACAGAAAACACAATAACATTAAAAATAAATTATAAGAAAAAAATGAGCAAGACTCAGGATTTTTTCATTTAATGATTACTGTGAAGAAGATAATTTTAGTAATTTTTAAGAAAAAAATAACCTAGTATATGGGTAATGAGTACCTAGTATATGAGAACAATTATGTAAAACTAAAATTTCAAAATGTTTTAATTTAATTAATTATATTCTTTATGAATATTTGTATATTAAACAAAAATAAGGTAATTAACTAAGATTTATAATATCAACTATTAATTAGAATCGTCGCTACTAGAATAATTTCCAATTAATGATAATGAGTTAGATGACTTTTTTTGCTGATTAGAACTTACATTAATAACTTTCACTAAGTTTAATGAGTTAAGTTTAGGCACTTTTTTATTCACATTGCATTGTGATGTTGAAGGAAACATACATTTTTTTTTTATATTTGCAGTATCAATATCTTCATTATCCAATATTTCTTCAACTACATTACCATTGATCTTACGTTTACTACTCAATAAATCTTGTACAGTTTTTTCATCTTGTTCTTCTTGCATCCGCTTAATTTGCTCTTTTAGTTCTGCAGGATTATATTTTGATAACATAGTTTCAAAATCTACAGTACCTTGTCTTCTGTTTAAATCTCTCAATTCTTCAAGAGATTCCATTAATTCAATTTCTTGTTTCGACTGCTGTGTGCGATTTTCTAATAACTTCATGGGATTCGTAGCTTCTTCTTCTTTTTCGGCATCTTCTTCTCTCTTTTCTTGTTCTTGAGCAAGTTTTAGGGCCATGAAGTTTCGAGTAGCTCCTTCTTCAATTTCATAATCAGTATTCTGTGGGTCAGTTTTAAATGAAATTTCTTGTAAACATCTTGTACATTTTATATAGAATCGATAAATACGTATTCCCAAATAATCTTCATTTTCTGCATCTTCTTTACGAGCATTAAATTTTTTTCCTTTATAAATATATTCACCACAAGTTTTACATCGCATATTAAATGGAGCCATTAGACGTACTGTGTATTGTCGATTTTTTGGAAGTTTCATACGAGGAATTTTTGAAGGATCAAAGTCTGGTGGGTAGTACTTGTTTAATACTTTACGTTCTGACATTTTGGTAACCTATAATAAAATACAAAAATTAAATTATGTAAGTACATAAAATAAATAGGGCAATTAGGTAGGTATTATTTTTAATAAAAAAAAAAAATACTTAAATTTCAAAAAACAAATATATAACTAAAAAACAAACTTTATGTCACCACTGGGCAAACAATTTATAGGCGCAAACGGTACTATTTGATTTGACTATTATTATTGATATAATATCATGTATACAGAGCATTCTAGTAACAATGATGTAACAATCATGTAACAATCATGTAACCCTGGCCCGGCGATTTAACAAGAAGTTTTTCAAAAGCAACAAGTGTTATACCAAAAATAAACAACGTTCTAGGATAATGGGGACGGATGCAGCCACTGTTATAAATAATTTAATGTACACCTGTATTTTGCAACATTATTATTAAAACACCAGTAAGCAACAATAAATCATTGCTTTCAAAGAAAAAGCGGAGTTTAGTTGATGTGATGCTTTGTCAACAATATATATGTCATTTTTAGTAAAAAAATTCAATAGGTTTTATATATTTTCTTTAATAATATTTGATTAATGTTGTACTAATTTTCCTACGTTTTTTTACATTTACTGGGAAAACTCTTGAGAAAATCGAAAAATTACCTCTTTAAAGTACCTCCCTAGTGAAACTTTGTTTTAGAAACATTGCTATTAATATAAGTAAGAGCAAAATTTTTAGTTGAAAAGTTGTACACAGAAAAAAAAAAAGGCCGTAATATATTTTAACTAATACCTACAATGTCTTACACTTTCACATTTTTTTTTCGGTTATTCAAATTTAATGAGAAAACTAGAGAAAATCAAAAAACTACCTTTATAAAATACCACCCCACATCGATTTCCTTTAAGAAAAGATGCTACACATAGAAATCAAAGCAATTCTTCTGATAGAAAAGTTGTTAACAGATAAAAAAAAAATAAATAAATATCTTTGTAAAACCATAAACTTCTTTTCGCTCTACTCAGAATCTAAAAAATGTTTGGTCTCTGTATCAGATTAAACATTTTCAACAACCAATATTATTATACAAATATTTTTGTTAGATTTGAAGATAATTTCTTCATTTGGGTCAAATACATACAAATTATTAGATAAAATTGAATGTAATAATTTGTCAATTATACCATTAATTTTTACATTTGAAGCAAGGCAAGAAATTATTGGTTTTACAATGTTGTTATTTTTTTATTTTTCTATACCTGTGAATAATTTCTACCAGAAATCTTGCTTGATTTTCAAGTAAAGTACATTTTCTGAAAGGAAATATTATTATTATTAGTGTTGAAAAAGTTAACACTCCTAAATAGAAAAACGGATACAAATACTTCCAAATACAGTAATATGATTTACATATTTTAAATACTCTAAGCAACACTTTTTAGAAAACTAAAACCATAAATTAATTATTAATACATAGGATCATTTAGAATGTATTTAAAAAAAGATCTGATAAACAAGGACAATTATAAAAAGAGAGCAAATCTTCATGAGAGAAGGTATCTTGTATCATATATTCCTATTATTATTACATTATTTTTTTAATGCACTATACATTCTAGGTTGAATTCTGGCTTTTATGTGGTAGAAAAAAAAAATTTCCAAATATTTTAAAACGTTTTGTATAATACTTATTTGAGAATCTATCCTAACAATTAATAAATTATCAAATTATTATATTTCAACAAATTATGTTTTAGGTAGCTTTCAAAAACATAATAACTATGAACTTTTCAATATTTCCTAAGTTTTCTTTCAGTTTTTCTCAATTATTATGAATTTTGCTTGAAAAATAAAAATAATAACCATTAAAATGAAACCTCTTATAATATTTTCATTGGAACAATAATTATAGTCAGAGAGTTATTGACAAAAAAATTAATATTAAGCTCAGATTCTAAAATCCAAAATCATATCACGTATTAATTGACTGGGTGGATACCCAAATTGTATGTTAAATTTGTTGTTTTAATATTTGATATTCATCCTATTACCCATAGTTTGATAATTCTACTAATTTATAAAACAAAATTCATAAATACTTACTCAGTGTAAGTGTATTCAATACTTCAAATTCAGGTACGAAGGTAAATTGGAATATTTTTTGGACTGGTAGAGTACAACCTTTTTTGTAACAGTAAACCTGATAAGAATCCAATTTCGTGAAATCGGTTACGCCAACCTTAGAAACATAAAATTATTCCACTTATCCGATATTGCCAATATAGATATACGAAAGTCAATATTTGAAATATCTACAAACCTAATTAAAGCTTATCAATTATAACTGATGGTTATCAATACTAAATTACTAACTAAAATTTGAATTTACCAGTATTTAATATTACGAGTACTATTACAAATTAAAATGTATACATTTTTTTTTTTATAACTGGAACCTGATTCACATCTTCCAAATCATTTATTGGTCCATGATTATTTTCGATCGGTTACTTACCAAATTATTTTATTAAAATTAAACCTAACCTCAACATCGGCATTAAAGGGAAATGTTAGAATTGAACCAATAATAATTAAAACCTAAAAGGGCATAAACAACATTTCAAAATTACCTTTTTTGAATATTGTTGTGAATGGCATTATAAAAATGTAAAGATTGAACAAATTGAATGTAAGCATTAATTAAAAGATGTAATGTATAATAAAATATACAATGAAAATATATGATAATAAAATATGATAAAACCTAAATGCCAAATTGTTGGCAGTTACATCAATCTATCATTTTGGTTAGTGGTTGCGTTATAATAGCTTAAAAAGAAATAAGTAATTTATATTTGCATGATTTTAATAGTACTTAAAAAATAGATTTTGTATATTAACAAGTAATATTACTTTCTATTTAAAAGAACGCATTTTGTTAATAGTTAAAAACTTGTTTTGGTTACGTAGTATTTTCTAAATATCTAATTATAAATTGATTATTGATTGATATTGAGCCGTTAAATGAAATAAATCACATCTAGGCCTCCAAAAATTAATATGTAATTAATTAAAGTATCTGAAACTGGCAAGACAATGCTTATTGTTTATCGTTAGGACAATATAGGCTCCAAACCAAAGTCCAAATATTTCTCAATTTATGCTACCATATTACTATCGAATCCATGGAATATATGGTTCCTAAATATTTTAATATTCAAAGTGTAGCTAATGTAAATCTTACAATGATGTTTATTTTTCTTTTATACTGTGAACAACTTTTCTACAAGAAAGTTTGCTTTGATGTGTTAAGTGTAGTACCATTTCTGAAAGCGGTTTCAACAAAAGAAGGTTTTTTTTTATTTTCACAATAGATTTTATAACAATTGAGCAAAAAAAAAAAATTAAAAATTGTATTATTTTACATTTTTTTTTTTTTTGTAATTCATTTGGAAATATTCATAGAAACATGAAACTTGGACACAACTTATATTTGCCTTTTATAGAAGTAAAATTTTTAAAACATTTGAGTTTTATATAGACATTTTAACTTTGTTTTTTACAAGATTTATTCGGTGGGTAACCTGTAAACAAAATTGGTGGACTAAATTGAGTTTTAGTATTATTTTTTTTTTTTACAAGAATTTTGACATCAAATTTTGACAAAAATATTTTCATTGTTACAGTTTTGGTTTAATAACTAATTGTTTTTTTAAATTTGATCTTTATGCATTGAATAACTCGTTAGTCTTGCGATACAAGGTTTGAAAACTACCTATATATAAATACATTTTTGCACTTTAGTTTGCTTGTTTACTAAATCGTATAAGACGTACCTCTTTACTGTTTCCATTAATGAATAATGGGTAACATGCTGCCTTTAAATCATGCTAAAAATTACCGTTTAAACGAAAATAACTTTCAATTTGTTGTGCAAAACTGCGTCCGGTAGGTAACAGGGAGGTAGTTTTTTGGTTCGTATATCATTTATAGATCAATTAATAATATGAAAATGTATAATAGTAAAATATTTTTACTACCTACACGAAATAATAACTATGCAAATAGTTGTCAACAGCACTTATATCAATATTTTTTTTAATTATTGGACTTGCCTTAAAGTTATATTTTGAATGCAATATTCGAGAAGTTAATATTCAAAATCCCAAGTCTTGGAATATTACACTTTTCTGATTGCCATTTATCAGGACTCAATCAGTAGCCTATTCTCTTACGATTTTTTTAGTAAACGGGTACCTAGGTACTGAAGTTATACGATTTCAGTAGAAAATACGGTCCCAAAATATAAAAACTTTTTTTCTCTGCAACTGGATAAGCTGGGTTGTAAAACCAAAGTTGAACATTTTCAGAAAAATAATCGAAACTAGCCAATAATGATTTATACATTGCTATGTTTGTTGGAGCCCCGTCAAATGTTATTGAAAAACATTTGACTTCTGTATCAGCAAATAATTCAAGACACTTAGTTAATAAATTTGCTCTTTTGTTGTTTGTAAAACTGTGTACTAAAAAAATCTTAAAGAAACCTAACCTAACCAATGCCCATTCATACAAACCACAAGAAACAATAATGCATTGGTTGCTTGTTGACTATTGCCTAAGTCATTTTAATCTTGCTCTGTACCTAAATCTATCCCTCCATAGAATTTACCATTAAGAAAAATAATCTGCTTTCTAATAGTCATTTTGTCAATTGTAATATTACAAATTAACTAAACCAGGTGTTTTGTTGACCCTTTTTCTAATTGCTTCAAACGCTTCAAATGTGAATCCAGGTTCACCATCAACAATAGAAAAACATTTTTTAATTGTTGCTGGATGAGGTAATACATTTTTGAATGTTTCTCTGACAAAATTGTAGGATTTAGCTGAATAAAATTGGAGAGTTCATGCTAATGATCTAATTGCTGGTGTATATTTTGCATTTTTTGATTTAAAATTTCTCTTAAGCACTTCCTTAATTGGCTCAAAAGTATTGTTCTAAAAATTGTACAATAAAGTATTAAATATAACACTACTGATTTTTTATTTATATTTATATTAATATATTAAACATTCAACAAAGGTTAGCTAAGGTTATATTTTATGAACATTTGCAAGTTACACTCAATCATATTGTTCACTAGTAAATCATAATACTACAAAACAATTCTTAAACAAAAATCACATTTATAACATAAATATAGTTACATCAATGGAATACACAATATATTAAATATTGCTGAACATAGGTTAGATGAGATTATATTTTACAAAACATATTTGAAAGAAATATAAGTATGTATAACCTCCTTTTAATAAATTGTTAGTATTAGTATTTTATTATTATAGGTTACAAAACATAAACAAAAATTAAAACATATTTATTATACTAATTAAATTAGTAAACTAATGTATATGATCTAAGTTAAAAATGAATAAAATAATTAATATGGGCGTAAAACTTTCAAATAGTATCATAATTTATTTATAATTTTATTATCAATAAAATAAAAGTGATAAAAAAATATGTTTGGAAAACATAATGATAAACAGTCGCGCATGCGTAAATGTCACATGTTCTATAAGAGTGTTGGCTTCAATATAGGCGTTATATAGGCGGAACAATGAATGGTTCCATTCATTGTATATGATCTAAGGCTTACCTGAACGTGCTAACGAACCATATTTATACCAAATTGTTAGTCCATGGTATACAGTAACAGGTATCCGAGCTTGGATACTGATAAACATATCTATTCTGTGTCCAAAGTTTCGTTAAAAATTAATAAAATTGGTTGTGAAGATAACTAAATTGTTAAATTGTTTAATATTTATAATTTTCTTATTTATTAAGTTAGTTAAATGTTGTTTACGATAGTTTTAAATTAAATTTGTGTTTATGTTGGTGATTTTCTTAACCGACCCTTGTCTTACATACCTATACATTTAATACTAAAACTTAATAACATGAACGACGGTAAATATAAATTAAATTATAATTATATGTTTAATATTTGTAAATTTAAACTTTAGGCATGATTAATGGTTATATAAGTCTACATATATGTGTTTCTAGTGATTACTTAAGGCAGAGGTTCGAAACTAGAGTGCACATTGGTGTGTCAGGAGCGTTATCTTGGGATTATATAAAGAGCACAGTGTTCCTTGTTTAAATAAAGGCTGAAAATCACTGTTTTAATGTATATGTTATTATACAGATACTATAAAATCTATTTTTATTTTCATTCTAGTTTGTTCTCTATACAAATCTGAGCAATATTTTTGGCAAAATGTTTGTACACAGTATATATATATAAAAAAAAGTAACCAATGTATTACAGGCTTTGAGAATCTATAAGTATATCCACATTTTGCAAGCGAAAACATATATCTCAATAAAATACAAATTCCCCGGAATCCTCGAGCACACAATTGAATGAAAAAAAAAAAAAATTATCAAAATTAAAACTTGTCTACCCATGGAAACAATTGATTATCTCAATAGAATTATAAAAAAAGTTTTGGTATTTATATTTATTTATGTAACCAAGTAATATGAGTTACAGGAGAACTTTGAAATTGTCTTATTAATGACAATTATCTATGTGAGCACCATTTTAAGACATAAATTTTCCCTTCAAACTTTTTTTAACATTCCCAAAAGGAGTCATTTTTGAGTTTATAAACAAATTTTGTGTGTCTAAATACGAGTTAGCCATATTTTTCACTTCTTTTAACAGTAAATTGATTATACATGTTGATAATATTCACTGGTACGAATATTGCAAACATTTATTACAGTCTTAAATTGAGATTAGGCTGAATATCCAAAATATTACTTATATTAAATAATATATAAATAAAAAATGTATATATAATAATAAAAAATAATAAATAAAAGAATGAATGCATCTCTTGGAGTATTATTAGTCACGTTTTACATTTTAACTATGATATATAGTAGAAGCGGTTTATTAAGATCACGGATTATTGATACAATCACGTTAATGAAACAAAATGTCTTGGAACGGACTGGCCATACATTAAAACACTGATAATCAACTGGATTATTGAAACAATAGTATATTAAATTTACTACTATACTACTGCGGTACTACATTATCTTATCTTTACTATATATTGTTACGTATTAATACTGAATACCACTTGTCAAATTAGTTTTGTTTATTTTAACTGTTCTTTATCATAACTACAGTACCAACTAAGCTCTTCACTGTTATTTTTTTAGTTCAGATTTAGTGTAAAGAGGTAGTTAGTGTTTTGGCTTTGAGCAACAATATTCTTATGAAATAATTCTTATGGTCATCAAGTTACTCGACGCAAAAAAACAAACATTGATAGATTCATATTTTACCTAACAAATGAAATAATTTATTTTTTTTTTTCATAGCAAATAAAATCAATCGCTTATTAGAAACAATCGGTTAATTGATATATTTCATCTTGGTCCAAAAGTGTTCCTGATAAGCGGCTTCTACTGTACCAGATGATGAATTTTTAATTTGAAACCAGTTGTATATTACACTTATCATAATACTTCAGGCGACATTCATTCTTTTATTTTTATATATACATTTTTTATTTATATATTTATTTACGAGTATTGACCATTTTAATAATTTTGTTTTTACTTTATTATTTTATAATTAAAAATATTATATTACATGTTATTTTTTTAATTTATCATATGTATAAAGTTAAATGTTTTATAGAAGAGGTAATTGGTCGCAAGCTTCTCATTGATGGTGATGGAATTGGCGATGATAGACGTTTAAATATTTTGTTGAAATCATACTTAAAGTGGTGCAATACTAAATATACTGATCCGTTTGAAAGGTATATTAACAAATTATTTTTATAATATTATATAGATTATTGAATTTTTATATTTTTTTGATCATTTTGAACTAGGTAATGGATATAAAAACTATTAATTTGATTTACTAATTTTTTGAAAATGTCATATGATATTAATAAATATAGGTAATATGTATCAACAAATTGTATTTTAAAAACTAACTTGACCATTAGATATTTTGCATATTTCTAATTTATTTAAATTTCAATTCCATTTTTAACAGCAAAATTAATTAATAAAACAATGAACATGTTTTAAAAGTTATAGTATTTGTTAGAGAATAAATCACCGATGAATTTTGTGTACACCAAATTTCAGAATACAATGGTTTCCCTGGTTATCAAAACTTTTGTACACAGATTTTTGTTAGTGATTTATCCACTGGTATTGTGTTTTTAAAATTGTTTTGCTTTAAATTAAATACGTAGAAAATAATATAAGATAAAATTATGTATATTATTATCAGTTCTTAGGACTTTGGGAATTTAAAATATACTAAAATACATTAAAAAAAAAAACACCTAAAAGTCCATCCTCTAATGCTTTAATTTATAAAATATGATATCTTAACACTACAATAATAAAACAGAAAATGCTGAAACTGGGGATAGGTGTGCTACTGTTGTGGGTGGGAAGTTGGGGAGGTAGGACACATAAGGTTATTTCATTTATATCTGTAAGCAACGATAAACCATTGCTTGACAAAAGATGATTCTGAGTGCAGTTTGGTAATACATAATTTTAAATGCTGTAATTTTTTTTGCGATTTATCGTTTAAAATTGATTTCAAAACATTTATTAAAAAAATAAAAAGTTGTCTGATGATTTTAAAATTTTACAACGTCTAGGTAAGTCCAATTTAAGTATTATTACTAAGTTTCAAGTCTCTATCTGTATTTATAACCGAATTGCAGCCGTAAAACTCCCAAAAATTAAAATTCCTTAAAAGCTCAAAACTGGCCCAAATGTTTTGACGATGATACTTTAAAAAAATAAATCAAAAAGGCAACAAAAAAGGTATCTTGTAATTTTTCTATTAAATCATTTTTTCTGGTAGAAAACGTAGTCTGTGTTTTATAAAATAATGAAATTGTGAAATTGTATGTTTTCTTAAGTTTTTTCCACAAGTGCTTTTCTTCTATAGTACTATCTAGACAATGAGCTTTCAGAAAAGTTGCTACACGTAAAACTTGAAGCAATTTTACTAGGAAAAAACATGTAAACAAACTAGAAAAAAAAAATAAACAGCATTTTAAAACCAATAGATCCCTCACTGCACGCATAATTTAAAAGTATCTTTTTATTGTGTACACATTTTTTTTTTAAAAAAATGATTATGCTTATCATTTTTGTAATAATAGTAACTTTTAATTTATAAGTTAGAGCCATTAGAAGAGGTACTTTTGTACCCTTCTACCAGTTTTGATTTTAAAAATATTTTTGAAGTGTTTTTTTGTGGATATAAAATGCATGAATTCCCAAGCACTAATTATTATAACAATATTATCTAGTCAAATTTTCAAATTTTAAACAATTAATAAAACAGTTTAATTTTTTTGAATTTCATTGAAATCCCCTTACTATTCCAGTTTTCCAGAAGCTATCACTTTTTTTTTTATTTATTATAGATTTAATTATGACTAGTGTTTTATTATTTTTTGTAGTCAAAAGGTTATGGAGAAAATGTTAGTTCATCTTAATTTATGTGAACATGCGATGAAGAAATCTCAAGCTGTATCTCGTATGAATGTTGAAGAAATGTTAATGTATGACAATATGTCAAGTGAAATTGATCATAATATAAAAAATACAAAAACTGAGATTGATTATGCTAAAGAAGAACTAAAAAAAGCTAAAACTGTTAGACGCAACCGAATGGAGTATGATGTATTGGCCAAGCTAATTATTCAACATCCACCAAGAACTGATACTGCTAAACGTTTAGATGATTTAAAAGATGAACTCCAAGCACTAAAAGTAAGTTTATTAACTAGGTAATTAATATAATAATTTATGTATAAATAATATTAATAATGTTTATTTTAGATGACAAAAAATGAAATAAATCAGAAATTAGATAAAAGACGAAAACAGTTGCATGTACTTATGGCTTCATTAAATGATTTAACTGATAGTTTGGATGAAAATGGTTCATTGAGTGAAGATATGTCATATGAAACATTCGATGATGAAGACCTTGACATATTAACAAGAAGAGAAGATATTGAGGAACCAATGTCAGAATAGTATTTAATAAAACAAAATAGATTATAATTTTTAAATTATTAACAATTTTTATATTTTATTATCTTGAAAATATTTATAAAAATTTATTACATTTAATTTAATTTCAGATTTTAATTATATAATTTAATATTTCATAATTATTAAACTGGTAAAAAAAAATAGGCATTTATCATTTACTATATATATGTACATTAAAAAAAAATCTCAACCTCTTGTAATTTGCATGTTAAGTTCATTGCTTACAAATTTGATTGCTTCCTTAATTACAATTTCCTTTAGAGATTGGCTGGTGGCTAATGCAATTGAAAATTTAACCACATCAGTTATATCAACGGATGATATTGAATTTTTAATAGCATCAAATAACTTCTTCTGTTTTTCATAATCTAAATCATGAATAATTTCTATAAAAGATTTATAATCTGGTGACATGGAGTAAGCAGCTATTGTACCCACTATTCCACCTGAAATAAATAAATAGTTACTGTATAAATCATAATTATTAAAACAAAAGCCAGTAAACTGTGAGTGTGTTTAGAACATCATCATATGTTCTTCGTACAGGATAAGTTGGTTTGTTCGTAGCCCCACGTTTTTGGAAGGAAGTTGATGTTTTATAACAGTACACAACAATAAATTATTGATTTTTGATGAACCTTGTGGTTAATTTTCTAGCATTTTTAATGTGGCAAAACAATCTATTCAAAACTCAAACATATAAGTAGCTCTACATAAAGTAGCTCAAAAATCTATATCATTAAATTTGTCTAGAAAAAAGGTTGATATAAGTATTACCAGGTCTTAACGATTTTGTTTTTAACAAAATTCCAAAAAAATTTAAAATACCAGAAAAATGTACTGCATAAATTTTTCATTTTGTAAAGGAAAATCAAACAATGATTTCCCCAAGGCAACAAGCAGAAAAACTTTGCTAACGAGTGCATTCACACCTCTCACAAATAACAAATCTTATTTTTTTGAAATGATTTTTTTTTCAATGCTGATATTGAAAGTGTTTAAATTGTTGAGTGAAAACCATAACTAAAGAAGTTATGACAAAATAAATGTCTATCCCAAACCAGATTTTCTTCAACCTCCATGTGTTCGCCATACCGAAAACAACAAACTTTAACTACCTATCGTAGTATTTTCAACCTAATACTTTTGAAGGGAATATAGTAAATTAAGTTTACATCTGAAGGTCGCAATGAGAAATTGTGAGTTTGGCCATTTCCATTTGTTATTTAAAATCATGCTGGGTAGGTAACAGGAGAAAATTAATGTTGTTTTAAGGGGTGTAAAGTATACAGTCCTTAAATTGATTTAAAAAAATATTTTCAACCTTTTTTAATTTAGTGCCTTAAAAACACATCCCAAAAAAATAAAAATTAGAAACTGTGCTAAACTGCTTTTATAACAAAGTTTTTTTGCTATTACTTCTATAATAAATAAATTTAAATCTGTACACTTTAGCCAAGCTTTTGCTGCTCAGAAACCAGCCTTAAAATTGTAATGTCTTCAAACAAAAGTAGTTCCTTAAATATTCACTGGAAGAAACCAACATTTTCAGCATTAAAATAAAATTATGTTATGTTTAAGATTTTATCATACCAGTTAAAAAACCTGATTTTCCTCCAAGTATACCGCCAATAAAAGATGAAATGCCTGCAATTAAAGCACCTTTACCAGACTCTTTAACACATATTTTAATATTTTCTTCTTGGAAAATATCAGCAATTACTTCCAATGTTTTCATTATATCTTGAGATACGATTGATGAAGTTAAAGACATATTTCTATCTATAATGGATTAAAATATTAATTAATTTAGGCACAAACAAAAAAAATCTTAAATTGTAAAAGATAAAAAAAAACTACTTGTTAAAATTATTTATAATACATAGAATAGTATGGTTAGTTGTTTATTAATAAAAAAAAAAAAGATTTATCACAGTGCGAACCAATAATTTTGTGTTTTATCAAAAAGTGTGTACTTTAACCTATTTTATACAGATTTTACATTTTAATGTAAATTCGACATTTTTAAATTTGATGGTGTGGGCAGTGTGGTTCCTATTAGTACTCCTTATCAAAAAAGTATACTTTTTATTTAAAATAATTATTATTTTATGTTTTATTCTTATTCGTTTAAAATGCATTTGTCATATTTAATTATGTTCCGCCAGCAATATTTGATAAGAAAGCCCAGTGGTTCCCAAACTGCGTAAACATTGTCATATTTTACTCATTGCTTATTCATTTTGTGGTCCTATTTACGAATATGATTTACAACATGAATCAAGATAGGTAATCGGTCAAAATATCCAAGCTTAAAAATTTGTGAAAACGTTTTTATAAGTAAACAGAAACATTTTGTTACGTCGATATACTGAAATAATATAAAATAAAATTTAAGTTAAAATGGAAAATAATTCACACTTTTTTTTAAAAATGTTTTTATAAAAAGACAATTTTATAAAATAATTTGATAATATAGGTAAAGTATTTTTTAATAAAATTGCAAGGCCTTTGGCTTATGGTTAAACATGACTATATACGTCATACGTTGAAGTCTTTATCATTACCGAACAATCTACAAAATCTTAGCAACATCAAACTCGACTAAAATTGAGGTGAATTAATAGACAACTGACTATATTACACTACGTCATGGTGAAGCACAAGGATCCTTTCTTTCTCCAACAGTCTAACCTACGTCAAGTTTTGCGCTGAATCTAATTTCTGACGTAGATATAACTAAGATTCATGGGTACGATATCTTACCAACACTAGATAAATTGTCTGAATTGGCGTTTACCGATGATACGGTTATTATAGCGCATAACGAAGAAAGAACAAAATATTATTAGTTGAATCCTTGCAATTAGCATTCAAAGAAGTAGGAATGTTGATCAATCCAAAAAATCACTTATCATAAACATCTGAGAGGGACAGCTCTCTTGTAATAATCTAATATTATCGGACAATTCCACCATACAAGCAATTACAGTCAATGAACAGATAAAATATCTGGGAATCAATTACACTGACAGTATTGTCTTTGATAAGAAAAAATTCATTACTGATCTAAAAAAAGATTTTAAGATGCTTATTACTTCCCCTCTATTGCGAGGTGACCAAAAATTAAATATTTTAGAACAGTATGTATTTCCCAAGTTATTTATTCCATGCAGATCACTCCTTTAGATCTCTTAGAATGTCCATTCGTAGAATCAATTGACTCTATTATGCGGCAAGGGGTCAGAGAAATAAATATGACTCTCTGCCGACACCCCACTTTGGTATACTTCACCGGCCGTAATCTTCGCAGCCTTGGAATTCTACGAATAACTTAGGAAGCTTCGTTACAACACATCAACATGTGCCAAATCCTCCTTAAGATTAATGTCAACCATCTGCATATCACTCGAAATATGGACTTAGAAAGTAAACAATGTAGAGACAGACTGGGCAGAGTGACTGGAACTAACGTACGTACAGAACTTAGAGCATTAGAGTTGGGTGAGATTAAGGGTGAGATGGTGTAAATCATTTACCCGTGCGATCAGCTGGGTATCGAATAAATCGGGCATAATAAATAGTGACTGGTGTAATGACATTAAGATGTCAATGAATTAGATTACAAATCGTGCAAAGAGAGGACAGAGTCGGGGAAACGGTCACTACAGAAAACCCCTCCTTGCGGAAATAAGAACACAATAGAAACACTTTCCCACATCCGTGGCTCCTGTCCGCGATCAGAGCTTCTCAGAAATTCAGCACACCATAAAATACGCACCCAGCTAGCAAATATATTATAGAATAAAGGACTCGAGGTATAAAAAGAAGTACATTGCTTGGCATACACTGGAAATAATAGCCATCAAAACAGGAGAGCTTATATAATTATCCTCAACCAAATAAAAAGCAAAGGAATTATTTTGAACCCAACGCTCCAATGAGAAACTAACGAGGATAACCAAGACAAGTTAGTGGATGAAGAGAAGAAATCCATTTACGAGACGACCATCACTTTCTTTCAAGAAAAGTACCATATAAATAATTAGGAAGTATATGGCCTTTGGTTCGGGACACTTGGGACCGCATTGCCTCTGCTTAAAGACTTCTTTAAAAAATATATATTAGAATTAAAAGAACTCAAAGAAATGTACTTAGTTATTATGCGAGATACACTTAACATTGTACATAAGTATTTATATTCTTAATATTGTACACAATTTGATTATTTTAATTTAATTAATTTTAATTTTATTTATTTATTAAATTATCCGTATTTTAAAATGTTGCAACAAAAATGTCTGAACGTCTACACTGTGTCATCTAGGCAACCTGACTAATGGGCAGATCGCTTTAAGTAAAGTTGTTTCTTTACACGAACAAGATCAATAAAAACAACTCACAAAATCTGTGTGTCTTTTTATTTTCGAAATAAATGTTGTCCAAAATAAATTTATACAATTTATTTTAGTTGTCTAGGGTTGACATTTTATAATTTAATATTTGAACTAATTTTTATTAGAAAATAAAGTGTTATCTACTAATTCAACTAATTGAATTATTTAATATTTTAAGTACCTAACTTAAATTTTATTTTATACTATTGAAGTAAATCGTCGTTTCAAAATATGTGTTTATTTATAAAAACGTTTTTCTAAATTTGTAAATTTGGATATTTTGACCGTTAGATATTTTGTCCTTGGATATTTTGATTTCGATATTTTGACCTAAATTTACCCAGATAATATGAACACAAGAACAATGTCTTCGATCGAGTTTTAAAACTAAATTTTCTTGAAACCATAAACACCTATATGGTATAATGGTATAAATATATTATTATATTATAGATCTATGATTTTAATAATCAAATAGAGACCTTAAACTAATAAACTTATAGCTGCAAATGCAATACGCATTCACACCGCATAAATTGTATAGTGAAAATCGTTGCAATTCGTGTATTCGCAATCTCAAAACTCGACAGCTCCTCTACCGCCCACCTGCCATGTTGTTGCCATTTCATATTATCTTAATTCATGATTTACACCATAGATGTATTACCAAGGTGGATTTATTTATACACCTTGCATATTACACATAAATGAGTAGGCCAGGAATAATAACACGTAACACGTAACTACTTAGTTGATGCCTTTATCATCATTATTTCTATCAAAATATGACTATATGGTAATGGTGAGTCTTAAATAAATTACTTATATTTAGTTCATACTAGCTCTACTTTACTAGAGTAAATCAAAAAGAAATATAACGAACTAAAAAGATCAAGGAAAAAACAATTTTATTTCTAACCTAAAAAATTGAATTGTATTACTTGTGCTGGCAGCAGTGGCAGATCATGTAAGAGGGCGATTGATCCGAAATATACTTTTAGACCCATTATATCCTGATTTGAGATTGATTTTCACTATAAGTGTGTGCCTTTTACACAGTTTTAAAATCTTAAATCTCATTTATTTTGTTTTGGATCCACTTCACTGGCACTGTCAATTTATTAGATGATAAAGTGTATAAATCATATCTATAGTGTAAATAGATCTTTGGACATAAATTTATAAAATTTTAATTTATTTAATTTATGTCCTTTTAACCTCTTTTATGACCTCTATTCAATTCTCCCCACTCCATTATCATGCTTTATTGAAATATTTAAATACTCATTAACCTTAAACTTAGGTAGGTAGTGCATAATTGTTCGTTGATGGTGTTGTAGCCATAACTGATTAAGATAATTACCTGTATTAGCTATAACTATACAGTATAGTACTCGTACACTATGCCTATAATGCTATACATATACATTACTACATAATTTACTATAAATTACAAAGTCAATTTCTACTTCTAGTCTTTTTTAGAAGTTAAAAAAAGTCTGTTCACAGTTCATTTAAAATTTCATATTGTAATTCTTTTTTCTTTTTTTTTTTATTTCGTCTCAATGTTATTGCTGGATAACTTCCTCTTCTCAGGCTTTCATATCATATGGGTATATATATATATTTCGATCCATGGACGTACTCACGAGAAAGGGGGGTTCATGAGGTTCAAATTCCCCCTCATTGACCGTTCATTTTAAAGGATGTGAAAAATTCATTGTTGCATCGTATAGTTTATATTTACAATTACAATATAAATATATTTGCTGCACCAAATAATTGTTGGTAAATTATTAAAGATAAAAAGTGCGTTAAATTTTATGTTGTTATTTTTTAGATTTTGAATGTAGCGAGGAATGCATTGGTTTTACTGAGATGTTTTTTTTTCTTTTCTTTTTTTTACTGTGTACAAAAATTCTAACATAAATCTTGCTCAGATATTTACGAGTGGCACCATTTCTGAAAGGGAATATTGTCTCGATGGTACTTTTTTAAGGTCATTTTTTGATTTTCTAAACATTTTTCATAATATCTGGGAAAAACCAGGATAAAACGTAAGAAATACTGGAAATGTACGAAAATTATGCTTTTATTATTTTTTAATTTTGTTGTTTGTTGTAATTCAGTTAAAAATATTCACAGAGACTTGAAATTTGGACAGAAAACTTAAATTTGCTTTTTCTAGACATAGTAAAATTTTTGAAGCATTTGGACCTTTTTGGGCTATTTATAAACATTTTAATTTTGCAAGTTTTGTATGTAATATTTATTCGGTAGGTACTCTGTGGTAAAATCGTTAGACTTGAAAACAAATGCTTCAAAATATCAAATTTTGAGGTAAATCGTTCGAGTAAAAAAAAAAAGGTGGAATAAATCTAATTTTAAAATGTTTTTTCTTTTGAACATATGTATATTGCCGATTCAAGAACAATGGTGAGGTCAGAATTAAGCGGACTGACAAAATTTCGAAATTATAGCTTTTTGAAGTTCTGATAATATGCAGATATTGTATGTTATGTTGAATAAATTAATATTGTCTTCTCTAAAGTATGTTTTTCGTAGCTGAATGGTTGGTTATACATACCTATTTTCATCTTAGAGTTTCCCGAGTTTCAAAAAAAAATAAGTTGCATTTTTTTTCTCTTTTATTTAAACAAGGGAGTTTACAAATGCATTTTGGGTGTACCTAAACACCTAAGCTATTGCTCATTTGGACTATTTTAATCGTAAAATATCCCTCGATTTGATTTGCAAACTTTTCTACCAGAAATCTTTCCCCGATGTATCAAGTGTAGCTTATTTTAAAAAGGAAATTTAATCTCCATGGTAACTTAGCAATGTCATTTTTTTTTCCCAGTAGTATAATTGGAGTATGATTTTTAACTAATTCCTATATTTTTTATATTTTCCCGTTTTTTTTTCGGTTTTTTACATTTGTTGACAAAACTCCTGAGAAAACCGATAAACGATAAATAACCGATAAACCGATAAACCTAACCTCTCTAAAGTATCTCTCTAGTGAAATTTCCTTGTAGAAAAATTTCTATCATTAAAAGTTGGAGCGAAATTGGTAGTAGAAAAGTTTTCCAAAGATAAAAAAATTAAAAAATAAATTTGCTCCACTCAGAATCTAAAATGAAATGTTTATATAGTTTTAAAAACTAAATTATATTTTCTTATTAAATATTTATTATTATTCTATATAAAAATGATGTATAATTTATTAATATATACGATATGTTATTATATGACATATTTTTAATTTCGAGTCCTAAGGTTAGGTTAGATTAGTTGTTTCTTTTATACATAGTTTAATGTTTAATTGGATTTCACCACCTGATTTTTCACTAACACAGTTCACTAACTACAGTTCTATATCTTTTTTAATAACGTCATAATTTCGTCGTTATTGATAAGATTATAATTTGTTCGGTGTTCAATATAGAAAAGAAATAATAAGATATAATACTTTTAAAAGGTAAAAACGTGTGAACATTTTATTTTTATGTTGTTGGGTTAAATAATATTAATAAAAAATGATTTTTTTTGGCATCTGCGACCTATAGTAATAGGCCTATACTACCTTGGCTGTACTCCAACTTAGTGAATCTCATTATCTCTTCATAAAAATCACAAACTCGAGTTCCTCTATGTTCACTCTCTCATCTGATGTCCCGCAGGCCGTGGTTCTGTCTCCACCTCTTTTTCTCCTTTTCGTTAACTTAACATCTACAGTACTTTCTCGTGCTAAATTTCTAAATTTCGCCGACGATATAAAACTCTTCCTAATAATAAACTCAATACACAACTGCCAGAATCTGCAACACCACCTCAACCGACTAATTCTATGGGGTGAAAATTTAAGCCTCTTTCTCAACATTTAAAAATGTTCTACAATAACTTTTACCCGCCTCCGCTCACCCATATTTTTCCCCTACGAAATAAGCAACATCCCAATAAAAGCTATCCATGACTTAGGATTTACTCTAATCTCTGACTTCTCCCAAAATTAGCACGTACAAGAAATTTGTAGTAAGGCTCTTAAGGTTCTTGATTTCATTCTTGGCTCTTCTCAACTTTTGCATCTAGTCATGCTCCTTAAACACTGTACTGCGCCCTAGTGAGACCCATCATTGAATACGGCAGTGTGTTATGAATTCCTAAAATCACAACAGCTAATGTTTCTATAGAGGATGTTTAAAGGTTTCTTCTCACCGTTTAAATATTCCCTGCCCCATACCTCACGATTTCTCTCCTGTTCTATATAAGCTGGGTCACTTAAGCTTAGCAGACCGTAAACAGATAAATTAAATTTCGTTCTTTTCAAATCTCCTTATTGGAAAAAAAGATTCACCTGATCTTCCCTCGTTAATTTTAAAGTCCCACCTCGTAGCACCTTGTTGATTAATATTCACTTCTTATATTACTTTTTCTAATACCAGGTTAAATAAGATAGATGATAAATCATCACCTAGCCTTAAACTTAACTTTACTGGCACAGGATCCGTTATTAGGTCTCTAACCTTAACTTATTGTTAAGATTAAGGTTGGAATCGTTGTTTCCATTACACTTATAGGAACCCCCCTTTTGAACACAGATTTGAATGGAGAATATTTTTCTAGAAATATTGATATGCTTAACAGTAATATAAGATTTACTGTTTATGAGTTATAACAGTTTAAATTTTAAACCGGAAGACTAGGGAAGAGCAATAAATTGTATAATATTATCTATAATAAATATTGATAAAGTTTGTAAATAGTATACTAGATCGTGTTAGTGCGCTTGCCAAAGTGAGAAGGTTCGAACGTATAAGTAAAGTTCCCGGTAAAAACGTATCCGGAAAAAAGGTTCCTTATAGTAAAATTGTACTTTTATAATGTGTTACAGTTAAAACTCGAAGTCCGTCAAAATCAGTCAATTTTAGTTTTAATTAGTTAAAAAAAAAACATACTTAACTAGTTTTAATTGAAGTTGTTATAGAACCAATAAGGGAAGTGTGAGGGATGGAATAAAAGGTTCAGTCATTTGGTTGGGTGTAAAAATCCATCGATATGGACATTATTAAAAAATATGAAAAATGAAGTCGGGGCTGATAAAGCTAAATTAACATTGCGCGAAATTGGGCAATTATAAGCGACTACATAAAAGACAGAATACAAACTCGATTGAAAACATTATGTGAACAATTTATTAGGGGGAATTAAATGTTGATTTATTCTTGACTAATATAAGACATAATATAAGGATGAAATGTGATTAAATTTGTAACGTGTACCCAATTTTTATATTTTGTACATTTTATTTATAGTCATTGGTTTTACAATGATGTTTATTTATTTTTTATGTAAACACTTTTCTACCAGAAAGCATAATCCGATTATTAAGTATAACTCCTTTTATGAAAGGAAATGTTTTCTAGGTAGTACTTTAAAAAAGTCATTTTTTGAAATTCTCATTAATATTCGAGTCTTTAAGTTAAAAAAGGTTGAAAGATTAAAAATAAGATTTTCATTGGTAACCGTTATTATTTATTATTTGTTACTATTAAGTTTATATTATTTTAAATAATCATTGTAGTCATGGAAACGTATATTGTTGTAATGATTTTAGAATAATATGATATATATCATATATGTCTGTATATTGTTGTTGACAAAGTAATACTATCAGAATCGTTTTTTCGTTAACAATGATTTATCGTTACTTACAGATATACATTAAATTCCCGTCTGTAACCTATCTTCTAAATATCCCACCTACAACATTGGCTGCACCCATGTGCGAAGTATGTCGATCTTTTTTTTAAATTTGTAATGTGTAATATTAAACAATATGTTAATAAATAAAAATAATAATTATATATGTAGAATTATGTTTTTTATGATTTTATTAACGGGTAACTTTTTACCGGGGACTTTATACCAGATATTAAAAAAAATCACTCTGTATATACATTATATTATGGTAAAATGATAACATAACAGCAATTTGCGTTTCCATGACAACAATGATTGTTTAAAAAAAGATTAAATAAAATAATACAAACTTAATAATAACAAAAAATAAATAAATTCAGTTGCCAATGACAACCTTATTTTTAATCTTTACATTTTTTTAACTTATAGAACCAGGTTTTTCTCATTATCTCGAATATTAATGAGAATTTCAAAAAATTACATATCTGTAATACCACCCAAAGTACATTTTGTTTCAGAAAAGGTGCTATACTTGATAATGGGAATAAGTTTTCTAATAAAAAGTGTTCATATAAAAAAAAAATATATACATCATAGTAAAATCAATAGATCCATCCCTACCCTCCGAATCTTAAATGGGTTAAATAATTTATATTTAGGTGTTAGGTAAGCAACTTATTAAACCATTAGAAGTATAAATTAAGAGTTGTATCGGCAAAATTGTATACAAAATTGAAACCACTGGGCTTTCTTATTAAATATTGCTAACGGAAAGTTTTCACAAACTACATTTTTCTGCTATTTAATCTAATATTTTTTTTTTTTATCAAAAAACATCGTTTTCGCGCATCTATAACCATTATAAACTGAGATAATATGAACTGGCAACGAACCAAATTTCTTCAGTCGTGTTTTTCGATGAAATTTTCGTAGAGTAGGTCCTCGGAAGTTGAAGAGCTATCTTTAATTGTGATAATATTTATGATCTGCACCTGTCCTTGTACGCATTTTTACAATGCAGGTATACTGTATAATTCAGAAAAATATCACTAAAATCGTTACGGTTCGTGAATGTCACCTACTTAGGTAATATTCTTCATTGAAAAACAACCGCACCGTTACCACCCGCCTACCATGACATTGACAGGCCATATTATCTTCTTAGATATTAAAGATATAGGATATCTTAGTTTATGATAACCATTAATCAAAATGCACAGTATATTATATTATATATAATAAGTTTATTATCGATATCTGTGCCAAAATTATATAACCTTAACTTATAATGGAAATAATTAGGTTAATTGCCATAGCTAATTCGTGTTTTGGACCTATTTGGATATATTCTTTTACATGTCTATGTTTGGATCACGGTTATAGATACTATTGTTGTGCAACAATCCTCGAAAAAGTGGCCTCTAATGTTCTTATCAATAATGACAAAAAACCTGCTCCCTACCAGTCCTCACAGTGGATGCTAATATTATGATAATAATAATAATGAATCATGATAATCTAATAAATCCACTGGGAGCTCTTGCAATAGGCAGGTTTTGGTAAAATTTGATAAGAACATTTCGTATCGTTTTTTCATGTAGCACAATATAGACTCTCATTAAATCATAGTATCTATAGCATAGACATAAAAAGGAATATATGTCTTGTATATTTTTATAGCCGTGCTTTGGACACAACACAACAGTGATTTGTATAAGTTATACCTAGATAATGTTCCTATATTATCTATGGAATCCTAAGACCGATTACTGATAACGGTTTTATATTTGTTTTATGATGTTACCATACTGTATTTCTATTTTTGTTTACCTTCTTTATCAATTATAAAACATTACTTTTACTTTTTTTATAATCCATTCACTGTATAGTATATTTTATTATAAGTAGTGTTTATTTTGCATTTTTCCCATTCATTTTAACAATTTTTAATTTTTTATGTAAATAGTACTGTATTGATTTCAGTGCATAGATAAGTATACAGTGCGTTGTTGCAATAACTATTTGAGTTACAATTAGGGTTTTTTGTAAAATTAAGTTAAATTAGCATATCATACCTACTTAGTATATTCAGTAGTGTAAAAAGGAAAATGTTATCTTAGTAAATTGTGTACATTGGATGTTTGAATGTTTAATCATGGATTTAATGTTAACAGAAAAAGAAGAATTCATGCAAGAACACTTAGTTGTTTGGGTATATTTGATTGTTTTTATTACTGTTACCTTGTATAATCTATCTGGACAAATTCATTGTTACAAATACCAATAAGTTAAATAATCCTCTCAGTAAAATTTAATTCAAAATTATTGTTAAAAGAATTTCGACAACATTAAAAATCTTGCCTTTTTTTTAAAAATAATAAATGTGACATTTTTGGCTATAACTTCCAAATTAAAAAAATCAATATTTTGTCATAGGACATTTAAATTCAGTGTCAAAAACAAGTTACTAAATTACATTTATATAAAATTATGTATTTCTTTTTAGTGTTTAAAATTATGTATTATGTCACATTTCACTTTTTAGTTGGCTTTGTATTTTTAATTTGTTTTTTTTATTTCTTATGACTAATTTTAGAAACAACAATTTAAATAGAAAGAGGTATAAGAAAAAATTGTAGGTATCAAAAATAGTATTCATTGATATTATGGATGACTTAATACTTTATTTGTACTGTCAAAAAGTTTCTGTTATTATAATTAATGTTTAGGACTGCTGTTATATCGTCATATGTATAAATTTAGTAATACCTTAAATACCTATGCTATATATTTATTATAGAAATAAAAAAAAAAGCATTTTTAAAAAATTGCGGCACAGCTAATAAATTTTCACGACATTCTAGGGTGCTGTGACAACCAGTTTGAAAACCACTGATTTATTCAGGATAAAATATCATTACATCATATTATATCATTATATTAATTACATGTTCAACTATGCGTCCTCAACAAACAAAAATTGTATTTATTCAAATGAATAAATCTAATTAATAACGATTTGATTGATTTGATTACTAAAAATATTGTATTTTAAAATTTAATTTTAAAACATTTTATAAAATATAAAAAGTAATACAAATTGTAAATAATTTTAATTTTTAGTTACAATCTTGCTTAGACCAACCAGACAAATTAACAATTTATGATGATTTAATTGATGGCACATTGATTTACGAAGTTTTACTTTTGATGTAAGTATCAAATTTATTACAAACACTATTTTTATTGGTAGACATTAATAATATGTTATGTTTTGTATTTCTAGAGATCCTGAACCATTATATCATGGTATTGTTTCTGGGAAAAATGATCAATCAATTAGAATTCAAAATATTAACTGTATTTTAAAAAATATAAAAATGTTGTATGAAGTAAGTATTATTGTTAATTGGTAAGCCCTTAAATGCATTGTTTCTGTTGGAATGTTAGTTTTTGACACTATGTTATGTACGAAAGTAATTATAATTTATTATTTTTAAAATTTTAATTTGTAACATAATTAAACTACTTTAATTTTAATAAAAAATAAATTATTTTAGATCTCAAATAATATAATACAAACAAGGTCTTATCTTGTATAACTACTTGAGTATGGTTTAAGTTAATTGAAAAACTATGTTCCTTGAAGTGAATAGAATTAAATTCCTAACATGTTTCTTATTAGGTTTTAATAAGAAATCATCTTTTATGCTAATATATTATATTTCATTTTTGTGTTTGATAAGGTTTAATTAGTCAATATGTCTCAAAATTGTATTAATACAATTTTCAGAAATAGTGTTTTTTTAAGTAGATATTAATGTATAGTAAATGTTATTAGTTAATTAATAATCTTATATTAATTTTTTTTTAATGTTAAAATGTATTTATATTGAAGTAAGATGGCCTATTCACAGGTATTATAATGTTTGTGAGCAGTGGTGTGGTGAAAGGGGTATTATGAAGCCTGAGCATTATGGTAAACAAAATTTGGGGGGTGGGTGATTACATTAAGGTAAGCAAAAGTATAACACAACAAGCACATTTAGTTACAACAGTTATATATTTTATACTATATTTAGGGGGTTAATGGTAGATATGCACTGAAATTTATTTATCATGGTTTATAAATGTTCACCATGCCACTGTTTGTGAATCTTTTAAATAAAATGATTTGAACAAAATCATAGTTTTATTTCTGCATAACTTTGCTACTTGTGTTGAGTACTACTATATCACAATATTCCTATTTAAAGACAACTTGATGTATGAGTCAGCATTGATTTTAGTGTAGCATTTGTAATTTTGAAAAACTTAATTTTTAATTTTTGTACTGACAAGTGGTGGTTATTATATATATATATATATATATATACAATACCTGTGAAATGTTTGAAATGAAAATGTTTAATTTTTCAATAAACACATGAATTATTATATGAATGTGAATAATTTTTTATACTTAGCAAATCTACAAACAATATTGTTATTATTTACATATTTATATCTGAAAATATTGATTTTTTACCATGACTACAACCCATCACTTGAAAATAAATGCTTTTAATCTTAGTAGTCTCATATTTGGTTATGATTTCACTGAATGATCTAATAAATGTTTTCATATTATTGGACAATGAATAGAAACGAGTTATTTTTTTTTTATTGAAAGTTCCAAATACTGTGTTTTGTGTATATTTATATGAATCAATTATAATGAAATTCTTTAGTAATATTGGAACTGTAGATAGATACAATATGATCACTAGGAGAGGTCAACTGCTTATATGAATAGTCTCACTAACAGAATAATATTTAAAAAAAGTTCTAAATTAACTAACAAAAATATTAATAATGAAAAACTATTTATTTTTTTAAGGTATATTTTTAAAAATTTGTTCACAGGAAGAATTGGGACAGGTTATATTGACAATGCCGGATTGTTTACGTTTAGGAAGAGAACCTTTTTCAAAAAGTAGCTTTGAAGATATGAAATTATTGTTGTTATTATTACTTGGTTGTGCTGTTCAGTGTCCAAATAAAGAATCATTTATTGAACGTATAAAAACATTACCTATTGAATCTCAACATGCATTAGTTCATTATATAAAACAAGTATTCTAAAATTTTGATTTTACAATAAGTTTATGTATTAATTTCTACATGTAATTAAATTTTTGTTTTATAGATAACAGAAAGTCAACAAATTGTAATCACTCAAGAAAATGCTGAGCAATTAACAACTGATCTCATGATTTCTCATATTCGACAATTAGTTAAAGAACGTGATCAATATCTTCAGGTAATCTATTTATTTACTAAATCATTATGATATTGATTATTTATAATAACTATACTTTTGCTTTTTAAAGAATAAAAAAAATAAATATATTATTTTTAGATGTGGACAGAGTTAGAAGAAAAACGTTTTTCTAATTCAAAACCTATTGAGACAAATTTAATCACATCTATTAGTTCTTGTGGTGATAACCAGAATTATGCTCTTGAACTTGCTGATTGGAAAGCAAAACTTCGAAAATTTAGACATGAATTGTAAATATTATTTATATTAAACTAAATTAATTTTTGCAAAATAATTTATTATAATACATACATTATATAATATTTATAGAGAAGAAAAAACTGAATCATTATCTGAAGCAAAAGAAGAACTTGAACAAACAAATATTACTGTAGTTAAATTAAAAGAAGAGGTAAATGTCTATTAATATTTAAAAGTTTATTTAGTTGTACTTCATGATTTTATTTATTATTATTTTAGCTTCAACAAATCAAAGTAGATGCTAGATCAGCTAAAGCATATAGAGATGAAGTTGATGCGCTGCGTGAAAAAGCATCAAATTATGAACATCTAGAAACAGAAATAAAAAAATATAAACAAAAATTAGGAGATTTAGATTATTATAAATCTAGAGAAGAAGAACTCACTCAAAATAATTTACTCTTACAAGAAACAAGAGAAACTCTAGAGGAACAACTTGTTAAATTTAGAAGACGAGCATCTCAAATACAAGATATGGAATCACAATTATTGCACTTAAAACAAACTATTAATACAATGACATTAGAAAGAGATGCACACTTAAGAAAAATTGATGAGCTTATACATGAAAATGCACAACTTGATCTTCTTAATAAATCATTTCAGTGCAATGAAAGCTTTAACAAAGACAATGACAGTGATAACTTTTTTGAACATATTGGCAAGTATAATATAATATAATATTAAATGAAACATTTATTTATCAGTAATTTAATTTACAGCAATACTACAACTATTTGCATTAATATTTACTTAAAAGTTGATACCTGCTCTCTATAAGTAAGGCTTGTGGCAAGAGTAGGAAGTCTATTATAACAATTAATATTATATATACATTACAATTTTTTTTACTTAGCCTTAACAAAAACTAAGTTGAGGTATAATATTTACAAATTAATTAATTAATTATTTTAATATAATTTGTAAAATAAGTATACATACTACCATAATAAAAACAAAAATAATCATAAAAACTTTAATATTAACAATAATAATGAGACATTAATAAAAAGACTTCATATATAATTTTTTTACATTAGTTTAAATTTAATATTACTTTCAATCAGTTTAATGTCAGTAGGGAGTTGGATAAAAACTTGAATAACTTTATTTATATTATAGTTCTCCACTAATGTTATATTTGGTTTAATGAATCTAATGAATCTTAAATTATTGTTAATATTTTAATTTTTTGAAATAACTCATTCGTACTATGATTTTGATTAATATAAAAAATGTTCAATAATACTCTAATAAGCATCCTATGCATTATATTTATTAATTCTAATTAATTTAGAATATTATAAACTATGCCATATGCAATTATTTCAAACATAATTGATTGAACTAATGCCAAATAAACCATTCTTAGAATTAAAATGTAGAAACTCAACACGTATTATAATCATTTAAATTTGGCTTTTTAATTGTAAGAGTTCATACAAAATTACACCTTAGTATTTACCCTAAACTTACTCTAGATAGGGGTGGTAACATTTTTCTTGACCTTGATATATCGGAAAACTAAATATCGATATGATAATATATCGTTACAGTAAATATCAATATTTCAAAATTTTTGTACTTTCATTATTGAACAAAAGACAGCATTGTTGAATTCTAAAATATGAAATTTGAATAAGTAACAATTAAACCCCATTTAAGTTAACCATAGAATAATTATTAGATTTTAATTGTTTAGATTTTTTTGCATAATTAATATTTTTAAATAAATAAAAACAAATTTATAATTATTAATAAATTTAAATACAAATATCCACTCTTAAATTATCTTATTTTGAACCATTATTAACTTATTAAGAAATAAAAATATTAAAAAAAAAATAATTTGAGCAAGATACAGGTAGTAAAATATCTTTCTTTGTACAATTTACTAGCTGACTAGCTTTTCTAATGCTAGATAATAGTGTAAATAGTAAAATTAGTAGTTTTCTTGTTTGTAACAATTAAATTTACATTAAGAATTAAATGTTCATATCAAAAATCCATAAAAACCACTATATAATTTATGAGATTGAGATGGAACATTGAAGACAATATTATCTTTTAACTAAAATCAAGTCACACAAGTCACACCTTATCAAAATTGGTTAAGTAGTTACAGAGTGCATCACACCTAATCGTAACCCATGATTTTTATTTTTATGTATATATATATATATAGCAAAGGGATAATATATTCCTTTGCCCTAAACTTAACCAGAGAATTGTAATCATTGAAGTGTGGAAATTCTTTGTTACCATATTGTGGATGAAACTGATAGAAAAATAAACTATACATACATTTTTTTCAAATATCTAATTTTAAATTTTTATATTATAAAAACAAAATTTTGGTTGTGGTTAAAGAATAATTTTTGTTTGAATATGTAATTTATTTTCACTATTTTATATTTTACATTAATCCTGCTCTAATTTGGTTATTTTTTCTCACATTAAATATGATTTAATTTTTTTTAAATTTGATAATTATATTCTAAAAATAAGATTAAATTATCATTTATAATCAATTAATTTATTTTAGGTAATAATATATTTCTATATTTATACTTATATTTACTTTAGGTTCAAAAGATAACAGTTTATGTGAACAACTCAGTACAAGTGCTCAGTCGCATGCACTAAGACTTGAATTAGAGAATAAAAAACTTACCTCAACAATAGAATGCTTACAGGAAAATATGAGACATCAAAATAATGAAATAATATTAGAACTTGAAAAGGATAAGAAATTGCTATCATTGCAGGTAATCTATATCTAAAAGTCACTTAAGACAAATGTGAAAGAAGAATCAAAGTCATTAAAAAGAAAAAAACTTTTTTTTTTAACTATTACATGTTTTAATTAGACTACGGATGATTATAGAGTGGTTTGGATGGGATATACTGCCTCTAAAGTAGTGCTCATACTGGAAATTTGTCCTTAAAATACAAAAATTTTACTTTTTTAGATTCTGAATGGAGCTTATAGTTTTACAAAGATGTTTATTTTTATTTTGTTAACAACATTTCTACCAGAAGTCTTGCTCAGATTTAAGTGTATCATCTTTTCTGAAAGGAAATTGGTGTGAGGAGGTAATTTTGCTGAGAAGTTTCTCATAAAATTTGAAAAATCAAAAAAAAAAAAAAAAAACAGGAAAATGTACGAAATATTTTACTAAAATATTATTATTTTTTTTTCCTAAGCACAACTTTTCAACCAGCAATTTTGCTCCAAATTTTAATGATACAAATGTTTCTAAAAGGAAGGGAGGTACTTTAGAGGGGTCAAGTACACTTCACCAAAATCATGTCGCCACAATTTTTTTGCCAATAGACAGATTCGCCGCTAATATTTACTCTGCCAGACTTTTGGCCAATGGACTTAATTTCTTAAAAGAAATTGATACATTTTTAAAAAAGAAATGATACTGGGGGTGGGTGCAGCTACTGTTGTAGTTGGAAAATTGGGATTTTGGAAAGGTATGACACATAAAGTTATTTAATTTAAATTTGTATTTCACGACAAATCATTGCTAACAAAAAATGATTCGTAGCACAATTTGGTAAGATAAATTTGGAAATGCCATAATTAGATCTTAAAACGCCTATCAAAATAAACACTAAAGTATTTAACTCAAATTAACCTTTTTGACCACTAAGTAAAACTTAAAATTAATCTTGTGTTAAATTTTCAAGGATTTTTGTTCAACAAAATTGTTTTATCCTCATATACCTACCAAATAGAAACAATAAAAAAATGCCGTTACTTTTACGTTTTCCATCAAACCAAAGTTTGATACTTAAATGCTTATTAAAATAAAAATAATACATAACACACAATTTATTTTTGTTTTACCATCAACTAAAATTTCTAATAAGTTATAACACGATATAAGGTAACTTAAATCGCGTTCAATTTTTAAATATTTTAGATTGTTCAAAAAATTATATTCACTTAAACCCAACCAATAGTAAGAGGAATGCCGAGAATTTACGATTTTTCTAATGAGTGTTATTTTATCTTTAAACAGGTATAAAGAAAACACTAATAAATTAAAAGGTTATTGATGAATAAGTCTGTAGGCAAAACAATTAACGGCAAAACTGTCCATCTGATCATTTTTCGATTTTTTCATCAAATTTGAAAAAACAAAAAACAAAACTTGAAAATGTAAGAAATGTAGGCATTAGTTAAAGTAAATTACAGCCTTCTTTTTTTCTGTGTAGAACTTTTCTACTAAACATTTTTCCTCCAACTTATATTGTTAGTAATGTTTCTAAAAAAAAATTTCACTAGGGAGGTACTTAAGAGAGGTTATTTTTTAATTTTCTCAGGAGTTTGGGAAATTGGGAAAATCGCTACAACTTTATACAAATATTATTAAAGAAAATATATAAAGCCTATTTAATTATTTTTCTATAAAATGACATATATATATTGTTGACAAAGCATCACTATCAACTAAACTTCGCTCAGAATCGTTTTTCTTTGAAAGCAATGGTTTATTGTTGTTTACAGGTGTACATTAATTATTTATAACAGTGGCTGCATCCGTCCTGATTATCCTAGGATATCATTTTGTTTTTGTTATACACTGGTTGCGTGGGAAAAACTTTTTGATTATAATTAAATGTTTTCACATGTTAAAAATGTTTATTTGCTTAATACATTTAGTAACATCACAAAAAAAACTTGCTGCTTTTAAGCTAATTCACTTAAATATAAATAATTTTTTTACCAAAGTCGACAAACTTCTTTTGTTCAAAATTTAACCCCTTTTTCACATTTATGCTTTTAGTATGGTATACTAAGTAGGACTATTTTTTTAATATTTCATTCTTTTTAATAGTAGGGCAGTATAATTTTATATTGGATACTATTGAAAATCAAACAGGTGTATATTATTTTTATTGACTTTACTTAAACTTTTGACAAAGTTGGCCATTAAATCCTAATAAAGGTTTTTAAAAAACTGGATTTGGGGAACCTATCTTATCTTGGTTTAAATCATATTTATCTGACAGAGTTCAATTTGTTAAAGTATTCAAATGTAAATCTGAAGCTGTCAGTGTAACTTCAGATGTTTCTTAAGACGTACATTATTTAGAATACTACTTCTTACTGTTACTCTTAACCTTTTCATCATTTGGTAACCCGATTAAATTAAACATAACTAGCCTCGGACATAGATTGGGTCAAAAAGGGCTCAAATGGTTTGTTGTGTAAAATTTGTGCAGTTCGCAAACAAATATAACATAGTTTCTATCAACGTTAGATTAACAGTAATATTTTTAGTGTCTGTTTTCACAATGACCTGTAAAATATTTAATAACACATTCAGTAGTTATTTTCCTCGCATATCTGCCAAATTTATTAAATACTACAGAACACTTTACAAGACATAGGAACAACCCTAAATTTAATATGTTATACATATAATGATTTAAACATATATTATGTTCGATGTATTTTCTTGGGTTATAATAATGAATAAGAACCATTATCAATGATTTTTTTTCTAAAGCTTTATTATACTGATTGGCTGGTGACACAATGCATTAGTGTTATTTGTCTGAAGACTTTTATTTTAAAGATTATAGTGTAGTTATATTTAGCCGTATTTGTGTTTCAAAGATATTATTATTATTATTTTTTTACATTAGTTTAAAATATGTCTTATGTATGAACAATCAGAATTATTGCCTTTTTGTATTTTAGGCTGATTTTAATTTTTAATATAGCTTAACATTTTAATAAAATAAATTTATAAAAATATACAAAGGATAATTAATTTCATGAAAAACGCTCATTATTTCAAAAAGTAGCGATTTTTGCAAAATAAAAATTTTTTTGAGAATTTATTAAGAAACAAGCAGTTCTTCAATGTTACATTATCATTATTTTTATGGAGAAACGACTACATAAATTTGATTTCCTAATGGTAATGTACATTCAAAATTTTATAATTAGATGGGATTAGCTTAAATCAATTTTAGAATTAAAATTTTTAATTTTGTCAACACATTGATGAGATTTTCCAAGTTTTAATTTGGATATAGGGAAAGTAATAGACAGCTATTCAAACTATATCATTAGGTACATATATATATATACAGTGAGTGTAAAAAGTATTCGTACATCCTACTTTATTAAATAAATATACATTTTTCTTCATGATATTCTATTTTATCGATAAATTAATACATGCATATTATTCATTGACGATTTTTAATTATATTAAAAAAAAAAAAAAACATGAAAAATGTTATATTAATAATAATATTCAATAACAAACAAAACAATACATATAACAGGAACAATAAATATCCGTACACTTCTATTTTAGTTACGGAATCACCTGTTATTAGAAAACGATAAGATATACAAAATGTCACATTAAAAGTTTGTCCCCAACCACGTTACAAGATTATACCAATTCAGTTAGCTTTGAAATATTATTGGAATATCATCTATCACAAAATGAGTCAAAAAAAATGCGAGACAAATAAAACTGAACGTGAACTAATTCTGTGGTTGCATAATCAATGCCAATCATAACGTCACATATCAAAAATTGTCAACAGAGCTCATAGCACTTTGAAACACGTGATAAATCGATACAGTAAGCGGAAAAGTCACGAAAATAAGCAACAATCTGGTTGTCTAAAAAAACTTTCTGACTATGATAAACCTATAGTTTAACGAAAAGTCAAATTGAATCTAAAAATAAGCGCTCCTAAAATAGCACAAGATCTTGCGAATTTTTCTGGAGTACGTGTTTGTGTAAGTACAATAAGAAATTGTTTAAAAAATATTGATTACCATGGACGAATAGCTCGTCGAATATATTTTTTAAATAAAAAAAATAAACAAAAGAGATTTGCTTTTGCAAGAGATAACTTACATCAATCTGATAACTTTTGGAACAGAGCTATATTAACAGGCGAAAGTAAATTTAATATTTTTTGCTCTGATGGAAGACGTTTTGTTTGGAGAAAAGCAAATACAGAAATGGAACCAAAAAAATTTACAGCCTACAGTGAAATACAGAGGGGGTTCTGTAATGGTTTGGGGATGTATGAATGCTCAGGGTATTGGAAACTTGCACTTTATTGATGGAATTATGAACCAATATATTTATTTAAATATTTTGAAGACAAATCTTACAGCTAGTGCCGAAAAAATGGGCATCAAAGATGATTTCATATTTACACAGGACAATGATCCCAAGCATACTGCAAAAAAAGTTAAGGCTTGGTTGTCGAACAATGTAACTAAATATCTTGTGACGCCACCACAGTCTCTAGACATTAATCCTATTGAGAATTTGTGGGATTATTTGGACAGAAAAATTCGAGATCACAATATTTCAAGTAAGGAAACTCTAAAAAAAGCTCTAGAAGAGGAATGGAATAAAATCACAGCAGAAACAACACGTCATCTGGTTGATTCAATGTCTAAGAGGTTGGAGTCTATAATAAGGTCCAAAGGCTACCCTACAAAGTATTAATTAGGGTAGGGCTATACAATAATTTAAAGGCATTTTTTTTGATACAACTCTTTATTATTATTATTTTTTTTTATTATTATATATTTATTGTTTTGTTTGTTATTGAATATTATTATTAATATAACTGTTTTCATGTTTTTTTTTAAAATTTAATTAAAAATCGTAAAAGAATAATATGTATGTATTAATTCACCAAGAAAAATAAAATATCATGAAGAAAAATGAATATTTATTTAAAAATACAGAGTGTAAGAATACTTTTTACACATGTGTGTTATTATTTATAACTTATTGTTTTAGCTTGAAGAAATAGAAAATAGTAGAAATCGTGTACAACAACATTGCACATCAATAGAAAACGAACTTTCTAATATAAAACATGAATATAAAAAATTAATTGAAATTAATGAAATACTGAAAATAAAAATTGAGGTGAGTGCATTTTTTAAATAAATAAATATGTTTTATAAACAGGGGCAGATAGTGATTTTTTTTCCAATCTGAGAAAATTGAACCAAACAGGCCCACAAACTTGCACTAAGAATTTTAAACACTCCCTTCTCCATTTTTAACTTCGTCACAAGTTTAATATATATTATTTTTTAAATTCAAATAAATTCCCTATAAAAAACAAATATAATTCATAGTATAAATGGATTTAAAGTATTTAGGTAATTTGTGTAATTAATATCCACTAAATTAATTGAAATTTTAATCTATTTAATACCACAATAGGTACATTTTAAAGAATATAATTAATGATTAAAATATTAAATGCCTGAACCTATAATAGTTGACATCAGTTGATAACATAAGTTCTCTATGTAAAACTTACTTTTATTTTTCAATTGTTTAATTATACAAAGCGTTAATAACAACATTCAATATTATATTATATATTATATATATCTAAAGTATTTATTTTTATTTTATAAAGTATATAATAATATAGCAGCTTACACGAAAACTAGTCCATTGGAAAATTTCCTGATTTCCTAATGAGCCAATTCCTTCCACTTAAAAATAATATTTATGTGTGTAGAAATAATTTATAAATAATATTATTAGATAAAAACTGAAGAATTTGAAAAAATGAAAAGAGAAAATAAGAAACTAGAAATAGAAATTAAAGAAAATAATTCTCTTCATAGCAATGAAAAATCTGATCTTGTTCAAGGATTGGAGTTGAAAAATAGTAATTTAGAAAGAGATATAACTAAATTAAAGGGAACATTAGATGTAAGTATTATACAATTTGAATATTTGAATACTTTAATATTAGCATAAAACAATGTTAATATACCACTTAATATTTTAGAATAAATTAGAAGAAATTGATAACTTGACAAGCGAAATAGATATGTTAAATAAAGAAAAAGAAATTTTAAATAAAAATTTAGATGAAAATGACAAGCAAATATGTCGTTTACGTTTTATTGAAAATGAGTTTCATGATTTAAAAAGTAAATATACTGTTGAAGTGGCTGCAGCTAAAGCTATTCAGGATGATTTGGTATCAGAAAAACGCAAATCTCAACAAATTATGGATAATTTAGACAAATTAGGCTTAGCATTGGACCAATCTGCTAAACCGGAAAATGTATTAGACCAGTAAGAAACTAATATAATTATATCTTCAATATAAAACTCATTTGAATATGAATAGCTTCTTGATGCTTATAAAAACTGGAAATTAGTATAAATATATGATACTTTATTATAACTGTTATGTTAACTTAAAGAAAGGTAGACCTTAAATATCTATACAATAATATTTACAAATTTAATTTTAGAATTTTTATTTTATTAATTATTTTAGAATTACTTTGTAAGTACCATAAAATTCATATTATTTTTATCATAATATATTTTTTTATACAGAATTGTTTCAAGTCCTGAAGTAGTTAAAGCTGTGAGAGAAAAAATTACCCAAGATACTAATATGTTTCATGAAATAAAAACCCTTAATGTAGCTCAAATGGAAGTTGATTTAACCTCTTTAAAATCTAAAGTACATTCGCTTAACAGTCAACACACTGCATTACAATTAGCTAACACACAGTTGGCTGCAGAAAAAGAAGAAGTAATACAGTACCTATAATAATTTATTATACAATATATTTGTAATTTTTCTATTATCTATATTTTATAAGGCTCAAAAAGAATTAGAATCAACAAATTTAGCTTTTTCTAAACTACAAACACTACACAATCAATTAACAATTGAATATGAAGAACAACTCAAACAAAAAGACTCTTTAAAAAATGATCTCAAGGAAGCTAGATTTTCATTAAAAGAAAAGTTAACACAATTAAAAAGTGTTGAATCAAAACTTAAACGGGAAAATGAACAATTAAAAGCTGATTTGATTACAGTTAAACATTTACCTGCTGAACATGCAAAATTAAAAGTAAGTTTTTTTACAAAATTACTAGATTACAAAGTTACTAAATAAGTTAATTATTTTGTAGGATGACTTCAGAGCGTTATTTACTGTAAATGAAAAACTAAAAACTGATCTAAGGAATGGGTTAGATACCAAGGAATTAATTGAATCTCATGAAAAAGAGATGGAGATTCTTAAATCAAAATTGACAGATTCTAATGCTCGTTATATGGTAACATAAATTTATGTTTAATTTTACCACACTGCTTAGATCAGACCTTTTTGTTAAGTGCTAGGTATCTATCCGGATAATAATAAAAAAAAATAATGTAAATGAAATAAAAATAAGTACCAGGTGTCAGAATTAGATCTTAAAATGGATTTCCTTCTGACTAGAATTAAATAATAAATATTTATCAATAATTTAGTGTTTACATTTCATATTATTATGTTGGCATTTGATAATTTTGTAATGTTACCAAATATAGTAATATATCATAATCATGTAAACATTAAGGTATGATTAGGGTCCCCCATTACACATTTTTTCCATTCTTTTTTATTATAAACTATTATCTATCTAAACTCATACTGTTTTTAGATCTACCATGAGTCCCTCTATTTTATCTTATCTTTCACCTCTTATTTGTACATCTATTTCTTGTTTTATAATTTAGTCATCTGACCTCCATACATGTCCTAACTTAATGTAGTAATATATTAGTTATTTTAATTATTTAAATAATGAACGTTTTTCAATGTCCAAAATAAATAGTATTAGTAACTAGGTATAATAATTGACACTTTTAAATTGTTATGTTATGTGATTTACTTGAGAAAGAAAAACAATTATGATTTACAACACCTCTTCCAACATTAATTGTTAGCTCTAAGCCATCCAGGTGTCAGCGTCAAAAATTAAATTATTCAGTAGAGTAAAATAAATTTTTGTTTTATCAATTTTCAGAATCATTGTCTGATTTTAGATTCTGAGTGGTGAGATAAGAAAATTTGCTTAGATTTTTAAGTGTAGCACCTTTTCCGAAAAAAACTGGTGTGGAGAAGTCATTTTTGTATTTTCAAGTATTAGTTAAAATTTATTACTACCTTCTTTTTGATTTTTCAAAGAGTTTTTCTCAGTAAATGTGAAAAACAGGAAAATCGGTACAACATTAAACAAATTTAATTAATTAAAGAAAATGTAAAAGGCTCTTACAGCAATTTTGGTTTTTAAATCTTATTTAAAACACATATCTATTATTTAATGTTATTTACACCATAATCTTATTTATTTTATAAAATATAATACAATAAATATTTAATAAAATTGATAGTGCAATCAATGCTCCGTTCTGATGTTTATATTATAATATATAAATTTGTTTATGCTCTTTTGTCATCAATTTGTAATTACCATTAATTATTAATTTTTAATTAGGTACTGCAACAAATGACTAGTACATTTGTAGAAGATAGAAGATCTTTAATGGAACATGTTACTATGTTAATTACCCAATACCATGAGCTTTTAACTCAATCATTAGAAGATAAAGAGCAATATCATTTAGAAGAAAAAAATAATGCGTTGGTTGATAATTTGTTAATCATTTATTATTTCTATAATTATTATGTCATATTATAACATTTTATTTTCAGTGATAAATTGAATCATTTATCTCGCCAAAAAGAAAAACTTGAAGAAAAAATAATGGATCATTATAAAAAACTAAATAGCTGCAGCATTACAAAAAAGTAATATTCAATATTCTTAATACTTTAGAAATTCTTAAGAACTTAAATGTAAAATTAATAATTTTAAATTATATCTCAAATTAATTCTATTTCCTTTATCATATTATTAACATATTATATTAGATTATATTCTAATGAGAGTAAAAAATGTAATTATTTTACAATCTTATTTATTTATTTATTTTTAATTGAAAAACTTTTTAAGGAGATTAGGACTCAGTTAGCATCTTCATGTAATTATGTATCGCTTAAAAATATATAAAATTTATAGACTTGTAGATAAAAATCATTATCATACCATTGTTCCATTAGATTAAAAAATTAACTGACAAATAAAAAAAAATCAATAATATACAGAGTGATATTTTCATTATTAATCACCAATTTTCTTAGAAGATTTTAAGTAAATTTGATTTTTGTTAATCATTATGGAGATTAAGTTTTAATTTAAAACCATTCTAAATTCTTATCTCTGCTTCATGTATTTATTTAAAGTATATGGGGTATGGGTAAAAAATTAAAAATGGTTTTAAAATAAATTCAAACTGATACTTCACTGAAATTCACTTAAAATTCTTCATTAAAATTGCTGGTTAATGATAAAAAAATGACCTTGTAATAGAATTCTAATTTTTTTTTTCTAATTTAAATTTTATTCATTTTAACATTTTAGATTCTGAGTAAAGCAAGGAATGTATTGGTTTTACAATAATGTGTTTATTATTATTATTATTATTATTTTTTTTTTTATGAACATTTTTTCTACCAGAAATTATGATCAGTACTTTTTCTGAAACGAAATCTGAGTGGAGAGGTGCTTTAGGGGTGTCATTTTTTTTTTGTTTTTCTAAGAATTTTTCCCAACAAATGGGAAAAAGTGAGAAAAAAAAAAGGGAAACTGGTTAAAAATATAAGAAAAACAGGAAAAAAAGGTACAATTTTAAATTAGAAAATAGGTAAAAAATTAAAAATTAATGTTTAATGCATAGTTACGTAATTATTTTACCACAGTATTACATATATATTGTTTACAAAGCAACACTATCAATGAATTCTGCTAAAAATTGTTTTTTTCTTTAGCAATGATTTATTGTTGTATACAAATATACATTAAATTCCCATCTATATCCTACCTTTTGAACTTCCCACCTAGAACAGTGGTTGCACCCATTCCCATTATCCTAGGATAACATGATACATACTATACTGTAACATATATCAATTTAATAACCAGAAATACTATCAAATACATTTATTTCTTTTCACAATATCTTTTATTATTTTACCTTTATATTTAAAAAACTATTTATTTATTATTAAAATATATTTAATTGTTATACTGTACATTGTTTTTATTATTCTCTTAGAAAAACCTTTGGTTCTACTTGGATAAGAAAAGTAAAAAAAGCTGGTACTGAACTAATGAATAAGGTAAAATATTTTATTTAAAAATTGTATTTTTATTCAATTTCAATGATTAATTATAATTAGAGTTTATTCCTTTTTATATTTTTAATTTTTTCAATTATCTTTAAGAATCATACTAATTAGAATTAATTTATGAAGTTTAATTCTCATAATTGAATATTACAATGAAAATTATGTGTCAGTATAAACAAGTGTGCCAAACATGACGAAGGAACAAATAATATAATACCATTTAATAATAAAAGATATTTATTATATGTTGCACAGTATTTGTGATTCTTTTCTGAACCTACCAAAATTTTAAAAATTAATTTTGTCTTTTTGACTGCATATTTTAATAATTTTGAGAATAGTTAAAATTGGGCTCTAATCATAATAATCATATTATGAGTATTAGATACCTTACTACTATTAAATTATGTTAAATATTTTATTTAGAGCCGAATATCCTGGCATGAAGATATGGTTAGAAGAGGAATTGATTCAGACACAAGTTTAGATTTGGATGATAATCAATCAAATCATCATGGTAAAATTTATACAATGCATGTTTGATTTTTATTATGTAGTATTTAATCAATTAAGCATTTTTTTTTAGAATATTCTGATAATCTAAGTAGTTTAGGAACACCAGGAACTCGTCAAACTCTATATCTTTCCGGTGAAGAAAATGTAAGTTTAATAAATGATATAATAACAATAATAATAATAAATATACTATATTTGTATTATAATACATATTGATGACGTTTTGTAAAAAGGCATATACCACATTCAATGCACAAATAATTTGTGTACTCATTTTATTGTTTTCGTGATAAACATAATTAAAAACTGTTTTGTTGTTTTTTTGCATAGTTTTTAATACCCCCTTTTAACAAAACACCATAAATATATTATATATACTACTTTTACATAATACGAGTTAAGCCGTTCTTAATTAAAACCAATTTTATTATGAGTCAACCTAAATTGCCTGACTTGTAAACATGTGAGTCTTTAATATTAAAGTGTAAGTTCTAATTTATAAAAATGAAATCTGAATAATATGTTTTCATTCGTCAAAATAAAAGTGATTATTCCATTTCCATATAACAAAATACAACTAATTTAATTTGGTTAAACCACATATTCGAGAATACTTAAATTAAAACTGGTTTATTCTATTAAGTTTACTTTAAATTGTGTATATTATGCATGATTAAACCACTTAAATTTTTAAACCGCCTTTAATTGTGCATGTAAACGTAGTATAGTTCCTTATAAAAAAGGTCATAATTTTTTTTAAAGATTTTATCTATGTACATTTAGTAATTTTTTTTATTCATAGGAAGTTATATTGTTTTAAAAAAAAATATATTGTTGAATGTAAACAGATGATTTGGGGATTGGAAAGGTCAGGTTTAAAAATGATAAAACTACTCTAAAAACCATAGCGTTTATAAAGCTGTTGAACATAATATTTACTATGATAAATATTATGTATGAATACATATATATATATAATTATATAATAAATACAATTTATTAATTTAACTATTCATTTTTGGCCATTATGATAAATCAAGTAGTTGTAGTATTTAATATAATGGTCTATGTATGATTACAAATTTAAATGTAGAAAAAATACTTTATCAGGTTTTATATGATTTTACAAAGATATTTATTTTTTATTTTTTTTTTAACTGTGAACAACTTTTTCTACCAAAAATATTGCTCCGATTTATAAGTGTAATACTTTTTCTGAAAGGAAATCTGAATGGAGAGGTACTTGAGTTGATTTCCCCAGGAGTTTTCCTAATAAATGGGAATAATGGGAAAAATAGGTACAATATTAAACAAATATCATTAAATAAATTGCATAATACCTATATTACTATTTTACCATAATATGCCATATATATTGTTGACACAGCAACACTATCAACTGAACTCCGCTCAGAATCAATTTTTTGTTAGCAATGGTTTATTGTTGTTTACATTAAATTTTCCTTCTACTACCGTATCAACTTTTCATCTACAACAGTGACCCACCCATATATGAAGTATGCCCATCTTTTTTGTCTGCAATGACTTATTAATTATTATATAAGGTATTTAAACTAAATAATTAGCTATATAGCTTTCCTTCTTCAGACTTACAACAATGACCTAGCCATGGTACACAGTAAATCCATTTCTTATTATTATAATATTAGGTTTTGATGATTAAATGATAGTAAACGTATAAACTTTATTTTATAGTATTGGTTCAAATTAAATGCTCATGTTAATATGATATATTGTTAGTAATGAGACTTGCATTAGTTACTAACTTCATTAACTGAGCAACATTTAACATCTATTTCTAGAATTATGTTATTTTGTATGTCTTAATACTTTATGATTTATAGTTGACTAAATAATTCCAAAGTTTTTTTAAAAAAATATTTGGTAACACTTGTATTACATTGTAATTTAGGATGGTGAGGAAGGACCTATTATAGCTAGCCATTCATTATCAAATTCACCACTTACTTCATCATATCGTAATGAACACAAGTATAAATTAAATATTGTCTATTTAAATTTTGAATTTATATTGTGATACTTAAGAAATTATTTTCTAGGTTATCTTCTGCTAACGATGACGAAGCAAAAGATAATAGTAGCAATTCAACAATGCGTTCCAATAAAACTCTTCTAACAAAAGAAGATTCAAATTGGTATGAATATGGATGTGTTTAAAAAAAGCATATAAAAAATGTCCTATATAAATTCTTTTGACTGCAAAAAGTTTTGTAACATGGAATTTTTTAAACTCTTTGTTCCTGTTTTTTTTTTTTTTTTATTGCGTATATTTTCTTCTAATTTAAGCATTTACTTTTTATAAATATACATTTTTTTTAGTTCTTAACTATTTTGTAAATAACGTTTATATATACTAATTTTATTAATGTTATTTTTATATTATGTTATTTTTATTAGAATAATTTGTATAAGATATAAATACTAATTGATTAAGAAATATGAATAATTTACTATTAAAACTAGAATTTAGTGAGATTTGGATTAATAATGTATCATAATGTGATATTTAACTAAAAAGTAAAATGTATAATTATGTATGTAACCGATTCTTGCCCATATTTTTTTTAAAAGGATTTGTTCACTAAACAACAAAAAACGAATTAAATTATTGTGATATTTTTAAACATTTGGTGGTTAGAAAAATAATTATTTTATGAAATCAAAAAATAATCATTAATAGGTATATATTTTTAATTTAAAAAAGATTTAATTATGTCTAAAATGTAATATGAAATTTTGTATGAAATATAAATTTGTATAATATAGTATGATTTTTATATTTATTGAATTAAGACAATTATAAATTAAACTATAAAACCCCCGTTCATGGAATCCTAATTGCACCACTAGCAATAACTTCGAAACATTTGTTAAGAAAAAAAAATTGGAAAAATTGTATGTGTGCTTAACTAGACTTATACTAAATTCTTAAAAATAACTATAAATTACAAAATTAAGAACAATTTATTAAAATTTAATAAAATATCTGTAGTACCTAATAAATTTCTCCTTCATCGCCCTCCTTACAAACTATTTGAGATTGGGCACTAAAGCTCTGTACTGTTCAGACCAGTCCGGTAATGCAGTCCGCATTACGGTATTTTCAGTCTGACATTTTAAGTGGAGCAAGGAATGTATTGGTTTTATATTATTAATTTTTTTTTTTTGTTCGTCTTCTACTAAATACTCTTACTACTAATATTTCTTACTCCAATCAAAAAATGACTAATAAGTTGCAATAACATTTTAGATCTGATTGGTATATCACTTTTTCTGAAAGGAAATTAGATTAGGTTGGTACTTTAGGGAGATCACTTTTTGATTTTCCCAATAAATGGGAAAAAATAGGAAAATGTATGAAATGTATTATTTTAAATTGTAAATATTACAGTCTTTCAAAACATGTATAACCAAACTCCGCTCAGAATCGTTCTTCGTTAGCAAAGATTAAATGTTGTGTACTGATATACATTTCATTTCTCTTCATATGATATCTTCCCAATTTCTCATCTATAATAATGGTGCACTTATCATCCAAATTATGCCCATATATTTTTATTTTAGAACTCTACGGTCCAGCTCGACAAGGAATTAAATAATAATCAATATTTTTTTGTGTAGTATGTTATACCTCCGTAGCTTGCATTTTGATTTGGTACTTGATGGGGGGAACCGACAGTCGTGCTCATGTGAAGGGGCCCATATCGCCTCCCTAGATAAGTAGACTTACATTGGCATTTGGCTTAGTCATTTTTCCAGAAGTAGACATATTAGATATAATCAATATATTATTTGACATAATTTTTTAGATTCTGAATGTAGTGAAGAATATATTGGTTTTACAAAGATGTTTATGTATATTTTTTTTTATACTGTTACAAAAATTTCTACCAGAAATCTTGCCACGTTGTGCGTGCGGCACCATTTCTGAAAAGAAATATTGTCATAATCAAAATTAAATTCTTCTTTCCCAACTTCTCATCTACAACAGTGGTTGACCCATGTGCGAAGTATACGTATTTTTTTTTTTATCAATCATTAATATTAAATTTAATTATTTAGCCCCTCTCCGTGTCCCGGAGCAATTAAAACACTAGACCTTCTATATTATTATTATTATTGTTTATTTCTTCGAAAAGATAATGGGCCCCACTGAACAGGTTCTATACTAATATAAATTATAATCTTTTTATTTATTTCCCGTGACCAACTCAAATAAATGTTTCAAATTTTGTATTAAAAAGAAAAGGGTAACCATATTATAAAACAAAAAAAAAGAGATAATAACAATAATAATGATGAAGGAAGCGATATCTTGGGCGTTTACTGTAACATTAGAAGCGCCGATTTCAACCTTTATCTATGGACCCCCTCCCCCCGTGTTCCAACTACGACGGCGGCCAGTAGCTGGCGGAATACCTGCAATCAATAGCCCGACCGACTCAGCGTTCGCGTGGTAATAGGAGCTATCTGTTTCTTGTCGCATCTTTCTTGGTACGTGTCGGCGGCCACCCCAACGTCGGCTTATTGCATGCCATGTACCTGCCTGCGTATCATGTCCGTAGTTGCGTACACATATCTACGGCCGCTGCGTAACATAATTATAATACCTAATATAAAGATTAAAAGGCGAATATAAAAAAAAACATCTATATGGTCCACACGGCTACTCCGTTTATTATTATGATGTTTATAGGTATGTCAAAATTATTTTTCTGGGAACTTCCAGAGCAGTGAAGCATAATTTCCGATTGATCTGGACAAGTCGGGTGGCCTGTTTAATAATATATTTTACTATAAATTAGTGTATTATGTACCTACATTTGAGGTTAGTGGCGCCATTTGAGTTTTTTAATAAGGGTGTCAAAAATTAAGCAGGCCAATTTTTTTTCATAATAGTAAATACATACATCTTTTGTGTGTAAGCCGCATATATGGAGTGGAACTAGAGCTGTACATTTTTGTGAATATTATTTTGGTTGAACATTCTTTTTTATATAGATTTTTTAATTATTTATTTTTAAAATTATAAGCCATTTGTTAATTATACATTTATTCACAAAACACTTGCCGATTTACTTGTTAAATAAAAATACTTATAACTGCTTAATATATTTAATTACTTAAAAAGACGTCCTAGAATAATGGAGACGGGTACAACTACTGTTATAGGTACATTAATGTATACCTGTAAGTAACAATTAACCATTGCTCACGAAAAAACGATTCTGAGCGGAATTCAGTTGATAATGATGCTTTGTCAACAATACATGTCATTTTATAGTAAAATAATTAAATAGACTCAATATATTTTCTTTAATAATATTTGTTTAATGTTGTACCAATTTCCCCGTTTTTCCTAGTTTTCCTGTGTTTTTCTCGGTTTTTCACATTTGCTGAGATAACTCCAGAGAAAATCGAAAAATGACGTCTTTAAAGTACCTCCCAGTGAAATTTCCTTATAGAAAAATTGCTATCATATTAAGTTTCAAAATTCCTGGTAGAAAAGTTGTCTTCAGGAAAAAAAATCGTAATATTATATAAATATATTTTATGCATTTTCCCGTTTTTTTTTTCGGTTTTTCGCAATTGATGAGAAGACACTTGAAAAAATCGAAAAATGAACTCCCTTAAATACCTTCTTAACAAGTCTTATGGTGTAAATATTGTCCACAGAATAATAATAATAATAATAATAAATAAACATCTTTGTAAAACCATAAGCTTTTACTAAAAAGTAGAAAATGTAAGAAAATATTATTTTAAATCTATTTTTAGAATGTATTTTTCGGTAATCAGTCGACAGACGTAGTTAATATTATTATTGCTGTTACTTGATAACAAAAGAATATTTTAAGGAGCATACGCCGATACATACCTGTATACTATATTTTATTATGCCTACCAACGAAAAAATGCATTATCTAAAAAGTTGGAAATAGTTTTGGTATGCATAGCAATAATACACATTTATAAAAAATAAATAATAATATGCTTTACCTAGTTTACCTCCATATATAATAATTATTAATATATTACACATTTATATTTTTTATGCGTTATAGTATTCATAACAAATAATACATTTAAATTTTTACGCATAAGGCATATTCGCTTATCGGTGCAATTGTAAATTTTAATTCCGGACAACTAGAGACAGAAAAATAGGCGTGCTAATGGCACGCCCTGTACCCCTCCCAAATGGCGCCTCTGTCCAAGGTTATTAATAGACAGCGGATGTTTATGCATTTATCATATTTTTATATAACATTTAAATCAGAGGTTTTCAACCTTTTTAATAATGCGACACACTTCATCTCTTACACAATTTATGAGGCATACCAATCTATATAATACGTGAAGCATATTTTACATATAATTTACATACAAATATAGGTTTAAAATCTACTCTATTAGAAGGTTAATTGTTGTGAAATAACGATGAAAAAATGTGTTAGCAGAAATATTTATTTTATATGATAATTAAAAATCGGATTTACTTGATATTGCAACTTTTTTTGCAATAAAGATAAATTAGATCTGATTAAATATATAGCCGGTATATACTTAAAATATTCTGCCTATTTAATTTTATAATGCAATTTTCTTACGTTTTTAAATCATAGGTATTTATCGTTGGTCTGGAATTTTCTAAAAGCTTGGAGAGCCCAATGAGCAATAAGCATATATATATATATATACAGTGGAACCTCGATAACTCGAACCTCTATAAGTCGAATTTTCGATAACTCGAAGGAATACCTTGGCCTCGGGCTTCCAATATATGATATGTGTGTGATATGTATATGTTTTCCATAAGTCGAATTTTCGATAACTCGAATTTTTTTTTTCGCCCCCAACCGATTCAAGTTATCGAGGTTCCACTGTATATGGTGGTAATTAAATTCAACGTAGTAGTACAGCGATTCGTGTGCGTTTACCTATTTTTACCTTAGTACCTATTCCTTTGATCAATTTGATCGCACAGTGAACGTATTCGACGTAATGCCTAAAATAAAATAAACTTTAAAAACTAAAATTTCGAATTGGATTGCTCCTTACAATGAAAATTAAGAAGTATTTTCATCAGATGGAAAGGTATATTACCTCGTATGTAACAAATATGTGTCTACTTAAAAAAAAATATCTATTAGATCATTACTCCAAAACAAGTAAATTTTGTAATTTATGCTCATACTACATGTAATATACTACATATTATTTAAAAAAAACATGTATATTTTTTTTAGTTCAATACAATGCATTACAAAGGAATAAAGGATATTGGAAATAATTACGTTTATATAATTGTTGACGAAACAACCGATCCAAGGGGCTTACATAAATAATTTTTTTATTTTCTCATATAATAAAATATACTATTTTCGTTTGGGTTTGGCTATTGCAAATGTATTAATTAGTAAATTAGATGGGACATCTAATAAATCATTAAAATCGGACAATGACCTTTTGAAAAAACCCCCCCAGTATCAAATATACAAATACAAAACACTAGTAAACAGGTCAAACGCGCACGAATGAATGGTGAACAAAAAACTCGCCGCGCGTTTCTTGCGTCAAATTTTGTATTGTAGGAAATCCGTCATTGAACTGTGCGACCACTCCGGTCGCGCATCACTAGAATCAGAATAGTACAGCTAGGTATATCGTGTATTCGTGTTATTGATTGGTGGTGTTTCACAAGAAGCAAATGTTCGCACAGTGAACGCGATTTAAAATCGCCGCGAATATTTGTTCAAAATTAAACAGATATATTTAAGTCAACGTATTCACACGAAAATAATCACCCGAATAATCACAACAAATCGCCCCTGTTTAATTTTAGGCGAACGTTCGCTGGGGTAGGCTAAAATCAAACACATTGTTTTGACAAGCTTTACATACACGGCTCGATAACCGGCGCGAATGTTCGTCGTCATCATTTAAACATTATCGATCACCATTATTTTAAAATTATTTTAATAAACTTAAAAACTTAACTTAACTTTAAAAAATAAAATAGTGAGTTTTCAAAATTTACACTAAATATAATGAATTACACTAACGCGTTCAATAGTATTCAACGTTTCCATTTAAAAAAAATCTAATTACCAAACTGATTAAATAATATTAAATTAATACTTATACATATATATCTAGTTTTATATGGCCTGGTGAAATATTGCCTGATTGACACCGAGCACATCCCCCAAAAATACTAAAATAACGCCCTTTCGCGAACATTCGCTTCGTGTGAAACAATCTGAACAATGAACTTTTTAAAATTATCTAGATGGTATGGATCGTTGAAAATTATTCAGAATATGTTAGTGGCGACCAGTAAAATCGAGTATAATGACAATTTTATTGTATAGGTAGCTACGTGATTTTAAAAACCAAAAGTTATTTATATAAACATTTTATTTGGAAATCTGATGAGGAACTTTGAAATAACAGAAATTTGTAATGCAGATTATTTGTTTTTAACATAGATTTTTTTTGGTGAAGGGATAAAATTAAGAAATAAACATTTCTCTATTCAAACAAATTCAATATAATAATTGATATTTTTAAATACACAATTAAATTAATTAAAACGATTTAATCTCTAATCCTCTTATGTTTGGGCCACTACACTCAATAAAACAAAAAATAAATGCATTTATGTTATTATGTTATTATTTATAGTTTAATTACAATTTTTTTTTATACAATAGAAATGTTTCAATTAATTTTCAAAACTTCATAATGGATATCCTTGCACCATAACACTTGTTTCTGGAGATGCATTTGTCATTAAACGACTTACATAACTCTAAAAATAACCGATGATTAAAAAACATTTTGAAAAGTATGTTTTCTCTGCAGAGTCGAGACATGATTTACACTTCTAGACGCCGCGTTTCGTCAGTTTTTTTTTTTTTACTTATTTGATATATTTACTATTTAATTTATTAGCCGTTTTACAGTGATCCGGCGCATATGATTATATCTTCATGAAAATTAATATTCTCATTTTTTCACAAAATTTTAAATCATATTGATATACAAATAATTTCAAATAACAATAACATGATATATGAATCATTAATGAAAAAAGATGATGATAGATTACTTCTTTACTATGTTTTAATACAAAATAAAAAAAAGGAAAAACCCAATTAATAATTTTTTTTTCCTTAAGTCAGTCAAAGGGAAAGGTTTTTCAAAAAAACTAATTATTGTTATCTAATGATGATTTCTTAATAATTGTTCTTTTAACATGTTGAAATAAGCATTTTAATGAATTGACTGATCTAAGACCAGTGCTAAGGACAGATGCCGCATCAAGCATTAAATGCTAAACGTCAAATGTTCAAAAGAAAACAGTTATATACATAAAATGCATAAAACTAAAGACACACCGTTTCATACTTTGTCTGGACGCTGCAGGGAAAACTTATCTTAAGGGTATTATTGATATTTTATTGAAATAATTAATTTTATTAGTGTCAGATGTGTACAGGTGTTTTATATAGAAATTCCTATTCGTCTTAAAAATAAATTTTATACTAGTGTGATGAAACCAGCTATGTTGTATGATTCAAAGGAACGAACTGTAGAGAGAAAAAAGATAAAGGATAAGTAACATAAGTGATAGCTTAACCATGGCTTCAATAGTAAACAAAATGAGAGAAAATAGACTGAGATGGTTGGGTATGTCCTGAGGAGAGAGGAATCTTTTTATTGCTAAAAAGAACTAAAAATCCTCTTGTTCATAGTTATAAGAACAATAAAACAACCATCCACAATAAAAAATCAATTATGAAATATTTGTACACCAGATTCCAGAATACCATAATTTTTCCAATGATTACTAAGATTTTTTACTAGATTATCAAAGATTTCCTGTAAGATAACCAAACATTTGTATATTGATTTTTGTTAGTGATTTACTAGCAATAATATGGACAATACATAATAATATATAAGCATTGAACATAATTTATTGTAGTATCATCATCACTTATAGAAATGAAAAAAAGATGATGCAGAGAAGCCTATATTACATCTTCATCTACTTTATGTATATAATTACACATACTGATTTCAGATTTATAATATATTTTAATTGAATACATACTTTTTGGTCATGCTCAGTAGCATAAGCAATACACATTGACTTTGTAGTATGAGCACTTAATATTTCACAGCAGTCTTTATTTTTATATAGTACAAGTACACCTGCAAGTTTTTCTTTGCAATCATTTAATAGTGGAGACTCTGTTAGAAATATCATAAAAAATTATTTTAATAATTTGAATTAAACAAAATACTTAGTTTTTATTACTAACGTATAAAATCTTCATTGAAGCATTTATTAATTGCAATTGTTGGACAAGAAGAATTAAAAAGTTGTTTTGACATTTCTTTAGCTAAGTTTGTTTTAATAAGATGTTCCCCACAACCTGATGTGGTCACTGCCGTTGCAGCATCATCAGTCATTTGGGCCCAACATCCTGATCCCAATAATGCAGCCTAAAAATTTTCATTAATTTTATTTAGTAACAATATATAGTATCTTATCTGGAAAATTCCAAAACAAATCATTATTTAAAACTTATAACTAAAGTTTAAATACTTTTTTTTATAACAAATGTATTGTTATATAATATAGTAGAGTATCACTAATACAGTTATTGCTAGTTCAGACAGCCAGTTAATTTGAACAATTTATATTTCATACATATTTATGTAAATCATTTTTATATAATATTGTTGATTGTTATCTACTATAAGATGTATTAGATTAGATATTTGTAAGCATAACTGAACTTTGAAAATTCGTTAATTATACAACCTAAATTGGTTTGAATACTTACAAAAACGATGTATAAAAAGTTTCTAGAGAATTGGATAATATTAACCCGTGCCACAAAAGGGTTAAAGTCGCATATTCCTATTTTGTTTCAAGCATAGCACAAGTAATAATAACTGTATCAAAAAAAGTATAAGTACATAATTTATTTAAATAAACATTTAGTGTATTTTTTAATCTTATATATTTTATCATAAAACTAATATTTTTTGAAAAAAAATGACATTATTAATTAATATTTTAAATAAATGTGCAATATTTTAAAAAAAATCATAATTTTATTAATATTTATATTCAAAGTTTTAATTTTTATATAACTATTTATCTAAAATGGTACACTTCTTGGAGTCTGGGTATTTATTACAATAGTTGCACACAAATATTGTTTTTGAATTTCATCATGGATAATTTTTGTATTGTATTTCTTTATAAGTTTAACTCCTCCTTCAGTTATATTATTGATTACATTTATATTGGTGACAATGGCAGTAGATTTTTAAAAATTTTCATCATTGTCCCATTTTTATGAATCAGCCGTAAAAAAGTCAGTATTTATTTTGAAACGTTTAATAAAAAATTGCATTGAAAATTAATTCTTCACACAAATAAAACCTTCAAGGGCTTTATTTAATATCTCAATAGGTTCTTTTGAGTTCAAAACATATTGGTTTATATTATCTTCTTCTGAATCCATCTTAAGAGCTGCTATCGTTTTTCTTTTGCATCTACTAATAGGTTGATCGAACAATGATAACACAGCTGCCTCGGGTGATAAATACCATAAATGGCCACACATTTTTTTTAATCATCATTTAAATATACTTTAATCAATAGATTGATCTTAATAAATCTTTTAAAAATTTAGATCTTAGTAAGGTGCACTCGAAGCCAGAGGTGCAACAAACCAGGCTATTATGTATAGTCAAATAATGAAAACACATACACGGGCAATAGATATTTTTTCTCTTTCAGTTTTAAATGAAATTGACTTCGGAATAAAAATATTTTTTAACAGTATATGGCTTATCCACCTGGCATGATGGATGGCTGGCTCCGGGTATTCTAAAAGAAATTTCTCGAGAGGCACTCTTCCAAAAAATAACCGCCAATTCTAACAACTCTCTATAATATTCCTTTGGATGCTTGATTAGTAAATAATTAACTACAAAATAAATTATAACAGAACACACATTACTCACATTTTTTTGTATTTATTCATTTATAGTATCAGGTTCAAATTGTTCAATAATTGTTTTTCTAATATTGTTGAAAACTTTTAAATATTGGTACATTTGGACCAGATGTTGTACATAATTTTTTTTATCAAAATCACTTTTAAAAACTAACTCATAGATATGGTGACGACATGGTAAATATAAAATGTTACGGTCTATGTAATTTTCTAATAAAACACAAGAACCTTTAATTTGGCCAGTGTTTAAAGCACAGTATCACAACAAAAAGCTTGAACATTTTTTGTGACACACCAATCGTTGAGCATATTATGAAAAATTGCATCCACCTAGTCAATCCCTGTTCTAGTATTAATAGCTGGGACTCAAAGTAATTGATCATAACAATTATAAGAAACTACAATGGGAAGTCTATTAACATTTTTTGCCCTGTTAATGCAGATAATAGCTTTCCATCCCAGTGAAGAATAACTGCATCATCAATTGACAATTCATATTCCTTACAGATATTTTCTGTAAGCTCTCTTTTCAAAAATGAATATGATAATCATACGAATATTGTCTTGTTATCGATGTCCTAGTATATTTAACATCATTTAATATTAACAAATATTTTACCAATGATTATTTTTAAAATATAATTTTCTAGATAAATATTAAATTTATGAAAAAAATGTTCCATATTATAAATTATGTAATATACTTTTCTAAACAAATTATGTACAATCATTTTTTTATAGTACCATTATTTAATATACTATGCTTAAAATCTAAGAAAAATATGCTATTTTCTTAAAAAAGTATAATTAGACAACTTTAACTCTTTTGTGGCACTATTTAAGTTTTTTCAATTCACTTGAAACTTCTTATACATTGTTTTAAGCGTATTCAAATAATATTAAAAAGTATAATTTAAGAAAAGGCAAAATTAAAAATTAAATTTATAGACTAGAGCCACCCTATTATACATGTACATTGGAACTGTTGGAGTCCAATAGACGAATGAAAAAACAGTGATAACTGTATATACAGAATATGTTAATTTTTTATTTTGAATAACTTCATTAAAGATTGATAACAAATAATTAATTGCTATTAGTATCAATACATTTAAAAGATTTTTAGTTATATGGTTAATCAACTTATATTAATTTTGTAACGTTAATAAATAAATAAATTTCTTTTATATAGTGGGATTTGATTGGGTTATTAATATTATCTGAAACCACTGATTATTCGTCAATGAAATGAATACAAATTGTGTACATCTCGTGAAATGGAAATTGAGTTTGTTAAATTATGACATTGACAACACTTATAACTGAAGCTTGAAAACAATAATTATGTCTAAGTAGACATTTTTATTTACAATGTTTACAACTGAGATAACTTTAAAAAAGTAAAAAGTTACCTCTAAAGGAGGCACCGACAATCTGCAGAGCACAAAACTTTTTTCTGCAGTCCTCTAAATATGTAATATCATGGTGTTTAAAATTTAAATTTTATATCTTAAATTGTACTAAAATCATTCAAATCAATTTCCTATTGGGAAACTATAAAAATTAATTTTTTAAATATAATTGAAAACTTACAAAATTAATTTTTAATACGATTTTCTGACTTTACAAGAAAAAATCAAGTTGTTTCAAAATCATTTTTCTGATGACATTGAATCTAATTTATAGATGGAAGTCATAGAAATTTCAAAACATCAATATTCTTAAAATTGAATTTATAGAAAGTAATGAACTAAAAACTTTTTATTCAAGTCTTTACGAAATAGATTTTAAAGGTATTAAAAGTTTTTGTGAGAAGACATTTTCAATAGTTAAATATTAAAAAAATAAAGAAATTAAATATTTATATCCTTTTGCACTCAAGAATTAACAAACATATATTTTTTTAATTTTATAATTGTCTTTAATTATATATTTTATTCAAATCTAGTTAATAAGGACGACCTCGTGTGAAACTCATACTATGATTGTTCCTATTCATACATAATATTATATGTTAAAATTTTATTTTTAATTATGTTTATTTTAATTTTGTAATTAGCTCTCAATGAAAAAGTGATAGCAAATATGGCCTGCTCAAGTAAAATGGTGAGTCCCTGCTCTAAAGTATAAATTAAAATGTTTTCCTTTTTCGAAAATATATAAAATTTGTGTCCTTTACATTCTCCAAAAAAAAACTTGTACATTATGAACAAAGTTCATGAAATAGATTTTCGTTTTATGAACAGATTAATTAATGCACTATGTGAATATGCCATAATATTATATATATATATATAGGTATATTTACTTGTCCAACACGACCATCTTGTTTTAATATAATTCCACCACTAGAAGATGAAGCAGCTACTTTTCCAAATTTATCTAAACTAACACATCCTACAGTATCTAATTTTGAATTTTCAACCTAAAGGATAAATTTGAATATTATAAATATATTTATGTATAGGTAATATATAAAAAAATGTATTGAAATATTTTAAAACTAAACTAACCTGAACATAACTGCACTTTTGATTCATAATTTTATATTTACTGTGAACAAAGTCCCTTTTTGCTTTTTCTAAAAAATATTATGTATAAGTATAAATATATACAGAGCGTGAAGTAATAGATTCCCATATTCTCTTAGATAAATTTAAAAAGATTGATATTTATATCTTCTAAATGTTTATCTTGATGGACAATTCACATATGGAACCGTTTTTGGAGTTTTTTATCACTCTATTTAGCATGACTTCTTTGCTCCTCAGTAAATTTCTTCTATGGGGTAATCATAGCTAAGATTTTTAAACAATTGTGGCACTTTTTGAAAAAATTATCAAAATTTCTCAATATATTTTTAAGGAAAACAAGAGTGATAAAAAACTTACAGCAACTGCTTCATACTTGCATTGTCTCTCAAGGCCAGTTTTTAGAAGGTATAATTTTGAAAAAAAACCTTATTATATTATATACTTCCAATAAATAAAATTTTTTTTTATTTATATCTTGTATCAATTTTTAGAATTTAACTCAGAAAAATTGGAGTCTATGTTCGGTCTCTAATCTGTATATACAATAAATATACATTTCAGAATAAAAATGTTTAGTACCTGAAATTAAATTAATTGGATCAATCGCTATAATATTATTTTGTATTGCATATTCATGAGCTCCTTGACCAACTAATAAACTAAAATTAATGATAGTATTATTATACATTACATTATACATTTTTTTCATCTAATATGCTGACATAATTACAGTCTAATAATTCAAAGTTTCGTAAACCAGTAATATATTATATCAAAAGTATATTTACATCACCAAATATATAACAAATTCATAATTTAACTAAAATTTGTACTCATCTAAGGAAAGAACTGTAGAGTCAAACATTAATTTTTAAACAAATGAAAGATTTTACAAATTTATTAGAATGGGGGACTTGGTCTTTAAATGTATACCTCATTTATTGATTTCGGTTAAGTACAAATGAAGAAAATGGGATGATCGTAAAACTCACATTTTAGAAATAATTTAAATGCATCCAAGATTAATCAAAAATATTAAAGCTAACAATTTTTAAAAACATAAAAGAAATTGATAAATAAGATTAATAATACTTTTTTTCTTGGTCTAATTTCCATTAAAATAAATCCTCACAATATACAAAGCAAACATCTTTTCTACTTCCGACAGTTCTTTAAAAATTATTTAGCATACTCTGTGCTCACTATTAATATAATACAATCAGTTAGTAAAATTATTTCAATGAATAAATATTTACATCATTTTAATGTTTTCCTTTTTTATCCTTTACCTATCATTATTCTAACTGTTGTATTAGATTTAATTTCTTTCTATTATTATTAATAATTTAATAGAATTAAGTGATTGGATAAAGAGAAGAAAAGTGTCAGGTGTAAAGTGTGATAAGATAATTCCAATTAAACTTAAAAGGTAAGTTCTACAAGAATATGGTGAAATTGGCTAAGTTGTATAGTTTGGAGTGTTTAGTAGCAGACAAAAAATAGAACAAAGAATGAGTGTAGTAGAGATGAAAATGTTTTATTTGGATGAATGGAATAATGAAAAAAGATAGGATAAGGAGGCAGCTAGGTAGCTCAGGTGTGGCTTTGATAGTGGACAAAATGATAGAAAACAGATTGAGATGGTTTGGGCATGTTATGAGGAGAAACAAACCATAAGCAGTAAAAATGTTATTAAAAGGCGCTGGAGGAAAAAGGGAGAGGAGGAAGACCAAAAACGAAGTGTTTAAATGCGATTGAGAATAATGAGGATAGCGGGCATATGCAAGGACAATGTAAGGGACCGGATCAAGTGGAAGTTTAGGACAATGATAAGTGTCACTAAATAGTTGAAACGAAGGTGATGGAGAAGAAAATGTACTATCATATAAGCTGTCCTAGGATAATGCGGATGGGTACAGCCATTGTTGTAGAAGGGAAGTTGAGAAGGTAAGATAAAGGGAAATTAAATGTATATATGTAAACAACAATAAACTATTTATAACAAAAAAAAATTATTCTGAGCAGAGTTCAGTTGATAACGTTTTGTCAACAATATATATGTCACATTATGGTAAAATTATTACATATATTGTAAATTATATATTTTCTTTAATAATATTTGTTTTATATTGTACCTACTATTTTCCTGTTTTCCCGGTTTATCCAATTTATTGGGAAAATAAAAAAATTACCACTTTAGAATACCTCCCCAGTCTGATTTCCTTTCAGAAAAAATGCTACACTTAAAAATAAGAGTAAGATTCCAGGTAGAAAAGTTATCCACAGATAATAAAATAAAATAAAATAAACATCTTTGTAAAACCACAAGCTTCTTTGCTCCACACAGAATCTAATAGACATTCTAAAACTAGGTTAGATAATTAGATAAAACGATATATCTATACTCAATTTAATATATGATGCAGATATTACATAAAATATAAAAATAACACGCATAGCTTATTCCTAATATTTCATAATTGAATCAGTATTTTGGGTCAATTATACGTCAATTATTATTTTGGTCATTTGGATGTCGTTAATTATTTCAAATTTAATTAATTAGTTTAAATTAATTTGTATGTTTTTAATTTTATTATATTTGTATTTTTTTTTTTTTTTTTTTTTTTTTTTGATACAATATTTTTAATATTCAAATTTAAATGTATAATATAAAATATGACTGAATCAAAAGGATAGTTTAGTAACCAATGTTCACTCACTTTATGAGGTTTACTTCTAAGGGTTAGATTATTTTTTTTTCTTGGTTTCTATCACCATTCCTCATTTATTCCATATTCCTTTAAAATTTCGTAATAAACACTACCCTTTTTCCTGGTTTCGTTTTACACTACTGAATTTACATATCTTTGTAGCCATCTAACCATTTCTCCTATTCTAAATTTAAATAAGCATATACCATCTATATTTCTCTCTCATGTTTTCTGCTATACTTGCTATTCCCTCTGGATTACCATTATGGTATTATTATATTGATATACATTCATTCTTAATTCTATTTATCTAATGCTAAATTCATATTTCACTTTCTAATAAGTATAACCACCTAATTAAAAAGTATAATTTTTAAGACTAATTTTATTAATCAGTTAATGAAATTAGATGAATTAATCTATATTGATTTAATTAATTTTTGTATGGTAAACTTTAATAAAACAAACGTTATACCAATATTTCCCTAAATTAATAAATATGACTTATTTGCTACAAACCACAAAAAAAAAAACATAGTAAAGTAAATAAACAAAGCTTTAAATTTTAAGTGATCATAGCGATTATATACCATGGAGGAATTCTTCCAAATGACATTTTAAAATTTTGTTTTTCACAAATGAGTTTAGCAAGAGTGATTGGATTTTTTATACCAGAAACTGCACCTACACCTCCATAGTGCATATTTGATCCATCCATAACACTAGCATCACATTCTACAAATCCATTCCATGTTAAATTAGATCCATAACCAGCATTAGTTAAAGGAGAATCTTCTAAAACCATAGTTGCCACAGAAACTGCTTCTAATGCCGAACCATTGTTTTGTAACACCTCTAATCCCTTAACAAATTTAAACTTTTTTTATAAAATTATTTACATCAAATAGAAGTTGAACAAACTTTTTTACATGCTTTCATACAAATTTTTTTATAATTTGATTCTCTAGTAGGTTTTTGATAACCAGCACCTGTAAAAATCATAAATAAACATATGTTACAATTATTATAGTCTTAAATCATTAAAGAAAAAAATTCAATATTAGAAGGTTAATTAATTTAATACTTTCAAATATATTATAACAATGTATAACAATAAGAAACTATTGTTACTAATTATGTTTAAATTTATATTTACCTGCATGAACAGCAATTACACATTCCATAATATTTTAATCCTTAAAATAAAAATTTAAACTGATACATTTATTTGGAATATTTATATCACAGAACATTTCTAAAGTTTGTATCTAAAAAAAAAAAAATTAAATAATTATTAGAATATTATACATTTTTATTGAGTAAATAATTTATTATCAAAATAAACACAAATTTTCAACCATGGTACATATCATCTTAATAATAAGACAGGGCTGTCTTAAAGATAAAGCAAACAACTTCCACGGATAGGGGGCAGCACTGAGATAGATAATAATCTAAGACCGTGTATATTAATATATTATTATCTATCTCAGTGGGGGACCATAATTTCTTGGATTATTAGTATTATGCCGCGTTCCCACGGGGAATGACCCACGCTAATAATTTTAAATTATTTTCGTGATAAATACGAAAGTGTAAAATCAATGAATAGTTCACACGATTTCGCGTTCGTGGTGGTCATTATTTTTCACAAGTTTAGTTTACATCGAAACGTCGATCATGCATGAGTAAGTTGTAGAAAGCTGTGCCGTTATGAGTTCTTTTTTTTGTACTATATTAGCTAAAGATTGATCATCTACGAGACACAATGACCGGAAAACGAAAAAAAAAAATGCTTCTGGGTTAGTGAATGGATACTGCGAAGAAAAATGTTAAGAGCATCAAATTAGGTCAATACAGAATTAAAAAGCTGTTTTCCAGATGGTTTTAGAAACTTTCTGTGAATGACTGAATCTCAGTTTGAATAACTCTTACAGAGTGTTGCAAATCTCATTTCAAAATCTGACACAAACATGAAACAAGCAATCAGTACAAAAAACAAAATTAGAAACACAATAAACATAATAAGTTAATTTATTCCATATACCTGTAGAGCAAATTATAATGTACTGACAAAATTCATACAAGTAAGTAAAATAATACAATATGCCTTAAAAGTAATTTTTTATTAATTTTAAATTAAATATTTTACTTCAAAATTTAAATATGAAATTAAATAAATTTTCAAAACAATGAGTAGGTTTATATTATGAAATTATAATTATTTAATAAAATTAGTGAATTTTTATGTATTTAGTTATAAATCTGTAAATAATGAAACATAATCTTCATTACTATGCAAAAAAGTACTTAAATTTGATTGTCTTCCACTATTTGCATTTGTTCTTTCTGACATTGAATATTCAGTTATGATATATTCTGGTTGACATAAATGTTTGTAACAATATTAATGATATTTTGTTGCAATTTGATAACTGTTAGTGGTCCTATACATCGTAAAATAGATGCTATATATTTACCGAAAAGATCATAACTGTCTTCTTTATTTACAGTGACTTGTGATGCACGATTTGAAATTGCCCGTAATTTATCTATAGCACTTGTCATAAAATTTATTTCATGATCATGAGTAGTTTTTTTTATTTTTCAATGTTGAAGATTGTTCAATCTTTCTTTTTACTGTCTTTAGATGTATCTATTTTTGATACATTTTGTGATGTGACCTCAACTTTTACTAGAATTATAATCAAAATTTGGTTCTTTGTACTGACTATCTATTGGGGTTTCTTCATAACTTTCTTTAGGAGTCTCGTCGGAATTATCTTTGGGGAATATCTAAAATATTAATAATAATTAGTCTTAGTGTTTTAATGACCTTTACACTATTATTTCGTATTTTTATATAATAATATTAATTTTTCAGGTTCCTACAACAACAGATGGTTGGAAAAACACTGAATGAATATGGTTTTAGAACGTGGTGGAACATTCCCGGATTTGTAGGAGCTTTAGACGGTAAACATATCGTCATAGGTGCTCCTCCCAGAAGTGGCTCAGATTATTTTAATTATAAAAACAGTTACAGTATTGTGTTACTGGCTTTGGTGGATTCAGGTTAATGTTTTTGGTATGTCGATGTTAGAGCTAAAAGAAGGGAATCAGATGGAGGTATATTTTAAAATAGTACTTTATACAATGCTTTCGAAACTAATTCACTTGTAATACCAAAAGATTTCATTATTTTGGCTGATGACGCATTTCTGTTGAAAAAATATTTAATGAAATCTTACAGTTGATACAATATGTCTCAAGCAGAGATAATTTACAATTATCTTGTTTCTCTCGAAAGAGACCTGTAGTCGAAAATGCCTTTGGCATACTTGTAAGTAAATTTAGATTATTTAAAAAACCGATTTCATTAATATTAGAAACACTGGATAAAGTTGCTCTCGCATGCTGTGAAATTCATAATTGGTTGAAAAAAACTAACCCATGATATGTTATGGGAGATCTAATTGATTATGAAGATGAAAATCACCATGTTTTCCCTGGATCATGGCGTCAATGTACAAATGGATTACAGAATATACCAGCAACTAACCACAGATATCCCAATATGAAAGCACAAGAAACACGAGATAAATATTGTGATTATTTTAATAACGAAGAAGCCTTTCCCTGGCAAAACCAAATCAGTTTAAATTATTTTAATTAATTGTAATATATTTTTCCATTAAACTCTGACAATTGGTAAAATAAATAATAATAATGTAGCTAATTCTAATTTATGTTGTTATAAATAGAACACCATTGCATGCTCTTCTAGTAAAAATAATGATGAAATTATAAAATCATAATACACATATACATATAGTTACTAATATAAATATAGAACAAATTCTATACATTTATAACTGTCGTGCTGTGATTATTTTATAGTTATGATAAACATATAAAATAATATAATTTATATTATATTATATAACAAAAATAATGTAAAATATTAGTTACCAGATACGATTGTGGTTCGTTGTTGAACAGTTGAATTAATGAATGCGTTCATCTCCTCAAACCAGAATAATTTTATTTTGTAGATATCATTTGTACCATTTCCAGATCTTGCATTATCAGATTTTCTTTTAACTACTGACAGTAAGAGCTTCTTAGATTTTTGAATTTCACAATCACTTCTTTCTTTTGGACCAAGCCCAGGAATATTTTATAAGGATTTTTTTGTAATTTATTGAAATTTATTATAAAGAACTGAAATTTATATGCTATTATTAAAGATATTTACAGATACAATTTCTAGTTTTTTCTGATTTTATAGGCCCCAGAAAACGAACAAAATTTTTTGACAATTTTGTTTATCAAAACTTCATATTTATTCATCAAATAATAGCTCAAATGATCAAACAAATTTGTTAAACTTCCCTGTAGTTTCAGTTTTCTTCTCATCGTGATGTGACATTCATTTTTTAATGTGCACAACCCTTTATTACTCCTTTTACCACGAGTAATACAAATAAAGCAGTTTTGGCTTAGGCTCTAGTACTGTGTATTAAGTAAAAAAAAAAAAGGCATTACTCTAGAGCAGTGGTCCCCAATCTTTTTTATTCTACGTACCCCTAATAAATTGTCAAAAATCTCGCCCCAACCGCTCCTCAAATTATATTAAACAAACTTTTTATTTTTAGTGAGCCTTACAAATAAATTTTACAAAATATCTATATATTATACATAATACAACTAAATTAATTTATTGTTTTCAATTTTACTGATTGAAAATTAGCCTAATTATTATATATTATAACAACAAAATTCTCGTTATTTTATTGGCATTATATTCCCCCTCGGGTTGGGAACCACTGTTCTAAAAAATGGTTGAAATTAAGAGAAAAATATACTTGCGAAAATTTGTTACGGTAAATATTATGCACAGAACCAGGTGATTACGCCAACTTCCTGTGTGTGGATAATAAAACCTTTGAAGAATTATTATCAATATTATGTTCTTGCACTGGAAAAAAACACTGTTATGTGCCAACCTATACTTGCTTTTTTGACAAATATAACAAATATGTTATCAAAACCTGTCAAGCATCACGGATTAAGATGTATGTATATATATATAAAATTTGATAGTTTGATCGCTTGTGGGACCTTATGTAGATATTAGTACTATACTCATGCTACCGAGAGAACGCTACTCCTTCGCGTATCTATAATAAACAAATTCTGCGGTTTCGTGCCTACATTTCTCCTACTATACTATCTACTCACCGCTGTAAATTGCAAGACCGAGCGGAAAACAAGTTGTATACAGCTTACTGAAATAATAACTTTTGGTGACTGTCGCACATAGTAGGTACCTATATATATGTTTTCACCTAGACAACAACAATAACAAATAACATGTATGCAAATTTTATTTGTATGCATTTATTTATTCATTCATACATACATTTGCTTAAATAATACCGAAAAAAAAAAAATTAATAAAAATACAAACAAAATTTCAGTTTGAATCCGATTCTGTTGTTGAACCTGTTCCCATTGTTAGAATATGACGTTCTCCTTCATTAAGTCCATAATTTCGTCAGTTATGTTGTTGACATCCCAACATTTCTGTTCTTCCTTTATGACATGTCCCACAAAATTCGCCCACATTTCCGGTATTACGTGTTCCAACCCTCTTTTTAATATATCTTCAACGTCTTTAAGCTTGAATGTGTTGTTATGTGTCCGAACACTCGCAGTGGTATGGAGGCAATCTTAATATGGTTTCGTTTACGTATGCATCTATGACATATTTATCATATCGGAATTTCATTGTCTGGACTTTTATCAATAACAGCGCTTTTATTATTGGCTGATTAACAATCTCACCTTTACTTTCCAACCAACTTATAATATCTTCTTTTTTACAAGACATTACTGGAATTCTATCTTTCTTAACCGAATGATTTGGAACATTGTCCATTAAAATTACGGCATTTACTTTAAGTAATGGCAAAATTTTTACGATCCATTGAAAAAAAGTATCACCATTCATTTCTTCGTGATAGTTTACGAGGATTTGTTTTTGATTCGAAGCACAAAAGGTCCCCAGGGACAAAGCCGTCAGTCGATCTGATGTGTAATACAATCAGTTGTATACCAGAGAGTTCCTTTTGTTCCGTGGTGAGGCCTCTAAAAAATGTGTCACGTGGTGAATTTACCGTACTGTCGACCCATGTTTTCTTATGTGTTTCACCTGTGTTGACCCACGCTTCATCCAAGTAATATACCGGTCGGTTTTGTGCTCAATATTGTCTTATTTGATCCAAATATTTTCGGCGCCAACATTGTATTTGTTCTCTTTCGATAAGCGCACTACAACGATATTTTTTGACATAAACAAATTGGAGTTATTTCATCAATTTTTGAAATGAGGAACGTTATAGGTTTGGTAAAGTATCGTCTTCATTTATGGTCATTAATATTTTTACAACTGTAGGCACTTCACAATTCAACTAAAAGCCATGTATTTTACGCCTAATGGCATTTTTATCTTAATCTCACTTTTTGAAGTATTGTATATCTCATTTTTTTCTAATTAGGAGATGAAACTGTACCTTCTTTTTTATATTCGACTTAAGTTGTTTGTATGGTACGTTGTCCAATACCACTTGACTTAGAAATGTCGAGAAGCATCCGTCTATAGGCCAATTTGGGGCTGTCTGAGTTTTGAAGTTGTTGCCTGACTTTGTTTTTGTACAGATTTATAGTGATCTGCTTTTGAGCAGTACCAACAAACTAAAGAAAATAATATATTTATTTAAAAATTAAGAATTCGCAATAGAAAAATAGTCATACAAACACTTACTTTTCCACGAAAATTTTTTTTGGAAGGAGAAATCTCAACGAGGTCCATGTTGTATTTAGTAATCTAAGTATTTACTAAAATAGTAAACACTAAAACAAGCAAAAATGGAAAACTTGGCTTATTTATGTAAAAACGTATAATTGTAAAAACATAGAACAATACAATACACGTTGTATACACAATATGACAACGGCGGTAGTAGCCGTCGGTGAGCGATGGTGGTGCAGACGGTGGCGGCCAGCACTCACGCAGGTTTAGTGGTGGGAATACGCGAGAACGGAAGAATTTTGGTCGCCGCCCAGTAGCGTTCTCTCGGTAGCACGAGTATAGATAAAAATTATTATCGGGTTTATTAAACTGATTAGAAATTGAGTACAAATATAATATAAAATCATAATATTCATCATATTTATTATGTTGAAAAAAAAAATTGAGCTTTTCCTATATCGTAATTTACACTTACACTTTATTGTTAAATTTTCACCTTACTCCTCTCGGAATAATTTTTTTTTTGCAGCGATAATTACAACATAATCTATGATACGGGCTTGAGGGAGAAGTAGGGTGCAAATGTCCGAATCAAGTACGTGTCTCCATGTCTATATAGTTAGGTACTTTTCGATTTTCCATTGAATTATGTATCTACCTACTTAGTTCTAAAATTCTAAAAAGATCTAATAGGTCTACTAAATGCCATTGTTAAAGGTGGAAGGTTAGAAACCATAGGTACATCATTGCCAATAAAAACTGATTCTAAGTGAAGTTCGCTATAACACGTTTTAGAATGTTTTCATTTTTACAATATTGTACGAAATGTAACATAACGCTTAATTATTTTTAACTTTGATGAGCCTGGTTTTAAATTTTCAAATAGGTATCAAATAAATCAAGGAGGTCGCTAGGGGCGAACGTCCTTTGTTCATTCTCCAATACTCCTAGCTTTATTCATCATTGAAATTGTTGTAAATGCGTAACTAGTATACATTTTCAAAATCGTCCCACTCCCGCAATTTTGTCCGCCTTACTATAAATATGTAGTCTTGAAATTTGCAATATGTCTAAAAAAATAATAATACAATTTTTAATATTGAATATAATTATTTGTTATTGTTCAAAATCTAAAATACAGAAATTGTTGTTGCGTACATTTTCTCTCTTTCCTCCAATTTCTTAAAGTAATTTATGAGGGAAATAAGAAAATTCTCTCCCCTTTAATTAAGGCCCAATGCATTAATCAGAGCAAATTTTCAGATTAGATTACCCCTAGACATTAAAATAAACAAAACAAGTTTTTTGATAAAAAAGTTATTTAGACAAAAAAACACTATAGTAGAACCATGGTTGAATCATTAGAATCATTGTTGCGGTAAGAATTTAAAATAAACTATTTTAATATAAAATAGTTTGCTCTAATTTATTTTAATTATTTCAATTAAACCAAATTTTCCATTTTTGTTTGGTAGCTGTAATGTAAAAGGGGGGGGGGGAGATGAAAACACATATATGGTTCTTAGTACAAAAAAATGTTTAAAGTATTTTTATTAATCAATAATAACTATTTTAAATTTAGTTTACATTTATAGTAAAAATATTAAGTACACACAAATACAAATTGAATATTACTATACTTAAAACAATATATTTTGTACTACATTGTACAGTTATCGAAAATGTCTGAAGAGATACTTAGATCTAAAAAATAAATACACAGAACATTACAAAAAAAAAAAAAACATTAACTAATGTTTTCTTAAAAATATACTTCACTAGAAATTAAAATATATAAACTGTATTTTATTATATAACATACAGCTAATCATTAGAAAAAATATAAATTTGTTCAAATCATTATTATAAAATATTACTTATATAATTTTAATATTACAAGAAAAGTTAATACTTTCAATATAACAAGATAAAATATTTGTTTTATATAAATAACTATCATTCAATTGTATTTGCACCATAAAAACAGTGATATAATTTTAAGAGGAAACTCATTTGTTGAAAAAAATAAAGTCATTAAGCATATAAAGTCAATACTAATATGATCGAAATCAACTGATCAATAACATTAAATTATAAACATATTATGTACTAAAAATAATGATAAACTAAGAAGTTTGTAGATTGATATAAAAAGTCAATATTCATATAGGAACTTAAAATTTAAAAATCTATCTTCTTGAAAATAAAATAAAAAACACAATTAAGCATATTGTAAAACAAAATTGTATATTATTTTAGAGATCAAATAAACCATTTTACACTGTTTGATTTGGTTAGAATACATAAATTAGTTTCAATTATGTTCGGAAATATTGTTATTTATCTTGAAAATAAATAAAGTATTCTATAAAAGCAAATAACATTTTTAAATAAAATAATGCCAAGTATAACTGAAAATGAACAAGGATTAGTAATTCTAAGGTATATGAATTTCTAGTAAATAATAAAATGTAAAGATTTATTACATAAGTTAAATTAAAACAATTATCAGTTATTAAAGTCAAATAATTCAATGAGAAAAAGTTACAAACTAATTTAATAGGTACATTTAAGTAAGTGTATAAAAATACACAATTACATTTAGATAATGAACATTATTCAACAATATGTAATCTTATAAGTGAATTTTTTTTTATATTTTAAGACTTACTTATAAAATATCCTAAAAAGGAAGGACATAATACATTATAAACAGATATCTAGAGATGCAAAAATATAATTTCTTAAAATATGTATGTATATTGAATACATCTAATTTTACATTTGTTTCTATAATTTCATATTTTGGTTATGTTTGTCAAGAAAAGCTTAAATATGTACAGTTGTGTACAAACGAAATATATTAATCATCATAAGCTATTTCAGCTTTAGCTTTCACTTTTCGTAATAAAGGGGGGAATTCATCAAGGGTATATCTATATTTAAATACATGCATTTGAGCGGGACAGTTACAAAGCTGTTTAAAATGCCGGAGACATGCAAGTCTTTTAGGATCACACAAACAGGATACTGCAGATACATATAGGGTAGTATTACATACCATACACTGTCTAAGGTCATCTACCTGGTGCTCAAATTCAACAAAATCTGCTTCAGTTACACCCCAATCTAAAAGTGCTTTACGTTGAACCCTTTCAAATTTTACCATTTCATTTAAGTCGTCATACACAAGTTCAGCTGCTTTAGGTGCTAGGTCATCACATGAGCTTACCATATTACATATAAGTTCATCATGAGAAAACACACATATTCGTTTGAGAGATGAATAGTGATTAACACATTCGCGACCCATTGATATCCAGTCAGCAGGAGCAAAATTGACTGCTTCCGCAAAATTATATCCTTGATTAAATCCAGTATGATAAGATCTTGGAAAAGTAACAACAAATTCACCAGCACGCTGGTCAGTTCGGTATATTGGAATATTTGCTTTCATTAATATATTTGGATTTAAAATAGTAACTAACTGATGAAGAAGATCTGGTTGGGAATGGAACAATTCTGGAGTTGTCTCCTTCATAACATCTTCAAAAGCTTCTGCAGCACTTCCAGGTACTCCATACCAAGTTTTTGGTTCACCCCAATGTAAATAATTAATTGAGTAACTCCAATGATCTTCATTGTGCCAACAAAATGTGGAAAAACACATACCAACATACATCCATGGTACTTTCATGCCAGATATATCAGCATTAATGAAACTAAGAACAGAATCTTTCAATATTGGTATATTATTTAAATTCCAATGATCTTCTATATAAGACTTATAAAATGTATTATCTTCATTACCACAAAGAGCAAGACTCGTAGGGAATCCTGAACCATGGTCCATAGTATGTAAATCAGCACCATATTCTGCTATGACTGTAGAATCAATAGATGAAACAATTTTCCAATATTCCTGTTCAACTTTGTCTGTAGGAACAAGATGAACAGGCATATTAAAATATTTAGATTTAAATTGATCGGCCATTTCTCCAAACTGTTGAAGAGTATACTCGCGTTGTGCTTGTTCAAATCCAAATGCATCACTAGGTTTAATCACTTCATTAATCACACATTTATGACATCTCCATTCACCTTTAGGAACAGTAGTTAATGGAATTATTAAACATTGCATATGGAAACTTAAATCACATCCATCACAAATTAAAATGGTCTCTTCATATTTACCACTACCACATTTTTGACAATAATACTTTTCTAAATCATCAACAACTGTAGGTTTTCGATTTCTTTTAGACTTTTTAGTTTCTTTTGTTTTTAAATGTCCTATTCGACATTTTGAACTGAACCCTGCCATCTTGGGCCCAGCACCGAAAAATTGCAATTTTCTTAATTCCTTATTCTCCATAAGATAAAATGGATCTTTTATATAATCATCCATGTCTTTTTCATCATCAGGACTAAGTCTAGCTCGTTTGTTGGGTGAATTTGAAGTAGAAGAACCTTCTTCTTTAATATTAACCAGAGTCTCTCTCTTTACTGGCTTATAATAAATTTCATCTTTAATTGTAGCATGAAAAAGTGAAAACGGATTTAGCCATCTTTCATAGTGACCTTTTAAAACGGTACCAGATGATTTTTCGCATATGTAACCCATACGACTAGCCACTTTGCTCCATTTTCTTTCTGAGCAAACCTCATTAAAACCACCTTCAAATTCTACGATTTTATAAAGAGAATATAAATCTACTGCTCTTTGTTCTAAAACAGGTATTTTAATACGAATTCCTTGTAAATGCCAATATTTTGCAATTTTTTCTAAAAAATTTAGTTTGACTCTAGTACTTGCATCTAATTCATTAAGCTTTTGAATACGCGGTGTAAATTTAAAGTTGTCTACATCAACACAAAATGGAGGGTGCCAATTTGATGGAGGTCTGATTTTACAAATTCCAGTTTCTTGAGCAACACTCCTTATTTTAGCAATATATTTCAATGGATCTTTAAATTCCTCTGCAGTGGGTTCAAAAACTGGAGCTTCGGGAGGAACTTTAAAAACGAATTTCCCCTTTTCCATGAGACTGGCAGGATCAATAAATTTTCCTTCAGGGCATTCTTTTGCTTTTGGTTCATCAATTTCTAGTTTGCATTTTACGTCCCTTTTTCCAGTCATTTTAATACGAATAAGAAAACAAAATTACTTACTTTAACAAAGAATTAGGCAACACTTCTTATAAAAATTGAAAACAATTGAAGTAAATCAAATTTAAAACAAGGATTAAATGTTACAAACAGAAAATTTAAAGTTTAAATATAAACGGTATCGAGGATCGCGTTTTATATGGACGTCCATCCCACATTTCTAAAATGTCACGTAGTCCACACCACCACGGGTGAACTGTTAATGATTTTCAAAAGGGAATAAAATGTATCCTTGATGCGCCTTGCGTCTAATTTTTTATTAACACCATTTACTTGGTTATAGTTGTAATTACCAAACTAGAAAAACAATATTATTTTAGTAGTTTTTTGTACACTTGAAAAATTAATTTTAATGCCTTTTGTTGAAATGTAATAATTTCACTATGGAAGTCGGAAGATAGAATGCAGCCAACATACATACACACGCATACAAAAATACGGTACCTACTACACATTAAACACGCACACGCAAGTAAAGAACCAAACACACAGGCACAAATATTACGAGGCTTACACCATTACCAACTACACAAAATACAAAAAATACAGTCGCACGCACTCGCAATAATGTCGACACACTAACACACAAACACACGCACAAATTTCAAACAATTCAAGCTAAATACATACCTACCCTATACCGTGGTTTATACGCATATTACGAATAGAATATGGCATATTATATACGTTTATTTTTGCTATTCCGAACTCCAGTAGTCCAGTATAGAAATGATTGTAGGCCATTTTGGATTTGTGATTGAAAATATTTTAGTACAATGTATTTACGACTTATTGATATTTTCCTAAAATTTATAACAAATTGTATTTAAAATACTATGTTTGGACAATTAAACAAGGTATATTAAACTTCACAATTTTAATATAAGATTTTTGAGGTATTATTCTGGTAGTTTTTTTTTTTGATAGAACATATATATTTTACCTAATCATTATATTTTATTTTGGTTAAATATTAAAAATTATGATAAATTAATAAAATAGAATAAATGATATATTATAAAAACGAAAGTACACATACAAATTACAACATTTCATCTGATCAGTTAATAATACAATTTATCTGCTAACCATACTTAAAAAAGAATCCTGACTTATTTCGAAAATATGTGGTTCATAAGGAAAACATTAGTTTTAATTACGACAAGATGACAGTTAAAATTAAATAATAATAAAAACAGACATACCTAGATGTACGAAGAAATTCTTGAGGAAATATATATATAAAAAAAATGAACATCAATTAACAATAATGGAATTGGTTTGAAATTGAACAAATAAATACCTAGTTATCATTTGACAATATTTTTAACTCAAAACAAAATATTTTTCTTATAAATGTTTATGTACAAACAAAATTAAATAAAATACATTATGAAAAGTAAGCAGGTGTTAAAACATAAATAAAATAGTTAATATTATTTTATGGTAGAACGAAAAATAATTTTAAATTTAATAACAAGTAATATTTTAGTTATTCTTAGTATAGTTACAATAAAAGTATCTATTATGGCAATTGTGAAATGATTAACTTATAATTGAAATTTACTTTACACACAGAAATTAGTGTAGTAATGAAAATATTATATTTGTATCAAATTAATCTGTATGGTAATTAAATAAAATGAATACACGAACATAAATATAAAACAATTCAATAAATAATAACTACTATACATTTCATTGATATTAAAATAAATTTAAATTTACGCTACCTATATTTTAAGTTCGAATTATGTACCTTGGAGTAAATTGAATCTTAAGGTAGCTAAAAATCTTTTAAATTACTTCTTAAGTTATAGCCAATTTTTGGATTTTAGATTTATTTAAATAAAAGTTAACGATACTTGTAGTGCTTGTGGATTCATGATTACTTAATTAATGATAATTGATAACAGAATACATTTCAAAACAGCTGTTTGTCTGTTTTCATTAAAACAAGACGTTAACACTGCCAAATACTGCTAAAGTACTAACAACAAAATGAGTATATTTTGTATAATATTACGTTCGTGTAATTACGTTTATTAAAATCTTCTATTTTGATATCAATTTAAATATTCAAATAAATTTTTAATATTCAATTATTTTAAACTATAATCAGAAATATTATATTACATTTTTCATAAAATTTTGAATAACCTGAAAATTATCAGTAGCCATCTTGAACAAAGCGTTTACACACAAACACAAACATTGGTAGTGGTGAAATCAGTATGATAAAAATTGTAATTTTTTATTAATTTTTTTTAGTCAAAATTTTTTATAATAGGTTTATGTAGATTAAATAATGTTATGTTGAATTCGTATTTGAAATGTTTTCTTAGTTATGGCTGCTTCTAGAAAACTACAAGGTAATTATAAGTAGTGCATAATTCATAATTGTACAGTTATTTACTCAAAAATTATTCAAAAGAAAATTAGGCATATGATTTTATAAGGGTATCACCATTTTACCAATTTCAACAATTTTATTTAGAATTTTACAAGTTTTGCACATTTTTAAATTAACTGCTGTTTGATTATATTTGTGGTGATATTTAGATACTGTTAGTATAAGGATTAAAAATAATTTTATTAACTTAAAAAAAAATAAACTACCCAAGTATATGCTTAATTGTTTGTTTTTATTACATTATTTGAAATTGAGTTAATTATCAATTAAGTAGTAGAAAGTTTTTTTTTTTCAAATAATAAACAAATATAAACTCTAATTGATAAATTTGTGGTTTTATTTCAAAATGTATTTATTTACCTGTGAGTACTTACTAAATTGTGTACAATCTTTAGGTGAAATTGATCGGTGCCTTAAGAAAGTTACCGAAGGAGTTGAAACATTTGAGGATATTTGGCAAAAAGTGCATAATGCAACAAATAGTAATCAAAAAGAAAAATACGAGGCTGACCTCAAAAAGGAAATCAAGAAATTGCAAAGATTACGTGATCAAATCAAAAGTTGGATTGCATCTGCAGAAATTAAAGACAAAAGTGCTCTACTTGATTACCGTAAACTTATAGAAACTGTTAGTATATTTTATTAGTTATACACACTTTTAATTGTACCTATCAACTATCTTCTGACATATTATTTTTAATTTTAGCAAATGGAAAGGTTTAAAGTGGTCGAACGAGAAACAAAGACTAAAGCTTATTCTAAAGAAGGGTTGGGTGCTGCCCAAAAATTAGATCCCGCTCAAAAAGAAAGGGAAGAAATAAGTGCATGGTTAACACAATCAATTGAGTCGCTCAATATTCAAGTAACTTAACTTTTATATACTTAATGAAATAAATACTGAGAATGTTTGCTCATTTTTTTTTTTTAAGATGATTCTTTACTCTAAGTTTCAAATTTAAATTCTTAATTTTTTTTATTTCGAAAATATTTAAAAAAAAATATACACATTATATTTCTGTATGTTGTATAAATGGATAACAAATATTAAATTTATCAATATTAGATTGACCAATATGAATGTGAAATGGAGTCATTACTTGTTGGAAAGAAAAAACGATTAGACAAGGATAAACAAGAAAAACTAGATGAACTAAAATCGAGAGTAGAACGACATAGGTTCCATATACGAAAATTAGAGACTGTTTTAAGAATGTTAGATAATATGTCAGTGGAAGTTAAAAAGGTATTATTAAAATTGATTGACCATATTTAAATACACACACACATATTACAAATATAGAGTGTCTCTTAAAGATATGCCCATTGTGGTAATATCTAAGAAAGTACTTAACTTTTTTCAGAATTTTTAATTTGTTGGAACATTTTAGAAACAAGTAGCTCCAAAGTGTTATATTTTTATTATTTTTGGAGGTTAAATGATTACCTACTTTTAATTTTTAAAAAGCAGACTATATTATTTGTTTAAATATATTTTGAGGTTTAAATTTTTATTTCTATCAACCTGTTGATGAGGTATTTTACTTTTAAGTTTGGGTAGAGCTGGTAGGGAAAGTATTACGGAAAAAAAAATTAAATACTGCTAATTGTGAACCACCAAAATGATACTCTCCCCCTATTTAAACATTAAAGTGGATTATCATCTCAATGGATTGATAAAAATAACAAATTTCAACACCAATTGTATTTAAACCAAACCTCTATCACTTTTTGGGGTTTTTATTATTAATTGCTATTTGAAAATCGAAAATATGTAATCGTTTCTCCCCCCCCCCAAAAAAAAAAAAAAAGGATTCTAAAAAAATGGTAATGTAACATTTCAGAGCTGCTTGATTGATACATAGTCTAACGAAAAATTGTTTTAAAAGATAATACTTGATGAGATATTATATTGGATGTATATTTGTGGAATACCAAATATAATGTATAAAGTATTAATATTTTTCCAATTTTTTTTTTTTTTAGATTCGTTCAATTAAAGATGATGTAGAATATTATATTGAAGCATCACATGAAGAAGATTTTATGCATAATGATGACTTATATGATGATATTATTGGATTGGCTGAACTTGAATTAGGAGTTTCTGCAAATAATTCTACTGAAGCAAATGGTAATTATAATTTTGATAAAAATAGTAAAGAAGTAATTTAGTAGTAAATATATTATAATATAAATTGTATTTTGGTGTACCAAAAAATTTTGAATTAATAGGTACACCCACTAGCCAAACTGCAAGTGTCACTGGTTCTTGTCCAGCATCTCCTGCTCCAATGTCACACAATCATTCCATTGAAGAGCCTGTTTCAGTGGCTTTAATTACAACTTCCCCACCAGTATCAACAACTACTGTTGCTACAATTAGTGAATCAGTTTCAACGATCTCTACCGTATCTACAGTTGTACCTTCTATTATTTCTACTTCTTTTGTAGCAGCACCAGTTCGAAAAAAAAAAGATGAAATTACTAAAGTTAGTTCATTTACTATAACGTTATAATTTAATGTAATAATTTACATGATGCTAAATTTTTATTTAATTTAGAATACAATTAAACCAATGCCTATTAAACCCAATTCTTCAAATAGTACTAATTCAACAGTCAATAGTAAAGCTCCAACAATAGCTGCTGTTGTTAAATCATCTGTTAGTAATCATACTACTACAACATCCAGTGTACCTATTATGGCTCAATCTATAACTACTCAATCTAATACTATTACAGTAGGTAATTTTGCAACAGTAGCAGCTTCAAATCTTCATAGTAAACATACACGTAAGTTTATAACACAATTTTAAATATTAGAAGTTATTACATTGTTTTATTTTAAAAAAAACTGTGTTAAATTATGTATTGAAGTAAATAACTTAATTAGAGGTATTTTTTGTCAATTTGTTATTACTCCAACAATTTTGAATTAAAAAATAACTTCTAACATATATTAAATAATATATTTTTATCCTCCTTTTTTGTGTAAAAAAAAATATTTTCGTTAAACTTTTGTAGAACTTGCCTTTAAGTCTCATAGAATTCCCTTGTTATATAAAACACCTTGTGTTTTTTCCTACTTTTATCCAATCACACTTAATACTATAACATATTCTTATAGTACAAAGCCATCATTATTTTATACAAAAGATTCTAGGCTTTTAAAACTCAACCTCGCCTATAGCTGTTGCATATTGTTATTAGCTCTCTTGTGGTGTGTTTTCAAACTCATACTTTGTTTTACTTCTACTTTTCCTTAGTCCTTTTTTTTTTCAAGTTCTATTCTCCACTCCTCTCAAGCCTATTGCATACTTTTTTAGATTTTCTTTTATCAAAGCTATATCATCTGTAAACATCATGGATCATGGTACCCCTCTCACCTGTTCTTATGTACAAGTGAGATGGGGCATTCCACACAAGTATTGTATGAGTTCGATGTCCTGACAGTATTTTACACCTATTGTCGTCCTGATACAAACCCATTTGTTTTCTTTTATGATAGGTAAATGTACTGTAGGAGTATTCTGATCCCTTCCAACAAAGAGAATGATATTGTCAAATGTAAGGTAAATTTCTCCAACCCACTGAAACATTACCATATGCTTACTGAAATCGTTCATCTGAGCATTTTATTAGTAGGAGCTCAGGGTCCCTGGTTTGGTAAACTTGTAGTATCATATGCTCCCCTGAAGTTATTACTCTTAAAATGTATAAAACTATCAAAAATATTTCTGCCTCTTATGCAGGGCATACATCTATGCAGCGTAGTGAGAAATTGAGTGAAAACTACATTGTAAATATTTTAGGATCTCCTTGTTTCTTCTATGTTTCTAATGGTTTTATATATTTAATCCCTAAGATATCAAACAAAATCATTGGTTAAACCAAATTTTTGTAGTATTTACCATTCAGCCTAATTGGAATCCTCTTATCATGCAGATAGCTCTCTCTATTTCATCCAAATATACTAAATCCTTTTTTTGTAAAAGAGATCCCAAATTCTTACATTTTTTCTTTACGGGTTTCTCCTTAGCTATTGTCATACCTCGCTTTAATCAACCATCACTCTGCTTGTACACATACTCAACAATTTTCAGTGTTTTCTAAAATGTTTAATAGATTATAATATGCATGCGATAGTTTGGTAATTTAGTAGATAGTAAAATATATGTTATTTATAATTTAATGACAATGAAACATTGTTTTGTAAACAAAATGATTTTAATATTATTGTATAATATTTATAATTTTTTTTTTCTATAGAACCACAATCCGTTGAAAGTACTTCTGTTGCTACATCTATAACAACTTCTCCATCATCTTACCATACAAATAATGTTTCAACTACGCAAGTAAATGTGAATAATTCGGACAGTGTTGTTAATTGTGTATCATCTACACCTTCATCACTCAGTTCTACTACATCACCAGTACAAAGTGATTCTCATTCAGCTTTATCATCACTTAAGACAATGGCACAAAAAGCAATTGATCAAGCTGGAATTGATATAAATCAACAATCTTCTGACTCTAAAAGTAATTATAAAACAATTTATGTATGCATAATTAATACAAATAATATTGAATTATTTCTTTTATATTATGTGGATTTTACATTTAATATTTAAACAAATTATAATAATCTTACTTTCATTTTGCTGTAAAATTTGGAGAGGTTATAGTTTTTTTTTAAAACATTTTTTGAAAGTTCAGTTTACTATCATATGTTGTATATACTTAAAAATAGCATATGTAATAAAAAATGTATTTAATTTTAATCACAAAACAAATGAAATGTGTTATTTTATATCACCACAATGATAAATAATAATTATGTTCGTATTGAGTACATTATTTAGTGTATCTAGGTGTGTTAAATATATGGTCATATAGTTTTAACTGTTTGTAACTAATCAATAAAAAATATTGTTTTTATGTATGTTAAAATGTTATAAAGAGGATGTTATATCCGTATCTAGTGTCTCAGTCCAACTATTAGGTAACATACAAAAACAATGCTTATGCAGAAATAAGTAAAATTAGCTTAATTTTGATTTAAGATTAAAAGTACCTATTATGAAATGTATAGAAAATAATATTGTCAGGTGTTTTTTGAATTATGAACTATTAAAAAAGAAAAAAAAAGTTTTTTATCTTTTATATCGAGTTTTATATTTTGAATAATACAAAAATCTAATTACATTCCCTCCTAAATATTGTTCTTTATACATTTCATAATAGATACTTTTACTCTAAAATCAAAATTATTGAACTACTCTTTCTGCATTAGCATGGTTTTTGCATACTATCTGGTAGTTGGACTAAGACAGTAGATGTGGGTATAACGTCTTCTTAATGTTGTTTCACATTAAATAAATATTATTATTTATTATTATTTTTTTTTTTTCTTTTGAAGGTATGAGTTCAAATGTAGTTCAAAATGCAAGTAGTCATCTTAGCGTACAGCAACAACAATCACAACAGCCACCTGTTTTGTTTGAAGCTAATATTTCTCCCTTATTAGGAGTAGCTCCATTGGGTCCTGTTCCACTTTCCAAAGACCATCAATTTCAATTTACAATGCTTGAATCTGCATTTGTACATTTACCTCATCCATCAGATTCTGAACGAATCAAACTATATTTGCCTCGAAATCCATGTTCAACACCTCATTATTATAACCAAGTAAATAATATAAAACAAAAAATAGTATAATATTTATAGTGATATTAATTTTGTGCTTTAGGGACCTCTTCCCCATTCCGACAGTTTAGAATTTTTCCAAAGACTTTCGACAGAAACTCTCTTTTTTATATTCTATTACATGGAGGGGTCTAAAGCGCAATATTTGGCAGCTAAGGCACTAAAGAAACAAAGTTGGAGATTCCATACTAAATATATGATGTGGTTTCAACGCCATGAAGAACCTAAGTTAATTAATGAAGAATATGAACAGGTTTGATATTAATTATAATGGTTTTTAATTTGTAAACTACATGTAAATTATCATTATTTAACTAGGGCACTTACATATATTTTGATTATGAGAAATGGGGTCAGCGAAAAAAAGAAGGCTTCACGTTCGAGTATAAATATCTGGAAGATAGAGAATTAAATTGAAAATTGTGTTATTTTTATATAGTCCTATACTGAAATAATAATTAAAAAAAAAAAGAATAGAATATAATCCACGAATAAAAGGATTATTTTTGCCCCCTTACAACATGTGATATGATTTGGAAATTTGGAGAAAAGGAATTTGGAGTGTACTATATTTTTTTTTTAATTTTTAAAAAATAACTTTAATATAGTCTTTGTTTGTATGTATAGTACATATTAACTAAATGATGTACATATTAACAGACTGCTTTAAATATTTTTTCTAAATTATATGTTCTTTAACCAAGAAGTACTAGGATTTTATATCCCATATGTATTCCTTGGAGAATATCATCATTTCTTTCTTTTTTTTTTTCAATAGTATTTTTGTTTCGAGTTTTAAAATATTACAAATAGAATTATTATTAGCAAAACAGTTAAATTTATTATAGTTTAATATTAGTGTTTTTTCTGTATCTATTGTACTTTTTGTACCTCAGATTTTTTGTCAATGTTATTAAATCTGTGATGCCAAAAAGTTAATTTTATTGGTGTCATTCAAAAATTATGTAAATTGTCCATTCCCTGTCTTTTGGAATTAGTTTTTCCTTCATTTGAGTATGTATATAAAAACTGATTAATACTATTCAGTCAAATACATAAATCTTAATTTAATTAAAATAAAGCGATATATATATATATATTTTTTTAATGATGAAATTGTATACATTTATATAAAAATGAACAGTTTTTTATTAAGTTTTAAAATTTATTTGTGTATATTAGATAATTTTTGAATGACCCTTTTTTTATAAACAAATTATTATCCTTTCCTTATAATTAAATTCATATAAAATTTACATTATTGGTTGTAATTTATATTTTTCTCATATTAAATTGAAAAAGTATAGATTAAGTTCTACAATTTAAAATCGCCCTTATTGTACTTAAAAATGACTTACTGTAGAACAAAACGTTTAGCTACTATTTTTATACTACTGTGTATAACATCTAATAATTTTTACTGTAAATAAATTTACCAACAGTAAAATTGTATTTATTAAGAGTCTTTCAAAAACTATTTATAATAAATATATATATATATATTTCATCAATAGAATTAAGGTTTTTTTTTATAATAATAATTTTTTTTTTTTGTACAATTTTTTAATTCATTGGTTAGGAACAATATTTCAAATGTTGACTACTAATCTTAAATATTTAAATAATTTTTGATTGACTCTTAAAACTTTTTATTAAAAACCAATCAACCTCAGTGATCATTAATCAGTGTAATACATATTTATATTATTTTATAGACCAGGAAAGTATTAAATTAAGTTACTTTTCCTCTTGTGATTTATCTTAGGGACAAAATGATCAATGTTTTTTTTTATTATTATTGTTGGCTGTTATACTAAGCTATAATTCTGTTTAATACATGGATTAACAGATTGATGTTTTGTTCCTACAGCATCTTATAAACCAATCAAATGAATGATAGATGTACAAAAAGTAAGCTATGTAATAAAAAAAATATATATTAAAATTATGTTTTGATATTACTTTTTATTTTTTGACTTAGTTATAACTTAAGTTGATGAGATCTAAATTTAAAAAATTTTGTTCATAGAATATAAATACTTATCAACACATTTATTTAATTTGAAATTTATTTTTATAATAATTATAACAATAAAGAATGTTCATTGTATAATTAAAACTGTTCATCAAAGATTATTTAATTAAATGATTTAATATAAAAATAATAAGTGTTAAATTGAATCTAAATGAATTAAAGTGTTTTGTACAATGTCACTACATTCCTCATTTAAAGCCACCCTTCCCAAATGCTGTGGCAGAGTCCAACAGATCACATTTATTTAATATTATGGTAGAATCCAAGCGCCCCTCCCCTCTCAAATCTTTTAAGATAATTGCACCACTGTTGTAGGGTATAAATTTAGGGTCATTTCATTTAACTCTATGCAAAATAAATAATTTTCATAACAACCAATTCTGAATGAAGTTTGACTAAACATGTTTAGTTAGATTAAAATTACAAAATGTATATCTTCTTCTAAGTCCCAATTATATAGTCGGCCATCCTCAACCTAAACTTCCGCTTGATTCGATTTCCTATCTCATATACACTGAGTGTACTTATGTTTTTTGTCTTCTTATTTCTCTCTACCCTTATGATTATATTCATTACCATACTACTTCCGATTCCTCTAACCTCACAAGATGCCTAAACTACCTTAGTTTAGTTTCTCATATTTTGTTTACTATTGAAGCAATGTCTAAACTACTACAAAAAGAAATGATTGAAATTGATCAGCGAAGTGAACCCTACCACAAGTGATCAACATGACTTTACTACGAGAAAGCACTCGATAGGTACCTGCCATGTCTGGTAAATAAATGAGGAATCATAAAGGGTTAGTATCGGATTTGGGTTGGATTGATGTGGTGAATTAAATGGCTTGTTTGATTTTTAATATATACTACCCCTTTTAATTAAATAAAAAAAAAAAAAAAACTATTTCTTATTACAATAAATAAGAAAATTGACAATGTGTATTGTTGAATTTAGAAGAAATTTCTTAAGATTTTTAACTACCTAATATTAGTCTATTAAGGTATCTTTACATACACGTGCGCCAACTATTGAGTTGCTGTGATGCTATTTAACACGTTAATATTATAAATGTAGAAAAAATAATTTTTAATTAAAATAATATTTTGGGTTTTTTTTTTGTTATTTTGGTAGTGCCATCGACTTCTATCCTTGATTGTCGATCTTCCAAAAATAGAAAACTTTAGAAGATTCTAAAAAAAATAAATACATCTATTATAACTGAACACTATGACTGATTTCGATAGGGCAAAATTAGAATTACATCACTATTATGTTAGATGCTGTTGAAGCAAAAAAGTTTAATTTATGATCAGTGTCAGACACAATTGATTTTTGAATCAAGAGTTATATTATCGAGATTTGGTACCAGAAGTGATTAAATTAATTAAAATTATGTTAACCGTACCAGTTTCATTGTGTAGTTAATTGTTTAGTTAAGCGTTCTTTTTCTGTTCTTTGGGATTTAAAAACATTCTTAAGGTCAACAATGCAATTTAACAATATAGTGATATTACATGTACATAAAGAAAAAAATATAAATATTGATGATATTGCTAAAAAATGTAATAATACAACCAAAGTAAAACAAAGAACATTTGAGCTTTGTTGACAAATGAAGAAATATATGCTTATTATACAATTTTTATTTTAAACTATTTTAAATTATTTAAATTCTGTGTGGACAAAAATAATACCACTTCTTATTTATTTAAAAATACAATTTGTTGTACTTATAGTTAAAAATAAAAAACATTTTGTTTTTATTTTGATTGTGAGTCTTCATTATTTTTAAGATTTAGGCAAAGACATATTTATAGTTTTGCTAATCTTAGGCATAATTAAGAAAACTTGCACTTTTTGGCATATATTTTGACAATGGATAAAAAAAAAAATTATCGCTTATTAGTACTGAAAATAAAAAATTTACCTTCTTGGGATGATGGCTTTTCATCGTCGCCACCCCCCCCCCGCGCCCTAAATACAATAATAAAACCAATAAACAAGTTATGCTTTGTTAATTTTTTTTTTTTATTTTGATTAAAAGTTAAAAATATTTTAGGATTATGGGCACCCCATGAAAATCAGAAAACCCGACAATCCATGTTTACATAAATTTAATTATGCATTTCAAAAACATTGTCTTAAATTATAACCTTTTTCAAAAATATAAAAAATTTATTGTGTATTAAGCAATATAATAACAAACAGCGGATAATCTTTTAATTATACACAAAAATAAATAAATGTTCAAATTATATTAAAAATTTAGAAATCTTGGATTTGGTAATGCAGCCAAAGTTTTATTAGCTTTACTGCTTTTGCCTATTCCAAGTTTAGGTAGTCCTCTGTTTAATCCTTCTAACAACATACATGCCTTACAAATATCTCGACTTGATACAAATCCACATTTAGTACAAATGCCTTTCTCTGGCATTTTTATATTCTCTTTAATACACATGGTCTCACCTTAAAAAAAAAATCACATTAAAAAATAAAAAATATTCAAATATTTCTTTAAAATTACTACTATTACCAGAATGTATTATATCCATAATAGATGAAGGTTTTAATCTTTCTAAATCTTTTAAAAATGTCCTTGCGTATCCTCTGTAAGCATTTGGTGCATAAACACATTCAGTTGAAAAATAATTTAATTTCTTGAAATATGCATACATTACTATTTCCTTTTCATAAGTATATTTTAATGGTTTACATCGAGGAATAGCACCTTCTGTAATCTTACAATATATATGTATTTCATTAAAATCTGTAATCTACTTTAAAATACATTAACACATTAATAATTGAAAACTTTATTTAAATAAAAGCAATTTGTAAAAAAGAAAAAGACATCCTAGGATAATGGAGACGGGTGCAGCCATTTTTATAGGTATTTTAATGTATACCTGTAAGCAACGATAAACCATTACTTCCGAAAAAATAATTCTGAGCAAGTTCAGTTGATAGTGATGCTTTGTTAACAATATATATGTCATTTTAAAGTAAAATAATTAAATAGGCTCAATATATTATCTTTAACAATATTTGTTTAATGTTATACTGATTTCCCCAGTTTTGCTGAGAAAACTCTGGAGAAAATCAAAAATGACCTTTCTAAAGTATATCGCCAGTGAAATTTCCTTTTAAAAAAATTGCTATCAATATAAGTTGGAGCAAAATTGTTGGTAGAAAAATTATCCACAGAAAAAATATATTGTAATATTATACAAATATATTTCCTTCATTACAGTTTTTTTTTTTTCAGTTTTTTACATTTGATGAGAAAATTGAAAAATCACCTTTCTAAGAGGAGGTACCTTAGATCACATTGATTTCCTTTCAGAAAAGTTGCTACACATAAAAATCGGAGCAAGTGATCTGGTAGGGAAGTTGTCCATAGAAAATAAAAACTAAAAAAAATAAACATCTTAGTAAAACCATAAGCTTCTTCGCTCCACTCAGAATCCAAAATAAGCAGTGTTTATATTTTATTGTTCTTAAAATGTTGATGTTTCAACTTTTTATATTCATTAAAATTAATGAATAATAATTTATTTATTTTTTTTTTACCAAAACATAAATATTTAATTAAAATACAAATATTTGTAGCCCTTATCCCAATGAGTAATATGAAAAAAAAATTGACTCTTTCTTTTATCTCTGGAAATATTACAATGGGTATAACTTCGTGTGAAACCATGTTTACCTTTAATGGAAAATAATTATTTTTTAAACTATATTTATATTTATTCATTATATTTTAAATAATAATATAACTACATGTATCCAAAATGAATTATGTATTAACATCCGATCACATGCATGTTATAATTTAATTTATTTTTTATTTATTTTAATTTAAAAGTTATATTAACTTATAATACCTACTTTATTAGATACTTACAGTTATAATATTTACACATCTTTGTAATCTAGCTACATCACCACGTAAAATGTTCATTAACACAGTCTCTGCAATATCATCAGCATTATGACCAGTCGCAATACAATCAACATTTAATAACATTGCGCCTCTGTCTAAAGCTTGTCTTCTGAATACACCACAAAATGTACAATTATTTTTATGTCCAACTTCAGTTACTATTTTATCCATTGACCATCCATACAACTGTTCATATGATAAAATCTTTAAAGGCATTTGATATTCATCTTTATTTTCTAAAACTGTTTTCAAGCTATCATCTCTATAACCTATTACAAATATAACAAATATTATCAATCATTATTAATCAAATATTTTTTTGTTAGTCAAAGAGTAGATGATAATAATAATATAGTTAGAGAGTCTAAGTTTAAAGCTCTAGTGTAATGGTGTTCTGTAAATTTAATTTAAATTTTATAGGCATATATGTTTTGAGCTGGTTAAACAGAACACTATTAATTACTCATGTTGTATACTACCTCTTGCAAACTCTGTTGATGTAGTATGGTACCCAACAGTAAAATGTTTCCTATCGGAAAAAGGGTTTAAAAAATATCCGGAAAAATTACCCGTTTCAGCCAAAAATGAACCTTTCCGTTTTCTACCAAATAAAAAAATTTCAAAATGTTCACAAAAAATATGAAAAATTTACAGTTATTGTTTTACAGTGGTGATTAAATTAAATTATAAAAAATATAAATGTCATATTATTTATATTTACTCTAAGACTTACTGTAAGTTATATTATAATACATTTGCATAACTTACAATAATTGTACAATATTCATTTTACGAAGTAAAATGATATTTAAACACAAATATTGACAATAAATTAAAATATTATAACTAATACAACAAACAACATTTGAACATTGGAAATACAATCAATAGCATTAGAAAAATACGATATTCAGTAATTTTATATTCGATAAATGATCATTGGATGGAAATTACCATACAACGTAACTTATCTTCCAACGAAAAAAAAATTATAAATAATAAAAATAAGTTTGAATTTATACAATAATCAAAAAAAATAAGGTAGGAAATTCTTTAGGTAAGAAATAACAATCACTGAATATTAACACTAATTTTACCTTGTATTCAATAAATAATTAACAACATTTGTAAAATGCATAAATAGAAAAAAACTTCCTAGATTTTTAATTAATTTATTTGTCAAATTAATGATTGTAATAGATACAATTATAAATTAATATTTATTGGAATATTAGATTAAATGTTTTCATTAAGGGAAAAGGAAAGGGTAAATTTTTGGCGGAAACCGACAATGCCCATTCAAAATCACAACAGACAATATCATCGAATTCAATTCGCACCTGTATTGAAAATGAATACCAATAGTACGGTATTGTGTTCAATACTGGTTTGAACCGATATACCGAAAATTTATGAACAGTATATAAAATGGTACGATAGGAAAGATAATTATGATGATGATGATAATGTAGGTTCGTTGAGATTTTTTGTAAAAATACCATTATCGAATTTAATCGTTTCTATTTTTATGAGCCGAGTAGACTCAGAACGAGTTTTAAGGATTTGGATTTTAATTTAAGAAAATAAACACAATTGTTCTAGACTTAAAGTTTATTATTCGCACAGACATGACATATACATAAGTACTTGTCTAACATTTGGTTACGACTGGTTGACTAGTGTCCCCCACGTGCTCTCTATATACTGAAAACGAGCCTTTAATTAAGACAATTACTATTCTAAATATATATCTGTGCTACTTTTCCTTATTACAAACTCCACTATTAATTAATTATTTATGACACAACTGATAATGTATAAAATGTAACTAAGGTCTTCTGAATACAAATAGAATACTAATAACTACGTTTTATTACACTTAAACCGGATGGACTTTACAACACCTAGACCGGTGGTCTTAACACTATCTTCGCTAACAAATATTATATGCTAATGTATTGACGCCAAGATTGCTGACTGAGGACCAATTCGAGTTCAGAAAAAAAATATGGTAACAAGAATAGCAATATTGGCATAAAGGCTATTAATTCAAAAAAGGATTAGGAAAGATTTTATGATAATTTGAATTTGACAGTAATATTTAATATGACGTCAAGAATGGGGATAAAAACACGCAGACAAAAGACTTCTATATATCTAAAGAAATTACAAATTTAGGGATAATGATTAACGACCAGAATATAAGTACGTTGCGTTTCGTCGATGGCATAGCTTTAATTGCTGAAAATAAGGAAGATTTGGATCAACTAACCAAAATCACGGATGAATTATTTATTAAGAATTTGCAAATGAAAATAAATGTGCAAAAGACAAAAATGATCGTATGTGGAAGGGAAAATAAAACCAGAGTACAGATAAAACTACGAGGAAACCAAATAGTAAAATAATTAGATGAATTTACATAACTGGGGAGCACAATCAGCAATAATGGAAAGAATGGAAGTAAAATAATAAAACGTATCTATCAAGCCAAAACAGCCTAACAGCTTAACAAGAAAACTCTACTTACATCAAGAAACATTAGCCTAAAAACAAGGAAAAATGTATTGAAGACGAATGTATAGAGTATGGCACTTTATGTGTGTAAGACCTGGACAATAACAGTGAGATAACGAAAAAAACTGGAGTCCTGTGAAATATGGTGCAATAGAAGAGTGTTAAGGATAAGTTGGATGGACAGAGTAACCAATGAAGAGGCGCTGAAAAGAATATTAGAAGGAAAGTTATTATGGAGAAATATAGCTAGAAGACGAAACGAATGGGCAGACCATATAGTGGGACGCGAAGGATTGTTAAAACTGATTATATAGAAGGAAGCGTAGAGAGGAAGAACCATGGACAAGGTTAGAACATTGAAGATTTAAAGATATTGATATATAGACATTGAACAGATAATAAAGGACAAAGATGCAAATATGCATAAATGAAGAGAAAAACAAAGTATAGGAAGATGGCAAACAGAGCAAACCAATCTACGAATTGAGACCTTTATGTCAATAATTTAACTTAACTTATTTAACTTACTTAGTTAAACAAAGTTTTTGGTGATTTTAATATTAATTAATTTCATAATTCTGTTATCAATTTATCAACATCATATTTTATATTTTTTCTTAAACAAAACACAAAATGTTCTTTAAAAACGATTTATTTTGGTACCTATACAGTATACCGTATCCTACGGTTTTAACGGTAAACTGTGACACAAAAATTTCCAAATATCGGTAAACCAAAAATACTGTCAGCCCTACGTTAGGGTATACGTTCTTATTGGCAATTGGTCAAAAAGTACGTTTCAAAAAAAAGTTGGACCAAAAAGTCCGGATTCATTTTTATTGTCAGACAAAAAAAAACAGAAAAATAAAAAAATTATTTTCTTATTATTATTAATATTATACACGATTTAGATAAATCTACATCTAATAAATCAATTATTTTTCAACAATATTTATACCATATAAAGAAAAAAAAATTGTTTTTAATGGATATTCATATACCTAAGGTTTATCATACACTTGTTTCGAGTATTCGGTGGAAACGTTCGAAAAAATGTCCATTTTAATAAATTCCAATGGTAAACTGAAAATTGATAATATTTTTATTATTGTAGAGTGATCAATATTTATATTGACTATTTTTCAAAACGTAATTTAATTTAAATTATTATTATTATTGTAGAATAAAAAAATGTACTCGGAATTTATGTTCCGCAATAAAATAAGAGTCCTGACTTTTTGTCCATGGACCTTATGTCTTCGGACTTTTAGTACGAGAGTTCTCATTATATTGGATCTAACTAACACCCGGAGGCGATTTTCGAAAATCCATGGTTCATTGTTGCTTACAGATATACATTTAATTTTCGTCTATATCCTATATTCCCCACTTTCCACCGACAACAGAGGCTACACCCATATGCGAAGTATGTCCGTGTTTTTATAGTTACATTTCGTACATTTTTTCCTATTTATTGAGAAAATCAATAAATGACCTCCTTAAAGTACCTCCCCAGTCCAATTTCCTTTCAGAAAAAGTGCTATACTTGTGAATCGGAGAGACTTCTAGTAGAAAAAAATTAATAAATAAACAACTTTGTAAACCCATAAGCTTCTTCACTCCACTCAGAATCTAAAAAAACGGACATACTTTCCACAATGGATGGGCCATTATTGTAGATGAGAAGTTGGAAAAAGGCGAATTTGTAACAAATCTAGTTCATGACCTAAACGCGTTTTTCAAATTTTTTTTTTTTCCAAAAGTGTTTTTTTACATTAAAATTTCATATATTTACCTATTTATTCCCAATTATTATGAAAATCACTAGGAAAATCAAAAAATGACTGCCCCATACAATTTTTTCTTTCAGAAACATTTGAAAATTTGAGCAATATTGCTAGTACAATAGTTGTTCACAGAATAAAAACCATGGTAAAATCAATATATTCCATGATCCGCTTAGAATTTAAAGGTAGTTCATTTACAAACAAACCAAAAGTGGTTGCATGTAACATAAATCATAAAAAATATAATGATATGAATGAAGTTTGTAGGCTTGCGACCAAAAACTAGCCTGACAACAGTTTATACCTGGCCCAATAGCGGACAGTTGATGACAAGAGTGGTGAGGTGGTAAAAACTTCCCCTTACTCCCCGATTAAAGCAACTGATACCAAAATGCTTGTATGTTATAAGGAAAGCACAAATTTGAATGTTACTCCATACTTGTAGATTTTTATTAATATTCTGTATGAATATTACAATAACAATAAATAATGATAAATATATTATATTAACTATTACAAATGATTTACAAAGTTTTATTTTGCATATTTGACAGTTAGTAAATATTTGTACAAATTTTCATATTTAAATGAAAATTATACTCTACCTCGAAAAAAAAAATATGTTGAACATCACCGGAGTAACAATTTATAAGTTGAATATCTAGCAATATTTCCCAAAAAATAATAAAATAATATTTAAAAATAAATAAAAAAAAACTAGATTTATTTATTTTTCCATCATAACATATATTATAATATGTCATATTTTTCTATTTCTTAGTAATCATTAGATATAGGTTAGGTTATAAACAGATTATAAATAAAGTACAGTTTACCAAACTATGGTGTGAAAAAATAATAAATCCAATGAAATTTTTTCTTAATAGTTTATAAAATATATTTTAATATTATAATATTACCAGTAATTCCTTCGTCTATAGATAATAATACCAATTTTAATTCATAATTATAACGTTCATTCAGTGTCTTGAGAACTTGAGCTAATACAGTGGAATCTTTTCCGCCAGAAGCTGCAATTGCTACAACATTTCCTTTTTTAAATAATTTACCATTTATAATAGTGCTATGTATTTCTAGTTCAAATGCCCAAAAAAAACATTCTTTACATAATGTATCTCCAGTTTTAGGGCGCTAAAATTAAAACAAAAACTATTTATTTATTAGTTATTTATTTTAGCCAAATTAATGTAATGTTTAAAGTAATAATTTGTAATAAAAATAAAATAAATATATGCAGAATAACTGTAAAATCAATCCACTGAATTGCTTGTGAACATTATCAAGATTATGTATATACCTTAACAATGCCTCTTATAATCATTATAAAATAAATATACATAAGTAGAGTTAACCTGACAAATAGGGTTGTGTCAGGTCGACAGCTGGTGTAAAAATCTGTCAAATAGTATGAGTTCTAAACAAAACTTTGTCAGATTGTCCTATCTAGGAAGTGCTAAGGGTAAAATAGGCAAAAGGAGGTACCATGGTGGAATAAGTTAACAATAAGCTTGAGGAATGAGGGGTATTTGACAGAAAAAGAATAAGGATAAGTAAAAGTAAAACAGAGAATGAGTTTGGAAGAACAGGACAAGTAGGAGTTACTAATAACTCTGGCTAATGACAAGCAGTTATAGGTAAAGTAGAGAATTTTAGATACCTATGATCTTTCAAATAAAATAAAGGTGGCTTTTATGAGGATGTGAAACATAGGATTATGAGTAGTTGGATAAATTGGATAAAAGTTTAGGTTTCATATGTAACAAAAGAATTCCAATGAGACTTAAAGTAAAGCTATTCATGTAGTGAGATTATGTGGTATGATTCAGTGTTGGGCAGTAAACAAACAAATAAAATAGAGATTAAGTGCAGCAGAGATGAGAATGCTTAAGTAGATGTGTGGAGTGACAAGAGACAATAGGATAAGGAATGAGTAGGTAAAGACAGCTTAAACGTGGCATCTATAGTAGATAAAATGAGAGAAAAGAAAATTGAATGGTTTGGGCTTGTCATAGAAGAGAGGACTCTGAAGCAGTAATTGGAATTAAAATAAACATAGAATGAAGGAATTGGAGAAAAGACCAAAAAAAAGTGGTTGGATTTGATTGAGAATGATATAAGGACAGCAATTATAAGCCATTTAGATCAAATTAAGTGGAAGTTTAGAATTATTGTAGCCAAACCTCATAGCTGGAAAAGGCGTAGGCAAAGATTTAAAATTGAAAAGGCTTTGAGTATTGGACTGCGTTAACATGTTCACTGCCAATTTTATAATATATATTATATATAACCAATGTGTTTTTTTTTTACTTAACCAATTAAAAGGCTTGGATTTGGAAATTAAATCCTAATTCTGCAATGTAATTTTAAATATAATATACCACTTTTATAGATTTTAAATATTGTTACTATTTATTTATAATGTTATCAATACTTGGAACGTATCAGTAAATAACAGGTCTATATAAAATACTTATTTTCAAATGGTAATCTTAAAGTTATTACTGTAAAACTATTTTGATAACGCCAAAGTTGAAAGACACATTAATTTAAACATAGATTGTAAATTTCTAGAAATATTGTATACCTTGAGTACTGCATTTTGACCACATTTTGCTGAACATAAAACAGGCATTTTATTATATTAATAATAACACAACTGTGTTAAAAAAATAAACTTAAATTAAAATTGTTTAATTATATTTTAAACATAAAAACATTACACACGTTCCGCTAGCAATATTTGATAAGGAAGCCCAGTGGTTCCCAAATGCGTAAACATTCCTATATACGCGACACTTTAAATTGAAACAAACGTACGAAGTGAAATAAACTAAAAGGCACTAAACAAAAATAGTAGTGGTAGTAAGGTAGTTGAGAAATGTGGCGCATAAAAGCGACCAAATACTTTAACAACCTAGGAAAAATAGGAGGACAAGTTTTTGTAGCTAAAAAAGTGTTCTTTCAGACAGTATAATAAAAATAGGATTCTTATCCCGAAACACATGAAAAAAAAGACGTTCTAGGATAATGAGGATGAGTGCAGACACTGTTATAGGTAATTTAATAAATACCTGTAAGCAACGATAAACCATTTGCTTACGAAAAAACGGTTCTGAGTGGAATTGAGTTAAAGTGATATTTGTCAACAATATATGTGCCATATTATAGTAAAGTAATTAAATAGGATCAATATATTATGTTGAATAATATTTGTTGTTATACCGATTTCCTTGGTTTTTCTATATTTTTCAGTTTTCCACATTTGCTGAGAAAACTCCGGAGAAAATCAAAAATTGAACTCTCTAAAGTACTTCCCCAGTGAAATTTCCTTTTAGAAAAATGTTTCCATTAAAAGTTGGATCAAAATTGTTTATAGAAAAGGTGTCCATAGAAAAAAAAATAAAAATATACAAATATATTTCATACATTTTCTCGTTTTTTCGAAAAATTACTTCTCTAAGGTATCTCTCCTCACCGATTTCCTTTCAGAAATCGTGCTACACCCAAAAATAGGAGCAAGTCTTCAGATAGGAAAGTCCACAAAAAAAAAAAAATAAACATCTTTGAAAAATATAAGTTGTATATGTATATTCCAATTTTGCAAATTTTACCTATGTACATAATAATATCCATAGATAAAATCATGAACATTAGAGTCCGCTAATGATAAAACTTACAAATTACAAACCTGTAATAATAGTTTTATTTAAATAAAAAGATATGGTAGCCGTTCTCTGACACTAATAAAAACTTCTAGGGTTACATAATGTACCCATCGTAAAAGTAAAACCTAATACTTTTTTTTTGGTCTAAATTAAAGTAGGGTTAATATGTTTTTTTATAATTTTTAAAATAATGGCTTCTGGTCACGACAGAAGTACATGTTTTTGGTCAAGTAGGTGACAACGAATTAATAAAAAATTAGTTTTCATAATTTAAAAATAATAATGATTTATATATTCCAAACTTTTACATTCCATGTTTGTACGGTTAATATTTCGATAACCTTAAAACCTCGGATAAAATAATTGTTCTTTCCAGATTTGTAATTTCAAAAATTGTACATTCTAAATTTATATATTCAAGGTTTGTACATTCAATAATTTCAGGTGCTCCTGATTTAAATGCCTAAAATTGTACACTAAAATCACAGATATTCTTATTATACTCAATACCATAGATATCTGTGACTAAAATGCATAAATGTATAAGTTGGTAATATTGTATGGTGGTTTTTTGTCGGGTGGCGTTTTGTCGGATTCCGATTATTATCGCGTAGCTTTACGTCAAGTTGTTATTTGTTGGTTGGCTTTTTGTCGTGCTTAGCTTATGACCACGATGACATAGTCCGTAGTTGTGCAATCTTCAATCGTGTCTATAGATCGCGTTAATTTTGTTTTACTGATTATCGTACGTCTTTAACACGGATTGTAGTTTGTAAGTTGTTCAACCCATGAATTAAATTAATAATAAACTATTATAATATATTATCTATGGTTCGACCTTATCTTTTATCACTAAGGTTATATTCTTATCAGTATTTGATTATCAAAAGATAAAATATAACACATATTAATAGTTACACGTCATTTACTACATTATTTTTATTTTTTAATGCTAACTTTTATTTGAATTGTTATTGAATTTAATTGTCAGTGTTATACAATGTCTCGTAAATTTTAATTCGCAGTTTACTCTTGTTAATTACTAAACTAAAATAAAATGGGAAGTACAAATAGTACTCCTATTCCTGGTGGAGGAACCGAAGGATATCATGTTTTAAAAGTAAAAATATGTTTTTATAGAATTTTAGTCAATATTTATAAAATAAAAGTTTAGTAATCAAATAAAATCGTTTATATAATTTATGATTTAGGTTCAAGATAATTCTCCTGGCCAAGCTGCAAAATTGGAAGCTTTTTTTGACTTTATTTTAGCTATTAATAACACAAGACTTGTAAGTTTTATTTATTTTAAATACATATTAAAAAAATTATTTTTATATTACATTAATTATTTAATATAGGCCTGTTACAATTTCTTTTTACTAAATGTATTAATATTTCAATTATATCATAATATTATTTTGTATTTTATAATATAATGCAATTAAGGCTGAACATTTTGTGTAAAAAAAAAAAAAAAAACCATTACAAATCAGTTTCATGGAGGTTAAATAATAAAAGAGTTAATTGAATTTTTATTGTTTTCTTTGCCATACAAATAAAATTATTGATGTTATTTTTTACTAGTTATGACCAGGTAGTACGTACAAGTTTTTTTTACTATTTTATTAAATATTTGCCAGGATGCATTCATCAATGTATTTATATTATCTTCAGGAACTACTATTAAAATGTATAGTTGAAGTATAGCTTTTGGGTCTGAGGAAAAAATGTCAAAAATATTACATAGATTTTTTGTTAGTATACCGACCTAGAAAAGTTTCTATTGGTCAGATTTTCGATTTTTCATTTACAATTGATTTCAAATTGATTTTTAAACGAATTGATTCAATTTCATTACATACACTTTTTATATTTTGTTATGAAATTATATATTTGCAGATACCTATTATTATTTATAAAAACCCATTTTTTGGTTTTTATATACCTATATATGTATGAGTGTAACTGTGAGAAGTGAATTATTGTATATAACATAACATAGGTAATTTGAAATATTTTATGTTATTTGGTAGACCAATTTAATGATTGCATTGTGAAAATTATATAAAACTGTAAGTACCTACAGTTAAAAATTTGTTATTAATAAAAAACCAACAAAACAAATATGTCATACTGAAAACTAATATTTTTAGAAACAACTCTATTAAAACAGTCCTTTTTAGTGCTACCAAATTTATAAATTTCCTACAAAATATAAATAAAAAAAATCAAAATTATCCATAAAAATCTGAACAGTAGAGGTTTTTTCTAGGATGTTATACAAACAAAAAAAATCTATGAGACGTTTTCGATATTTTTAAAATTATTTCTCAGACCCTAAAGCCATACTTCAATCAAATCTGTTCTTCATGGGTAGTTTATTAGTTTACAGTCATTGACTATTATTCAGTCGTTTTATTGCGTATTTCATCAAATTCTATTTACTGTTTAACATTATTTTAGGTTTTAATCATTTATCAATAATTTACATAAGAAACATAATGAATGTTATTTTTTTATCATTTATATTATTTGAAAGTTCCAAATACTACTTATTATCTTTTATTTATTATATTTATTAATTTACCTAAGTGTTAAATTAATTGTTTAATCACTTAATTTATTTATGTTATCTAAATGTTTTTTTTTTTTTTAGGATAAAGATAATGATACTTTAAAAGAAATTTTAAAAAATGAAGATGGTAATGAGCTTACTCTAGCTGTTTACAGTAGTAAAACACAAATAGTCAGAGAAGTCAAAATTATACCAAACAGTAATTGGGGTGGTCAAGGTTTATTAGGCGTGAGCATACGTTTTTGTTCATTTGCTGGAGCTAATGAAAACGTCTGGCATATTCTTGTTAGTAAAATTATTTAAAAGATCTATTTGTATACTACATTATTTTGGATGTTATTAATTATTTAGGATGTTCATCCAAATTCTCCTGCTGACAAAGCTGGTCTTAGATCACATATTGATTATATAATCGGTTCTGATTCTATAATGCATGAAAGTGAAGATTTATTTATGTTGATCGAAGCACACGAAGGAAGACCATTAAAATTATATGTTTATAATGTTGAGTTAGACACTTGCAGAGAAGTTTCAATCACACCAGATTCTGCATGGCCTGGTGAAGGAAGGTAAATTTAGTTTTTAAGTGGTAGTATATAAAAGTTATATTTTATTATACTAATTAATCGTATGATAGTATTAGTCAGTAGGCTACGTGACCTATTTTTATTGAAAGATTATATTTTATGATATTACTATACATTTTATTTTTACATATATTTATATTATTTATTTAAATCTGGATATAATGAGGGTACCTTTATAAGCTCGAATGGTACAAATCTTAACTATAAAAATATGGATAGTACAAATCTGAAATTTAATATTACAAATCTGGACAGAAAATATCCGTTTTAAGGAACATAGATAATTATTTTTTCATATACTAGATTTGTAATTTTTTACTTTTCTAGTGATAGTTGCTTCTGCAAAATAATATTTTTCTAAATTTAAATTTATAATCATAATTTGAGAAATTCAAACAGAATGATTATCAAAATTAAATAATGTTATAATATACAAATAAAATAATTGTACATGAATTTAAAAAAAATTTTTTATTTTTATAATTATATAACTTATATTTTGATGAGGTAAATTTATTAAATTAAATTAAATTAGTTGGAATTTTTTTTTTTAATTTTTATTGAATAATGATTATAGTTGAATTTAAAAATTTTCAAAATTTAGGTTATACTATTATTTTATTAGGTTATGTTTAAATTCGTAAATATCAGCAACTTTTTATGATAACATCTTTACTATGATTTTTCCTATTTTTAACAACTAAAAATGCAAAAAACAACTGAGTTCAGTCGATTTATGAGGTAAAAAAAATTTTTTTTTCAAGGTGGTATTTATAATTGTACTCAAATATTTTTATTTTTTTTTTTTTACCAAGTCTTCAAATACGTATTTTGAAAAAATTTCAAAATAAGTGTCTGTATCTATACTTAAATAATGTTTAAGTATTTTTTATTAGACTGTTTATAAGTCTCTTTATATTAATTTCAATCGGAAATTATGTAGCTAATAATATTAAATAAATGATTGAAATAATAGCAAATACTTCAAATTAATTTAAAAAAATGTTAATATAAGGGTTGTATATCAAATAGTTTTTCTCTTTATATAGTATATGAGTTTTGAATAGAAAAACATACAAAGATACTTAGATAAATTTATACTGAATTAGTGATTGCTTTAAATTAATAGCAAAATAAAATAAAACCAATATCAGACCCAAATTGTACAATCCAGATTTAAATGGGTTCCCTACAAATAATTATTTTCTTCCCAAGCTGTTCTTTTTAATTCTTAGCTGACTAATGACCAAGCACTTTTATTCCAAAGTTAATGGCTCTTTGTTGGACTTCACTACAAGTACATAATTATCAAATATAAATATTTTAATTATTGTCTGAAAATTCATAATTTTTCAGCGATAGGTTGGACAATGAAACAATTTTAAATTTATTTTTTGGTTTATAGCTTAGGTTGTGGAATAGGTTATGGATATCTTCATAGAATACCTATTAGACAAACAGTTCAAAATAAAGATATACCATCACCACCTGTTATAAAACCAGCAGTTATCAATAACGTTATGGTAAGCTAGATTTTTTATATTTATAGCGATTTATTTGGTTAAATTTTATTTTTTTATGTAGTTTAATATTTAAAATTTTCATTATATAATTTATTTCATCTCTTTCATGTTGGCATCAAGGTTTAAATGAAAATTGAAAAAAAAATATTGGTTGTAATTTATATTATACCTTATTTAAATATTGTTAAATTTAATTAATGAAATATTTATAGTTATATATTAAAAAATATATATATTATATTATATTTATGTACAATGATCCATGGGCTACATCCACTCTTAATTTAAACAGTTTTAATGAAGTTTAATTAGGTTTCATAAAAATATAATTTTAAAGTAATTGCTCAAAAATATCTATAATTATTTTGTTCTTTTATTTTATAAACACCCAACAACTGAAATTAAGGCATATTTTACTGATACTTTGAATTATACACTAAATAATTAAATTGTTTGATTATTTAAAAATTATAAGCTATGTTTAAATACAAATAGTCCATCAAAATATGAATAATACTTAAAAAGAAACAAATAGGTTTTTGAATTGAATTTATTTTATTAAATTTTAAGAGTGATGAGAAGTCTAGGTCTAGTATTATAAAGTCCTAGTCACAAGATTGGATATTTTATAAAAATAAGTTCTCATAAAAACCATAACCACAAATTGATTCTATGATTATTCGTTATAAAATATAATGTTATTAAATTGAAAAAAGCTTAATTCTTGATAATTGTTAACATTATTGATTAAGGAGAGTTACAAGCTTTTTTTTTTTCTGAGGAAATCATTAGCAGCATTAGTTCTAAATTTCTAGTCATAGGACAACCCCCCCCTTCAAATAACAAAATACACCTAATCAGTAAAATAACAGATACTTTTTATTTGTGATTCTAACCTTAATGGTCATTTAATGATTTTACTCTTGTAACAAAATATATTAAAAAAGGGCTGACATACTTCGCACTTAGGTGCAGCAACGTTAAGTAGGTAGGCATTTGGGAAGTTAGAATATAGACGGGTATTGTATGTATATCTGTAAGCAACGAAAAAACGATTCTGAGCGGAGTTTAGTTGATAGTGTTGCTTTATTAACAATGTATATGTCATATTATGATAAAATGATTATGATTATTTAAAATAATTAAAACTTAATATTACAAAAAATAAATAAAAAGTTGCTGCCAATGACAATCTTATTATTAATCTTTCAATTTTTTTTAACCTTAAAAATCAGATTTTTCTCATTATCTCAAATAATAATGAGAATTTCAAAAAAATTACCTCTCTGTAGGTGTTCTATTTAATATTTGCTTTTTAGTAGAAAGTGTTCACATAAAAAAAACATTAACGCCATTGTAAAACCAACACATACTTCGCTCCACTCAGAATCTAAAAATATATGTACTTGTTATGTTATAAATATATTTAATTAAATAATGTTGAAATATATTTCTTGTAGGCATCTGCTGCTCATGTACCTGAAATAATAGTTCCACCCGTTTTAACTTCTCAATCACCAAAAGTTAATCAAGAATTACCAGTATCTGATATCAATTCATCTGTTGAAGTAGAACAATTACAATCAAATGAAATTAATCCAAGTGAATCAACACAAATTTTGAACAATATCAATTCTGCAGTACCTGTTTCTACATCAACAGATCAAGACATTTCTTATTCTATTCCTTCAGTATCTGTCCCCTACTTTTCTCCTCAAATAACCACATTTCAAAATTCTACTGCATTCCAAGTAATGGATTCTCAGTATAACTCACAACAACCAACTTTTACATCTGAAACAATAAAACCTATTATGTTAATGCCTCAAGTGACCACTTTGTCATCCTTAACATTACCAGAATCAACTTATATATCTACATCTCAGGGGTCTACTATACCATCTGCACATTCACTCCAATCTGTCAATAATCAAGAATTGACATATCAGCATACAACTGTATTTCCACCTCAGAGTTATTCTCAATATCATCCTACTGATTTAGGTGGTACTACAACTATATCTGATGTACCTAAATCTAAAGAATTAAGTAATTACTTTTCACAATTTCAAACTCAAGTCAGTTCATCAAATAATTCAAGTACAATACCAATGTTTTCCGTGAAGAATTTCCCACAGATGTCACCATTGGCCCAACCTCTTGGTAAATTAATGTACTTTTTTTTATTCTTGATTTAATTGCTATACCATTGAAATATTAAATTTAATTAATATATATATAAACCATCTTATATGATCATAGGGCTAAATAAATAACTTTTAAAAACAAATGTCTTTAATTTTAATTTCTACAATCGTACTATTTTTTTCCTTCGAGAAAAAAAGAACATTGTTCAATCAATCTAAATAAAACTTATTAAAATTGTATATTACCTATAAAAAAAAAGTTTACTTTACACATATATTACGTTCATACAGTATAATCAAATTTGTCACAAATTAGATATTCATTTCATTCATGTTCTTAAATCAGTATGTACAAGCTGGTTTTAGGTTTAAGTAATAGACACAAATTTCATCCATTTCGTATATAAAAATTATTATTTTAATGTTAGTTTTTTTTTTTTTTTAAATACTTTATGGTGAACTTTTGTACCATACAAAATAGTTTGTTTCACTACACTTGTATACAACTAAACTTTAAGTCTCATTGGAATTCTCTTGTCAAAGCCACCATTATTTTGTACAAAAGATCCTTTGTACTTATATAACTTATAACTCAATCTCGCCTATAACATCACTGCTTATTGTCGTTAGCTGTCTTGTCTTGTTTCTGCAAACACATACTCTATTAAACATGATAAAACTACAAAACTATAGTATGCAATTGTTTTAAATAAACAATGAAACTGAATTTTAAGGCATATGTCGTCTCAATAAAGAATTAAACTTTCAATATTTTCAACTTTTTTTAGTTTAATATTTATTAAGTAGCTCACACAGTTATTTTAAAAACAAATAGGGATAGGTGAAAATATAACTAACACGTTACATCCTAACTGAATCTTAAACAAATTATATTGTAAAACAATAACTTACTAATTTATAAGTTTGATCTTTTACTGCCATCGTTGTTTGACTAAATCTCCAAATTGTATTTATAATTATAATACAAAAATATAATTTTTTTTTTCAGACAATAAGTATTCTGATATATCATCTCAATTTCAGCCTGTACAACCATCAAATTATCAACCAAGTAATTATCAACCTTAATTGATATGACTTTCAATTGTTATGAAATACGATTCAACTAATATTAATACAATTTATAATATTAAGATTACGTTGTTTTTACATTTTTTGAGTAGAATAAATTATTAAAAAAATGTTTAATATAATTTTGAAATAACTTTTTAAAAACCCAATATTGCCTTTTGTTAGTATAAGGGTTGATACTTAAATTTTAAATGTATATTTTATAAAGTATATGTGATATAGCTTTAAGGTACATACAGGGCCGTATTTAGCGGGGGTAGGGGGTTGATATTTTTTTTTATATTTTCAATATTTATTATGTTAAAATCAATTCAATTTAGTATTTCTAAACGTAAAAAAAATGCAATTATAACAGTAGTAAATCAATTAAACAAAACATTAAAAATAAAAAAAAACAACTATGATCAAACATGGTTGGCTAACTTTAGCATTCTATGTATGGGATGATTGTGACAGTCAAAAAATGGAATAAGTGGGAATATGTTAGGGATTTTGACTTTTTACGCTGTGAGATAGAATTTAGAATAAAATGCGGGAGAGATCAGAAGCGTCTATTGGATTAGAGAATTGAATGAAAAAATTGGAAATCGATATTATGATGGTGGTTACATAAAGAAGTGATATTTAGGAAGTGACCAATTTTGGAAAGGTCAGGCAGAGGCACATTCAACATATAACTGATCCATGGCGAGGTAGGAGTGCCAAAAGACAAAACCTTACTCAATAATAGATTAAACAAGTGCAAAGTACAAAGATCAGAAAGAGTTAATGGAGGTAAAAGTAGTATCTTAGAGTACCTCGAAAAACCTTAGAAGACAATCTCATGATAACATAATGAATATATTTGGACTATATATTGGATAACAGTTCCAGGTCAAAATATATCTAGATTACATGCTTTGTTCAGCGCACTTAATCTCATTAGTATATGCAGTACTAGTTTTTTTTAACTTTTACTTCTTGTAAAAGAAATAACTAACATGTTGGTCTATATGAGAAAAAGCATATAATATAGTATATCAGCATATAGGAATCAGAAATTTTTACATATGCTGCAAAACTTTGTAAAATATTCAGATAATTTAGATAAAAGCTCTTGTAATGAATTTGTAAACTTCTAAAGTTATGTTTAATTTTCTATAGATAAAGCACTAACAAGTATCTGAAACCTAAATGTCATGATACGATCAAAAAAAATTAACAAATTGTTCCCAGGAAGGATTATTTTCAACCATAAAAAAGTTAATAACTATCTTAGATCGGTAATAAAAAGTGATCGCCTAAATGTCTTGGCTGTAATAAACATTTAAAAGAATCTAACTTCTAGAATAAATATAAATAACCTAATTTAAGAATTTGCTAAATATGCCCCTGGATACTTACAAATTGTTCAATTAATGGCAAGGTGTCAATAAAAAATAGTTTTATGTGGAATAATTGTATTGTTACAGTAACTTGTTTCACATCAATATACAAAATAATACTTTTAGTTAATGGTTTAATTTGAATGTGTTACAGATGTTTATCCAGGAATGCCACTTACAACTCCGATATCTTTACCTGGTATGCCTCCAATAACTGTTAGTGCTACTCTACCTTATTCAGCTATTGAAAGTTTACAAATTGATCAGAAGAAAAATATTTTAAATAGTAATAGTTAAATTTGTATTATCTGGGTCATTTCTACTTGTAAAATTAAAATTAATGAAATATTACAATATGTAATGTTTATACTTTAAAACTAAGTATTCAAATAAAACCACACATTTTATCATATTATATATATATATTTAAAAAAAATTAATGAAATATTTATTTTCCTTGTATTTATAATTAAGTAATTTAAATAAAATTTACAAATTTCGGGAGTACTAAATGCTTTCTTAAAAAATTTTAAATACTAAAATGTGTTGTAATCCTAAATAATATTGTATAAAAAATATATTAGAAAAAAATATGAATTGAAAATGCTAAATGAAAATATCTTAATTATCTTTCATTAATTTCGATGACTCCATTTTCCAGTTCTATGATAATTTTTTTTATTTTCTAAAACAAACAAATAATATATATATATATATATATATATAACAGATGTAATGGATCAAGAAAAATAAATTTTACTTGTGTTTTTTTGATGAATGGCGATCAGAATTATCATCATGACGTCGTTTCTCACCTCCTGTAGACTTGTGTTTTGAGTGACTTCCACTGCTACTACTATGACGGTTACTACTACTATGGTGATTACTGCTGCTATTTGATTTGTGATGGGACGATTGTGACGACTTATTTTTAGATGGACTATAATTAATTTAAAAAAATTTGTATTTCATGTAATGTATTAATATTAAACATTTATCACCTCTACCATCTGGTAATAAAGCAAATATTTATTTTCGTATTTCAATTAGTACTCAGGCTCAGTATTATTAAATTAAATAGATTTTTGAATAAAATTCCCAGACAATCTACTCGTACTCGAAAATGTATTTTCTAAATAATTATTTTTTATATAAAATTGCGTAATAACTGAAAATATTTTTCAAAAAATCCTCCAGTGAAAACATAGTAATTGTCACTTTTAATTCGAGTAAATCATTTTTGTTTCAAGTCTATTAGAGCCTGAATACTCTTGAAATACAAAAAGACATTTTTGTTATATTGCCTGTCCGGTATATACCACCATATCCCACCATGTTCGATGGATTTTTCTTGAGCTATTAATATTAAATGTTTTTCAATTTATTTGTCTTCAAATGAGACATCAATTTAGAAAAAAATTAAATTTTTAATGTAATCCCCTAATCACAAAAAAAGAATAACTTTATTTATTCACTTAACAAGAGATTTTATTCTAAAAAAATTTAATGTATTTAGTATTTCTATTCGATGAATAGTTTTCTAGTAATAGTCATTTTAATATAAAGAAAAAAAAATGCGAAAACAATTAATATTCATTAATAATTAATATTAATATTAATATAATAATATTATAATATTATATTATTATATTATATATAATATTATAATAATAATATTAATGTTTACAAAATTAGAGATTGAATTTTAAAATTAAAATTCCGAAAATTTCAGGTGACTATTTCAGGTTTTTAAGGTTTTAAGAAGCAGTAGCAACCATTCTTAAAAAGATTATAACAAGATAATTTAACCATAATCAAAAATTATCTCATTTATGTGTAATAAATAATAACAAATAACAATAAAATACATGTTTATAACGATTGTTTACTATATTATGTAAAACTAGTAACATTTCTCAGCCAAATTTATTGTTTAAGTAAAATTGCTAAGCGATAAATAATTTTGATTAATTGACATACCTATATAACTGCATTATATAAATGTTATAAATACATTATTCAACAATAATAATATAACTCTATACTTATATTCATATATAAATATATTTTCTGAAATCTTTATATCTATGAACACTCCTAGATGAGCAGCAATTAACAGACTTTAACTATATATTTATTTTTAAACATTTATAGTAAACTGACCTCAAAATTATTTTACTTCTAACATAAACATATAAATACAGAAAAAGCCCTAGAACAAAAATCCAACAGAGTAGTATTAAAAATCAACACGGAAAAAACAAAGATGATGAAGAAATGATCTGTGAAAAATAAATGGATTTGAATATTTAGTAGTTATGCTGAATGTCAAAAATAATTGGTCAAAAGAAATCTGGATAAGGATAACAAAGGCTGAAAAACCATCATTCATTCTAAAAAAATTCATGAAACAAAAACTAATTTATATATAATATTTATGGTTGCCAAGCAAGGACGACTACTAGTAACACAGAGAGAATGTTAAGATCATTTGTAAAAAAAATATGGAGATTAATGTATGATCCCATATATAAAAACAAAACAGGCACATAGAGAAGAAAGTGATATCGGGAATTGGATATAGCGCCTTTCAACAGTTTTATAAATGGCCCATAAATTCAGTAGCTTGTGTACATTACGCACAGAAATCAGAAGATGCCTAAAATAGTGCTGGAATGAAAACCTATAGAGACCTAGAAAGAGATGGATACCTTACCTAAGATAGAAGCAAATCTCAATAAATTAGGAGTGCTAGAATGAAAGGTAATAGAAGACCGAATAAAGTGGAGGGAAATTTTGATGGCGGAAAAAACTCTTGAAGAATATTAAAGACTAGCAAAAGAACAAGTAATATTTTGAAGTTATGCCAATTGAATACATACTATACAAAAACATAAATGTTTAAAAAATGTCATAATTCAGAAATATATGTATAATAAAAATACACATTTCTGATATAACTATAAAAACTTTGCCAAAGACCTACCAAAAAATGTTACTTTTTCTTAGATAACTATTCAAAAAAGCTTTGATTGTTTGATGTGAATTTTTGAAACCATTATTTGACTTTGTATACGACAAAAAAGAATATCTATAATGAATAATTCATTCATTAAATTATTAAAAAGATTTAACTTTGAAAAAAAATCTTAGTTAAAAAAGAAAAATATATGAACCAAGAACTATAACATATCTTTATTGATTTTTCACAGTTTTTTAGAAAATATAATTTTTTGGTAAGTGAGAGATAAATTTTATCATCAAATTTACATTACGATTGAAAAAAAAATGGGGGGGGGAAAATTACTCAAATAGAATGTCACAAAATTAACAAAAATATGGCTTTGTTTAAGCTTATTCCTTAAATAAAATTAAAAATACTAGTGATTACCAACTACAATATTATTTTCATTAGAGAACATCCACATGTGCAGTTTTCGTCTTACAAACACAGAACATATTAAATTTTCTATCAGCTATGAAAACTTTATGCTGTTAGTTTTCATATTAGTGAATTGACCTATAATTAAATTAAAAGATAAGACTATGACCCATACATCCTCGTATATTCACTATTACATTAAAACTAAAGCCAAAAAAATGCTCTATGTTGTGTGGAAATAACACATGTGTGTGTAGTGTTTTCTAAAAATTATTTTTAGAACATTCAGGGTTGATTCACAATTTGGTCTTCAAATTTTTAACTTATATTTTCTTTAATGAATAATAATATAAAATAGTGTGTACCTGTGCTTATCACTGCTAGATTTCTTATGTGATGATGAACTGTTAAAACGATTACTACTACTACCAATTTTCTTTTTTGAATATTCATCCTGAAATTCATTCCTATCCCGATCTTCTTCTGCAGCTTCTCTTTCCAAATCTGACCAATCCTTTCCAGATTCATCAGAAGAACCAAGTTCTTCTTCTAAAAGTTACAATTCAATTAATCACTTTTCATTTTTACTTATAGAGTAAAAAAACTAAAATTCAATTTAAAACCTTCACTATCAGAATCTTCTGAAGCTTCTGAATATTCAGATCCATCATCATCTGTTTCTTCAAATGATTCTACATCAGTAGGCTAGAATATATTTATTAAAAATAACAATATAAATAATGGCAAAAACATAAAACAAAAAAAATATATTTATTGAAAAAATATTTAATGTAAGAAATATATTAATCCTACTACTTCTCATTTGATTACAGATATGCTGTATTATATACAGTTATGACTGATGTTTAATAATATATTTCACTAAGTTTCACATACAAGAAAAAAAGTAAAATCACTAAAACATATTTCATTGGGCAAAATCAGACATTAGAAAACTAAAATATATTTAATTAAACCAAAAATAATACCTTTGCATCTACTTTTATTTCTAAAATTGATATTAATATTTTTCCAAAAAATATAAAATTTAAACAGTACTTATGAAATAGATTGAAAACTATTTGGAAATTACATACATTTTGCCAAATATATTATTATAAAATTTAAGAGAAATTTCTCTTAAATTTACATGCATAAGGTACTTAATAAAATAAGTGGATAGTACCATACGCGGAAGCAGTAGCTAAAGTAGATAAAGGGTCTTTAGTATACTCAAAAATAACTTATAAGCTTTTTTCAACAGTAGCAGCTAAATATTTTATTTATGTATTTTATAATTAATAAGCAGAACAAAATACAGATTATATACATGCAAGCATGAATGTATATAAAATAAGGTTAAAAAAGTTACGATATATTTATAAAAAGCTGTCCTAGAATAATGGGGATGAGAGCAATCACTAATATAAGTAATTTAATGTATATCGAAAAGCAATAATTAAACATTGCTAACAAAAAAGCAATTTTGGGCGGATTTCAGTTTAAAGTGTGGCTTTGTCAACAATATATGTCTTAGTGTGGTAAAATAATATACATGCATTATATATTTCCTTTAATAATATTTGTTTAATATTGTATCTATTAACCCCTTTTTCCCTGAAACATTACCTTTCTAAAGTACTATCCCAGTTAGATTTCCTTTTAGAGAAAGGGCCATTATTGTAAATTGGAGCAAAATTGCTGGTAGAAATGTTCATCAGATAAAAATCTCCTTCAGAATCTAAAAATTCTTAATGATATATATAATTGCAAATTATAAGTGTCATGTAATGTAGAACTCTTTGTACCTCTAGTATTTTTTTACCTACATTAAAATATTAACTAAATAGGTATACCAGGTGATCCATTATTACATAAAGTATTATCGTTTTCCATAGCAACAATCTAGACCATTAAAGAAACAAGCTACTCCACAATTTTACATTTATGTAATTTTTTGATTTTCAAATGGCAACATGTATTAAGAATTCCATAAATAGATGAAATATTAATTAAGATTTTTATATAACTTAATATAAACTACTATTTGAAAATCAAAATATAAAAGTGTAGAGCTGCTTGGTTCTAGAAAATTCAAATTCCAAAAAATGTTATAATAGTTTGAATAGTTTGATACTCTCAGGAGTTTTCTCAATGTGAATAAATGGGAAAATTTATAAAATGAAAGTATTAGGAAAAAAATGTCTGCTTTTTTTTCTCTCTGAGAATAACTTTTTTACTAGAAATTTTGATTAGATTCACATTGATAGCACTTTTTCTGAATGTAAATTGGCTGGGAAGTTACTTCAGGGAAGTTTTGTTTTGATTTTATCAGAAATTTTGGGAAAAATTAGGAAAATTTGGAAAAAAAGGGAAAATAGTTAAAATACTAAACAAATATACTAAAAAAAATATAAAATGCTTATGTAATAATTTTACCATAATATAACATAAATATTGTTGATTAAACAACCAACCCTATTACTTGAACGTCGCTCAAAATCGTTTTTTTTTGTTACCAATGGCTTATGGTTGCTTACAGATATACATTCAATTTTCCCTCTACTACCTTCTCAACTTTTCACCTACAACTGTGGCCCACTCACGTGCTAAGTATGGCTTTCCTGAAGTAAGGCCAAACATATGTTATAAATTATGTTGGGAAGACACAAGAAAATTTGAAAATATTATACATTTTTGTCATTAAAATCCCTAGAGATTGGAAACCATGTACACCAAGTTACAAAATTGAGATCTAAACTTAAGCCATATACAGCCTAATAATACACAGCCAAATAAATATTTTTTAAGTATAATTTTATTTTTAAAAATTATTTTTTGGTACTCTCAATTTTTTCTTTAACAAATTTTTCATTTCATTAATGAATTTATTTTTTAAAATATTTACCAATTAAATAAAAAAAAAAAAAGAAAGAATATTGTAATTGTCTTCTTTATCTGTTATTAGCATTGCCTTCGTGGGTCTGTAATGTATATATTTTTGGCCCCAAAGTTGGTGGTCTAGTTGCGCCTATGTTATAATATTAAAAATATTCACGTAGTTTCTTTTATCTTAAAAATGTATAATTAGAATATGATAATTTTAAAATCTTAATAAAAAGTCAAAAATAATAATTAAAAAAATATGACAAAAACAACAACGCAATAATACCACATAATTGAATGATTACAATATTTTTAAAAATTAAATATATTTACTTCATATGGTTCATCTTCTTCTTCTTCTTCATCTGCTGCTCCTTCTTCGTCATCAGATTCAGGATCAAGGAATGACCAACCACCATTTTCGAAAAATCCTTCGGGATCATCAGTAATTGTCTTCATAATTTTAGTCCAATTCAGTGATTGAATGCCTTCAGAATATCGAATATCACAAGAACTATAAAATAATAATAATAAAAAAAAATGTAAACACATTCTTAAATGTATACGTTATATAGTATTATATAAATAAAAAATTTAAGGCAATTTTATTGTTATAACTACATTATACGAAACTCTATTTAAATGTTTCTAACTAAAATATAAAATTTTATTTAATAAATATATTTTTTAGTAACTACTTACTTAAGCCATTCTTTAACATGATCCAACATGTTCATTGGTATAGCATTAACCATGACCACTTTTTTTTGGTAATCTTTAAAAACAAAAATCATATCAAAGTTTTTCAAGTGGAATTGAACTCTTTCAAAATGAACTAATTCAACATCTTCTAAAGTAATGACAAATGGTGGCCACTCTGTAAAATTCACAAGACATCCACTAGTAGGCTGCAGAAGAACTGTGCTTCTAAATGGTGCTCCGGGAAAACCTAAATCTCTAAATGGAGTATCAAATTCTATTTCTTGTTTTGTTACTGTTTCTACCTTTAAAAAAAATGTATTATATTAAATATATTATTATAAATACAGATTTTCATTTTTATTACTTTTTCACAGAAACTTTTGAATGCAGTTTTTAGTTTGACACGTAACTCGCGCTCGGATTGTTCAGCAGCTAAATCATCTCTATCATGCATATGTTGGTGTTTACCAAGATCTGTGGTTATTTCTCCAACTTCGGTATAGAATTGTACATCTAAGTGTTTTTTCTTACCAAACATAATAGCATGCTGCCAAAAATAAATAAAAATAACAAACAATTTTCTTAATGTTGTTATTATTCAATAATAATAAAAAAAATATTTATACAAATATTTGATAACTGTTCACTGATAGGCCTCTATTATAGGTGAACAGATAAAAAGTTTATATAATGTAGGAAACAATAAATAATTTTAAACAATAAACAATTCTGAATGAGTAGTAATATTGTTATTTCCTTTGTAAACAAGGTAACCCAGAAGAAAAAAAATGAAAAAGTACTTGAGGGTTTACTAAATTTTGATAAATATTATAAGAGATAGATACTATATAAAAAAGACTAAAGCCTTTTTGCAACTTGCAATTAAACACAGATACTACAAAACAATATTTTTATAAATACGCTGACATGGTCACAAAATAAAATTGATTGGACGGAAATAAAATAAATTAAGTCAGTTAAATACAAGTTATCACAAGATTGAGATATACTTATAATAAAAATTGTAATAATCAAAAAAATATATGGTTATCAATTAGAAAAAAAATAACCCAAATATAGTTCAAATCTCATAGTTATAATATTAATATAATCATAAATAATAAAATACATGAGCCAAACACAAACCCAATTTTAATTTATACTTTATTTAAACAAAAAATTAGAGTAAATCTTAAATCAAATAGCAATGCATATCCACTAGAATATAATCGGAACCAGTTGTTATTTATACACAATACAATTAAAGAAGAATTACTAAAACAGATAATCAAAAAAAATACTAGGAATATTTATGGAACATAAAGACATTTGATAATATTTTCCATTGTGTTTAATATATTTAAATCCATAGGTAAGTTAATAAGTATTTTAATATACTAGAATCTTACCTAAAAACAGAAAACAAAAGGTAAGAAATCTGACACACTTAATGATAAACTAGAAAAAACCAATGAAACAGGGCTGTCATCTAAATATGTAAACCATTAATTGTACTCAAAAATAACATTAATATTAGAAAAATAATATTGGAAAAAAAGGATATCAATAAAAATATCTAAACAAATATTAATTGTTACTAAAAAATAATTAAAAATAAAATTTCAATAAAACAAAATGTAAGCTTTTTTACAGAACAAAAGAATCCAGCCACACAAACAAAAAGGAATTTCTGAGAATATAAAATATCTTATATTATAATAGACTAACAACTCAAATGAGATATTGACATAACAAGTCTAATTAATATAGTGAAAAAATTTAATTATTTTTACATAAATGATACAAAAGTACTTGATAAATCAATGATACATACATGTGGTTTATTTTGTCATGATCAATCAAGTATTACAGTTTGAGGTAGCTTAGAAATCGTTGCAAGTGATAAACTTCTAATAGCATAAAAAAGCATTGTAGAAAAAATGACAAAAGAAAACCTAGAACATCTATATCTATAAGTTACATTTAGTTGATTTTAAACCGATAACCTAGATGAAACAACAAAAAACAATCTAATCATCCTAACAATAAAGGATTTAAAGGACTGGTATATTTCACAAAATGGGTAAGCAGGTTGTAAATCAAAAGGCGGAAAGGTAAAATATAAAGGGGAATTTTATTTATATAAGTCTCAACAATTAATCATTGTTAACATTTTGAATACAGTACCTATAAAAATATTAACATTGTAAAACCAATACATTCATCAGTTCAAGTTATAATACAAATTATTAAATATAAAAGTAGATATTTTGCAAAATTAGGATATGCCATTCTATAAATCTTCCTGGCGGAAATAATAAATTCTAATTAATTGAATGGTACCATGAAATTTTGTTTTATTTTGATTCAATTAAAAAGATAAATAATAATTAAAAAACCTATGCTAAATATAAACGATTGATCAGCATATGGTTGGTCAATCCCCTCAGCGAAATTATATATTAGGTACTATAAATTGTAGATTGTATTTGTGTTAGGCATGATGTATGCATATCATTAAGTTTTGGAAGGAGAAAATCTGTAAGATCATCAACAATAAACTTGAGAAATGGAGAGTAGCACTTGAAGGAAAAGGACTAAGAGTAAAAGGAAGTAAAATAGAGCATAATATTAAAATATAGGGAGAGTTTGGGAAAAAGGAAAATACATTGATGGAACGAGACAAGTAATGACAATAAGCTGTGATGTAACTAGAGATTAAGAGTTTTAAGTACCTAAGGTCTTTTATATAAAAGAACGATGACTGAGGAGAATGCAAAACATAGGGTTAAGTGGAGAGAAGCATCTGGTGTCTTATGTGGCACAGGAATTCCAATGAGACTTAATGGTAAGTTTTACAAGAGTGTAATGAGAATGGTTTTGGAATGTTGGACAACAGACGGTAATAATAAAATATGGAGGAGTGTAGCGGAGATAAGAATGCTTAAGTAGAGGAATGGTGTAATCAGAGGATAGATTAAGAAATGAGAACATATGAAAGCATTAGTGTAGCCTCAACAGTAGACAGAATAAGGGGAAATTGACTGAGGTGGTTTGGGCATGTCATGAAGAGAAAGAAATCAGAAGCAGTATGAATGGTAATGTGAAGTAACCATAGAAAGAAAAGAGAAAAAGGTGATGGTTCTAAGCAAATGAGAATAATATGAGGACAGTCAATACATGTGAGGTTGACATAGAAGGTAGAGTGAAATGGAAGTTTAAGACAAGGGGGGCTTTCCAAAATAGTTTAAATATAGACAAAAGAAAAAAAAAGAATAGTAATATTATTAAGTTAACTTGCATAGATATAAAATAGATCATGATTAATAAATATTTGGTTAAGTATATTGTATATGTTATTTATTATAAAACGGTTCATTTATATTTTTTTATTGAATTAGTAACTTCAATTTCATGGAAACAAGATATTTACCTCAGTAGTAAAATTGAGCAAAATTTACAATACCTATTTTAATAAAAAAACTGTTATTGTATACTCGTATATTATAAATGAAACATTTTTTTAAACATATTAGTTTTATGATGATGTTTAATTTTTAATTATTTTGTTTTCTGTGGACAACTTTTCTACCCTCAATTTTATTCAGATTTTTAAGTGTAGCACTTAAATATTTAAAAATAAAAACCATAGATATTGGATTCATCCACTTTTAAATGATACGATAACTAGCACTTGTTCACTAACTCTTGTTGAAAACAATTTTTAAGTTATGTCATTAAATGTTAGATTAGATAATAATATAGATTAAGGTATGAATTTTTTTTAAAACACTACCACAAACGGTATTTTGTCAAATAAAAAAAGATAATTTACCGATATTAAGATATTGTACCGATGTCCGTTATTTTTTTCTAAGTTTTTCCTGGTTATCCCATGTTTTTTTCTTGGTTTGTCTAACTTGCTAGGAAAACTAACCTCCCTAGTCCGATTTTCTTCAAAAAAAAGTGCTACATTTAAATATTGGAGTAAGATTTCTAGTAGAAAAGTTTGCACAACAAACCATGGGGTATTTTATGATTAAAATAGTCTGAGCGAGTGAAAACTGGATATCTAGGTATACTAAAACATGCATTTGTTTTTTTCCTGTTTGGGTAAAAGGGAAAAAAAATGCAAATAATTTTTGTCGAAACCCAGGTTTGAAGTGACGTTCCCTAGAATGACAATAGGTTTTTTATAATCATCATACTACAAAAAACATACTTTAAAAAAGACAATATAGAGTTATTTAATATAACATCACATAATATCAGAACTTAAAAAAGCTATAGTTTTTAAACTCAATTCAAAATCAGTCAACTCAATTCTGATTTCATTATCGTTCTTAAATGGGCAATATATATTATTTATACCATAAAGTAAGACTTTTAGTGAATCTCCCATTAAATTTTTGAGCACTTCTGTTGAATTAGTTTTATCACAGAGTATCTTCTTCATTATATTTAGAATCTAATATAAATAAATTTAAAATAGTACAATTGATAAGATATTTAATGTTTACCTTTAAGTGAAAATGTAACAATATAATCATTTCACCATCACAGGGTTGAAAAAATGCATTTTTAATATTATTGTACAAAATATCAACTTTATCTCCTCTAACTGAAGTATATCTAAATCCATTAGAATGGGCCTCCAAAGTACCTTCATAAAATGTATTGTGTTACTTGAAATTTACAATTTAATTATTTAATTTATCGAACATTTTACCTGTCATTCTTTTATTTACAATGTTTGGTCTAATATATAAGTCCTTTAGTTTTGGGTTACCCTTGTTAACAGATAATACTAATGTATCTTGTTTAACAAGATCTTCTTTTTCTTTTTCTTCAGCTTCTCGAGTCTTAAATTTTTTTTGTACTTCTTTAATTAAACGGTATGCATTCACTAAATTTGTAGACGCTGTAATTTGCTCCCCAGGCTCTCTTGTATTGGAACTTCGATATGTTCTAAATAAATATAAATATTCAATGAGCAGTTTTAAAATTAATAATTTAATGTCACTTACAATTCTTTAACAAACATTGCTTCAGGATTTTGAAAATAACTCTCACCCCTTGCTAAAGCAGCTCCGGGATGGAAAAAGTTAATTCTTAAGTATGTATAATCTCCTTCAACACTCTGAGAAATATTTTTAATAGTAAAAATATGGAAGGGGACTGGAATACCAAATACTGGAAGTATAACTGTTTCATATTTTTTGTCTAAAATCAAAATGAATTTGAAGAAAAATGTTTTTCTTAATATAATTTGTATCTTAATTTTAAATAATTATAAATTAACTTACCAACATAAATTTTAAGGTCTTTAACTTCTCTTTCCTGTGGCATTTGATTACGGTTTTTATAGGAAACATTAGACTTCCTAACTTTTTGAGCTTGTTTGCCACTAGATTGCTCAGCTAAGCGTTGTTTAGCAGCTTCATTTAAAGCCACAGCCAATTCTTTTTGATGCAATTTACGCTTTTCTTCACTTGAAGAATCCATCTAACATTTTTATTTATAAATAAAATAAATTCAATACAATTTTAATATATAAGTTAATTACTCTAAGTTTTGACTCAAGTACTGCTGTTCTTTTTCCTCTACCAACAATTGGTTCTTGCTTTGGTTCATTTTCTTTCTCATCATCTTCTTCTCCATCTTCTTCATCATCATTTAAGTATATAGCAATGTTTTTTAACTTTTTTTTTGAAGGGGTTAACAGAGTGGCTGGAGTATCCTTAAAAAATATCCCAGATATCAAATTATAAATTTAACAAATTGTCTTAAAACAATCCATAATATATTGAGTATAGATTATATAGAATTGTGTGTAGTTTGTAGGCTAATGAACGTATTTAAATTGTTTTCTTTATCCTTAAAAAGGTACTTGATAGCAATTTGACTTATAATCACACTTATCTTAAAATATTATCCAGATTTAACTACAGATCCAAAACAGAGTACTACCCAATACAATCTATACTCAACAACACAAATAAATCATGATATAGCATACTATATCTCAAATACTGTAGGATATTTAAAATTTATTATATAATTATTAAATTTAAAAACATTCCAAAATATTTGTAAAAAATGAATTACTAACTTCATTTACTAAAACTGTATCTCCAACATATAAGGCATAAAGTTTGGTTTCTTTATTGGATCCTTCCTTGTTTGTTAAACCAGACAAACCAACACATAAATTATAAACTTGTCCTTTTTTAACAGAAGCAGTGGTTTTTGGGGCAATCATAAGTGAACTTTCACGGAACTCAATACCCATTACAAATCTACAGTTATTATATATTATAACATAAAATTAAGTAAATCAAACTAAGGAATTTAGAACAATTAACTTACCCAAAATTTTTTGTTAAAAATGCTACAAGACTTGGTTTTTCTTTCTTAGCATATTCTAATCCAGAGTTGTAAATATCAGATAATTTATTACCCGATTTTAATTTTGACACTAAGATATCTTGTAAACTTATTAAAAACTCATAATTTGTCTAAGAAAGAAAATAAAATAATAATAGTTTAATAGTTCTATATGCTTATATTTATATACCTGGATTTCTTCTGTAGGATTGACAAGTATTGTTCTAATAATATTTGAACAATATGATTTGTATCGTATTCCTAAGCTGCATATAATGACTCCAAAATGTAGTATATTTTTATCACTAAAACAGTAATAATATGTGAAGTAAATACATTTTCTGAACTATTAGAACAAATAAATACCTAGTAGCAGAAAATTTTAAACTATAATTTCCTCCACTTTGAATAATAGGAGGATAACAAAATTCTAACTGAGATGGATCAACATTTCCTGGCAAATATTTTTTGTCTGACAAAGCTCCTTCTAAACCTTCCACTAGTTTAGTATGTTTTACTTTCTAAATAAACACATAAAATACATTCAAAATATTTTACATAATTATAAACTGAATAACACTTACTTTGTCTGAATCAATTATTTCCATAATTTGTTCTTTTAGATACTTTGTAAACATTTCAACTGAACTTAAACTAGCTTTCTTTATTAATGTTATTTCATTTTCAGCTTTTATACTTAAAATAAAACCCATTACAGGGCTTATATCAACCTTTAAAAAATATATATAATCTAATTACAATAAATATTTAATAATATTATAAATATTATTAGCATACAGTTTCAAAATTCTGTTTATCAAATTCTGATCTCCATGCATCCATAAATACTCCTGGGTATTTTTCTTTTCCAAAAACACCAACTGTTTTACCATTCTTACTACTTTTTAAAGCTTTAATTAATTTTTCAAAACTATCTTTATCATTGCCACCCTGAAAAAAAAAATGTACACACAATTAAAAAGATATTTAATAATGAAACTTACAAATAAAAAAATTTCATTATGATATATTTGAAATAAATTGATTAATTTTTGAATCATAAATATTTTAAGTTAAATAATCAAATTATAATTCACTTAAATGTAATTCTTACTTTTTCTCTTATTATTAGTTTGACCGAAGGACAATCCGAATCTTTTACATTTTCAGCTGGCTTTAAAAACTCTACTTTTTTTTTACTTGCTATTATATGAACTGATTCTTGTGTAAAAACAGATACTGTATCTGTCAATTCATACCCAAATAACCAAATCTAAAAGAAAAATTATAATTTTAAATAATTTAAGGTTTTAATCAATGTTTATAAAGTAATAAATACACACATTTATACGTAATAGGTAAATACATGTTATAACAAATTACATAAATAGATATAAATATACTACACCCTATGAGCCTAAGGTTGTATTGGATATATAGTATTGAAACTAACTATTACATTATTTGGGACACAATTAATTTTTAATAACGCTCCACGAAAAGCATTTATATGAAATAAATGACATAGCTAAAAACAGAGTTGGCCAGCAATTGATGTGTCTACTTTACTGATATGTAGTTCAGAGTGAATATAATTTAATGTTAATCTATATTGCTAATAATAAAATCACAAAAGTGGAGAGATAAATTATTCACCTCTAGGTATCAAAAAATTGTTTTTAACATTATTCTTTAACCTAACAATGATCTTTAGTGAATAGTTTACAATTGAATGTTTGAATACATAAAAAAAATGTTGGGTGAATTGAGAGCTATTTTGTAAAATAATATTGTTTTTAATTTATATACAAATTATTAATCAAGTATTGTGTAAACAGATCCCTCACCACTGGGTAGTTCAACCATGAAAAAAAAAAACACTCATAAATTAATTTATAATTAAAATTAATAATTACTATTAAAATGGTATTAATTTTCATTTATTTTTATTAATACAATAAAATATTCAAATTTTTGTTCAATTAGGTGTACAACATGATTCAATTAAATTACCTGTAGAGATGAAGATTTACTATACATAGTATAGTCATCTACTCCCACAGCACATGTAAAAGCATCTACATTAGTTAAGGATCGCACATTTTCATCTTTACTATTCTGAAATGTAGTATAAACAACAAATTATAGGTTGTGTAACAATTTTAATTTTTAATATTATGAATAATAAATAATTATTACCTTCCATAAACTGTATAAATGTTTTAAACGCTTTAAAAACGTTTCTCTATCTAATGCTACAGCAGGCATTGTAAACACATTCAAAACTTTATAAATAACACAAAACACAAACAAAAATAACGTGCAAATACTCACAAATGAACATTTCCCTCTAAAAATTATCCATTATAACTAACCAGAAACTTCATTCTTTCAATAAAATATCAACAAAACAAAATAACATGATAACACTTGTTTGTAGATGTCGCGGTTTTTTAGGTTCAAACAAACAGTGTCACCAATATACAATATTTTGGTCAACAATTAAGAATAACCAAATAACAGCTGCTGCAATTTTAAGGTCTTATCAGCTAAATATCTATAAAAAAAATTAGTTTTATAATTTTTGTACTCGTTACTTATTTTTTTCTAATAATTAATATTAAATCTCAATTACTAATATTTTGAATAGTAATTAAAATGAGTTCTTTAGTTAAACTCGCTAACTTTTCTAAAAAAATTGTTCGACCACTCCAATTAGCTCAACGTTATATATCTACATCAAACAAAAATCAAGAAGTGTGTGTTACTAATGCTGAAATAACTGAACAAGAACCAGTAATAATTTAGAAATTTAAAATTTATATCTATCTTTATTAATAATATAATTAATGCAAAATAATTATTTGCATTACTATTATTTTCTTTAAGTAAATTGTTTATTAAATATAACTAGGTATCAGGTATTACTTTATATATTAGATAGGTTTAGTTTAGAATTTAGTTGTTTGTTATTTTGAAATAGTTTTATTATATTTTGAAGAGGTATTTTTACTGCATTAAATTTAAAATAAAAAACATAATTGGTTAAAATAATTGAAATACACATAAAGAAAAACATTGTTAGTTTTATTAATGCAGTAAGATATTGAAGCAGAATTTAAAACATTTATAATTTTGTTAATACATTCAAAATAAATTATGATTTCCTGCAAAATAATACAAATAAATACCTACCTATGAATAAAATTACAAACATAAAAAATGCATATCTAAATTATTAGAATAAAAAAAAAAATTATTTGTTATTTGTTTAACTTAAATTAATTTAATGTTTTAAAATATCTACAATACATTTTTTAATTGTTTAAAGCCCGGTTCACACGATCAAATATTTGGTGAATGACAAACTTTGAAAATTGGTTCGGACAATCAAATTATCCATAACTAAAACTTTGTAGTGATTGGTCAAATATAATTCGCGTAAATTTAAATTTTACAATTATCATAAGTAGTAGATTAGTATGTACTAATTACGATGTAGATAAAATTTCATCAACATCATGGTACTAATTTATTAGTATATTCTTGCTCTATGGTATGTTTAGATATAATATACAATATACAATGTGTCTCACTATGTCCAATCAATTTTTCTCGCGCAGTTAATATTCAATTTTTTTTTTTCTTAAATCAGTTTGTCTTGAAGGGAAACATCGATTTGGAGAAAAATTAAATTTTTATTCTCGTCCCCTAAAGACAAAAAAAAAAAAAATTTATTTATTCACTTTAGAACATTTTCAAACTAGCCATTTTGTATAAATATTATTCTAAACATTTTAATATATCACACATTCATATCTGATGAATAATTTCTTAGTTTTAGCCGTTTTAATTAAGCGTAAAAACAATTAATATCAATAAGAAATTATATTCGGTACAGTGTAAGTCTCTTTACCTTCTATTAAATGTTAATGATTTTCACGCCTATTTTCTAAAAATTAAAATAGCTATCATTAAAAAACTATTAATTAAATATGTATGTATGGTACATCAATTTTTTTTAAATAATATTTTTTACAAAATGACTTTTTTGAAAATTTTCTTAAGTGAATAAATAAAAAGTAATTTTTTTTTTAAGTTTAGGGGATGAAAATAAAAATTTAATTCTTCTCCAAATCGATGTCCTCAAAGACAAACCGATTGAAAAACAATTTAATATTAACAGCGCTAATATGAGACGTTGGGATATATTGTATATACATATTGTAGTTTCATACATATCTACATCAGAGCTACAATGAGTTACAACTGTGAAAAATTAATAAAACAATATAAATAATGGAAACTAAGGAAATTGTTCTAAAAAATATTTAAAGAATCTATTAAAGAGATATCTATCTCTAGAGAGATCTATTGAATTTACTATAATGTGTGTGTATTACAATTAAAGACATTTCCTTGTAATTTTAAATATGTGTTCATTGTACACTTTATATAATATAATATAATAATTTATTCTCCCAAGAATGCATAAATGTAAATAGTTCATGACCACCAGTTTTTAGTGGTACCTACTCTGATCTGCTCATTGTTCAGTCTAGCAATAATACTTACTGTTATTTTCTTCATCGAAGAGAATAACAGTAATGGAAAACTTATTTTATTTTATCTATAATATTCTAGAGCCGTATATGTAATAAATAATAATTAAAATTGAATTACAAATGATAATGCCTTTGTATATAATATGTACTTTAATTATATTTCAGAAACATGATATACAGAGATAACAATTTAGATTGATATCTAGTAATCCAATATTTGATAAAACTGTCAAATATTTTAAAAATGTTTCTAAAATATTTGATTGTATGAGCCTGAGCTAAATTTAGGATTTTTTTTACGTTTTTAAAAAATAAATTTTATATGTACAAAATAATGATATCTTTAGCAAGGTTATAAAACATTTGATTAAGTGTGGTTGGATAAAGTGGAGAGAAGCCTTAGGTATTTGATATAACAAGAGAATTACAATAAGGTTCAGAGGTAAATTATACAAAACTAATGTACAGTTAGGTGTGTTAGGTAGATAGAAAATAAAACAAAGAATGAGTGTAGCAGTGATGAAAATGCTTATATGGAAGAGTGAAGTGACAAGTGAAAATAGTAGAAGTCTTTGATTTGGCATAACTTTGATAGTAGACAAAATGAGAGAAAATAGACCGAAATAGTTTGAACATGTGATGAGGAGAAAGTAATCAAAAGCAGTAAATATGATAATGAAAATAAACATAAACAGAAATAGAGGAAGAGTAGACCAAAAAGAGTTGGTTAGATTTGATATGAGGATAATGGGTGTATGTAACAACAATGTAGGAGTGCAAAATTTAAAATCTAGGTAGTTGACCTCAAATAATTGGGATGAAGACAAAATAGCAAAAGAAGTTCAATAATATACTATTATCTAACAGATTCAGTTTTTTTATTTTATCCAATTGTTTTATTAAATAATACAAATAAGTTAATATTTACCTTACATATTGTAAGGTATATATTATATATTATACATATATTTACCTTATATATTATAATATAATTTTAAGAAAATTAAATATTTAATTTATAATTACAGAATTCAATAAAAATTTCTAATTATGAATTTAATTTCTGTTTAGCCAAAACGCAACTGGCAGTCATATGGTTTTGATAAAGATGATGAGACGGAGGACTTAAATGCTATGCATTCTACAGGATTCTTTTCAATTACTTTGTGTATAGTAGGTGGTATATTTATGTTCGCATATATGCCGGACTATAATTATAAAAACTGGGCAGAAAGAGAAGCTTTTCTTGAATTAAGAAGAAGGGAAGATCTAGGTTTACCACTTATTGATCCTAATTACATAGATCCTAGTTTAATAAAGCTACCTAGCGAAGAAGAGTTGGGTGATACTGAAATAGTAATTTAACATTTGTTCAGTTGGTAAAAAATATACCTATTGTCATGTTTAGTGAATAGAATAAGATAATTTGAAATTAAAAGATACCAAAAATTTCCTTGTATTATAATTGTTTTTATTTTCCAAATCAATAGACAACTTGTTTTATATTTCTTTGAAATAATACTTTTGTTTATATTTTATCATATTATGATACATTTCTGTTATACTTAATTTTATTGTTTTAATATAACTATTACATTAAATCCATTTTTACTTAGTACCTATATACTACACATTAAAATAATGTTTCTGTTTAATAAATTATAAAATGAAAATCTAAAGCACATTGTCAAATCAAATTAATTACAGTTAATAAACTATAGGTAAGTAGTTGAAATTATAACTAAATAATATAAATAGTATGATTAATACCTTTTATGGAATCATCACACATGTATGATGTATCTCATATTATTTTGATCTATTTTATTTCTATATTTATTATAACTAGGGACTGGATTTATATTATCTTATAATCCACAAAAAGACACTTTAAAACATCAAAAAAATCTCTGAAAAAAGCATTAAAAAACATTTAAAAAAACAAAAATGATAAAAGTCTAAAAGTCTCCCCCAATAATATCTCTAACATATTAAATTAAATTTCCTAACACTGCAAAATAATTTATTTAAATATAATCTTCAGAATTATAAAAAAAAAAATACTTTTTATTAATCATTTATGTGGTTAGAAAATTGTTTTTTATAAATTAAATCTGTTAGTAGGGGTACTATTAAACCTCTATTTTTTTTTTTTTGCGTTTCTATACATATTTTTAAGTGATTTTTATCAAGGCTCTTTTTGGCTGTTTCAATTGTTTTTCAGTGGATTTTGAGAACATATAAGTGCGGTCTCTAATTATAACATTCTGTATTAAATATAATAACATTTAAAACTCGAATATTATAACAGTTTTATCAGCGAACTGATTAATAAAACTACAGGTAAAATCAGGAGAGTAGCAAGAGTTCTATGAAGGCACAGGGTCAGAAAAATTATCATGATCCCTACCACGGGGTTGCACATTGCTATCCCTTCCATATAAAATTATGATTCGGTTATTGTAGCTATAACAGAAAAATTCCGCCCCATATGCATACGTCCAACAATATTGCAACAACCTATAACAACAATACGGAACATTCAAATTTAAATTTTATGAAAATTTAGTTTATTTTTTATATTAATATGAGAAGGAGGCAATTTTCTAAAAATTGTAATGCTGAAACCAAAAAAGAAAATATAATCAAAAAAAAGGTTTCAAAGTTAACGTTAAATTAGATGTTATTTAACCTTATTCATAGTACACACTAAGTACAAGCATTTTTTTTCTTTAAGATGAAATGTACAATTACATTTATTTTAATTTTTACTATACTACATTCATTATGTTATAATATATTATATTTATGCCTATTGTTATATTTTCAAACAAATTAAGATGTATTCTGACAATGATGAAGTATAAGTTAGTGTGGTTAACAACTTCTTCAAATAAAATAATTATTAATGAGAACAAAATTTTCTGATTTTATTTCACTATTTTAATTTCTGGTACCTACAGTTTTGAATAAAAAAAAAATTAATGCGTCAATACAATAGTTTTATAGATATTTTTTTTAATTATATACCTACTAGTTATATTTTCTAATTTATTAATCCATACTTTATTTTATAATACCATGCATACATTAATAAAATAGTTCATTTTATCCTGGTCTAGATAAATTATTTTAGATATTAATAAATACATATTCAACTAATTATTAGGTATATCATATTTTACTACATACCAAAAAAAATAGACTGCTACTATTATTTTTAAGAAAAGATTTTTTAAAGTTTTGTTTCATTTAATTTGAACAAGTATGTACAATACCTATATATAATTGCAATATGTTGTACTATATTTTCTAATGAACCTATATATAATGAATATTTGTAATAAATATTATAACTCATTATTACTTAACCTTAATAAAAATACTGCATCAGACTACTAAAATAATATATTCAATATTATGATTTATGAAAGGTTGACAATAATTATTAACTATAATAATGACTCATATTTTATTTGAATATGTCATATATTAATATTAATTGTATAACTGTTATTATATCATAAAACATGATATAATATTAATGATATCATATCGAACAACTTAAAGTTTGCAAATTTAGAAGCATTCAGTGTTGCCAGGTTAAATAGACTAAATGTTCGGATAAATATCGTAGAATGTTCGTATTGGTTCGTACTGTAGACAATTTTTGATCGCATTGCTCAAAGTCAAAACATAACTCCAAAAATATTATTTTTTATATCAACAACATTTCGTTTTAAATATCTTATGTACTAATCCAAAAATTTTTTAACAAACTTGATATACATACATAGACCTATAATAGTATAAACATATTATCAGGTCTATGATATGTATAGTCATAAATAATAAAACAAATGAATTGACCTTTTATAACAATAAATTGTATGCAAGTGATGTACGTGAAGTGGAAATAAACTGAGGCAATGTATTAGTTGTTCTCGTGATATATAAATATAGTGATAAATTACTTCAGTTTATTGCTCTTCTGGGGACCTCGAGAAAACGGTTTTGGCCTACTCATATCTTTATTATATCCATATATTTATACCCTGTCGAACTTAAAAGCATACCCCATAGATAAAGGAAAGATAGATAATCGACTTGAAATAAATTTTGGTCTCCTTATGTAACTCCCTTTGATGACAATTGTTTGTTACTACGTTGACTAATTGATTCTATAACCGTCTCTTGTTTTTATAGTCTGGTCTGTAAGTGATAAATTGTCAAACTGATAAAGGTTTTTAAAATTTAAATATCACCATTATTATGGCAGATTAGCTACTTCAGATATCGAAAAAGCTGAACTTTTTAAGGATCATCTTGTTAATACATTTCAACCACACGCTGATATTATAGACGATGAAAACATGAATCTAGTCGAAACGTTCTTAAATACCCCCTCACAATGTCTCTCCCTGTCAAGTAATTTACACCCAATGATGTTAAATATGCTATACAAAAATACTCACCAAAAAAATCACCAGGCTATGATTGCATTACTGCAGATGTAGCCAGATCCCTTCCACCTAGAACCATCGTTTACATCATTCATATATTTAATGCTTCACTTAGACTTTCTTATTTTCCCCTACTGTGGAAATTCGCATCTATAATCTTATTTCCAAAACCAAAAAAACCACTAGACATACCATCATCACACTATCCAATCAGCCTTCTCTCTTTCTTCGCCAAAATATTTGAACAGTCAATTCTGAAACGAATTCTCCCGATAATTACTGAAAAAAATATTCTTCCAAATTCCCAATTTGGGTTTCGCGCTTCTCACTCGACTATTCATCAAGCACACAGAGGTGTTGATTCCATTTCGTATTCCCTGGAAAAAAAACTGTATTGTAATTGCGTTTTTCTAGACATCTCACAAGCCTTTGACCGCGTATGGCACGATGGGCTTCTGTATAAACTTAAGAAATTCCTTCCTCCCACCTACTACTTACTCATCAAATCCTATTTAACTGATCGTCATTTTCAAATACGCTACGGTTTTCTTCTATCTGACGTAGCAGCTTTAAGTGCTGGTGTTCCCCAAGGGGGCATTATGTTTTACATTCTGTACAATATTTTCGCTTCTGACCAACCTACTACCCCCAACACATCAGTAGCAGACTACCCTGACGACAAAGCATTAATATATATTGACAATGACCCACTCATAGCGTCAAATAATCTCCAAACTCATCTTAACATCATGGAAAAATGGTTTACCAACTGGCGATTCAAAGCAAATCTGTCCATACGACCTTTACCTTCCAACATGCTCCTTGTCCTAGAGTTCTTCTTTACGGTATTCCTATCCCCTTCTCTCTAAAAATCAAATATCTCGGGATCACTCTCGACCAAAGACTAACCTGGGCTCATCACATTAGAATCAAAAGATTAGCACTGAATCATCGTCTCCGTATCTTAAAACTAATCAAGCAATAATAACTCCACCTCCATTGAAACCAAACTCCTGATCTATAAAACACTTCTCAAACCCATATGGACATACGGACTCCAACTTTGGGGCAACGCTAAAAAGACTAACATACTAAAAATACAAACATTCCAAAACATCGCTCTCCGGAAAATATTGAACGCCTCACCTTACGTGTCTAATCACTCCCTTCATACTGACACCAAACTCAAAACAATTAACGACGAAGCAAAAGCTTTTTATAAAAGATTCTATTCCAAACTTAACAACCACCCTAACGAACTTATAAAAAACTTGGTTACTCCCACCATACCTGAAAATCCCCCGAGACGCCTGAAGCATAAGTGGTGTCGTGATCTTTTAAGATAAGTATATAAATATAAAAAAAACCCACAGAAAGTGCCATCGATGGGTGGCTTCTTTCATCAAATTTTCCACGTCAAACAATGTAACTCATCAAATATTCTTATTGTGTCTAGTCTGATACAAATTGTGTATTACATGTATAAAAAAAAAAAAAATATTACCACAAGGCACAGACTAAATAAAACTTTAATTTTTATAAATAATATTAACTAATGTTCTACTCTAATTTAATATGAGATGTTGCTTAAGTTATGGTGCTAAATACTAATACAATAAGTTTAATAATTAATATTAAATAATAATATAAATTACCAAACTATAAGTGAATGTACCGATTACATAACATGAAAATACTTTACAAAGAAAATATTAAAAAATGTATTGTTTTTTATTTACATTGCATGTATTGATATTGCTTAATTTTCCGCTAAACTACAAAATAATTGTGTACAGGTATTACATATCAAGTTTATTTAGTTAACTTATAAAATATAAAATGTTATGATAAGAGTAAGTATGACGTGTTGACAAGTGTGTGTTTTTGAACCGTATTACAGAATATTTTTTTAATTTTATGTTTGAGATAATATTGACTAGCAGACATTTTTAAATAATCGGTTATATAGTTTTTGGAATCTGAACCTTTTAGAATCTTGTTTCCTTTATCTATTTTTCTGTATGCCGCGCGCTGTCGTGACCACCGCTGACGTGTATACGGCGTCATAATATCTGTATACCTATCGCCGAATAAATCGTACACGCGTACCTATACTGTTTCAGTCAAATTAACGAGCAAAATAGAAAAATTACCTTACTTAAAAGCTAATTGTAGCGTTTATTCAAATTAAAACAGATTATTTGTCCTAGAATATAGGTGTACACGGTAATGCCGTTAAATCAAAATGTTCTCTACGTATGTTGTATACCGTGTGTATCGGCGGTGATGAGATTGATAGGCGGATGAGTAGATTAAGCGGTACCGATAACAGGGAGTGGGAATACATGCGCGAAAACGGACATACAATCAAGACAACTTGAGTTTACAGAAAAGTTGCTATACGTAAAAATCGGAGTAAAAAGGAAAAAAATTAACATCTTAGTAAAACCAATAACTCCCCCACTACGCTCGGAATCTAATACAAAATTAACTATGTAACATCTATACAAAAAAAAATTATAATCAGGTATATTATAATTTATAATTATTGTCAATACTGGTAAAAAATTGAATTAATTTTATTAATTAATGATATTGTATTGTGTGTGATACTATAGTATATCATATATAACCATAGTATGTTTTCTTTTTGGTTCATATCCACCTAAATCATTTTGGGCCAACTTTGTTTCATCAGATAGAACGTCCAAGCGTATTTTTATTATCAACGTCTATACTGGGGGATGATTATGTCCAACTAGCTTACTCAATCCTTGATTCCAGCAGGGGTGTAGTGGCCTGGGTTATGAATGACCCGAAGTGTTCAAAATTAAGTTATTTTTTGTTATATAAAAATAAATGTTTGATAATTAAATTACTTTAAAGGGATAAATAACTCCGATATCAATCTGTATTTATTTATAGAAGAATCATGATAAATGTATAATATATTGCACGATATACCTATCTTATATTAATCATTCTTATAGAATTCCATAGAAGGAATTCCGATGGGTATTGGTAAATATTTGTAATCGAATCTCATTAGAATGTAATCATTTCTATTTCTAAAAACATTTCTTCATCAATCATATAATATTAATAAAAAACTAGGTATTTAATATTTAGTAATATTATTATTTTAGTTAGGTATTTTGGTTTGTAATAACTTTATAGTGTCAAAAGTTGCGAAAAACGAAGGAATAACCAAGCGACTACCGAGCTGCGGTACACTAGTTTTTTTTACACAAATAACTAATGAACATATATAATTATAACAATTAATAAATATGAATGTCCAATTTTATTACACTTATGAAATATTATTGAATTATATAAAATAAGTCAATGTTAAACGATTACGTGGTGGGTATACGAACTCGATAAACACAATAAAAATGGTGTACGTTCGTATATTGTTTAGGTGGCCGTTACCGAACGTGACGGAAAATGGCGCGTTCTAGTGCTAACATGATGTAAGTGGTGGGGCTGCGTGAACTCTGACATGTTTTGGTCGGGACACGGGTTTTTTCTCTCGTGGGCCGCAGTTAGGGCATAGGGCAGCTTAGGGCAAAGTTCCCATCCATTTACCAAGTTGATGCAGATGTATTAGTGATCATGTATTTATGATGGAGTAGTACTCCAGGACAATTAGTTTTTTTTTTTTTTTGCAACATTTTCATGTTAAATAATTTGTACCTTTGTATTTGGCTATACAAGAGTATCTTTTAAATCCTACATTATCCCACCTTTGTTTGATTTAAAAAATTCCATTTAAATTTATTTGTGACATAAACACTTTAGTGACTGACAACTGTAGAAAGACTAAATTTGGTTCAATTAAATAAATCAACATCTAAATGTTTTATAAACGTATTTCCAGTACACAAATACCGTACTTCCATTATATTATGCATATCGAATGTTGGAATTGGAATTTGGAAACACGTTAGTACATTGCATAACAAATTTTGACGGAACATCTTTTTCAAATATAGGTTAGTAAATTAGTTTTAATTTTGGCGCGTTAAATGTTTATTGCATCCATCTGGTTAAACACTATTCCATCCACAAAACATCAGATTGCTGATAAAGCAATCCGATTGACCGTTTCCCTTTAAACGGTCAGCAGCTGAGTTTAGGAACAGTTAAATCTAGCGACTGACCAATCTGCTGAATTAAGAAATACACAGAATATATATATAATATAACCATGAACATAGAGTAATCTAATGTTCATAAATATAACCTTAAAAAGTTATCACTAAATCTGCTTGTGATAAGTTCTCATGTCCTATCCGTACTTTTATTATCTATAATTTCAATACAGTAGACACTTTGAATCTTCCATTTTTGTTTTTCACAATTCAAAAATGTCAATGTGAAGAAAAACTAATGTAGAAAAAAATTCAATCATAAATATTTTAATTTGATAAGAATATGAAACAGGACAAATCATAGACAAATTAAATAAGTAAATTACATAAATAAAAAGATAGATTTCCTTTATCTATGGGAATGATTGTGATGGAAACATTAAGAAAGGATAGGATTATACCGATATAAAACTTAAACATGTCGATGGTATAAAATATTTGATCCATGCCGCGAGGCGGATTAGAAAAACTATACCAGTATAACAAACATTTTGAAGCAGTATCACCAACGCATTTGTTTATTTTATACTAGTATCATTTTTAAGGAGAAATGTATACCAGTATAACAAAACAAATTTCTATCTGTAGTAGTGATGAGTGGAACCGACTAGTTTTAACTTTAAACCTAATAATATATATGTAAAAAGTTCCATGGTTTTGACTATCGATTGTTAATCGATAGTTTAAAAACAACCCAGTGATTTATCGTTTGAATTGATATCATCAACAAAATTAACTACTCAATTATCCTATAGGTTCAATAGTCGATAATTTTTAAAACAACCAAGTAAATATACCTCGAGTGGTACTAGATGAGTGAAAGATGATTGACGGTTCATTGCAATTTGACCATTATTAACCATAATGTGGTTTTATATTTTTGTTTCCAGGGTTGGTCATGCCGATAAAATAAAAATATTGGTTATTCATAGATACGAGACCCACAAATAATAAGAACCAATCACCCAATAGAACACGGACCAAGATGTAAGATGGCCATAGAGTAAATTATCACTTATTGTAATCATATTTTTCTTTGTTTTGGTCACACTGTTGAAGTGTAAACAAGTTATAAGCAATACCTTGATACTTTTACCTCTTCTGGTATTCCAAACCAAATCTAATTTTCTGTTTTTAATGGAGAGTATCATTTTCTCCTGAACGTTTATACAAAATTTTTTGCTTATTAAATTAAAGTTGTTTCAGTGAGTTGTTAGTTTTTAACGTTCACTTTTTCTGTTGCATAGACTTTTGAAGTTGTTTTTATTGCTATTATAACTTATAAGGTAAGAAATATTTTGATTATTACATGTACAGTAATTTCTCTTGTGAACATCACATATTCATAATAAAACGTGGCTCTTGAAAAAACCGCGATATCCGCCTTGTCTAGTTAGGTCATCATAGAAGAAAAAAAGTTAAATGCATTTTTATTTTAATACACTTCTCATAAGGCCATACTGTATTTATGCATGAAGTAAATTGTATTATGTTTATTGATAAATATTTTTATAATAATATTCACAATATTTGTAAAATGAATCAACTTTTAATGGAATTATTTTTTAATTCCATTAATCGATAAATTACTTATGTTTATGTTGCGAAATTGATTTTGTTTACTTCGACGCATTAAATACCTACTAATACTTTTAATTTAAATATTTCATTTAGCTTGGGTAAATACCTAAATATTTAGTTTTTAATTATAGTGTTAAAATACCTTTATATTTAGGCCTGGGCTATTTGTTTTGTGTTTTTTTTTTTCAGTTTCAAGATACTAACTATATTATAAATTATACAGTTTCCGTAAAAAAAAATTGTAATAAATACATATTAGATCTAATATTATTAAAAATGGATATGGTTGATAGTTTTAATGAAGAAGATGAAGTGATTCAACACCGTGAATCAAGTGTTGTGTTTATTATTGATGAGACTTCATTTGGAAATGGCACACTTTATGTTGCTGAAAGTAAACTTTACTGGAAAAATGATTCAATTAATCAAGTAGTTAGCATTGATTATAAGTCAATGTGTATATTTGGCACTTGTAATCATCCAACTGTACATGAAAAACCTTGTATGCAAATAATGGTTGATTTTGTTTATAAACCTAATGGTAGTATACTACAAAATGGAAATTTACAAGAAAATCACTCTGTTAATGATGAAGACATTGAAACTGAAGGAAATGAAGATGAAGAAGAAGATGAAGAAATCAAATCAAAAATAAAACTAGTACCTGAAAACCCAGAATGTTTAAATGAAATATATGGAGCATTTACACGTGTTCAGCCATTGCATAATATTAATGAATCTGATAGTGATGAAGAAGACAGTGAATTTCATTATAATGAACATGATGAATTTGAAGACTATGATGAAGATGGTAGTGACCAATGAATAAAAGAACTAAACTTATTCAATTTTATAAAAATTACACTCATCTAATACTAAATAAATTTTATTTCATGATACTATAAAATACTTGTAAATTTATTTAATTTTTAAAATTAGTTTTCCTTTATTTTCTATTAAGTAATTCAGTAGTATTTGCTTATACAAATGTACTATAAGGTACATTTTTATAATTTAAAATATAGTAATTAATTTTTGCTGTGCAGCTACAAATTTGTTGGCAAATTTTCTTATTACCAAACATGTATGACGTTAAGTTTGTAGTAGGTAATTTTATTGAGAATTGAACGATTTTTTATTTAAATTTCTTTTATCAGTTTATTTAAATTTAAAGTAATAATATAATTGAAATAAATAGGTAACAATCATTCTAAGAAACTGTCAAAATGCATTAAAAATTACACAAATTATATTTGAAAATTTTTGTTTATTGTTTTAACTTTAAATGTTACTCTCAATTTTCTCTTTTTAATTGATAAATATCAAATTTATTGAATTTATGAGAATATGATTCCAAAAAATAATAATTTTTAATAATATTTTCATAGTGAAATTTACTGTTTATAGTCCCTGTATATCATATTTTATGTATATGTTTTGAAATTAATCTATTCATAATAATATGATTAATGGCTTATTGTCTAATACAACAATATTTCTTGAATTTGAATGTGCAATTTTTTATAATGTAATTGTGCACTTTATGTAGGTACTAAAATAAAATATTTAATGCCCAAAGCTGTTATTGATATTATATTATTATTATTGTATTTATATAGGTATATATGCAAACAATTTACATCAAAATATTTTGGTAAAAAAGTTACAATCACAAACATGATACATTTTGCTTTTTAATAATTATATTTTGTATTTTCAATTTACACTATTGTCTGTTGTGATTATTCATTATTTAAAATTATATTAATATAAGCATGTACTGAGTATTATCAGTATTATGAAAAGTATCTTGACTTAGCTATATATTATCATTTATTTATAATACAATTACCTAAAATATAATATTTTCATTATAAAATTAACTTTTGTTTATACATTATAAAGAATAATATGGTCATTATTTTGTTGTTTAAGGCATAAATACATTTAAATTGTTTTATGTAGACTTTATAAATATGTAAATTATATTTACTGAACCTCTAAAGAAGTTAATTTTTATAACCATTTTCTAGTAGGGGTCTTGCAAATAACAAAAATGAATAATATTACAATTTATAACAAAGCAATTAAATTTAAATTAATTTATTAAATTCACATTTAAAATTATGTTATGACATGACACTATGATATATTCAGTAAGCAATGTTTACAACTATTTCAACTGTGAAGTATTCAAAAAGAACATGCTCTTGGGAAATGATAATTTAATGGAATCATATTTAAAGGTAACAATATCACTATTTGGAATGATATTTCTAGGAAAAATCACAAATTATGGAATATATTAATTAAAAATTTATAATACTGAAACTGAACTTTTTAGGAGTGTTATTTATTAAGCAAATATTATGAAAGATAATTTATTAGATAAAAGTTATAATCATGTTTTATTCAGTTGCTATATATTTTTATAAAAATGCTCTTCAGCGGGTAGAGTAATTAGAGGGCTGTTTAAAAAGTTCATTGACTTGTATTAATAGTTATCTATCAAAAGTGTCAATTTAGTAATAAAAATTAATGATAAGTACAGTTGGATTTTAATTTTGTTGGTAAATTTTTTCTCCTAGAATCAAAAAAAAGAAAATTACACTTCCATTAATCTAATTTCCCAATTGTATGTTCTTCTAATATTTTTATTGTTTTGGAAAATTGGTGTTATGGGAATTTATCTAATTTTTAATTATATTAATAACTATAGTATTCTTATTTATTTCTTAAAAATTAGTAACTATATTCATCAATAATGTTTTTGATTTTATCACTTAGAACTATATTATACTTCAGTTATAAAAATTATTTTAAATTGAAGATTAAAAAAAAAAGATGATGAAAATAGTAGTTATACTTTTAATTAACTAATTGTGTAACAAGCATGTAGCCAGTATCATTATTTATAATATGAAACAATTACCTAAAAAAATATTAAACTATTTTAAATAGTTTATATAAAAATACAAATATTTGTTTGTTTTTAGCAAATTATTTAGCAATTCAAAATGACTGAAGCTGTGGTGACTGGAAAGGATACACGCTGTCTATTCATCAATAATGGCGATGATTTGTTGACTCTAAAAAAAGTTGTATCTAAAAAATCAGATAAAGATGATTGTGAAAAACAAAAAAATAAAAAATCTAAAGAAATTAATGGTAGCGAACTAAATGGAACCCTCAATAAAACAGATAGCATAAATTTTGATATTGATAATACATCATCACTAGAACCAAATTTAGAAATGGACAGTGATACGGATCGAAATATTACAATAGATTCAATTTGTACACAAGAGGATCGTGAATCAGAAAACATTGATAATTCTAATGAAAATTCAAATGAAGCCGATGTCAAAATAGGCGAAAAAGATATTCAGGTATATTTTATTTAAAACAGAAAATACTCGTGTTTTTTCATATTCTTAGAAAAAACGCACCTATTGATCTTTTTTTAATTTTAAATGTGTTAATGTACTGAACTCATAGTTAAGAAAAATTATCGCTTTTTTTATTCTGAATGATATATCTATCAAACAAATTTCAAAAAGGTGGTTCTTATTTATAGAAGAAATATTGATACTTTTAATGTTTGACCCCCTTAATTTTTTCATTGTCATAAGAAAATTATTTTTGTTAAATTTGATCACACATCTTCTTCCCGTGCTTTTAGAGAATTGAATAGCCAAAAGGGGTAGTTTTTTGTTTTTAAGAACTATTTGAAGAAATAAAGCACTGAGGAAAAAATGTATATTATTGTTAACTGTATAAGGTAAAATGTTCAATAAAAATGTATTTATATATATTTTTTTTTAAGTATTATTTTCGAAGAAAAATTATTGACTACAACAATTTTAATTTTTTGTTGTAATTGTTAATTTATAGTTCTTTAAATATATTTGAGTAATATCACAAAATATTTTTATAAAATTTAATTTCCTGATAGAAAGAATTTATGAAAAAAATGAATTGGATCCTCTATTTTATTGTTTGAGTTGTTTTTATTTTTTTAATATTAATATTTTAATATTTCACACTATATAAAATCAGAAATAAATTTGTCATTAACTATAACTCAATTAAATTTTTCTAACAGTAAAAATATTGAGGAGAGTTAAAAAAGGGAGTAAATCAAAAATTCAAAAATTATAACCACTCTGATATACATGTTAAATCTATATGTAAATATGTTAAAGTTTCTCTTAGATATTCAGACCATCATAGAAAAAGTTATTATTTAAAAAACTGAATAAAACATAAAAAATATATTGTAATAAAAAACCAAGTTTTTTCAGGAAATTTCAATCAAAGGATCAGATATTCCGTATTCTCCAAGTGATTCTATAGATGATAATGAATATTCACATGATTTAGTCGATGATGATTTGGATAATATTAAGTCTCCTGCATCTTACTTTAATATATCATCAAGGGCACCATTACATTCTAATAATGAATTGGATAATACATTGGAGGATGAAATTTCAACATTGGAAGAAGAAATTATAAGCAGTGCAAAAAAACGTAAATTCGAAGATTTATCAGAAGAACAAAACCCCAGTAAAGTACTTAAATTATGGAATTATATGAAATTTCCTTTTCAAAAAATAACTATTGGCACTTCTATGTATACAAATAAATCTAACACTACTGAAGCCACTAAGAAAATAATTAATAAAGTGAAGGAATCCTCAGTACCAGTGATTACTTTATGTGAAAATGATAGTGAAATTTTAGAATCTGAAGAAATAAATAAATTAAATAATACCGAAACAGAACCTGAAATTGAGAGTAGTTTTGAAAATATCAAAAATAAACAGACATTTTGTAGTTTAATGTAAAAACTAAACCAAGGTTGATTAGTTATTAAAATACTCTCAGTTTAGAGAAATGGTTAAATTAAAGTTCAGTACCTCGGCTTTATTGGTATCCTTTAAATTTAAAGTTTTTTTTTAACTGTTTAACTTTACATTTAACTGTAATTTCATTTTAAATTATATATATATATATGTCTGGTCTTATTTTAAATTATTAAATTGCAATTTTAAATTTTATCTAAGTTTTAAAGTTTTAGAATTATTAAAGTAAATTTTTGATTGTTCCTTGGATATTTTGTTAAACATATATATTACAATTTATGTTATTTTATAAATGTAATTCTTTATTTTTGAACCTAATCTATTAAAATTCAGTATTATATTTCAAATGGATCAATTAATAATAATTTTAATTTAGATTTACGTAAGATAACTATTTGTATTATTATTTAAAAACAAATACATTTTTTGTACAATGCAATATAATTTCAAAAACAATATCATTTTTTTATCAGTCAATTATATTGTATGTAATTTTTTAATAACTTAGAAGTTTTTAAATGTTTTATGCAACATATATTTTCTGCTTATTAGGAAAAATTAGAAATTTTAATTTAAGTTTTAGACATCTGATCTTGGTCCACAATAAATATTTTTTAAATTTGATGTTATATCTTAGTTAAACAATTTATCTCATGTTTAATAATAATTCTATTTTAGTAAGAACATTTTTTAATAAAGTGTATTTGACGTTAATCATATATTTATCAGCATTAGATAATATTTATGTTCATTCATTAGAATATTGGTACAAAGATATAAAAATCTACTTAATAGTAGCATAATATACAAATATATAAATATTAGTTAGATTTTAATTTTTTTTTTCTTTAGTTCTATAACACATTTATATTATATCTTTTTAAGTGTAGTCTAAATTTATTTCTTAATATTGTTAAAATAAATTTAATTATTATTATTTTTAAAGTAATTTTATCATTTGATCATAATGCATTAAGTAAAATAAGTTTAAAAACATATTTTTGTTGTCAATTTTTTTTTTTAGAAAAGTAAGATTCTATGTGTTACAGAAAAAGTTGTTTTTCTAACTTTATAAAAGTAAATTAGATTATAGTATCTATAAATTGTCTTGAATATTAATGCAAATATATGACATCATTTTTAATATTTTTTCAACACTTATTAAATTTAAGTTTCATTGTATGTTTAATTATAAATAAAATGTATGTATAGCAGTTAGTGCAATATATATATATATATACAAAGTTATTTGTAGTTTTTTAATATTGAAGAGAAAAAAAGTTATTGCATTTGTCAAATCTCTGCCAACCACTCTATATAAGAAGTTAGTTCAAATTTGCTAAATGAAAGTGTATTTTTTCAAAATGTGGTCTTATTTTATAACAGTTTAAAGGATTTATAAAAATCCTTGTTTTTGTTTATTAAATAACTTAACTATAATAATTATAGTGAAAACTTATGTTTTCTTTGAACACAATGGTTAGGTTGATTTTTTTGTTAAAATGTTTCAATGAAATTATCTATTGAATTATAATAATTAATACTACATGGATTTATTAAAAAATGTTAACAATTCCAATTTTAAAACAAATGTTATTGTACAATAAAACAAATTCAATGAATATATTAAAATTAATTAAGTACATACATTATATAAGAAAACAATACAAATATTAAATCTTGATTATCACAATACAACTCTAGATCTAATAAAATAATTTTGATACATTAAAAGAAAATCACACCGAACCAAAATTCCTTCCATAAGCCCAATAAATTAAATAACTTAAAATACAAGTCATAATGCAGTACTCTCGATCTGGAACAAAATAAATAAAATACTAATAAATTTACAATAAAAACATCTATACAATTTTGTATTTGCATCACTTTTTTTTTTGTTACCATTTGAAATTTATAAATCAAAAATAATTATTAAAGAAAATTAAGATTATCTGTCCATATCTATACATTCAAATATTGAATTGAAATCAAATTAAAATAATTGGTAAATGGTTTTATTGTTATTTTTTTTTTTATGAAATTTAATTAATAATCTTATCAAAAAAAATTGTATAAAATTCACTTTCAAGAGGACACTACTCATGCATTTGTTTCCACCATATAAATGTGCTGTTAGTTTTAATATTGGAGTAAATTGAGATTGCCTTATTATGTAATTTAAGGGAATTACATTATTTAAATCAGTGGTTCCCAACTCAACAATAGGCATTGACCACTTTTATAAATTTTCCACCGTCACAGACCACTCCCTGATTTCAACCCCCCCCCCCCTCTTTATATCACTTATTTTTTTTTATAGTTTATAATTTCTGGGTACAAAATAAGAATTAGAAATACAGTTTATGTCGTGGAAAAAAATATTTTAACTTTTTTATTTAAAAATTTAATATAATAAAAAATATCAAGTATAATTTCGCTCATTTTTTTAAATTTAAATTTTTTTATTCACGGACCACTTAAGATGAGTCCACGGACCACCAGTTGGGAACCACTGATTTAAATGTATGATAATTCTTTTAGTTATTTATTTTTGAAATATTTATGAGTATTTTTAATTTGTGATATTTCACACAATCAATTTTTAGTGTCCTCTGAAAATTATAAATCGTAATTTAATATTTCTGGGTTCCATATAATAATAAACTAGTGTTTTTCAGATGAAGAAATATTAATTCTTAAAAAGGTCTAAAAATAATCAAGCTTACAATAGTTAAAATTGATAGATTTTTTTTTTTCATTTCAAGGCATTTTTAATTACCTATAATACTGGCATTTATAATTTATTAAATTCTTAAAAAGAATGTGAATTATTGAACAACTAACAGCTGCCAATTGTAACCCGCACCATACATGATCATATTATTTCTGATAGAAGTTTATTCAAATCATTGCAATCTTCAATACACATTTAATTGTACAAACAAAATTTTTAAATATTTCTAATTACTCAAACAAATATATTAAAAATAAATTATATTATACACAAAATGTTCAATATAACCTAACCAAACCTAACCTCACAGTTAACCAATACATTTGTAGATTACTCATATTGAGTTTATGACCATACATTCAATGTGAAAATTATTTTTAAAAATAAATGAACATACTTCGCACAACAATGTTTTATCTTAAAAAGATTAATCATTGCTAATGAAAAACCATTCTGCGTGTTGTTTGGTAATACATGCTTTGATAAGCTAAAATTTCCAGTTTTACCAATAAAAAAAAATTACCGCTCTCAAAACCACCCCAGTCAGATTTCCATTCATAAAAAGTGCTACACTTGAAAATCAAAGAAAAGCTTCTGGTAGAAAAGTTATTTATAAAATATAAAAAATAAATATTGTAAACTAATACATTTCTCTTTCTGCTCAGAATCTAAAATGCAACAATAGTTAAAATGTATCCAAAATTCAAAATGTCTATTAATGTACAACTTGTAGAAACTACAATTTAATGATGAAATATTACATTGAACATATGCTTATCTCTGTGCCTGCGGTAATTGATTTTTAGGTAAGTGTAATTGGCCAATAGCCACATTGTATGGATGGTGTACGTTATAAAAAGAGAACAGATTTATATGTAATAAAAATACAAAAATATGTACATAAATACGGAAGTAAAATTTATAAAATAAGTTTTAAAAACATCAAAATATGGGGAGGGGGGAAATGTTAAGTTTTAAATTTTTTATCTCGCTGATTCGACAATTTACATACTATCATTTAAGGACATAGTTTTTGTGCAAGATAATGACCAAAAGTATAAATCAACAATATACCGATAAATGGCTGTTTTCATTTACTGCAACATGGGCTTAAAAATATATGAATGATGAAATGATTAAAAATATTTACATTAGTGAAATATATGAAATAAATTTGACAACATTTTAATAAGAATGATTTAATGTGAACATTTCTTATAAAATCTTAAATATATTGTTCTAATAAAATATGCATTTACATATAAATCCGTTCCCTAGTTATATAGATATGAATGTATGATTTCTAAGTTCTTCTGGTCTGCTTTGGAATAATTAAAAGAAATTGATGTGGATGAACTATGGTTTCAACATTATAGGGTGACCATACTAGGTTTAAACAGGATTGTCATATATTTCATCTTGGTGCTCTGTTTTTCCAATCGGAATTAAATAGGACACAATTAGTCCTGTTTTCCTTGACTGTCCTGTTTGTACGATTTTTTTCATCAAAAAGTGATTTTATTGATTAATTGATAAAATCATCTATAATAAATTTACTTAAGACAATTTTTTCTATGAAATCTTACAACTTAAAAAGTATAAATATGTTACGACACATGATTTTGTAGCATCCTATATATTTGATGTAGTATGGCGTATAATAGTATTATGAATTTGTTTTTTAATACATATACATAACATACATAAGTATTACAATATATTATTTTGTTTCTCGTTTTGATGGTAAACACATTTTTTTTTTACTCATTGCAAAAAAGTGTTCAGTTTTTTTTTTTAATAGTCACCCTACTATAACACATCCTAAGAGACAACCTCACTTCATTGAATAGAGATCAAGCTAGGCCCCCATGATCATGTAATCACAAATCACAAGTGTAGGTGAGCAAAAGGAAATTTGGTAGGAATGTCAGTAAAAGTAATTGAAAAATTAAATGTGTAGATGGATATTTTCTCAATGTAATTTTTCATAATTTAACATTTAAACAATTTAAAATTTTGAATTATTGCATTTTTGAAAAGAGTGACTTTATTTAACCACCAAATTGAATAATTAGACTATAATACTGATTATTACTTTTTATATTTAATTATTTTAAATAAAAGTAAACCTTGATTAAAATTATAATAACCTAAATAAATATCTGAGAAAAAAATAATTTCTAAGCCTATAAGTGCTGTGAAGTATGCCTTTCTAATATTTAAATTAAATAACTAATAATTTTCGTGCAACTAAATGATAAATTGATATTCAATTTTACTAGAAGCAAAATAATATATACTTGTGTAAAAAACATGTAAAATACCAGCGGAAATGATTAAAAATATTCAACATGCTGCATAGTATTACCAAAATGAATAACGAAGAATGAAAGTTAAAATTTAATGGAATCTTTCTTTGTAACACTTAACGTTTACACCCATCTGAAAACATTTATTTAAACGAATTTGGCATATTAATATTAATTTTACTCAAAATATGAATACACAAATTTATTAATTTAAGGCAAAATTAATTTTTATAATGATAAAACAACAAATTTGACAAAGAAATTTTACCTGAATTGATCTAGATGATTCTAATTCAACTGACATACTAGGATTTCTTCTATTGAGTAATGGTGTCATAGAAGTTCGTTCATCGTGTCCTATTCCAGTTTTAGTATCAGATATGTCAGAGCCAGCTAAATCAATACCACTTTCATCTGTTTCGTAAATATCTGAACCATTTTGAGTATTTAACTTGAAATTTTTTGTATTTCCAGAACTTTTCACAGCAGTTGCAATTTTTTCAGCAGTTTTTTTACCAAAATTAGCAGCAATTTTTGGTAAACTGCGTTTTACTGGTGCTGATTCAGTACTCGGATCTTTAATATCATTTATTTCTTCAACTATTGATGATAAATTTGCAGAAGCATCAAAACTTTCATCAAATGTGCCCTGATTATTCTGGATCGGAATGTCATCTAAAATAATAATAAAATACAATAAGACTAATGTTTATACTTTATTTTTTTATAAATTAAATATATAATTTTTTAAAAATCTACCATTACTAGAGAATAGATTTATATAGAGAATATAAGAGAATTATAAGAGATTATAAGAGAATAGATATTCTCTTATAATCCACAAAAAGGCGCTTAAAAATATTTAAAAAGCAAAAATGATGAACAAAATAAAGTTGTTAGTAAAAATTACTTTTCAATAATCATTTTTATGTGTTAAAAATTATTTTTTTTGAGTTAAATCTGTTAGATGGGGTGAGGGGCTCTTAAACTATTCTATTATTTTTGATTTTTAAGTATTTTTTATTTGCTTTTTACAACACATTTTAACATTTTCTGATGATTTTTATATATTTTAAAATCATAAAAATGTGGTAAGCAATAATTGTTTTAGATATTCAATACACAAATAATTTATACCTTATTAATAAAAAGTAGTTTAACATAAAACTAAGTTAAGTTGGTTCAATATTTACCTGGTAGTTTTTTGGTTCTAAATGATGCATTAGTAATCATAGATTTTGATACTGGTGTACTACAAGTATTATTGCTAACTGGTGTCCCTACTGATGATATATTAGGTGATTGTCCTCCTAAATATAAATAGAAAAATAATATTAAGTCTTCTTATTAAAATATTGGTTACCCTTACTGACCTTCAAAATATCCTTGACAAGAATTTTTAATTGAATTTGCTAATAATATCACTTCACAATAACAACTGTAACACGCACGGTGATAAATATCTTCCAATGCTTGGAAGGCTTCTGATTTTCCACAATTAAATCTTAAAATAAATATAATAAAATCAGAATAAAAACAAATATTTACCTGTAAATTTTTTTCAAAAATATTTAAAACATTTATTATAATTACTAAAGATTTTATTTTATGTTTAATTTAAATACATCTAAATCATAAGTTTTTGGTAATAATGACAACATTAAAAAGAGATAAATAATAATAAAGATAGATTTTGTACATTAAAACATAATTATTAAATTATACAAATTATGACATGTATATTCATAAAATAAACTACTATTACTGAATAGAAAACTGTTAATAAATATAATATAGTGAAATGAAAATATTAATATAAATCATCAGTAGTGGTATTAAAAAATTTGATTGCTCTATTATATTATGCAGTCATACAATGTATATTTTGTATTTGGTAAATAATTATAAGTAGGCTTAGGGACTTCTAGAATTTGCATATTTATTCTGAATTATGTAAAAAGTAGCAGCAGAGCCAATTAAAAATTCTTTTCATGTTATATAGAATCTAAATACAAAATTTGATTGTGCATATTTTTGTGTATTTTAATTTTTTTTTTCTTATTGAAGCATATATTAGCAACATGCAGCTTTTAATGATATAAAAAAAAAAAAAAAAAATGTTAATTTAGTAAATAGTTTTTCGATTATTCAATAGGTTTTCATGATAATTAGGAAAACCTCGAAGACATAAAATAATAAATTAAAATAATAAGATTTGATTATTTTAAATTTTTACAGCTTATATTTTCTACCACACATATTGCTCCAATCGAAAAACCTCAAGTCATTTTTTTGTTGAATTTTGGATTTAGTTGGTATTTGTAAACATTCATAAAGATTTTACATTTTAACAGATAACTTATATTTGCCTTTTCTGGACTTAGTTCAATATTTAAAACATTTTAACGATTTTTGATCTAATTAGATTCAATAAATTTTGGTGTTGAAATTGTTGAATTTCGTCAACCAATTCACTAGATATTTTTTTAAGTTTGGGTAAAAGGGAAAGTGGTGGAATATTACTGTGTGGCACCACGGCTTGCAGCGTTTTAATAATTCACAAAACCTCTACCTCAACCCAAACTTAAAAGTGAAATCTCTTTAACAGATTGACAGAAATCAAAAAATTGAACACCAAAGTTTATTTTAACTAACACTCTATTTAAGAAATTAATTTTAAAATCAAAAATAAGTATCATTTCACTTCTAAAATAAGGATAACAAAAAAAAAAAAAAATGTACAATTTCAGAACTATTTATTTCCTGTTTCAAAGAAAAAATTCCAAAAAAAGTTAATACTTTTCAAGACAATGAGTGTTTCTATCTGAGTGAACCATCCCTTAACACATAAAACACACTTTAAACTAAAAATAATATATTTTATAAAATGTAATTATAGGAATAAGTATATTATTATATCAATTTCAGACGTTTGTACTATAGAACTACTTTTTAAATAATTTATTTGGCAAATAAAATGTAAATTTAAAAAAAAAAAAATTATAAATAATAAACTTTCATAAACAATAAATGTTTTTATAAAATGACTTACATTGAAATATATAAGCAGTAAAGTAAATGAATCAAGAGTTTAGGAGACAGTGGAATACGTGGTAAAGTTGTTGATGTTGATGTATCAGTATTACTGAATGATGTTGACCGCTTATAGAAAAAACCCTGAGTAACCATTCTATTAACCAAAAAAATGAGAAGATAATAAAATGCCTAAACATAGTACCAAAGATTGAATTTACGTACTTGGATGTAACTCTATAAAATCGATCAAATGGATTATAAACTTCTGGTAAAAGATTTAAATGTTTGTAATATATAAAATATAGATTACTAAGAACTTCCATTCTATTGGATGCAGAAAGTCTTTCAATTTGATTAAATGGACCTCGACGAACTGGGTGAGTGTCCCTTTGTTCTAGACGACGGATGGCAGTTTCTGTCAATGATGTTGGAGCCAAATTACTAGGCTTAAAATAGAAAAATTTGATAACATGCAATAAATAACTTAATATAAACAAACTTTAATAATAATATACAATTATATATTTACTATTAAAAATACTTAATTTTAAACATTAAATTAATAAGCACTATTTGTACAGATTTATATTGTATGATGATTATATTTAGAGTTTTGGATTCTTCTTAATATTCCATCAAACAAATGGAACTATTTACAAATTGTTTGACATTTTACTTTGTCCTATTTCTACAATGGTTTATCAATGTTTAGTTTTAATGTTCTAACTTTATTAACTATATCTAATAGTATTCTTAAATCATAGATATAGATCAGGTGACAAAGAATATTGTAATTTAACAAAAAATTTAATAATCATATTTCTTTAAATATATATACTTACTTCATGGTAAATGGATGGCTGAGCTAAAGATGGCAAACGAAATGATATAAATCTTGGAGTATTATTTTCATCTACAGCTTCAATATTGTAGATTCCAATTAATAATGCTTCAATACTACGACAACTCTAATAATACAATTATAATAAATTTAAACCATTTTAATTAATTATACAAACAATTTTACAAAGTTAGAAATAGGTATATTTTTGATCTTATAAAATATGAAACATTAAAATCAGTTCTATACAATGAGTCTTACTTGTTTATCAACATGGGCAATTGAATTAAGATAACTATATGTTAAATGCGGTAAAAATAGTAAAACAAATAAATGTAAGTCGGTTTCTTCAGTTCGGTAACAGTTAAAAAGAGCACCACAAATACGATCAATTAACTGCAAGAATAATTTAAATTTTAGTAAAACAAATATAATATAAATTATCAATAAATTATTGAATTATAATAATATAATACTTTTAATCTAGTCTATAATCAAAGTAGTTTAGGTAAAATACATTTTTAATTAATAAAATTAAAAATGTATAATAATAATAATAAGTTATAATTATAATTATAAGTTAGAATGACAAACAAGTTATTGTAAAAACAGGCCTTAGAGAGTTGACCATTAATAAAAATTATATTGTGTGTTACAACAAAATAAATGGCATTTTGTAAACATTTTGAACATTTCTAACTATCTACAAAATTTAATAAGAATTATTCTATTAATCAAATAATTAAAATTGAAATGCAAAAATAGTAGTTTTTTAATATATTTTAGTTAATAAGTTATAATCATTTTGTTCTAAGTGTAGAATTGATAACAAATTATTTGACAATTTTACAAAACTATATAAATGTTATTAATAACATAAATACAGCATAATTAAATTAAATTCAAAAAACCACCTTCAATTTCATAATTTGAAAAACTTTATCACTACTTAACACACTATTATCGAAATAAAATATTTCTAAAACAATCTGGAATATTATATTTTTAATAAATCTAGTGATTCACTATTAGAACTTTGAAATTTTCAAACTATCAAATATTTACTTAACAGTTTGGGGTATTTACAATAAAAAAATAATTAAAAATAATTATCTCAGTAAATATTTAAGTTATTTTTTTATTCATAGCTTACCTAGTGATTTATATATGCTTATGATTATATATACTCATTAATAAGAATATTTTTATCAACGCTTAGTATAACAACACAACCTCGTATATCATATTGTTATGAATCTTCTACACAAGCCTTGAGATTTAGTGTGTTTTAAAGTCGGAAGGAGACTTTTGTGATATTATAGCAATAAGCTGCTATGCCTCAAATGAGGAAGAAAATAACATCAAATGTGAATTCTATGAAGAACTGGAATGAATATATAATACCCTTCAAAGAAACTGCATGCAAATACTAATGGGAGATTTAAATGTTCAAATTGGACAAGTCTTTGTACAGACCGAGAAGCTTGCATTTAGTGTCGAAATAAATAGTAATGGTTTGAAAGTAATCAACTTTGCAACATCTAAGGACATAATAGTGAGTAGCACTTTCTTTATAAGAAAAGATATTTATAAAAACACATGGATATCACCTAATGCAAAAACTCAAATCAAATTATTCATGATATAATTAGTAAAAAACAAAACACGTATAACCAATGTAAGAAGGTAGAGGAGAGCAGATAGTGACTCCAATCACTATCTGATAATTAAGAACCTTTTGCCAATATTGTCAGTGAACTGCAAGAAAGAAAAAAAAAAGATACAGACATCGTACTGTTGTAGGAGAGAAATTTGAAAGGTAAAGGGGAAATTTAATGTATATCTGTATACAACAACTAGTCATTGACGACAAAAATGATTCTGAGCAAAGTTTGGTTAATAGCTTTATCAACAGTATATATATATATATATCATTATATATCTTTTTTGATAATATTTGTTTAATATTGTATCTTTAATATTTTCCTGTTTTTCTTTTTTTCCCATGGCCTCTTTAAGGTACATGACCCCCCCCCCCAATCAGATTTTATTTTAAAAATGATGATACACTTGAAAATCGGAATAAAATTTCTGGTAGAAAAGTTGTTCACAGAAAAAAATGAATAAATAAATAAACATAATTATAAAACCAATACTCTCCTAGCTCCACTCAGAATCTAAAATACTTAACAGTTCAAATATGAAATATGTTTTTTTTTATTTTAAGCCCTATAAATCCCGATTAATATATCTACATACATTTTTATTTGTTATACTTCTTATCAGTTTAGTTTTATGCTGGAGAAATTGACAATAGAGATAAAATAGTTAAGGTTGAATATGAAGCCACTTATATTAAAGTACATATAGTAGAACAAATGATAATTAATAAGATACTAAAAGCCTAATAATGGCCAAGACAGCCCTGGCGTAAAATACATTTTTAAAGATAATACAATTAGAACTCTCAATTCCAATAAAACTCTGTGGCAAAATAACTAAATACCATAACTATAACATTTTTAATAATAGTCTAATTCTTACATTGCGCTTTAATGAGATGATTAGCGCTAACTGTGAGTTAACTGACAGAACTTTGCTAGTATGTGGTCTATTTAATTATTGGTTAGTGCTAACTGGACATTAGTGTTAAGTATTATTGATTAATAAATATCTATTATATTTTATACATTTATAAAATTATTATAAAATTTACCTTGGCATATTTATGAATATCATCAAGCACAGTATATATTGATTCTATGAGTATTTTATTTTGTGAAGTTGTTATAGCAAATGTTGCCCAGTCGTCTTTTTCTAAAGTAGCAAACTCTGATAACCATTCTTTTACTGCGTTCTCCACCATGATTTGATCTCATTACATTCAATACTTTAACTAAATTATAAATAAAAAATTAGTAATCATTTGACATGATTATATATGATATACCTTAACTAAAAACGTACAATTAGATTAAAATCATCCCATATAAGACTCAATCTAAACTAAATTGATATGTATTAGATATTAAATTTATTTAAGGAATCACAACTTAAAGAGTAGACATATTGGAAACATTAAAAAATATAAATTATTTCAAATTTCGGCAACAGATAGAATACGTGCATAATAAAAAATAATGTATAATTTGAACTAAACAAATCTGAGAAAAAAATGTTAACTACCACAGATATCCAAGTACTGTCACTTGTCAACACTCGCCACTCACTAATCAGTAGTCACTACTCAGCCAGTCGCCAACAGTCACCAACTATTGTTGATTAATGATTACCTATAGTAATTCATAAAATACGAAAATCGAGGTCAATAATAATGACCTCGATTATTTTAACATTTTATAATCTTTTCGTAGTACGTAACAATTTTTTTTTTTAAAATAATAAAATTGTCTTAATAATTGTTATATTACTATTATTCGTTCATTAAAATTAATATTTTATCACATATAGGTGTTAGGTATTATTATAAATTAAAATATTTTCTCATAAACAGATGATATATCTATGTATTTAGATAGAGTATCTATAACCCTGGTATAAACTGGTATTTTTTTATGTACCGCTAGCAATATTTGATAAGAAAGCCGAGTGATTCCCAATTTTGTAGATAATGTTTGTTAACTTAGTTTTATTCAACTTCGAGATACTCAATCTAAATTTCGTAATTTTAAATTTATTTTAACCATTTAGTTTTAATCCACTATTACAAGGACACTTTTCTTGTTTTTAAAGAGGCAAATATTTTAATAATGAAATGAATAGTGAGAACTTTGACCTAATTGTTGATCTTAGATACTTTTTATCATTTTCAGCTTCTTAAAACTTCTTTCATATGTTGTTGTTTCAGGAATTGTTAAAAATATTCGTAGTACTACCTCTAAATTCAGATATAAATCTTATAAAGAGTACTGACGAATATGCTTTAGAATACCTGAGATGCATTCTTAAATGTTGTCATTATTAATGGAGATATTTGATATTTGAAACTTTCAATTTCAGAATATAACTGCAGCATTTAAATCTCAATCATACTTCAATTCCAAGTCATTTACCCAGAGTCATTTCCAGACTCCATATTAAATTAGATACCTGATAATTTAAATGCTATGCAATGACATTTTTTCAAACCTCCAACATAAATTCGATAATATGGAATATAAGCCCAATTCACACTTGTCAGACACGTACCGTACCGTTCTGACACAGACAAGTCAATTCAAACTAGTCAGACCCGTACCGACAGACACCGTTCCGACACGGATATACTGTACTCACACTTTCGATCCAACATCGTTTCGTTTTCAACAACTTTACCTTGTACCATTTGAAATATGTTTAAATAATTTACGAACTGTGATTTAGCAATGATTGCTATTGCTCTAGATGAAGAGGAACAAAAAAATATACGACGAAGAACATGGGTTCATATTTTGTTAGAACGGCACATTGAGGGGGAATTCGTTACTTTGTATAAACAGTTAACTGATCACGTTTCTTCGTGATCAGTTTTTTAAATATTTCCGCATGACAAAATTTCAATTAATAACTCTAAGTCCATAGAACTATTAATTTAATTTAAAAATGTAAATAAATAATAAGAAAATATGATGGTGTGCCAGCGAATGACGGCAGACGGATACAATTTGTCTGTTGTTCATTCACACTTATCAGTCAGACGTGTTCCGACCAGTTCAGACACGGGCCGTTCCAACAAAACATTCTCACGCGGAATGTCGAATGGACGCTGTCGGACCGGTACGTGTATGAACGGAACAGAACGTACAAATGTGAATTACCTATATTTAAACACATATTAAAATATTTTGGGTAATGGTACGGTACTGTGTCTGTCGGTACGTGTCTGACAAGTGTGAATCGGGCCTAATGCTTCAAAACGTTGAGCTCTAAAATTTACTTTTTGTTGATTCATAAATTTTATTTTCTCTTGCAATTTGATTCTATCAACATTAAAATTGAACGGACCTTACGATCACCAATACACGAAACCACGAATAAACTGATGAACTGAAACGAGAAATAACTAACAACACATAATCGAATGGAAAAAAATAATAGCCAACCTAGCGGTTAATTCCCGAATAAAAGGCAATATGACGGTATATTTCATGTGTGTATTAAAAAACCTACCTAGTATCTATCTAAAATTATCCTTTATAAATAGCTAAGTACATACATACACGGCATACCTATCTATTTTACGAGAATAAAACTTACATATTATTTTTAATCATCGATAAAATAATATACGTAGGCACAGAAAATAATCGATGTTAATGAGTATAATTACCTACTGTAATAATTTGTTTAAGTAAATATACATTGTTCAACAAATTATAACGTATTAAGTAGCATTGAAATTGGCGCCTCTATTGAATTATGCCCTCAGCACGGTAATCGGTAAAAAAACCAAAGAAAAAAATAATAAGTAAAAAAAAAAAACAATTTTAAAATTTTAAATATATTAATTACGGCTAAGGCTCGGAAATTATAGGAGATAAAAAATGAATTCATGCTATTATTTGAGTGAACTAAATTTAGTCTGTCAAAATTCACTATAAGTGTCTTAAAAAAGTACAGGTTTTAAAATAACAATTTACTACAATTTACTCTAAACAATGTTATTTGATTGTACTAAAATCGTAATGAATCGATTTCATTTTGTTTTATACATGAGTAGTGTGTTTTAATATCTAGGTTAGGTTAGGTCGCAGCAAGGTGTCAGGTTCGATTAATGATGGTATAGCTGTATGCTATAACATAGTATTTTTAATATAATCAATGAAAGGATCAACTACAAAATGAGAAGAACACACAACACTTTTCATTTACTATTATGCTTCTATGCTCATCATAGAGTTAGAAATTGCACGCTTTCTTGCGGCCAATAGTTTCGTTAAGTGAGTACTTTTGAAACTAACCGGCTTCACTTTCTTAATATGTACACGACTATTATAGTATATTACTCTATTTTTGGTGTGAAGCCAGGTTATTATCATATAATTTCGTATCACTATACAGCTATCAACAATAACAATAGCAACTATTGAACAATAAGATAACTTAAGTTAAATCGTATACTGATTGTGTGAGGCCCACTTAGGATCTATTGTACTTTTCGGCTGTAGGACAGTTCTTCCAAATTGTCAAAGTTATAGCTAAATAACATGGTATGACAGCAACTCCGACGATATTCAGTTATCATTTGAAAAATGACGTCGGCCGGTCCCACAATTTGAAATACTATTTGGAGGGACGTCTTATTATATGATAATATTTATTTAATATTTAGCATTTAATTGAACATTTTCTATAAATATATTATATTATCACTGCTGCATAATTTAAGTAATTATAATTCATAATATAGAGTAATGGATATATGAAACATTGTATAACCATGACATTTATTTAGCCATGGTATAATCATTGTTCGTTATAAATAAATAAACACTGTGATTTTGAAATTTTTTTTATTTTGTTTTCATTATTTATGTTTTTTTTATAATGCCTGTGTGCATAGTAATAAACTAGACGAGTGACAGTCGTACATCAAAAATTGCAGAAATGAAACTAATTCTTTATCATTTTCCTAAGGAAGAATATCTACAAAAATTGTGGATTGAACTTAGTGTTATGTCTGAAAAAATTTAAATTTCTTCTGGTTAGTAAACTAAGGATTGTCGTATATATATAACATTTCAAATGGAAGTTTAGAAAGGTGGCCGACACTAAATAATTGGGATGAAGAAAAAGAAAAAATATTGCTCAAATATAGCTTGATTTTACACAGTTTGTTTTTCCTAAACTTGTATGACCAGTTGAACTAATAAATATTTATACTGTATTTTTTTTTTTCAAAATTTGATACCTAGTTAAATAATAATATTTACATAGTAATAGTAATTATATTTATTTCAGGTTGAAACATAAATTAGAAAAATCACATTTTTTTTCCTTACTCAATAAAGAAAATAAATTAGTATTACTATTATAACTGTATTTTTTATTATGTATCTCTTATTTATAGAAATGCAAGTTTTTTGTCAGCCTCGTAAGAACACAAACACATTTATGAAATTGTATCTTTTTAGTAGATACCTCTTTGTATGCAAATCCCTATCTTTATTTATGTATAAATGGAATATCATGAAATATTTGGTTAAAAATTGTTTTCTTTTAATTTGCTCTTTTTTATAATAGATGATTTATCATTACTTTAAAAATAATAATGCATAATAATATTTTATATTATAGGCATTTTATTAAATATTATATGTTTTTGAATAGTGTATGTACCAACTTTACTCCATAAATAAGAATTACCTTTGAATAAACCTACTAACAATAAATAATAAATAGTTTTAACTGAAAAAAACCAAAACCAATTATGTATATATAGCCTTACATGCATGTAAATTTTAAATATTAGGTTGGAGTGTAATACATTGCATCTATAAAATATCTTGTGATATCACCGACTATAGTTCTATCAGGTAATGTAGCTGACATTCCATACATAGCCATCTATAAAATAAAAATATTCAATATTAAAACAAATTTGATACCATCTATAGTATTATCAATAATTACTTTTCCAGTAAGTTCAACATTTGGAGTTTTTAATATTTCGATCAATTCTTTTCTTAAATCTTCCACAAATAATGAAGCTACACCAGGTTTAGTATGTAAATGTGTAACACAAATATGAATCCTACAAATTATATTTAATGGACACAAAATAAGTTAAAAATGTAGTAAATTTAATTTAATTTATATTAATAATTTGGAATTGGAGCCCGGTCTCTACCTTGTATTTATATCCATATATCTGTATTATTAATTCTTATACCAAATTACACTTACCCAATTGGAAATTGTAAAGTATTCAAGTTCCATCCTCTTGCATTTAATCCATCAGACAATCGATAGATATTGAAAATATTTGATCCTATTGCTATCACAGATGTAGTAGGATTTCCAAAAATGAAAATGCCCTCCATATTACGTAATCTAGAAGTATAGTTATTTAATTCATTATTTAAATAATTTTGAAAGTAAAAATATTTAATTTTTCATTATTATTTAGTATTAGTGACGAGTATGCAGTAATAGTTAAGTAAATAAACTCATGCATTTTGATTTCAAATATCATATTGGTTATTAGTTTCATATTAGTAATAAGAATCAAAATATTTTAAAAGTCATATCACAGTTCACCACTAATTATTATAGTCTGAAAAACTAACTGAAATATTGAACATAGCAGTTAGTTCTAAGGCAATTGGCTATACAAAATTATGTAGAGTACACCATTTTTGGATAATTTTATAAAAATATATATTTATATCATAAACAGGGTGATTAACATACTGTAAGACATTTATTTTTATTTATGAAGTATTAACTTTTTCAGAAATAGTTTTTTAATGTAAGAAACTTTAAAATGTTACATTTCTATTATTTTGTGAATTTCTTATTTTTGGAGGTATCAACTAGCAACTTACATTACAAATTTAATAAATAAAGTTTTACTTTAAATATATTTTGGTGTTGAAATTTATTTATTTATTAATTTATTTTAATAATTTACTTTTTTCTCCTACACCTTTATCCCAAACTATTTAGGTGGGGGACCCTCGTCCTAAAATTCTAGTTGGCTCAATTGCCACATGGTCATAATATTTTCAATCAAACTAATTCTTTTTTAGTTCTCTTTTTCCACCAACATTTATTTTCATTACTATTCTTATTGCTTTCGATTTTAACATGCCTAAACCACCTTAGTTTATTTCCTTTCATTTTGTTTACTATTTTTCACGTTTATGCTATATTGCTGCTTCTTGTGCTCTAATAACTCCTAATAGTTATTAATTGACTAATTTAAAAAAAAATGTTTAAGTATATTACTCAAAAATTAAATTTTACTAAAATTACAGAAAACACAATATTATTAATAGTTAAATTTATTTGATATTTTAATTGTTCATACTATATAATTTAATGAGTTATAATATTAATTTTAACTTACTGTTCTTCAATAAATATTTTAGTTCCCATTATTTCTTTTGTTGAAGTGATATAACCATTCATACCAAAATACATTAATGTAGCCCAGCAAGCAGCAATTATACCTAAAACATTGCTGTTTTAATATTAAACAGTAACAAGTAAATATATATTTATTATTATTTATATTATCAAATTCTTATTTAAATGGCATTTAATGATTATAAAATAATGTCTGTATAAGTATATAATTACCTCCAGATCTTGATCCGCTCACAGTTGGGGAACCATAATGACCACCAGGCCATTCTGTAGAGACATAATATTGGCTATGTCTATATTTTTTATTTGAATACAAAATAACTGATGAACCTTTTGGAGCATAACCATACTGTTTTATATAATAATTATATTAAGTATACAAATAAAATACATTTTAAATAAGAGAATGTTTGATTTAATAACAATTACTTTATGTGTATCTGCAGATATACTTGTAACACCGGCCAAGTTAAAATCAAATGGAGGCAGAGAAAAACCAGCTTGAGGCATGAATGCTGCAATGAAACCTCCTAAACAACAATCAACATGAACTGGAATATTATACTTAAGACCTAAAGCTGAAATTGCCTTTATATCATCTGATGTTCCATAAGGAAAATTAGGAAATGATCCAACTAACTGTAAGTATATAAATAACCATAAATTAGTAATTTAAGAACTAATGTAAATATAAAGTTAAATTAAATATGATTGTTAGTGTACAGGTATATTGATTCTATTAAACTGATTATTTGTATTAAATGAACACACTTTAAACAAAAAAATATTTGAGTATAAGTATAATTTAATGATGGTGATAAATAGTTCATTTTAATGAAGCTCAGGACTTTTAATTTTATAAAGATGTAATTATTTTCATTTAATACTTTTTGAAGTATCTAGTTAGAATAAATTATCATTTAACAAGATAATGCTATTCTGTATAAATTTCTACAAGTACTCCATTTTTAAAATGAATTATTTAAAAAATGGCCAAAACACAATTAGTTTACCATTAATGTATTTTTAGTTATTGCATTTTCCATTTTTTTTAAATCAACTGTGAAAGTTTCAGGATTTAAATCAATATGTATAATTCTAACACCAAAATATGATGCTGCTTTATCAAATGCAGGATGGGCTGAACGTGGAACTATTATTACACCATTTTTAATACCATGTTCATTTCTTCCAAAATCTCTATAGGCTTTACATGCCATAATTATTGATTCTGTTCCACCACTTGTCATCTTAAAATAAAACAATTTAAAACCGTAATTTACCAAGAATACTAATCAAATTTTAAAATAAATAATTTATATTATAATATTTTTATACAAAATGCATACTGTTCCACAAGCATTTGAATCACCATGAAATAAATTTACAACAAAGCGTACAACTTCCGCTTCCATTTTACAAATTCCTGGAAATATATCTGAATGTAAAGGATTTGTGTATGAAGCAAGACCATACACTTGGGTAAGGAACTGAATTAATTTTTCATCATAATAATATATAGCACCAGAAATAAATCCTTCTTTCCAATTATATTTACCTAAACAATACAATATATTTTAGTTATAATGCAGACAATAAAAAAATAATATAGCTCACCAAGATTTAAATACCTATTTACAGTTTTGATTAATTCATCTTGAGATATTCCTTGTGATGGAAGTTCAATAATATATTTTTCACCCTTAGTATTTTCTATTATTTCATTTTCAAATAAGTCTGAAATTATTTTAGTTTCTTCCTCTATTTTTTTTTTGAATTTAGGTATTTTCTTAATTTGAGTAAATGTGAATGTTTTTAGTCTATTATATAAACCTGAAATGTAATTCAATTATAATTGAAACATTACAGTTGGGATATAATTTTAAAACAAATATAAAAATAGTTATAAAGAACTAAGGTACTGGTTTATTTGGTGTCCTTATAGAAGGTATTCTCACTCCACTCTTTTATCATGCATAAATGTATACTTATATTTTTAACATTATTTCCTTTATTGTATAGGTACTCATAATATTAATATTATTGTTAATATTTAAGTAATGAAAACATATAGTTAAACTACACCTTAATATTAGGTATTATTTATATAAGTATATAATTATAATTATACTAATTTAGGCATACGTGTCATATGCATAACATTCATTAAAGTTTCCAATTTGCCCTAACTTTATGAATTAAGAGGTAATCTTTTAATACTGGACATATTTTTATTTTAATGAAACCAGATATTTGGACTAAAGAAGGTTTTCTGCATAGAAAAATTAATCATAACAAGAACTGTATTGATTTAATATACATACATGTACTTAAATACAAATAATTGAGTGTTTATGGAAACAAATAAAATATGGTATAAAATCATGAATCTCCTCAAAAGACAGGAAGAATTTTGGAGATCATTAAATCTGGTCAATGTCTTTGAAAGTATGAGATATTAGAGTCACTAATTATACTGCAATGAATTAAAGGCAATTGTAAAACTAAAGACTTCAATTAAAATAAATAGGAAAATACATTTTTTTTTATGTAGAAAGCATATAAGATGAGCAGTTAATTTTACATATTATAAGAAAAGTATAAAGTATTAGTATAAAGTATAAAGTACCCTATTTTGTTATAATATTACAATGCTATTTCCTGATAATCAGTTCATAAAAAGTTATTCAGTGTAAATAAAAAAAATTACACTAAATTTGATGCTAGTATATAAATCTAATAACAGCTTGTACATTCTAATCAAAATTAATTTCATTAACTTTGAGACAAATTTGATTACATTTAAAATATATGTACACAAAATACTAGTTTTTTATTTTATAAAAGTGTATTTTATGAAAGTTCAGTTAATACCTCAAAGATAATATTTATTATCCAAGAATTTAAAACTTCAAATATACCTATTTCCTAACTAAAATGATTTTTTATTTTTCTGTGGATACTATTTCTAAAATTACTTTATAGGAAGTTTAAAAAAAATTAATTTAATTTGTTTTAACAATAAATAAACAACAACTTACTTTCATCTTGAAGTAAAAAATTCCATAGCCAAATAGATGTTAATATACCAGATGCAGTGATAGAAGCTACTTGCCAAGGTTCACGTGGGCCAAACAAATTATTGACTGTATTTTTGGTAAATGAAAGGCTACTGCTTACTAAATCCATATTTATTCCTGAAGTATTAAAATAACATCGAAAAAAAAAACAAATAGGTAATTAATTGCATATACCCAACCAAATATAATTTAATTTAAAGTTGTTGAAATTCAGAAACAAAGTATTTGTTTTTAATATAATAATAAACATATTTTTTTTTGTATGGATTAGAAATTAATTAGTTAAAAACAACTTCTACATGCCCTTGTTATGGAGTGCCATCAGTGAATGATTTCTCTACCACGAGCGATATTAGTTATATTATATTGGTACATATACTTTATCTAATTTAAAAATAATGTTAACAAACTTAATTAATATTTTATTTAATTGTCAGTTAAAAATAAAAATAAAAAGCTCTAAATTAGTATATTTAAATAGTACAATAACTACTAATTACTATCTAGGAAGGTAATAATATCAACTTTGATTTATTTTTATTGACACTTATGAAAACATAAATTGAACAATACTATAAAATATTAATGCAGTTGAGTATTTAGTATTATTTCTCAAGATTTTGAAAAAGAAAATTAAAAAATTGTTTTGACAAATCATGGATTAGGTAATTCAATTTTACAATCAATAGATATAAAGTTACAAATGTATTTTATATTTTATAAAATATATTATATGTAACTAAAAATACTCACTTTGTTAAATTTTATGCTAACAATTTTTAATTTTAATTAAACTACATAAATACAATTTATCATTATGAATCATTTATTATTTTTAAAAATATATAAATATTTTTTTACATTGAATATAACTTATTATTAAAATGTACACTAAAAATTGTAGATAATTTATGACATTACAGTCAAGAATTGAATTAATTGTTATACACATATATTAAATATAGAGTAAGTAGATATCTATCTATATAATTATATAGCATAACCATTCAACATACACTTTTAACTGAAGACAAATATTAACATAATATGACTAATCCATGTGTTTATGTATAGAGGGAAGAATCGGTGGGAAAGCAACAGGAAATAGTATATATCATATGGGATACATAAGTGACTCATCTTTTATAATCTATAACCTAAGGCCTACTTTGTTGTATTCTCTGATATTACCTACAATAATGTAAAAGAGACTCCAACGTAAGCAATTGTAGGTACTACTATATACTATAGTCAATAATCACGGCCGATGTTTATACTTGATAGTCATGACTACAATATCTCCTATAAAAAAAACTCAGAAAAATGACCTTGTAAAGGTAATATACCAGTGTGGCCATTTCATATAGAAGGGTTTAAATCTGTCTATGATAACAGATAAAATGAAACATGAAAGTTGATATGAGATATGAGATGTATTTATTATAATTTTAGTCTTCATTATAATAATATTATTATTTGTGATCAATGATAATGTGATAGTATTTTCATTATTAAATTCTAGAAAAGGAATGTTTGGAAAAATAGAGTTTTTAGAAAAACTGTCTTTATTATTTTATAACAGTTTAAATTTTTAAATCATTTATTTAAGAATAAAAAAGTATAAAAATTAAAGCATGTGAACAGTTTTAACTTAATTATGTGAATAATTTTTCTAGGATTTTCTGTATTTAAAAACACATAATACACACGTACATATATTTTATAAGTATATGAATAATATTCAATGGCTAATACTGGTGTTTTACCGTTTGTACGAGGTATAGATTTTAGTAATAATGATTTTGAAGTAAGTATTTTGCTGATTAATAATATAATTTAAAATAATTTAATGAATTGATTAATGATTCATATACCTACTAGCCTATTACGAGGTCTATTATAGTGATAAGAAAATGGTAACCTACTAATTTTGTATGGGTAGTACAGACCAAATGTTTCAATTGGCTTAGCTATATATTATCTCAATAATTACACGAAAATTAAATTTATTCTTCAACTCACATAAAAATAATTTAAACGAATTCTGACGTACATATTAAAAATATATTTTTATGATATGTAAATTTTCTTAGGCCCTTGAGTCAGCTCAGACTGATTAAGATGCTAGGACATTACAGAATTCCAAAATTTACCGTATAATTTATTTGTCTCAATTGGTGTAAATTTACCTTCAACCCAACAATCTACTTAAATTAATATGAATTTAAATTAAGAAAGTTATATGATAATATAGTAGATATATCTGCACAGACATAAATTAAATCACCCTATATTTTATATTTCCAACTTGCAATAGTTTCCCATCCATGGTACAAAGTATGTTAATTGTTTTATTATAATTTATGCCAATTGTTGAAATTTCCCTGGAAGTAGCACCCCATGCCTTTTTTACCAGTCACACTTGCTCTTAAGGTAGAAAATAGAATACCTCATAAGTATATTAACAGTAAGCAATAACAATTTCTTGTAGAATACATATATATTTTACTAATAATAGCACAGTGTCTATTATTCTTAGGTCTTCATAATGCATGGAGAGCCATTATTTTTATAAAAATTTACATAACCAAAAAGTTTTTTTTAATTATTACCAAAATTAATACAAGATTGAGTGCTTTTATTGACTTGAGTTAACTAGTTTTTTTTCTTTCGATTAATTGTTAATTATTCTAATTTTATCTTGATTAAACAGTTATACTTTTACTTTAACTAAATTTATTTTCTCCGTATTAATATTACTAAATACAATATAGTATATGGACTTTCTAATAAGATTGTCATGTGTGCCTTGTTTCTTTAATTGATGTTAGATTGAACATTAGTTTATAAAGACAATTTTCAATTTACCAATGTGTTTATTTATTCCATTATTTGAATGAAAAATACTTCTAGATTACCATTTTAATTTGTTTGGTCATTATGATAAACAATTACTTTTGTATCTTGTTAATTTAAAAATAATAACTAATTTTAGACATCAAAATTTCCTTCTGCTGTTATGTCAATGTCTAGTGTACAATGGCTGAACTTAAATAGAGTAAAATTACATGAGATCCCAGAAGAAATTGGAAAACTTGCAAAATTAGTATGTACCTATTATATTTTTATATTATAAAGAAATTAGTTAAATTATTATTTATTTATTTTATTTTAATAAAATAGTATCTCTAATTTATAATAATGTTTAAAATTGGTTCATTTTTGAAATTATAGTCTTTTAAGCTTTAATTATTTATTTTCAAAATGTATATTTATAAAAAAATGCATTGTTTTTTGAAAAGTTTTGGAAACATATTTATTTAAAAGATACATCACTGATAAACATCATAAGCTAATAATAAAATAGCTGTAATGCTTATACTAAATAATACTTTTTATAAAAATAACAGATACATTCTGAGTATTTTAATGTTGTTTAACTTTTAGACAGGCGTTTCATCATCTAGCCTCGACAGGCATTGAGGGCTTTTACACCACTCATGTTTCTATCCAAATTTAGTGCATAAATAAATGATCGCTTGAACATATTCAATTTATATCTACCACATTATCATACATCCAAATTAGTTGTTAGACAATATCTGGAAGTGCTGATAAGTTACATGGATTTATTAATGACTGGAAGTAATTTTATCTTAAGTGCGCGCCTGCCTGAAAGTTAAATGAAAATTAAACCATTTTTATTTCTTTAAAAAATTAGTTACCTATCAAAAAAATAGGCCCTATTCAAATTTATATTTTAGTACCCTCTTTACTTTATATTATTACAAGAGATATAAATGTTTATAAGATATGAATTGTCCTCGTTTATCTCTTTGGTCTAAAACTCCATTTCACCTGGTCACTCACATCATCTATACATAACCAAGCACTCACTCTCAACTGAGTCAATCCATTTCCTTTTTAGTTTTCTTTCTTATGCTCCTCTTATTCTGTCTATTCATACCCATTAATTTATATTAAAATGTTTATGATAAATATTTTTTATATCATAATTAATCAATAAAATAAAAATACATTTTATTTAATTTTCATTTTTAATAATATAGAATGTTTGTTTTTTAGTTCAATAATAAAAATATGTATTGAATTGTGAAATTTAATTTAGGAACATTTATCGATTGCACATAATAATATTGAAAGATTGTATGGAGAACTTACAGAACTATGTTCATTGAGGTCATTAATTGCTCGTCATAATTTTATTAAGAGTTCTGGCATACCTCAAGAACTTTTTTGCAACACTGAAAATTCAACTGAGTTGACAACATTGGATTTAAGTCATAACCGGTTAACAAGAATACCAGATGGTCTTGAATCATCATCTAGTCTACTAGTGCTGAATCTATCTCATAATAGGTAGTTACAATTTACTGTTCATAATCAGAATATAAAAAAAAAATATTTGTGTGTTTTATTGTTTTGATGGGGCACTAAATTGGAAGAGCATTGTGAAATCAGTTTTAGTTTCAAAGAAATATGATCATAATGATGCTTGGGATGTTCAATATTAAGTATGTAACCAGAGGCTAGAAATCAGTTATGTACCCATCTGTTTGATGTATTTTTTCGGTATATACAAAAGAAATGGTTCTATTGTTTCTATCAAAGATCTAAAAAGCATGAAATACAATGTCACCAAGCAGAATTGAGAATTGAAATTAAATACTTTCATCCCGATAAATCCAAGAATCAATCATAGCTTTAGTTATAATTGCATCAGTATGTGAGCAAAAGTTTAATGATGGGGTTGCAAAAAAGCTAAGGTCATTTACAATCAAAGTTATTGAAACTTTAGTGTGAAATTGATTATTTCCTAAATACATTGTCTCTTTATACTTTTTCCTAAAATTAACCTTACCATTCCAAATCAATAAACCTTACTATTGCTTATGATTTATGAAAATTACTTGGCTTTTTGTTCTTTGCTATTGTCTACTAAAAATGTACAGATACAAAAAAATTGTATTTCACCATTATTGTTGTAATGTTTATTTCCATAATAAATTTATAATTGAGAAAATTAACCATTTTAACTTTTTTTTTTTAGATTTCTAAATAATTAAAATGTTTGATAGTTAGCCTTCTTGAGTTTTACTTAGTAAAAACAATTAGTTATTAGTACTATATAATAAAATATGACAGTTACTATAAATAAAACCTAATACCTGATCATAGTTATGAATTAGTTTATAATTTATGTCGTGTATGTCTATTGTAAATGGTAAAAATTACTATACAAGAAACTCATAAATGTATGCTCAAACTGAAAAAACTTTATGTAGTATGGAAAACAAACTTTTAAAGATATAAATATAACTAATAAAATATTATGAAATAAGATTTATTGTTATAGTGCATCAAAATGTGTTGATAAATTAATTTAGATCAAGATAAAGAATTTTTGGTAAAACAGACGAGTGTGTGGTATTTTAGTAATATGATGATGATACTATTAGTAAAAACACAAATATTAAAATGACCCAAAACATTTTAACTGATAATGAAAACCAAATAATAAAAATATGCCAAGTCTCGGATTTTTAAAAAAAAGATGATAAAGAAATATTAATATTGTTAATCAACACAAAATCAAAAAGTATAATCAATGCTATCAAATAGATAATTGTTTATATCTTTGTCCATCTAAGTGTATAAATTCCAATGATATACATGAGAAAAGCAAGTCATTGCACAATTAAAAGTTATCAAACATTTTGATGAAAGAGAAATAAAATTAATTGTAGATTTTGATGCAAATATTACAAGAAATATATTATAACAAATGTAATTCTAATTACAATTTAGTCATTTTAAAATTTATCAATTATCATTTATTAAATTCAATTTTATCAATTCAATATCAGTTCAATTAAATAACTTTATTATCTATGTTTTTTCAGACTATTGAGGAATACAGGTCTAAATGTCCTAAGTAGATAAAAGATGTTTTGAAAAGTCCATTCAATATTTAATACTTTATAAATATTAATTATCAAAACTATTTAAAAATAATACATGAGAAAAATATGAGAATATTTATTGTTTAAAAAAAGTAATATTTCAATATTTACTTAACCATTTTTTTAACAAATACTTTTATGTACCTGTTTTTGGAAATAAACGTTACAATAAATATAATTATAAAAATAACACTACTTTTTGGTGTCTGTATTTTTTTAGTGAATAATCGTAAAGAAATGAAAATCAAGTAATTTTCATAAATCATGAGAAATAGTATAGTTTTCTTGATTTAAAATGGAATGTTTAATGTTTAAGGAAAAAGTTTAGTGAAATAATTAATTCTACAATAAAGTTTCAATACAATTTTTCATAACATTAGGTTTTATGAAGTATACAACAATTTTCACTTTTCCCCTGGCCCCTAAATCCCTTCCCTATTTTAAGACCTAAATTATCATAATTTTATTATTTTCAAAACCTAATCTTGAAGCCTAAATACAAACATTTAAATATATATATATATATATATATATATAGTGAAATTAAAACAAACATATAGTGAAACTAAGAAAATAATAAAGTCACAAGATTGCTGACGAAATAAAATTCTGAGGGAAAGGCAGCTAAACATATTTGAAAATGTTTATAATAAAATTATGCTGAACTTTTTTTTTACCACTAAGTACAACTTATGATAAAATTTGTCTAAAATTGTGAAATATTTCCTATCAAACAAAAAAATTGTATCCACAAAAAATCAAATAAAAACTAAAACAATTAAAAGATTAATGTCTTTAATTAGCTCAAAAATTGTCAGAATGAAACCAAAATTAAAAATAATGAAACTATTATTCCGTAAACTTTCCCCATTTTTTTTTAATTGTTAAAATATTGCAAGCAAAATTAAAAAAAATTGTAGTTAATCACCAAAAATTTAGATGTAGTTGACATGATACCAGTCACTTCGACCTGGTATTGTATAATATATTTTGTGAAATTGTTACCATGATTATTTTAGTTAAAATAATGGAATTAAAGTTTATTTTTTATAAAGATCATGAAATATTAGATAGAACTAATAACTATATTTTATACAAATTGGATTATAATTTATCAGGGTGGGAAATTATTTTTGCCAGGGTGCTAAAAATTTAAAAATGCGACACTGACACATAAAAATATCTTTTTATTATATTCAAAAATAAGTTCTTATAAATAATAATTAAAAATTAATTAATTGATATTTGAATATGTTTTTATTTTTTTAGGATCAGTTCCATACCTAATCAATTATTTGTTCATTTAACAGATTTATTGTCATTGGATTTAAGCAATAATGATTTACAAACACTTCCACCCCAAATGAGAAGATTGACAAATTTGCAAACATTAATGTTGAATCATAATCCTTTAGATCATTTTCAATTAAGGTATTTATTATTTTATGTATGCTTACTATAGTATAAAATACCACATTCAAAAAATTTGTATTATACTTAAAATCTAATATAGGAATCACAAATCCTATATATTTTTACTAATTTGGTGTATTTACTCAAGCCATTAAAAAAAATTGATTTTATTATTTTAATTATTTAAACAAATTTAAATAGTTTTACAACATTATTTTAATTTAATTATTCACTAGGTAATAGGTATATTGTAATACTCTACAATATGAATTATTATTGGATTATTATTTGTATCATTCAGAATGTACATTACTGTTCATACTGATTTCATAGACTAAATCATATTTGTATTTAATTTTCAGGCAATTACCGTCAATGAAAAATTTAACAACATTACACATGCGCAATACTCATCGGAATTTAACTAATATGCCTCCAAGCCTTGAATCATTGACATCTCTGACTGATTTGGATTTAAGTTGTAATCAACTACCAAAAGTACCAGATGCACTTTATACATTGACTAATTTAAAAAGGTTAAATTTGTCATCAAATCTTATCATAGAACTTCCTCTGGCATTAGGTACTTCTATTTGTATTATTTAATGAGTATCATACGTAGAATATTAGTTTTAGTACTTATATCAGTTTGTATCACCTAATTTCAAATTTTTATTTTAAAAACGAAAATTATCTTAATGATAATACTCAACAATATAAAATTAAGATAAATATAATATATATTTATAAAATATATCATATTACTTCAAGGAGTGTATTAGAGATGAGAATATTTTGGTGGGTGAGTGGTGTGACAAGAGAAGATAGGATAAAGGATGAATACTTAATAGATAGCTTGGGTGTGTGGCTTTGATAGTAGAAAAAATGAGAAAAAATAGATTGAAAGGGCATGTTTAAGTTAAAGCAATAAGAATTGCATTGGAAATAAATGTGGACAGAAAGAGGGGGAGAGCCGAAGAGCAGACCGATAAAGAGGTGTTTGGGTGCAATTAAAAATGACAAAGGTGGTTGATCCCAAAGGAAAAGAAGAGATAGGAAATATATAATTTACTAGCTGTCCTGCCCGGCATATTCCTTGCCACTATTGAATAAAAAAAAATAGGTCGAAAATAGGTTGTCCAGTATTGACAGACTAAACGTGTAACTTAAATAATCCATAAATCAACAAAAAGAATTTGATTTTCATACCAAAAATACTTAAAAACCAAATTTTGGGGGTTGTTTTCAATATGGAATGGACTTCAATAGCTATAAACCTCCTCAAGATAATATAGACCATTTTATGATAAACAATGTAAAAATTGGTTCATCCAACTATTCTTTTCCTTGAATTTGTATAAATTATAGCAAAATATTTTCAGTACAAACATGAATTTATTGAAATGAAATAAATCACAATTCCTTGTTTTGAAAAAATTTGTTAATGTTTTATATAAGTTCATAGTAACTTTGATTTATTAATTGTCATTTTGAATGCAAGGCAAACCAGAAACAGGACACTCTCAAATGAAATGGCGAGTTGGTTAGAATTGGTGGTATTTTTGGAATCAGAACATCCTCGTCTTTGAACTTTTTACTAGAAGTTGTAAAATATCATATGTTTGATATTTGGGTTCTAACAGGACTATTTGACATTTTAACTATAACACTAGGTAAATCAATTTGTTGTTATGAAAACATGTGAAAGCAGAACTAAACATCACATTTTTTTTAATTGAGATTTTCATAGAAAATTACCATCTAAATTTACGACTTCTGGTAGATTTTCTAAGAAGAAAAACTTTTTTTTCATAAAAACCTTGTCCAGTCATTTATGAATACAACAAAAAAAATCAGCCAAATTGGTTGGTCATGTTCGAATGATCTTACATGCGGCAATTGATTTTAAATTATATAAGTATATAAAAATATAATATAAATGAGATGAAAAATACAAAGAAATGACTCAGGCATTATAATTGTATAGGTTTTGTAGATTATAAATAAATATATATGTATGTATCTTGCTATGTTCGAAAGATTTTTCTAGAGCTGTTAAAATTATATTTTTAAAATTATTTTTCTAATCATTTTCTTGGAAAAAGATATCGATTTGAAATAAAATAAAATTTTTATTTTCATATTTATTGAATATTTATTGTTTTCGTGCTTTTTTCTCTAGAAATTAAAACAGCTATTACTAGGATATGAATGTGTGATACATTAATAGTGTTGGAATAATATCTTTTACAAAATGGCTATTTCAAAAAAGTTATTATTTTTTTTTTTTTGTATTTAGGGGATGAAAATAAAAACAAAATTAAAACTTCTTGCTAAGTGTTATCCAATAGGTACTTATCAATACTTTTTATGATTATTGTTACTACTAATTTTGATTTAAATTCGACATTGGAGATTTATCCGTGTGGCTGTATAGTGTGAATTTTTGTTTTGTTTTTTGGTACAATAATGAATAGAGTTCTTCATAATTACGGTTTAATTGACCAAGAAAATGATTCTTCCAACTTCAAAAATGAAATGACAGAATTTAACGTTCCAATTCAGAAAGAAAAAATGTTTCGAGAACACAAAAACTACCTCAAGTTGTTAGACGAAGTAGAGTTTCTGAAACTATTTCATTTAAAAAAAAATAGACAGTAAAGTAGATCTTGAAAAAATACTTGATCAGATAAAATACCCCAAAAACATTGTAATCTGATTTTTACATTTTATAAATATAACATAACAAATTATCTGACTGTATAGAATATATTATGACATAATAACAGTTATAAATGATAATTCAATATTTACCTACGCATTCGTAAAACAATAAAATTTGGTCATGGACAGTTTGTTTAGGAAATAAATCTCAATCACTTGTATTTAAATTACCAGTTAGTTATACAATTGTTAATTGAAGATTGTTACAAAAGATTGCGGTAATCGGTACCTAACCGACAATATTATGATTAGGTAATCAACAGTTTTACGTACACTTAACCGGACATTGTAAGAACAGGCCCTATACATATAATAATTTTGTAAATTATAATTAATTGAATATAATAATCTATGTATTTCGGTGAAATTATCAAAATAAAAATAAAATTTTATAACCTGATAAGTAATCCATAGTCTAAATTTCTATTTTTTATATTCCATCTTATTATCATGACATTCGATGGCTTTTGGATCTAAGAAAAATAGTAATAGTTTACCATTTCACCATTTGTGTAGCCACTTAAAACAATGAACTCTAGTTTAATTTCCAATTATCTTATTTAATTTTATAATTAATGTATGTAATCTACATTAAAATTAGTCAAAAGATGTGAAAATCAAACAAACATGGAAAAAAAAATAAAAAATAATTTGCGTAAGTGACGTGATATTTTGTGCATTGAAGGCGAAATAGAGCTTAAAACTCAATGTTACTAATTGTTTTTTATTTATCACTTAAAAATACAAGTACAAATTGTAAGATTTGAATGATTTACAATAATAAATAAAAAAACAATTTGGATAATATTTTTAAGTCTTACCTTATTTAAAATTATCCGGCTAATGATAGTTTATTTAATTTTAATATGTCAAAAATTAGCCTATGTTACATTATCGATATGTTAACATTACCCATAAAGTATATGTTTTTGTCAATTAATCAATTTTAACATGATACATTATTATTAAAATTTATTCGGACAAAAAATAATAATCTAAATGTCACTAAATAGGATTTTTGAAATTTTAAATTCAAACTCATAGTAAAACTTACAACTCATAATAAGTCCTATTAGTCATAATTATTATTTTATGTTTATTTTTTAGAGGTTTGGCAGGAACTTGAAGTTCTTCAACTTTCCGATAATGAATTGATATCCCTTCCAGCCTCACTTTGTAAATTATCATCCCTTAAACGATTGTATGTGAACTATAATAAACTAGATTTTGATGGTATCCCATCAGGAATTGGTAAATTATCTGCTTTGGAAGTTTTTTCTGCGTGTGGTAATCTTTTAGAAATGATTCCAGAAGGTTTATGCAGGTAAGCTATTTTAATTCTGAACCAAGTGAGGAAATGGTTTAACAATGATGTATAATTTGTATTGCTTTTATTTTGTATGTCGGTAATGAATTCTTCTACCAGATATCTTGCTCCAATCAAAAAACGACAAAAAAGCTTTTATGTAGAATTTTTTAACTAGTTGCATCAATCCAATAAACCAATAACATTGGAAATTTATTTTTTGATTATCTTTGTAGTTTTTTTTATATAATTGGGGGAAAAAGTAAAGCAAAAACAAACATATTTAGATAAATAAAAGTTTCATTATCTTAAATTTTGTTTTTTAACTAGACAAATCTTACTCTGAATTTTCAAGTGTAACTTTCTGAAAGGAAATATTATCTTATTGATATCTATACTTAATTTATACAAATTCACACATTTAATCATTTTCATTATGTCAAAAAAAATTACTTAAACACCTACTCTAGTGATTTAGTTAATTATTAAATTTTCGACTTAATTTTTTCACTTAGAGTTATAATTATGACTAATAAAATAATATTAACCTCTAACGTGTTAATTAGTTAACTTTTCTGAAAGAAAATTTAATCTAATTGAGGGAAAACTGGAAAGTTTACGATATTAACAATTTTGTTTTAGTATGGTTAGAAATTTTAATAAAGACCTAAACATTTTCACATAACTCTTATATTAACCTTTTCTAGAAGTCGTAAAAATGTTAAAAATATTCTGACAATTTTACGACATTTATAGCCATTTAACATTTTCTAATTTCTTTAGTTTTTATTTGGTTTTATGTGGATAAAATTGTTTGAGTAAACAAAAATGCTTAAAAATATAGTATAAGGTTTATTATAAGTTGTACTTAGTGGCCAAAAAAATAGTTAAGCATAATATACAATTAAGGTTGAATTTTGATAAAAATCATAACAATAAAATTTAACTTAACCAAACTTTGTTCAGAATCGTATTACCTCACCTATGATTTTTCGTTTTGTACTAATATAAATTAATTAACTCTATAGAACTATCCTGCCTTCCTAACTTTCTAACTTCAACAGTAGTACGCCCATCAGCAATGTCAACTCTTTATTGCTTAAAAATATATTTTTACATAATATTTAAGGAAATTAATTAAATTGGTTGTAGATGTGGCAGCCTTAAAAAGTTATTACTTGGCTCTAATAAATTAATAACGCTACCCGATACGATCCACTTGTTAAAAGATATAGAAGTACTTGATTTAAGTAATAATCCAGACTTAATTATGCCACCAAAACCCACTAATATGGCAACTGATGGATTGCAATTCTATAATATAGACTTCTCTTTACAAAATCAATTAAGACTTGCTGGAGCTGTAGTACCTAACTCTATACAACCATCTCAAAGTAAGTTTTATTTGAGTTTCTAAATAAATAGTAATACATAGTTAATGATTTTTGTTATTCGTTTTATTTTTGATAGCATCTAGTCGTGATCCAATAGCACGGAAACTAAGATTGCGTAGAAGTAAAAGAGACCATGAAGAAGAAAAACAAGCAAAAATTCTTAAAGTAGAAATATAATTCAATACAAATTACTAATGATTGTTATTTTTAATCTTGATATAACTATGGTTTAATTGTTTATAGGGTATGCAAGACATAGCAAATGATAAAAACAATGAAACTTTTGATGGTTGTGTTAAAGCAGAGTCATTAAAGTAATTTAAATTATTTAAATTAGTAATATATATGTATATTAACTAACGTACTAATTTATCAGGCCTAAAAGATGGGATGAAGGTTTAGAAAAACCTGCAGTTGACTATGGTGAATTATTTGAAGAAGGGACTGGTAGACTTCCAGGTATAAGTGTTTGGGAAATAGAAAATTTTTTACCAAACTTAGTTGATGAAGTAGCCTATGGTAAATTATATAGAGGAGATTGCTACATTGTTTTACACACAACTATTAATGTTACATCAGATAGTTTATGTTGGAAGATTTATTTTTGGATTGGTGACAATGCTTCTGTAAGTAAAATGTATGATAAACTAATAGTTAAAGAATTAAATGTACTATTATCATATTTACATATAGCTTGACAAAAGAGCTTGTGCTGCTATACATGCTGTTAATTTGAGAAATTTTTTGGGAGCAGAATGTAGAACTATACGTGAAGAATTAGGTGAAGAATCAGAAGAATTTTTATCATTATTTAACTCACCACTGGTATATATCGATGGAGGTCGTACAGCTAGTGGATTTTATACAGTTGAAGATATTGTATGTTGTCTTTAAAGTAAATTTAAATACATAGTTAAATTTGTTTATATGTGATTTCAGACTTATGTTGCTCGTATGTTTAGAGTTCATGCTCATGGAACTTCAGTTCATTTAGAACCTGTCAAATTATGTTTCATGTCCTTAGATATTGGATATGTATTTATTTTGGATGCTGGTTTAACAATTTTTTTATGGCAAGGTTCTAAAGCAAAAAATACTTTAAAATCAAAAGCAAGGTAATAAAAAATTAATTTAATTTAAAAAATAACATTAAAACCAAGAGTTAAACTCTAAATTCAATGTTTAAAGATTATTAGCTGAAAAAATTAATAAAAATGAAAGGAAAAACAATGCAGAAATAATAATTGAAGAATTTGGTGAAGAAAGTAGAGAATTTCGTGATTTATTAGATATGGATGATTCATTTGATTCTACTGTTGATGTTCAAGCAAGTAGTATCTGTTAAAAAAATTAATCATTTTGTTCAATAAAGAGTGCATATTTCATAAAATTAAAAATATTCAGTTTCTAGTGTTATACATTCAGGGTGATTCTTTTAGTGTTTACACTCAATATTTTGCAAAGTATTGAATTTTTTCAAAAACAAATTTTATTGACAATCTAAGAAACAAGCAGCTCTTAAATAATACATAACCATTATTTTTTGGGGTGAACAGATACCTAACTTTTGATTTTTAAATAGTAATCTACATTAAAAGTTCCAAATTTTTGATTTCCATCAATCCGTTTATGTGATATTCCACTTTTAAGTTTGGGTAGGGGAGAGCAGTAGTGGAGCATAAACACACCGCAATGATACTCCTCCCCAACCCAAACTTTAAAGAACAACATTTCTAAAAAAAAAATTGTCAACACTAAAATGTAATTAAACTAACGCTCCATCTATATATGAAACATTTGATATAGATTACCATTTGAAAATCAGTAGTGGTAGTCGTTTCACCCCCAAAGTGAGGATTTTTTTTCAGATGTTACTCTTCTAATAAATGTTAAATAAAAATTCTTAATAGTTTTACAAACCATTGTGGTCTATGAATTTTTAATTTTCACTAGGGAGGTAATGAATAGTAGATTGAAATAGATTTCTAGATTCCCAATATGGTTTTATAGTTTTTCTATAAAATAATGAACCAGACATAAAGTATAGGTTTTTATTGGCTACAAGAGAAAATAATATGACTAACGCTAATCTATTTAGAATTTTTTTATTTTATTTTAATAATTTATTGTTGCCATCAATTTACATAAATGAAATAAATCTTGATCATATACTTTTTATATACTTTCCTTTTACCATAATGGCCTATTTAAGTAAAAATTAGATCCATGTTTTTAAAAATAATTTTTACATTGCTTATATTAGACTTTTATGTATAAATACATAAAACATTTTTAGTTACAAACTTTTATTTTAATGTTAAATTATTTTGTACCAGGCTCATGTGAATGAAAACTTTGAACCTCCTTACCCTCGTTTATATCAAGTAAAATTGGGTATGGGATACTTAGAACTGCCTCAAGTTGAAATAGCACATAATATATTAGAACATTCTCTTTTAAATTCTAAAAATGTGTATATTCTTGATTCATCTACTGACCTATATGTTTGGTAAGACATTTCATTTATTAAAATTATTCATTTTTAATATTGCTATGGCTAATTGAATAATTAAATTATAATTTGATTTTTGTACTTAAATAAAGGTTTGGAAAAAAATCAACACGGTTGGTTAGAGCAGCAGCCGTCAAATTATCCCAAGAATTGTTTTCTATGATTGAACGGCCAGGGTTTGCACTAACAATGCGTATTCAAGAAGGAACAGAACCTCAAATTTTCAAAATAAGATTTGTTGGCTGGGAAGAAGTAATTGCTGTTGATTTTACTCGAACTGCTGAGTCTGTTCAAAAAACTGGTGCTGATCTAACCAAATGGGCTATGAAGCAAGAAACAAAAGTAATCATTGAAAAATAACTACTAATTTGACTTTTAATAATTTTAACTTTCATTCATTTTTGTATGATTTTAGCATGATTTAGCAGCATTATTTACTCCACGCCAACCACCAATGTTATTTAATGAAGCTTTACAATTGATGCAAGACTGGAATGATGATTTAGATCAAATGGAATCTTTTGTTTTGGAAGGAAAGAAATTTGTAAGATTGCCAGAAGATGAACTAGGGCAATTTTATAGTAAAGATTGTTATGTATTCTTATGCCGTTATTGGGTACCTGTTGATGATGAAGAACTAAATGAAGATACATCAGATGGTCAGCAAGATGAAGATTTTCAATGTGTGGTATATTTCTGGCAAGGCCGAGAAGCCTCAAATATGGGTTGGCTAACGTTTACATTTAGGTACTTTAAATAATATAACGTTTTATATTTTAGTATTAATTTATTACAATTTTATTATTTAGCTTAGAGAAGCAATTTAAAGCTATGCTTGGAGAAAAATTAGAAGTAATTCGTACACATCAACAACAAGAAAATATTAAATTTTTATCACATTTTAAAAGAAAATTTGTAATACATTCTGGGAAAAGAAAAGAAAAACTACCAGCAGTACAACTTTATCATTTAAGGTCAAATGGTAGTGCACTCTATTCTCGTCTCATTGAAATTAAACCAGATGCGAGAAATTTAAATTCAGCATTTTGGTAAATTATATTGTATTATATATAATTGAATTATTTAAGTTTATTCTAAGTAATGTTTTTAACTGTAAATATACAGCTATATTTTAAAAGTCAAATTTGATCAAGAAGATACTAATGGAATTGTATATTTGTGGGTTGGATCAAAATCTGACCCAGAAGATATAAAACTTGCTGAGGAAATTGCAGATGGCATGTTTAATGATGTTAGTTTTAAAAAACTGATATAAATGTAATATTTAATATTGTGTAATTTGATTAGGCATGGACTAGTTTGCAAGTGATTAATGAAGGCGAAGAACCCAATAACTTTTTTTGGGTAGCATTAGGTGGTGAGAATTCATATGAACATGATGCACAATATATGAAATTCACAAGACTATTCCGATGTTCAAATGAAAAAGGATATTTTACAATATCAGAAAAATGTTCAGATTTTTGTCAGGTAATGTAAAAAATATTATTTGATTGATGTAACTTGTAAGTTATAAACAAGATGATCTAGAAAATTAATTTTCAAGATATATTATCTCCTTAAAATTTAATTCCCTTTTTTCCATTTTATTTTAAAATTAATTTAAACATTCTAACCACGATTATAGAGAGTAATATCATGCTTCAAAATATGTCCTACTTATCATAAAACCTGACTTATTTTTTTTTTCTATTGTGGTGTTTAACTACTTACATATAAAATATACCATTGTATGACCAATAGTTATAAAAACACCAAAAAGATGTGTGAAGTTCTGTATCTAATATTGACAAAAAAAAAATGTGCATTCTATTGTACACAATTGTAGAACAGAGTTGTAGAGAAGTTTATTTTTTTTATAATTGATCTAAAATAGTTGTGCTTGCTAGAAATTTTCAATGGTGTTAATAATCTTATATTACTTCTTGGTTCCTCTACCTATTTCCTCATCCAAGTATAAAAAATATCTCATAACTTTGTGATAATGATAAGGATTCAAACAAAATTTCTCAAGATATTTGCCAACATTCAAATAAACAAGGGTGCGAGTGTTGGAAATTGGAATCTTCTAAAAATACATTCTCGGCAACAATAATATTTAACTCTATCACTTACATTGATGAATCTGTAAACTTACTTAAAATCCGGTATGTTGTATGAAATCTTAGCATAAAAATATAAAGAGGCCGTTAAACATGACCAAATGTACTAGACCCAATGTATCAACCCAATTGCCATCGAACTGTTAGACAACTCCAAAGACATTAGACGCCTTAAACGTCTGAAACCATACGACTTAGTTTAAGTGTTTAAATTAAGTACAGGAGCCACTTCATTGGAAGTGTGACTTCATCAATGTGTAATGTATATATATTATCATCTAGTATGCAAGATATATCCTGTTAAACATATTTATAAAGACCATCAGGTCGTTTAAATAATAAAGCCCCAGGGCATTTAAAAAAAAAAAAAAAAAAATGTATGTACAGTATTCTAGTTCCACAATGATAAATGCAACAACTTGTTTTGTTCAATATTTTACATTTTTATATATTTATTTATGCATGATTCCTTTATCTTTATATTTTATATTAAAAAAAAAAATTTTCAAGATAGCCATTTTATAAATATATTTTGTAACAAAATTATGGTGTTAAAAATTATGACTAACAAATTTAACAGTTTCTGCAATTTTTTGAAGTTTTCAAAAATCATTAACAAATTTTTTTTCTTAAAAAAATTGTTGAATCAATGAATATTATATTCAAAGTTTAAGACGATTTAAATTGTTTTAATTAGGTACCACCATTAAATAATATCAATCAATTTAAAAACTTTTTATGAAAAATAATTTTGGTAATGATTATTCCAAAATTTGAACAATTTTTATTAACTTAACAATTCATCATTAATAAATATTTGCAATACCAAAATATTTTTTCAAAATATATTTATAAAATAGTCTTCTTGGCTTTTAAAGAAACATTTTTTTTATTTTTAATTTTAAAAAAAATATTAAACTACAAAAGTTATATTGCATTTGTCAAATCTTTATACCTGTATATAAATAGAATGTAGCAGTTTGAATATAACAGTCTGAATTATAGAATATATTAGTTAAATTTGACTATCTAACAAATGTATTAACTTTTTTTTTATTGAATATTTTTAATTTTTTTTTTTTGTGGGTATAATTACTACACCTTGGCGCTGCAATTTAAACATTTTTTTGGTTAAATTTTAATGTTTAGGAATTTGAAATAAGAAATGTAAAATATTATGTCATATAGTGAGAGTTTAAATTTTCATATGGTTAATTTAATTTTTCCAAGAAATAATGTACAATTTTTGATATGCTTATTATATTAATTTAAGATATGATCATATAAATTATGAAATATTATACATTTTAGGATGATTTAGCTGATGATGATATTATGATTTTGGATAATGGAGATCAAGTATTTTTATGGCTCGGTGCTAGAAGTAGTGAAGTTGAAATAAAATTAGCATATAAATCTGCTCAAGTAAGTTATTTTATAATCTAAAATAATAAATAAAAGATAAAATAACTATCTAAACTTTAGATAATCGTATTATATTATAGAAAATAATTAATAACAATATTGTTTTTTTGCTTTGTTCTAATTTTATAAACTGCTTTGGTATTGACAATATTGCTTTTTCCAAAGTTTTAAAATCTTTAAAACAAATATTTACATGATTTCCTATGAAATATAGTGTATACTAATGTAAACATTTGCTATGATTAAAATATATTTATATATCACAAATTTAGTTTGATATCAGAAAATACTAGTCAAGTTTTTTTTCCCTTAATCTCATAAAATGTATAATTTACATATATGTAGTTAACTATATCAATTTGAAAAACTATTGATTGTGATCAATTTAAAAATTATTATTCTAATTTTTTTTTTCAAACTATATTTCAATTATTTGCTTTATTAAAAAAAAAACTTAATTGTGATTATTTATTTTAATATGAACATTGCATGCTGTTATTTCACATTATAGCATATTAAATTTATATTATAGTATACTTTGTAAATAGAATTTTTTTTCCATAGGTAAAAAATAAAATACAATTAGTTCATTAAATATGGTCATTTTTGATTAATTTTGTTTTGATATTTATTTATAAATACATTTAAACAAGTGTTAAGTTTATTTTAAAATAAAGTATAAAGTATTATTATTATTATTTTGACAGGTTTATATACAACATTTAAGAGTAAAACAACCAGAAAAACCAAGAAAGTTAATGTTGGCATTGAAAAATAAAGAATCGCGTAGATTTACAAAATGCTTTCATGGTTGGAGCACACATAAAAAGACACTAGAATAATATCTACAATCTAGTAATGTCATTAATAATTTTAAAAATGTTTAAGAAAATAATTTTTAATATTCTTCAGATACTTTTTATCTCTTCTAAGTAATTTATTTTTAAAATTAGGTACAAAAAATATGTATTATTTATAAAACAAAATAACACAAATACAATATTATACAATATAATTCTATATTTAAATCAAAGATTTTTGATGTCTCAAAGTTTCAACTTCTTCTTAGATTTATTGGGCCTTTAAGACCATCCCGTCTCATAACCAAGCTTCCATCCTTCTCTGTCCAAAGCTAGATTTCTCTAATTGGAACCACCTCCATCAGTTCAACATCCTTTTTTATAACATCTTCCCAGCGCATTCTTGGTTTTCCCAAAGGTTTTTTTACCTACAGGATTTTGTTTAATCACTGCATGTAGTAGTGGATTTTGGTTCCTCCAAGCATGACCAGCCCACCATAGTCTACTTCTTCTGATAACCTTCAATATATCCAAAATACCATATAATATTTTCAGCTCTATATTCTTTCTTCATCTCCACTCCCCAGTTTTTTCGTCCTTGACTGGGCCATATATTCTCCACAACACCCTTCTCTCAAAGACAATGAATCTGTGTTTATCTATTTTCCTAAGTACCATGTTTCTGGTCCATACAATATAACCGGTCGTATCAGAGACATATATAATTGTTCTTTCATTCTTCACGATATTGCTCATGAAATTAATACCTTAATAAGTCCATAGTAACATTTATTCCCAGTTTGAGTTCTCGCTGCTACCTAATTTGCTACATTATTTTTTCAGTCAAAATAGTACCGAGGTATTTAAATTCATAGTGATCTATTTTTATGAACTGACAAAATGGTAGCCCCCATCTACTCAAAAACATATACTCCATTCTTTCTTCGTTTACGTATAGCCCTACTTTTGATGCTGCTTTATACAGCCTACTAAATAATATCTTCAACATATCTTGAAACCCTTCCATCAATACTATATCGTCAGCATAACCAAGTAAACTTATCAACGTGTCTTGTAGTCTAGTATCTTCATGAAGTTCTATTTTCATTTCTCTAATTACCTTTTCCAAAACCACTTTGAACAGAATCGATGACAAAAAATTGCCTTGTCTTAGCCCCGAGTTCACTGTAATTGGGTCAGTTATTGAATTTCCTACTTGAACACTTACCAAGGTCTCCATAACACTGATTAATATTAGATTGACCAGTTTTTGTGGAAAATGAAATTTTTTCATAATATTCAGTAGACAGTAGGTTTCAACTACTTTTTAAATTACCTTATTTCAACCTTGAATAGTTGAAATTTTTAACAGTTTTTTGATATAAATTATAAAACACAGATAGTGTATAGAAAATTAGTGGACTTGAGGTATGGGAAAATTAAAATTTTTCTTCAAGCCAGTTTAGCATAATCTATGAGAATAGTGAATGTCCGAGGACAATAGACTGTAAAGAATAAAAATAAGTATTTCTGGTCCAAAAACTATAACATTTTATTCCCCTTAAATATTCATATTTATGTAATACATTTTTGAGTTGATACATTATACCATTGTAAATAAATTTACATTTCTTTCTAAGGTTTCAGTTGATATAAATTTATAAGGTGTTCTGTAATGTGCACCAGATATCATTATGATTCATCGTGTAGAAGAGTTAAAATATTTTTTATATAGTAGATACCAATGTAAAATATTGTTTATTATAGGAAAACATATAATCATTAGCAATTAAGTATTGCTAACAGAAATACATTTTCTGCAATAAAGCTTCATTGTTTATATTTTTAATTTGTAAATAAATTATCAAAGTAGATACTTATTTTTAAATGAACTCATTAAATTTAATGATGAGTTCATTAATTTCCTGAAGTAGTGATTCCATTATTAGGTTGCTTGATTTTTCTTCTGAATTTCCATTTTTTAAGAAGTCAATAAAATTAGGATCATCATTTGAAGTTCGTATTAAAACCGTATGTATGTGTTTAAACAATGAATATATTTCTATACTGTTACTTGCAATAGTAACTGAAAAATAGTTAATAAAAAAAAAAAATTGTATACAATTTTATAGTTATTTTTATATAGCAGGTACTTAAAAATCCTCTTTTAAATATAAATTTTAAACCTACCTACAATATTAGGTTTAGACTTAGGTATACTTATATAAGTATTTTTTTATATTTTTTATAAGATTTCTATACTGAAATAGAGCAACTACTAGAAGGGATTAGTAATAGTAAAATAAAAATTGTACTTGGAGACATGAACGCCAAAATAGGGAAAGAGAGGTCATATAGACCAACTATTGGTACCCACAGTCTACACGACATGACTAATGACAATGGCACAAAAATTGTGGATCTGGCTGTAGGGAAAGGTCTTAAAGTCAAGAGTACAATGTTCCCGCATAAGAACATACATAAAGGGACGTGGGTGTCGCCTGATGGTAGGCACGTAAACCAAATAGACCATATATTAATAAATGAGAGATTTGCCAATAACATAATGGATGTGAGAACATACAGAGGAGCTGACTGCGACTCTGACCATTTCCTAGTAGCTAGCAAACTTAGGGTTAAGCTAAAAACAATGAGTAGGAATGTGAGACCGGAAATTGTCAGGTATGATGTTGAGAAACTCAGGGATAGTAGGAAAGCTAAAGAGTTTCAAGAGAACTTACAGAAAATGGCGCGAGAATTTAACTCAAATCATGAAACAGTAGATGAGCAATGGAAAATAATTAAACATACCCTTGGAAATGTGTCGGAGAAAGTTTTAGGGAAAGCTCATAGAACGAAGAAACCATGGTTTAATGTGATATGCCAAGAACCCCTGAAAAGAAGGAAAATAGCAAGAGAAAGATGGCTAAATGATGCTAGCAACCAGGAAATAGAAAGAATCTTTAGAGCTAAAAGGAAAGAAGCCCATAACATTTTTAGATGTGAAAAGAGAAAGTATGTTCAAAATGTAATAAGGGAGGCAGAACAAGATTACAGATCACACAATACACGGCAGCTATATCACAAGGTAAATAGCTTTAAAGGCGGATGTAGAAAACAAGAAAAATTTCTGAAAAAGGACTGTGGAAGCCTAGTGACGAACCAGGAAGAAATAATGGAGAAATGGGCAGAATACTTTGAAAAGCTACTCAATTGTGAAGTACCAGTTGATACATTTACATATGGACAAAACGAACCCAATGATGACCTCTGCCCACCCCCGTCAAAGGAAGAAATCGAACAACAGATCAAAAGACTCAAAAACCACAAGTCACCCGGGGAAGATGACCTTCAAGGGGAAATTCTAAAGCATGCGGACAGCTTCATGATAGAGAATATATACTTGTTAATAAAAGAAGTGTGGGAGACGGAAATTTTACCGACAGATTGGAGAGTAGCATATATATGCCCAATACACAAAAAAGGCGACAAACAAGTCTGTAGTAACTATAGAGGAATAGCATTGCTAGATACAACATATAAGGTATTATCATATTGCATCCTGGATAGAATTAAACCTCTGGCCGAACAAGTGGTGGGGGACTATCAATGTAGATTCAGGCAAAATAGGTCAACGACAGACCAGATATTTATAGTCAGGCAGTTATTCCAGAAGAGCTGGGAATATAATAAGGAACTCCATGCTATCTTCGTTGATTTTCAAAAGGCATATGACAGTATAGATAGAACTAACATAACCGAAATTTTGAAGCATTTCCACTTCCCAAGGAAAATAGTTCATTTAGTTGAAGCTAGTTTAAGACAGACTAAAGTCAAAGTCAAAGTAGGAAACGCGACATCGAGGATGGTGGAGGTAAGAACCGGACTTAGACAGGGGGATGCCTTATCGCCAGTACTTTTTAATTTAGTATTAGAGAAGGTGATCCGAGAAATAAATATTGGAAGAGATGAAGGAGTAAGAATGGATAGAACTTGCTTAAGTCTGCTCGCCTACGCGGACGATATAGTCTTGCTAGGGGAAGAGGAACAAAAAGTGGTAGAATTATGCGGCAGGTTAATAGAATCGGCAAAGAAGGTAGGGCTACATCTCAACATAGAGAAAACACAGTACATGAAAGTTAGTAAGGAACTAGATAACCTTCAGGTAATCGAAACCATAACAGTTGGTCAGTACAAGTTCAAAAAAGTGGAAGAGTTCAAATACCTGGGCACGATTCTAACACAGAAAAATGAATGTCAAATCGAAATTCAACAAAGAATAAAAATGGGAAATAAATGCTTCTATGCACTTGGTAAACTACTAAGCTCGAAAGTCCTGTCAAAAGAGGTTAAGACTCAGCTGTACTTGACAATCATACGACCAATAGTCATGTATGGTTCACAATGCTGGACGTTACGAAAGACTGAGGAGGACAGATTAGCGGTTTTTGAGAGGAAGGTACTTCGTAAAATATATGGACCTATATATGACCAAGTTTTTCAAGGATGGAGAAAAAGGCATAATCAAGAACTGACGGAGCTTTTCAATAGACCAAATATTATAAACGAGATCAAGCGGAGTAAGCTGGAATGGGCAGGCCACGCAGTTAGGAAGCAAGATTCAATGGTTCTCAAAGGGTACTCCAAGAAAACCCAAGGAAAAAAAGACCACTGGGNGGCAAGATGGTCTCAAAGGCCTTAAAAAAAAAAAAAAAAAAAAAAATACTTATATAAGTACATCGTACATCACTATACTATAGACTATATAGTATGGATACCTACCGTAAAAAAAAAGTGAATAGGGTCTATTTTAAATGTTTTTTTGGTATTATCATTGGGAATTTTAAAGATAATTAAGATTTTTTTTGAAAATAACACCCGACATGTTTTGTAGTATTTGTTCTGTATCCATTACAAAATATGTGTATACGTCTCTTCATATATTTTTAAAAACGTGTTTGTATTTTTACTATTATGAGGTAAATAAAATGTAATATAATCATAATTATAATTATGTATATTATAATGAGGTCATTCATTTTTTTTGCTGATTTAAGATATATATTAGTATTACGGTGGTCAAAATTTATATGGGCTTGACATTTTCTTGAAAAATTAAAAATGAGTATCCCCTACCACCTCCACTTTTTAATATGAAACAAATTTTTTGAGAAAATATGATCATGATAACTTACCCTCTTTCCGTGTCAAAATAGGGTTGAATTATGTCACAAGGGGTTGTTTTTCAGTTTTTTTTGATTATTCGGAAAAATAAAATGTTTAGCGAAACAATTTCAATTTATAAATTATAGAAAATAATTCTATCTTCAAAAAATGCTCTAATACAAATTCTATTAAACGTATTATTTTATATAAAAAAATTAAAAGTAAAAAAATATTATGAGATAATCAAAACAATTTTACTTTTTAAAAATTGGCTAAAGATTGAATATTATAATGAAATAGTACCTATTTTGTTATATGTTGTTTACATATAAATAATTAAAATATAAAATTGTCCAAAATAAATTGAAATAATCAAAAATATGCTGAAAAAAAAACACACTTGTGCCATAATTTAACATTATTTTGGCATGAAATGGAAATGAGTTATTAAGATCTTATTTTCACAAAATAAGTTTTTCATATCAATTAAAAAATTGGAAGGGGGGGGGGGGTACTCATATTGAATTTTGTAAGTAAGTTTTTTTGAGCTGCTCTAACTAGGTTGCTTGTAAGGTAGATCTTTAGCCGTTAGTAATGTTGCCCTGGGCACACTGCAAGGAAGGAAGCAATCTATTATTGTATCCCAAAGATAACCAGGCAAACTGAGGCTTCACACCTGATGTACACAAATTGCAACTGCAGACAAGTACAAACCATGCTCCACCTAATAAATTGTCCTATCTGCCCTACTGTACAATGGATGGCATGATAGCGAACAAGAATGGAATAGAAGTAGGCAAGTTGCCTAGTTCGGGCAAGAAAGTAGATAGTAGAAAGTAGACCTGATACAAAATTAATCTAACTGTATTAAAATACTTGAATATCTATTTATTTATTAATTGTTTGTTATTCATTTATATTAATAAATGTATTCTTTTATTTTTTTTCTTTATTCATATTTATTTATTTAGTTATTTTAGTTGTAAAACAGTGAAACCTAAATGTTTATTTTACATTTAATAACATCTGTACACAAAAGTTATTAGACTTGATTAAAAAAAAGTAAATCTCATCATGACTTGAGAATATTCATGACAATTATTAATTATAGATATTGGTTCATGAACCTAATTATTAGACTGTGTGATAGTTACTAAACATTTAATATTTGTTGAACAAGTTCATCAGTTCAAAATGTATGAACAAAATAGTTGAAACATGAATTAAATTTATATTTTATTTAAACAAACATTTTTTTTTTAATAAGTTAAGATTTTCAATGATCTTGAACTTAGCTTTGTCATTAATTTAAATTATAAACCTTATATTTTGAGAATTTAAGAAAATAATTTAATCAATATTGCTATCAAAGTACTAACCAATAATCACCACAAATTACAATTCAATTTTTAAAGTAGGTAAGTAACCTTAATTTTCTATATTGATAGAATCACAAAGATAGCAAATTTGACTGTGACGTCCTCTTGAAATTATATAAATAATACTTACATATTTTATACATAATACCATAATATCATTGATAATGAATAGAATTTATAATCCAATTTTTCTCAAGCTAACACTAACCTAAAGTTTAATCAAATGTCTGCCTATGAATATCATGGATCTATCATCTCTTGGGACTTTCCTTGATCAGTCAATAAGTATATACATACATTTTTACATGATAAATTATATTATCTATATTTAGAATATGTTAATAGTTTGAGGTATGTATAACTTTTTGGTCGGAGAAAAAAATATCAGAAAACGTTTTAAATTGATTTTCACAGTCCATATGGACACTCGTAAATTTGTTTAATAATTACTTTTGAAATTATATATTTATATCTAAGAATTATTATTTGTGACTGATAAAACAAACTTTTCTTATTCAAAACTGTTTTTTTTTTTCAAGAACAACCCTATTAAAATACCATATTTATACCACCAAATTTATAGTCTTAATAAAATATTTAAAAAATCCACTAAATAAAAATTGGTAAGACAATATGAAAATCAAATGTCTGATGGATATAAGTTCTATTAGGACAGGAGCGGTACACAAACAAGAAAAATTGATGTGACATTTTCTTCTCAAACCCAAAAACCATACTTCAATCTGGGAGTATAATTACAAATTACATAACTACCTAAGTATTCATAAATAAATAATCATATAAAATATTGGTAGATATATATATATATATATATGGATGATAATTTTATTTTAGTTTACAACCGTATAAATTTATAGGTAAATATGCAAAATACTTAAACGTTTTATATATTATTTAAAATACCTACCTAATGATTATAACTTATTAATTTGTAAACATAGTAAACATAGTAGGTAGACCTATTTGAGTTTTATTTTTTTTTTATCCTCTCTTATAAAAGACCAAAGTATATTTTTATTTTTTGGTCAAACGCCTGATGTGACAAAGGTTACTTCACACCAACAACTAATAGGCCACTACCCAAGGATGTTGGTATTACGAGGAAATTGTTAGTAAAATGTTAAATAGTAATGTAATTAGAAAATTAATTAATAAATAAATAAATTAGTAAATATTATAAAAAAATAAATCGTGCATATGATCTTATATAATATCCATATGTACGATTTACATACCTCTTAGTCGTAAAACGTCATCTAATGAATCTCGGGCTTCTTCAATTAAGTCATCCACACTCGACAAAGATATATCATCCATTTTTAGTTTACTTTTATGTGCCTAGTGATCTGATATGTATTTATATTATAGTATAAATTTAAAATGAAATATTATAGTTATAACTCTATACGATTAATAATAGTAGGTAATATTTTTATTATGTTTTTCCCGCCGAAATATTTGAGATCTTGAACCTATTCCACCAACACAATACATTGAATTATTTCACTTTTCATTTCAAGAAAATTATACGAATGAGAAACAAGATTGTTATATACAAACTGGATTGGTAAAACTGTGTTGACAAGTTTACTTTTTATATTTTATAGTAACTGGTAAGGTATGTCCACACTAGTGCGTTTTTACTTTTTGTTTGTGACAAGCACATGTGACATAGAGCATACGATGACGAACAAGCACATTTAATAACACATTCTTTTATCAAATTGAAAAAAAAAACTTGTGTTCAGACAAAACGCGTGTTTCCAAGCCCGGTGGATTTTTGTGGGATTTGTTTTTGACTTCCTTAATTATTTATTTTTTATTTCAATATTTTCATTTGAATCACTTTACTTTTATCGTTTATATTGTTCGTGTTGTTAATTATAATGGATGAAAACCAAACATTACAATTTATTGAAACAGAGAAAGTGGCTAAAATTGTATGGGACGTAATTCATACCGATTACTACAAGATTAAAAGAAATGATTTAATGATGTGTTGGAGCGTTATTGCTAATGAATTTAATATTGATATTTCCACCTTAAAAGTAAAAATATGCGCTCTTATTTTTTAAAAGACGCTTAAAAGAAAACCTGGCTCGGGTGCTGATGAAACCTAATACCTATGTCTCATCTCGGGTTTTTCTACTTTTTAAATTTTTTTGCCTGTTAACTGTATATTATTCCATAATGTTTTGATCATTATTTGTGGTTATTTACCTCAGAAATTGTTCTAAATAATTTTCTTTTTCCTAAATCAAATATTTATATTTTATACCTTTTTTGGCAAGTTTAAGTAGATACCACATGTTATAGAAAAATATTATTATAACTAAAATTAAAAACTGTATCAACCATATACATATTTTCTGTTTTTTTAGGTGGACTACCCACTTTTCAACTATTTGCTTTTATTCATAACTAATACGGTCAAAACGAAAGAGAAATTAAGATCAAAATTATCTGTAAATTAATTAAACTACCTGTAACTGATGTATTTATTGTTATTTACTGTCTATATTTTTAATTTATAATTCATGATATATGTATTTGTATACAATGTTAAACCTCATTTTATGATTTCAGTTAGGTAAGTATTATTGTATTGTCAAAAAAAAAAAAAATCCAATTTACGTGTTATATCGCATTAGTTCCTTATTCTACTGGTATCTTCTTTAAGCGCTAAGCGTCTAACCGCAAGATGAGGTCAGAGATTCAAAAATATTATTAAGGAAAATCGTTTGTATTCTATATATCTTAATTCATGTCCCGAACATCCTTTTTGCTTATCACACGTTGACTGAGTCTTAGCGCGGTCCACTAGTTAATATATCTATGGTCCTGCCTATACAACTCGATTCTAAGAACTCAGAATCTAATAATTTTGATTTCAAAAACATAAGTCTTATATTCAATCAAATTATTTTTCACGTCAATTTTTCCATCAAGTTTACCGACATTTACCAAAATGTACAATAACAATCAATGATTATACAAATACACAAAAAAGGTAGCATAAAATATAATTATATCATTATGGTAAGTAGTGGTCTAGGGATTTTAATTGTCTGCCGATTTGATCTGATACGAATTTTTTTTTGTTATCAGTTTTTGGAGAACTGCTATAAGCTCTGAAGCACATTGCACATTGGATTTTATGTTTACAACAATGCAAACTCTTTTGTGGAAGAAGTCCTCTGGTTGAGATTTTTATTTTTAAAAAAAAGTACCACTGTAATTTGTTTTGATATTCTATTGATAACACGAATCGTGATTGATATTATTTACTAAATTAAATTTTTTATTTTTTCAATATTTAATGCCTTTATATTAATTAAGATTTAAATTAATTACTGATAATTATAGGATAGTAAAACAATTTTACATTTTATGGTTTTGTAATTATTTAGTTAGTAGTAATTATAATAATACGTAAATTGTATAGTTAAGTACATGTGTAATAATTTTATGTTTACTTTTTAGGCACATTTAAAAAATACAAAAAAATATGTTAAATTTAAAAGACTACGGGAGTAGTAGTGATGAAGATGGATCTTTAGAAAACAAACCATCAAATTCACCTGTTGACAATGCAATAAATGTTAATGAATTGAGTAAAAAGTTTGCAGTAAATGCAGCACCTGACATTTTGCCACCAGTAAATAAAAAACAAGAGTATATGTATTAAAAAATTTAATTTGATCAAGCTAGAAAAAAAATCTAAATCAATTCTAATTTTTTTAAGTTTAGTGTTTTAACTTTATTAGTGAATAATTATATCAAATGTGTCACCTTAATCTTATATTTTTATGGCACAGCCTTGTTGAATATTTTAGTGTAATTAAAATAATGGATTTTTTTAACTGTTCACATAGGCATTCATTTAAGTTTTCAGCCCATTTAGGAACTATAACTTGATATACTTGAGTTGGAGCATTACTTTTGAAGTAGAGATTAATTAAATGGACAGTATATTATGTGTATATTAATCAGCTACAACTAAAAGTAGTTTGTAATTCTGTGATATTTTAAATATAAGATGTATATATTTAAACCGTGAAAGAAAATTCCTGTTAAAAAAGGCCCAACACTAAGAAAAAGTCAATTAATTAAAAAAAAATTAATTATTACGTGAAAAAAAAAAAATAAAAATACAACAATATATAATTATTATAAAACAATTTACAATATAATGTTTTAATCAATTATGATAGTTGATGTTAGATTAACCAATAGTCTTTTTGAGCGGAAACATACAAACTTTTTACAATAATATAGAATGTATGGTATTTATTTATGCTATATAGTAATTTATTTATTTTTTAGGGAAATAATACATCAGTTCAGTATGTAGATGTTGGAACCAAAGAAATCACTCGAAATATGAAATATGAAGAGCTCTTTACACCCATTGCAGGCCCAGAAAATCCATTTTTAACACAACAGCAGAAAGCTCCAAAAAACATGATGACTGGATTTGTTGAAAAAGCACATATTAGTGATTTTATGTTTGAAACTCAGAGAAGAACATTTCATAGTTTTGGTATATTAAAATCACTTATTTATTTATATACATTCTAAATGATAGATTTTATATTACAACACATAGTAGCTGGTGAAGCTTGTTTTGAAGATTAATATTAGTACAATTTATATTTTTTGAGCAGCGACCATAAGAAATTGCTATTTATTTCTATTCTCTGGTTTCTTCTTCAATTCTAGAAAAGATATAACTTTGAAAATTTCATTATTTGTTTTTTTTCTGTGGTGCCCTCAATTACACTTACTAACGTTCAGTTTTTGAAATTTTTATGACTATATATTAGGTTATGCGTTGGATCCTACAGTTGACTCTACTGAAGTTATTGGTCGTAAACCTGATGACACTGAAGAATTTAAAACAGTATTTGAATCAGTACCAAAAAGGCCAGCTGATAAAAGAAAGCGACATAAAAATGACAACCCAGAAGATATTGATGGATACCTTGGACCTTGGGGATGTTATGTTGATGAACAAAAAGTAGCAAAACCAGAAGGAGTAAGTTAAAATTTATTTGTTACTTCAGTAGTATCTTTGTGTTGACAAATGTGCGGCTTAAATATTTTTTTTTAATTATTGGAATTCAACAAAAAATGTTAATGTTTATGGGTATTTCATTTAGTAAGATAAATATTATATACTATGTAAGGATATATATTATAAACTAGGTATTTAAGTAATATAGTTAAAAAGAGGAAATATTTTTTAAATTAGACTTGACTAGAAAATAACGAGCATAAGTATTTATTAATTTCAGGTACTTCCATTTATTTCTTACCAGATTAAAAAAAAAAAAATTAGTTTTGACAAAATTTTTTGGAATTATACCATCTTAATTTATTCATAGCTTTTTTTTTTTAAATTTTATCCTACATTTTAATATTTTACATAATATCATCAGTATTAATGAAATTAAATATTAATTATACAATAAATTTATGTTTTCAATACACATGCAAGATGTGCATCAAAAAGCTTTACTCATAAAGTAGTAACTTTTTTTTTTTTTTAGAATTTATGTTTTAGAAATAAGAAACAAGCAGTTCTAAAAATTTTTGTCACCCTTATTCATGAGAGTGAAATTGTTACACACTTATTTTTGAAATAGCAAACAATTTAGAATTTTATAAATAGATAATTATATCATTTAAGTGGTGATGCTGTGTTTTAATTGTGCACTACTTTTCCCCTAACCATAAAACATCAAACATAAAGTGGAATGTCATCAACGGGTTGATAATAATTAAAAATGTTAACACCAAAATTTATTTAAACTAAAATGTTTTAATACAAGTTGATGATTGAAAATGAAAAATGGTAAAAGTTATTTATTTAACCCCAAAAAGTAATGATAATATAACATTTTATAACTGCTTGCAGCTTGTTTCTTAAATTATGAAAAAGCTCATACTTTTCAAGATAATATATAAGATAATAATCTTATCTTATGTTGATCATTAAATTACATTGAATGAAATACTATTAAACACTACATGTAGATAACTTAACCTAACCAAGTGCTAATCAAACATAACTGACTAAATAAAAATAAAATATTTAGTTTTGTACTCTCTGTCAAACTTAATGATTTTATTAACATTATATTGAAAATAAAAATGTTCAAAACTACTGAGTATCGAATATTAACAGATGGTTAAAATGTTATTATTTTAAAATTAATTTCACTGTTATGTAAAGATCTGATAATTGAAAATTGTTATTAATTTTTATTTTGTATAGGAAGATGCAGCTGCTATTGAAGAATTTCTTGCCAAGAAACATAAACGTGGCAAAAAAGTAGAAGATAAAAGTTTCAAAGAAAAATCTATACTTCATAGTAATATTTTTGTTAAATTAAATTAAATTTTTTTAGATAACCAAAAATTATTTATTTTTTACAGTCAAAGATCCTGTTGATTATCAAGGTCGTTCATTCTTACATACACCTCAAGATGTGGGTGTTAATTTAAAATCAAATGCACCACCTGATAGATGTTTTCTTCCTAAAACCCATGTACATACATGGCAGGGTCATACTAAAGCTGTATCAGTCATTAGATGGTTCCCAAGGTCTGCTCATTTACTTATGTCTTGTAGTATGGACTGTAAAGTTAAGGTATTAACTTTATTAACTATTGTTAAAAATTAATTAGGTTTGTGAAAAATATTAAAAATAATTAATATTTGTTTAGTTATGGGATGTGTATAGAGACAGAAAGTGTATTCGAACTTATATAGGTCATACTCAAGCAGTTAGAGACACATGTTTTAACAATAAAGGAACAAAATTTTTATCAGCAGGTAAAATATTAAACTAAATTAATGTTCTATATTCTATATTTGGAGCTTAGCAGACAATATACTTGATCTTTTTAAATTTATCTGTAAAAAATTTTTCTATTAAAAATCTTGTTTTAATTTTTAACTGTAGTAATTTTTCGAAAAAAAATATCTGTGTCACACTTAGAGAAAGTCAATATTTTGATTTTCCAAGAGTTTTCCTTATAATTGGAAAAAATTGGAAAATTTATGTACATGTATAAAAGAAACTTTGATCTGTATCATTTTTCGTTAGCCATAGCTAAGTTTATCATTGTGTATCAATGATTGACTCACCTCATATTGTACACAAAGAATGTCAGTCTTTTTTTAAAACTTATTTTTTTTTAGCATATGATCGATATGTAAAATTATGGGATACAGAAACTGGAGATTGTATAAAAAGTTTTACTAACCATAAAGTATTATACTGTGTAAAATTCAATCCTGAAGAAGAAAAACAACATTTATTTGTTGCTGGTACTGCTGATAAAAAAATTGTTTGCGTAAATAAAATTAAATTATTATTTTATTTTATAAAAACTTATCCAATTAATTGTATCGATTATTTACTTAATTAAATTACATTTTAGTGGGATACAAGGTCAGGAAATATTGTTCAAGAATATGAACGTCATTTGGGAGCAGTAAATAGTATCACATTTGTTGATGAAAATAGACGATTTGTAACAACATCTGATGACAAAAGTCTCCGTGTTTGGGAATGGTATTTTCATAATCATTGTTTTATTGAATTATTATTGTGTTAACATATATTTTGACTTCACACTAATTTTTTTTTTTTATATTTTTAAGGGATATACCAGTAGATATGAAGTATATAGCTGATCCAAGCATGCATTCAATGCCTAGTGTAACAATTGCACCAAATAAAAAGTGGCTAGCATGTCAAAGTATGGATAATAAAATAGTTATATTTTCTGCAATGAATCGTTTCAAAATGAATAGAAAAAAGACTTTTTCTGGTCATATGGTTGCTGGATATGCTTGCTCATTAGATTTTTCCCCAGATATGAGGTAAAAAATAAATAATAAGTAATAAATTATAATTACATATCTTTATAATATTTCGTTATGTGATATAACCAGACAGCTACATTTTTTGGTGAAATTCATGTTTTGTTTATTTTTGATTGAGAAAAATGTTTCTATTATTTTCTGTGCAACAACAAGGCAAATCCAATTATCCAAATACAGAATAATCCTAGTCGAAAAACAAAATAATACCACTCCAAATATTTTTTATTATTTTTTTTAATAGCTTTAATTAATGATGGACTGGCTAAGAGTTAGTAAGATATATGTCTTGGAGTTGATGTGGCTATGCAATAAACACGCGTAATAGTAATCAATTTACGGTAATAATGTCAAATTTAGTTAAAAAAGGATAGATATATTAATTAGTATAGGATATAACCACAAACTAAGTTATACCAGACATTTTGATTTAGAAAGAACAGTATTAATTTTTGAATGGGGTGTCCCATTAAATTTTATATTAATTTAAAGAGTATGAAAATGTCTAATAATATTAATATATTATTTGCATTACTATTTATTGCACTACTATGAAAGTGCATTATTCCGTTACCAGTTATAATTTTCATATTTTTCAATCGCAAGCATTCAATTTATTAATAACTGATTAAAATTGTGTAGAGACACTTAAAATAGTTATCTAAATTAAGTTATATATTTATTTTAAGATATCAAATTGGTTTTTGTATAAAAATTGTTAAAAAAAAAAATGGTCATTCCCAAAGGTTTTTATCAACACCTGTATTTATGTCTCGCTTTTACCAAAAAATATTTCGTCCCTTTAATCTTAGATCATGTTAAGAACACCTTTTCAATTCCCAGGTTTTATTTACTTGTGCACCACCTGGATAAATAGCGCGTACCTTTGGTTTTAGAACATAGTCTTATTGACTTTGTTTCTTTCATAGATATTTTTATTTTCTGTTATCACATAAGGAGAACTTACCTGAGTCAGGTCATTTTAAACTATCAAGATATACAACAGCGCCACTATACTATTTTATGGTTTTTAACAATCCGACTCAGGTAGTTTTTCCTCCCAAATTACGAATTAAGATATATAGGATTCGCAATGGGTACTTATTAGTTGGTATACAAAACAGGAAACAGTTAACAAAAAAATAATAATTTAATGAATAAAAAATTTGATTCTTGAAACTTTTCTTAATATTTAGAATTTTTTATTGGGAATCCATAGGCTATAGTCCATTTCTAAACCTATCAAATCAATGCCATTGTTAATTTAAAGTATGCTATATGTGCTACCTGTACCTATACAAAAAAGTACTGTATTGTGTAGTATGGTGTGTAATTTTTCAGTATTTTAATTTTTTTTTCTTAAATGAATATGAATATGTAGTAATTTAATAAAATAACACTAAATTTAAATAATCTAACATACAGTGGTACTGCCATACAAACAGAAACTGATGATTTTGATTTCTTTTTAAAATAATTGCTGCTACTGGGTTATGAATACATTGTAGAAAAATTATTAAAATATAAAAGTATTCTTTATTTATATTTATATAATTTATTGTTATTTAAATTTTAACAGATATCCGTGAAATAATATATTTAAAGGAGAAAGTTTTAAGTATTAGTTTACTGTTGAGCGAGAAGAAATTCTGAGTTTATGAGATGTCCATTTATTATAAAACATCATTTATATTATGATTTTGTTAATAGGCCACATAAAAAGGAAAAATTAGGTAATCTTGTATGTATAGATTTTATTTCTGGACAGAGTTAACAGTTGGTAATATTATTTAATAATTAATTTAGAATAATCATCCAAATAACAAAAAAAAAGTTTGACTTAAATAGTACAAAAAAATACAATTGCTTAGTAGTTAGGGTGATAAAAATGACACATTTTTCCACGCATTAAATTGCACTAGTATGAGCACTATGGTAAACAAAAAAGATGGACTGAACTTATTACCAATAAAGCACAAAAGTTCAACAATTTTTTTAGAGTGACACAAAAAGAAACAAACTAAAATTGATAAAAATCAGTTAAAATTATTTATATGATTAATACATATTACTATATTAGTATTCTAATTATAATTATTTTGTGACTGATAAAAATGATAATGTCTTGCTAATTGATACGACTGTTTAATAATGTCTTGTTGTTGTAATCCACTGTGTTTATACTATCTCAATTATTGTATCTTATTATTTATGGTTCATTAAGTTACATTAAGTATCAGATAAATTTTTTTTTTTTAATATATCTTCTTGGGAGAAAATTAAAATAGTCTCCTATGAAACATGGGATTAAAGGTATGGTTTTTGTTTTTGAAGCTAACTGAATGCAGTCAAATAAAAATGTGTAAATCACCAACTCTCAACTATAAAGGTTATTATGATTCTAGTCATTAGACATATAAAAAGAACAAGATAAAGAAATAATAAATATAATAATTGCAGAAGGAAAAAAAAGTTTATAACATATTTTCAACTAGATATAAAGAAGGAACTTTCCAAAATTTTATTATTAAAAATATTTTATTAAGAACTAAAGTAAATTTCATACATTTATTAAATTGACTAAAAATTAATTTGATTTTTTTTCAACAGCTATTGCTATTGCCTATTTCTAAATAGTTTTAAAATAAAACAATACTTTTGATCACACAATATACATAAATATGGTTCAACAATAAGTTCACAAAATTGAAAGTTCTAAAGAAAAATATCCTAAGAGAAACTAATTTTTTACTGCATAGCACTTGTCCTTACATATGTCACTGCAGTCAAACACCTGTTGCATAAGTGTAACTAGGATCATAAGATTATAATATACACAATAATGTGTGTAATCAGTGGCTACTGTAGAAACGAAACCATACCTTAAATGTGGTTATATACAGTGGAGAGTAGCGTTAGGTGTTTGATTGGACAAGTGAAATCTAATGGGACTTAAAGTTAAGTTCTACAAAAGTGTGGTGAGATTGACTATGTTGTATTGTTTGGAGTGTTAGGTAGTAGATAGAAAAATAGAACAGAGAATGAGTGGAGTAACTTGAGAAGATAGGAAAGAGATGAGTACATAAAGAGTAGCTTATATGTGGCTTCAACAGTAGAGAAAAAATAGACTGAGATGGTTTGGGCATGTCTTGGCAGCTGGTGTATAAGAGGTGAGAGATTGGGTCAAGTAGAAGTATAAAATGAAGATGGCTAATCCTAAATATTTGGGATAAAGGCAAAGAAGAAGAATTATATATATATAGTATATTTCTATACTGTATATAATGATGAATCAGTATAATTAAAGTATGATTCTGAGTGGAACTTGGTTAAACATTTTTTGATAATGTTATGAAACATCAACAATTTGTATTAATTTGTTTATTAATTAACTTCAAAGTATTTAAAATTAATTAATTAAACAAATTTATAATCTAATTTAAACTTTAAACATCTATTAAAATAAATAACTGCATTAAGCTCAACTTATTTTGATAAAACTTATTGTAGAAAATTGTTTAGTTTTTCAATGAATCTAAAAAAAATTGATGTAACTAGAAATAAAGGTACAAAAATATGTAATCACAAATCTTGAAGAAACAATATAAATTAAATAATCAAGTTAAATTAAATGTTTTTATCTCTGTCTAATGTAGCTGAATTCATTTTACTGTGATCATAATATGTAGATAATTTCTTTTTATTTCTTAAAAAGATTTAAAAAATGAATCTGTCTGATTATTGAACATACAGTCACACAATCATGTAACATTAATTAATAATTCTTTTTTTTTAGTTATCTTATTTCAGGAGACGCAGATGGAAAAGTATTTATTTGGGATTGGAAAACCAGTCGATTATATACAAAATGGAAAGCGCACGATAATGTGTGCATTGCTGCACTCTGGCACCCACATGAACCTAGTAAAGTAGCAACTGCTGGTTGGGATGGACTAATCAAATATTGGGATTAAAAATGATACAAATCTTATAAATTTTACTTTATTATAATTCTTAAATATTTAATTAGTATGTATTATAATATTTAAACAAATATTTTTGACATTTAATTATAATATTTATGAAATTTGTAATTATTTTTTTTATATTTTTCCCAAAAATGTTCCATAAATGGTTTAAATGCATAAGATTATCATTTCATATTTAACACAAACAATTATTTTTTATTTTAAAAAACTTTAAAATGAATTATATATTTTCCATATAATTTTGTTTTCTTTTATGAACAATAATTATTTTTAATAAATATTTGATTATTATAAGTTTAAACTCTTTAATTTTGTTACATATAAAATTTTAAAAAAAAACATTAAATACTCTATTAATATTAAATAATTTGTAAAACTAAAAATATAGATACTCCCATTTTATTAGTTAATTCATTCTTAGTTAAACAGAATTAATTAAAAACTCTTCTTTTAGATATTAATCTATACAAACCAAAATGAACAGTTACATAATTATCATTTATTCCAATCAGTGTAAATTATGTACAACCATTTTTGTCTGTATATAAAACATTTTTCATTTTTAGATATCAATTAAATCAATTGGTATACTTCATTACACATTTAATAATTATTATGTAATGTGATTATTATAATTAAGAAAATGCATGTTTTTCACATGAAACCATTATGTTTTGATGATTTCACCTCCAGCATAGCTTTTGTCTATGGAAGCGATTCAAAAATAGTTATAACTTTGTATACACCTTGTTAATATTGCTTTTGGAGAATTATTAAAATATTATTGTTATTATCTAACAAAAGAATCAAAAAGTTCTAATTTTTTTTTTTGTCATACAATATAATTTATTTTATAAAATCGAGATCAAACAGTATGTCACTAAAAATCTATGTTGAAATAATGTGCTAACAATTTAAAAATGAGGTAAACACACTTTTCCAGCAAATAATTCTGATATTACTGTCACCCAGAGGGACAATACAAATAAAATATATGAAATACCCACTTGATGACTATTGGGAAGTTGATATGGTTGACCACCAATTTCTGGTATGTGAAAACCCATTGGAAATACAACAGCAGCAAAACAAAATAATACCACTGAAAAATATATAATTAATAGTTAAAAATTAAATCAAATTTGGAAAAATTCAATCTATCTTACTTGCAGTAAATCCCACCCAACGAGCATATGGAATGACATTGCGATCCCAATGTGAGGAAGCCAGCAAAATGATGGTAGTAGTAATACATATGCAACCAATAAAAATACTTACTAAAGCTAATAACCATTCAAGTCTTAGATCAGGAGTAAAGCATACTTGAGGCCTATTGTAAAGAGTCATACAGGTCCACATCAAACCCAATCTGGTATCACCTATGTACCCATGAGGATTGTTTTATTATGTTATGTATTTGATTGTAAGAATGAATGGTTGAACTCTGGCTTTTGGAATTTAATCGTTTTGCCCAAATTACAACTGCACAATTTTATATTTTTGTTAAATCGGTAAATAAATAAATTAAAGTAAGTTGTTTATTTGATATCAATACAATTTCAAATTATTTGAACATTTAGTGTGTCAGCACTTTTCAACAATGTCCTTGATATTAGTTCATAATCTGGTTTAAAACCTATACTAGACAACGTTCTGTTAATACCTTTGGAAAAGGCTCAGAATATTTAGAATATTAGTCTGGTACATTTCCATCACTGTTATTTCATTAACGTTTATATTTGACTGGAGAATGTTAACAAGATAAAGGAAGGAAAGTGAAAATAAAAGTGTGGTTTTCAATATTTTGAAGAAAAAAAACTGTTTAACTACAAAAGTCAGATTTCAACTAAAAAAATATCTAATTTACTGATCTAATAAGGTTGTAAAATTAAAAGCCATTAAGGCTTATTTTTAATAATTACCTCCTACATCTGTAATGATCCAGTCTGGCATGGCCAAACTGATGATTGCAAAAACATCTGCCAACAAGAACAATGTTCCTGATATAACAGTTAATTTGTCCATTTTAATGTTCTACAAGTTTAACCCATGGGGAATTATATATGGACCTACAGAAAAAGTATTATTGTTAATAAACATCACTTTCTCTGTTGGTCGGTTTTCCTCGGACTAAAGACTCCTTAGTTAATGATTAGTAATGATCACACTATGTCACTATCACAGTCAGATTATGATTATGATAGCATTGATTTGTTGTTACCACTATGTTTCCATATGACCATATCCTTCATTTGTTCGTATCACAACCTTTGGCAATTAACACTATAGTTCTAGTGATATTGTAATTATTTTATTGTAATTGTTAGCAGCTAATAGTTAAGTTATTCGATTTTCCTTGGTGGCATTTATTGAATTTAACATAGGTACATTGGAATTTTGTTAGACCTATCATGAGCTATTCACCACCAACACAGTCAAACATTACAAAGTTAGATTGGCTGAGTCGTATCGAAAATATGAAAGTCAACCGAAAAGATATGAATAAACTAATTATGAACTATTTAGTTTCTGGTAGAAATATATGCAATTGATAGGTATATGGTAACTTAATTATTTCATTAACGTATGTGCATTGTACATATTTTAGAAGGATTTAAAGAAGCAGCTGAAAAATTTGAACAAGAAGCAGGCATTAGTTCTCCACTCAAGTTAAACACATTGGGTAACCGCATTAAAGTTATTGAAGCTGTACAATCAGGAAAAATGCAAGAAGCCATTACACTTGTCAATCAATTGTATCCTGGTTTACTAGATGATGATCGTGATTTATACTTTCACTTACAGGTTTAATTTTTTTTTTAGAATCTTATACAATTATATATAATTTTTTTAAACTTATAGTATTCGTTAATGAATATGAAATGAAAAATTCTTTATAATTCTTTTATTATACATTTAAAATATATTTTGGTTGCTCTATTTATATTAATAACATTAATTGTAACTTTCTAAATCAATCACACAAATTTGTTTTAAATTTTTGTATGTTATACACAATCTATGCAACACGAGTACATTAAGTGTATGTGATATGTAAACAAAAAAATTACAGGAAGATATTAACGGAAGAAGCTCCTAATGTTGACATTATCTAACTTTATATTTAATAATAATGATGATAATAAAACAACAAGACAGAAAACTATTTAATTTGTTTGTTGGATACTAAAGTTTTGAGCATTTGTAGATGGGAGTTTAGTTGCAATCTTTTGACTTTGATATTATGATGAGCTCATGCAAGACGGCGGTCAAGGGTTAATCCTAGGTATTTTACAGCTTAGTTTCAATGGATTTGAGTGCCATAAAAAGTTACATTAGAACAAGGAGCTTGTTTAAGAATAAATGTAGTATGAATAAATTTGGTTTAATTGATTTTAAACTGCCACTTTATTTACCAGTCTTCCATTAATAGTAAATGGTTTTGTAAGTTGTTGGACGCTATGATAATCGATACTAGTTAAAATGATTGCCTTGTTGTTTGCCTTAACCGCCCCTAGTGTGTTCGGTGTAATCGGTTGGTCTGAGGTATATATAGGTAGTAGGCGTAGGTGGTCTCCAATGACAAACGTTGTTTCATCGCAGTTACCAATTGGAAAACTAAGTATTGAAATTTCTACTTATGACAAATAATAAAAAAGTTGATTTAGACACAACTCACCAACTTATTGTATTAAAATTATGCAACATGAACGGTAATAAAAACACACATCGGAAGCACTGCGTAAACACAAACGTCTGAACCGAAAAATGGCTATCGCGGAACTACATAAATATTTTTAAAAAAATTCTGTGCTGTATTTTTTAATTAAGTATTATAAAATTATTAAATATTCTAAATGTAAAAAAAAATAATACAAACATATTTATTAACATTTATTTCATTATTTATATAGCAATTGCATCTAATTGAATTAATTAAAGAAGGTAATATTGAAGAAGCACTTGTATTCGCTCAAGCTAAACTTTCAGAAGTAGGAGAAGGCAATCCTGCTATACTTACAGAACTTGAAAGAACACTTGCATTATTGGCATTTGAAGAACCTCAAAAGAGTCCATTTGCTGACCTTCTTCAAACTACACACCGACAAAAAGTAAAATTTGTGTTACACTATAATGAATAGTAATAACTATATTGAAAAAATTGTTATTTATTTATTTGTACATTTCCAGGTTTCTAGCGAGTTAAATGCAGCTATTTTAAGATTTCATAATCAACCAACTATTACACCTAAACTTTACAATCTTATGAAACTCATAATGTGGGCCCAAGATGAATTAGATAGAAAAAAAATAAAATTCCCCCATATGACTGATTTTGGTTCAGCTACATTAGAACCTCCTAAATGACCCACACCTAATGAGTACGACGACGTATGTTGTGACTCTTTTTGGTTGTTTGAACATAAGGATTAAATTTTAAGAATTTTTTACGGTTAATTATTCATAATTAATTTCCTAATATACTTATATAAATTTTAGATATGAAGCATTATTATTAAATAACTAAAAAATATCAATATTTTAATTAAATTTAATGGATTAGTCGATTAAGTTTTAAAATTTATCCATTTACAATGTAGATTACACATATTTTTGCAGCATAATTTAAATATTATTTATACATTATATAACATTTTACCAAAAAATATATTGTAAAGATTTCATTAGCAAATTTTGTGTGTTGATTTTAAGTTTAAATATTACTTAATTTTATGTGAATTCGTACAATATATTAGTTTGTTTTTTCGATTTAGTAATTTACTACTATAGATGTGTACAAAATTTGTTTAAATTTGATTATTTTTATTACTTATTGAAACATTCCAAAAGTATAAAAAAGACTGCATCCCCTTCAAACTCATGGTAAACCTTGTTTTAGTAGAAAGTTAGAAAGGTTAGATGGACACAATTATAAATCATTATCTTTGTTTTATTGATATCAATTTAATGATTTATCTTATCAAAAAATGCTCAAGTTTCATCCGATATTTTATATAAAATTGAACACTGAATGTACAAACTTGAAAACAATTCTCTGATATATAAAATTGTATATATATTTATGTCAGCAATGAAATTTTTAAGTAAATGAAATGTACTTTTATGAAAATGAGTAGTAATTTATGATGATAGGCCATTCTGTATCCATTTTATATTAATATTTTATAGTATAAGACTTAAACATGTAAAATGAATATACAATATTAATTTTGTTTACTGTATATTGTATATATCTAATTAGTGTTTACATCATAGAAAATATATATATTATCTTAGATAATATGGATAGAGCTACTACAATATTGCATGATAAAAGCATACTACGAATTGAAGACATCTTTATTAACAAGTGTTAAGAGAACTGATGTCTATTGCGCATGTGTATTAGAACTTGTTGCATATTTTTTGTATAACTATTCTAATACCAAAATACCATTTTAAAACATAATATGGAAACTTCAAAATAAGGCATGTTTTTTGTTGTAGCTTTTAAAATTTTTTTTACAAATTATTCAATTTTGAATCTGTAAGTCTTACGTTTTAAATTCTGAGTAGAGTGAAGAAGCTAGTGGTTTTATAGAGATGTTTATTTTTTTTTTATGAATTTATTTTCAACCAGCAACTTTTGTTCTAACTTTTAGAGATAACAATTTTTAGTAAGTAAAGTAAATTTCACTTGGAATGTTCTTTAAAGAAGTCGTTTTTCGATTACTCAGCAGTTTTCTCAGCAAATGTTAAAAACATAGGAAAACCGGAAAAAACGTACGGAAATCAGTACAACTTTAAACAAATATTATTAAAGAAAATATTTAATTATTATAAATTATTTTACGATATATGTCATATATATTGTTTACAAAGCTTCGCTATCAACTAAACTCCGCTCAGAATCGTTTTTTTCGTAAGTTATGGTTTATCGCTGATTTATTAAGTTTAAAAGCGTTTAAAAACTTATAATTTATCACTTGTTACACTTTATTACCGTTTACATAAATTATAGTTTAACTATCGAGCTTTTCATATCCATAAACAAAGTTTGAGGAAATACCGGATATTTTGGTTTTTAAAAAATGATATACTTTTTAAATTTATACAGCATTATATTATATTAGATTAGGAAAACTTACAATTTTATAAAAACACTAACGACGTTTTCTACCAGAAAAATGATTTTATCGAAAAATCACAAGATACCTTTTTTGTTGCCTTTTTGATTTACTTTCTTACGGTATCATCACCGAATGATACCGATGATCAGATTTTCAGAAATTTTAATTTTTGATAGTTTTTTTGCTGTAATTGGTTTGTAAATACACGTAGAGACTTGAAACTTAGTAATAATACTTATATTGGACTTACCTAGATGTGGTAAAATTTCATAATCATCAACCTTTTTTTTTAGCGTTTTGAAATCAAAATTTAAATGAAAATCCCAAAAATTATATATTAGCGAATTGCGCTCGGAATCGTTTTTCATCAAATAATGGTTTATCGTTTCTTACAGATTTTAATGAAATAACCTTATGTATCTTACCTTTCCGACTTTTCATCTATAACTATGGCCGCTCCCTTCCCCAGTAACAGCTTTTTTATTTTTATTTATTATTATCGTGTATAATATATTATAATATTATTTTGTAGGAATAGTTATGTATCGAAAGATCAAAATAAAATAAATTTGACTAGTACTAGGTACTAATAAATATAAGAAATATTTAGTTGAATTAATGTATAAAAAAACATTTTAAAGAGAATGATAATATTTTTAAAAATAATAAAATAAAAAATAAACTACATAATTTTTGTATAGTGTTAAAGAAGAAAGGGATAAAACATAACAGACATTGTGATACATTTGTTCAAAAATAAAACCAATGTTTTAAAACTATATTTATAATTATTCATCTGTAACGTCTGGACTTCCCGCTAAATATTATTTAGTGAATGCATTATTTATTATTAACACAGTATAGTTTCAATTATTCTACATCAGATAACTAACTGACAAATACTTAAGAATAAAATGGTCTAATATATATTATTATCAATATTTAATTTTATGTCAATGTTAACTATTTACCTCAGTTTTATACAATTTCTAAATTTAATAGTTAATTCAAAACTTATATGAAATTTGGATTCTGCATCCTGAAAAACATAAATTAATATAAAAATATAAATATTTTAAAACTATTAAAAAAAAACCACACAGTTTCCTTAATTAACAGGTCAATTAAAAAATAAATGCGAAATTTTGGTTGGGTTCAATGTTTTTCGTTATCATTCATCAAAGAGAAAACACTGTACATATAATAATTTATGAGCATGTGACAGTTATACATTTTTCTAAATTGTAAATTCAATTTATTTTAAGTCAATTTAATTTTACAAGAACATGGTTTTTCTAAAGATCATCGTATTTTAAAATTTTTGTAATATTAAAGATCTGTTTTTTGGATTCTACACATTCCTTGATGGGCCTTCTAGGGTCATGGGCCAGGACCTTTTTCCCATCATGCCACCCTATCGATATGCCACAAATCTAAATTTCAAATGCAAGCTAATGTGATAGTGTTATTATATAAAATTACCTACTATAGAATAGCAATCATTATTCATAATATTATTATTTTTATTTTAAGTTTTACATTTTTCCGGATGCCCCGTGTTTTTAAAAAGCTTTAGCACCCTGTGTGGAAATTGTTCTTAACACGGCCCTTAGTATATATCAATCAAATTATGTAATGAATAAAAGTTCATTGGAAGAAATATTTGCTGAATATAAGTCTGTTGGTTCAAATGTTTATAGAAGAAATTGTTTGTGGTACAAATATAATGTAAAACAAATATTTTGTGGTTTCATTCAAAATCTTTTGTTCCAATTCCAAAAAACATATTTTTCACGTTTTATTCGTGGAACAAATGTCATGAAGAAATGTATTGGAAGACATTTTTGCAGACCGACGAAAAAAGTGTTTTGGAAGAAATGATGAAATGTGGAACAAAAGTACTATGGAAAAAGTATTTTGTGAGACAAACGAGTTACACCCCCATGATTGAATGTTATGATTCTGTGATAAGTCAATTTACATGATAGTATTAGTAATAAAAACATTTTTGTTTTTTGTAGAAGGCGCTGTCTAGACAGTCGTATTCAGTTTGAGCATAGATAAAAGTATAAAATGTATATAGATTTATATATACATAAAATATAAAATACCTACATAGTAATTGTGTATCTATTATTGAAGTTAAATTCCATTTACAGGTTGGGTAAAAACGATAGTGAATTATTGATATTAAACGGTCTATACTTACTATTACATTGTGTCCAATATGAGATAATTAACATCAAATCAATATAAAAATCGATAATATTTCTATCGTTGATAATATCCTGTTTTGCAATCGTTTTTGCTCCACCTGTAAATGGTTGCCGACTTCAAATTGTTGTCAAATCAGTATACATAGTTTGCTGTAATTTTATATATCTGTTAGTTTGGGACCCTAGTTTGAGATATGCTTAAATGATATATGATGGTGTTCAAACGGTCTGAAATTTAATCGTTTTGAAATTAAAATTTATTCTTATCATGTAAATACTTTAATCCAGTTCAAAAACATTAATCCGTTTTCAAAATTAACCCTTAACTAGCGATGTGACAAAATTTGGCGAGACGTCTATCAAACCCAATTAAAAAAAGTACTTATAAAAGTAAACGCAATTGGTGACGTGAGATACATGAGACACATGACGAACAATTTTCTACTGACAACGAAAGTGAAATAATTATTTTGTTATTGCCTTGTTCGATATCTTATCTATAAAATCAATAAAAAGGAAAATTACGTCAATAATCTAAAAGTAAAATGTGAATTGGTCCAAGAAACCCCACATCATCAGTTATGGGTTAAAATGCTCGCATTATGTAGTTAAAAAAATTAAAACTATTTTAAGCGTTTAAAACATTTTATCGCATGGGCATAACACGTTTATGTTGAAACCTAATCAAAACTTATCAAATATTTTTTTTGCATTAAATATTTAAATGTCTAATTATTATTTACACATTATATATTATTAGTTATAATAATTAATAATTAAATTACATTATTCGGTCATTTAACAATTATTCGTGAATTTAGCAGATCGATATTATTATAACGAAATTATGGTATTATACACAGTTTTGATTTTGTAATAAAGAAACTAAGTAAAATCTTTTGTAATAAACGAAAATATAGTTATAATATAATTATAGATTCAAATTCAGAAACATGAATTAAGATTACAATATATGTATAATAATATAATATATATAATAAAGTATTTTTTTTTTATAGATTGATGACTAGTGATAACATGGGAAATTTCGTTCTGCCATTTAATTTGAGGCCGGAACTATATTATCAATTGATAATTTTTAATCACTTTATCCAATATTATTCACGATTGGTTTTGGCCGGTGGATTTAGGAACACACAATGTATTTCCGACACAATTTTAAACAAACAAATAATTAAACCAATGAATCTTGAATACTTTGTTTCTAATTTCGGGTTGGTGGCAGTTCAAAATGATAAGAGCTGAAATTCTTATTTAAGCAACCATCACAATTTTAGGGGATACCTATGTCACAGGCATTTTAACATTTACAGATTTAGTATCCCGTATGGATGTAAACTATTTTTGCTGCCTGATAAATACGAATGATAATAAAAGCCGATAGTATTCTTGTCTATGTAGTGTGTAGTATGTAGCCGAGTGCAATGAATGATAGTTAGAAAATAGGAATTTATATTTCTGAGGGTATAAATCTATGATCAAGTATAATTTTATAATTCCGGTCGAAAAATTATGCTGGTTGTTCTACAATTTCAAGTTGATTTTAATCATGGTTAAAAATAAAACTAGTATAATCATCAGAAATAATAATACATAATTACTCGTCTACATTAATTCTTAGATTTATTTTTTAGATAATATGACTTTTATTTGCGAAAAATGTGGTTCAAATTTTGTAAACAACTACAGTTTAAGCCGGCATCAATCTACGCGCCATCTGGAAAATGGTGAAGATGTTAAAAATAAATTTGTAAGTAACTACACAATTTTAAGTATACAACAGTGTTTTTGTTTCATGATTCAGCAATTATCATCAAATCTTTTGACAAAAATTGATTTTAGTTTTTACAATTAATTACCTAACTTATTTACAACATAGATATCAACCCCTCTATTTTCAAACTTAATTCAAAATCATTAAAAATACAATTGGAATTTGTCACCTAGTAGGTTTATACCTTTCTGAAGGGAATGATATTATGAGCCCTCTGTTCAAAATTATAACCATATGAATACATATATATATATGTATATAATGGATTTATATAACTCAGATTTATTTGTATTAGAAAAACCCAAATATGTATATGTATGTATATAATATAAAATTGCTTTATACGTAATAAAAAAAAAAAATTAAAAATTGCTTTATAAATGACAAAAACACTTTGATTGAAATTATTATGAAATTGAACCTTATTCATCTTGATCTTCATAGCAATGAAATACCATATACATCCTCAAATTGTCAAAGTTAAATGCTCTATAGTTTGATTGTAACAGATTTGTATTTAACTAACACTCTACTTCAACAGAAGTAATGTGTGCAAGTTTCATATTTGGATTGTCCAATGGAGTAAGCTCAGCCTGCAATATTATCCCATTCTATTCTGCTATGGATATCTTAACTATTTTTTTATAGTATTGTTTTGTTTATGTATTTTTAGAAACATGGAAAATTATCCGTATTGAAAAATATAATTGGTAAAAAATAGTCTTATATGAACAAACTGTTTAAATATGTATGAAAAATTGAAATATTTAGAAGTATGTAAAAACATATATTTATGGCGAAATATGTAAGAATATGTAAAATCAAATAAAATTAATTTCATTGAAAATCGCCTTACATGAATTTATCACTTACCTAAATTAATTTATCAAGTCACAGTAAATATATGCATTTACATATAAATCTGAGCTCTATATGTAATTTATAAATGGTATATCTAATACTAATGTTGTTAGTATTGTGCATAAAAAAATTCTTTTTTTCACATTGATATTGAAAAAGGAAGAGGGTGTTTGGTATTTTAAAATCAAAAGTTAAAACACAGTTAAGAAGTTAAAATTTAAAAATAGTGTTAGAATAAACCATTAACAATAATTGAAAAAACCTACATACCTACTAGACAATATTTTATTGGGATCATCAGTTTTTACTAGTAAATTTTATCTTAAGTGTTATATGTTTCATTAAAAATCTATATATATCTTACAAAATTGTTAATTATTATTTATTTAGGTACCTATCACCTATTAGTGACAATTTGTATAATTTTATATTATTATTATATTTAACATTGTTTTACTTAATATTTTTTTATTAACATAAATTTAATTGGGATAAATGTATAGGAATGTAATGATTGTAAAGCAAAGTTCAACCGAAAAGATATTCTAGTACGCCATATAGAAATTCGACATATGAGCAAACGTCATTCTTTCGTAAGTATATTATAAAGAAATCATAGAACACATTCTATTTATTATATAAATTTGTTGAAACCCGTAACTTATTTTATGTCGAATAATTTAGGAATGTCCTCAATGTTCAAGGATATTTTTAAACAAATATAGTCAAACACAGCATATTCGTTCTATACATGGTACTAAAAATATTACTCGTTTTAAAAATAAACAATTTTTTGGAGAGTGTAAGGTAAATATTTTTATATACTTAACTATGTTATTATTTTATAAAATATAAACTAGTAATATAAGGTAGAGAGATCTAAAAGTTAAAATGAATATCCAAGATTATTTGTATTATTATTATTCTTTATAAGAATACTACATTTACTACTATAACATTTTAATATATCTAATTCATTATTTGTTTGAATAGGTTTGTAAAATTTGCATGAAAGAATTTGTGAGTTTTGAAGAGCTGAAATTTCATAAGAAAAATGTCCATCCAAAACAGATGCAAGCAATTCTTAAAGGGAATAATTATTTTGTAAGTAATGTAATATGTCTAATAATTTATTTTTAAAAATTACATAAAACATTTTGAGAATATTATAGGAATGTCATGATTGTAATAAAAAATTTGTTCGGAAATATACTTTAAGACGTCACCTAAAAGTTGTACATTTATTAGATAGAGATATTTTTGTAAGTATGATGTTAAAGAGAATTATCAATAATTTATATATATATTATATATATTTATATGGTAATTTTTTTTACCTTGAACCAACAATTTTCTTAGAGAATTTCAATTGAATTTGATTTTTATTTTTTTTTTCCTCTAAATTATGAAACCATTTAAGCTTTATTATAACTCTAATTTAAATTTTTAATCTCTACTCCTTAGCCCTGAAATGAGAATCCATTTTAGATTTTAAATTAACAACCCTTCCCCTTTTAATTACAGATTACAAAAGACAATATTTATTAAGAAATTTGATATACATACATTAGTATTAGATTTATCATTTAAGAGTTTACAAGTTTAAAGTTTAAATCGAATGTATAGATAAGAGTTGTCTATTTATCGTTTAAAATAGATCTACAATTTATTACCAATTCATAGTCCGGTCTGAACTTTAAACTGTTATTACTCTTAGACAGAAAATTTGTTATTTGTGGTATGTATACCAAAATGTCTAAAAAAATATTCTCTATATCAGTGGTTTTCAACCTGTGCATTGTTGTTTAGTATAAGAAAGCCACGTCTATATTAAATATAGTAGAGTATTATAAATGTATTTATTTAAATTTGTATTATTATCATTATTTGTAAGGGAGCCAATAATTTGGTTTTCAAAATCAGAAGAGCTGGACTCAAATAGATTGACAACCACTGTTCTATTTAAATCTGTGATTAAATGAGGGAGTGTTGCTATTTAAAAATCCAAAATGAATACAGTTATATTTATACCCTAAGGTTAAAGTTGAAAATTAAAAATAACATTAAAATAAATCCTAAACAATCACAGAAAATTGTTGGTTTATGATAAAATAATCATTATGTATACATAGTATGTCTTAAATTTTTTAGGAATGTGCTTATTGTTCAATGAAATTCACTCGGAAAAATGATTTAAGTAGACACATAATCTCAAAAGAAAATACAAATCCTAAAGTAATTAAATTAATAACTGATATCATTTTGCTATTATTGTGGCTACTTATTCTACTATTATTTTAATGTTATAAATTGCAGATAAAACATTTTAAGTGCCTCATGTGTGAACAATCATTTAGTACAAGAAGCCTTATAAATGAACACTACCAAAAATATCACAATATTGATTTTGTATATGATCATTTGAAGTTCACATCTTTGAATGAATTTGAGAAATGGAAAATTGATGTAGAACAAAAATGTTTTATTCAGTTTTCTGTAGCTATATCATGGAAAACTAAAATGTTCACTGTAAAGCAATATGTATGTCATCGTTCAGGAGAAAAACGTTTAAAATCTGCACCAAAAGTTATTCCAAAACTCATAGGTTCTAAAAAATTGGGTGGTATTTGCCCTGCATTAATAACTACAAAAAAATCTAAAATTGATGGTATGTGTTCAGTTGTGTATCAAAAGATACATATTGGCCATCCCTGTGATAAATCAGAACTACCTTATATGAGTTTAAACGGAGAAGTGGTGAATATTACACAACAATATAATTTTAATAAACCTTTTCCTATGCTATATTATAATCATAATAATACTGCAAGTTTTGTTTTAAATAATCAGAATTCAATACTTTTTTACAAAGCAAAAGGAATTAAAGATAATGAGTTTCCAACATTAAAGAAAGAAGATTTTGCATTAGGATATATGAATGAAAATCAAGAGCTAAAATTTAAACGTCATGGTTATAAAACAATTTGTTTTGATGGTACATATGGAATAAATTCAAATGATTATATTTTACATACAATATTAGTAGCAGATGTAGACTCTGAAGGTTCTCCTGTGGCCTTTTTACTAACCAATAGGAATGATGATGTAGTAATTAGTGTTTTGCTTGAAAAAATCAAAAATCGACTGGGTACTATATCACCAAAATCAATCATGTCTGATATGCAGATGTTTTATTTTAATAGTTGGATTAATACAATGGGCCCTGTAAAACATTCACTATTTTGCTTGTGGCATGTACACAAAGCATGGCTTAAAAACTTATCCAAGATAAAAAATAAAGAGAAGAAAAAAGTTGTCATCAAAATTCTTTATGATCTTTCTACAGAATTAGACAAAGATAAATTTCAAAAAAAACTACACACTTTTATCTCAAATAATGATGATGATCTACAATATTTTTTGGATTATTTTTTCCAAAATTTTGCACAAAATCAACATTATTGGGCATACTGCTATAGACAAAATGACAGTTGTAACATAAATTTAGAAAGCTTCCATAGAGTAAAACAAAAAATTAGAGGTAGATTAAAAGTTGAAAGTATATATGACTATTTGTTTTATTTGGAAAAATACTTGACAATGAAAGAAAATGATTTACAAAAAAAACAAATATGTTTTAAACGTACTACTAAGTTAAAGCTCCTTCGTGCAAATCATAAGAAAGTGGAAAAGCAAAGTGAATCAAAAAACATAGTCATCAAATCATCCAGCTGTAATTCTTGGCGTGTTCAATCTTTCACTGATGAAAATATTATCTACAATGTACTGAAAAGTGAAATAAGAGAATGTACAATGTATGAAGATATGATTTGTCTACTTCCTTGTACAAAATGTAAGACATGTTTCCACAATTATACATGTAGTTGCCATGATCAGTCTATTAAAAATAATATGTGCAAGCATATTCACGCCGTTGGAATGTACCTCCTCAGCAAAAACCAGATAGTACATGTAGGTGAAGAAAGGATGCAAATAGCAAACACAGATGTAGTCCAGACAAGTATGGCATACAAAAATAATGAACCGATGGAAACAACCCACATGGAACACAAAGTACACCAAGACAATGGTAATTGGTACAATTAATTTTAAAGTGCTTTAGATTCTGAGCAAAGAACAGAATGTATTCGTTATATTATGATATGGGTTTTTTTCTAAAAACTTTTTTTTTTCTATTAGTTAACATTAGGGATAGTTTTAGATTTTGAGTGGACCGAAGAAGATTATGTTTTTACAAAGATATTTATTTTTTTTTTTTTTTTTTGTGGGCAATTTTTTTACTTGAAGACTTGCTCCTTACTTTTACATGTAGCAACTTTCCTGAAAGGAAATTGGTGTGAGGAAGAATCTTAAAAAAGGTCATTTTTTGATTTCCTCTCGAGTTTTCTCATTGAATACGAAAAACTGAAAACCAAAAATGGGAAAATGTACGAAATATATTTTGATAATGTTACAATATTTTTTTCTATGGACAACTATTCTACTCGCAATTTTGCTCCAATTGTTAATGAAGAAAATTTTTCAAAAAAGAAATTTCACTGAGGAGGTCATTTTTTGATTTTTTCAAGAGTTTTCTCAATAAATTTGAAAAACCGGGATAAAACATAGGAAAAACTTAAGAAAACTGGAAAAATCGGTACAAAATTAAACAAATATTATTAAAGAAAATTATAGAACCTATTTAATTATTTTTCTATTATATGGTATATATTGTTGACAAACTATCAGTATCAACTGAACTTCACTGAGTATCGTTTTTTTTCGTAATCAATGGTTTATATTGTTGCTTACAGGTATCTATTATATTACCTATAACAGTAACTGAACCCGTCCCCATTATCTTAGGACATTTTTTTTATAACAAATTTTGTCGAATTCGGATGCTAATTTTGATTTTCTATGTAGTTGTCTTAATGGAGTACATAATTTAAAAAAACAAAATTTTTTAAAATTATTGTAGTTAGAACTATTAAAAACAACTTGGTCAAAATCCAATATAAAACATATAGTACCATGATTTCTGATGGGAAACATAATTTGTAAAAATTAAAAATAATGAAATATTTGCCAATTTTTATTTCACAAAATTTTTGGTTTTACCCAAATATTATAAAAACTGCTTGAAAGATTAAAAATTGAAGAAAATTCCCTCGGTAACTATATCCAATATTCAACAAAAGAATTATCTTATCATTTTTCGACATGAAAAAAAAAACAGTAAAATAAATAAAACCTGCTACGTTCTGAATCTAAATCAAAATTTAACCTAATGATAGTGTTATTTAAACTTTCTAATTTTTCTATTTTTATTCTCAGTTTTACCTAATTATTAAGGTACTACATGAAATTTCATACTTCTGAGCTAGACACAATTTTTCTTTTAAAAATTTCTACTCTTAAAATTTCAAAGCAATATTTCTATTAGAATAAAAAATTTAAATAATGAAATTGTTAATGCCTTAAATTTGTTTCTTTTATTTATTTTTTTTCAAGTTTTTTTAATTACTATACATACTGGTTAGAAAATCAAAACACAACATCTCTAACTCACCAACTATATTTAAAAATAACATTATGTCATTAAGCTTTTGAGCTATGTGTCCCGTTCTTCTCAAATAACGCAAAAATGTTCTGTTTTGAAAAAAGTGACTATGTCATGAAATGTATTTTCTTGAAAAAGTGCACCTATTTATTGATCACAGCACAAAAAACTATGGCTGTCAAAAAGTAAACCACAGTAAATAACATTTTACAAATTGTACAATTGACCGTTTTAGTAATTTGTCTAATGCAGGTCGTTTATGGGTTATTGCAATTCCAAAGGTAATACAGATTGTTCATCCAAGTGTGTTATATTAAAAAATCTGTGCAGTTTAATTTTCAAATACCTATCAAAAAATAAAAAAACTATAACAATATTAGTTCTTTTTTTTTATTATTCTACAGCCAAATTTAAAATTACTTGCCGAGGGTGAGTAGGTTTTATTTATTTTTGTGTCTGTAAACAACTTTTTGTAAAGAAAACTTGCTTCAATATATTAACTGAAGCAATTTTTCTGAAAAGAAATTTTGTCTAATTTATATAATATTTTAAATTTATTTGGCGAGTTAGAAATTTGTTTTTTAATTTTCATGTTGTTTTCATAATAATTAGAAAAACCAAAGAATAGGCTGTTCTAGTTTACAACCCAAACTTATTTTTCTAAATTTTTTTTCCAAAATATGTGATTTTAGATTCTGAGTGTAGCGAAGGTTAGATAAGGTTTTATTAAAGTGTTTACTTTTTTTTAAATTTTTTTACCCTGTGTACAAAAATTTGACTATAAATTTTACTCAGATATATACGCGCGGCATCATTTCTGAAAAGGAATGTTGTCCAAATGGTACTTTTGGAGGTTAGTTTTTGATTTTCCAAGCGGTTTTCAAATCTAGAAAAAACCAGGATAAAACTTATGAAAAACTGGAAATTTACAAAAATAATGCTTTCATTATTCTTCAATTTTATTATTTGTTGTAATTCAGTTAAAAATATTCGTAGACTTGAAATTAGGACAGAAAATTTATATTTGTCTTTTCTAAACATGGTAAAATTTACCATTTTTGAGGTATTTATAGACATTTTAATATTGCGAGTTTTGTACCGAATATTTATTTGGTAGGTACTCTGTGGTAAAAATGGTTAAACTGGTTAAACTTGCCCATTGAAGAACTCAAATTTAGATTTGAAGTTCGGTGTCAACGAGTGCTCAATCATTAATGAGTGTCATATTAATTCATATTATTTGACATAATGCGGCTTATGTCAAATAATTCTCACTGCTTAATTATAAAATAATTATTATAGATAACTAGAAGGTTTAAATTTAAATTACAGTATATAATTACATTATATTTATTTTCAAAACAAAAAGTCGTTCGGGTAGCGAACAAATTTACATCGCTGATCCCAATCGCGTAAGGAAAACTAAATATATTTAATTTGTATTATATCAGCAATCGCGCGATCTTAGAATGCGGGTCGTGTTCGCAATCGTGCAAGGAAAAACATACGGTAACGGTTGATAAATTAAATTTTTTGCATGTATTAAATTTACAAGCGAAATTTTTAAAATTGGGGTTTATAATATATAATTGTATATAGAAATTCGGATTTTTTTTCATTCGATGTTGGTGACACTAGATTAGTATAAAATTATTTGTCAATATTTGTACTTTCCAGGTTTGTACTTCTAGATTAATATTTTCTAGAACTGTACATTTCAGATTTATAGATAACTGTAAAAACCTTGAAAGTACAAATCTTGAATACAGGGTTCTACGATTATCAAAATTTGAATAGTACAAATTACAAACATGGAATGTAAAAGTCTGGAATAAACTAATCTTGAAAATTAAAATTTTACTAATATAGTGTCATCAACTTTGAATGAAATATCTGAATTTCTATATACAATTGTATATATGTATCTCAATTTTGCAAATTTTTCGCTTATGCACCTAATAATCTAATAATAAGTACTTGTACAACTTTGGAATGTATAAACCTTGAATGTACAAATCTGGAATGTATAATTCTTGAAAATACAAATCTGAAAAGTATAATTCTTGAATCCAGAGTTTTACGGTTATCGAAATTTAAATCGTACATTTCAGACTTTTACATTCCAAGCTAGTATGGTTCACATTTCGATAACCGTAAAACTCCGAATTCAAGATTTGTATTTTCAAGGTTTTTACATTTTAAATTTTTACAAATTACCAAAATTTTTGGTATGCTACCTGGCATATGTATCTTACTCAACTTCCCATCCATAAGAGTGGTACACCTATTACCAGTATCAGCTCTATTTTTTAAATATTTATTTTCCAAATTTTTTTTCACAGATATTTTATTAGACAATTTGAGGAACAAAATACTACAAGACTTTAGTCAATCATTGCAACAGATAAAATCACTAGAACATCTTCAACAAATAAGTAAAAATTTGATTGTACCCATTAATTAATCTAAAATATAAAATGTAATTGGAAAAAGGTTAAATAAAACTATAAAATTAAACTTTTGATGTAACTAAATTGAATTTACATTCCAATACACTCTACCAATTCTATTTTATAGTAGTAAGTCTATTAATGTTACTGTAATAGTAATATTTTAATGTAGAGCTGGTATTATTGAGAATTTAGTCGCCGATATTTGGTATGTGTTTGAATACCTACCGTTTTTGGCCGGTATAACAGTATTAAAATATTTTTTGGTATATACAATCTCTTCGGTTAAATTATTAAAAAATAAAAATTAAACAATTATTAACTAACTATTTATTGATCACGGTTCTAATCATAGATCTACAACCATGCTATTAAATTTAATGGGAGTGACGCACCAACTGCTTACAAGTGGTACCAGTGTTGCCAGGTTTTAAGACTGTTGCGTGCCCACACGCGCCACTTGTAAGGGGCACGTGCGACCCGTATACAGTAATAGTCACTACATATGAAACCAAATATCTATATGACGAAGTACCCCTGCAAAATATACAGTACCGAATTATAGTTTCAATACACGGACCAACATCGGCTGTATTCTAATTTTAATACAATCAAAAATAATAATATATGAGCGGGCCTAGATTTTAATATATGTATATTAAAATAATATCCGGCTGTAGCAGCAAAATATAGATTGGAGCCTCTATGAATAATGGGTTGCGGGGCACGACATTAGCATATATAACGCTGCCCGAATCATCATCTAATCAGACGAATCCACCATGATCAAATGCTATCGATTTTGCGTCACTGTATTATTTGTTATTTGTATTATTTTTGTGAGTTTTATTTATTGGAATTTTATATGTTTGTTGTTTAAAATAATTGGACATAGTATATTTGTGAGAAGTTTATTGTTGCACTTGTAATATTTAGAGTGGAAATATTAATTATTTATATACTCAAGTTTGAGTTTAAATTATTCAACGTTTTTTTCTCTAAGTCTACATCTTTCACGTTGGGCCTATTACAAGACAATGAAAGCCGTACGATTTTATCAAAAATTTCATTTTTGCTATTCAAAGGCCGTATCCACCATGTTTTCCTTGAGAAAACAATTTTTATACATTTTTAGCAATTTTTTAAATTTGTTAGAGCTGCTCTCATAAAGAGTCCTAAAAGTTCTGCTCGAAACATGCGTTATCTTTACATTTTTCCAGTAGAAGTCTACGTTTGATTTTACTCAGCGACCTAAACTGTCCCCTGTATAAGGTGCAGGTGGTTCAAGAATTAAAACCTGTAGATATCTATAGCCGCACAACTTTTTGTCGAGAAATGCTAACCCGGATGGATGAAAACGAAAACTTTATTCAAAATGTTTGGATGTCTGCTGAAGCACATTTCCATCTTGATTTTTTTGTGAATAAACAAAATTGTCGTTATTGGTCTATGCATAAAAACTTCAAAATATTAAAGAATTAAAAACAAAAATTAAAGAAGAAATCGCCAGTACACCTTTAGAAGTGATACACCATGTAGTAAATAAATATACGAAGTAGGCTAAAAAAGTGCTTGAGAAGAGATGGCCATCATCTTGGAGCAAGTTATGTACTTCAATATAATAAATAATAATTCATTTTTATTCGTTTATTTATTTTATAATTTATCTTTGAAAATCGGCCGTTTCAGTGTGATATACCTTGTATATAATGTTAAACATATTTAAAAAGACATTTGGATCGTTTAAATCAGTGACGGATTTGATTCGTTTTCTGAGGGTAGTGGGAAAATATCCTTTTGGTCCAAAAATTATACGTTGAACTAATGTGACTAATAACCACTTAATGTGATAACACAACTATCTACATAGGTCATAATTAAAATTTAAAAAACACCCTAAATTTCTATATAAATTTCTGAAAGAAATTATTATTTATAGGTAGGTAGTTTGATGTCTAGGGCGGGTATGGCCCCTATGCCCCCTTCCCTTAAACACCACGCCTGGTTTAAATAACAAAGCCCCAGAGCATTACAAAAAAAATATACAATTTAAACTAGATACTTTATTTAATTAGAAATATTTATAAAATGCAAAGTTTTTTTAGAATGTAGTTTACATTGGTGATTTTCTACAATGGTTTAAATTAATTCTGCCCTACAATTATTATACTGGATACCATATTATATATATATATACATCAATGAGTTAGGTCACCTTCAATCTGTGTATGCGACATGATTTCATGGGGTACGCAAAAAAAAAAATTGGACGATGGCCAAAAATAGCATCATTCGTGAACAACTGTGGGTAACACTAAGAGACTTTGGCATACCGATAAATTAATGAAACTAATTCAGATGTGTAATGAACAAATTTATTGCAGGCTACGTTTCTTAGAAGAATTATCATCAATATTTGAATGCAAGAAGGGCCTGAGACAGGGTGACACACTGTCCCTAGTGCTGTTAAATCTAGCTCTGAAAAAGGTGGTGAGAGATATACCAAACCTCAAAGAAATGGAATTAATAAGCCCCTATACCTTGTTCGCCTATGCAGATGATATTATTTTATTAGGAGAGTCCAGAAATGATGTTGAGGAGAATGTAAGAAAGTTAATAAAATCTAGCTGCAATATTGGGCTAGTGATAAACGAAAACAAGACAAAATATATGGTGATGAATAGGAACGCAACTGTAAAGGATAATCTACACATTGAAAGACTTACTTTCGAGCAAGTAGGGTACTTCAAGTACTTGGGAGTTAACATAAACGAAAAGAACAATATGAAATTAGGATGAGACTGAATGCGGCAAACAGATGTTACTTCACAATGAAAGAAATGTTTTCTTCCAAGTTATTATCTAGACGTACAAGGGAACGCCTTTACTGTACGTACTTGAGACCCATAGTAACGTACGTATGCAAGACGTGGTCTAGCACTCAAGGAGATGAAGAAAGATTACAGAGTTTCGAGAGGAAAATACTCAAGAAAGTATATAGATCAGTATATGACTTGGGAAGTTTCCAAAGAAGAACAATTGAAAACCTGCAAAATCTGTTGTATAAGCCGAGTCTACGACATTTCTTAGCCAGAAAAAGACTGGAATAAGCGGGACACGTTTGGTGAGCAGAGGGATCACTCATTAAGAAAGTCACAGAAAACAGTCTAACGGGAAAATGATGAAGTAGACCTCAGCAGAGATGGTATGATACAGTTAAGAAAATCCTGAAGGAAATCAATTCATTACTATGGAAGTGGTATTGGATAGGGAAAGATGGAAGAGCGTATTGGAAACGGTGATGGTTCTAAATGGATCGCTATAAGCCTTAGACGAATAAGAAGATGGCTGAAAAATGTTGGATTTATTTCATTTAAAATTTTAAAACAATTAGTTTTGGAAATATGCAATATATTTTAGAAAATTGAAAACCATCAACTTATCTGATAGAAATGGATTATAGAACAAGGATTATAAAATACTATTATGTATATAATAATATAATATGGTAGGTTGAGGTAATTTTATAACAGCATCTAATCAGTTAAAAGTTGTTTTGTGAAAATAATCTAAGTTATAATGAGGAGTACAATCTAGCAAAATATTAAGCTTAGAGGTAAGGAAGAAAAAAAAGTTGAGAACCCCTGAGTTAGGTAACTCGCAATTGCTTACCTACCTATATTTTTATAAAGTATGGATTGTCACTTGCCAGACTTGTTTTGTAAATAGTTCTTATATACTATAAATTATATAATTTTATTAGGTAAAATATTTTTTTATTTTAAATTTTTATAATATACAATCTATTCCTGAGGAATAATAAGAATATGTGATGAAAGATGGTAATAACATGATTGAATGATGGGAGGAGCTACCCAGTGGTAACACTACCTTTACTTGAGTTATTGTTTATTAGTTATTAAGAAGATCCCGGCACCATTCTCTTCTAACCCTCTTGGGGGGTTTCAAGGAATTGTGAGGGAGGAGAGATTTGAGATGAGTGGGTTGATATGGAAAGGAAGTTTGGAATGGAAACGTTTGTAAAAACTGACTGCTTCTTCATGAACTGTTTTGATTTTTAAATCGGAGTGTAAAGTTAAGTTAGTGATGTATGGTGGAGAATTTGTGATTTTGCGAAGGATTTTATTTTGAAGGGTTTGAATTTTGTTTGTATTGAATTTTTTAGCATTGCCCCAGAGCTGGAGGCCATAGGTCCATATAGGCTTGAGTAGGGATTTATAAATTAGGAGTTTGACATTTAGAGAATTATGTTTGTTGTTCGAGATTAGGGTTTTAAGGATGCGGAGACGAGCATTTAGGGCAAGCTTTTTAATTTTGATGTGGTGTGACCATGTGAGTCGGCGGTCAATTGTCAAGCCTAGATATTTAGCCGATTGAGATGGAGGTAATTGAATATTGTCTAGAGACACTGAAGGAAAATAAAGAATACGAATAGTGAAAGTTGTATGGAGTGATTTGGATTGGTTAACTTTGATACGCCATTTTTTATACCAGTCAGACATGAGATCTAGATGGACTTGAAGGTATTGGGAAGCTATGAGAGGGTTTTCATGGATTGAAATAATAGCCTTGTCGTCAGCAAATTCCGCAACAGTTGTGTACGGAGAGGTGGGTTGGTCAGCTACGTAAATGTTGAACAAGGTAGGAGAGAGAACACTCCCCTGTGGAACGCCTGAGTTGATTTTTCCTATGCCCGAAAAGGATGTACCAACTCTGACCTGAAAGTAACGATCCGTTAGGTAGGATTTGATAAACAGGTAATAGGTTGGATGGAATATGGGCTTTATTTTATATAACAGTCCATCGTGTCATACCCTATCAAATGCTTCAGATATATCCAAGAATACGCAGGAGCAATAACTTTTTTTTTCAAGGGAGAACGAAATAGCATCGACCAGTCTGTGAAGTTGGTGAATAGTGGAATGAGCAGAGCGGAAGCCGAATTAAGTGTCTGGTAAAACGGAGCTGGTAGAAATATATGGAAGAATTCTTTTAAGAATTAATCTTTCAAGAATTTTACTGAAGAATGGGAGAAGGCTTATTGGTCGAAAGGAGGAAGATAAGTCCGGAGGCTTATTTGGTTTAGGAACTAGGATAGTGATAGAGAAGTTACAAAGCATGGGGAAGTAGGATAGTCTTAAACACGTATTGAATATAATTGTGAGAAGGACAATGGCTCTTTTAGGCAGACATCTGGCCACATCTGCAGTTATCAGATCAAACCCCGGAGATTTTTTGTGGCTGTATTTTTGGATTGTAAATTTTAATTCGTTGGGAGATAAATGCTTAACTGTGGGAAACATCGAAGGGGGACGTCCAGAAAACGTTTAACTGTGTCAGTATGTAAAGGTGTATGTATATCTGGGTGAGGAGTGAAAATTTCCGTTAGGTGATCTTTAAACAGTTGGGCTTTTACAGCATATGTAGATGCGAACTCGCCGTGGGGATTTTTTATGGGAACCAGAGGAGGTTTGTATTTTAGAAGTCTTTTAGTAGCTGACCAGAGACTGCCATTTTTAGGTGATAGATTAGTGAGATAGTTTGTAATGGATAGATTTTTATGTTTGGCAAGTATTTTTTTTAGTGAGTTAGAAAGATTATTATAGATGTGTTTGTGTGATGGGAGGCGTGAACGTTGATATAAGGCCCTTGCTCTACGCTTGTTTGAAATGAAGATACGTATATGTTCAGGAACTGAAGGAGCGACGTTTTGAAACTGAGTATTTGTGAGACCAGATGCCCATGCTGCAGATTGAATTATATTTGTTAGGTTGTTAATAACTGTATCAATTTCTTGAGGAGATTTGAGACTAACTTGGAGTTTTACGTTTTGATCTACTAAATTATGAAATTTAAGCCTGTCCGTGGAATGATGAAAAATTTTGGGTAGGGAAGGCCGGATAGGAGGATTGACACTAATAGTCAAGAGAACTGCTGAGTGATTCGAGCAGGGTTCTAAGAGATTTGTAGTAGAGCAGAATAGGTTATGAGGAATGTTGGATACGAAGATGTCAAGTATATCTGGTTTTTTGCGTAGTGAGGTGGGCCAATATATTGGTCCAGGGGACGCAAGGATTGTATAGTCCTTAAGATTAATAAAATTGTAGAGAACCATACCTCTTGGGTTGTTTGTGCGACAGCCCCAGCTGAGATGCTTAGCATTATAGTCACCGCCAATAATAAAATTTTGGCTAAGAGTGCTAAAGTATTGTATATAGTTTTGAATATTAATATTGTGTCTAGGGGGGGAGTAAATTGCTGCTACAGTTGTAGGGATATTGTTGAGGTGTAGTAGGATAGCACAATACTGTAAGTGTGGCTGATAGTAGTTTGGAAGGGCTTGGAAAGATAGGGAAGATTTTATATATATTGCAGCACCACCATGAGCAGTGTTATCTGGGTGATTAGTTTTCAGGAGTTGATAACCAGGTATAGGAATGTGAGAATATTTTGTTAATTGTGTTTCGGTAATCAAGGCAATATCGATACGTTTCTCCTGTAGCACTATTTGGAGTTCGTTTGAGTGATTTTTGAGACCATTTGAATTAAATAGAAGAATAAGAAAAGAATTGCTTGTGGATGAAGACATTAATTTTTTTCCTGGAGTTTTGAAATTACTTGGGTGAGTAGGGAGATTAGTGGGTTTATAAGTGATTTAAACTCATCAAGGAATTTGTTTATGTCGGATACCGGAGGAAAGGCTTTGCTATTTGAGTGAGAACCAGGGGTAACTTCAACGTAGGTTTGAGACGCGTCTGGGGAGTGATTAACAGAGGTTACCACTGAGTGATTACCCTGCACATTTTTTTTATGACTGATATTATCCGACAGAAAATTGCTTTTTTTGGTTTATTTCGATGTTGAAGATCCTTGTATACAGAGCAGCCTTTGTAGTTAGAGGGATGATTATCGGAGCAGAGGGCACATCTTGGAGTAGCATCCCGTGGGTTTGGACAAGCCGAAGATGAGTGGTTTGAGCTGCAGCGGACACAGCGAGCTGGATAGCCGAAGTAGGATTTAGTATGTCCGTACTTATGACAATTTATACATTGGCTTATTGTTTTGGATTTATAAGGTTCTTCAACTTTTATTTTCGTGTCGATGAGAGAAGTCAACTTCTAGATATCGTTGGAATGGATTGTAGGTCTAAGGTCCACAAAAAATAGAGGGAGTGGGTGTTTATTGGTTTTATGTAATACGCTTGTTACTTGACGGACTTCAAATAATCGCAGCTCAAGTTCGGATTTGATAAATGTAGTGGACGTGGACGGGTGGAGATTGCGAATGACAACTCGTGTAGGTTTGTCTTCTTTGAGCTAATAAGTGTGATATTCAGCTTTTTGATTTTTGAGGAAGTGGATCAGTGTTCTGTATGAAGTTGGGTTAGTTTTCATNTCTACACCGATTTGCTCAATAAGTTCTGAGCAGAGTGCTGGAAAACTGATTACACCTTTTACAAAAACTGGTGGGGCTAGGGTTGGCTTGATACAAACATTGATGTTCCCCTCTGGGTTTGACTCAGGAGGAGGCAGCTGAGTAACATCTGATGGATCGGTATTCTCTGGTTCGTCTTGTGAGAGTACTTCAAAACGATTAGACGTAAAAAATATTTTTTTATTGTTTTGTTGTATTTTAGGCAAATTTTGATCAGAAGAAGAAGAGGTTTCTTTTAGCACTATTGCTTATTGGTATCTGAGACCAGTTGGCTAATGAAGAAGAATCCATGCTGATAGAGGCTAAGTTTCCGTCTGAGCGATTCGTATTGACTGAAGTTGAGACTTTGTTTAGGTTAGCAGTCTGTATATTGCTTAGGCGAGCAGTCTGTATATAAACAGAGTCCTTAATATTGGTGGCAGCTAATTTTGTTTTTATATTTTTGGATGAAGATTGAGACATAATTATTGTTTCGATAAAGTCGCGGTCGCTGCCGGTTTGCGATAAGACAGCACGCGAGCTGTTGATGACGAATAGTGACTGCAATGAAGAAATTTGATTTAGTTATTTATACAACTAGTGTACATACGAGAAACTAGTGTTAATATTATATTTTACTACATACTGTTGTCTATGTTAATTTAACATAGAGGTTTTAGTAAAATGTATATAATAGGTACGTAGACCAACATACGAAAGTGGGTATCATATAAATTAAAATATTCAACCTTATAAAAACAATATATTTTGTAAATTATTAACTATAAATAAATTTGGATTATAACAATTAAAATTGTATACAATAAACTCAAATATTCAATTTACAGGTTATAATATAGGTATCTGAAATGTGCATTAAAAAAATAAGGTAATAACTAATAAAGGGATTGATACAAATTATTATTACTTACTTTAAACTATTAAAGTTAAAAATCATGTGACAATTTTTCATTCCTCTAGAGAAACTAGTTGAGAAATTAAATTTATTTAATAATAACATTATGATAATTTAAGTGTATAAAGGTGGTTAATTAATAAATATGTGTATGTTTATTTGACACTAGTATTATAAAATAATAAACAGAGTTCAAATACATTCAATATTATTTACAATTATTCAAAAATAATAATATGGAATCCATTTTAATTGCTTAGATATTAATTTCCAATAAACACAAACTTGTGCAATGTAGATATTTTATAGTGTTAAGTAGATATTTATGATAGAGATTTCCATAAAGTATCTATTTCCTTGATAGTTACATGGTATAAATTCTGCAAACTATTTAATAATGTGATTGATTGAGATGAACATTAATGATGAATTATTTTATTTTGTTTATTTAATGCTTCTAATATATTTTTTAATTGATCTCTACGGTTTAATGTGTTTTGTTGTTGTGAAAATGTATTTTGGCTGTAGGTTGTATCAAAATAATTCATATCAATTAAATCATTCTGCTGTCATCTGGCTTCAATTGTATGCAAATTTCTAAAACAAAAACACAAATTATCATTATTAATAATTTAAAATAATAAAAATTGTTATAAATTAAAATAATTATTTTAGATTCTGAGCAAACCGAGGAATTTATTGGTTTTACAACCAATGTTTATTGTTTTATTATTATTTTTTTTTCTGTGAACAACTTTTCCATCAGCAATTTTGCTCTGGTTTATAATAATAAACATTTTTCTGAAAGGAAATCTAACTGTGATGGTACTTTAGAAAGGTTATTTTTGATTTTTCCAGTAGTTTTCATAATAAATGGGGAAAATAGGAAAATAGGTACAATATTAAACAAACATTATTAAAGAAAATATATAATGAATATGCACTTACTCTACCATAATATGAAATAAATATTATTGACAAGACAACACTATTAAGCAAACTCCACTCAGAATCGATTTTCTATAACAATGCTTAATCGTTGCTTACAGATAAACATTAAATTTCCCCTCTAGCTTGCCAACTTCTCACTTACAACGGTGGCCCACCCATTGTGTGAAGTATGTTTGTCTTTTAAATTTTGAGTGTAATAAAATGATTTTTTACATTGTTGGATTGTTATTCCATGGCTTAATCCCCAAACCTGGAGATCCAGTTTGGGCCATCTTATTATAATCAACCCATAACTCAGGATCCCGGGTTCACAAATCCCGTGGCAATTAATACTTAGTTCCTCCTAAGGTTATTGTACTATATCGTGGGTGATTCTTTTATTTTTAAACTCTCATTAAAATGCTGCTGATGTAACTAAGGAAGGTTATCATTTTTTTTCACCTGCTCAAAACATTTATGTTTGCATTATCATGTATTTTCTGTATCTACATAAGGATGGAACAACTTTTAGCAAGTTTTTATAAATATCATTAGGTTAACTTTTAAAGAAAACCTTTTGACCTACTAAATTGTCATTAAGATATATTGTTTGTAAGAATTTAGAAATGGGTTTAAAGGAGTGTTAAGTACATTGAAAAATATAGCTTTGAGTTTGGATCAAAAAATTAGTGTAAGACATGAACAGTGGGCCACTATTAAGTCACTGTAGGTGAAAAGTTGTTAAAGTAGGTTATTAAGAGTAATTTAATGTATGTTTACAACGGAACAATTTATGTTTTCTTTATCGAAAAACAATTCTGAGCATAGTGCAGTTTTACATATTTTTAAAGTCCGTAATATTTATGACTTGAAAATGACGCATTTGGTAAATTTGTCCATTTTTTCCTATATATTATGAAAACTCCTGGGAAAATCAAAAAATGATCTCTGAAATTACTGAGGTTAAAACATGACCGACATATTTCCCACGTGGGTGCAGCCACTGTTGTAGGTGGGAAGTCGGTAAGATAGGATACAGACGAGAATTTCATGTATATCTGTAAGTAATGATAAACCAATAGACGAAGGCTAACGAAAAAACAATTCCGACCGGATTTTAGTTGATAATGTTAATTTTTCAACAGTAAAATATATGGTATATATCATATTATGGTAAAATGATAACATTATGCGTTTCCATGACAACAATGATTGTTTAAAATAGATTAAAATAAAAAAACTTAATAACAAAAAATAAATAAAAACGGAAGCCAATGACAACATTATTTTTAACCTTTCAATCTTTTTAAACCTAAAAACCGATGTTTTCCTCATTATCTTTAATATTAATGAGAATTTCAAAAAATGACCTGTTTAAAGTACCGCCCAGAGAACCTTTTCTGAAATAAAAAGTACTGTACTTCAAAATCGGAGTAAGCTTTTTGGCATAAAAAGTGTTCACATAAAAAAAAAGAAAATGAACATCATTATAAAACCAACGAGGAATTCCTCGGTCCACTTAGAATCTAAAAGATTGAAATATTAAAATTAAGGTTATCATTGGCGACCGTTTTCTATTTATTTTTTGTTATCAATATTTTTTTAATTGTAATCTTTTTTAAACAATCATTGTTGTCATGGAAACACATATTGTATTGTTGACAAAGCAAAACTATCAACTTCGCTCAGAATCGTTTTTTCTAACAATGGTTTATCGTTGCTTACAGATATACTTTAAATTTCCTTCTGAATCCTACCTTCCCAACTTTCAACCTACAACAGCGACTGCACCCACGTTTGAAGTATGTCCTTCCTTTTTATCAATTTGTTACATAATTATTGTATGCTTAAATGTAAGAAAAATGGCATACAGTCAGATAAATGCATGGATTTTTTTTTTTTGTCTAATGTGGAGGAATTTGGCAATGACGTTTTACGCGAAAATTCAAAACAATTAGTAGCTATTTGTTATAAAGGTTCAGAACCTGACTTCGAGAATAAGTTTATTCAATCTAAAAAATAAATTAAACATTTACAGAAAAAGAAAAATTATTTATGCTTAGTTTACTTAAAACATTATTAACATCCAAGTTAAATTATTCATTTCCTAATGTGGCAAAAGCTTTAAAACTTTTTGTAACTATACCATACATCAATGCTAATGGGGAGAGATCCTGCTCAGTCTAAAAAAGAGTGTAAAACTATCAGAGAACATCATTAACATATGGAAAGATACCATCTTTGGCTCTAATGTGTATTGAGAATAATGTGTTACAAGATATAGATTTGAATAATACTAACAAAGAGTTTGCTGCACATAAGGCTATTAACAAAATTGTAAATTTGTACACATAAAATATTATGATGTATTTTCTATTTTATTATATTATATATGTATTTTAATAATACAATTTGAACAGTGTTGTTTTTCATATAATTTATGTCTTTATGATGTGTGCAATGGTTGCAAAGGGTGAGAGTTTAAAAACTTCCCCCAAGTAGAATATTTGTTAATCCAGTACTAAAAGGTCCTTAATACTTATAAGTAGCAAGGGTAAAAAAACAAAGTAATTTTAAAATAAAGCTAAAACGTTATACCATTCTCTAACATTTGAAAAGAATTCAGTAATTAATTACAGAAGTAATTAATTCTCGCAACCCCATTTGTAAACTCATACAAGTATGGGGTTCTCACAAGTATTCTGATCCCTCTCACAGGGAGAATGGTATTGTCAACTATAAGATGAATTTCTCCACCTTACAGAAACAATACAATATGCTTACTGTAATCATCCACAGGGGCTTTACATCAGTAGTAACCCATAAGGTTACTAAAATGTAACAATAATTTTGACAATAAAATAATAATTTTTATGCACGGTTCTGTCAAAAAGTATAAAGCATTCTAAAGAAGATTTTTGTGGATTTTCCCATCTAGGATTTGGGCAGATACAACAGATGAGAGGAGGTACCATGGTGCATGATGTTTTCTAATGATATAAGAAAAATCTGGATAAAAGTTACCAATAGACTTAATAAATGGAGAATAACACTTGAAGGAAAAAGATTAAGGATAAGTAGGATTAAAACAGAGTAAATAGCGTATGAGTTTGAAGGAACAGGACAAGATAGTTAATGACAAGCAGTGACGTTGAGAGTATTTTGTACAAAAGAACTCGACGTTTTATTAACCCTTTGACGAGGATGTGAAATATAGGATTAAATGTAGTTGAATAAAATGAAGAGAAGAGCATTCCAATGAGACTTAAAGCTTAAGATTTTCAAAATGTGGTGAGACACTTGTATGTTTGTATGGTTCGGAGAGTTAAACTATAAACAGCAAATAGAACAGAAAATGAATTTAGCAAATATGAAAATGTTTAGGTGGATGAATAGATTCACAAGATCCATAGGATAAGAAATGAGTACATGAAAGGTAGCTTAAGAGAAGGAGTAATCAATTTACTTAAAATGTTTTAAGACAATCACTGGTTTATGATAAGTTAATTATCCAGTATATTATGTAAAGGTAGGCATTTATTATTAATGTGTATAATATCGATATCAGACACAGGTATATAATATATACACCTACCTAGTGATTTAATATACAAGTGGCATGATGAATATATACAGCAATTTTACATCTCCTCATATCAAATAAAACTATAATTATCTTACTTGCTGTTCTGACGATTTTTTAATAGATAAGTATAAAATATAGATAATATAACACCAACAACCTGAAAAATATTAAATTTATATTTATAATAATAATTCTATAAGTATTTTTTTTTTTAAACATAAGAATTTAAGTAATTTACATATTTATCAATAATATATTATATTATAATAATAATTTGGGTAGAATTGTGTAGTAGCGAAGGCTAGGTATCTTATATAATTCCAATCTGGCAGGTTCTGATATTCTGTAAACCGGGTAGTTAATAGAAAGGGCAGCACGAGCCTTGAAACTATGGGGTTCTCAAACCGGACCACCAGAAGAATCATAGCATGGGCAACTGCAGTAGCGTTAAGTTAGTTATGTAAGACAGGATTACTTTTACTCTGTTGTATAATTTGTTAGTTATCTAAATAATGTGTTAGTCTATCTCGTTTAGGGGAAACAGGATCTAAAATAAATATAGGTTTTAGTTGTAATTTTCAATAAATGAAGGCAATGCTGTCAGTTTAAACACGAAAAAAAAGCTGTCATATATGTATAGCGTCAAATTTAAAATCAGATTTAGTAGGCTGAATCTATAGGAATAAGGTGCCAATATGTTTTAAATTAAAAATTTTAGATTCTGAGCTCAGTGAAAAATACTCCATATAAAGATATAGCTTCAAACGCTTTTAAAGCTATTTCTGTAATAAAAAAATTAAATTATAGTTCTACTTGCTTTTTTTTTGGCAAATTATAAGTAACATTTTCTGACAAAAAATTTTTTTAAAAATGTAAAATGAAAACTGATTAATTTACGGCGTTACAATTTACAAAAATAGAAATTTAGAATGTCCAACAGTCAAACATTAAACATTAATTTTTTATTATGCTTGTTATTGATTTTCAATCAATGTTTTTTATTTTAATATTCTGTTTTTATGTTTATATTAAAGATAAATATTCTTATTTTGTTATAATTGCCATAAATCGTATAATATATTGATATTCAATTTTTTTTTTTTTTTAGAAAATATATTTTTCAAAAACTATGGTGTCTGTACCTACTCTTTCATTTTTTTAAATTCGTTCTTTCATATGAATAAAACGTAAATAAATAGGTTTCTGAAGTTATAACAAATGAGGGGTAACTTCGAACAGCAATATATACGTGTTTGAAATTGGTAGAATCAAATTTTTTTTTTTTAATTTTTCTTAGTGTTGGGAGTATATCTACCAAAAATTTCATATAGGAATGATTCAAATTAAGCTAAAAATTAATTTTATGAGTGAAATAGCTTACTAATCTTCTGAAATTATGCCAAATAATAGTATGAGTTATATTGATATCACTTGACGCCACTGCACCTAATTATAACTTATTTGTGTATAATATTATGTTATTATAAAACATTACCGAATTAATTTAAATAGGTAAGTTTTAATTAAAATTTACAAAGAATATACTTTAATAACAATTGAATGGTATTTGTAAAATGTATTTATGAATACATAAAATATTTACCTGAAGAAGAGAAAATGCCGATGCAACATACATTATAAAAGTTAAACTTCTTTGCACTCTATTATTTAATAAACTATAACATCCTTTTTGGTATATTATTCGTTCGTCAAATAAGTTTCTGCATAACGCTCCTGATTCAACTGGTAAATTTTGACAACATGACACTGGAACTTGATTCTCTGGAAATATAATTGACCAATCTTTTGGTGTATCAACACCACAGCATTCTAACTGTTATAAATTTAAATTAAAAATTATTGATCCGAAAATGTTTTTTTTTTTAAATTAACAAACTTTTCGTTGAATTGAAGCCCATGATTGACGATCAGTTTCTTCAAAAGAGTACTTTCCCATAGAATTTTTAAGAGAAAATCTCAAATCGTTATTAAAATTTTCTTTAGATATTGAAGACATAATAGCTAGAAGTATTTCTACTACCAGGACCAATAATAAAATTATTATAAACTGTAAAATCAATAATAAAAATTATTTTATAATATGATCATTGTTAGGTAGATAACTAAAATGATTACAAATAAATATTTATATAATATATTAAAACAAAAGCAATATACCACTATTAAGAAGTTTAGGTTTTGTTTGTTAATACAATAAAATCCATATATACTTATAAATATTATAAATATGCCCAAAATAATCAGTAATATTGGTGGTGCTGTAATCGAGCTACTTAAATAATTTGAAAAACGTCCCAAATCTGCAATAACTATGATGCCAATTATTATTAAAGCTACTCCAGTGATCTAAAAATTAAACAATATTACATTCTATAAATATTATATAATTTTAATAGCATTTTAAATTATTAATTTACCCCAAATACAGCATTAAAAACATACAAAAAATATTTTAAAACATCAATACTTCCAGTTTCCATTATACCTATTATTTTTTTAAATTTGATATATATAGGTATATATATGTTTCTGGAATTAACAAAATGAATTTGCATTATATCATTAATTATGTAATACCTATATAAATAACAATATGTAATTTGAGTGGAATAGATAATTAAAGTATTTTTTAAATACATGATTAATACCTTTAAACACTAATTAGGTATAAATTGATACTAAACAATTAAAATTTTTTGGAAAAACAAGTTTAAAAAAAAAAAAAATACAATTTAATTAATGATTCATTTATTTTAATATTACAAGTTGCTGAACCATTATACAATTTAAATTCTGTCTTTAAAAATAGATTCTATAAAGAAAAAAAATTCTTAAGCATGACTTGTGTTAAGGCGACTAACACATTTTTGACGTGTTAATATTTGTACCTACACTTAAGATTTATTATTATTTTATAATAACAGTTGTCTAGGTGATAGTAACTATAAACACGTTGCTACATTGGTAATTTTAACACCAAAAAAGAGTGGTAAAAGGAATTCAATAACTCAATAACTATAAGTTGAATAAATATTTAGTATGGTATGGAAGGTCAACCCTCTTTAAATTGCATTCTGTCAAAAAACCATATTATAAATAATGAATTTAGACAGAAAGTTGACACGATAGATTTATAATTCCCTATATGATTAAATTATTAGCAACTAAATGTAAATTATTTTAACTCGCATGTTTATAAAATACAATATACTGTTTTATTATTTTCGGGTTTTGTTACCAATAACCATCCATTTAAGAATGCAATAATAATATATGAAGTAAAATATTTATATGCAGTGTATTAGTACACTGGAAGAAAATAATGTTTTAATAACTACCTTTTAAAAATAAAAGTCTATAGTTTGTAGATACATTTTAAAAATCATAAAATTGCTTATTTGTTTTATTACCTATCTCAAACTCGCTCAAATAACTGACAAGGAAATTAAATTAACTATTGAAAACTGGAAAGCTACTTAAACAATTATAAAACTATTTTATCCTCAAGAGGTAGAGTATAACTTAATTATATAATTTAAATATATATTTGTAAATAAATCAGAGTTATGGGTAGTTAAAATTAATTAGAACTAATAATATTCATTCTCATTTCCAATTTTAAGAATTATTTTTGTTCTACTTCTAGTAGAAAAAAAAACACATTCCTATGATAATTAATATTTCGTCATATAATAATACATTAGAAATATTTCTATTAAATTCAACATTAAAATACCATTTAATATTAAATATATTTATTGTGTACCTATCATGACTTGACTATCCTGATCAGTAATGATGGATTAATGGTTAAACATCTTATATTCAGTACATAAATTTGGAAAAATAAAAACGGGACTACCTATATGACTTAAAAAAACATTAGTGCCTTTCGTAATTATTAAACTCAACTTAACCCTTTTTAGGATTTTATTGGGTTTGTGATTTAAATTGTTTGGGTTTAGCAAAACTGTTCCACTACTTATAATACATAATTGAAGTAATGAATAGACTAAAAAAAATTTCAACAGACAAAATAATACAAATTAGCATATTAATTAAATGCAAGGAAGGTTTATAATTATACATTTTATAAATTGAAGAATAAAGAAGAAGCAATAATATAAGTATAATAAGTATAATTATAAAGAATGTCCCACGATGATCACTCTTGAAATAACTTTTGTTCTATTTAATATTTTTTAACATAAAATTTTTTTAATAATTAGTTGGCATCTACTCAACAGTTAATACACACGTTTTTTCTAATTAGGAACTTACAAACAATGTTGTCATAACTTTTTGGAAATAATTCAAAATAGATTTTTAGAAAATATTTGGTGGTGTAAAATTTTGTTGAAATGTGATCTTTTATTTTCTATAATTTTTGAAGTTTGGAAAATGTAAATACAATTGTTGTTTAAAAACGGTTATAGTCTATTATAATATTTAATTAGTAGTGAAAGCTACAAATATACATACTAGCATGCCTAAACATATCTAGCCATGATCACAATAATATTCATATTTGCAAAAAACTTCAGTTTTCAGTAAATAAAAGATAATACCTAAACAAAAGTATTAAATTTTTTTTAAAACTCAATTTTACAAAGGAATTTGTTTTAAAAAATGATAGTAAAATTTTAAATTAATTGTTTCCTTACTTAAAAAATTATATATTAAATACATTAAAAATTATGTCAAGTGTTAGATCATCGTGGGATATCTGTATACTTAAATATATTTAAAGAAAAACAACTTCATACAATCACAATATAAAAGTGTATTAAAATACATATAAGGTATGACATTGTTAAAATTGAACAAAATTTAAAATATTAAAGCAATTTAAGTTTTAGTGATAATATAAAATTTTGAATTTGTCTTTTAAGGTATTTAGGTATCTTAAAGTATAAAGTATCAATTAAACAGATACAAAAACTAATATATGTACAAATATCAAGTATAAACAATTTATATGCACTAAATTTCTCAAAAAAAAAAACATACTTAAATATATATATTTATACTGTATACTCATAATTTATAATTAATTATAATATAATATAATTAATATTTTGTTGCAGATTTCTGTAAGACCTTACTGAGAAATTTGCATTATCTATATTTCAAACTTTATGTATTTTTAAATTCACAGAATTATCTGGAACTGTAATTAAATCTAATGCTATTTTAACTGGATTCATTGTTTCTATTTCATATCGTTTAATACACTGTAATGATAAAAATATGTTAAATTATTATAATAGAAAAATTTAAAATACGATTTATAAAAAATACAAATAAATGTTTATTCTGAATTTGCATTTACCTAAGAGAAGGTAACTAATATTAATTTGAGCACTAGGCAAAGGTACCTATTTAAATACCTATTAATACTGACGTGGTAAATGAAATATAGTGTAAATATAGAAATATATTATTTAAATATGTTAAATAATATTCATGTATAAAAAAAAACTTAAACAATTTATTTGATGCTCATTTTACATTGCTTATATTCAATCTCGAAGCAAAAACTTAACAAATTATAAAAAAAAAAATGAAATTAGCATCAAATAAATTGTTCTTAGAAACTTTGTATAATCTCTACACCTAGTCAATCTTAAAAGGCACAACTTTTAATGCTAACACCATGCATATACAAAATGTCAACCCCCTGGCTTCATTTGGGGTCTATGTAGTTGTTCAAAACTAAAAAAAAACACCTTTCTCCTACAACACGGTGTAATTTATATTGAAATCAACCCAACTTTTATCATTTTAATCTGTCTAGAAAATAACAGATTTTTGAGTTTGAGCTCATTTAGTCTAGAGGGAGACTCTAGAGATAAGTGTCCAAAAGTAACGGAAAAAATAAAATTAACAAGTTACAAATGGAATAATCTTTAATTTTGGGGAAAATTTGACAAAAAAAATTATTTGTTCATTATTATATTACCTCGGCTATTGTTATACACATCTGAGTATGTGCCATTCTTTGTCCAATACATGATCTTGCCCCAAATCCATAAGGTAAAGTTGCAAACGGCTCAATCACACTATTATATTTATTATTTTTTAGACGATTCCATCGATATGGATTAAATTCATTTGGGTTAATAAAATATTTTTCATTTCTACTGCATGTGAACATTGACATTACTATTAGACTCTGTAATAAATAATATAATTAATATACCTAATAAAAAACTTCATAATTTCAAGGTTTGTTTTAATATGTAGCATACATTTGCAGGTACTATGTGGTTTGTTAAATAAATATCACTTGGTGTAATTCTCGTAAGGAATGGTGCTAAAGGGTACATTCTTAGAACTTCTTTCAAAATATTTATTAATAAATCACATTCCAAAAAGTCAGTTTTCAATAGGCCATCTCTTAAATTGTTTTGTATATTTTTGTGTAGCCCTATAGTGTAGAGAGCCCATTGAGTCGAATAAGCAGACTACAAAGTATATAAATTAAATTTAAATATTAGAAAATAAGTTTTATAAATAGGATTCTTTAATAAACGTATCTAATCTTACTGTATCACCAGCTGCAATTATAAAGTCAATTATAAGCTTCTTAATCATATCATTATGAATATCAGGAATATTTTTTATAGAATTTAGTAAGCCATCACTATTGTATTTCATTAATTTTGATACCAAATTATTTGCTATGAAAAAAATTAATTTGAGTACAATAAATTAATACCTATTATATCTAATAAAAAATACCTTGTAATAATAAATATATTTTAAAAATCTAGAAATAAAATAGGTTAATTATTAAAAAGGATGTTATAGGATAATGAGGACTGGTGTAGCCACTGTTATAGATAATTTAATGTACACCTGTAAGCAACGATAAACCATTGCTTACAAAAAAACGATTCTGAGCAGAGTTCAGTTGATAGTGAAGCTTTTTCAACAACATATGTCATTTTATAGTAAAATAATTAAAAAGGCTTTATATTTTCTTTAATAATATTTGTTTAATGTTGTACCAATTTTTTCCAGTTTTCCTACGTTTTTCCTGTTTTATCCTGGTTTTTCACATTTGTTGGAAAAACTCCTGAGAAATTTGAAAAATAACCTCTTTCAAGTACCTCCCTAGTAAAATTTCCGGAGCAAAATTGGTGATAGAAAAGTTGTCCACAGAAAAAAATTTCTTAATATTATACAAATATATTTCGTACATTTTCCGGTTTTTTTTTTTTTTTAGGTTTTCTGCATTTGATAAGGAAATTAAAAAATGAAATTTTTAAGATTCCTCTTTAAGAATTTCTTTTCAGAAAAGTTGCTACACGTAAAAGTTGGAGTAAGTCTTCGGTAAAAAAATTAAATATCTTTGTAAAACCAGACTCTTTGCTCCGCTCAGAATCTAAAAATAAGGATATGAAGTTTTATTAACTTGTAACATAATATATAATAATATCTATATTTAAATACCTAATTATAAATATAAACAAATTACCATATTCAATAGAATTTTCAACAGCATGTATAAAATCATTCCAAATTTTTAGTTTTAATAATTTAGCTGTTTTAGCTGGGATAAATGTAAATTTTACAGTGCATTGAAAGACTTTTTGAATACTTTGTGCTAAACAGTTAACATCTTCTGACACATGATGTTTACATTTTTCATAAACACTTCCAACCAAATTTGCTACCATAACTGTAAACCATGAGTCTAAATAATTTTAATTTTTAAAAATAGTTTTCCTAATAAATCATTTAGTTGTTTTTAAAATAAATTTTGATGACCAAAAATTATATTCTGTGAAACACTATAACTATTAGTAATAAAGTATGTTTTTGGAAATTGTATGTTAGTTCAATACACTAATTCAGTTACTTATTAATTAATAATAGCTATCTACCTTAAATATGTTTATTACATTTAATAATGTTAAAAATAATTTATAGTACTGAAAAGATAATGTTTTCAATTATATCTAGGGGTACCAAAATGATAAAATATTTTTAAAATACTTTTAATTTATACTTATATACATATAAAGTTTTAAATGGCCCCAATTTTATTTTTCTTTAAAATTATTATTATCTTTACCTATAGTATTCTGTAGTGTATACTAGGGTGGATCAAAAAATTGTATATTTAAACTTTATAAGAGTAGGGGAAATGGGTGTTAAAGTCCCTGTATACTGTATATATATTTTCAGATACCTAATATTAAATTAATAGTCGCTGTGAGACATTCAAAACGTATAAATAGTTTGTACATAAACAGTATACAAATAGTTTAGTTAATTGGGTAGGTTAAATTCACAATGTTGCTATTATTTCAGTTCATAGTAATAAAAGAGTAATAAATAAAAATAATATTGTTATTTTTTTGTAAAGAAATAACGTGAATACTTTAGAAATTGTTATGGTTGGCTGTGGTGGTACAGTGGTAAATATAGGTTAGAAAACGAATGATTTACCATTTAGAACATTTTTCAAAACCACTTCAGTAGTTTATTTATCAACTCTTATGCCAATGAGTTTCCACTAAGTTATTTATTTCAACATTTAGATAGGAAAACATCTGGGCCCCTTGGATTTTTTAGTTCACTAGAAAAACAGTTAGAAATATATCACAAACTTCCAGTTAACAAATTTGTACAAATTAAAAGTATTTAAAATTTATCTATTTTAAAAAATAAACTTGATTTAAGCAATGATCAAAAATATTTGGATGAAGTGTGCTCAAGTATTTCTAGTGGTATTTATACCATTAACTTATCCAGGATAAATCCAGTTAAGCAAGCACACTCTAGGTGCCTTACAACTGCTATTAGGATTTTATAACAGAAACTTATAACAGAAGCATCTGGAATTGCATGCGGAAAAACTAGAATGTCGTAAAATTATGCCTTATTTTCATTCAGAAAAAAATTTTTGATTGACTTAGTTTTAGAATTCAAATAAAGTTTTTACAATTGTATTAAACTTAAAAATTAATTATAAAATACTTAAAAACTCATAAATACCATTTCTTTAAATTGAACAAATTTAGTTCAATGTAATTTTTTTAAATTTATTGGCACACTAATTACTCTTGAATGGGAAAATCACAAAAAATAAAGCAATGATTCAGAACAGGGAATACTGAAAGACAATTTCTCAGTACCTGAATTTCAAAAAGCCATAGACGAACTTAAAAACTGGAAAGCCGCAGGACTGGATCACATATATTCTGAACAAATTAAGAACTCTGGACCACAAACCAAAAAATGGATCCTAGATCTATATAATGGTATTCTATTTACACAGTTGATACCCAAAATTTGGAAAAGAACTAAAATTATCGCTCTATTGAAACCAGGAAAGTTCCCAGATGATCCAAAAAATTTCCGCCCAATTTCCTTGCTCTGTCACCTATATAAACTCTTTAAGAGACTAATACTTAATCAACTGAAAGTCTATATTGATGATAAGCTTATTAGAGACCAAGGTGGATTCAGACCAGGTAGATCTTGTACTGGACAAGTTCTAGACCTTACACAACACATTTAAAACGGGTTTGAAGAAAAAAAGATCACTGGTGTTACTTTTATCGACTTGTCTGCGGCATACGATACAATCAATCATAATATACTATTATCAAAACTACAAAAATTAACCTCAGATAACAAACTAGTCAAGATAATAGACACGATACTTCGAAACAGGTGATTTTTTGTAACACTTAGGGGGAAAAATAGTAGGTAGAGGTGTCAAAAAAATGGCCTACCCCAAGGCAGTGTCTTATCTCCAACCTTGTTCAATATATATACTAACGACCAGCCTGTTCTATCCTCTTTAGGCATTAGACACTTTATCTATGCCGATGACATAGCCATGGCAGCCCAAGGTGAAAATGTTGAAGTGGTTGAGAAAGCACTGGAAAGCTCATTACAGCTAGTAGGTGACTACTACGACTCAAATTATTTAAGACTAAACCCCTCAAAGACACAAGTCTGCGCTTTCCATCTCCACAATAGGCTAGCCAACAAAAAATTGAATATAGCATGGAAAGGTGTCGAAATCGAACACACACCTTATCCTAAATATCTAGGAGTAACCCTAGACAGATCCCTTACATATAAAAAGCACTGTGAAAATGTAAAATCAAAAATTAGTGCAAGGAGCAGTTTACTTAGAAAACTTATAGGATCAAACTGGGGAGCAAATGCTCATACCCTCAGAGTGTCTGCGTTAGCACTATGCTTCTCCGTAGGATAGTATGCAAGCCCTGTGTGAGGCACTGAATGAATCCTGTCGCTTGATAAGGGGGTGCCTAAAGACCACACCTCTCCACAAAGTCTTCCCAATCGCAGGTATCGCACCTCTAAACATTCGACGTACAATTAATGCAGACTTAGAAAGATCCAAACTCGAAACTGACAGTCGACATATCCTACACGGCAAGGATATACACAAGTCAAGATTAAAATCAAGAAAGAGCTTTATAAAATGCACGAATATCTTAACGAAACCCCCCGAGCAAGCCCAAATGGATAACTGGAATTTAACAGTAGGCCATATTGAAGATGATCAGATTTCACCAGCAGAACACCTTCCTGCAGGATATAACCTTGATTGGCCCGCTTGGAGAACACTCAATAGACTAAGAATGGGAGTAGGAAAATCAAAAGACAATCTGAAGAAGTGGGGTGTAATACAAAGAGACACAAAATGTGACTGCGGAGATGAACTTACCATGAGTTACCTATTGATCTGTCCAAACTGCCCAACAACACATGCACTACTTCAGATCTCATAACAGTGACAAAAAATGCAATTAAAGTGGTGAAACATTGGGAAGGGGAAATTTAATAATTTAATAAACAACCTTATTTATATACCTAGTAAGAATAACTAGTTCATCTGTGATTTATATATTTTTATTTTCATTATTTGATTTTATTCTGTTTTTTTTTTTTATGTTTATTTAATTTTACTCATGTTTATGTTTATGTTTATATTTATATGTGATTGTTTGACACAAATATAATAATAATTTATAATATTATATAAATTAAATTAAATATAAATAAATTGCAAAACCTTTAAAATTGTTAATACCATATCCATTTTTTTTACACTTTATTTGAATATGAATCATAATTTTTTATCACCATTAGAATTTGAAAAAAAAAAATTATTTCACTATAAAATCGATTCATCCTAGGGGGTATATACATAATTAAATAAAATTCTAATACTAAAAACTTACATGAAATTGATACCTTGTATAAATCTGCTATGAGATTTGGAACCACTTGTCCTGTGTAACTATTCCATTCAGTTAATAAATCATCAATTACAATATTGTATGATTTGATAACGTTTGCATTCAAATCTTTGAACATAATTCTATTCAATATTTGTCTATACATATGCCATTCTTTTCCATCCCTATAAATATAATAAAAATATTTTAATTAGGTAGGTACCTAATAGTAAACATGATTTTTTTATTTTTGAAATTGTTAGGAGAATGTTACAAATAATTTTAAAAAGTAAAATATCTCAGATTTATTTTCTTTGTAATTACTTAAAAATAGTTTTTGTTCAAACTACAAATATTTTAATGTCTTGCCGACAAGCTAGCTAAATTCACGGCTTCTCTAAGGGTTCCTCTCAGCAGTAAAATTCCATGGTCTGATTTTTTAGCCTTATTCTTAGATCCTGCATTAATAAGTTATGGCAAAGCCACTGGGATTCACTTCCTCCTAATTTTACCACTCGGTACAAATCTATTTCTCAGAGTATCCCACCCAATTCTTTTCTCTACTCAGATTTGGCCACACTAAGGTGTGGTCTTATTTCTTCCCAATTTTGTAAACTATCATTAAATAATTATCTACTCTGTATACTTCCTACTGACCCTTTAATTTGCGACATTCTATTTGATTGCTGGAAATTTTCTCCTAAACTAACCAATTTAATTTGTCTTTTTGACTAGTCTAACATTCCTTTTAATATTCAACACATTCTCTCCGCGCAAAATCAAAATTTAAGTTTACCAATCTTGTCTTTTTTCAACCATTCATGCTTTCTTATCTAATTGATTATTATACCCTTAAATGTTTTACAAAATCTAAATAAAAAAATTTAGAATGCAAAATGCTCATAGAAATGTCCAGATTATATTTTATGTTAAAAATATAGGTGAATTAATAACATAAATAAGAATTTAGAATACCTAGTATAAAATAAAATAAAAAAATATATACATTATTTTATTTAGTCTTCATATTTTTTATCATTAGGTATTCAAAAAAAAAAAATAAAAAATAAAAATGAATTTTCCTTCAAATACAAACTTATAATACAGTTAATTAAAATTATAATAATTTACATGAAATAGAGTCCACGTTTTTGGCCATATGTATCGTTATAAAGTAACCAAGCTTCTGGTAAAATATGTTTGGGAAATTTTCCTTCTTGTGCAAATAATAATTTCATGTCCAAAGGATTACTAATCCATACAGCATCAACAGGACCAATTTTTTCTCTAAACACTGAACCATATTGTTGATGACGCATATCAATATATTCATGTAACTTACGACCACCACCAGCAGACAAAATTGAAAATATCGTTCCAACTATAGGTAAACCCTTTACAATAGGTATATCTTCTTTTGATTTGATTTTTATTATATTTTTTGTAGACAACAATCTCATTTTAAAAGTATTTACGAAAAATACGGAACTTCTATTAAGTATTAAATACTCGTTTACAAGGGCGGTCATAATTATATTAGATAAATAAAAATTAATAATTATAAATCAAATAACATATTACATAAATTGGATTAAAAATATAATCAAAATGGTAACTTGTCAAAAAGTAAATTATAATAACCTAACCTTAACAGATATAAAGGTTTAAGAACAATCACGATTAAAAATATCTTTAATCGTGTGAACAATAAAATCAATTACCAAAATGGAAGTTATAAAAATATCTATCTTCACAGACAAACATCATCGCTATATGAAACATAATTCAAGTATGCATATTTAATTACAGCATTAAAAATTTGAAAATTCAAAATATGCATAATTTACATTATAAAATAAATATTATTCGGTGATAGTGAGATTACGAATATATCTAGTCTAACTCAAAAGAGATCGGGCTGCTCGCCGACCAAAACCGGTCGCTACCGCGCATCCAGACGCTGCAACCTTGATCGTCGGTCAATACTCGAATCAGTTTTAACATTACGAATTAATATCTTACTTTGTGCTGTAAATCTCATAGATATGGTTAAATTGAACCACAGTTTAAGGCTCTAGACCGTGCACACGATTAAAGATAGTATTATAGAATTGCGTGTATTCTGTGATAGTATCTATTGCAGTGTGTGAATAATAGAAGATCGTGGTCATTCTTCTTCTTATCGTGTCCAAGCTATGGTATAGATGCTTTGTTTATCATATTTCTTTTCTACTCCATTGATTGGCTACTTGTATAGCCGCGTCAGTTGCTTTCGCCAGATCTTCAGGTGTGCATGACACCGAGTTCAGAGGACATACGAGTATATGTTGTTCCGTTTGTTCACTTCCACATTCGTAATCTACAGTTTCTGTATTGTATCCCCATTTACATAGATTTTTTTTCGTTCGGGCAACACCCACTCTCAATCTATTGAGTGCTTTCCATGTGTTCCATTCACAACGGTATCGAGGTGGAAGTTTTTCCACTGGTTTTATTTTAAAATTATTGGTTTGGTTTGATGCTATCCATTTTCGATGTCGTTCGTGTTCAAATGATGGTGTGATCTCTGTGGTTGATTTAAAAAAGTTTTTCCTTGATTTAAATCTGCTTGGGGCCGGTTGGTAGCCATGGAGTGGGTGCCTTTCATCATTTGTCTGGGCTGTTTTTATCGTGGTCATAAAGACCGTCTTGAATAGTTCAAGTCATATATAAAGATATATAAACCTAACCTAACCTTGTAAGACAGTGATCATGGCAATAACCTCTTAGACAATGTATAAAGTTTTTCTTATTATTAACCTTAGATCTAAGCACTAATAAAGATATACGATCAAGATATTTAGGATGTCTGAAAAGTACATCAACTGTATCTATTAGTGGTGTGCAGGCTTGTAGCCGATATTAGTCATTAGCCCTCTATATGTATTCGTCCAAATCGTCGGAACGTCGGAATCAATAGTTTACTGATACCAGGATTTTATTGTGTATCCTGTGGATCTAAGTATCTGGACCTTCTATAGAACTAAGTTATTAACGCACAATTAGTTCTTACTTCAAGTACTTTTTATCAGACCGTTGTCTGTTATCGGTTATAATTTGATTGTTTGGATCAATAAAAATGTATATTATATCAATGGTTTGGATCCAAATATTTTCATGGTACCACTGAGATAGATAAGAATTTTCTTATCTTGCTCATTGAATTGTACAGTTAAATACATGCATGATATATTTTTGAATACTCATTTTATATTAAAATACGAGTATTTGACTATTTTAAAATAAGAGATACTCAAGTGAGAATTTTTTGGAATAAAATAAGAATAAAACAATATATAACAATTAGTTATAATATAACAATAATATAATAAAATTAATTGTTATATTAATATAGTACTTAAAATTTAGAATATAACAATTTTAAAGTTACTTTGCATCTCATTTGTATGTACATTTCTATTTGTTTGGATCAACAGATATATAAAACAGTTTAAAATATATCAACCGTGTTAGGATCCGATCGTACTTGATAAGAATTTTTATCAGATAATATGTCGCACTAATCGTGTGTAATCTTGGATCACATACTATCGATAGAGCTTTATTTGAAGTAAACATAACCAAGGAGAGTTGGAACATATGTGCATGCGTAAAATTTATATCACGCGCCTTAAGTCGAATTCACATAATCACGTGTGATGTACCTTCCATCACTGTCTGGTGGTATAATAATTATAAGATAAATAACGACGAGGAGTGATACGTATGCATAATAGACATCAGTTCTCTTAGAACTCGTTAGTAATGATGTCTTTAATTTATTCATAGTACGCAGTTATCATACAGTAGTTCCATCCATAGTATTTTTTCTTATTATTTTTTATTTTTAGTTCAATGTTCAATATTCGATGTTGCACGTGAGTGGCAAGATATGAGAAAGATACTGAAATCAGTAGTGTATTTAGGGCAGCAATTTTGGTTGATTTAGATTGTTTTTGTAATATAATATGTATAATAAACTAGATTGCTAATTAGCCTATATAGTCTATATATTTCGTTTGAAGTCAACATCTGTCATTTAAATTGAGGCCAGAACGCCTTATTAGTTATTATTTATAATGATAACAAAATTTTGTGTCGTAAATTGTAATATAATCATAATATCAATTCAACGAATGTTTTAGTTATACATCTTAAATTTAGTTAAATTTTACGTTTTATTAAAACGGTCGTCATTTTTTTTACATCAGTAAATAATAATCCAAAAATATTAAAAAAAAAACATTCATTATTAGGTTGGTACTTTTATAATAATAATATGAATAAAATAATGATTAATAATTATAAAAATAATAAAATAAGTCACATATTATAAAACAAAATGGTTTTTGTAAGTTTATGTCGTTTGCATGTTTAATTTTTTTGAACGATATTAAAAATAATTAAATATAATAGATAATTATAATTTTAACAAAGTATCAATGTACACAAAATAATATATTATATCATTTATTTACTAATTATTGTTGTATTTACATATATATATTTGTTTATATCCATAACCATGGCAACTACACATCTCCATAGTTTGTCATACTATGTTTACATTATCTATTATTTAGTGTAATAAATAAATATAGAAATAAAAAATTAATAATTGTGCTAGTGTGATTAAAGATTATCAATTGATAATATAATTCCGGCCTTAAAATAAATGTTGGAACAAAACTTCTCATGCTATCACTAGTTAGCAATATATGGTGCGTTGCCTAAACAGCCAATATGATAATAATCACGTATTTGGCATTGACTAAACAGTCAGGTCACTCGTTTCAAGCATTGTTTGGACGGCTTTTGTGTATCCTGTTCGCCAAATCGGCCATCCCGTCGAGCAGAATCGTCGGCGGCCAATTGCTGATAATATAATAAATTTGTTGATAATAGCATAGTTTTTCGAAAATAAAATTCTTCTTAGACATTGATATTAAACTATTAAGATTAACGGCCACATTTAGGACCATCCCGAATTCCTGACAATCAACCAAATATACCTATAGGCAAAATGGCTTTATTTACTACCTATGAGTATACTTATAGGTGAATGTATGATAATTGATAAATCGTTGATGGCTGTTTTTGCGTTGCCTTCCAACGGTCAAAAATTTGACCGCATGTCAATATCAAATCAGATAATCCGAACAGGCTATCATCAGTCTGGCCGTTCAGGCAACGCACCTCTATTATTATTTATTATCTATGGTGTAATCTATGAATAACATAGACAATTATTTTATCACTTTTCGTTATCGCCTAGGTATAACCCATAGTACGCACACAATAAAACATGAAAAAGGGATTATGTGATATAATCATGTGATTGCAAAGTTCATTTGGTTTTTATATTTTTCATTATTTTGATACTTTATTATGATTATTATACCAGATTCCTATAAGAAAACAATTTCAATTTAAATAGTAGTATGTAGTTTAATTATTTATATTTTTAATCGCTCAGTAATTTTCTTTTATAATTACTATGCATTTTTAAGTTTTATAATGTATAAAATAAATGGAAGCCATTTAGCTTTCATTGGTGTAACTGGAGCTGGTTTAGCAATAGTTGCATATGTGTTGTTTGGCCCAGCGGATAAGTCTAAATCTACAAAAAAACGTTAGTTGATCATTGATTTGTAATTTAAAAAAATTATAGAATTATTAATTTACAAATATAAAAAATTATTATATAACATTTTTTATGCAATTTACATTTATTTAAGAATATTTGTCATAGTAGATATATCTTATTTTAAAATTTGTATTGTTTATATTACCAGTTAAAATTATATATCTAACAGATATTTTTACTACCTATTATAAAATTATTATAAAAAAAAATTATAAATTAATCAATTTATCTAAATATATTACTCAGTAATTATTTTATATTTTCCTAAACTAAAATATATAACCTAGTGTATTTTAATTAAACAAATATTTTTTTTTTTTGTTAATTTTGTATTATATACTGATTCCCTTATAGGTGGATTTTGTGGACTGCAAAATTTAGGTACTACTTGTTATTTAAATACTTTATTACAGTCACTTGCATCTTGTCCTATGTTTGTACTATGGCTTGAACAACAATCAAATTCCTCAACTGTATCTAATACTCTGAAGAGAACACTAAAATGTAAGTTTTTTTATCTTTAAGTTTAGTTATTTTAGGATTATTTACATTTTTAATATAGATTATGTACAATTTGTTTTAAATAGTAATTACAATTTTTGCTATCTAAATAACTAATTCAATTTTTTTTATGAGTACGAAAACCAACACTAAGCACTTGCATTTGTATAAAACAACCAATTCATATCATTGCCTTACTATACATTCCTTTTGTTTATCATATATTAAGTTCACAAAAGTAGTGCTCGTTTGAATTATTCATTTTTTTGAATTGTATTAGTTCTTGTAACTTAACAGTTCACAGGTTAAAAATATATTGGTACTATTGTGTTTATGTTTTAATAAAGTAATTAGTGTCGTTAGTATCTTTATTCTATGATGTTGTTCGTGAACAGTTATTTTAACTGTTACATTCTAACTGTGTATCACCATTGAGACAGTTCTAAGTATTTATCATTGAACTGTAATTAGGTACCTACCTATTATTGAAAACATAAGGATATAATAATTATTGTGATATGTTTACAGATGTATCATATTATGATATTATACTATATTAATATAATACCTTGTGGACTGGTCTTAAAAAAAACGCCACATCTGCATTTACTATCTCCGTCTTTCAAATGCATGATATAGCAAATTTGCTTAAATAGGACAAATTTTATGCCATTAGTTTTAATATTAAATCAAATTGACTTATTACCTAACTTAGAAGATTATATATGTCCTAGCGTTGATGTTTTTTTTCCCCATATTTTAATTTTTAAGGAAGATATAATCATTTTTGATTTGTGATATTTCCTATAATCATGTTTTGCTTGAAAATAAAAATATTGAAAAAAAAAATCAACACTAAGGCCACATGCAATCTTCTTACCTTTAATTTTGGTTATAAGTCAATTTGCTTTAATACTAAAACTTACAGCACACAATTTGTCCTACAGAATGTAAATTTTCTATCTCGTTTGTATAATGGAGACAGAAAATGCCGGTCTGACATCCTCTTAACCATAGACCTCTTTATTTAAATGAGTACTAGTAGTGGTCAAATAAATAGTTTATTACCTAACAATCCTGTATGAATCAGTAAACTATGTGAACTTTAACTTTGATTTATAATGAACTTTTCACACAAATTAACTAAACTTTCTAGATTGTATATATATATAGGGCAAATTAAAATGTATGTTACCTAACCTAACCTGTCCCCTTAATTAAACTTTAAAGTGGAATATTTCGTTTATGGGAAAGGAATGAAACACTATATACTTGTGTGGTGGCACAGCTCTGCACTTGGCATTTGTATTGGATTGTTCTACTACTCTCCTGCTACCTAAACTTTAAATTGGAATACCTCATCAACGAGTTGATGGAAAATAAATATTTCCATACCAAAATTTATTTAAACTAACACTCCATATATTCATGGAATTTTGAATATAGGTACTCATTTGTATTTCAAAAGTTTGTTCAAAATTCTCCCAAAAAAGACAGTAAAAAAAAAAAATTAACTAATTATTTTAGATGTTTATAAATTATAAAATTTTGGTATGATACTTTTTCCTTTATTTTGAATATTTACATGATAAAATGGTTGTAACATTAATTTAGAATCAATATGTATATTCAGTGTGGGGAAGGAATAAATACTAGAATAAGTTCCTATTTATAAGAAACGTGAACACAAATTATTGTTTCTTTTTTTCTTTCTTTTGATTTTTTGATTTACATTATATGATTGTTCATGTATATTATCTATATCTTTTAATATTAATATTTCATAGAAATTATCTAGTAATGGCATCACTGTTATGTGTGCATATTTCCAAGGTAAATTAACTATTAGTATTATTTTTCAATATAAGATTATACAAAATTAGTTTAGACTTTGCACTAATTAATAAATAAATAAGAATGAATTCCTTTTTAAAATATACTTTCCCAACACTGAATATACTATAGTTAATAGTTTTGTTTAAAATATGTAAAAAACCATGTTTTAATATTACAAATGTTTATTTTTTTAATATTTAGTTTTAACCGGAGCTAGGTATAATGATGATGGAATATTCTCTCCAATAGAATTAGTAACTACTCTAGCAAAATTTGGATTTCAATTTAAACCACACCTTCAGGCTGATGTTCATGAACTATTTGTTCATTTGTTTTCTGTGATTGAAGATGAAGCTTACAAATCTAGTTGTAGTGTATGTTTTATTCAAAGTATACTATTTTGATAAATTATTATGTAATTTTTTTTTTTTTTTAAATAAAATAAACATTTAGTTGGCTGATTGTTTGGAAACTAATTATGGAAATTTAATAGAAAATCAATATAATCAAAATTCAATAATATTTAAAAATGACATCAACATTAATATATGTAACCAGTTTAAAGTCGAAGGAAATGTTTTAGAAAAGAACACAGTATCTAATAAAAACTGTATTGTTTCTGGGTAATAAAATTATTGTTATACACTTTTAATTTATTTATATTTAATGACAAGTATTATTTGTTTATTTTGTTTGTATAGAGACATTATATTACGAGGTGATAAAAAATCAACTGATAAAAATCAAAACATTAAACCGCCACCTTTCTTGGGTTATTTGTCTAATAATATAGAATGTTCTTTATGCAATCACAAAGTTAGTATATAAATTACTGCTACTATGTAACTTACCATCCACTTTTTTTTACCACTATACCAGTTCATTTACTTTACCAATATATTTTTCATCTAGAAGTAGCTAAGTCGACGGTTTTGTCAATGATATTAAGTTATTTCTTAAAAATGATGATGAAGAGAATTGCTGTGATGTTTAAATTCTCTAGGTCATTAAGGGCATTATACAGTACCCTAGTTATATTTATTCTTAAATTTGGTGGTTCTCTTGTATTGTATAATGTGTTCAGCAAAAATGTCTTAATTTTGCTTTGTTCAAGTTAAAATTTCATACACCCTCTTCACGATTATGACTCAGTGCTTCATAATCTGAATTTCTTATCTCTAATTGACCGCCAAACTTCTCATGATATTATTTTCATTTCTAAAACTCATTATTAATAAGATTGGTTCTATTTTTCTTGTTCAATTTAGAGTTCCTACTCATGCTATCATCATCATTCTTTTCGCGATTCTTTCTCACCCAACAGATAACTTTAATAATGAGCTGATGCGCCACTAACTTGCTGTATATGGCAGCCAATCTTGACATCTCCAACACTCATTTATTTTAATTTCTACTTTTCAACTAACTGGTGTTTTATTTTCTTTACTTATCATATAATTTTTATTTAAAAGATAAATACCAATTTTGTACATTGAAATTAGACTTTCACCCATGGTATTAATGAAATTAAATTATACTTAATTCAGTGTTAAGTGACTTATTTTATATGTAAATTATATGGGTACTCTTCTTCTAGTGGTAAATAATTGGATGGCACTATTATAATTCTATGAATTATTAATTTATGATAAATAATAATACTCGTTTATTGGAATTTTAGTCATCATTGAATTATGAAAAATTTTATGTTATTTCATTGAATCTACCAGAACGCAGTCAGTTTAAAATTGAATTAACCAATATTTTAGAGCAGTATATAAAAAATGAGAAATTAGAAAATCTACCATGTATAAACTGTGATAAAAATTGTACTATAACAGATGGAAAATCTTACATAAAAAGTGTCAAATTTGGAAAAGTAATATTTTAACTTTAAAATAATATATTAAATTGTAAAAAGATTTAATTTAATTTTGTTTTAATCATTTTAGTTACCATGCTGTTTATGTCTTCATTTAGTAAGAACTCAATATTCTAAAGATAGACCATTAAAAAGAAAAGATTATGTGGAATTTCCAGAATACTTACATATGGATAAATATACCACTGTTTATGATCAACTAAGCAAGCTAAGACAATCTAGAGAAAAATCTGAACCAATAGAAAGGTAATTCTGGACTAAATTTATACATTTTTATTTATTTATATTAAATACTATTTTGTAATTAACTATTATTATCTGTTAAAAATATTTATAATTTGTGTACGTCAACATCATTAACTAATATTTATTACAATAAATGGTACTTTAAAATTGTTCAGATTTCAAGTTGACTAAATTTTAATTACTGGGTTATAATTTGGTTTTAAATTAAAACATAAAAATGTTGCATTTATATTTTAAAATTTTCAATTATGTTCAGATCTTAAGTTTTTTTTTCAATTCTGGTTTGAAATTACAAGTATAACTGTTTTGATGTGTGAATTAAATATTCTTACTAGATTAGAATTTTATTTTATTGCAAAAAAGGTATTCTTTTCTCAAATTTGGTTAAATTACGTGTATTTTTTTTTATATATAAAATGACCTTACTATGAAATATTTACATTTACAAATTCTCCATAATTTTCCTAGTTTTGTTTTATATTTAAATTAATCATCCATAGTTTATTTAATATAATAGTACATAAAAAAATCAAGAGTTGCTACATCTAGATTCTGGGGAGTTAATATTTTAGATTGAAAATAACTATAAATAGAAAATAATATGGGTAATAAATAATAAATATTGTCAAAAACTAACTCATTAAGTTTTGAGTATAGATCTATTGATTTTTTTCTCTTAACATTAAACATTTTACTCCTATTTAGTTTTTAATATATACACCATAGTGCCTATACAGTATCTAGAACAACGATTCTGAACTTGGGGGCCCTTTCCCCATAGAGGTGGGGGGGGCATAAACATTTGGCAGAATGTGACCTGAGATGTGCACTATCACAGTTATTGCCAACCATTAAAAAATCGATTGGAACTAGAGTATTTATCAAGTAAAAATTATGTAAAATACTAACAAAATTAAAATATCTCTAAACAGCTCAAAAATGATTCAAATGTTCTGAAAATTTTATCACTTCTAGAAAAATCATATAAAAGAATTATATCTATATTTCAAGTTCTATGGGAATATTTTTAATTAAATTAGATTAAAAAAAAAAAAAAAAGATTTATTTAGGTAAATTTTCCCGTATTTTTAAGTTTTGCTTAATTATTAAAATAACTACAATAAAAATCAAAAAATGACTTTCTTGTTTTCCAACTAATTAAAATAATAAACAAAAGCGAACAATGTTTTTCTATTGAAGAAATATTTATAATAGAAAATATAAACCGTAAAAAATTAAAATAATAAAATCTTTGTGCCATAATTTAAAAAAAATTATAAATTATCGTCCTTTTAAATTTTCCTAATTATTATGAATAATACTTTAAATATTAAAAATTACATTCTTCATCAGTTGAAAAATAATAAAATTAACAAAATCGATCTTTTGTCGTTTTTCGATTGAAGTTATATTTCTGGTAGAAAACATTGTGTAAACATCATGAAAACAATGAAAATGGTTGTCTTCATACCTTTAATTTTCTTTGGGGTTTTCCATATTATTCTCAAAACCTCTTGGAAAATCAAAAATTTACCTTTTGGAAAAGTTCTATAGTCTATACTTCAAAGCAAGTTTTCTGGTAGAAAAGTTGTTCACAAAGAAAAAAAAAAGAAAAAAACTATGATGTGTTCATAGTAAAACCAATCGATCCTAACTATGTTCCGAATCTATAATGAATATCCTTACAACATGTTTTAAATTAATTATGTAATCATAAGTTAGTAATTTTTAAGTTTAAAAATATTTGTCCACCTCTATTAAAACAATACTACTGAAAATAATACATTTTGTACTAAATTATGATTTATTTAATTTTAACTTTGTTATTTTTTTATTTTGAAGGTTAAGAGGAAATAAGTATATATACAGATTAAAAGCTGTTATTGTACATGTTGGTGAACATAATGCTGGTCATTTCAGTACTTACAGAAGAGGAATCACAGCTGATCATACTAGACACAGGTGCAGTGATACAAGGTATTTTATTATTTTGCATGCATCCATTTTTCAACAATTTTTAATTCATAAAATAGTTCAATTTGGAAAAAATTACTAATATTAATAAGTTTATTTTAAAATAAATTATGAGTTATTTATATATTATAATAATACAACAGTATCACACTGTTTAAAAGAAGATTAAACTACTTTTGCACATACTAACTGAGTTGCTGAATAAGTCTGATTTTAATAATCAATAGATCACTTTAAACATAAGACTTTCCCATTAATCTACTTATGATATTTATTTAAGAGGAATGGATATAATATTTTTTATGGACAAAAATGACTTCACGGGAATAAAGATATTTTTATTGTTAACATAATATTTTCCTATACATTTTTAATTTAATTGATAACCTATATTCTACAGACAGTATTGAACCCTGATTTTTTAATTTGATTTCAAATAACAGTATAAAAAGTTAAAAATTGACCTTTATTAAATACATAATATTATAACGCCTAAGATAAAAATGTTGATCAACACCACTCTATGAAACATAATAGTTTTCTTTCTTTCTTATATCTCACCTGTTTATGGCCTTTTTTAATATAGATTGCTATTTGAAAATCAAAAATAAGGGTTACAAAAAATTACAGAAATTTAACATTGTAGATCAGCTTGTTTCTTAAATTTTCTAGAAAACATATTTCGGAAATCTTTAATACTTTCTAAGGTATTTAATGGTAACTGATTTTGATCATTGTATTATCAATATTATAATCACATTTAAAGAGCATCTAAATTAAGGAAATATGTTTAACAATATTCTTTTAAATTCAATTAAATATTTATTTTTTACTTGATTCTATGTTTCTAGATGGTTTTTCACCTCTGATACACATATTGAAGAAGTTACACTACAACAAGTTTTACAATCAGTTGCCTATATGTTGTTTTATGAAAAATGTGATACATAATAAATACTAGTTTTTAGTTTTTTTAATAGTCGGAACAAATTGATGTAATTGAAATTAAAGCTAGTATTTTTATTTTATTTTTCAATTGAAGACTGCCTTATTATATCAAGACTTAAATTACCTAGTTGATTTTTTTGTGTACAGTAATATTATTTTGTTTTGATATACATGTTTAAATATGTACTAGATTATTATTAGAAATTATATAGCCATATCAATGTACATATAACAATCAACAATAATTTATTGGTACCTACTATCAATCTCCATTTTCTTATTATTATTACAGATTCATTAGTTAGCTTATTACTAGTGAAATAGTCATAACAGAAGCTATACTTGCCTGAATGTGATAAAGTTTAAGCTTGAGATATCGGTTTAAAATATATATTTTTAAAACACATAATTGCCCGGGTACAAAACTTTAAAAATGTTTACCTTTTTCCTTTCTGCTAAGGTTGCAGTAGTTTTAGTGAGCTTGACTGAAAACTCGAGTATTATATATTTTGGATACCAGATACGAGGTTCAATGAATATCAGAAAAGTTATGTTGGCTTAAATATAAAAATCTTTTCACTGGGCACACTTGTACCCTGGACAAATAATTTTAAATATCACGGCCTCTTTATATCTTTATAATTTCAAATCTTGAGAGGTCTACCTCTCAAGATTTGAAATTATGAGCGCTCGTGCGGGCTTACTAGTCCCTTTTGATCACCATATAATAAAACTTACAATGTAATTATTGAGTTTGGCTTTCTTTAAAAAGTTTTTGATGGATACTGGGTGTTATATTGTTACTCTGAGCTATACCCATATTGGCACTTGTCTACGACCAATTATTTATTTTTTATGAAAAGACCCAAATATTCTTTTACAAAATTCAAAATATAATGTAACCAGATTCCTTGAATTTGAATATGTGTTTAAACTCAATGGCCAGTCTGCAATCTTTTACTACATTAAATTAATTTTTTTAATTTTTTGAGTAAAAAAAAATTGAATAAAATTAAAATTGGTGGCGTCACGAATCACCAATATCAAGCTCACCATCTATTGAGAACCATTGATTTATGGTGATAATTTTAAATTAAACTATCAGTAAATAGCACGACTATATCTATAGTCATGATAAAAAAGATACATAATAATTAAAAATATTTTGTGTGCATCTATTGGTAGAGTTAGGCCTAGACACGCTATATATTCAGTGTTAAATACAATGATGGCCTCATTGTCAGTGATCTCACCTGTGCTGATATCAAAGCATCATTTTTAGATTCTGGGTGGTAGGAGGTATGTAATGCTTTCACAATAATGTTTATTTTTAGATATTGAGTGTAGTGAAAAATGTATTGGTTTTCCAAAATACTTTTAAAAAAAAATATTTTTTTTATGTACCGTGTACAAAAATTCTATCAGAAATTTTGCTCTGAAGTATCAAATATAACACCTTTTATGAAAGGGAATTTTCCTGGGGTAGTACTTTGGGGAGATCATTTTTTGATTTTCCCTGGTTTTTTCCCAAAAAGTGAGAAAAACATAATAAAAACGGGAAAATAAATACAATATTAAACAAATATTGAAGAAAATATATAATGCATGTGTAGTTATTTTACCATAATGTGACATATTATACAGAATGATTCACTAAGCGTGCAACCTCATTATTTTGGTTAAATTTTGTATGCATTCAATTTAGAATCATTTTGAAATTTTTAAGTGTTGTTAATTTGGCAAGCATCAAAATAATAGATTTAAAATTTCAAAGTAAATGATTTTTGGCTAATTTAAGGTCGCTAAATCCAAAAATAATGTACCCAAAAGTTAAAAGTTATCAATTGTATCTTGAAAGATACATTGACAAGAACCAATATTGTTAATAATGTTGTTCCTTTATTTTTAAGAATACATTGCCAAAATAGAGTTGTAATTATCATATGTATGCATTTGGTGAATAAATCAATATTTTAATTTTGTTCTTTTAATTAATTATTTTAAAATTTTGGTTTAACATTTTTTTATTTCAATATGTACTAAATGAAAATCTATATCTCGTTTTATTATTTAAAATTATTCAATAAATAATTATTCATGGTTAATTTAGATCTCTAAAAGAACTATTTATTGTGTATATTATAATTCAAGTTAACTATAATATATTTTATAATATATTATGGAATATCAATGTTTAAGAGGTAAAATATATCATGTCATAACATAGTAATTTTCCAAGAAATAAAATTTTCAATTATTTGTATCTATAATTATGTTTTTCTTCGTGACATGCAAGTTGCTTATGAAACTTTAACATATTATTAGTATTCTTTACAAGATAGAAACACTAATTTCAATACTGGATTTTAATCATTTCTAAAAATAATGTATTTTTTGTGGACTTAGAACTCGAAACAAAGATCAATTGAAAAATGCAATACTTGAAATATGGAACGGTATTGGCCCTACTGTTACAATAAAATTAGTTGAATCAATGGAAAAGCGAATGCACGAACTAATTAAAGCTAAAAAAGGACCAACTGACCATTAATTATAATAAAGTGATAATAATTATTATATTGTATTAAGTTAAAAATATTTATGTTATGTTGTACGGAAACTTTTTAGTTGTTATTTTTCTACATTTATTTATAAATATACACATAAATAATAAAATAATATATATATACCCACTATATATGTGGTGGTAATTTAATTCAACGTAGTAGTACAGCGATTCATGTGCGTTTACCTGTTGGCACCTTAGTACCTATTCCATTGATCAGTTTGACCGCACATGTGAACGTATTCGTCGTAATGCCTTAAATAAAATCAACTTTAAAAAGTAAAATTTCGAATTGGATTGCTCCTTACAGTAAAAATAAAGAAGTATTATCATTATATGGAAAAGTTATATATTGTCTTGTATGTAACAAATCTGTGTCTACTGAAAAAAATATAATAAAAAAAACAGCTTTTGATTGCTTCTAAAATTCGAATAGTAAAAATGTATTTTTTGAATGTAATACATTTGTTGCTGCTAATTTTCCTTTGCATAAACTGCGCAATCATGTGTTAAAATCATTTTTGAAAAACATACTAGTAAATCAATTCCGTACGAAAGCACTTTAAGTAAAAATTACATATATATGTATAAAAGCGTTTTGGACCAAATAATAATGATATTGGAAATAATTATGTTTACATAATTGTTGACGAAACAACCGATCCAAGAGGTTTATATAAATATTTTTTTAATTTCTAATATAATTAAATATACTATTTTTGTTTAGGTTTAGTTATTGCAAATTTATTAATTGGTAAATTACATGTGGCGCCTACTAAATCATTTTTAGTTACGTGTAAAGAAATAGAATTCACCAATTATGAAACTATTTGTCAGTTTATTAATTCCTTATTAAAAATATTTCTTGGTATTGAACAAAAAGTATTACTTTTTATTAGTGATGCTGGTACTTATATGATCAAAGCAGCAAAAACATTAAAAATATATTACCCAAAATTAATTTATATTATATATATGGCGTACGCAGTTAATAAAATTCTAGAGAGTATTTGAGAATTGTATCCCAACATTAATAAATTAATTAACAATGGTAATATATTAAATACCTATTTAAAATGTAAATATATATGTAACTTATTTCGTTTATTTCAGGAAAGAAAGCTTTCCTAAAAGCACCATCAAGAATAAATAAATGCAAAAAAGAAATGCCGGTGTATACCTTTACGACCCGAACTTATTATTTTATTTTATTATTACCAACAAGATGGGAAACATGGTTAAATACTGTACCATGCAAATAATTTTGGAGAGCTTAAAAACATGATTGGAGGTTTAATAGATGATGCCACAAGTGTCGTAAAACTGAAACAGCTTGTACAAAATAATGCAGTTAAATGTGGTTTAGCATTCATAAAATTACACTTATCCGAGTTATCCACGAATCTTAAAAATTTGTAAGAATCTAATAGTAAACTACTGAAAAGCATGGTTATTTTTAGACAAATTTAAGATATTTTAACAAATATTTCTGGTCCAAATGGGAAAAAAGTTAAAGAAAAATGTATGTATATATGTAATTGAAAAAAATGAAGAGTATAAAACTTTAAAGTCTTACAATGAAGTCATGTCAGGTAAAGCAAATGTTAATTTAGATAAAACGCATACTTTATTAAATTGTTTCAAATACGTACCAATAAGTAATGTAGACTTAAAACGTAATTTTTCTTTATACAAACCTATTTTAAGTAATAGAATTTTTTTGAAATATATTTAATTATCAATTTGAATTAAAATAAATAATATTTATCTAATTTTTTTTTTATATAACTTGCATTTTTATGGTGCAATTATATAATTTTAATATGCAATTTTTATGTGTTTTAAATGTAATTAAATCTGGTCTTTACTGATGATTAGGAACCGGATTTATATGCAAATGCATATATGTATTGGAATAAGCTTTTTGAAATCTGATGAGCATTGTCCCCGATTAAAATAACACTCATTTTATTTTGCATATTTTGCATATTTCAACGTTTTTCCCTATTAAATGCATATTGAATGCATATTTGTAGTTTTATAGTGTATATTATTATTTATAGCACATATATTCATTTTTGTCGTATTTTCACGTGGCTGTAACCACATAATGCTAAAATGAAAAAAATGCCACTCTGAAACTATGAACAATATAAGAAGTTCAATTGGGGATCATAATATCTGGATTTCAATCAACGAAACCACAGATTGTGAGGGACGGTATGTAGTGAATGTAATTGTCGGTACATTAGAAAATAGAACGACCAAGTCAAATATTTTTACTTCATTTCGAGGCTTTGGAAAAAGCAAACCATAGCACAATTGCTCAACTTTTCGATCGGGCGCTAACAATTTTATGGGCTACTGGTATTCGTCACGATAAGGTATTGTTATTTTTAATTGACGCCGCACCCTACCTATATGATTAAATCAGGTAAATCTATTAAATCATTTTATCCAAAATTCGTTCATATTACATGTGTAGCACATGAATTACACAGGGTTGCCGAAGAAATAAGAAATCAATTCCCTCATATGGATGAACTTATTTCTAATGTCAAAAAAGTTTTTTTAAAAGCTCCATCTCGTACGATACTTTTCCGAAATATGGCCCCTAATCTCGCACTTCCACCACAACCTATATTAACGCATTGGGATACATGGCTAAACGCAGCTTTCTATTATTGTGACAACTTGGAATTCATTAAAGAAATAATTCTTCAATTGAACAGTGAAGACTATTTCAATTCAAAAATCGCAAGATTTAATAAAAGATCCTAATTTGAAAGCTGATTTTACTGAGCAAATTATTTAATATTTTTCCGGTTTTCTCATGTTTTTTCCCGGTTTTACAAATATGCTAGACTCTTGGCAAAATCGAAAAATCACTCTTTTAAAGGAAGTACCTTCCCAGGCAGATTGACTTTCAGAAAAAGTGCTATCATTACTAACCGAAGTAGAATTGATGGTAGAAAAGTTGTACACAGAAAAAAAGGCCATAATATTTTTTTACTAATACCCTTATTTATTCGTTTTTTCCAGATATTATGAAAACCGCTTGGCAAATCAAAAAATTACCTAAAAAAAATACCATCTGGACAACATTACCTTTCAGAAATGGTGCTACGCGTATATATCTGAGCAAGATTTATGGTCAAATTTTTGTATACAGAAAAATTAACATCTTAGTAAAATCAATACATTTTTTGCTATACTCAGAATCTAAAAATTATTATCAAAATTGTAAATAGATAGGTATGATATATGATGATACAAAACATATCCAATGTCGATAAGTGTTATCGAGGGGTCTTGATCAGGGGTCGGCAACCTGAAGCTCGCGAGCCACATGTGGTTCTTTCGGTCTAAAGTTGCGGCTCTCCAGCTACACACACAAAAATTAATATTTTAGTTCAAAAACAATATTTTATAATATAAAAAAAGTATATTATTTTTGTTGCTTTTGGAAATATGAAATAATACATAACAAAAATAATTTGATAGTGCCCGCATGGAGTACAGTCTATAGTTGTAAAATGTTTATTATAGAGTCTAATATAATCGCGACGCTATCTACAACTAATTAGTCGTACGCCGTCACGCCAAGTTAACAACGTTGACAAAGTCCAAAATAATACGATATCATTTTACGACTTATTTTGTTCGACGAATTGACATTCGTCAGTCATTCGTCCATCATGAACAGCGCAGATGACGTTACGTTACCTGTGCGTGTTAATTTAATTTAATTTAATTTTCTGGTTTTTGGCTGTATCGTCACTATATTTTATTCTTTCGCTCATTGTTTCAATTTTTAGTGACTCTTTAAAATCTGGAAAATTTTGTATATTGTAACTTTTAGCTCTTCGGTCAAAAAATGTTTCCGACCCCTGGTCTAGATGGGTGTATTAAGTTATCAACATTTTATTATCGCTTTCAACAGTTTTTATGAAAAAATTTGTTAGGCTAACGAATATCTATGATTCAAATTCGCTTTTAACAAAAATATTCTACAAAAACATTTTTGATACCAAAATTTGTCGTAAAGCTACGTTATCGAGTTCCAGAATACCGCTGCCGAGCAATTTAGGACAAAAGTATTTTATTGACCATACCTCTATCATATTAAACTAAATATTGATAAGAAATTGATATGCATGTATTCTTGAAGATTACATATTAATATCACAGAATAGATTATAGAAATAGAATTTAAATTTGTTGGTAATGGTTTGTTTAATAATTTAATAATTGAAGTATTTTTAAATGTAAGAAAATTTATTATATTAAAATCATAAGAATTTAAAATAAAGATGGTGCGATTTAAAAACAGGTAATTTAAAAATCAATCATTTATTCTTACATAACAATGTAGCTAGATAAAAACTCAACTATTTAAAAATATATAAATATAAAACTAGATTTATATATTAATTTATTATTAATATTATCATTATTACTATTATATTTTTATAGGCATTGTACTATTACAACGAGAAAATAAAACTTTTTAACTTAATACATTATACAAAATGTATATAGGTATTTGACTTTATTATTAGTAAGCATATATTTAATTAATTTTGCTTTTAATCATAAATTAAGGATGGACATATTGATTTAAATTAAAGATTTATAAATTATTTATTAATAACTTAAAACCACATATTTTAAATTTTGTATTTTGACATTTTAACATTTTTTGGTTGAAACAGCATTTCAATAATTGCATCTGGCTTTTCATAATACATACATATTAATTTAAATATTTAGGTAGAAGTGTAGTAAATGCAATGAGTTGTATACATATTATATTATAGCAAGCCATTTTTAATTTAACATATTGGTGTTCTACAAAGATATAGCTATTGCAATATCTCCAGAGATTAATAAATTATAGATTATGAATTTTTATATTTCAATATCAACTTTTTATTTTCCTTAAGTTTAAGATTTTTTTAAATAATATAAATTCTGGGACAAAAAGTAAAAGTACACAGTCATTAATTAACTATAATAATAAAAATCTTTTAGCAAATGTGATTACAGTCTGCTAAATAATTAAATAGACTTTTTTCTGAACTTTAAAAGATTATTAAAAATCTATAATAACCTCTATAAATGAAAATTATTTTTTGTTTTCTTACCAAAACATACAAACTTAATTCAAATATAAATATTTGTAATCCTTATCTCTAAAAGTAATATTAAAAAAAGAGAAATTGATTATCTTTATTATCTCGGGAGATATTAAAATGGATATATCTTCATGGAACACTGTTAATATACATTAATACACAATACAGTGGATTCCGCTTAATGTGGGCAAACAGGTCTGGTCCCAATACAAATGTATATTAACAAGGTTAAATAAGACCGCGTAATATGGGCACTTGATTCAGTTTATATGGGCAATTTTATTTTATAATAGCGTTAGAAAATACACATATTGTATTTAAAAACGACTAAATTTAATCGGGTTTCATCGTATCTATGAGATTGTGTTTATCGAAAGTAATAAAAATCATTTATACCATTTAAACCTTGATGGGATTTTGATGTGTGTAAATGTTATTAGATGCGATAAAAATAAAACGATATACGGCACGCATTCTGTAACGCGTTAATACCTAACAATACAGTTTTAGTGTTAAGTCAGTTTTAACGTGAATTTCAACGTGACAGTATGTCAAGAAAATATGTCTTCCTTACGGAAAAAATTGCGATTTTGGACAAGGTGAAATGCTACCTCCAGGCACTTAACAACATAAAATTGCTGAACAATTATGCATTCCGAAATCAACTGGTTTTCATTAATAACAAGTCGCGGTGTTCGCGTGTCTGGGCTATTGTTGAAATATTAAGCCGAAGAATTATCCCAGAAAATAGGTAACAATCAGTTTATTGCTACTGATGGTTGGTTAAGCAGGTGGAAGAATAGATACGAGATAAAATTCAAACGTGTGCATGGGGAAAAAGCAAGTGCTGATGAATCCGCCTCTAATGCTCCTTGTTTTGATAATATTAAAACATTTGTGATGTTGTTGTACAAAATGTTCTTAAAAAAAGGAAGTTGGAAGATGAAGAAGAAGACAAAGGAGATGAAGAAGATACCGAACCACCAGTTACAGCCAGAGAGGCTAAAAAGTGCATTGATTTGTTGCAGAAGTTCTTCATTCAACAGGGTAACGAAAATAGTCTGTCTGATAAGCTTGAAGAGTGTGCCCATTTTGTCAACCAAATCCATACTAAACAGCTTAGAAAACGAACAATTAAAATGTTTTGTATACCTTCCACATCCAAAGAGTAATTTTATTTAATACAAATGTTATACATATTTAATTTTATTTACATACATAGTAATTTTTTTTTTTCAATTGTAAAAATAAAAACTTTTTGATATTATAAATTGTTGTGTTTTTGAACTAATTTCAGTTTATATGGGCAGCCGCTTAATGTGAGTAAACAGGGTTGGTCCCAACATGCCCACATTAAGCGGAATCCACTGTAATTATTATTTTAAACAATGTTATCATTTTGTTTGTTTTAATCTGATTTAAATTATTTCATTTTTAGATACATGGTTGTTCAATTAAGTAATTTTGAAGATAATGACTTAGATTTCAAAATTTCTGATAAAGAATTAAATTTAACTGTATTAAATATGATAAAAACATTATTTGGAGATTTTGGAGTTGGAGCTATCAGAACTTGTTTTAAAGGTACAAATTTAATAATTTAGATACAAATATATTATATAATTAATAATTACAGCATTTTGAAATGTTTTTAAAGTTAATTTATAAAAGTTATAATTTTTACGAAAAGAGAGTTAAATATATATTAAACTTTATTTAATATCCCTATTGCTATCATTGTATTTCATATAAAGATATTAAATGTTTGATCTGTTTCCAGATCCTGGATGACAGAATCCAATTTATATTGTGCAATTTGTGTTCAAATTAATTTTAAAAATAATATTAAACAGTAAATTTAGAGGTTGTTTAAACCTAAAAACTGTCACCTCTTTGTAAACCTCTGGGTATGAGTAAAAGTCTAAAAAAAATAATAATATTTTGACCTATGGATATTTTGGATTGGAAATTTTATCCACAAATATCGTGCTAAATTGTCTCCTGGAATATTTTGACCGACTGCCAAATAAATAATTTATTTAATACTTGCTTGCAATATTAATTTACAATAGTTTTTTTCTATGTCTACAAATAACTTTTCCATTATAAACTTTTTGAAAAACAAGAATGTTTACTAATTAATAGTTATTTTCGATTTTGTTATAATTGAATTAAAACTTATTATAGAAGCTTGTCATTTTCATAAAATACTCATATTTGGAATTTTTAGAAATGTTAAACGTTATTCTGGCCATATTTGTGGTACAGTAGAAGCCGCTAATTAGGAACACTAATTTGGGACCTAGGTGAAACGTGTCAATTAAATTAACTGATTGTTTTTAATATATGATTGGTCTGTCCCTATACATTTTGTTTCAATAACATGATTTTAGTATCAATTATCTGTGTTCCTAATAAGGGGTTTCTACTGTATTTATAAATTGTTACAGCTATTCTTTGTTTGATTTTATGTAGATAATTTTTTTAGTTTCTTTAAAATGTTCAAATATTTAATGAATGATTTGTGATTAATTGTTTTAATAACTTTTATAATACTTTTAAACACTGTTGTGCGCATATTGAGTTTCTTCATTCAGAAAATATATTGTTTTTAACTGCCCTTTTTGCTAAAGTGAATATACTCAAAATATGGAGAGGAAATGGATGTTCTTTATTAAACTTAAAAGTTTAATGAATAGGTATAAGATACAATACAAGAGAATCCACTAAATCATAAGAGTTTCTATAAGAATGTTTATACCATTACTGCCAGGGTCGTTCAATTGCGATCAGGCTGTGCCTTTTGACCAAAAGGGTTGTGTCAGTACATTCCGTCATACCCGATTCGCGCTGACCTACAGATTCTACATATATAAAAGAAAACATATTTATATTATCCACAATCTAACACATATATATCATTATTCAAGGGTTCTTAACAATACTATATTTAAAAAAAAATTTATTGACTCATCAAAATTTTGAGACAAAAAAACACCTGTTTTTAAATTTATTTTATCACCTCAGGGGAGCTTATAGTTTTAGTGAATCCAGGTCCTGAGATTGTATTAGTTGAAAGTAGAGGTTAATTGGTAACAACTGAACGAATCAGTTGAGCGACCAAATGATATTCAGAAATTATTCGAGGTCTTTTACGATTTCAAATAAAACTATTGCATGAATTAGCATCACTCACTTAAACCAAATTATAAAATATTGAAGGAAAGAGGTTAAGAGGAAGATTGAAAAAGAGGTGGTTAGATGTGATTAAAAACGATATAAGAACAGCTGGTGTATGTGAGAAGAAAACTCAGATCAAGTAGAAGTTTAGAATGACCTCAAATTATTGGGATGAATGTAAAGGAGGAGAATAAGAAATTTAGTATTTTATAATTTTTTTAATGCATCATCACAAATTTACAACAATTATATAAAATAGTTTCTCTTTTACTCTTTTTATAGATTGTGTTTTATATTTGTGTCCTTATTTTTAAACTAACTAAATAGATATTATAGGTATACCATGATACCAAGTGTATTTTTAATTTATATTATATTTAAAAATAAAAATATATTTTTCAGTTCATTATTGTAATCCAAGTACAAAAATTATAATTTTTAAAACTCGACATGGTCCTCATAAATTTCTTTCTTCTATAATACCATTTGTAAATGAATTGCAAGGAAAACCAATTCGACTGTCAACACTTTATATTGGTGCATCATTGTTTCAGTGTTATAAATTTATTCAGGTATTTTTTTATAATAAAACTAAAATGAATATATATTTCTTACATTCACCAGTCACATTTTTTAGCTTCTCTATTTTTTAACTATATTATTGTCAAAATCTAGTACTTGAGTTACAAGACTGCTATATTGTTATGAAATAACTAAGTAAAACAAGTACAAATGTAATTTATGTATTTATTTTTTTTTCAGAACTATCAAAAAGGTCTTGTAAGAAAGTTACATAAAACATTAACTATACAAACTAAAGAAAAAATATTAAATGTTACTGGTGTGTTGAAATTCAATAAATTTCAAGTTTATTCATGATAGATACACTTAAATTGTCAATATCTAAAATTAAAATGTTAACAATATTTATATTAATCTACAATGTAAAACATACTCATCAATAATTAATTTCTGTTCTAATTAATAATTTCATGATATAATTTAAAATTTAATGATACACTTTTAATGCATGACATTGAATTGTAAAAGTGAAGAACACCTAAATGATTATATATTTTCATGAATAAGTGAATTTAAATACTTCGCTACACATTTCAATAACTTCTGAATAAATTGTATTTTTATATAGTTGTACTGAAAATTCAAATTAATAAAATACAAAGATTTTAATTTTATTTATTTAATACTTGCAGATATTGAATATTAACCTTATTAAAACAGTTTTATGTGTATAAGGTTCTCTTAAATAACTACAAATAGTAAAAATAAATCTAGGAAAATAAAACCATGAAAAAAAATCTAATTTGTATGATACTTAATGGTGAAGGTTTTACTTGTTCTCTGTCCTTGGGGTATAAACTGTAGATAACCTCCAAGATGGTGTACCCCAGGTACCGCTCTAAGTAACAAAAAGTTACCGTACTTGATATAAAATTGTTCATGATCCTTTTATACAATAGCACTAACAATAATTTGTTACTGTCATTCTAGTCAAATCATATCAATTTAAAAGTTTGTGACCATATAAACATTTTCCCTATGCCTGCTGTTCAAGATTATCTGTGACAGTTATATAAATTTTGTTTCCAACCACTCATTAATGACAAGACGTGTTTTTTTTATCAACAATTCTTTTCCGTGTTTTAAATTCTATTGTCATTAAAAATATAATGTTAAAAAATTAATATGGGTATTATGGATAGAATTAAAAGCTAATTTATTTTATATTCTGAGTGAAGCATGGAATATATTGGTTTTCCAATATTTACTTTTTTTTTTCCGTTATTCTACCTGAAATTTTGTTCCGATTCTCAAGTGTAATATATAAAATTTATTACAGTTACATTTAAATTTATATATACCAGCATTTTCAAAAGAAGGGGAATTAACTGTGAAGTTTTTAGTATACTTGACACTCATGTTCCTTTTATTAACTTTTTCCTGAATTTGTTTTCTAGAACATTTAAGAAATAAACTGTACTACAATTTCATATTTATGTTATTTTTGTCACCCTTAATTTTCGGGGTGAAACCACTACCTACTTTTGATTTGAAATACATTTTAATGTTGAAATTTTTGATTTCCATCGATCCATTAACGAGATATTCCACTTTTAATTTTAGGTTGGAGGAAAGTAGTACAACATTATTAACATACTGCATATAGTACAAAATACAAATGATTTTGAGGGGAAATAGTCACCAGTTACCATCATTAAATTTCTTGCTTATATTCATGGTCTACATCTACAAGAAATTCGTTTGTTGCTGCGCACCGTACAAAATAAAGATTATTTCCCCTAAAAATTAGAATCAGTTTCTAAATGATGAAAAAGGTTCGGTTTCACAGGTCACAAAATCGAGTGACCATCTCGGATAGTCAGTGACTTTTCATCATCCTTTCCAAAATAATTATTTCTTCTTGTTAACCATGATGCTTATTGATAGATATATTATTATCATTATTATTGTTGTATCGTACAAAATATAAAATGAGTCTTCGATAATTTAATTGAAGATTTAATAGATGCCTATATTATATAAATATTTATAATATTTATCTTTATCAACATATTCAAATAAAAATTTACTTTCTTAACTTTAGAATATGATATTGAATCGGGTGACCGTATTTCTGATAACAAAAGTAAGTAATACAATTAAATAGTATAAAATACTACTAATACTAATAACGGGTTGCACCAATTATTTACATAGAAATAAACTCGTTTATCTGTAGTTAAACTAAATTCTGTCGCACCAACCACGTTTTAATATTTATCTGTTGATAAAAATGTAGTTTATCTCTGTGTAAATATTTATAGTTAAATTTCGTTATCAATGTTCTCCGTTATTGAGGTGATTTGTAAATATCGAAAACATTAGATAATAATTATTAATTCATATTTGATATTATTACAGTTTATGAGTGGTAATAATATTAACTTCTACACCACTACTTATTGACAACCAGTATTTTGGTAATAACCTGAATATAAAAACATGTGAGAAACACATAAATTTAACACAAGATAAAACGTTAGTTTATCATCATGTTAATATATAACGCTAGATTTATCACTAGATAACTATAGTTTTGGTGCAACCGGGTATAAGGGAAAACTATTTTGAATTTTGATTTGTTTGGTTACAAATTTCATTATGATAACAAGTAGTTGATAAAAGATTATTATTTCGCAACAATAGGAGGGGGTAAGTCATCTATAAAGGATGAAAGTTAAACGAATATTTTCAACCTTACTGGATACTATGAATTGTCACCGTACCGAAATAGTTCACTATCAATTTGTGACCGGTAGCTCTCAACGAATTTGTGGCTATATTCTGTCCTACAAGAGATCAGCGTATCATTCGTTGACCGACCGGGCTATCGTAATCCCTCCATACATTCAAATTTCATAGTCAATAACGATGGGTATGCTCAGAGCTGACCAAATTTCGTTATCACGCGGCATTTTTTCTCGTAGGACAGAATATAATAATTATTCGATGATAAAACAATTCTGTAACGCTCGTAAGACGAGAGTGAAATATTTGTACTACATTATATCGTTATCGCAATTCACAACATATGTTTGTGGATGTGAATTCTTGTAATATAACTAAGTTAGTTAAGCGGCAATGATGTCTATTGCCATGAGATATCGCTTATGACAGTCCGTTAGGCAAGGACAACCAGTTTTTTATGGTGAAGGCCGATAACAGTTATGTGTAATTATTATTAAGGATTTAGGTTTCAGGATAATACTGTATAAAACGATGTACTTTTAATATTCCATGGTGCCATCACACTCATCACAGTCTACAGATGAATTAAAGAAAATATGGATCATTACCTTGGTAACGAGTGAAGTCAAATATTATTTTATTACTAAAAAATATCGTTTATTTAACAACATTAATAACGATGTTGAAAAAAAAAGTATATTAAAACCAGCCAATTATATAATATACCTAGGTATTATTTAGGTATTTCCTTTACTATTAATTGGAAAATATTGAATAATTTTCAGTTTCGCTATAGTTTTTTTTTGTGATTGTGGTGGGACTAGATCGTTTTTGGAATTGTCATCAAATTATTTCTGGTCACACTGGCCACTCGTGAAAACACTGCCATAATCATATGATGATTTTATTGTCAAAGCTTTGGCTGTTTGAAGAAATGTTTTCAATAGTAACAATTATCACTAATCAGCTGGTATTGAAAGTTTTATAATTATTTGTGTCATTTGTATTTTACTTTTTTGTTCCATAAAAATTAATATATTTTACAAAAATTATAAATTTATTGTTCGTGTTGACAAATCAATTGTAATTTTACTTACAACATGGCTCTATATTTAAGAAGGTAATATAACATTATTAATTTGTTTATTTGATATTGCTTGATTTTTTTTAACTTTACAAAATGTTACGAAGTTTAAATGACATAAAAAGCAATAGCATTGATATCTGTTTTCAAGTTGTAAATATTTTGTTAAAACTTATCAATGATATAATAAACCATCCAAATCAACCGAATTTCAGAAGAATTTATCTGGATAGTGATTTAGTTAAAAATAATCTTCTGCCATTTGCTGGTACAATGGAATTTCTTTTTGAAGTTGGATTTGTTGATGATGGAGATTCATTAGTATTACCTCATTTTATAACATTGAATATATTGAATAGTTATAAACAAGAACTTTCAAACATAATACCTGAAGTTAAAAAAATTAAACCAATTACTAAAAATAATTTCTTAAAAGAAATCAGTTCAACATCATTAGCTGTACTTAACTTTGAAGATCAAAATTTGCAAAGAATAGCATTAGAGAATTTACCTTCAGAAGATATCAAGTTGTTTTCAAATTTGAGCAGAAGTAATACTGATTTATTGTACCATGAAAATATGATGTTAAAATTGATGAAATGGTTTAAAGAATCATTTTTTAAATGGTTTGATAAACCTACATGTGAATACTGCTGTAGTTCAACAAAATTTATAGGAATAAATCATGATATGACTGAAAAAAATGTTAAGTATGCAGAAATCTATGAATGCGAAAACTGTAATTTAACCACAGATTTTAAAAGATATAGTATGTGTGAACAACTTTTAAGTACCCGTAAAGGTAGATGTGGTGAATGGGCCAATTGTTTCACACTTTTTTGTCGGGCACTTGGTTGGGAGGCAAGATTGGTTGTTGATAAAACTGATCATGTGTGGACCGAAGTGTGGTCAATTTCACAAAACCGTTGGATTCATTGTGATCCATGTGAAACTGCTTTAGATAAGCCATTATTATATGAAAAAGGATGGGGGAAGAAATTGTCATATATTCTAGCTTATTCTAATGAAGAAGTTCAAGATGTCACTTGGCGTTATACTGAAGATAGTAACATTGTTTTAAAAAGAAGAACACTTTGTAAAGAAAGTGAGTTGTTGAGTACTATTTTGAGTCTATCAGATCAGAAGACTAATAATGTATCATTGTTAAGACGTAAATATCTTGCCAAAAGACGCTTAAACGAGTGTATTGAATTGTTATATCAACCTAAAAGTACTAACGGTGAAAACTATGGTGGTAGAACATCCGGAAGTCTTGCATGGAAATTAGCTCGAGGAGAAGTTCAATATAAACTATTTATTTGGACTCCTACTGAAACTGAAATAATGAATAAAAAATTTGAATTAAAATATTCTACCGCTATGGATAAGTATATCCATGACAATATTATTCATGAAGGTTGGCAAAATGGTGTTTACAATTACAGTTCATTATTCCGTAAAGAAGAATTAGATTGGAAAATAGTTTATTTATGTAGAGAAGAAAACTGTAAAAGATCAACAATAGAATGGCGGTTTGACTTTTCTTCTTCTGGTTTAGTTATACAAGATATTAAATTGATATATACAACAGCTTTATTTAACAGTGGTCAAGTTGAATGGAAGATATTTGGAAATGATAGGTCTTTGAATTTACCTGTTATTGAACATATCAAAGAAATCATTATTGATAAAATGAATGGTAGTAATTCTATAACATTAAGTGCATCTTTATTTGGAGGATCTGGTGAAGTAGCTTGGCAACACTCCCAGATATTTCGACAGTCAATTGATGACCAAGAATATCCATTTCAGATTTCATTTGTTTTAAAAAACAAAGAATTATGAAACATATTATATCATTAATACCTATTTCATTATATTATTTATATAATATATATATTTTATTTTAATAAAAGAAATTACTATATTTATTAGTTAATATTTAGTACAATTAGGTTTTTTTTTTTTTTTTTCATTAGTTTTCAACCTATAAATATTCTTTTTAGCTATATTAGTTTAACTAAAATGTACTGTACAATAATTTTTCAGTATTTCTAGCAGTTTTTCACATTGTTTTTTTTCTAATGTATGTAATTACCTCGTTACTTCATTTCAAAAACAAACCTTAGTTGTTTTTTTTAAATTGTAATGGTCTATTGTTTTTTTTAGTTTAGGTATGAATTAAATTACCATGTATCCTATAAATATTAAATAATACATATACAATACATGTGTGTGTATCAATATACTTAAAAAATAAATATTACATTTATTGACCAATTATAAATTGTAATTATTTATTAAAATTTGATTTTTTTTTTTTTTAATATTTCAGTATGCATGGGTTATGCATGGTTAGACAAACAATATCTATCCAAAATCATACAATGTAAGTCATAATATGATTATAACTAATTATTTTAATAAATATTTTAGTTTCAAAATAATAGTTAAATAATAATATGTACCTACAGTAATTTTGTATTATTATTTACAGGTTAATAAACTACATAATTACTTAAAATATTCCCAGTCTAATAAACCCATTTTTATAAATTTGGAAAAAAAGTAAAATTTGTAACCTTTAAAATCTTAATAACTATTTTTTCTCATCAAAACACATCTTCCCATTGTACAAGTTAAGAACCGCTGATCTAATAAATAATATAATACTATCATTGAAAATGTTGATTTAAAAAATATTAGTATTTAGTACCTACCTACTCACAATTTAATTAGAACATAGAAAGAACTTAGTTAAATAGGGTACATAATATTTCTTGCATATATATATATATTATAGTTAAAATAACATTTTTTTTTAATATATCTATTTACTAGAACGCTCTGTCTTTGATCACCTACCTCATTAACTTTTACATAATTTGTTGCAGTAAGTAATATGGATATTTTTGTCGTATGCAGTCTACTATTAATTGTAAAGAAAAAATGTAAAAACAAATTTTCTTTCTATTTTATTCAGACTTAAAACTGACAATTTATGTATTTTATTTAGTTGGTGTGGTTAAAATTTATTTTTTTGATTTGTAAAATATATTATATTTATATTTCTAACTTTTATTACTTTGTCTTCTAAAATATCAATCTTAATTTAATGGATGCACAAAGTTTTAAGAATAATTCATAGTCTTATGTATGTATCATTTTAAATCCAATATCTTAATGCAAGACATTTATCCGAATGGATTTCAGTTCCAATTTCAATTTCTTGTTCAATAATTGCATGTAATATTTTCCTGTCTATTTTTTCTACCCCAAAATATCTTGTCTCAATAACTCCATTTTCGTCTTGGATTCATACCAATAGAACCCATGGATATACATTTACATTTGACGGTAGATAGAAAAAAAAACCAGAAGAGTGTAATAATTATGGAATTAATAGATATAGTACATAAAGTATAGTGTCTAAATTATAAAAGATCCTAATTAATCACAGAATATGTGTTATATTTAATGAGAAATACCTACATTTTTATTTAAAACAGTAATATATTATAATGATAACAAAGTTAAAGTTGCTTTCCGTTCTACAATGATTCTAAAAATTGAAAATTATTAATTCTCACTCACACAAATAAAATAGTCATTTGTCATTCATCTATTTTGTGGTACAAATTAAAAGTAATTCTAGTTGTGAAAAGAATATTATAAGTCTATGCTTGTAATATTGTTTTATAGTTTATACACTACAAATGCGTTTATATAGTAAACATTTTTTTTAAATTCAATTTTAACTATTTATTTTACTTTTTTTAAATAAAATAGCAATCGTATGATAACTATGCAAGTAAAAAGCGCCCAGGAAGTTGAATATAGAGTAGGTGAAACTCATGATGAAAAAAATGGTCGCCTTCAAAGACCTATGTCTCCTCATTTGTCTATTTATAAACCTCAGTTAACAACAATATTATCTATTACACATCGAGGAACTGGAGTTGCATTAAGTGGTTTCACAGCTGGATTAGGAGCATGTAAGTTATTAAAAGTTAAATTTTACAATTATTTTTATTTCTTTAATTAAGAAGTACCTAAATAAAATTGTTATCAAAATTATTATTAGTCTTAAAAGGGATTTTTAAATAATTTGAATTATTCAAAATTTTAGCAAATTTGTTTGACATATTTTTTCTTTATTATGTTTGTGAATTTTTTTAATAATATTTTAATAGAAATTATTTCTATAGGCTATATTATAGATAATATTGTGGCTCGTATTGATAATTATGTTTAATGGAATACATTCAAACCAATATTCAATAGAATATTGAATTAAAAAATTATATTTTGTAAGAATAAGGGCGATTAGAATCATTAAGTATTACAGAAACAGCTTATGTGAGTTTCCAGTAAATACTAAAATTAAAGTTATTGTTTATTATGGAAACTATAATATCTAAGAAATTGAATTTATTATTAATTTGTATTTAGAGTGTAAATTGAATGTTTTTATTTATTTTGCTTAAGTAAACATTAAAGTAATTATATTTTCTATTATTATGTCTATAACATAGGTCATAGAGTAATATCACAAATTAAGATACACAGAAATATAGGATAAGAGACAGAAAGGTTTCATCAATGTTTTGATGTCTAGCACTTTAAGAAAATATTGATACAAAAATCAACTAAAACCATGAAATTAATTTGGTTTAATGTTTTTTGTTACCAAGGTAATTCAATTACAATTAATACATTAAACAGTAATGTGATGAATGTAATTGTTTTGATACCAGTGGTGAACGCAGGATGGGGGAATTTGGAGGGCTTAAACACCTCCCGAACTATCAGGAACAAAAAATTAAATTACCTGACCAGCAAATACTAATAAAAAATTTAAAACAAATGATTAGTTATTTATTAATAATAATAATAATTAGTAATTATTAGTTATTTAACCTTTAAGCAGGCGCACATTTTAACGTTACATGCGCAAATGCTCGGCTGTTTTTACACCGCACTCATTTAGCGTCGCTTTTAAAGCATTTGAATGCTTGTATGCATAAACCTCATAGTTTTTTTAAATAAATAATGTTAATTTCACGTTTATTTAGAATAAAAAAATTATTGATCGTGTTTGAATGATGTTGAAGTATCACAGTTATTGCTTATAAATGCAAAAAATATTAAACAAATAAATTCAAAACTAGTATTTTATTTTCTATAACATACTTTTTTAACACAAAAAATTATATTAACATTATTTTCTTACAATTTTGAGTTCATTAAACTATAAATTGTATCATTAAAATAACACAAACAACAAAAGAATCGCAGAAACTTGTACAACGTTTTCAACTTTGAAACTAAATTACAGCTGGCCTGAACACGTTAAAACTTTAACGACTGCACTATCTGTTGTCTAAACAAGTAATTAGAGAATATCTAACGTTTAAGGTTAGCTGCATGAAATTATAACCGAATGGGCGTGAATTTTTCAAATGTGCAGTGTAAATACTGCCGGCTCGAAGGTTAAAAGTTTTTGGGGGGTTTTTAAATTGATGTATACAATAAAATGATCATTATACTGTTATGATGACATAATATTAAACTCAAATACGGAAATTCAAAATGAGATCAATTTTAAATTAAATTAAATCCACAAAAATAATCATAAAACAAAGTGACGCGAAGTTGGTTACATTTGATCGTGGTGGACTCGTTTGATTAGATGATGTTTCAGGCGGCGTTATACATAGTCTGAGGGACCCCCTCAACCCGTTGTTCATAGTCGTGGCTATCATCATTATCTACATTATTTCGTTATTACATTTTTTTATACTTACTGGGAGTAAATAATTTAAGGATTGATCATCGATTTTATGGGTTTTGTTATAGAAAATTATGTTTGCATTATGACCGTTATTATTTTAGGCCTAATCTCTTGGTATATTTATTGTATTTGATTAATTTTCCGAATGCAAGGGTGCAATTTAGTTTATTGCATTTTAACATTACCTCGGTTCTCCCTTATTTTGGTTCGGCCGGCACGCGAAAGTCGTTTTTATAATCCTAATTAAATTCTTAGCTCTCGGTTTTGGTTGTGTTCTCCCATGAAATGGTCTCTCTTTTAGAATAATTCGGCGCGCGCATAATTTAACCCGGTATTTACTACGAATTCACGTACGTATACCTGTAATGACGTGTGGGCACGTAACAATTTATTATATATAATATAAATCAATACACAAAAGTATAATATTAATTACTTGTTTTGCTCAAAATCTGTAAATGCTAATTTTAGATTTAGGGACACCCCCGTATATGCGCCAATGGTGGGATATAGACGGCAATTTAATGTATATCTGTAAGCAACGATTGATAACGATTGATCATTATAAACGAAAAAACGATTTTAAGTTCATTTGAGTGTCGATTTGTCAACAATATAAGTACAGTGTTTTTTTTATTATGATAAAAATTGCTGGTATCTATAATAAATATTGACATAATTTGTAAATAATACATAGATGGTGTTAGTGGTTTTTCTAAAAGTAAGAATGTTCGAGCTTTACTACTAGTTAAGACATATATAAGGTAAAAGGCAAGGTGTATTTTAAAAAAAAAATACACCTTGGTATAAGGTATATCTTAATTCGTAACTCGTGCGTTTCATTTATCACACGTTTTTTCGATATTCTGATAATATCCCCATATATATATAATATAGATAGCCGACTTTAGTATTATTATTGTTGCCAATAAAATGGCCATCCTTATCTATGAAGTGGATGTTTATATTTCATTTTTATATATCTGTGATAAATGATAATATCTTAATCCGTATCTTAAACTTTATACTATAGAGAAAGGGTTCTACTATAATTCTATCATTGAAATAGCTTTATAAAGGCAAAAACCACAATGTTTTATTTGCGGAAAAATTCTCGCAACTGGAAGCATGAAACCAGTAAAACTCAAAGAACATCTTGTTTCGTTACATCCTCTATTTACTAACTCTTATATTATTAGCATTAAAAATTAATTTTTTTTTTTGATGGGGTCCATGGTTATAGTTTATACTTGAAAACCATAACCAAAAAAGGTTAAGAATCTATGCCATAGATAATAATATAATAATAGATAGGCCATGAGAATATATCATATGAAAACGAACATTTGTATGGTTACAAGGAGTAACTATGGTTGAATCAGCCATAGACTATAGGGCTATAGGACATATACAGATATTAAAACATACCATTACCTAAATATATATGATATAACATGTATAAATGTTAATAAATATTAAGAAATATTATAAATTATTCAACATTTTTCCAGTATTCCTTTTCACTGATCTGCCGACATTTGTCGAGTATGTAAATAGTTTACAACTACCATCTGCAGCTATTATGACTACAAAAGGATTAGTTGCTTTTCCATTCATTTATCACTTATGTAATGGTATTAGACATTTGGTAAGTTTTATTACATTATACATTTAAAAAAAAATATTAACAATTTACTTTAAATTTGAATAATACATATTTAAATATTTTTTTTAGGTATGGGATGCTGGTAAATGTTTGACTATTAAACAAGTATATACAACTGGTTATGGTGTAATAGGTACCAGTATACTTCTTACAATATTATCTCTAGTATTTAGTACTTAAAGTGAAGTCAACCATTTAGTTTTTGATAAAAATAAAACAATATTAATCTTGATATATTTTTAGAGTTGTTTTCAAATAGTTTTAATATATAAAATATATTGATTCATACAAAAAAAATAAATCTAAATTGTTTTTTGTATTATCGTGGACATATATATTAAATAAACTGGTATTTGGTGCATATCATCATCAAATCATTAACCAATTTTAGTTTTCTACAATTTGTATTAATTTGTCATTTGTCCATGTATCTATTATAATAATGTAGACACTGTTGAAGTTATATTCAAAAAATTAAAAATGTTAGTTATTTGCTAAATATAATTATTAGGTTGATAATTTAATACAAGTGTATTCTCAAAATTAAATTAGTGTAACAATAAAAAAAACTTCAAATATTGCTTTATATGGGACATAACCTTGATCGTGTTACTTTTTTACATTTGTGTAGATAATATTGTCATGGGTCGGTCTTATTTGCTGAATTAGAACCATGTAATATTTTATTTATTGTTTATTATATTATTCACCACCAAAATAATATAGCTTAAATATTGAAATTCATACAGCTATTACAATTTAAAACATCATATTGTGTATTTTTCATTAAAACAATTTAAACTATGAATATGAGTAAGTTTAGCTTAAACACAGATATAAATAACAAAACACAGATTGTTAGGTTCTCCATACAAAAATTTAACTAAACTAAACATAACGTTGAAGCCACAGATCCGCCATGATTTTGTTGTTACATAGTTTATCACATATTTAGATAATATTTAAATGTTTAAAGTTTTTAAACAATGCATTTTTAGTGAAGATAACAAATTAATTTTTTTATTTGACATTTGTTTAATTATTTAAAAATGAAAATTTCAGCTATTTTAAACAATGATTAACATTTTAGTGGGATTTTAACATCCATTTGACATATTAAAAATAACTGATAATAATTTCACATCATATCACTATAAAAAAAAATAGTTAGCAACCTATAAACGGAAAGATTAATACAGTTTTTATCAAATTAAGATATATTATAGGATATGCAACTGTAGATTATGTATTTTGCGTATGACTGGTTTCCCTGTTCGTTTTGATTTTCTTTTTAATAATTAAGCAAAACTGAAAAATACGTAGAAATAACGCAAAATTTACGAACAAATTTCATTCATTATTTTTAATTTTGTTTTGTTAATATGCTTTAGTTAAAAATATTTACAAAGACTTGAAATTTAGACACATTACTTACATATACTTTTTCTAGACGTGAACAATTTTAAAAACCAATGTCAGATTTAATATCCAGGCAACTTGGGCATGTCCAACCGAGTATCAGCTGTGTGGGCCCCTTTAGCAAAAATTTTAGGGTATAGTCACTAGATTAAAAAAATAAATAAATAGGTATAAAAATAGTTGTGCTACCTATAACATATCATATTATTAGGAGTAGTTATACCATACAGAATGAATATCGTGTCATTTTAGATTTTGAGTGTACTGAAGAATACATTGGTTTTACAAAGGTATTTTTTTTTTTTTTTTTTTTTTTTTTTATGTTATCACTTTCTACCAGAAATATTACTTCGATGTATACAATGTAAATTATTTTCTAAAAGAAAATTTTCTTAGAGAGGTCATTTTTCGATTTTCCAAAGTTTTCCAGCAAATGAAAAAAATGTGGAAAATTTAGGAAAAATGGTAAAACAGTACAATATTAAAGAAAATATATAATGCCATGTGAATATTTTACAATAATATGACATATATATATTGTTACCAAAGCATCATTATCAAGTGTACTCTGCTCAGAATCGTGTTTACATTTGAAATGATTTATCGTTGCTTACAGATGTACATTCGATTTTCTCTTTACCATCTTCCCAATTTCTCACCTATAATAGTGGCTACACCCACGTGAGAAGTTGTCCGACTTTTTATTTATTTATATTCAATACCTACTTATTTTGTTTTTTAACTAATTAAAGTAATATAAGTTAGAGTTAGAGATTATATCAACAATTTACTTTTTTTTTTCTTGTGAAGAATATTTCTCTTTTACACAACCCTGTTTAAAATTTCAAAAAAGATATTTAAATGGTACTTGTTTGTTATCGCCCCGCCATAAATAAAATAAACTATAAAAATGGACAAAATAAATTCTACATATAAATTTTCAAAAAAAAATACTACAAAGGAGGCTCAAATTAAATTTTTAATTTGAGCAAGCACCCAGCTAGCTCAAAGGTTCATGAATTCCAATAATAAGTCGTAATTCGTGTTTTTTACGATAACGTAATTAACGTAACGTGTAAATACACGAATTCTCAGCCTAAGTAGATTATTGATATTTACAAATATAATAATGATTAATATATGACGATATTGTAATTAAAAATATCAAATAACACATACAATACGAAATTCAGTACAACTGGGAATGTTACTACTAGTAAGACCTACCTGAGGTGACTTACAGTAGCACTTTATTCTTAGTTACCAAGTTTTGTAAAAACAAAACAATTATGTCATGCAAAGAACTGCCAATGTTGACTGCCGAACCTGTGCCGAGTAGCTCCAAGGTGTCCGACAGTGGCTCGAGCAGCATGAAAAGAACACGCGTTCAATCATCCATTCGAAATAAAAAGACGAAGAAAACCCCGGAAGATTTGCTGACGACCATACCGATCATAAATCTACCGACGTACGTAGCCGAAAATCATTGCTTGAGCATACTGGAGACAGAAGAGGATCTATTGAGTTTCTTGGAAATTTTGAGTCCTCCGAATGAAGACTGAACATACTCGGTATTGACGATAATGATTATATACTTCGTATTACTTCACCGACATCTATATATATCTCTGAATACAGCGAAACTGACAATACTGAAAATGGAGGAGAAGATGAAGGATTGTGGTCTGACACAGAATCTTTGGGAAGTATTGAAAGCGTTCATAACGAAAATGAGGAGGAATATCAAGACTTCGTTCAAAAAGTTGGACGTATCATGTATTCAAAACACGTATACGGCCGATACCAATTAGTTTCAATTATCGTATATACCGATGGCGGGGGGGGGGTGTCGCTCAAGATTTCGTTTAAGTTCCGACGCAGCTCTATCCACGTCACCAGATTCAGGTGGTACAACGTTAAGCTGCTATATTATTATTGACTAAAATTATATATTTACCTTCAATTATTAGTCCTTGTAGACTTTTTTGTTTTGTCAGGTTTAACCTGTTTCTTAGAATACGAATACTTCTTTTTATTGAGTCTTCAGATGGTAATTCAATTCATATTTTGTGGTACATTTTGCACAGCTTGAACAAAAATTTGTCCTGGATTGTTACAAATGTGAAGTGAACATAAGAATATTCCTTCATACTTTGTTCGATTTTCATGGCTCCAACTCTTAATCAAAGTACAATATCAATAACAGCTAACAATGTTGGAAATCGCTTACTGAACGCTTTTAAATTAAGGATAGACCAAAAATGTACTCTGAAGTCAAAAGAGAATGACAAGGTAAAAAAAAACAAGATATTACTGAATTGTCTGCTCCATTTAAAATGGCTGAACTAGTATAAACACTAAGTCAAAATAAGAAAAGAAATCCTCAGGTTTAGATATACTTCCCGAATTCCTTATATATCCAGGCCCAAACACTCGCCCTTACCTAATCAAGCCTTTTAATATAATTTTGGATTCGACAGAACTACCAAATTTGTTTAAGATTACTAAAATGCATGCAATAAGGAAACCGGGAAAAGATGGAAATGATGCTACAGATTATAGACCTATCTCACTTCTTAATAGCTTTTATAAGGCCTTGAAACAACTTATATACAATCGAATAACGCAGATGATAGATTCAATCCCTTCAGTAGTACAAGCAGACTTAGGAAACGAGAGATCTTACTGTGAACAAGTTATGTCCCCCACAGCTTTTATAGAATCAGGATTCCAAAAGCGCCTCAAAACCGGTGCTGTATTTATTGATCTGTCATCTGCATATGACATAATTTGGAGAGGCACTGATCCTAAAACTATCCAAAGTAGTACCCTTTGCTTAGGTTATTCATTTGGTAAACAGTATGATAACTAATCGGAAAAAATTAAGGTTTTCCTTAATAACAAAGATAGTAAGTGGCGCTTATCAAGCAATAGATTACCTCAGGGATCGATTCTTGCTCTTTTATTTTTTAACCTATATCCATATACATGATATATCAGAAACAATCTGCAAAATATTCCAATATGCTGACGATATGGCTTTGATCATCCAGAATACTAAAATCGTAATGTGTAAAAGTATTTTAAGTGAGACTGAAAAACTTTAGGATTTACTTCTTAAAATAGAGGCTTAAATTTAATAGTTCAAAAATTGTTTCTTCTCTCTTTCATTTAAATAATAGAGAAGTTAACGTTGAAATGAAAATCGAATTTTAAAATCAGAGATTAAACACGAATCTACACCTACATATATTTGAGTAACCTTGAGTAACAAAATTAGAACTACAAATAACATAATCGCTAAGCTGGCAGGTACCTAGTGGAGAGCAAATACTCAGACTTTGAGAACTTCTGCTTTGGCTTTGGCATATTCATCGGTAGAGTATTATGTGTATGTTTGGTTAAACAGCAACCACAAAAACAAAATTGACATTCAGCTGAATCAATCAAATAATGTGAATGATCTTTGGATCCTTAAAATCAACTCTTTTAGCCTATTATGACAAATATTCTTCCTCCGGGCTTAAGAAGAAAAGAGGCACTTAAAAAATAATGGAAAAAAATATCTAGCAAATCCTGACCTCTCAATCTGTTTAACTACTGACTCCCTCCCATATATGAGACTAAAATCGAGAAACCATGAAATTGCAAATATTAATATAAACAAGTCCAAATAAATGGAAGGAAGAGTCACCTAAAAATAAACATTTAATTCGGGAGCCTAACAACCGCCTGCCTGGTTTCAATCTTCCAAGAAAACAATGGATACTCCTGAACAGATTTCATTCTAGTCAGGTATGATACACGTACTTTATGAGTAAATAGGGATTATGAACATCAAGTAGTCAAACATTATTTTTGTACCTTTATTTCCCTATTGCTTTGCCCGTTACAGTATATCGAACAAAAGAAATTAAATTGGGTATTTTCATTTCGTCCGTGTTATGGTTATTCATAATTCAACTGAATGCTGATCTATTACTATGAGCTAAAATTCTATTGTGCGTCCTAGTGATTATCAGCTGTTGTCTTTCTCTCTGTGTCATAAGCCGCTGCGAGGGTTCGTCACTCCATTCCCTCACGCGTGCTAGTGAATTTCTGGCTATTATTGGTATTATTTCCAGCAAAGCGCTGTGGACGTTCGGTGCTAGATTCTCTGACTCGCGAGATGACTTGAATTTTCAGAAGAAGATTCTTCAATTCAACGTATTTTTGCTAATCTCGCTTGGGAACTATGTTTAGATAATTACGACCTTTTTTTCCAAGCATATTATTTGAAGTTTTTTTTCAAATCAGAAAAAATAAGAATAAACAGTGTACATGCTTTGTTATTGTTAGACAATAGAGTAAATAATATATTATTAATAATAATATTTGTCTTGTCCATGATAACCAAATTATTATCCATATCACTAAGGTAACCTACGAATAAATAAACTACTGAAAATACCTAAAAACCTAATTATTGCAATTTTCGTATGTATTCCTATTTTTTTTTCTAGTAATAAATATAGCCTATATTACTCAGGGATAATGTCGCATTCTAATTTCTAATGATGAATTAATTTTTAAAATCAGTCAAGTAGTTTTTGAGTTTATTTGTTACAAACATCGAAATCATTCCTCTTTATATTAGTATAGATAAAAATCAGAACCGCAGCAACGTGTGGTCGGGACATGTAGTATATTTATTTTTCAGTAATTTTTTTTCTAATATTCATCGTCCTTATATTAACAGACAAGAAATTATTACACAGCATGCACTTTACGGTGACTAAATGACTATACAATTATATTGTATAGATATTTTAACACACTCGTATTCTATTTCTATAAAATATCAATATATGGTTGAATTTACCATTCATAATTATTAATAAAAGTGTTTTTTCGGTCATTATTACTTTTAATTTTTTAATATTCGTTGAAAATATTTATAATTAAAATATTGTAAAAATAAATTTGTTACATATGTAATTAATTAGGTAGTGATTGAAAATTATTTGTTTTGAACAAATATAATATTTCCATAGACAATATGTTACAATAATAATATTTGACCATGTATATACCTATCCTATTAACACAGTTATCGTATTGACGAATAAATAAATCCATATTTCTAATTTATATGGAACAATTAATCATTTCAAACGATCCATATAAACATGGATGTCTGTCTATATAAGATTAAGAGACTAAAAAACTAATAGAGTAATTTTTAAAATCGCAGGAATAATAATATACAATATTCACAGCTTAATAATAAACCATACACACAATAAGTGTATAATTTGAATTAGCATATTATAGTAAAATTAGTACACCTGGAGTCAAGATACACATCACTATGTTTCCTCGCAGCTGTAGTCATACGCATTTCTTGTCTATTAGTATGGTTACACTATATCATATCAGGACCCAAATAAAATAACATTCTCGGTCTTTTGTTTCTCATCATTCTTCAGAATAGGCAGGATAACACAATAAATGTTTCCACAGTAGCATATACAATTATTAAAACTAGTTTGAGTCAAAATTATCCCTAGCAACTCTTACTTAAAAAATGTAATATCCAGATTGGCAGTAAATAACAATTTCTAACTGTGTTCGCATCCCTTTCACAATATTACTATAGATATATATTGAAAAATTGTATACAGGTATCTTATTATATAAGAAAAAAATACTTTAAAAATGCATGAGCTAGATATTTTAGCTCAGACATTTCAACGTTTTTGGATATCGATTATTTATTTATTTATAAGTTACTACTATTTTTTATGAATTATCGCTGTTGTATAAAATAATTAAATTTATTTGAATTACTGGTACAATTCAATAATGATAAAATAAACCTTACTAAAATTCAATATAAATGTACAATGTTATACTTTTAGAAAAGTATTTAAATTTATTTTATAATATTAAATTAAATTTTTATAAAATTGGAGTTCTTTTAAACTTTCTCTAATATCATCAAGTGCTCTGTGTTTAAATGTTTTCTTTGGCATTTCATTTAATAATTCCGGTTTCCAACGTCTAAAATACATTTAAACATTTATCAAAACTTTATTATTTTGATTTTTCATAATATGATGTATTAGAAACATGAATAGTTCCTATCATGCATATAAGTACCTCCAGCAAAATTTGAATAAACTTAAAAAAATTATTTGTTGTTGAATATAATAAAAAAAAAGGCTGATACTGATGATGGGTATGCTACTGTTTTAAATTTTGAAGGGATAATGTACAGAGTTAATTTAATTTATATCTGTAAGCAACAATAAACCATTTTAAATATTATTAGTTGTATTTTTAATTTTGAGTAGAGTAAAGAATGTATTGGTGTACGATGTTTTTTTTTTTCTGTGGACAACTCTTCTACCAGTAATTTTGCTCTGATGTCCATGTTAAGAAATCTGACTGTGGTGGTACTTTCAACGGGTCATTTTTTTGATTTTCCCAGCTGTTTTCTTATAAATGGAAAGTATCTGGGAAAAAATGAGAAAATGTATAAAATGCATTGTTTTAAATTTTTTGTTTTGATTAATTTAAGAATATTTGTAGAGATTTGAAGTTTGGACAGAAAACTAATATTCGCCTTTTCTAGAAGTAGTAAAATGATCAAAACATTGTAGCCATTTTTAAACCATTAATAGACATTTTAATTTTGAGGGTTTTTTTACACGATTTTCGTTTGATGGGTACTTTATGGGTAAAATTATTAGCCCAAACAGAAATGCTAGAAATTTAATAGGCGGTTCATATAAGTCGTACTTTATGGTAAAAATAAAAATTATAATTTTGTTCAATGTAGTATTATTATTATTTTTATTATACAATTTTGATAATATTTTGAATATATTTTGATATAATTCATAAATATTATGGCCTAATTTTTAAATATTACAAAGCAACACTATTAACCAATTAACCGAACTCTGCTCAGAATCGTTCTTTGTTAACGATGGTTAATTGTCATGATATACATTAAATTTCCTCTCTACCTTCCAAACTTTTCACCTACATCAATGACCCACCCATCATTCGAAGTGTCTGTATATTTTTTCCTTTTTATCAAGATAATCCATATCAATAAATACATTCTTCATTCTACTCAGAATCTATATGTATAGTTTTCCCATTAATTAGAAAACTACAAGGAACAAAAAAATTATATCTTTATGCACTCAATCAAAAACTAGATAAAATCTCTTCAACGGGTTTATAGATATCAAAAATTATAATACTAAAATTTATTTAAAGTAACACTTCATCTATATTTGAATTTCAATAGTAGTAGACCTCCAAAAAATACATTTGGTACATTTCCCTGTTTTTTCTCATTTATTGGGAAAACTCAAAGGAAAATTTACTTCCCTAAAGTACCACCCTAGTCAGATTTCCTTTCAGAAATAATGCTATTATAGTAAATTGGATCAAAATTGCTGGTATACAAGTTGTATACAGAAAAAATAAAATAAACATTATTGTAAAACCAATACCTACATACATTCCTCACTTCCCTTATAATCTAAAATATACAAATTATTTTAGATGTTTATAAACTAAAAAACTTTTTTCTTTATTTTCAATATTTACATGGTAAAATGGTTTTAATATAAATTTTGAATCACCTTGTATATCCTCTCATTCAATACCCCTTCTAAAACAGTGATACACCCATCAGCAATATTATCCTTTTTTCTTATATTTGAATCATACTTATACAACTCTTTCAAAGTGGAAACATCTATTAGTCGATAACTTAAATGACTTTCAAGTTTAGGCATGTATTTTCTAATAAATATTTTATCCATGTAAATAGAATTGCCAGCCAATGGACACATTCCTAAAAACAAACAAATTTACATTAACATTTTCATGTAAATTTATAAATTATAACTGTGATTCTCTACTAATTCATGCAAATGCTAAGTCCAAATTATTATGTTAATTACACTATATACATAATTATTATGTCCTAAAAATAGCTGTTTAAAGTTGAAACCAAAATGCTTCTAAAAATTATTTATATTTTTGCAAACATTTTCGCTATCAATAATAAGAAAAATATCTTTATAATCTTGTATATTAAAAACTCTATTACCAAGAATTTAAAATATTAATTATACATTTACAATTGGTATATTGTGTATATTACTAATTATTTTAAGTGGAATTCAACTAGGATTACCCTTTATTAACAAAAGGCTACAAAAAAGGCATTTTATTTACCTTTAGGAGTAAATGGTTTAATAAAGTCATATAATATTTGATCAGCTTGTTTAATTGATATATTGCTTTGACGAACACTCTCAGTTAAACCACTCTAATAAAAAAAATTTAAAAAAATATAAGCATAATAAAAATAAATGTACATAACCATTAAACATATGTAATATAATAATAAATATATATTTATATTATATAATATGATTTATGATCTATAAATATCAAACACTATTAAGAGTGATTTAAATTTGATGTTTTTACACCAATGTTTTTTAAAAGTATGCAAAATAAATAAAAATATTTCATTTGAAGATGTTTTTTATTTTACAGATACCCATAAGTGTATGAAAATTATATGTTAATTTAATTTGTAAATGTTTTTGTGAATTTCATTATTGTGTACACATTCAGAGAATATTACTGAAATTTTTAAGTTGGGACACTAATATATATATAATATTTAAACATTTACTAATGCATGGTGTTCCTTGGACCATTCTTCCATGTTTTCTAACACTTTATCTGGTTGGTGTATAATGATATTTGGACTCTCAGCTAAAATGTTTAACTGTCCATCGGTTATAATGATGGCCGCTTCAATAAGAGTATGTTTATCTGCATTTAATCCAGTCATCTAAATATATTTAGAAATACATTTTACTACAAGTGGCCCAAGATATAAGTACAAATACAAGGGGGCTTGGGAGATTTGGCTTCCTCTCCCTAAATAAATTTAATAATTAATATTCACTATTTATATTATTTGGTGTCAAGTCTGACAAAATACATGGGCTATTTGCACGTATGATAAAAATGACCATAAGTCCCTTGTTCACAAAAACACCTTTATTTGAATAAAAGTAAACTGTGGAAATGAATTCTATTAAAAAAGGTTATGTATATATTAACTGTAGCACAACACAAAACAATGCAATATCTACTCGCTACAGATCTACTCTTCAAAGTTTTTTTTTTTTGAAAAAAAAACTGCACAAGATAAGCTTTTTTTCTATTTTCTAATTTTTATTAAATGAACAATACATTATTTCACATATTTTATTTTATTAAATTCTACTGTATTCTACTATATTTATAATGCTGTTGTTGTGCGCAAAAAAAAAATTTGCAGTTTTCCTATTAAAATTTACAAGCAATGTAAAACACTAAGAGGAAAGGATTATGTTCGCATTACATATTATAATATGTAATATCTAACAGCATTTAACAAATAAGTCACTTTCAGCTAATACTAATTTATAATACTGTGATATTTTTTTTGTCTAAGTAAAATTACCAATTTTCTAAAATTTCAACAAACAAAACATAAATAAATAATAATCTATTCCTACGTACCTCGCCATCAAACCAAACAATATTTTGTGCATCATTAATTATATTGTGTGTAGTAATAGAGTTATCTTTAAGTTTTGAAAACATGCTGATGTTTGAATCTTTTGTTATTTCTGTATAATTTATCCTAAATAGAACACAATAAGTATGTATTAATTTTCATTAACTATTTCTAAAAATACTTAAGTTAACATATTATACATAAATTTATTAAAATATTTAAAATAAATTAACTTTTTTTTTCCAGACCTAAAAGCAATGTTGTCAAGATAATGAAAATCTGACCATAATATATTGTTATAATCTGTTAACATTTTTTATTCTTAAATTAAATAACATTTATTGTATTAAATAAAAATAAAAATTGCTGTAAAAGTACTCATTATTCTATTGATTTCAGTCTTCTTTCTATTATTTATTTGTTAGTATATTAAATTGTATTAATTTAAACCATAGCAGTACCACCTGTACCTATTTAAATAGTTTTTGATAAAGGGGAAATTCAAAGTTTTTTTTATCAGTGTTCCATTGTGTTTTTTTACCAAACTTTACTATAAGTATGATACAATCCATTTTGTCTACTAAAATATAAGATATACCTATATTATTTTGAATAGCTAAAATAGTAGTCTAGACTATAATTTTGTGAGACATGATATAAACAACTTAATATCAACATTATATCAATTTTTAATTATTCAATTATTCAAGCATAATTATACCATAAATTAAGATTGATGTTTTAATTTATGGTTCGTGCTTGTAAATGGCATTACAAAATATGTTCCTAGATTGTGTGTTATCTAGACATGGATATAAAAATTTAGTATACCGTGGTTTTTCTGAATAAAGTTGGAGAAAACAAATTTGTACAAAACTTACTTCTTTAAATGATTAATTAAATATTTAAATTTTTGCATCACATAAATCATCTATGAACATAATTTCTGGAACAAAGCAAGAAATTTACAAAAGAGCGCATAATAACCATAAGTTTCGCTATAAGAATATTTGATAAGCAAGCCCAGTGGTTCCCAAAATGTATGCATATTCCTGTATAGGCATTAGATAGGCAATAAATAGGCAAAACTGCACGAAGTGAAGTAAATTAAAAGGCGCTAAAAAGGAAATAAAGAGTAGTAATGATGTAAAGCGACCAAGCACTTTGACGGCTAAGGAAAAATGAAAGGAAAACCCCGGTAAAATTTTTCCAGAGGAATTATCAACAGAATGGAAGACAGCAGTACTATGTCCAATTCACAAGAAAGGGAATAAACAGGGCTGCAATAATTATAAGGGAATAGCTCTCCTAAATGTAACATACCAAGTCTTTTTGAAATGCATACTATCAAGGTTAAAGAGTAAAACAGAAGAAACTATAGGTGACTATCAGGGAGGATTCAGATCAGGAAGGTTGATAGTAGATTAGATATTTATCCTCAAACAATTGTTCCAAAAAACATGGAAGTTCGACAAGGAAATACATATTCTTTTTATCGACTTTAAAAAGCGTATGATAGTATACACAGAGCAAGCCTAATTAATTGCCTGAAAGAATTTAGTTTACCACAAAAATTAATAAAACTAATTGGGAAATCATCACAGAAAAATTAAGGTAGGAAATGCAGAAACAGGTCAATACTAATAAAATCTGGATTAAGACAGAGAGACTTCATATCATTGATTTTATTTAACTTAATTGTAGAGAAAGTAGTAAGAGAAATGTATATTCAACCTCAAGAAGGTTTTAAGTTACAAGAATCGACTATAACAGCTTTGGCTTATGCGGATGATGTGGTATTAATGGGTAGTTAACACGATAATTTAAGATCACTAATTACGCGTTTAGAGGAAAATGCAAAGAAAATGGGATTAAAAGTAATGAGGAAAAAACAGAATAAATGGTTATAAGAAGAGATAGTGCGGCCAATTTTCCACACCTGAAAGTTGGTAGATATGAGTTTAGTAGAGCCAAACAATTTAAGTATCAGGGTTCAATATGAACAAAAAAAAAATGAGATTGACAAAGCAATAGCATCAAGAATCCTATCAGAAAATAAATGCTTCTATGAACTCACAAAAATACTAGGATCACGATTTCTGTCTATAAAAATTAAGATACAACTATATATAACATAAATACACCCCACTTATGGGGCTGAGGTCTGCCCATTAAGAAAGACTAAGGAAAGGAAATTACTGGTTTTTGAAAGGAAAGTCTTAAGGAAGATTTTTGGACCTGTTAAAGACAGAGAAATGGGAGAGAAGAGAATAAGAAAAAATGATGAATTGGAAAGGATATTCCGGAAAGAAAACATCTTAAACGTAATCAGAAATCGAAAACTTCAATGGGTTGGATATGTTATGCAAAAACAAACCATCTCATAAGGATGATCATGGACGAGAACCCAGTTGGTAAGAGACCACTGGGAAGACCACGATTGAGGTGGGAAGATGTGATAAGAAAAGATGTGGAAACCCTGGTGGAGGATGGAATTGAAAAACAAGATCGATGGATAGGGAAGGATGGAGGACTGGATATGTGATGGGATGGTCTTGATGGCTGGAAAATCCAAGGATAATGGGCACTGTTATGGGCGAGTAGTTGGGAAGATAGTAAAGGGAAAATATAATGTATATATTAACTGTAATCAACGATAAACAATTCCTAACAAAATAATACTAATTTAATTATTTTACTATGACATTTATATTGTTGACAAAGCATCATTATCAATGGTTTATCGTTCCTTACAGGTATACGTTAAATTTCTTTCTATATCCTACCTTCCCAATTTTTCACTAACAACAGTGGCTTCACCCCTCGTATTAAGTATATTCTTCTTTAAGTGTAGGGAGATTCTGAGTGGAACCTAGATTTTTTTTACAACTTGTTTAGGTTACCTATATTTTTGATTATTTTCAATTTGGGGATGCAAGAATATTGTATGTAAAAAGTTACAAAGAGCAATTACCCCTTTACTCTACTCATTTTAAATTTTTATTCAACCTGGTAATGAAATAACACTTCTGTATGTGGCCAATTTGAATTTTGTACATTTTGAAGGGAATAATGGAGCACTATTTAGATGTTACCACACAAACATGGACCAATTAGTTTTTAAGCATAGACCTATTAAAATATTATCATGTTAATAGGTCTATGGTTTCAAGTATATATTATTGAATTCAAAAATGGACATAATACATAAATGGCGTCTACTTGGCCAAATACCACGGACATTTATAATAAATATATTATCTATACCTGTGCCAAATACTGCATAAGAATCAAGGTGTATTGATCAATATACCTATATTAGGACCATAGATATAATATAATATCTATAAAAAGGACAAAAGACTATGGATCGGAAATTGATAGATTTCTTAAAAAATTTAATACAAGATGAATTCAAATGATTTTTTTATTACTTTTTACAATCAGCACCAATTGCATCTGCTATTGAATTGTATTTATCTTCTCTAAAATAATAATTTTAAAAACAAAAAGCTTATTAATATAATATCATAATAACTATTATTAATTAAATAATATTTAAAAAACTATAAATATTCTATTAAATATTAAAAATCTAAATATCTAAACATCAATAAGAAACTAAAAATTGAGGAAGAATATTTTTAGTAATCAAAGATTTTTTATTTACATTGTATAATACATTGTTACAATATCAATTTAAGATTCTGCGTGAAAGCAAAGAAGCTTATGGTTTTACAAATATGTTTTTTTTTATTTTTTTTTTTTTAATCTGTTAACAACTTTTCTATATTATTTGCTTAGATTTCTATGTATAACACCTTTAATGAAAGGAAATTTCACTGGGGAGGTACTTTACACAGGTAATTTTTCGATTTTCCCAAGAGTTTTCATAGAAAATGTGAATAACTTAGAAAAACAAGATAAATCAGACCAAAAATAAACATATATTATTTAGAAAATGTATATAGCCAATTTAATTATTTTACTATAATATGGCATATATATTGTTGAAAAAGCATCACTATCGACTGAACTCTGCTCAGAATCGGTTTTTCGTAATCAATGGTTTATCGTTGCTTTCAGGTATACATTAAATTACCCATAACAACGGCTGCACCCGTCTCCGTTATTCTAAGTTGTCTTTTTTTATTTTTATTCTTGTTATATTTGTTTACATTATTTGTCAATAATGATAGATACCTATAGTCTATCCTACAAGAGAAGGGTTATATATAAGGCTCTAGCCAATTTGGCGTTACTTTTGCTCTTCATATAACCAGATGTATTGTGGGATAGACATTGTTTTTGGAATTTTTAATATATATTTAAACAATTTATCTGGTTATTTTTTGTTATTAAAAATTATTTTAATCATAGTTTAGAATACCTGAATAAAAAATATGCTGTTTCTTATTTATAACACACATCTTAATATTGGTTATTCATTCAACAAAAAAGTATTTAAATTATTCAAACTAATTTTAAAATCAGATAAATGTTTAAAATACTAAATCTTATAAAAAAATAAAAAATAAATAAATTATTGCTTTTATTTAGTGTTGTAACGAACCGAACCAAATCAACCATACACATTTTTATTCGAACCTGAACCAAACTTTTAAAATATTTTATCGAATTCAAACATTAATAAGTATAAAGATAATCCTGTGGTTTGATGGTAGAAGTTGTATACTTTTATGAAACTAAAAAATAAAGTATAATAATATATGAAGAAACCCTCTAATGTGAAAAAAATAGGATTGTTTTTTTGTAAAAAGACAACCCTAATTCACTACAGAACATTGTACTGGTAACTGTACTAAATTGGCAACAAATGATTTTTGAACCAAACAATTAAATATTTGGTTTGTTAGTTTTGATTCGAAAATCAAACAGTTTGTAACATCTTTAGTCTTATTGTAGTGAAGAGATAATGAATAGTTTTGATATTTAACATCATTAAACATAACCTATTGAATTGTTATTTAAACTTACATGTTATAACACTTATAATCTTTATGTATAAATATATTAATATTATGTAGGTGAATTGTATTTTTTACCTCAAAAGACATTCCAATTCTTTTTTGATATTAATTAAAACTGATGGCCCATTATATATAAAAGAGGTATAAATTTGTAATAGTGAGGCTCCAGCTTTGATTTTAGCATATGCATCTTGACCATTAAATATTCCACCAACTCCAATAATTGGAATTGCACCTAGATTATATTATTTATTATAGACAACATTACAACAATAAAACCTTGTTTACACTAAATCAAGAATAAGAACATGTCACACAGGTAACGACTGGTTTTCACCAGTGGCGCATCCAGTGGTCTTTTGAGGGTTTAAAATTTGGTTTGAATTACCCACATATCTCACCCAACACTCCAAAGCGATAAATATTGAAAATTTATTTATTTGTGTAGGCGCATATAGTTGTATAACTAATGTATACAGGGTGATTTTTTTATCATGAACCAGCAATTATCTCAGAAAATTTTAACTGAATTTGATTTAGGCTTTATTTTAAAACCATTTTTAATTTTTTACCCCTACCCCACATTAGTACCTTAAACAAGTTTATACTTTTGATTTTCAAATAGGAATCCCACCTTTTGAACACAGATTTGATAGAGAATATTTTTCTGGAAATTTTGATTTGCACAACGCTAATATCAGATTTACCGTTTATGAGTTATAATAATTTAAAGTTTAGACCGGAAGAGTAGGGAAGGGTTATAAATAGGGAATTTTTTTTATCAAATTCACTAAAAAACTCAGAAATAACTGCTAGCTCAGTGACCACCAATTTCGGTAGTCCATTTGAATCAGTTAAAGTACGTGCGTGGCGCCACTGGTTTCCACCTGAACCTTGTCATAGCTGTAAGCCAAACACAGTCAACTGGCGTGGCTAAGAACCTGTTTTGGTTTGCCACTTAGTTACAATCTTATTCCAGTTGTAGTATAGTAATATACCATGTGTCAATTTATAAAACTCTGCTATTAATTTTGTAGATGTTTCTTGTAATGGTTTTCCACTAAGTCCACCTGGTTCCAATGCATTTGGATTATCATAGACTTCAACTCTTTTTACAGTTGTATTTGAAATTATTAATCCATCAACTTGATACTAAAACAATGTACTTATATATTTTTTGAAGAAAATTATAACTATTTTAACAATCATACCCTTTTGTCATTAATTACATCAGCAATATTTTTTTTATCTTGATCAGTAAGGTCTGGAGAAATTTTTAACAATAATGGTATTTTATGTTCTCCACAGTATTCATTTCTTGCTTCTATAATATTTGAAAGTAGACCTTTGAGAGCATTTTTCTTTTGCAAATCTCTTAGACCAGGAGTATTGGGACTAAAAAACAAATTTGTCCATATTTGTATTATTATTATTATTATTATTTTTTAATTATGACTAGAAATATTACCTAGAAATATTTATAACAAAATAATCTGCAACTGAAGCAAACTTTTTAATACCTTCCACATAATCTGAAACTGCATTTTTAGACTCTTTATTTTTTCCTAAATTAACACCAACTATACCATCAAAGTTTTGGTGTAACTTAAGGTTTTTAAGTCTTTCAAATACAACATCATGACCATCACTATTGAATCCATATCTAATTTATAAAATGTATTAAACAAAATTAGCATTAATAAATAAAACTGTGAATACTATGAATATTCAATTGATAGTTATTATTAATAGATTCTGAGTGGAATGAGGAATATATTGGTTATACAATGATGTTTATTTTTTTTTGTTTTTATGTGAAACCTTTATCTACCAGACAACATACTCCGATTATCTAATGGTTTATCATTGCTTACAGTTATACGTTAAATTCTCATTTATATTTTACCTTTCCAACTTCCCACCAGTGGCTGCACCTATGTGCGAAATATGTCCATTATTTTTAATGTTAATTTTAATAATTAAATTATTTGATGAGGTGTATGTTGACAGCCTGCTTGAAGCCACCCCTGCCACTTGCTTTATCCCTTATGGGATAAATAAATCTACCAATAGTGAACGACCTTACCATTGTCTATCGCCATATGCAATCACACAATATGAATGGAAATCCAAAGTCATTAAAAATAGCCCTTGTAAGGGCTTTTACAATAGCCTTGATCACTCTGACCATTGTAGCTAAACAAACGACATAATCATAACAAAAACTAAATATGAAACCTACAAAAGCTAGCTGCAGAACAGACTACAACTGTCCTTTCCTTACAGGAAACACATATTCCAACTAATTAGCAATATTAACAACTACCAAATTTCTGAATTTAAACTTACTTGCTATCACCACCACAACAAATACGGTCTATCCATCTACAACAAGTCAGAAATAACCAAGTATACTTCTATCCCTAATACTGTATCCGGACACATCGCTACAATAAGACTAGTCATTTATGATCTATATAATTATATATAATACCTAAAAACCACCAAACCTAAAATGGGAAGATGATGTATTTCTTAAACATTATAGTTCAGCACTGCTCACTGGAGATTTTAACAGCCACACCACGACCTGGGACTATGACAACTCTGACAAACCCAGTGAAGCTTTTCTAAAATGTATCTCATCATCTAACCTTTACCTACTCCAAGAATTTAAAGGGACGTTTTGGTCAGCTAGGTAGAAAAAGGGTTATAACAAAATCTCACACTGACCTTGCTTGATAATAGTATTCCTTACCCAACGGAGAAGTCAATTGTGAGCTCCTTCCCTAATAGTTTAAATGTTTACATTTACAACATAACCTATCTGAAACCGTAGTTTCATCATTTTACCTTGATAACAAGATGGCGATTTAGAAGCTGACCGTAAACTCCTGTGGCTAACCAATAAGACACGATCCACTACAGATATATTTAGGAGTCACTCTGGACCACACTCTAACATATAAGGAATACTTGAAAAAATTAGTATCTAAATTGAAAACTCGCTCGTTCTTAATATCTAAATTAGCTGTTACCACACAAGGTGCATCTACTAAAGTTCTTCGAATGTCAAATATGGCCCTTGTGTTTTCCGTGGCTGAATAATGTGCTCAAATTTGGGAGGGTAGTCACCAGTGTAATTTTATGGACGTAGAACTACGGATAACAATGGGTATTATTTCAGGAATAGTAAGATTACACAAACGCAATAATTACCATTCCTGGCCAATATTGAATCTCCCCACATTAGAAAACACAATTTTGTACTGAGGATGGCTTTGAAAATTGTGTTTAATACAACTCTACCAATCAATTAATATCAATACAGAGTTTAGAATTAAAGAAATAAATCGCGACACCTGTTCCTAGAAAGAGTGACATCAATAAAGGCCCACATATGTCTTTAACCTTCTATATAGCAAGAATGGGAAAGCAATCTCCCAACTAACGGAAATTTAGTTAATGATGTCCATTCTGCTCAGCCAAGATCGTCTCTCCCACCCAGATTATAGACTAGACTAAACAAACTTCGTACAAGGTATGACTGTGTTACCATCTAATGCACAAATGGCACATAAACGAAAATCCAACATGTGACTGCAAAGCGAAGGCACAGAAAATGCACAACATAGTAATAGAATGTGAAAATAAGAGGTTTAATGAAACTCTCGAAGATCTACATACAGTAACAGACGAGGTATTACAAAAGCTAGATAAATTGGAGGTGGATATCTAACCACAATGAAGAAAGGACTAATTAATTGACATAATGTTACCTATAACTTAAAAATAATGAAACATAACATTTACTAACTAAACTATTACTATTTTAAACTATTTATTTAATTGGATTAATCTGAGTTATATTCATATGTTATTATTTATATTTATATTTATATATATATAGTGTTACTCTCTATTTGCATTCTCTAAGATCATACAAAAATAATAATAATAGTTGATAATGTAGTTGCTTTGTCAACAATATATAAATCATATATGGTGGTAAAATAATCACATAGGCAACATATATTTACTTTAAAAAATATTTATTCAATATTGTACACATTTTCCTTACATTTGTCTATGTTTTTCCATTTACTGAGAAAACTAGTGAGAAAATCAAAAAATGACATCTCTGGAGTACCTCCCCAGTCAAATTTTGTTTCAGAAAAGGTGCTATACTTAAAAATCTAAGCAAGATGTATGGTATAAAAGTTATCTACAGAAAAAAGAAATAAACATCTTTGTAAATCCATAAGCTTCTTTGCTCCACTCAAACACTAACAATTGTTGTTAATTGTTAAATGTTAATTAAAAATTTAAAATTGATTTAACAAAAACAACTGATACTGGGGAAGAGTGTTCCATTATTATAGGTGAATAGGTGGAAAGATAAGACACATAAGGTTTTTTAATTTATATCTGTAAGCAACGATAAATCATTGCTAACGAATAACAATTCTGAATAAATTTTGGTTATACATTTTTTGAAATGTTATAGTGTTTCCGATTTTTGTTAAAATTTAATTTAAAATTTAAATTTAGTTTAAAATTAAACTCTTATATAACCAAAGCTACCTGCATTACACACTACTTTTTTTACCCCCACTATGTAAAACTTATATTTAACCTCCAGTTGAATTTTTAAGCATTTCTCTTCGGTCAAACATTTTATCTATATAGTACCTACCAAATAAAAACCACGTAAAAAAAATTTGCAAATATCAAATTAATGTAAAAATGGCAAAAAAAAAATTCCCAAAATGTTTAGAAAATGTAATATTAAGAAAAGGTAAACAAAAGTTTTCTATTAAAATTTCAAGTCCCATTATAATAATTTCTAATGAATTGGAAAAATTTTTTAAAAAAAATTGAAAATAATGAAACTATTATTTACATAAACTATCCTCTTCTTTCTGTTTTCTTCTGGCTTTGTTCAGTTCTTAAAAAGATTATAGAAAATCAAAAAAAGATCCTTTAACTCATCAACTAGATTTAAAATACAACAAAAATTGTTTATTGTTGTTTTTCGAATGTTAAAACAATGCTCCAGACTTCCAATAGTTTTCAGAAACTAATAATTGTATAATAAATCTAAAGATACTTAAAGAAAGCTTAGAATGTTTAATATGTGCATATAGAGCCACATTTTCAAAAAAAATATCTTCTTTCTTTTTTTACAATGAGAAGTTTTACATTTTTTTAAAAGATCATTAAAAAAAATCAATTAAATTTTGCAAAAATACTTCTATTGGCTCATAGAAGAAGTTCTGGTCTTTAATTTGGTACTAAAATTAATTCTCTATGTCAAACAATGTTTGTTTGCTATTGGAAGTGTGAAGGTTTGTTTATATGGAAAGTTGCAGCATGGTAATGAATTACAATGTCATACCCTCACCACTGAGGCAAGATTTCTGGTAAAAAACATAATTTGTACAAACTGAAAATAACAAAAAGCTGTCCTAGGATAATGAGAACAGGAATTTAATGAATGCAACAATTAACCATTACTAATAAAAAAAAAATGTTGAACAGAGTTCAGTAGATAGTGTGGCTTTATCAACAATATATACGTCATATTGTGGTAAAACAATTAGATAAGAATTAAACATTTTCTTTAATTATAATTGTTTGATATTGTACCTATTTTCCCTACGTTTTTTTGTTTTCTCAAAAAAGAAAAATTAAAAAATAAACATCATTGTAAAACCAATACATCCTCGCACTACTCAAAATCTAAAAAATAACATTTTCCGTTTATCAGTTTTTATTTTACAATTTTACATTGGTTTTTCTCGATTATTACAAAAACAGCTTAGAAAATATAGCGTGTAAAATTAAAATCAATGAAATCATCATAGCAACGCTATGGAGAACCGTAAATATTTGTCTGTTTTTCTTATACACTTTTTGTAATTATTTTGAAAAATCCTTTGAAATCAAAAAATGACCTTCCCAATGCACCAATCAAATCCAAAATTGAATAAAAAAAGGTCTTTTGTTATTTTTCAAATTGGAGTAAAAGTTTTGGTAGCAAAGTTGCTCACAGACAAAAATACCAAAAAAAAAAACTCATAATAATACCAATAAATCCCTCCCTTCGCTTCGAATCCAAAATATTATTTTAAATCATACATATTTATAATGTTAATTTTTCTATTTTACCTATTAATAATAGATTGACTATTTAAAAGTCTAAATACTCTTGGTTTTTCATTGCCTGGTTGAGGTAAAGGTGTTATTGAACCAACTTCTACAAAACCAAACCCTACATTATATAATGCTTTTGTTATTTCACCTTGTTTGTCTAATCCAGCAGCAAGGCCTATTGGGTTGTTGAAACTTATATCCCACAATTTAGTTTTCTGTGTAAACAATGTAGACAGTTGCATATTAATATAATTTAAATTATTTTATTTGACAAACATACCAACATAGGTGGATCTTTATAAATTGATTTAGGTATAAGTCCATATTTTCCAGAAAATATTAAAAGACTATGGGCTTGTTCTGGATCACACATAAAAAAAAATGGAATAATATACTTCTTATAAAATTTGTCATTGAATGTAATGAAATTTGTTCCTGTACACAATATACATCCTCCAGATGTAATATAGAACAAAGACCGGAATGGACTCTAAATAAAATAAAAAATATTAGTTTTTAATATAAATATATTTACAGGCATTTTATCATGTTTTACTATTTTTTATTTTACCTAATTATTACTATTAAATTAAGTACCTACATGAATTACACGACTACACATTTGTACTTAAATTTTAATTTGTTCAAAATGATTTATTGAAATGATTAATGTCTACTATTTTTGATTTCATATTTTACATACCTAATCAAAATGTCAATGAAAAATATGTAAATAATGTATACACCAATGTTTATTAAAACATTAACAATTATTCATTGCCATTTTACCATTATAAATTACAACTATGGTAACCTATTATACACAGATATACCTACTATAATTTACGAGATATCTTAACTATTAATCATGTAAACAAGAATAGACTATTTAAGTACACATAATAATAATTATTTAGAATATAATAATATTTTGATAGAGTAAGTAAACAACTACTTAGATCTCATAGACCTATGACTCATCACATTATCTATATTAGACTATTAGCTATGCTCTTTGTAAGTGTTACAATTACTATACTTTTGTCACCTAAAAAGGGTCAAATGTTTTATAACAAGCAATCATACAATCATAGCGAATAAGAAATACTAGTAAATCCAGTACCCCTACGAAATACTATAGATTTAGGACATAGTAACTATATATATATATATGAGAAGATGTGTTTGAAGACTTAAGTCTGGTGTACTGCTCTAAAATAAGTACAATTCACAAACAAGTCAAAAGATAAATTAATTTTTTTCTCAAAAATTAAAGTTGTACTGTAACTAACTAATAATTTTAATAAATTGATTAACAATTTGAATAACTCACCATTATATGTAAGAAAACTGGCTTATTCGACAATCAATATAAAAATAAATAACTTGGGTAATCACGAACTAAGATAGGATTTTTGAATATTATATATATTATTCATACATAATATGATAATGATAATAGAAAAATATTTCGGCCGAATAGGATTTAAGCTGATAGTATTTAATCCGAAAATATTACAGCGGACTGTAATACAGAGATAACAGATTAGGTCAGATCTACGGACTAAAGGTGCCTTCTCAGCTTAACGTAAAACGTGAAGTATTCTGGGACCATTGGTTGAACCATGTGGTTATTATGTAATGGTTAACCAGTGGTCAATCATCATTTTTGATTTTAATACTATCCCTATACCACTTATACCGGTTAGTTGTGTTCACCATGGTTTAATTATAATGGTTCAACTATTTTAATATGTATTAATCACGGTGAACAAATTGTAAATTATCATGTTTCACGCGATGAGCTGTGATGGCATCTTAAGAATGTATAACAAGGTATATCTTTGTCCATGGTCAAACCTTCCGAAAAACGATAACACATGATGAGAAATAAATGAAGAGGAGAGAAATTCCTTGCTTTAAGTAATCCAATTTTATGTTTTTTTTTAAATTTTTAATTAATGAAGTTAATTGTAAAATAGTTTAGTTTTGATAATAAATCGGACATGTGTAAGTGAATGTTTATCAGTTATCTATGTTTAAATAATTTAAATGTTTAAAAATGGTTAAAATTAAAAATAATAATAATTTTTAACTTAATTAAACAATATATAGTCATGTAGATATTTTTATTGATAATCGGTCAAAAAGTCCGGATTCTGTTTTTTTTGTCGGACAAAAAGTCCGAAAATACAAAATATTCTATTAAATTTTCATTTATAATTATAGTTATTAATTATATAAGTATTTAAATTTTTGTTCAAGATATCGACGTTCAAACTTGAAAGTGTTCTAATTCGACATTTTCTGATTAAAAACAATAATAAGAAATGTATCAGTTGATATTTATTTTCGGGCGAAATACTGTAATAATATTTTTGGCTAAAATACGGTTCAGCCCCCCTCCCCACTATAAAACATTTGAACGTCGATATCTTGAACAAAAATTGAAAAATTTTAAAGAACATGCAAATGTTGAGTTATAATTCCGACACAATTTTAAACAAACAAAAAATAATAAAACGGTATTACTTATTATTTTTAATTTAAACCATTTTTAAGTATTTAAATTATTCAAAAATAAACTACCATGCCGTCAAGTATCATTTTATCGCGGATCGACGACGCTCATCTGATTAATTTATCTAGATAAATAAAATTATAATAATATTCTCGTTCGTACTTTGAAAAAATGATATATAGTGTTGTTCGTGCAAAATCAAATTTTGTAATTACTTTAATTTCATTTTCGGACTAAATTAACAATTTTTATATTGGTTTACGCGTATTCTGTTTACAATGTAAATTTTGCTGACCTCGATGTTCCAAAAAAATTTGTTGGTTGTAACTTTCTGGCACATAATAAATGCTCTCAATTTTATTTATTGCTGGTGAGCAAAACTGTTTTTCTTTGAAAAATTGCATTTTAAAATACTTTTGTCCATCTTGTGAAAATGGTTTACGTGTTATTCCGGAATTAAAAGATCTGATAAATTGTTAGCAGAAGTTAACGAGCTTAAATTATCAAATAGTTCTAAATCATCAATTTCGGTCTTCGGAAGAGTTTATTTATTAATCTAATTAATTTATTATTATCGTAGTACGAGAGCATCAAATCTAATTATATATAATCTTGTAAATTCATACAATCAAATTTACAATTTAATATTGATAAGCTAAATCATTGGAGTATTATTAACACGTTCACCGCCGCTGCCGATCACGGATCGGCGTTAGTTGTGGAGCGCTGACGGCCGCCGCCGATCCGTAATCGTCAGAAGTAGGTATATTTAGATATGCTTATAAATAACTCGGCGTTATCGACACTGCTTTATTATTTTTCATGGCCATTCAGTACGNCACTCTGTTGGTTTTTTTAATTTATTTTTAATTTTATAATAAGTATTTTATAATTTATTATATTTTTAAATAATATTATTCGTGAAATGGACCATCCTGCTGTTCCATCAAGAGTTGATCGCTCTCGAAGCCCTAGAAAGAAGAGTATAAAAACAAATACGTTAACTGATGCTGAGCTATTAGATATTTTGGACAACGATAAATGGATGTCGTCTGACGAAGAATTTGATGATGATTTTGATGAATGTATTACTGATTCTGATGGCAATGATGGAGAAAATGAAGGAGACGATACACAATATATTGATATAGGCGAATTTGTTGGTTCTGGTGAGAATGAAGTAAGTGAGGTTTTATCTGAAATTTATAGTTCAACCAATTTTAACTGGTCCACTGACTCACCTACAAATACAGAATATTTTGAATTTATCCCTACACCTGTGCTCAAGTGTCTACCAAATGGAGACAATCCAATAGATTATTTTAATTTATTAGTAACTGATAAATTATTAGACATCCTTGTTGAGGAAACTAATAACTACGCAATTGAAATTTTTTTAAATACTGTAACTGACAATTCTAGAATATCGGATTGGGTAGATACCAATAGATTGGAAATGAAAACATTCTTAAGTTTGTTATTTCACATGGGAACAATTAAAATGCCTAGACTTGAAGATTATTGGAAAACAAATAAATTATTTAATTTGCCATTTTTTCGTGCTCATATGAGTAGAAATCGATTTACATTATTACTCCGTGCGTTACATTTTTCACGTAACCCAACTGAAGGCGAATCTGTTCCTCGTAATAGATTACATAAAATTCAACCTATTATAAATTACTTCAATTCAAGGATGAATGAAGTATTTGAACCAACTAAGAACTTATCACTGGATGAATCTATGGTTTTATGGCGTGGACGGTTAATTTTTCGACAGTATATTAAAAATAAAAAACATAAGTTTGATGTCAAAATGTATATGCTCACCGAATCGTGGGGATTTATACATAGAATAATGGTATATTCCGGACAGGGGCATGATGTATCCGAGAGTATGACTCATACGGAATTTGTTGTTGACAATTTAATGAATGGATTATATCACAAAGGGCGTTCATTATATATGGACAATTTTTATAATAGTGTGAAGCTCTCAAGAAAATTGTTGCAAAAAAGGACTTACATTACGGGAACTTTACGTTCGAACCGTAAAAATAATCCTATTGAAGTTACAAATAAAAAACTAAAAAAATGAGAATCAATATGTAGGTACACTGAAGATAACATTTGTGTTGTCAAATGGAAAGATAAAAGAGATGTGCTGACAATAAGTTCGGAATTTCCCCACTCTATGATAGAAATTGAAAAAAACGGAAATATAATAAAAAAACCAAAATCAGTTATAAAATACAACGAAAACATGTCTGGAATAGATCGCCAAGATCAGATGACATCGTACTATCCGTTTGAAAGGAAGACATTAAGGTGGTATAAAAAAATCGGTATACATTGTTTACATTTGTTGTTAGTAAATTCCTATTTTTTATACAATAAATATGCCAAAAAAACAACGCTGTACGATTATCGAATATCAGTTATTGAAGCATTATTGTTAGACAAACAAATTATTCAAGATTGAGTTAAAAGTTATTTTTATTATTAGGTTTTAAAGTGTATTTATCTTTGTTTCTGAAGATTTGTTATTTATCATATTTTGTTTTTTATTTATTTCATAAAACATTAATTAAATAATAATAAAACTAATTAATAAAGGTATCTTATTTCATATTTTATATTATCTATTTATATATAATACACAAGTTTTACAACATTTCCTAATTAGAAATTAAATTTTAGAATATACGACGATCACGTATATAATGATTATCAGAATTTACGTGGCGTGTGGCAATAGATTAGAAATATGCGGGCGGAGGTGAACGTGTTAATGGATTACCACTGAACGTTAATAAGTGTCAGGTAATATCGTTTTCCCGTTAGAGAAAACCAATATTATTTAACTATAGTTTAGGCAATTCTGTTTTAACAAGTGTTTATTTCATTAGAGATTTAGGAATAATTTTTGAAGATAATCTTTCCTTTTTTCGTCATATTAATTTATCAGATAGTTATGCTTTCAGGATTCTGGGTTTTGTTAATAGAAATACTGAAGATTTTTTGATATTTAATAATATATATACTTAAAAATATTTTTTTTTTCTTTTGATAGGTCCAAGCTCGAGTTTGGTTCTTTAATTTGATCCTCTAATTATGTGACTTTCATTTATGTTATAAAATATGTTCAATACAAATAAACTAAATCCATATGTTATAAAACAAATATCAGTATATACACGTATTGTTATTATTTACACTCTTCCCAGTTATGCATAACATCTTGTGATCTCAGAAGAAAAGTTACTGATTTAATATTTTTATTTGACTGCTAAATGGAAATGTAGATTGCCCAGAGTTACTTTCTTTGGTTAGCTAACACACTGGTCATATCTGCTTCAGGGTTAATAAATTGTTTAAGTTAATTATTTAGTTTATTACCTATATCTGTGATAATATGCATGATAAATTAGATCTAATTTGTCATGATAATATGTACGATTTAATTTAAAATATCTCTCGCCAAATGATAGATTAGGTATCATGTAATTATGATAACACTGCAGTGCCTACAACCAACATGGCTTTTTTTACATATGCTGCTATCACTTTTTTTATAGTTAGCATCTAGTTTATTATCTATATCTGTGATTAATATATAATATATTTGGATATGATAATTATTGAATTTCTTTCGACAAAAAGTCACTAAAATTAATTAACAATTATCGAAGTGAATTATGTTTATGCCTCTAGATTTGAAATTTAATATATTTTAGTATAAAATGTTTGAACATTTAAATTTTCATTTATTTAAATTCCTAAAATATGTACTCAATTATAAAGTTGGTAGTGTTGTATGATAGTTTTTTGTCGAGTGCAGTTTTGTCGAATTCTGATCCGTAGATTATGATTGCGTGGCTTTATGTCAGGTGGTTATTTGTTTTGCTTCGGAATTTCAGTGTGCACTTTTTTGCCAAATCGAAAACACCGTAGAGATCATGTGATAAGATTTAATGTTTTTATTTAATATCTTTAGTTATTATTTTGCATCACAGTTCTATATAATAAAATGTATTATCTATATTATGATCTATATCTGTTCTGTGTTATTCTGTGTCAATTTCAATGTTGATTGTATAATAATATACTTATTTATGCTCAGAACAATCAGGAACTTAAAACATTTTGAACTTGATAATCTCTACTGCCTGGAATTCTGAATTATGGTTTATAATTTTATGATCTTATTATCGCGTGCAAACTTTTTGTGTAATTTTGTTTAATAATTTATATTTTATATTTTAATTTATTATGATGGAGTTGAGTCATAGTTTGCTTTTAAATGAAGAAGCATTAAAACAATTGCCAGAAACTAAAAGACCCGTTTTTATCTTTGAATGGCTTCGTTTCTTAGATAAAGTATTATTAACTTCCAAAAAAGTAAGTGTGTTTATCGTTTTAAGGTCGTGTATTGGCAGACATTTGTTTACTATAGACTTACAAATATAAACATACATGGTACATACACAATCATTTTGAATTTGAATTAATTTTTTAGTAGTAATGGTACGCCTATCATTTTAAATTTTTAGAAAATACATTTTACTTGTGTGTGCATAATTTTTGTGAATGTAATTAAAAAGTGCCATCTTTGTTGATAATGTTACACTAACATATATTGTTATTAATGCATTTTGAATTTTTTTGACCATAACTTTCTAGGGAAGTTTGAACGACTTATTTTTGAAAGTAATATCAAATTAAGCATGCATTTAAAACACACATTTTAAAAAGAAATCTAAAAAATTGCTTAGGAGCTAATCTGCATTAATTTCCAAATTATAATTAATATATATGTATAAATATATATTTATATATAATATATTAAAGTAAATAATGTTTTTGTTTTTGATATTGCATTTTTGGCAAACCAATAAAATAAAAATAATTTGCATGCATATATATATTACCTATATTACAATTAAAATAGTATACTTACATATTACCTTCCTACATTGTAAAACATTTTAATTTTGATTAAATCAAATCTTATTAACATCACACAACATAATTCAATTTATATTCATAGCTTTTAACATGAGTATCTTGTTTCAAACATTTATTGGAAATATTTTGCTAGCTTTCATTTAAAAAAAATGTAAACATTGAAAATCACCTAGCACATTTGTATTATTTAAAATTTAACTTAATATATTAAAATAAAATGCTTGGCTTTTTATAATAGAGTGCCGAGTGAGGTTTTGGTATGTGTGTTAATGAGAATAAGATTTCCAAGATTGTATATTAGTTTTATATGTATGTATGAACTATGCAGTTAAAATACAAGTATAAGAAGTGTGTGTGGAATAACTGAGGATTTTAAATTTTGATTCATCACTTCACTTATCCACCTATGCATTCTCATCTCTTCCACTCGTCTATTGTCCTCCCACACACCCGAAATAAGACAATCTACCTAAGTTTTATATAAAAATCCTCATAATGTTATTTTTAATTTTACACTGGCTGTGACTTGACGTAACCTCAATTTTCTACTCTTATAACAGGTAAAGGTACTATGGGGGTGTTTTGATCCCCTCTCACAGAAAGAATATTATCTTTAACTTTAATGTGAATTCTTTCACCCTACAGAAAACAATACTGGACTCACCCACCTGGGCTTTAAACCAGTAGGAGCTTGTGGTTTCGAGTTCGCTAAACCCATAACATCATATTTTATTAGGAATGTACTTATTTTATTTTCATTTTTTTAGGTTGATATTAAAGAATGTCAAAAAAAAATGGTTGATCAGTTAACTAGTTTAATTCAAGAAAATCCAGGTCCACCAACTAGAATATTAATTGCTAAATGCTTGTCTACATTGTTTAATGTTGGTGATACATTTCTACTTTTTGATACTGTTAACAAATGTAATGATATGTTGCGTGTTAAAGATGATTCTTTGACATACCTTTCCACAAAATTGTATGTATTCAAATTAACTATGAACAGTATTATTATAATCTTAATTATCTAGTGATAAATGTATGTAAAAAATAAGTTTTGTAAACATAAGTACATTGACTTGTGTACAGATTGTCTTATTTATTACATAAGTGGATTTAAACTAACCTTTTTTTTTTTCTGAAATATTCCTTGTCACCTAATCATGATGTAGCATGTTTGTTAAGCGTAAAGTTTAAATTTCCAATCACAGACAATCTGCATAAAATTATTTTCTTCTTTAAACTCTTTCATATTAATAAATAAATGTGATTTGGCTTATTGGACGAATATGATTTGATAAAAGTTGATAAAAGAATTTAAAACAAAAATTATATTATTTATGCAAATTTTTCCTGATGTAATTTCCTCTAGACATTTTGGTAGAATACTATTTTTTTATAATCCTTTTATTTTCATTCAATTATTTACCTAGGAATTTTTTTTTTTTTTATTTAATTTTATACTGGTTACTTATTAGAACTTACTTTATTCACTAAACTTGTATTTTAACTACTGGTATAAAGTTATACCAGTATATAAATATATATTTTCATTACAGTAATATGGTATTATTATTAAAACAGTTTTCCCAAATATACATTTGAGCCCCTAGTCTGGAATAAATTGAATTATTGAGATTGTATTGTATTCACTTAATTTTTGGAAATAATTTTGTTTAGAGCTGCAATAACTTGTATGGGATATATGTACAAAAATTTGGGTCGTATGATGGGACGTTCTTATGAAGAAACTGTTTATATTTTAATTAAATGTCTTAAAAATGCAGAATCACAGATGAGAGTGGAAATAATTATAACCTTAGAAAAGGTACCTAATTAACTATTTTTTTTTTTTTAAATAATTTAAACATTTTGTCTATATATTTATAAATAGATTTGTTCTGGTATGGGAAGTGTTATGGGTAACATTCATAAAGATATTTACAAAGCTATTAGACATTCTCTGACTGATCGAGTTATGGCTGTCCGTACTGCTACTGCTAAAGTAACCCAAATTTAAATATTATTTCTGTTATACATTTTAATCATATTTTTATGTTTAGTGTTTGTTTGAAATGATAAAACATTCTAGTTTTTTATATACATCAGATTTAGAAAATGTGGCCACATTATGTTTCCGATCATTTGAGAATGCTAATTATGAAGTAAGATGTTCTGTGGCAAAATTATTAGGATTTTTAATTGCTTCTACACAAATCCAAAACAAGGAGCATCATACCAGTATAAAAATTAACATAAAACAAATTACAATAAAATTATTATTATTATAATTTAAAATAATTTTAGTTCAGACATCAAAATCAACAAAGTGTGTTACATTAGAAGATGCATTGACAATATTAATGAATGGTTTTTTAAGAGGTGGTACTGGTTTTCTTAAAGGAACTGGAGAAATAATAAAAGGGACTACTGGTAGTCATCGAGAAGTTAGGGTTGGTGTTACATATGTAAGTATTTTATGATGATATTCAAGTTAATAAATTATTATTATATTAGTTTTTTTGTATTTTTAAATGTTTAGACTTATGTGGAATTTGTTCATTCTTTGGAAGTGACTTGGTTGGAAAAAAATTTAAGTGTTTTCATGCGCCATGTTTTAGATTTAGTTGCCAATCCAAAATCAGCATCGTCTCATGTCGATGCTGTATATTCTAGGAAATGCATTAGCTTTATACTACGTAGTGTTCTTGGACAAATGCTTAGTGAAAAAGCTCAATCTTCTGCTTGTAAAGAATTAGCTCTAATTGTTAAGAAACAAATGACTTCTATTGGTAAAAGAAATTTAATTAGAATTAATTAAGTATATATATACTTGTAATAATATGTTATTTTAGATTTTAGTCCAGAAAATGCTAAAGATTTTAACCAAGAAACCATATTTGGACAACATTTTCTTGTATGTGCATTACAAGAAATTGGTTGTTTATTACTTAATATGGGCACAATGGCTAATAATCTTATATCGGATAATACATGCAGTAAGTTATAATTATTTAATTTTGTTTATTATATGTTATGGTTTTTTTTTTTCACATTTTAAGATGTAATTGAGACTGCTTTATCTGTTATGCTACATCCAAGTCAAGCTGCTCGGTTGGCAGCTGCGTGGTGTATACGGAGTATTTGTATTGCCATACCAAGCCAATGTACTCCTTTAATTGATCGGTACTTTATTATTATCAATTATTTTTTCCCCCAATACCTCAATATCTAACAACTCAAGATTTTTAATATTTAATTAAAAACTAATTTGTATTAATTAGATGTATTGAGAATATTGAAAGTACAAGAGCTACACCAGAAATAATTTTTGGTTATAGTGCTGTACTTATTGGCATTCTTGGAAGTGTTAATATTTCACCTTTGGGAATTCCGCATATGCGAGGAAAGGTTAGTTTTTGTATTATTATAAATATATAGATTTAATAAAATATGATAGTTATAATATTTGTATTTTATATATTATATCTAATCTTGTGTGATTTTGTATTTAACAAATAGATAATTTTTAATACTGCAGAAGATTTACTAAGAAGTGCTAGTCAAAATAGTCGACTTTCACTTAGTAGAACCCAAGCTGGTTGGTTATTAATTGGTGGTGTTATGACGTTAGGTATTTATTAATATTGTACACAAATATTATTTATTAATATTTAAAAAAAAATATTATTTATTTATGGTTGTTTAGGTATTAGTGTTGTCCGAGGACTTTTACCACGCATGCTTCTATTATGGAGAAATTCTTTTCCTCGATCTTCTAAAGAACTAGAATCTGAAAAAGCCAGAGGAGATGCATTTACTTGGCAGGTAGAATATTGTACAATTTCTTTGTTTAATATTTATATTACTAAAAATGTAAAATATTGGTTATATTATTTTTTTAAATATCAGTTGATCTTAGAAGGCCGAGCTGGAGCTCTTGCATCTATTCACAGTTTTTTATTTAATTGTAATGAATTAGTCACTGAAGATATTATTAGAAGATTATTAATTCCAATTGAATCTGCTCTTGCAATGCTTATCAAGTAACATTCTTTATATTATTTTTATTGATATAAATATGTTTATAATGAATTATATATATATATTATAAGTATGGAATTATGTAGTTGTAATAATCAATACATTAATATTAAATGATGAATTCAACCCCTAATACAAATTAAATTTACTCAGTATTTTAAACAGTTGTATTAACAATACTTTAGAATGAGGAGTTTTGTATCTTTTACATTGAAAGCTTACAAATTATTTTTGTATTTATGAGATATCTCGATTTTGAGTTCTCACATTGATGTGCCATATCAGATTCGCATATTTCAGTCGAAAACATGCTAAAGAGAAATGTAATAGTTAAGGAGCATAGGCATTATGAAAATCTACATGTGTGTTCGATAAGTCCTAGTTTAGATAATTCTTTTTTTAACATTATGAGGTTTAAAGTTAAGTTTTGAACCAAAAAAATACACCCAAAATATTTATTTCATTTACTCAAAATATTTTAATTTTTTTTGTTTTAATCAAAAATAGTGGATTTTTTTTGTAAGTGAAAGGAATAGTGGCTCATTTCTCTATATTAAAAAGAAATACATTGTTTTCATTAGACCATTATTAGAATGAATTTAAATCATTTTGAAGTAGCAGAATATCATTTTGACAGTGAATTGTGTTAATTAACTTAAGATCATCTGCTAATAATGAAAAGCTGGTGTGTTGTAATTTATCAGTAATATCATTTATAAAAAGTAAAAATAACAATAGTTTCCTTAAGGGACACCAGATACATCAATATTATCAGAAATAGAGTTCTCATATTTAACAAATTGAGTACAATTTGTTAACAAGGATTCAAACTATGAGAGAAGTGGATCACAAAGACTATAGGCCTTTATTTAAGTATTAATAATTTGTGATTCACTCTGTCAAAAGCTTTTTCAAGATCTGTGTAAATAATATTAGTTTAGCTTTTATATGCATTGCTTCAAGTTTTATTAAATTAATTTATTGTAGGCAGAAAATTCTCAATTCTGTCAAACTATGCCTAATAGTTGATTACTATATTATTATTGTAACTTGTTATTACGTTTTCCCAAATAACAATTATTCTTAGAAGTATCTAAATCATAAAGAATTACAAATATTTTTCAAATATTGTTTTAACTTTATAATAATAATAATATTATTTCTATTGATGGTTAAATCTTTAAGAAAAACAATTAATAAAACAAACGTTTTAGTATTTAACTATTGTTGAAAATACTTTTAAAACATTTTTAGAAATACTGTGAAACACCATAAAATACTTCCAAAAGTATTTAAATACAAATATCTAAATATGTACTAGTATTCGAATAATTTAAAAGACTGATTATAAGTATATAAAATGAAACAATATAATATAATAATAACTAGTGATTGGCACTATTGAATAGTTAAAACTGTTGAATAGTATTCAATAGTTAAAATAAACTATCACATACTATTCTAATGTTTTTAAAATAACTGATTAGTAGTTTTTCAAAAAAAACTATTAGTTTTATTTTTCGGATTATTCTGTCATATATTAATACTATTAGAAATTTCAATTCATAAGTTATTACTTGAAAATTAATTAATTAATTATTTTTATCAACAAACAAGTCGCTGTCCTATTCTAAGTAGTAGCTCACTACCTCGGCGGCTTCAAATTCTTATTTTTTAAGATTAAGAACCATCAAATATATTTGTAACTATTTGAATAGTTTGATAGTGATTATGGAATAGTGCCCATCTTTAATAATAACTGTCCAATTTTTACTTACATGTACTAACACTATTTTTTTTTAAATTTAAGAGTTTGAATTTAGTTTTAAAACAAAAATGTAATTTAGTTTAAGAAAACTTATAGTTGAAACTTTAACAGTTTTTATATTGTATTGTATTCACATTTTGTATTTATATATATAATTATTAATGTATCTGTATAATTATTAATTACTGATTACTTTTTATTTGTATATTATAAAATGATATTTGTGTTTAGTATGAATTCTGTTGTTAAAAGTTGTGGTCAACATTTGAAAGCTCCAATAGCATTAGTCAGATTGCGATTGTATGAAACATTATCTTTGATTCCTGCCCAAGATTTTGAAGGTAATATTTAAGTATGATATTTATATTTAGTTGATGCAGTGGGGAGGTTAGTTTTTGATTTTCCTCTTAATTTTTTGTTATCTGGTAAAATTGGGAAATTTATATCATTATCAAAGTTCCTATGTTGTAATTTGGCTTAAAATAACCATAGATCCCTCAGATTTTTATGTTTAAATATTTAAAAAATTCTGTTGATTTCTAAGGAATTTTTATGTAAACAAAATTGTTTGGCAGAACAAAATTGCTTTAAAATTGTATACATGGTTTGTCATAAATTGTTTTTTGTAGTTTAAAAATAATTGATTAATTAATGGACGTATGTAGTAGTTTTTTTAAAGCATTTTAAATTCAAATTATGTTACAAAGTTTATATGGAAATTTTTTTTTTTTCTTTTTTAATTTTATTTGCATATACAGTTAATTGCTTAATATTCATTTGTTATTTTAATTTTAATGTAATTATCCTTGAGAACAATATATTGCATAGTATTATATTATAATATGTTAATTACAGCTTCATTTACACATATTTTGAGATTATTAGTCTCAGAGTTTACATTGGCTGAAAATCCTACTAACACTGTTACGTCAAAATTAAGATATGTTTGTCAAAATGAAGAAGGAATATTATTGGGAATATGTCCAGTTCAACATTCACACCATCAAACAATTGAAGATCAGGTAATGATTGAAATTATGTTATGTAATATATTGTATAGCAGGGGTTTCCAAAATAAGATCTGCATCTCGCCCACTAATAAGTTTTCATTGGCCCCTGTTTAAAGGAATTAAATATATTTACTTAATTTAGAAATCTAGTTCCAAAAAATTTTGATGTCAAATCTGAAAAAGTAAATATTCAGTTATGATATTGAGAAGACTCTTAGCCTTCAAATGAAAATGATTAATTTGCAATGCAATGGGAAACACTTAAAATCAAATACCTATCCTTGTTAATTTTTATAAAATCCTTCCAGATACACTTTACCTAATCTTGAAATTTTAAATTTTTAGGACCCAAAAAAAAAAAAAAAAAAATTTGGACCCTGCTTTATAGTATTCAGTGAACTATAAGTTATAATAAATTTTGAATTGTTCTAATTACTTTTCATATTATCTATGATTTCAATTAACTTTTTTGGGTTCTAAACTTGCTGCTTATTAATAAGGTGGATTGTTCAAGAAAAGTTGAATATGATTACGTAAGTTTTAATTAGCCAATAACCATATTTTGTGTATGTATAACTAGTAATTAGATCTGATCAGTTATATGTGTTTTGAAATACCGTACTTTTAAGATTTTTGTAATTATTTGATCATAATATAACACTTAAGAAAAAGAAAATACTACTCAAACTTTTTTTTTTACCACTCAAAACAATTTATAATGGACCTTGTGTTCAATTTTTAAGCAACCAAGTGGCACAATTTTATAGAATAAAAAATTAAATAAAACTCAAAAAAATCAAATGCCAATAAAAATATCTCAAAAATTGGCAGAATGTTTTTAAAATTATATCACATATCAAAAATCCAATGTAAGTATTCTATGAAAATTTCAGCTTTATTATTTTTTTTAGCATAGAATTATAAGATAAAACAAAATTGAAAATATTGAGACTGTTATTAATTCTGTAAACTTCTCTGTTTTTTTCCTGGTTTTAATAAATTATTAAATGAACTGCCTTAAATATTAAATAATGATCCTAAATTACAACTCTTGAAATATGGAGCAAGATTTCTGGTAGAAATGTTGTTTACAAACAGAAAAAAAAATAAGCATACATTACAGTAAATAGTATAGTAAACTATACTGTCCACTCATTATCTAATAAAATAATCTAATATATAATACACATATTTCAATCAAAACAATCATAGATGATATGTTGATATTTATTGTTTTGTAATTGTGTAATTGAAGAAAGTTTGTGTTATATCATAAAAATAAATAAATATAGTTTTTCAAATTAATTATTTGTATATTATATTAGAATAGTGGTGCATCAATCATATTTGTATGGTGGCATATGCGTACAGTGCATGGCGTGTTAATAATGCATTACTACTCTCCTTCTACCTAAACTTAACATGTGGAATATTTCGTCAACAGGTTGACAGGAATCAAAAATTTGAAAACCAAAATTTATTTTAAATAATGCTCCTTCTATTTATAATGTTTTAAATATAGGTTGCCATTTGAAAATCTGAAGTAGGTAGTGGTTTTACCTTCCTTCACAATAAAAGAAAAGGTGACAAAAAATAATGTAAATGTAAAATTATAAAGCTGTTTGTTTCCTAAATGTTCTATAAAATAAATTCTGAAAAAATGTAATACTTTTTCCAAGATAAAGAGTGTCTCCACTTGAATGGATCACTAAGTACATAAAAAATTTACAGAGTTAGATTTGAAAATTATATTTGTTTAAATTAAACTATGAATTAATTCAAAAAGATATTTATTATAGATAAATATGTAATATTTAAATGTATTATATTTATTTCAGCTCATTCAAAATAATGCCATAGGATCAGGTGCTTTAGAACATGATCCTAGATATCTTTACCTTTCAGTATCTAAAGTAAGAAGTAAATTCATAAATAATAAATAAGTTTGTTTGTTATTTGCAATTGATTGTAAAACATTAAATAGTTTTTCTTACTAGTATTCCATACTTCTTGGTAGATATTATACAACCTCAAAATATGTTAAATTTGTATTTATTATTAATTACACATTTGAATATTATCTTACAATTTATATCATAGAAACATGATAATTAATTGTATAATATATCAACAAATATTACCACTAACAAAAAATATTTTAAAAATCAGATAGGCAGTGAAACCATATAGGCTACAGTAATTCTAATTAATAATATGGAATATATAGTTTTAACTGTAATAGTCTGAATTCACGGGGTTCATTTATTTTTAAATTGTATCTATATACTTTTAACTTTTCAACTATTATTTGACTTTTTATATTATTTTAGTTCACTTCTCATAGGAAAGAAATAAAAATATTTCTATTTTTTGTTACCTTATACTACTATTTTTAAATGAATATGTAAAAAACAAACAATTGCTTTAAAATTATTACCTATCATAAAATTACCTATGTTATCACTAATTATATACTAAATAAATAGTAAAATATTTTATAGGATGATATTATACCATGTCCTTTACCACTTGGTGTATCTGTAATTGATGCATCTGTTACCTTATTTGGTTTGATATTTCCTCGTGTGGCTAATAAACACAGAATTCAAATGATAGATCATTTTAATGATCAAATAAAATATTCAAAGTCATGCAGATGTGATGCTATTTCCACAAACATTTTTGCTTCAATTTTAGCTGGTCTCAAAGCACTTTCAGATACTAAATCAACAATTGGACATGAAGAAATTAAAACAACTACAGCTACTTTAATTATGGTATTAAATCCAATTTTCCACAAATGATACATTTATAAATGGAATGAAATATAATTTTGCGTAAATTACATTTTTCTATAATTTATATGTATTTTTTTTCTTTTTAGAATGCTTTAACAAATGGTAATACTATTTTACGTGTTGCTGCTGCAGAGAGTGTTGGACGCATGGCTCAAGCAGTGTCAGATTCTAGGTTTACTGCTATGCTTGCTCAAACTAGTTTTGATCGTCTTCGATGTGCCAGAGATGTGCCTAGTCGAACTGGACATTCTTTAGCACTCGGTTATTTACATAGGCATGTTGGTGGTATGGGATCATCGCATCATTTGAATACTAGTGTTAGCATTTTACTTGCTTTAGCTCAAGATACAACATCACCAATTGTTCAAGTATATAAAACTCTTAAAAATCAATTTATGTGTATTTTAGGGTGGCCGTAATTTTCAAATACCACAAACATATTTGGTTCTATACGCTGACCAAGAAATTCACAAAATTCATAGCTGTATCTCAATATTAACCTGTGTTGAAATTAATTCCAATTTTTACAATTCAATAACATAAATTAATAAGTAATTGTAACAAGTTGTAATTATTATTATTTTTCAGCTTTTCCAAAAATTTTGAATATGATGGATATTAATCAGGTACCTGAAAATTTGTCTATAGAATGTTGAACTATTTGGTTTTTCATTTTCTGCACATACGTAGTGAACAAATATTATTTATTGATAAATTAATATACTCTAGCTCTAATTCTCTTTTTTGCACAAAATACATCAAATATTTGTGCATGTGCCATTTTTAACTCCCAGTTTACTTGAATTTTTCAATTAATTATTTGTTTTTATTTTTATTAATGTCTCAATTATATAAATTCTATAATTAATTTGGTTGGATCCTGCCTTTTTCACTGTGTGCCTGTGTTTTGTGCTCAGTTCCCTCTCCCACACTTGGTGTTTTAATCAGTCATTATCTGTGTTTGAGTACATCTTCATTGTTACTAAATTCCAATAAATTAATTTTTATAATTAACTCATAAATACAAAGAAAACCAAAAAATTGAAAGTAAACTTTGAGATAAAACTATAAATGTGCAAAAAACAACTGTAGATAGATTATATAAATTTATCAGCAAATGGTATTTTCATTGACAATTGAGGAATTTTAAAACATATAGACAATGATTTAATGATATTAAATTATTGCGCATGCTCGAAAAATAAAGAAAAAATATTTAATGTCCTATTGTCAAAGATTGAGGTACTTGACCAATTTTCACTATTTTCCAAATTTTTAAATTCTTTTGTGTATCTAATAATATAAAATAATAATAATTTCAGCATATTAAAACGTAAAATTTCAAATTTATTTTGACACTGGCAAATATTGAAATACAGCTGTGTTTTAAGTTTTTTTTTTTTTTTCAAAACACAAAACTGAACAATTTGGAATAACAAAATAACGTCCACCCTGATGTTTTTTATACAATTTAATATGTAAAAATCTGTTTAGGTCTGGTCTCTTCATGCATTATCTCTCATAGCAAATTCAGGAGGACCAATGTTTAGAGGTTATATAGAACCTTCATTATCATTAGCCTTAAAACTTTTATTAATAGTTCCACACTATCATGCTGATGTGCATCAGTGTATTGGTAAATTAATTTCAGCTTTAATAACTACCATTGGACCAGAGTTACAAGGTTTTTATAATTAAATATAATAATTATTTAAGATATTAACTAAGATTTTAGAATGTGTATAATTCACATTTCTGCACTCATGAATCTAATATATAAATAATAATTGTATAGACCCAAAAATTATATAATAATAATTAATAGAATTATTATCATTGACTCTAATATAATAATTTGCCAAGATTATCTTAAAGCCTAAGAAATATTAATGTCCAAAAATGTTAGATAGGATTAAATGAAATAAAAAATTATTTTCTACTAACTTTTTACTGACTTATACTTGGCAAACAAGTTATAAATTATGACAGTTAAAATTTCAGAGTTTAAATAAATAGAAGAACCATGTTTCACTTTTATTTATAATAAGAATGATTAATATGATTTGTTTATAAAAATGTTACTATCATTATTTAGAAAATCTGAGTTTAAAAATTATGATTTTCCTTTCTTTGTTGTTGTTAAAAACTATTTTGAATGTTCTTCTGATATTTATGTCAATTTGTAAATAAGAAATTCAAGTTTGACCGTTGCAAGATGATATTGTATTTGTTTAAATCTGATTTGAAGTGCTTTTTCAAAGTAGTAGTTCAAGTTTAGTGTTTCAGGACACTATTTTGGGACTATATAAAATGATTATTTAATTATTTTTTCAAGCAACCAAACTAGGCCAAAAAACAAAAAATTAAAAAATATTTTTTAGCCAATTTAGAATGTGTGAAATTTAAATTGATCAAATACCTATCATTATAATAACTCATAGTGTTAACAAAATACCATAAAACTAGTTAATAGAATTCTGTATTTTTATATATGTTTTTATTGTTTAATATATTGGCTTTCAATTAAAATTTAATTAAGTACATAACCTACCTACCTAACCAAAAAGTGATTTAAATAAAAATTAAATTAATAAATTATTAAACCTTGACATTAAAATAATAATATCACTTAAAAAATGTAATCAAAATGTTAAAATATATATGTACTTATAGTACATATATAAATGCATGGCACAAATGTTTTATTCTGTATGATAATATATAATAATAAGTTTGCAAAATTCTCATTCTGTTTACAATTATTGTATAATTATCAGGAAATATTAATATAGAGAGAAGCCAGTTCAATTTTTGGCAGGTTATAATTTTTTTACAGAATCAACCTCCTGGAATATTACTACTTTAGCATTATATAATAATTAAATTCTGTCAGGTCTTGTGTGAGAATTTATTGCAGCTTTGTTTTTTTTTTTCAACGATAATTAATAATATTTTAGTTTCAACAGTTAGAACATATTTATGATAAAATATATACACATATATATTTATTTTTGTAGTGATAATTAATATTTTGATTCAGGTAATTCAGCTTCAATCACAACTGCACGGTCATCATTTTTGTGTGCCTGTGCTATAATGCAGGATCATGAAGATCCCCTAGTTCAAGCAGAATCTACAGTGTGTCTTCAAGAACTACATTTATTTACACCACGACATGTAAATTTGACTGCCTTAGTTTGGCCTTTATGTGTAAGTATTAAAATTACATACAATTTAGAAATTCTATTTATATATGCTTTGTGCCCTAAAGTTAATGAATTTGTTTGCATTTATGTTTTTATTATTCAACCTTAACAATTTTAAAAAATATTCTTCAGGTATTTTCAAGATATTAAGTGATTGTTAAACAAATTTGTTTTGTCTAAATATATTAAAAATAGAATAAGGTTTGAGTTACAATAATGTATTTGTCATATAACTTAAAATTTTAGATTCGGAGCGTAGTGAGGGATCAATTGGTTTTAATATGATGTGTAAGTTTTTAATTTTTTTTGATGAAAATCGTAAATATAAAGGTAATAATATTACCTTTATAAAAACCTTTCAAAACATGTATAACCGATCTTTGCTCCGAATCATTTTTCATTAGCAATAGTTTATTGTTGCTTACAGATATAAATTAAATAACCTTATGTATCCTAACTTCCCACCCGCAACAGTAGTACACCTATCCCCAGTTTCAGTTCTTTGAGATTGTGAGAGTAGCGAAAAATGGATTACAAAGATGTTTTTTTTATACAGTTTATCTCACGAAGATATACACCTTGAATATCTATGGAGATAATAAAGATAATTAAATTCTTTTATTTATTTTTTTATTAAAACATTTTTAAAAATAACTTTATTTTATTAATTTCGGAAAATTTAAAGATACTCATTCTATAAATATAATTTTTCTGAAAATTTTATTGAGTCACATTTTTATATCTGATAAACAGTTTTTATGTAACAGCCATTTAAATTCTGTTAATCCTTGTGAAAACCGATGGTATCGTGTAACTCAGTTAGGTGTTATTCCCTAAATAACATCAGTTTTCATATGGATTAGTAGAATTTAAAATGACTGTTACATAGAAATTATTCATCGGATATAAATGTGTGATACTATGAGTAATATGAAAAAAGCAGAGTTTGATTATCTTTGTTATCTCTAGAGATATTATCAAGGTGTATATCTTCGTGGGACAGCCTGAATATATATATATATATATATATATATATATATATATATATATACTGTGTTCAAAAATTCTACCAGAAATTTTGTTCTGAAGTATCAAATATAGAACGTTTTCTGAAAAAAAAATTTCTTGGGGTAGTACTTTAGGGATGTCATTTTTTGATTTTCCTTATAAATGAGAAAACCGGAAAACTAGGGAAAATTTACGAAATGTAGGTATTAGTAAAAAAATATTATGGTCTATTTTTCCTATGAACAACTTTTATACCATCAATTTTGCTCTAATTTACTTTAATAGCACTTTCTAAAAGGAAATCTGACTAGGATGGTCCTACAAAGAAGTCATTTTTTGGTTTTCCTAGCTGTTTTCATAATAAAAGGTAAACAATGGGAAAATAGGTACAAATATTTTTAAAGACAATTTATAATGCATATGTAATAATTTTCTATAATGTGACATATATATATATATTGACAAAGCAACACTATTAACCAAATTCTGCTTAAAATCATTTTTTTTTAGCAATGGTTAATCATATACAGATATACATACAATTTCCCCTTCACCTTCCTAACTTCTCATCTACAACAGTGGCCCACCCACATACAAAGTATGTCAGTCTTTTGTATTATTACATACTGGCACAATAATATAGCAGTTATACAAATATCATGACCATAATAATTTGCCTTTTACTAGTTGTTTTAGCTTAGATTAGATTACTGAGATGTCAATTTAAAATAATTAACTTTAATAAATTGCAGCAAAATTTATCAAATAGCCATTTACTTTTAAGAAAAGCTGCAGTTTCTTGTTTGAGACAGTTATCACAACGTGAAGCAAAAGAAGTTTGTGATATAGCAGAATCATTTGTTAATTCTCCAGAAAACATTAACAACAATGGTAAATGATCATACAGATTCTTACTGCATATTTCTGATCTTAAATGTTTAAATTACTCGAAGAATCTATACAATATATACCTATTTTAGGTTTTTCTTTGACAGAATCTGGTTTACCTGGTGTTTTATTCAATATGTTGGACACAGAAATGGATAAACAACTTATCCAAGATATACATGATACTCTTATAAGCATGCTTCAAATGTTGGCTGTTAACAATCTTACAAAATGGATAAATTTATGTAAATCAGTACTAACGGTTTCTTCAGGTATCATTAAGAATTTTAAATAATAATTACTACTTTCAAATTATAAAATTATGTATAAATTTATTATAAAATTTCTATAGAAGTGAATCATAAAGAAATAGATAGAAACGAAGGAACTATGATGAATGATGATGATGAAACTGGAGATGATCATGATGAATTCCAAAAAGATTTTAAAAAAGAAAATTTATTAATTAAGAGGAAACAGCAACCTAGATGGCCAACTAGAGTATTTGCTGTTCAGTGTATTTGTCGAATAATATCTGCGTGTCATAAAGAGAGTGACTCTGCCCCTCATTTTAATTTATCTTTAGCAAAAGAATTATCATTTACTAATAATAAAGGTATAATAAGTTTTTCAAAATTATTTTTTGTATTTTGTAATTTAAATTATTATTATTATTTACTATTTAGGAGATTATTTAATTCTTCATTTATCTGACCTAATAAGAATGGCATTCATGGCAGCAACTAGTGAAAGTGATCAGTTACGATTAGAAGGATTTGAAACTCTGAATGAAATCATTAATAAATTTGCTCAAGTGCCTGAACCAGAATTTCCTGGTCATTTATTATTAGAGCAATTTCAAGCTCAAGTAATTTTTTTTTCTCATAATGTTAAACAAATAATAAGTAAGTTCTACAAGAGTGTGGCGAAACCCACTATGTAGTATGGGTTGGAGTGCTGAGCAGTAGACAGAAAAGTAGAACAGAAAATGAGTGTAGCAGAGATGAGTGAAGTGAGAAGAGAAGATAAGATAATGAATATGTATGTTAGAGGTAGTTTTGATGTGGCTTCGATTTTGAACAAAATAACAGAAAATAGTCATAGAGATAATTTGGTTATGTTATGCAGAAAGTTGAATCAGAAGCAGTAAAAATTGTAAGACATAATTTACATAGGATGAACAAAGGGGAGACAAAGATCAAATGAGAAGTAATTGGAGACAATTAAGAGTATGTGTATATGAGGACAATGTGGGGATCAATTCAATTGGTAGTTTAGTATGAAGGTGGAAATATTTAAAATGATGAAGACGAAAGAGAAGAAGATGAGTTATACAAATAAATTAGTCATTCATTTGTTCACAATTACTTGAATGAATTCATATAGTATACTTAAATATAATTTAAAGGTAAGTGCTGCATTAAGACCAGCTTTTTCCGAAGACACTCCTAGTCATGTTACGGCTGCTGCATGCCGTGTATGTGGAACATGGATAGGAAGTGGAGTTGCACGTGATTTAAATGATTTAAAACGTGTTTATCATTTATTAGTTACATCTCTTAAAAAGCTTAAACCTGGTTTCAATATAAACTTTAATAGTTTATATAATGAAAGTGTTGCAACATTTGAATGCTTAGCTATACTAAAGGCTTGGGCTCAGGTAAAAATTATATTTTTAATTCAAAATAGATTTGTTAATTTGTTTTAAATTTTAGATTTACATTATTGCAATGATAAATAATGGTAATGCTCCAGGCAATTTTAATAACCTTAATTTAAATAAAATTGATGATGACTTTGGAAATTATGAAGGAAAAAATGATAGCTTGTTGACTTTAATTCATCCAGAATTAAACATGTTATCTAAAAATTGGCAAGATGCTCTTAAGGATCATGCCCTTTTATTGCTACCTTGTGGTAAGTATTTTTTCTTATAAACACAATTTCAATAATATTTTTTTTATTTTAGTCATAAATAATTATATTAGTAAATTGTAATAATATTAATTCCACTGGTTATAATTGTATACAAATTATTATATGTATAACTAAATTTGACATATTTTATTATTATTTATGCCTAATTAAATATTTATTTTCTTATTATGTGTAATTTTAATTACCTAATATGAATTGAAACTATACCTTTTCCAAAAAAAAAATTGCTAATAAACAAAATATAATATGAATTATTTTATAAACAGAATTTAACAGTCAACTTCCTCACGAGGGTGGAGCCTTTTATACTTCAAGTACAATTGATAATAGTAGAAACCATTATAAGAATGCATGGCCTCCAATTTTATACGCTTTATCACTGTGGTTGAATTCTGAAGACTTTAAACGAGTAAATTCTAATATCGATAAAGAATTACAAGATAAATTTTATCTAATATTCGGTAATATTATTATTAAACATCAATATTATTTTTATAATTCATATAAAATGACAATTTTTTTTTTTTAGGTATTTGTACTGAAGCTGTGTGTAATCAGCGTACTTCAGAAAATTTTGAACACTTCATAATTTGTCTCAAATCGTTATATACAATATTAGATTCATCATTAACAAGACAAATTATGATGAAAAATAGTATTTTAGCAGTCGAAACATTAAATATTTTACACAAGTAATGTTATATATATATAATATAAATTCTCAATAAAACTACAATCTTATTAAATAATTAGTATATAATGTTTTAGATTACTTTTAACTAATGACAATATTGAAGTACAACAAACTGTAATGATTATTGTAAAACAAATAGTTAAAGCTGCTCAAGAAGATTTAAAAATAAAAAAATCAAAAATTATTAAAGGTAATGTAGTCAATATCCTAATGTGTTTTTAATAAATATTTTCATGTTCAATAGACACAAATTCAGAATTACCAACTACTGAAGATATAGAATTTTTAGGTGATGGAGGACAGGATGGAGTATTAGAACATAATACAAGTATTGTATTTGCTATCTTAGAAGTTTGCATGTGTTTGATTGTTCGACAGATACCAGATATGAATCCAACACCTTTAGTATCTTCAACCAGAAAATTATATTCAAATAATTTGAATCATAATGTTATTGCTACAACATTAAATATAATGGCCCAACTTCCAAATCTCTGTTCTCCTAATGGTATAACAATTTATATTTTTAGTTTACTTAAAGAGTAAATCTAATTATTACTATTTCTAATAATTTGTATTTACAGGAGGAGTTCAAATACTTCCAACAATTGCATATTTAACAACTAATGTACTAAAAGAACTAGGAGAAATTAATAACTCAAATGAAATGTACAATCACAGAGTTTCTATTCAAGCTGCTCTGGACTTTTTTCAATTACTATGTAAACATCCTTATGGATATAATAGTGTTTCAGAAAGTAAATGGAGATCACTTTTACAAAGTACCATTGCTAAACTTATTGATATTTCAAAAACAGGTATTATTTGTATAAATAAATAAATAATTAATTTAAAGTGAATTGAATTGAATTATATAATTTGTAATTAGGCGATGAAGGGAAAAAAGTAGATGATGTTACAATGTTGTCTGTAATCACTGTATTTACATTACATGCACCACCTGGTGTGATGTTTGTACAAAATATTTTATATCCTTGTATTAATTATTGCACTCAGTGTTTTGGAAGTAATAATATTATTGTAAGTATATGATTTTTATACACTGTGTTAAAATTATATATATTGAATAAGCATATTGAAAATCATTATAATATTTAAATCTGTAACATTTAATTAAATACATTACAGTTAGTTTGTAATAGTATAATTTTGTTTAATTTTCACATAGTATATCCTTTATGAGTAATTTAATTATAAGTGTATTTATGAAAATTAATGGAGTTCCATACTTTTGAAATTAATTTTCTGTTTTAAACTCTATATTAGAGTTTTAAGGAATTAAATATTGGTAATTTTATGGCAGTATGCAAAGTGTATGCGTATTTCAAATGAACATTATTGAAGGTGATCCTAATGGAATGAAATACTCATGCATGCCCAAATACAATTTCACATGCACTATCAAATTAAATTGACCCTTTTTTGATCAAAACATACAACTATTTTGTGTCCTTTTGCAAGATGTCCAATTTGAATTAAGTAATCCAATAGGACTTGATAATAAACCAATTTGAGTTTGTTATTATATTTACTTAAGAATAATCACACCACTTTGTCAAATTTTTAATTTTAACTGTTTAATCAAACCTCAAAATTATTTAAATTTTATAATTTTTAAGAAAAAAATAAGGACATCAATTTTAAGTGAAATAGCCAATTTCAAGTTGAATAATAAAGAATTTAAATTAGTTTTTAAAAGTTTTATTGTATCAATAGATCTAGATTAGTATTTTTTACTCAAAAAACCAGTATCAAATCTCCTTCGGTGAGAATGTGATTTAATGTATCTATTATTTATTTGTATAATGTTTTATGTATCTTTATATTACTATTGGATACTTAGTATTTTCATGTATTATTTAGGTTAAAACAAAATGCATTCAATTTCTAAAATCTGTATTTCAACTGGAAGACAAGTATATTGCAACAGGTTATATTCAAGCATTAGCTCCACGCCTAATAGAATTGTTATGCGAAGAATTACCAAAAACATTGTTGAAGTCTCATTTGATTATGCTCTGTGAAACAATTAGCTCAGTTGAAATTTTAGTTCAATTGGCACAACCTAAACATAGTAATTTTATAACAAATATATCATTATTAATTAGAATTTAAAAAAAAAAAATTATTTTAAACATATTAACTGTATATTCCAAAATAGTTGATACTGAATGCACATACTATCTTCCAACTCCTCCAACTGGTTCCTAACCAGAATAATAAGAAATAATTTTAAATTATTAATTTAAGATTCCGAGCATAGCAAGAGAGCTATTGGTTTTACTAAGATGTTTATTTTTATTTTATTTTTTGTTCTTTGTTCTAATTTATAGACACGTTTTTTCTGATTAAACTTGCTCTGATTTTTAAGTGTAGTAACTTTTTAATTTTCAAAGACATTTTTTAAATAAAAGCTCTAAAATTTAAAAAAATGTAGAACGTACAATTTCACGATTTCATTATTTTATAAAAACACGGACAATGTTTTCTACCAGAAAAAATAATTTAATGATTTAATTAAAAAAATCACCAAGACACTCTTTCTTCGCCTTTTTGATTTACTTTCTTTTCTTACAGTATCATTGCCAAAACTTTTGAGCTTTTAAGGAATTTTAATTGTTGATAGTTTTTTTTATGTAATTAAGTTATAAATACACATAGAGACTTAAAAACCTGGTAATAATACTTATATTGGATTTACCTAGACGTAGTAAAATTTCCAAAATCATCGGATGACTTTTTTTTCCTAATAGATCAAATTTAAACGAAAATCGTAAAAAAAAAAAAAATGATGGCACTTCAAATTATGTATTACCAAACTGCGCTCGGAATCATCTCTTTCGTTAAGCAATTGTTTATCATTGCTTACAGATATATATGAAATAACCTTATGTATTTTACCTTTCCAACTTCTCAGTGGCCACTCCCATACCCAGTATCAGCTCTATTTTTTAAATTGTTCATAATAATAGTTGATTATGTATAACACTGTGTACAAACAGCCTATTTGTTGTAGACAATTAACTCAAGTGTCTCAGAAGTCTCATTATTTAATACACTATTGTTCAAAGTGTTAAACGATATACTCTATTTGAACATAGTTTATTTTTTATAACCTAATTAACATTGTGTTAAATAATATCTAATAATTTTAATGTATAACTTTATTTTAATTTATTTTTGATAACTAGTTAAGTTATTGTAGGACCAATATTATAACATTTACCTACTAATATTCTGTGATAAATTTATATATATCATAGAACAATGTGTTTTGTTATTACAAATTGTTTTTAGACTATTTAATCTGGATATTGATTACATACTGACTAGGTATATTTTATTTTTCAGGAATTCAAATGTTGTCATTACTAGTACCAGCATTAATACATTTTCTTGTTGATACAGAATCAATTAATTGTGATACTAATACATCTAAATTTCGGTGCAAACTTCATGAATTTAGTTTACAATGCTTATTAAAGATTGGACCTATCTATCCTAATGTATGGTTATTATTTAAAACTTATATTAAAATTAATTGATGTTTTTTTTTTTTCTATATTGTTTTAGGAATTTAAAATAATTATGTCTCAAAACAATAAGTTGAGAACAAAATTAGAACACACAATTAAAACAAATAAATCTATCCAACAACAATTTAACACTGGTTGTCAAATAACACAAAATATAACAATATCAATTAAGCCTTCAATCAAACTCAAAACTGATTTCACTAATTTTAGTTAATTTATTGAATTATAGTTTAATATTTATAACAATTATACAATTTAAACATTTGTAATTAGAACAATGATATTTTGGTTTTTAATGAATTTATAAAATACACATATTAAGTTACCAATTTTATAATTGACTGATGATGATAATATAACTAAAATATATGATTAGATTGTAAATAAAATAGTAAAAAAAAAAAATTACCATATCCATTTTATAATAAATATACTATTTATACTTCTATAGTTCTATAAATTTTAAACCAATTAAGGGCCATTCTTACAATATCCCATAAGTATTGGTTAGTGCTAACTGGTGATAATTTGAACAATAAACAAGACAAATGCTGCCAGTTATTTAGCAATTAACATGTTGTTTGTTACTGTGTTACTTTCTTACATTGTAAAAACAGCCCTTTATACTACATAATTCGAATATAAATAAATGTTTCATCTATATATTAAATCATTAAAAATCAAATTAATTTAAAATTTAAATCTGAAGAAAATAATTGGTAAATATCCAGCTCTATGAATTTCGCTTGAGCTGAGTAAAAAAATAGTAGCAGTGACATGATAGTATATATTATCTTGAAGCAGGAGTTGACTATTTAAACTGTAAATATTGGTGTTTTTTGTTATTCAGGATAACTAATTATCTACTGAATAAATAAATAAATACCTAATAAACATCAAAATATCAAACAAATTTTACATATTATGATGCTTTTGTAAAAATCATCTAAATCGTGCAATTAGAAATGGAGCTATAAAGAAACGTGCAAACTTTTTAATGAGAAATTATATTAAAATCTGGAATCACGAAGACTTCTCACATTGTCATACTGACTGGTCCCCTACTCAACTTCAGTAAAATTTAATAATAATAATATTTATTAACGGAAATAAAATTCCGATTCCATTTTTTTTACATGTTTTATACAACGAAATATTTATAGCTATAATATGTAATAAATTACAGAAATTCACAAATCACAAAAATAAAGAAAATGCATGATATACAAAAATATAAAGTAAAACTAAATAAAAAAAGAAAAACTTTTATAACTTCAGTATAATCTGATAGTTCTTTAAACCTGACCTGTAAACTCTGTTAAAGATGTATTAAAAGAATCATTATTATTCATATCAACGGATATTAAAATATTCGATGGCAAATCTGACATATAATATATGTTTTCATTTTTTATATAAAATAAGTTTTTATCCCTACAACTTTTTGGATTGATTATAAAATGTATGTTTTGAAGTATTTTAGGGTAATCAATTATATTGTTTAGTAATTTTTATAAAAAAAAAAAATTCATTTCATTTGGAGCATTAATATATTAAAAATGTATGACTACCTTAGCCTGAATGTGGAGTTCTAATGACAAAGCATTGAAAATATAAGAAATCAATACAATTATTTTGAACTTTTTCTAAACTTCATAAGTGAGATTTTATATATAGATGCCAGATAAGGAGCACATAATCTAAATGAGAATGGACTATAGACTGATCTAGAGTTTTTATTACGAATTCATCCCTAAAATGTGCACATGTGCGTTTTAAAAAACTTAATTTTGCAATTTCGTAAATGTACAATTATTTTATTTCAATAATTTATTTACTTTGAAAGGATTTACTTTATAGGACATAAAATTATAGGGTTAATAAAATAATTATGCATTAGGCCTTCGTTATTAATTAAAAATACTTTATTTTTATTTTATTTCATAACCATGTTATAGGATTTACCCTTTACCCTAAGTAAATTTAATTAAATACAATATAAATTAAAATTTTCGGAGAACAATAAAATTAGTTTCAATAACATTTATAAATTACAAGTAATGACTTTAAACTATAACTATGTACAAGAGGAAATAGTAATTAAGAGTACAAATTTAAGAAGGTAGGGTCGATATTGACATATCGCATACATCATTAGGCGTTTAAGTGGTTCGTTTAGTTGGTAGGATGCGATGGCTCTAGGAATATTAAAATTATATTAGAAAGTGTTAAACGAAAAGGAATTTTAAAAATTTACGAAAGACAGGAGAATTATGTTAAACAAGATATCCCGGAAGAATTTTGCGCTTAGCATACGCCTACGTTCAGTGAGAATTTGAAGTCCAAGTGATTTAGCAACAGGACAATAATCATGGGGTGCGTGTGAGATATCTAAAGAGAAGTTAACGAATCTCAAAAACTTTCTTGGCTTGACCCAGTAGCCGTAGAAAGATTCAGATAACAGATCCATATTCTAAGATGGGACGAACAAGTGCACAACATAAAGATTTGAGTGAACGTAAAAGTTAAACTTTTTAGATTCTAAGATCTTTAGAAAACCGTATAATGAAACCTAAAACTTTAAATGCTTTACAGCAAATCATAGAAATGTGCGCACTCGGATTAAGGTTGCTTAATAATTTAAAACCGAGGTCTACAATAGAGTCAAGAGAGTAGAGGTCTACAATACACGTACTATGTTAGTATCCGAGATTTTATGTGTCCATAAAATAGGATTATGAGATCGGGAAAAGGTCATAACCCGGCATTTAGAAAGATTAAGTTTTAAGCCTAATGTTTGACATCATCTAAACTCTAGAGAAAGAATCAATATTATATTGTAAATAAACACAATCTACTATAGATGTAGACTGTGTAAAACATTTTTAAAATATTCAAATAATATGTCAAATCTATGGGATCATTTGAAGAGGAACCATCCGACGGTATTAGAAATGGAAAAATCAAGAATTTTAGAAGTAGACAACCATAACGTGTAATATATATTACACATAATAATGTACGTAATATACATATGTAATCAAATCGTTTTATTATTATTAAAAATATTTAATAATATAAGCGAAAAATAAAGAAGTAAAAACTATTCAATAGTGCTCATCACTAGACTGTTCGGATTTACTTAATAAATAACTTCGGAAATTTAGCCTGAAAAAAAAAACCCATACTAATATTATTGTTATTATTATTTTTTTTTTCAGCCCGAAGATTAGTTTTTAATACATTTTTACCATAAATTACAATATTTTTCCATTTTTCTCTAACATACGCCATATTCTTAAAATCCCTGTAAGAAGTGACTTCTGCACCCTTCATTACTTGGCTAATATATTTTATCTTGGGTCTTCCTCTTAATCTTGTTCCTTTTATCATTCCTTCAATTATTGAACCATGTAGTTCATTCCCATGCCTCAACGTGTGTTCTATCATTTGCCATTTCCTCCTTATCGTGTCTATCAATATTCGTTTTTCATCTGTTGTCCTAAAGACGTCTACATTCGATCTTCTCGCAGTTCAGTTTATTCTCTGCATCTTTCTCCAACACCACATCTCCAGAGCTTCCAACATATATTTCTCTTTTTTATTAATTGTCCACGTTTTTCTTCCATATAATACCACACTCCAGACATGTTTTTATGAACCTTTTCTTCGTTACTATGTTCATATTTTTTTCTTTTTAAGGAATGCATTTTTCGTTTAATCCATTCTGTTTTTGGTTTCCCTTGATGATTTCCTGTCGTTCGTTATAATACTGCTGAAGTATTTGAAATAATCTACTTGGACAATTTCTTTGTTTTCTAGTGTTATATTTATAGATAGTATGTTTTTCTTGTAGCGTACTAGAGTTTTGGTCTTGGCTGCATTCATTTTCGTATTATACTATTGGAATGTGGTATTCATTAAATTTAACTCTGCTTGCAAGTCTTTCTTAGATATTGCAAGAATGACTATATCATCAGCAAGCGAAGCACTGGTATTAGTATCCCTTCTATTTTCACTCCAATTCCTTTTTAATCTAACCTAAGCTTTGTAACGTTTATTAATATTATATGTCAATAATAATCAAATTCAAATGAATTCAAATTAAACATTATTTGTGGGGAACTTTACTATAAGCAATAGCTTAATATTTAGATTAATTTTAATTTTTATCTATCGCAATATTACCCATTACCCTTTGCAAATAATCATATGGGGTTTTTTTTTCACGGAATTTTTTTTCTGACAATAAATTTCCATGGTAATTTTTTGCGCTACCCTGGTTCGTGATTATTGTAATTTATAGTATCTGATAAGGATAAGGATAACAGTAAAAATTTAGATAGTTGTGTTATTATTATTATTAGAGTTGCTATTAAATTTGTTTATCAATTAGGTGTTAGGTACACATTACGAAATATTTGTTCCGAATCTTAATTCTTATTTAAAAACTAATACTAATAAAAATATTTTCAAATGGATATAAAACCAGGGAGTCCTTATGATATAAATGGTGCATGTTTTAACGCAGATATGTATGTTAAAAAAGTACTAAAGGTAATAGAATAACAACTATTATAGCTTTTTATTTTTAATGCTTAAAAGTTAAAATATCTCCAACATTAAAAATCAATTTCATTAAAACTAATATAAAATTTTATAACTTATTGTTAAATTCTCTTTTCATGCTTAAGATCTAAAATAATATTAAATATTTAGTCAAGAGAATTTTATATGACTTCATTATGTAATTGTACATATTGTGTATATTTTAATTACAGTACTAATTTGTCATTTATAATTATAATTAGGAATCAAATTTAAAACAAGTAATGGACCACGAAAGAGAAATACATCAAGATATACAATCATTACATTCTGATATGCAGACTTTGGTGTATGAAAATTACAACAAATTTATTTTAGCTACAGATACAATTGGAAAAGTAACTTATGATTAATTTGTATTATACTTAAGTCTTAAATGACCATTTTTATTTGTGTCATGAGTGTATGAAATGTTTCAATTTATATTTAGATTGTAATTATATCGTTAATCAAAAATATACAAATAAGGTGTAAATAATTTTATTTTTATAGATGAAAAATGATTTTAAAAATCTTGAAGAAGATATGGAAATGCTTTTATCTAAAATGGATGATATTACTAAGTCATCAGAAACAATTACATCAACCTTACATGCAAGTGAAAATTTTGTAGCAAAATATTAAATACTAAAGTATTTATTTATGTATTTTATATCACATTTAGGCCAATAGAGATGAAATATTAAAACTTTCAGAGACTCATAAACTGTTAAAACGTTTTCAATTTATTTACACACTTCCAACCACATTGAATAAACTTTTACTCAAAGAAGATTATGCACAGGTATGTTAATATTAACAGTGACTTAACCAGGATTTCTCAATGGCTCAAAAAAACCCAAAATTACAAGTTTGTCTGTTGAATGTTTATTTCCTTTATTACGTTTATAAATATACATCATAGTTAATTATTGAAATATAAAAGTAAAGTAATTTAAACGTGAAATAATTATAATAAAAATTACAAATACGGTCTAGAGGAGTGAAGACATTTGCTCCACCATTAAATATTATTCTATATATTTATTATACTTTAATTTTAACTGCACTTTCCAATGTGAATACTTGTATATTATTCTTTATTCATGTAATAAAAATTATCAATTTTTATTTTATATACTTATTGAAAATTGTTTATTAATAATGCGATAAAAAATGTAAGTTTAAGTTTTGAACTGAACCGATTTTTATGTAACATCATTTTTTCAAATTCCTTAATACATGTTTTATCAATATTATGTAAAAGTATTACAGTATTAACAATAAACATTTATAATTGTAATATATTTATTTTGTTAGGTTGTTCAAGAATATTTACATGCTCAGCGAGTTTTAACTCAATATGGAAATCAAGAATCTTTAAAAGGAATACTTAACGATTGTAACAATATAGTGAACGAACTAATGCAAATTTTATATAGTCATTTGAGGGATAAAGATGTAAGTATTTATTTATTTGCTATTATTATTAAATAGTTGTGTAATAAAAATAATTGTAAGTGCATGTGATTATTTTTTTAATATATACTTGTGCAGAACAAGTTATTGTTCATTAAACCAAATAATAGATGCACATTAGAAAATTCATTGATTTTTGTTACCAATATAGAAATATTTGGTTTTTTTTTAAGAAGTGTTATTTATACATAAAAATATAAAACTAAATATATAATTATTTCTCTAAAGCTAATTTGATTGAATTACAACTTTATATTATGTTTTAGATTACTGGTAAAGAATTAACAAAATCTGTAGATCTATTGCTTCAACTTGATGAGCCAGTTTTATCATTATGTAAAGAATTTTTATTACATTCAAAAAATAGATTATTTGAATCATTAGATGTTCTGCAATTGCAAGTTGAAAATTTAAATCAAGTAAATTTAGGTTAAATTATTTAATATTGAACTCTGTTCCAAAAGAGAATATACTGCTTTTGCGCATAATAACTGACGGCTAGCAACTATTCAAAGTTCAAAGACCAATTTTTTCTACTGTCATCGAAATGCACTCATCGTGACCAGTGGTACCTGGTGGGAAAGTGTCGCCGCCAAACGAAAACTGTTCGCCATTTAGTATGTTATCTTTTGGAATAGAGTGTAGGTACATGGTGTAGCAAATGTAGCAAAATCAATGTGATCTAGCACATCTTGAATCAATATTTTTTAATTAAAAATTATATTTATTTGGACTTTTGAAGGCCCAGTCTCTTTTAATTATTCTCCTAAAAATTATACATTCTAACATGACATAGTTTAAAGTATTTTTAAATGCTTTGGAAATTATATTTAGCAATGCAATCATATTTGGCCTTATGTTTTGTGATTCATATCCGACTGATTTCTCTAAAACATTTCCAACTTAGGGTAAGGTTGCCATACATTTTCAAGTACGAGCTAGGATATTTACCAAAATAATTTCTAACAACTTTTTTTTTGTAAATTATTATATTATAAAATACCTTAGATAATACTATAGAATTAAAATTGATAATAATAATTACCCATTTTAACGTGTTTTTGTAACTCTGGTTTACTTATATCATGTATGGAATTTAGTGCAAGCCTTCCTGAAATTGCATTTACATTAAATGATCCTTTCAGCTGTTTTAATTTGTAGATTTTGTTTTTTGGTCCATTTGACCCCTATCAGTGATACTATCCTTTCAACATTTGTGTTATGGCACAAAATTAATGGCACACCAAAATTAAATTGTTTTTTTTTCCAATACACTAGTTTCTTGAAAAAAATATAATCATTTGTCTTGAATGTCTTATTAGACCAATCTTTATGAACTTTTTGTTTGTTAATGAAGTTTTTGAGGTAATATTTTTTGGATTATGATTACTAGTGTGTAAGAATTCCATAGAAAATAATTTTTTTCAAATTTCAATATCTTCTTATATTACTTATATAAAATGCAGTATCAAAATATATTTTTGATTTACAATCATAAATCATAAAATTAGGATTTAAACAGTACAGTCCCAGTTTTAAGTGCATGTCCTGATATGCCTGTCAGTTAATAGTAGCTGAGAGTAAACTTATGTATAACACTTTGTTGGATGAAAAGGGTGGATGAATGAATGAAAAAATAATATGAGACCTGATGGTCTGTTGAATGGTCATTTAAAGTATCTCAATTTGGGGATTTTAAAATCTGGCAACCCTTTAATATAAATTAATATTTTAAATACCTATGGATAGTATTTTAGTTAAAAATGGTTTTATTATAAGTAGTTACACATTTTGTAATTAAATATAATTTAATAACAATAATATATATAATTTTGTTTACATTTTTTAAACTCTAATATGAATATTATTAATACATTTTTTTTTTTGTGTAGGACATGATTGAATTTATTGATTTGGGAAGTGACACATTTCTTAGTCAATTATGCATAGTAATCACATCATTCAATGATATGTTTATTGAAAATCTGTCAAAAAAGTAATATATTATATTTAAAAAAAAATAGTTTCATAAATAATTTATTTTAAATTTATAGTGATGAAGAAACTGATACAACATTAAATCAATTAAATATTTTTGTCGAAGGTAATATGATTCGATATTTAGAAATAGTTCAATGTTACATCGATAAAAACACTAGTGATACAGCCATTTTAGTTCGAGCTCTGGATAGATTTTTTAGAAAGCTTCAAGCAATTGGAAAATTGTTTTCATACAAGGATTTTACTTTGTATGTTTTGAAAGTAATGGAAAAAACTAGTATTACTTATTAATGTAATATACTTAGGAATGCTTTGGAAATTATATCTTCTGCTGCCCGCCGTCAAACCAAAATACATTTGGCTATGTTAAAAGCACATTTCAATGATAAATTATCAACTGTACGTCAGTCATTAGTTTCTTTACAAAAATTAAATGATAATGGATTTGCAACAGAATCTTTGACATCATTAACATCAGATATAATAGAAAAAGTTAAAGGAATTTTACGAGATATTTCGGTAAGTTATTTTTGATAATAATTTATTAACAATTTTTCAATTTTTACTATAATTATACTAATATATCATCTTGGTACAATATTTACTTTGTTTCTAGACATTTTTAGAACCAGAAGTATCATTTTCAACTAAATATGCTCTTCGAAAATCTATTAGTGTAGATAATGTACGTGAAGGACTTGTAGTGGGATTTTTACATTATTTATCGTCAGCTGCCCGTTCTTATACTATTTGTACACCTTGCCCACCTGCTTTTCTTTTTCTGATCATGACAAAAATGTGTCTTGAGTATCAAACTTCTGGCATTAGTTATTTAGTAAGTTAACACATAGTATCTCCATACACAAATAACAGAATTTTATTATAAAATTCAATTGAGTTAATTTATATTTTTTAGCTACAACTAGTAGATGAAACTTACGAAATCAATAAATATTTTGAAAAAAAACCTAAGAACTCATCACAACTTAGCTCTGAAGTTGAATTGGCATCAGATATGCATTCTGCTGCTCAAGAGCTTGTAAATTACTATGTCCGCGTTGAAGGACTAGCCATATCACAGGTATGAGATGTGAGCTTAATAAATCTATCTGGTAAATTTTACCAATGGTTTTTGACATAATACATTTTTTTTACTATTTATAAAATCAAATTACCCTCTCTCTTTAAACTAGTATAACTATTTAAATAACTTTAGGTACTTTTTAATCTATACATATTAATATTAAGTGAATTTTATGAAAATTGTCATTAGGCTAATCTTTAGATATGTATCACATTCTCTAACACATGGAAAATTGTATTTTTTAACAAATTTTACTGATAAAGAAATATTTAAATTGCTAAATAATATTAAAATATATGAACTAAAACAACAAATAACAAATATGAGTTGAATAAATCTAGTCTAATATTTTAAAAGTACAATTTGTTAGTTATTCACTTCTGAGATTGTATGTAGGGAGTAAACTCCAGAACTACTAGACTGATTATTCAAATTTTGTTTTCGATAGGTTTCTTATGTTACCGTAATGGTTATAGGCTAATCAGTTTTTCATTTTTTTACATTTTAAATCCCTCCCACCCCAAAAAAAAAAAATAATAATAATAACGTAATGATTATTTAAAAGTATTGAAATTAAAATGCTGTTTTGTATATATGTTGGTGGAGTAGCATTCCACTACATTCCAACTTAGTGAGTTTTTTTTTTTTTTTTCAATTTTATTACCTTTGTTTTATTTTGGCTGCTTTTGAATGTTTTTTTTAAATAAAACAAGTAAATAGTAAAAGTGAAAAAAAAATATATTGTGTTTGGGATTCAAACTCAAGACCACTAGAATTGAATATAGTGTCAATGCCACAGAACCAACATCTATATAGTGCAGTACAGTTGTTAATACAAAAGATCTTGAAGGCTTCCCTATCGAATTTCTGAATTCCTTTAACCTATCTGGATTCCCCCTCTCTAGAACTAAAAGTTGGAAATCTTGTAATTTTATTACCAAGTCTCAGTTCTTTTAATTTATGAAATAGAATTATATTGCAAATAAAGTTGAAGCATAATATTATTGACGCCGTTATCATTAAAGGTCTAGCTATGTGGAAGGTATCCCTTAAACCTCGTATCACTACAATTCCTACAATGTTGCCTTTCTAATATAAAAGTTTGCAATTCTCAGTTAAGCTCTTTTATGCAATGATAATTAATAAATTGCAAGGACAAACTTTAAAATATATAGGAATTGATCTGATTGTCTTTCGCATGGTCAGATGTATTTTGGTCTTATAAAGTCAGGGATTCAAAAAATCAACTATAAAAATTTATTTACGCTGAAGTTTTATCAACCTTAATACTTTTTCTTTAAAATAAATAATTAAACAATAGTAGTTCTTAGTATATATCTTACTTTAAAAAATTAATAAGTTAAAAAAATTAAATGCAAAGATGTCATGGGTAAGGAAAACTAGTCAAATAAATCACGTTCAATTTTCATATTTAAACTCTTAACATGACATAATGTGTATTTTTATTTTTAGATGCTAAAAAAGTCAGTTGAAACCCGAGATTGGCTTCACAGTTTAGAACCAAGAACAGTGCGTGCCGTTATGAAACGAGTTGTGGAAGAAATTACATCTGTTGATAGTCAAGTAGAATTTATAATTATTGTTAATAAATGGTATATCTTAAATAAGTGTTTTATGTATATTACATGTTTTCATAATATATCATCTTTTCATATTATATTTTTTGAATTTTAAATAGGGATTATTATTAGAAAATCAAAAGTTTTTTATTTTCATAAAAATATTGAATGCTGGGAAGGGGAAAAATATTGTTAGTAAGATCAATTAAAAATTCTATAATGCTTAAATTAAAATCAATTTTAATCAGAATCCTTATTGACAATCCATGTTAAAATAATCATTTGTATAGGGTAATTTAGTTTAAGTCCTGTAGAAAACAATAAATTATCAACAAAATAGGATTCTGCGTGTAATGGCAAAGCTATTGATTTTAGATTCTTAGCGGAGCGCAGAATATATTGGTTTCACAATGTTTATTTTTTTTTTCTGCGAACAGTTTTTACCAGAAGTTTTGTTACGGTTTTTAAATGTAGAACTTTTTCTAAAATGATATTTGACTGGTGGTATTTTAAGGAGGTAATTTTTTGATTTTCCCAGGGTTTTTCATAATAACTGATTATAAATATAACCTAAATAATTATGTATCCTACCTTACTATATATATTATATTGTGTATAATGTTGCAATAATATTAATTAATTAATGCTTAGGAACTCAGACACTTAAATGGATATTGGTATATTATTATAGTGGTGTGGCTTTAATTATGTCCTGTAATATACTTAAAATTGCATATAATTTCTAGAGTAAATTCAAATTGTAAAGTATCAAATTACATTATATCTATTGCTTATTACTAATTTATTAAGGTTGGTGAATTATTTGAAGAAGGTATGAGAACAGACAGAAGTAGTGATTCAAGCCGTAGGACCCAATTGTCTAGACATATAAGAGCATGGTCATCTGGTGGTACAGCTACAAACACTCAAACATTTTCTGCCATTAATCGATTATTCTCAGAACGCATTGACATATTTTCACCTGTTCAATTTTCAAGAGTTTCTATTACAACAGGCATAATTAAAATAAGTCTTAAGGTTTGATTTTTTTTTTTTTTTTTTCTACTGTACATTAATCTTTTATTTTAATTTTTAGACACTTTTAGAGTGTGTTCGATTAAGAACATTTAATCGTTTTGGGCTACAACAAGTTCAGGTTGATATCCATTACTTGCAACTTTATTTGTGGAGATTCGTGTCTGATGAAAAGTATGATATTAATGTATTATGTTTAATTGCTGTCATACCTATTTTATTATTTTTTATAAACTTAGGAACTAAATTAATAAATGATTTATTATGAGATAATTTATAAAAGTAAAATATAAAGAAATAATACAAATTAATACTTACCATATCTTGAAATACTTTTTCTAACAATAAAAAAGTGAACATAAAATTTTGTTTTTAATTTGAACTAAATTTTCTTCTGAAATATGAGAACTATAAATAATATTACTACTATTATGTAATATTAAAATGTACTTATTAATACATTAAAAATGATTCATATAATTTATATAAGTTAAGAAAATAAAAAAATTAATTTTAACTAAAGTCAATTTTAAGATACCTAGTGCTAACTTGCGTATATTTTTTCCTTTCATTCCTCTACCTATATTACTAACTATTTATATAACAAGTCTATCCTGTAAATAATGAAGCTAATGAAGGCTGGCATCCCTAAATAATTTTACTTTTATCAAATTTTATTTTTGTTATTTTAATAATTATTTGTATACTGTACTCGTTAATTGATCATAAATAAATAAATATCTTAATTTAAAAAAGCTTAAAATAATCAGAAAAAATATACAGTGATATAAATTTATTTTATATTAAATACTGTCTTTAAAAATTACTATTGGAACATAAAAAAAAAGTTTAATATATTATATTTGATCACCTATTGATTTTATAACTTTCATTTTTTTGTGTTTTGTATTATAATTTTATTAAAATAAGGGTCACATTTTATACTTTTCAAGGTATTTGTTTGTTAGTACCCTACCAATACATTTAAATGTTTACTCTCATCCCTCTTGTTTTTCATCAACCTCACCACTGGTCTCTTAGCCACTAGCTACTTTTTATTAGTATTGATCATATTGAATCATTTTCTCTACATACATTTTACAAAATACAATTCCAGAAAATTTCAGTTGGTTCCACAGTGAATTTTATTTATTAGGTCCAATAAATATTTAAAGGTAATTTTACGAATAATAGTATAATAATTATATTAATATAACATAAAAACAAAAGTTAGCAACATACTCTAAAACACATAAATGTAAATATCTTGATTATTACTGAAAGCTAACAAATATCCAAATAATATAATACCTAATTGTCAAATTCTCAGTACCTAACTAAAATAAATTGAATATAACGGGTTAATACCAAGATATTAACACAAAAGGTGACTAATTACATTAAAATTAAAAATACAATTGAAAATTATTTTAAAAAAAAAAAAAAAAAAAAAAACTGGCATTAAAGATAAATAAGTACTCAAAAATATAACTGTAAAATAAAAATATGAAACATAGACTAATAAAACTTTCATTTTCATTTGTTGTACTTATCTAAATTTTTTTTCTTTGTATTTGTTTATCTTTCATATTCTAAAGTGATGATTGTCCATTAAATTCTTATTTTCTCCAATATCCATATTTTTATTTGTTTTACATAATTATTTATTTATTTATTTCAGTTTAGTACATTTGTTGTTGGATGAAATATTAAGCAGTTCTGTGCATAGATGTTTAAATCCAATATTAATGGAACCAAGTGTTGTTGAAATTATTTGTGAAAGAGGTTGAATCAGTTTTTATTTATATTTTGTAATATGTATTTTTGTTAATAATTTTAATTAAAAATATAAAATATTAATTTATTAATTATTTGTCTTATATTAAGTGGTTTATCTATACTTCGGCCCACGACAGAACAACCAGAACTTGGACATCGATACTGTTCTTGCGAGTTTAGCAAGGCTCATTTTCTTCCACTACTGCTACTCGACAGCAAACATTCAGTTATGTGCACTGTGATGGACGAGTTTCTTCGTTGTTCTTTTGTGGGCTAAAATGTAGAAAATTTAATAATTCAATTGTTTAATAAGATATTAGAATTTAATTAAATGAAAATTTAAGGGAATGTGGGGTAAGACTTTGAAACTATGGAATAAGAAAGTACAATTCTCTCAAAAATTATTATTTTGATTTGGAAATTGACCCAAGTATTTTATACAAACTGGTTATTAATATATATTAATATGTTTATTTATTAATTACACATTGTACCCCATACCTGTGTAAAATAGGAATATCCTTAAAATATAATCGTATAAACACAGATATTCAATCCATCAAGTACTTTTATAAATTTTAAATGATAATTACATTTATTGTTAGTTTTTTATCATCGATTTCTAACAAATCTCATCTAGGGAAGACTTTGGTAGCAACAGTAATTTTGTATGCAATTTTATTTTTGTAAGATGTATGGGTCAATTCCCATAAACAGGGATTTGATTCCGCTGCACTTATCAAAAATTCTACGTCAAATGATGATATTATCCACATGGTTGTCATGGTATTTATTAAATGACAGGGAAAAACGCATACTAGTGTGACATTTATAATAATAAATAGTGAGTTTGGATTTATTTTGGTTATTGTGGTGGACAGGTGCGATAACGAAAAATATTTTTTTGGGGGGGGGGTTAAAGTTGTACACTTTCATACTATTATAACAAAGAAGTTTACATAATATAAATTGTACGATTATTTATTTTTCATCAAAATGTCAGTATATTGTAACATTCAATTTTAGCCTTTTAATTATGTACTTCTTACTAAATTTTATATTTAATATTTTTGTAGTGAATACAATCTAAATGATAATGTAATTCATATTATTGTGATGATAATGCGGACTTTGCAATATCACCATATCAATTATAATTTTATTAAAACAGGAAAACCACAAAAAATAAGAAATGACAAAAATAACAATACCTATATATCTACTATACTACTATCTAATAATAAAATTAAAATAAAACCAAAATTGTATTTATCTTCCTTATTGACAGAAACCACTTTTGATACTGTATTAAAAATTTACTTTCATAATAATTTTCATGAAATTTCGGGGGAAGGGGAGGATATTTCCGCAACATGCAGCGGTTTTTTCCGCATGGAAATTTCGCTACTGTGTATTTAGGTATACTATTTAAAATAATTGAGTTTGTATGGTATGTTTTTATTGTTTTTAATTTTGTTTTTTGTTGTAATTTAGTTAAAAATATTAATATAAACTTGAAATATTGAAAGAAAACTTATACTTGTTTTTCTAGACGTGGACAATTTTTCAAAACTATTTTTGAGCTATTTAAAGACATTTTAATTTTGTGTGTTTTTTTAGTTAATTTCTATTTAGTAGGTACTCTGAGGAATAAATTATTGAACTAAACAGAAATGCTTGACAATTTAACAGAAGGTTCATTAAAGTCGTACTTAATAGTCAAAAAACAAATTGTGTAATTATTTTTTTTTTTTATAAGAGTTAAAATCGGTATGATTCACTTTTCACTTTCAAAGAACTTTATATTTATATAATTGATACTCTAAAATATCTTCAAAAATATAATACAAATCCTGAAATCTCAACTAAAGTGTCGTTATATATGAGCGCTATAACTAAAAGTGATTTTCATGTCTCTCTTGAAGTAGCTGTTACTTGCTTCTCATATATTAAACAATTTAATTAAGTCAAATGTGACAAAGCAAACAACAAGACTTATCTAAAGTTTTAAATGATGTAATGATTGTTAGAGAAGCTTTAAAAACCATTTGATCAAGATGCTGAAAAATATTGTAAGGGAATTATGAAAAATGTTACCACAATAGCTTATGAATTAGATGTTGAAATACGCATGCCTAAAACTACCCGAAACAATATAAATGCCAAAGACGCAGAGGAATATTATAAAATAGAAATATTTTTACCATTTCTTGATAATCTAATTAATTATTACTCAGTTATATTCAAAATTTGGTAAAAGACTAGGAACAATTATACCACTAGAAGGACTCCATCAAGAAGAATATCATCTAATTTGACACATGACGACCAATCAATCTTAGCTGCTGCTCAGTGCCGGCCTGATAGATTTCGGGGCTGGTGCAGAATTTTGCGGGGCCTCATATATATTTAATTATTTTATTTTCATATAATTGTATAAACGTTAAGGTCTTGTTAGAAATCAAAATTTGTATACCTATGTATAAACAAATAAAATAAAATTTGTATTTTTATATTGGATACAAAATGAGCAGGTTCCTACTTAGATATAAACAATATTTAATTAATTAATATTTTTATTAGCTATGTATAATTAGTACCATATTGATTTTTGTCGATAATAACCCGTGTCTTAATAAAACCAAACGGCCACAAGGAACATGGATCGAAATTTGCTTAATATTAGAACAATATTATTATGATTATTTATAGATAAAGTGATATTCGGAATACATAATTTTCCGGCACCGCTTGCCCCTCCCTTCCCCGTAAGCCAGCACTGCTGCTGCTTCTGTTTATGAAAATGAATTTTTAATTAGTATGAAATCAGAGTTATTCATATGGAGAAAGCAATGGTGATTGAAAGAAAATTTACCACAGACTGCTGTAGAAGCAATTCAACACTGCACAGAGCTTTTTCCAAGTATAAAGAAGATTCTTGATTTATTTACTACTCTACCTGTAACATCCGCTACCCCAAAACGTACATTTTTTGTTCTAAAAAGACTGAAAATATACTTACGAGGTACAATGAATACAGAAAGGTTGAATGGTTTGGCATTAGCAATAATAAATAAAGTTGAATTAGAATATGAAAACATCAACATGAATGAAAGTTACAGATTGGACACAATAATAATATTATATTATAAACCATTTAACATTTTGTGATCATTGTTCAATGTTATTAACTTGACTTTAATTTCGGTTTCCGACTGAAATTCTATCAATACTTTCATTACTAAATAAATATGTGGGTAAGGGTGATAAAATTGGCCGTTATATGTGTGATGAAAGCTTTCAGAACCATTAGTTGTCCTATAAAAAGTATAAATAATATATAGTAGTATATAAATATTATTGTTGATGTAACTTAAATCAAGTTGTTGAAGTTGATTAAAAATTGATTTTTACCTTGGATTCATTGATTGCTTTTCTGCCCACAATTCTGGTGGTCCATATAAAATGTACATTGTAGAGTATAGACTATAATATGTACTGTAGATAAGCTAGAATTTGGGTTAAAACCAAAATAATATTTTTAAAATATGATCGGCAACGTCACAAATTAGTTTTGTGCGGAATCGTGAATCGCTGATTTTTTTTACAGGTATAAGGCGAACGGTCAATTAATAATTAAACATATTTTAGCCTTCAACTTTATAAGATTTAACAAAATGTTTAAAACGGTTTGATTTGATGCTGATTTGTCCATCTTACAATATTGATTAGATATTGACACAACTAAACACAACTTAATTATATAGACAGTTAGGTACACAAATTAGCTATATAAAGTTTAGAACAAATTAAGTAAAAAGTAAAATCCTTCAGCGAAAAATGAACGTTGTTTTGTTTATAAATTATAATACAAACCCGGATACCAGATAAAAGATACATTTTCATATTTGTAAAATACTATTGTAGGTATCATTGGTACAATGATACTTAAATGTGATATTTTATTTATAAATATCCATGGGTAGTGGCGTAAGAAGATTCGCTAGCACCCTTGGCAAACTTAGAAAAAACGCCCTTTTACCAATTAAAAATTTGATGTGAAGATATTTTTTTTCAACCTTTAATTTTACTAATTTATTTTAATAATGCAATGGTATATCTAGTAACTAGTACAATGGTAGAAATTTCGGATATTATTTCGTCATCATTAATATTATTAGTATCAGTTTGTAAAGGAACTACTAGATTTTCCTTTGAGCTAGGTTTCAAAAGCTTTTACCTAACGACGTGGATAATATTTAAATATTAGATTCTTTAAGTTTTCTTTATTTTTCAAATCAGGCACTGGAAGGGTATGGCCTTACTACGCCACTGTTCATGGGCAACGTAGGTATCTATCAAAAAACTGTTGCATACCTATCGTAGCATACTGTAGTTACGTACTGTTGCTTTTATGTGTAATTTGTTGATATTTTAATAACAAAATTAAATTTGTTATCAAACTATAACAATTTTGATTTTTGATGAAAATAATTTTTTCTCAATTATGAGTTGGGTTCCTACTAACGACTTACCTATTTTATATTTTATCCAAATAGGTATACAAAAAAAATGTTTCAGTAGCCTTAATATTGCATATCCGTGCGTTCTTTTAGGATAATATAATAGCATGGGAACGCTAATTAAAATCAAAAACTAGTTTAGAAGCTGTCCTAGCTGAAATAAGAGTTCCCATATATCCCCTCAAACTCGAGCACTGCTTATTAAGGTACCTACATAATTCAATTTTCAAATCAAAATCACATAGACAGTTTTGTACAAAAGTATTAAATTATAATATTAATAATGTATTATTTTTTATGCTAGGTAGTTGAAATTAAAATTTTGAATGGAAGTTGATCATTCCCCCTCCCCCCACTAAGGTACACTTTTGAAATTATCTTATATATTATTTTACCTTCCCATTTTTCCAACCACAACAGTGGTACACTCGTCAGCAGTATCAACTTTTATATTGAATTATTATTACTTCACAATGTAAGAAATAAAATATATATAAATACGTATACACTTATGACTTGGTTTCCCCTCCACCCCTCCCCCATACGTATATCTTGTTGTTCATTATGCATTGATATAAATGCAGGTACACGTTTTCTCAGTCATGAATATTCTTTCCCTTTGTCGAGTAATAAATGTATAATGTATATACTATACTGTAGGCACCTATATAATGTTATAAACTACCTATTTAATATACATTATACTATTTGTGACACTTTTATAATTTAAGTTTTTTTAAAAATTTAATTCAACAGGAAGCACATATTATTATAAAGAAATAAACCAGTTGTTACTATACAAAGTGTTTTTAAATAATGGGTATAGATGACAGTTTATTTGTTTACCGACGTTTAATAAATTTAACATCGACACAAAATAAGATGTTTGAACAAAATGTATGTTAATAATTATTTTCACAATGATGTTGAATATTTTTTAGTAATAAATAATATATTTGTTCGAAAATACATAGTTATCTATATTCTTGACAAATGGAAAACACATTTTTAACACCTGCATTATGTAGTTCATGCATATTATATTTACCGCCCAAGAAGATATCAATATGCACCTATTTGAAATAATATTTAAAAAATTATACAACAATAATGCGTTGTCAGCTTAATACTACTGCACTTAAATTGTAACACAGAATATTGTTTTTACCATTCAATATTTCTATGAATATTTTATCGACTTTATAGTTTAAAGCCAATAACCACACTATACACTGTACTTATTTTTATATAAATAATAATATTATTATTAAAAAGAAATAACACTCCGAATCGTTTTTCGTAAGCAATAATTTATCGCCTGCATTCGCAGAAAACTATTTGACCAGAAATCTTGATCAATAATTTGAAAAATAACCAAAAACTTTTTTTTATTTAATCTAGTTAGAAAGCAAGAAAGTCGTTTTTATTTATTTTTTGTATTTTTTTTTTTAATAATTAAGTAAAACAGGGAAAAATATAGAATGAACAGGAAATTTTACAAAAATAATGAAGCCATTATTTTCAATATTTATTAGATTCTGAGCTAAGCGATGTGGAATGTATTGGTTTTATAATCGTGTAAAATTTTTATTTTTATCTGTAAACAACTTTTCTACCACAAATTATAATCTGATATTCACCTTTTCTGATTTGTTGATTTTGCAATTGATTTTCATAATAATTGGGAAAAACTGGGAAAAAAGGGAAAATTTACGAAATTTATTACAATCGAACCTCGATAATTTGAATCTAGATAAGACGAAATCATTGATAAGTCGAATTAAATGGCGTTCCCTTGCTAAAACATCGATTACTTACTCGGAAGAAACACTATAGGTAACTCGAATATTTTGTGCTCCGACTATAAACGGATAATGAGGGTTAATTTTTATTATCTTTTTTCTAGTCTGTTTGTATATCCCAAATTTAACCTAATCGCCTTTATTGTGTTTATTATCGTATTTTTGTATAGTAATAATAATAATACACTGCACTGTAATTATATATGTACATATACACTTTATGATAATTAAAAACTATAATAACTAAATATGGTACATTTTAAAAACTCTTCAAGTCGAATTTTGTTTTTCAAAACTATTATAATTTATTCGGTAACCTTAGAAAGTCGAAAACTTCTATAAGTCGAAAAAAAAATGCATTTCTCTTGAATTTCGACTTATCGAGGTTCTACTGCATTTTAAATTTTGGTTTTTTGTTGTGATTCAGTTAAATATATTCGTATCGACTTGAAATTTGAACAGAAACCTTATATTTTCCTTTTCTAGACGAGGTTAAACTTTCAAAACATTTGAGCCTAACTATAGATTTATCTTTGTTTTTAAAATTATACTTAAATTAATATTCAAAATTTATTGAATTGATGATACCTTGTCCAAAAATACTAATAAATGTCTTATTGAATATCAAGTGCATGTATCCATATTATGGTAACCTAGTGGCGGAGTAAATGGGTGTGATTAAAACAGCTGATTCGTGAATAAATTATGCGGGTAAGTGTATTTGTGGCAATTCATCATAACTTGCAAGAATTCAAGATAGGTATATTAACAAAAAGGTACAGCCCCCGATTTTTCTGGACTTTGGTCAAATGGCATGAAGATTTTGCAAATTTACTGAAATGGCTTCATGGAAAAAAAAATTTAAGCCATTACTACATGCACTTATTATACTTATATTTAAGTATTATGTTACCTATTAGGTTGGTAAATCTATAGGTTCTGTTTTTTGAATATCCAATAAATATATTATAAACTTTTATTGTAGGTATAACAACAAATTGTGAATCGTTATTGATAGGTTGAATATTACATTTTTACTTACTGCAATCAATGTACCTATATTTAATTTTTTTTTCCACAATTATTTGTTCTCGTTTTATTACTAACTGTATAAACAACTACTTAATTGTCATAAAAAATTATTTATTTTCCATCGCAGTTAACCGTATAATAGGAATAGATAGTGCATACAAGCTTATAATTTTTTTTCAAGAATAATATTAAAAATAATTAAGACCTCCGGGCAAATTAATTAAAATTGGTATACGTACCTATATTTAGAATAAAAACTTTTGGTCACATTATTAAATTTATTTAGTTTTAACTTTTTATATACGGGCACTCGTGAAGTTGCAAATAATCTATACATACAATATTATATCAACATAATACACATGGCTACACAATATAGTATACCAACCAACTTTAAATAAATACTTATATTTTTATTTAGCATTTTGAATTTGAGAATTCGACACCTTTGAAGTTAGTTTATTTTTAACGTGTTTTACATTCATAAAACATATTGTAATATTCTGTAAAATGTACAAGGAGACCGTACAAAAATTGGGGAGAAACCATCATTTAAGGATAGACCATTATCATCATCATCAACATAATATATACCTAATGTGTGTTGTGTGTATATGTGGCGACGGCGTTTCAGGTATTGTTAAATGTCATCTGCATGGTACACCATCCACGTACATACACCTATAGTATAATAGTGTATACCTGTCACAGCTGTTAATTAGTGACATATTGTTTAAATTTTTTTCTTCTATACAGTAGAAATCGAATAGAACGCATTCGGTTGTTCGCTGTCTCACGGATAGCACACCCATTTTCTCGACCGACGGGGAATATTATATTCGTACCTGAAATATAATAAATTAAATATCGGTAAAAGAGTTTTTCGTTCATTTCACTATATTAACAATATTTAATTTTTCAACTATTGATAATCAAGCTGTGTCCACGAAAACAACAAAATTATCATATGGTAAGCATCAATTTAATATTATACATAATTTACATAAGTTTTAATTATTTTAGTCTGATAATTTAATTATTACACTTAAAATTTCTTTACATTATTTTTTAAATTAGGTATATATGTTTTCATAAATTAAATGGATGACAAAAATTAAATAACTAATACAAAACAACATAATTTGTAATAGGGATAGAGACTGTTCTCCGTAAAATGTATTTAACTTTATATTCATAATAGGTTACTGCCTAACTATAGCTTATAGATAGGTTTTCATAAAAAAATAATTAAAATAAGAATGTTTAATTCTTAAAATTAACTATAAATACAGTTAAATCCCTATCTAACAAAAATCCTCGCTTATTAATTAAACAATTTATATATAAATTGAATATTAATTACTAGGTAAGTAATAGAAGGTAGGCAGGTATAATAAAAATCTGTATTAATTATTATTAAGTACTATTGATTATAATAGTACCTGAATTATTAGTTTCAAAATTGATTTTAAGGTAAACTAATTAGAAAAAAATAAAAATAAATTGAAGAATAAACTCAATGGTGAAAAATTAAATTCATCTATTCACATTAATAATACGTTTATTTTACTTTTATTATTTTAATAGAAAGAGTGTATCTCAATGAGTATTATAATTTATAGTTAACTAGCCATAACTCGAATGAAAAGGGCCAAACACTTGTAGCCTTGGCGCCTATTAATACCGGCCTGGAGAAATATTTCAAATTTCAAAATAGCATTAAAAAAAAGATCATAGAAAAACACTTCGGTGAAAAGCTAAAAAATATTGTGTGGCCCGCACGCGATGTTGAAGGCTAACCATGATTCTAGGTATAATTTTATTAGTTTAAATGAAGGGAAATATTTGATTTTTACCTCGAACATGACTCAGATATTTAATTTTTAATTTTTTACCAAGTATCAAGTTCGTTTCTTTCTGATTTTATTTATCAAACAAAGCAGAAGATATAAATACCAAATTATTTTAATACCTGTTAAAAATCTATAGGTATTTGCAAGCAGGGGGTGTAATGTATTAACATTGATTTTTAATATAAATATTATGTTTATAGTATATATTATAAAATCAATGGTTTAATTCGATTAATGTTTTTGGTAAAAATTAAAAGCTTATAATCAAAGCCGTGTCCTAGGTATTTATACAAAATGATTCACTAAGCGTGCTCACCCCCTTTTTCGGTTAAATTTTGCATGTATTCAAATTCTGATTTTTGGAATTTTTAAGTGTAGTTAAAGCCGATAATCTCTTAATACTTGACTTTTCACAACATTTAAGGAGTACCTATCCTGTGGCGATACCAAATTTGATTTATCAAATGAAAACCTGTACTAAAAATTACATAAATAGACAGTGTATTATTTTATATAAATTTTAGTGTCAACATTTTTAATTTCCATCAACCCGTTAACGAGATATTTTACTTTTAAATTTATGTAGGGGAAGAGCAATGGAGCAGTAATAAAACGTCGCGCGTCGTGTCGGCCACACAAATAATACTACACTACTCTCCCTCTACCTAAACTCAAAAGTGAAATATCTCGTCAATAGGTTCATGGAAATCAAAAATTTTAACATCAAAGTTTATTCAAAGTAATACTCCTTCTATTTGTATAATTTTTAATATAAGTTCTCATTTGAATAACCAAAGTAGGCATCACCACAGGATACTCCTTTAATGTTGTGAACAATCAAAGTATTCAAAAATACCAGCTTTAACTACATTTAAAAATTAAAATTAAAATATATAAAAAATTTAACCAAACAAATGGGATAAGCATGCGTAATGAATCACCCTGTATATACGTTTTTATATTTATAATAAATTCTATAGTTTCAACGAATATACTATACCGACATACAGTCTATAATACATTAATACCTATTGCATATTATACTACGATTACACATAGGTACTTAGAATAATAAATACCTAAAATATAATATTATCTATTTACCAATATAGAGTACAAAGTAGTATATAGTAGATACAAAGATCTAAATATTTAAAGAATCATATGAATTTATATTAATGCATTAGTTTTGTTTAACCACATTTGTATTGATCAATGAACATGTAGTTGATATAATATAGTTATAAAATATCATTATATAATATAAGTACCTACCTATCCAGTTTTCAATTTGGAATTTTCGTGTATGAAGATAAAGTAAACGAATATCAAGAAATTAAAGTAATTACCATAACGATATACACCATATGGATTATACATATATATAGTTAGTTAATTTAAATAATTGGCCGTGGAATTTTTAAAAATGATTCATTGAGCATCATCATTGAGATGGTTAAGAATGTGTCATAGACTCCTGTTGTCATGGGCATTGAACATTATATTAACTCTGTAAAATAAACTTTAATAAAATAAAAAAAAAAAATAGAAATCAAAATATATTAAAAATACAAAGAGGAAACTGCTAGACATTTTATATACGTAATGGATAAATGAGACGCTATTCACAAACGTTTATTATTGCTGTGAATTGCCCGTTAAGTGGACCCGCACGATAGACACCGGCATCCACACATTCAAATATGAAACCTTCACATACAGTATCCTATAATGTATATAACGTTTTATTTAATATTAATTTGGATGCATTTGCCCTCTAACGAACAGCATCCTGTTATATTATACTGCCTGCAGTCCCTGTTACCCATTTATTTTCAATTCTCTCATCAAGTCGTCCCTCATTCAAGCTATTTGTAAGACTCATATAATATTTTACTAAGCCTGCCTACCTATAAAAAAAAAAATAGGCAATAATAGATGTGAATAAAAATATTCTTTTTAAAGATATATATTTGTATTGCACTTGTAATTATTTACTATTATAGTATCGGTAGGTAGGTTTTATAATACTTTTTATAGTTTAATTGTTTTTGTAGAATTGGGTAGCATAGATGTTTATAGAAACATTATACATAGGTAAAATATTTATCTATGAAATATTTTTATATAAATATAATAATATGAATGCTGATAAATATTATTTTGATTTAGCTAAGTAGGTAATAATTAATAATAGGTAGATAATAATGGTAGGCAGATATACTTTCATAATTTAAAATTGATTTAGTTTCAGTTACAATATTAAACCATTGACTACTTACAATTATTATTAAATTACTAACAATTCATATAAATATTTTGCAAATAAAGAGATAATTTAAATACCTATACTCATGGCTAAATATAAAGGTATGACCACAACTTTGTGATACAATAGCTGCCACTGGCAGTGATTCCCGTTTTATTTCTATTTAGCTGGTAATAAATATCACTGCCCGTTGATTTTTCTCTCCATAAAAATGCTATGGAATAAACAGTTGTGATCATACCTAATATTTATCCATGCCCATACTTAAATGTCTATATAATTATCATTGTAATATAGAAACTTAGATATCTGTACTGTTGTAAGAATGGTGAAAAGGAGTAAAATATAAAATATAGTTTAAAATGTGTATAATACCTACGTGTACGGCTTAAATATTTTGACAATTTATACATATTTTTGTGTCTTTCAGAGTTTCAACATTAATTTGCATACGTTATGTATATGTTGCACATATGTTAATATATAGCTAAACACAGATTCTTCAGCATGCGGTGTCATTGCTGACTTATATGCATACAGCAATATATTATGCATGCTATCACACTCGTTTACAGTTAATAAGGTCAATTATTTGTCATCTGCAGTTTAAATTGTGGCCCTGTACACAAAAAGACTTATAGTTAATAATAATTTTATAACGAACGTCATTAACTATTGTTGACTTTTGGTTTTTAAATCTAAATTTTCATTCTATATAGTATGGTCCATTAATTTATTAAAAACTATTTTATATTTAAAACAATTAATCTTAGCATTAAATAGGTAGGTAGATTTTATTTATATTCAATTTTCATCGTACAAATTATGGATCTTAATTTTGTATACGATTTAAAGAGTTTTACAAAATCAAACAACAAAATAAAATATATACCTATTCTTTTGTACGTCATAAAAACATGTATTAATCAAATATAGGACGGTTGAATTTGTTGTTTACTTTGAACACTGCATTTACATCTGTTATAACAAGAGTTTTAATACCTTTAGTACCATGACATATTTACGAATTTATACGAGTTTTAGGTTTTTAAGCAATTAAAAATCTTTAACAGTTCTAATAAATTATAAGTACAGTGGCACAACCAGAGGAGTGATTTGATTGTCTGGACACCCCCAACATCCGTGTTTAAATAATATAAATATGTTTAAAAACGTGTTTTTTTTTTAATGAAGACATGTGACACCCCTTTTAAAAAATATTGGTTGCGGAACAGTTACCTTCTATTGTCAATCTTAAAAATATTTGATACTAATATTAATGTGAATACAATTAATACTTTAAAATAATATAACTTTTTTTTGCAGGATTTTGGACGTCAATTGCAAACTTATGCGAGTACACGACAAAAAATTTGCATTATTGTCGACTATTGTTTATTAGACTGAAGTGTAGAGACTAGAGTGCTAAGTAGTAGCGCCAACGGTGAATTGAATTTAAATATGTCACCTGCGTACTACTGCTTACCATTCTGGTCTCCTAATTACATCTTATGAATAAATCTTAAATAGAATAATTTTAATTATAACTAATTAATGGCTACGTATAGTTTTACTTGTATTCTTGTTAGTAAAAACAAAATCAAATACAGGTTTATATAATGAATTTATTTTATTTAAAGTCGAGTTAAAATTGTCTTACTGTAATTATTATAATAAATGTATATAGTTATGTATTGTAAGTATTATTTTCAACAAATAAATGTAATATATACGAGTATTAATAATTTATTTAATGTTTATATCTACAGTTGAATGTAATTTATTATTGTACAAAATAGTTAATAAAGAAATATATATTATAATATTTGCATTATACAATATATAAAAGTTGGAATGTTCAGTCTGGAAATGCGAATTTTCCATATGTCCTGGACCATATAATAGCCTTGTGACCTGATAATTTTATGTATATAATATATCACTTATTCGAATTATTTAAAAAAGTAACATAAATTATTTGTATTAAATATTTCGATAGACTATGAAATTATTGTGCCATTAATGTAGTTTGTAAATGTATTATTTTGAAATAATGCATCATGGGAAAGTATTGGATGCTGAATGAAATATTTAATATTATATATCTATAAAGCGTTTTAAAGTTGGATAAATTGAAGAGAAGCGTCAGGTATTTTATGTGTCATGAGACTTAGAGACAAGTTCTACAAACGTGTGGTGAGACCGATAATGTATGGTTTGAAGTGTTGGGGGATAGACAGAAAAATACAAACATATCCACAAAACTAGAACCTACGTAACCAAAAAGTTACCCAATCAAATTAAACAATTTATTTTTACATTCTAGGTTGTTCTTCTTTCCTAAAATTATGTTGAAAGCAGTTGCTAAGCGTGTTAACTGCTAACCGATAGAGTAAAAATAATTAATCAAAAAAACTAAAATTCTAGTCTTATTAATAATTATAATGATTAATTTCAGTTTATTAAATAAAAATATATTTTATAGATGCAATTATTTAGCTTACCTACTAGATATTATTATTATTTAAAATTGATACTTAAAAAAGAGAATAAACTTCAAACGATTGGTGGACTACTGTTATAAATGAGAAGTTTAGAAGGTATGCATGTACAAAATAATTAATTATTTCTAACAAAAAAGATTTTAAGTGAAGTTCGATTATACGTATTTTGAAAAGCTGTAATATTTAGGACTTTCGTCAAAATTTGATATTCAAATTATCACAAAAAAAAATATATTACACTTAATTTTTTTTTTAACCCCTATTACTGCGAAAATGACAGATTTGTCAATACTGTGTATCGAGTCTGAAATATTTAAAGTCATAAATTTAAAAGTCATAAAAGGAAGAACTTGTTCATAAATTTGCTACAATAAAATCAAAGAAGAAGCGTTTTTGTTAAAAATAGACTTCTAAACTCCTTATTTACATTACATTGTATTCACTTATAATTATCATAAATTATAATATTATGTAGGAATGCATTTTTATTGCACGTATTATTAATATTAAAAAAACTGTTTAATTATAAAATAATATAATGATGTTTTTTTAAACTTGTAGTCGTTTTGATAGGTAGGTATTTAATTGCATAACAAAAAAAGGTATCGAATTTGTACTAAATTATTTCACATATATAGTATTGCATGAAATATATGTACTTTTAATAGCTCCTGGATATTAGGTATAAAATATATATTGCTCCAAAGTGGTTCTAATCTTTAATTCGGCCCTGGGTGCGTCACTATTATTGGGGGAAAGTTAAGAAGGTATATTAGTAATTTAATTAATTAAAGTTATTTAATTTCTATCTCTGTTCAACAATAAACTATTTCTAACGAAAAACGATTCTGAGCGATATTCGGTCGTACATAATATTTTGATATGCCATTATTTTTACGATTTTAGTCAACATTTGAACTCGGAACTCATGTATACAAATAATGACTACATTATACTTTATACTATTTTCTTTTGATAACTAAGTACAACTTTAATAAACCTCCTGTTCAAATTGCAAGCTGTTCTGTTTGGTTAAACAATTCTATTCACATAGTAACTACCAAATAAAAACTACCTACAAACTCGCAAATATAATAATTATAAGTATAATATAAATTTCACAAAAATTGGGATACATATTTTGAAAAGTTTACCACATTTATATCTAAAACAAATTAAATATAAGTTTAAATAGGAAAAGGATGTTTCATTTCAGACTTGGGTGTATAATAAAGTCAAAAAAAAACTTTTATGCCAGAAATGAATTTTAACATACAATTAGTCACATAGATCAAGTGTTATTATACCATGACTTATACCATACCTGTCGCTAACGTAATATTAAACTGTTGCCGTGATTAGTTGTATTAAATTAAGATAAATTAATAACAAATTTAATAGAAATTTAAACAATTTTAAAAACTTAAAAACCATCATCACCAGTCGCACACTATCACCATTGCCACGCCAAGTTAGTAGGCCTCGTATATTGTTTAAAGATTTTCTGATAGAACGAAGAGAACTCCCATAATTCCATCGAATACCAATTTAGAACATTAATTCCAGTGACGAATTACAGGTTGAACAGCATATTTTGATGCGTCACCAAGAAATTCTTCATAAATTATGGGACTTGTTTCAATCGTACAATATTTACAGTTCTCATCACTTACCATTTGCTTCTCTGAAAAATCTCAACTAATAATAAAAACATTTTTAGATTCAAATCCGACCGAAGGAGGTGACAGTAAGAGAGGAAAGAAATCTTACGATAAAACTTCATATCGTCGGCAAAAATTAAATACATGGAGTGTTTGTGTACAGAAGAAGCAGAGTTTACGAATAGAGAAAATAGAAGAGGATAGAACGCATTTGATGATTTGTTGAGTATATTGACGTATTGTGTTCTATTCTAGGAACGTAGCCCGGAGAGAAGAGGATCACAGACACCGAGATGGTGCAATACAAGATAAGAACAAGATTACAAGTGGTTGATGAGCGATCGCAGTAGAATCCATGCTGTTCATCGGTGAGAATGTGATTGAGAGAAGAGCGAATAGAATTTAAAACAAGGATTTTAAAAATGTCGGACTAGTGAGGAAGAATTGTTTTAGGACGGTAGTTGGTGACATCCGTACGACTTTCGGATTTATAGGAATGACGGAACATATATATTATTGACAAAGCAACACTATTAACCGAACTCCGCTCAGAATCGTTTTTTCGTTAGCAATGGTTAATCGTTGCTTATATATATTGTTGCATCTGAATTGAGTCCCGGATCCAAGTGTTTTTGTTAGGTAGTATACTAGTTGGGTTTTAATGAGTTTTGGATGTTGCTAGTTGGGTCCAAACGTTTCCTTCTCATATTTACAGACTTTGGATTGTCAGTGATTCGCAGATTAAAATAAAACACAACTATGATTAAAAAAATTTGTTTTACCAGACGAATTAATATTTTGGAAAACATCTAAATTCTAGAAGATGGCCTCCGATCGTTAAATGAATACTAATTTAATAAAAATAAAAAAAAAATGTTTAAAAATGTGTTATTTAATTTCATTTAATACTAATGTATTAAATGTATGGGTAAAAATTTAATTTATGTTCCTCATTGACATAAACCACTTTTGAGAATAAATATTAAAAATTTTCTTTCATCATAATTTTCATGAAATTTCGGGGGAGGGAGGGGGTGAACTCCTAAAACCCCCCTTGTTAAAGCGCCTAGTACCCACATTTACCCGTGATCCAACTAGATTTTTGACGCGGAACCCAACTTGGATGCGCCGACAGATATACATTAAATTTTCATCTATATCCTATCTTCCCAACTTCCCACTCACAACAGTGGCTGCACCCGTCTCTATTATCCTAGAACACTTTTTTTCATTTAAAGAGCTTATTTTACGATTTAAATTGTATATTTTATCCGTTAGGTTATATTTTGGTGTTTTCTTTTTTTTGGTTTTTTAGATATTTTTGAAATATTTACTATTATAATATAAGAAAAAAAAAATTATATTTTTATATAGTTTTGATTAATGTCAATTCACATTAATATCTATTAATATATATTTGTGTAGGTATAAGCGGTAAAGTAAATTTCTTTGAAATACATTTTTAATATTAATTGATTCCTTTTATTTTCTTATAGATTAAAACTACCAACAAAATGATTTTAGTAAGTAAATTACTAAGAAAGAAGAAGTACGAAAAAAAGTATTTATAGTATGGTTCCATAATTTCCAATTTATTATTTCAATTAAATGTTAAAAATAAATGTCCTTTTTGCTAATGTTTTAGTGCATATATTTTTTTATGCACATTAATGATTTTTTTAGTGCATATTTGGTTGGTGTTTAATGCATATAAATCCGCGTTTTATGTATAAGTAATATTAATATTGTTCATGTTTTACTAAATAAATTTTATTTTAAACATCATTGTTAGGTAGGTATACTAATTATATGTATTTATTTTCGTTGGTAAATAGTTTAGAAAATAATTATATTAAAAATGATTTATGTAGGAACTCAAAATGTTTATTACGATAATGATACAAGTATACAACGATGAGTGGGTGTAACGCATCAATGTGCTTTGGAGATACGAATTAAATTGTTCGGCCAATGAATGATAATAACCTTAATTCATACCCCCACACGAACATATTATTAAGCTGGTTAAGATAGTTAAAGGATGACAAACAGTATGCTTGTCCTGTATACGTTTAGTCGATCCAAGCTCCGACGTTTGGAAACATCTAATATTAAATGTTAAATCATAAAATATACATAATAGTATAGGTACTTACCCATATATACGTAGTCTCAATCATATTGACATTATGATCCATGCATGGTGCAGATCACGCCCGAAAATAGTTAACTAATTTTTTTTTTTTATGTTTTAGTAGTATGAATTTGAATTACCATTCAAAATCGTAAGTATATTTTATGATTTATTTTTTACGGTTTATTTAGTAGGTATAAATTAAATAACTAATTTTAATAGTATAATTAATGAACAAAATTTTAATGAAAATGATAATAAAATATAAATTATTATATTTAGATTATTTTTTAGATTCTGAGTGTAGCGCAAAAGAGCAATTAATTGACATACTATGTTTTTCCTTGAAAAACACATTTTTGTTAATAAATATGCTCCGAATTTTTATGTCAAACCTTAAAAGATATGAATTTTTCGCCTGATAGTACTTTATTTAAAATATTTATCGATATTTTCAATAGTCTAAACCTCTACTTTCATATTTTTGTTTTTACATTTTAGTTGATTTCTGGATTCCCTATTGGCAACAGGGGAAAAAAACCATCAAAACTACTCTGCTCATAGTTGTTTTTCGTATAAAGCGATATATTTTTTTATACAGTATATAATCTAAATTACTTGTCCTGTATATCTTACCTACCAAAATTCCAAAATGTTCCTGATTACACTGACATCAGTGAGGAATCTATTTTCACAATACTTTTCCACCGTAAAATAAAACTTAGTTAATATATTATGCTATCGACCTATCGTAGTTATCCATATTTTAATGTTCATATATTTTTCATTTATAAGTAGATAATTAATAAATTAATAAATTAGGTAATTAATAAAAATAATTAAGTATATTGTATACTTAGTAACCTAATTATTTTCATTCAATTATAAGTACTAATATCTAGGGAACGAATTTATATGCACTTAAAATGCACAAAAAACAAATGAAAATGTTAAAAAAGCATTGAAAAAAATATTTAAAGAAGCAAAAATGGTAGAAGGGTTTAAGAGACTTCCGCGAATAGCTCTAAGAATTAGAGTCTAAATTATTAAATATAATTTTCTATCACTAGAAAAATGATTAACACTGAGTAATTTTTTTTTTTTACGTATTATAAAAAGAATGATTTTATATTAATCATTTATACAGGGTCAGAATATTTTATTTTGTAATAAATTCGACAGGGAACTTTTAAAATCCCTCTACCATTTTTTCTTTTTTTTAAATGCTTTTTTGACATATAAATCCTTCACTTACTAATATCGAATTAATGCTACAGTGTTTCTAATCTCTAATATTTATATTATTATATTACATTAAGTATAGTGTATTGAATATAGGTACTTATTATCAATTGATTTGCATCTGGTATTTTGAAAAACTTGTTTAGTTATTCCTACACACAGTTGTTATATAACTTTTATATTATGTACCTATATAATATTATCACACTGCAATGATTTATAATATTTTATGTACATCAATTTAAATAGAAACAGCTCATCATATTATTTTAATATTTTATACAATTCATCATCATCAATTGACAATTAGACGCACAGTTCTTAAATTCTTAGACGTATTCAAAATATTGTTTTCTTGGGTGTCAATATAAAATTATTTTTTTTTTTTATTATTAATTATACAAACAAATTCTAAAAATAATAAAATAAAAACTTCGTACACTAAACTGACTAGGCCACTTTATAGTGGTCAACAATAAAGACTGCGGTAGGTATTTTGAAATTTATTGAAATGATAAATCACTGTTTGAAAAAATTATTAGAATCATCCTAAAATGAAAATTTAAACTTTCGCATGCATTTTTGCCCACCATATTTTATTGGGAAAATAACCTCTTTTAACTTTTAATTTTTTTTAAATATATTATAATAAGGTTATATTTTTGTATATTTAGATAGGTAACTAATTAAAATATATGTTATATATACCTATTCGTTTGTATTGTACATACTTAAATGTTGTAAAATTAATGTACGGTAGGTATAGATACTTGTCTTATAAGTATCTCTACCTACCACTTTAATCATAAAATAAACGTAAGAATAAAAATAATTAACCTACTAAAAATATTATTGTTCGTGTCCAGCGTCTAGGTTATAATGATTATTATTTCAACAATGCATATCCTGTTCCTAAGTACTAGTGCCGCGGGAGTGATATCCCTATTTGTATCTCCTGCAGCTCAAGTGCTTATCAACGGGAAAAAGCACATCAACCCTACACATATATAATATAGTATTTGTATTTCAATGTATAAGAGATAATGTATAATGTATAATAAATATAATGTTCATTTTAATATGTATAATAATATATTATATGCACCTATCTATATTTATATTTTACACATTTTACAATGTATTTTATTTATAAATCTGTTATTGTTCTATTAATCACATAGCACCTATTATAAATAAATAAAGTATTAAATATTTATTATACTTAATATTGACATTATAATTAGACATTTTAAAAATGGTAGGACCGAAACCACCTTTTTCGCTGAAATAATTTCGTCAATGAACCGATTCACCACAACCAATTCGCCACCAACTGTTTCGCCGCCAACCTTTTTGCTAAGAGACTGATTCATCACCAATAGATTTGCTTATGGACCAAATTGCCGCCGACTCTTTTACCGATGGACACTTATTGATACATATTGACGCATGCATATAAAATATTTTACATTATGAGCCGAGTGGTTTTGCACGTGCGAAACAAATGTCTTTTTCATAAACATTTTAGTTCATACCACCATGATGCTCAATAGATATCCTGGTACTCTTGTGCTAAATTAATGAAACAGGTCTACATGTAGGTATAAATGTATTTAAAATTATAATCTTCTATGTACATATCTACTTAGTATTATGATTTGTTTTGTCTGTCCTATACGTATAATATAGCAACAAAGACTAAGATTTTTTGCCATGGTTTTATTTATTCTAAATATTAAGTATGTCCAATAATCTATATTAAAATAGATACAAAGTAAAATAATTATGATAAAGTAAGTTAATATTAAAATGTAATAAGTGCGACAGTTAACAAATTACAGCAATAACAAAACTAATTGGCGGACACATATCAACTACGGAGTAAGTATTATTAATTTTAAAAAATCTATTTATCACTAAAAATAACTTGTAATCACTCACAGACAGTGGCGTGCTGAACACTTTTCGTACTTGAGGCAAAACAAAAAAATTTGTGTCTGTGAATAAGTTTTCTACTAGAAATATTGTTCCAATAGAAAAACCGATATTTGACCAGATATTTTCGGAGAAAAATGTCTATTATGTCTTAAGATTATGAAAAAAGTATTAATAAATTGGGTATCCAATCAATAAGTTTGTTAATTTCAAGACTAACTCGTTGTTTTCAATTTAAAATATAAGATATCGATTATATAGGTATCGGTATTCAAACAATTGTTTAATACCATGTTCGTATTATGAATTTATAAAAATACAATTATTCTGAAATAACAGACACACTTTAATTTTATATCTATGTATATTAATATTATAAGTAACTTTTATAATTTCATTAAAAAAATAATAAATTAACAGACATTGCTGAAACAAATTTTAATTTTTCTGAACTCTGAATTTGTTTTTATTGACTATAATATAAGATATTATTGCTTTGTTCTATTATAATAGCTAATATACTGTACAGTTGAAAATACAATGTTTTTATTTTTATTATAATCTGCAGGTAATGATGATGGATAAATATTTTCTAAATATTAATTTTAAATTATTGTCTAAAGAATATTTTTTTTTAATTAACTTTAATATCTAATGGATGTCTATAATCGGTATAGGTAAGTATCTACTATGAAAATTGGATAACTGGATATCTAACAAATATTCAGAAATATCTTTTGATATAATTTATTGGATGATCTTATAATATAAGGTATATTATATCTTATAGATATATTTAAATGGATCTATCCATAGATGTAGAAAAAAATGGTCTATAGAGTATATCTAATAAATATAGATTTGATATTCATTGATCATTGATATCCATTATATATTATTTATACATAAAAAGTGTGTTTATTCCAATACATTACATAAAGTATGTTTAATGGATATCTATTAGATTTGTTTGTATTATGAGGGTATACACATCACTTTTTTTTTCATAGACAGTTAAGTAGATACTTATATGAACCAAAAGTAGGTACATATAAAGTATATTTTGTACCACTTAAATATATTATAATTGATTTAAATTAAATAATTTTATCATGCACTGCAGCAACAAAACGAAACGGTGGTCAAATGTTTAATATTTAAATGGTTGGTGTTGAAATGGTTATCACCAAATAAGTGGCAGATTCAAAGGGAGGGGTGAATGAGAGGGCCTAGGCCCCTCCTTGACAGTTATATATTATATTATATTTGTAATTGTAATAATATGAGTTAATAATGATTATAAATTGCTGTTAGACCAATTATTAAGATAGTTGATAATGTCGATACTTGATTGTAGGTAATCTTATCTATATATTATACTTACTATTTAGTGTTCATTGTTCAAAATTAATATGAACAATTTCGGGCTTCCCTCCTCCCACAAAAAAAATCTTTTATCTGTCATTGGGCACTAGTCGCGAATTGATCGATTGGTGAAATTGTCATGGTAAAGTGTTATAGATCTTAATAGGACATGAGCATTGGTAAGTTAAACCCAATGGTTAAAGTAGGAAAAACTTTGTGGGGAGGATTTTATTTACTAAAAATTGTGGGGCTTATTCTCACCAAACTTTTAGGAAACCTATTATGGAGACGAAACTTCTAAAATTGTTTTCTCTCTCATATATTTGTATATTATAAAAATGTTATACTAATAGTCAATAGGGTTTAATTAAATAACCTGCTACCCTTCCCCGAAAAATAAATATTTTCCTAAACACATGTCTACTTAGTAAAAATAAAGTAAAACAAAATCTGATTATGTATAATCCAATAAGTATTAATGAATGTATTTGTAATATAGGTATAACTAGACAATTCGAGTTTTTAGAATTTCACTAAATATGGTGTGATTTAGCGAACATAGAAACGAATATGCAATGTTTCAGTTACCTAGGTATCTACGTTATTATTAGTAAATGTTGTGTACCCACCTATTGCAATATTACATTTGTTTCAATATTATAATTCAGAAATATAAATATGACTATAATAGTATAATGTTAGGTTATAGGGTATAAGTATTTAAGATTTTATCTCTAACGAAATGGATAGTTCGTGGAGTTCCCTTCTTATTTAAGAAGAGAACTCTATCCCCTCTCCGCCTCCCACTTTAACTACGGACTAACTTCCCTACAAAATAATCAACTCTTTTTTCCATAACCAAGAACCCAATACTAAATTATCAATTTGAAATTTGACTTATTGGTAGGAAGGCATTAATACAATCTAATCAAAATTCAAAATAAATCTCAGTCATCACTAATAATAATTAATAAGTAATAATGATATTGTTTCTAATAAATTAATAAATTATTTGCTAATAAATACTTACACCTAATTTTTAATGAATTACCAACTATTTTCTTACCTACCTATAAAAGTACCTATAATAATAGGTACTTACTAATAGGCTACAGCCATGTAGGCAGGTACCTAAATCTTCATTTTTTTGTAGCCATATTATTATTTTGGTTGTTTATGTAGGTTCAATTAAAAAGCCACCACTGTTATGTAAGGATATTTAATAATTTCATGTGTATTAGTTTATACAAAAATATTGATTATTTATTATGGCATAATATTATCAGGTTTCCATTATATAATTAAATTCAAATATTAACTACCACTACAAATTATTAACAAATAATAATTATCAACTACTATTACATTATGGTGTAGGGTATTATGTAAAACCATATTTTTTGTTATGATTAGTAGAGCACGGATAATTGTAGTAAAAAACTATTGAAATTGATTGCAGTATTGCACTAAAAATATTAAATTTATACTAAAAACGAACAATTTTTTTTTACAAAAATGGAAATAGTTGGCTTAATTTTCAGCATATTTACAAAACAATAACAGAATAAGATCACTAAAAAATGCTAAAATAATTGTGTAAATGAGCAAATTCAATAAAATTGCAAAACTTTGCACTTAAAACTCCTAGATTTGAATTCGTACTTACATGAAACGTATTTAAAACTTACTTAACAATAAATTGAAAAGGTAGAAAAAACGTTACAAATGCAATAACATTCGTGCCCTAATGATTAGATATAAATTAAATTTTAATATAATCTATAAATTTGTTTGGTTATATTAGTATAAATTTCCTTTTAAACATAATACCAGTATATAGGGTATTGATACATAGTATTGAATACAAATATTGATAACAGTAAAATATTGAAACAAATGTATCAATATCAATAAATATCAAATCATTATATAAACCTATATTTCATAATATCAGATGATACTGTATGGAATTATGAAATGTTTTAATTTGTAATTTTATGATTCGATACTAATGAATGTTAAATAATGTTAAAATAATTGTATATAGGTTTATAGAAGAAAAAATTGTCTTTTATTATTTATTAATACATTCATTTATATAAAATACTAATAATATTATAATTAAAATTGGTCATTATCAGCTAGTTTTTACATACATAAAAAAAATATAACTAAAACCAATCTTCCTCTGGGATATCAACAAACAATAATATTTTTTGATGGCATGAACTAGTTAAACAATTTCTAGATTGGTTAATTGTTGCTCCAGCCTTTGAAAAGAGTTGTTCACAAGGAACAGATGTTGCAATCATGGTAAAATGACATTACGCTTGTTTATACTAAATAGGAAATACGTGTTTCATATACTCTCATATTTTAAGATGATCAGACTTCAGGGTTGATACTGGATTTGATAAGTACAACGATAACTCATCGTTCATAAATGTGAACAGGCTACTGGATCACTAAAATCTACATTTTTGAATCTTGGGTCTAGAAGTGTAGCAATTGCAATTGGTTTGACCTGTTCAATCATTCCGAATCTTCGAGTCAGTTCAGCATGCAATAAGTCCTTAATTTCACAAATTACCTCAAAGTGTGGTTTAATTTGAGTCAATTGTTTTAGAAAGCAACTAATCATTGGTATAAGGTTGGAAATTTTAATATAATTTTCCCCAGAAGATTCTTTCGTCACAAATTCTAATGGTTTTAATAAATCCAATAATTGTTTGAGCGTATCCATTTCAATTACAGTTGGCATCACAGGAGCAGTATAATCTTCGAGTAGTAATGGACTTATTAATGTTACCATCTCTACAAATCTACTGATCATATAAAAAACTGAGTTTCATTGTATTGGAACATTAATATTAATTTTTTCATTAACCCTTCTGGAATTCTGTTTTCCAACTGCTTCTTTCTTAGATCACTTACTATCATACTATTTTCTACCCATTTTACGATATTTCAAACTTTACAAATAATAGGATTAATGTTTTTTTGTTCTACTGTATGTATTACAACTAAGTTGATGGTATGAGCAAAACAAGGAATATGTTAGTGTTTACCAAAAGTTTTGTTAACAGCAGAAACAACATTAGCACCATTGTCAGTCACAACACTTACAATTTTTTCCTGATTTATTTCCCAGTCTGATAGAATATTTTCTAACTGTTCACTGATATATTGACCAGTATGCCACTCTTTTAATTCAGTAACTGTCAAACAAAATGATTTTAAAGAAATATTTTCTGGAAATGTACGGTTACACCCAAGAAACTTTTTTCTGACATTGTCTCTCTCCATGTATCGAATTTCAGAGATACATGAGGTGAATTTGACAAACGCCATTTTAATGGAACCATGATAACCTCATACTTATTATCAAGGGCATTTTTGATAGTGGTAACAGAGAGAATTTTGTATGATGGTGCCGATTCTTTAAAGAACCATATAAATCCTTTTCCTTCTACTATATAAAATGGATGGTAATCTTTACAAATAAAGTAAAGTAATGTCATAGTTATTTTACAAAAATGATGACCACCTTCTGAAATATAAAAATTAAGTATTGATATTAATAATATGAAAGAACAACAAACTATGCTGATAAACATGCCTGAATGAGCTAATTTTTTGAAAAGCTTCAACAATAGGGTGTTGTAACCGTTGTAGAGCCTGTGGTGGATCGTCTACACATTCCTAAAAACAAATTATTTATTAAACACAAATCTTAGAATAATTATATGCAGTGTTGGGACATTTTTTATTAAGATAAATATCATATAGTTTTTTTAACTATGAAAATAATTGCTTAATGCTACCTAAATTAAAAATAAAATTTTGAAATCTCATTGATATTTTCAATAATTTCCTGTAGTACCTACTCATAAATCTTAATTCACATTTGTGAATTGTCTTTCATACCATTTATTAGATTTATCATTCAATAATAATTATTTATTAGATTTACAATTTTTTGTGATACAATTATTAATTTTAATTACAGATAAATCAAAACACATAATGTACTTTATGATACCTATTTTTAAAATTATAGTAAAAATTATTACCTCTCGCTCAGTCTTCCATACAAAGCGTTAGTTGCAGGGACTGAGTTTTTGATGAGCAATGTTCTGGCAATGTAGGCAATAGCGATACAGAACTACAGAAAATATATAAACATCAGTGTTTGATAGACTATTAGAGTAACATTAATTATAATTAAATCAATAATTTCAAAAAAATAATATCAAGATAAATACTAGCAATATAAAATAAAGAAATACGTTGGTGATACCGATCTAAAATTTTTGTTGGCCGTTATAGTTTTTGTGACCCACCTTGTGACATGGGTCAAATATTTTATACTGGTATAATCCCCTTCTTTCTTAATGTTCCCATCGGAATCATTTCCCTGTTTCATATTCTCATCAAATTATCACAAAATAATCTATTATAACATTTATGATTGAATTATTTTCTACATTATTTTTTCTTCACATTGACATTTTTGAATTATGAAGAATAAAGATGTAAGATTTACGCGCGAATAAAGATATAAATCTTGTTGTGGATTTAAGTGAGTACTGCATGGAAAATCGAAGATATGTATACAGTGTGATAACAAATGAGTATGATGGACCAAGGTGTATTGATAACGTGGTATGGACTATAGAGGTGGTATGATATTTTGTATCAACTACAAGTTAACGAATTTCTTGATATACCGATATAAAATAATTTGGTATACCAGTTTAAAATAAAAGATAACGGTATAATTATTGGAATATACTGGTATAATCAAACAAATATACAGAATATATTAATATTCACTGTGAGATTTATTTATAGTTCTTTTGTATGACACACCGGATATCTATATTATACTATAGTATCTATAGGATAGTTGTCAAGAAATTGATAAAGATAATATTACAGTACTATAACATAAATATCTGTGTATGATACCATGGATTAAGATATAGGCACACGAGGCGATTGCAACGCGACACGATTCTTGTGCGATTTATGCGATACGAGCGATCCGTGCGATTACGGAGGCGCACACGATGCGATTGTCGTGCGATTATTATTATCGTTGTTAATGTGTTATTCGGTTATTACTGACGTTTGCGCAGTTCTTTGGTTACTTTTTTTTAAAATGTCAAGTTCGTCTAGTGACGAAGAAGCGATTGATACATACTATTTGTACAAAAAGTTGGTTTGTGGAAAAAAGCAAGAAAAGAATCTTTGAAGGAAATTTTGGAAAAATTATAGAGTTCAGGATGTTTTTCAATTTCACCAACAAATTCAATATTGAATGCCTCCATAGTAAAAATTATGTATAAATAAATAATATAATATAACGAGAATAAAAATGTAATTACGTGAGATAAGTGCGACGCGACTGCCAAGCGATCAGCACTGCCGGTCACACGTGTCGTCCGTCGCCGCGTCACAGTCGCGTCGTTATCAAATTGCGTCGTTATCAAATTGCGTCGTTAGTGGATCCCCATTCACTTTGCTAGGATATCACGCGTGGCAAAAATCACGTCGCGTGTGAATCGCCTCGTGTGCGGAGGGCCATAATCTTAACTATTTTAATCCACGCAATCAATGAAACGTAGTTGTTGATAATGTATTATGATAACAGTGTGTAATTATCACCATAGAAAATTCAAGATATGCTAATATTTTGCGATAGTGAATAGGTTAACGTAAATGTTATTTGCCAATTACTTATTAGTAATAATTTCTAAACTTTTATATATTTTATCACCCATAATATTAAGCCACGTTCGAAGTTATAACTTAAAATCGATTTTAGCTTTGATAGAATATTAATATATTTTATTTATACATTTCATTTTGAATTAAACCATCAAATTTTAATTTGAAATGGACGACGAAAATATCATTCAAAATTCTTTTTGCAGTCAAGGAATATCTGAGTAAATTTAATGGTTTATTGTTAAGAGATGGAATGGTTTATATTTGACATATTAATGTAAGAACTAGATTTATCATTTATAGCCAATATTTATCAATTATTTTCAAATTAACAGTATTTAATTTATTAAATTGTATTACATTTACAGTTGCAATCAACATAAAATAGCGCAATAATAAATATAATATTAAATATATTTCTTGAGAACTACATTAATTTTGAATTTTGTACCCATAGAAATCATCTGTATATTTGATTCATAACACCGACTTTTGATGATTACTACGAAATAGCTATTTAATTTACCTAATGATTTTATTTTGTATTGATCAATCCATCTCTAGTTAAATATGATATTAATAATATACAATAAATTATATTATTAATATTTATTATTCTAATCTAGGCAAAAACACTGTTGGGTATGTTTTGGTACAGAAGCAGATGACTTTGAAGGAAGTAATGATTGGGTGTCACCATGTAAATGCCGCGGATCTACAAGATGGGTAATTTTTTTTGAATTTTTTAATATTTATTTTTATAAAATGAATACGCAGTATGTGTTCTTGTGAAAATATTAGGATTACAATTACAATAGATTTATACTATAATTATATTTCATATGTATGCTGATAATTTAGTGATAACTACAGAAAGTGAGAGTTCAAATTGTAAGGTATTGTTAATTTTTTTAATCTATTAATTATTGTCGAAAAAATTTATTATTTTATAAAAAATTAAAAATATTTAAATTTGTATATAGCACAAACATTTTAATTAATTTTTGAATGAGTACTAATATAAAATATTTCATTTAGTATTTATAAATATACATATTTTATGTAATTATCCAGAAATATGAAATTTGTATATATTTTGATACAGATATGCTAAAATACGAAGAAAAAAAATGAATATTAGAATCTGTGTATTACGAAACGTCAACATATTTAATCAGAATTATTATAAGTCGAATCTAAAAGAATATGCATTTGCATAAAAATCCAGGCTTTAGTTATAGTATATA